AGATTTCCTATTCCAAAGTCTGAAGGGCTGGTCTGAAGGGGGGGGCATTATGCGTCATCTCACCTTTTAGGAATAGTGTGCAGATCAATTGAATTATTCAAGTTGAGAAAAGTTCGACTCAGCGATTTCAAGTACGGACAATGCATTTCGGTTTCTCTTGAAGCTAACTTAAAATGAAAAGAAAGAATAAAAATTCGGAAACCACGAAAATCAAAAAAATTTGTTTGTTATTTATTTTCAATTGTTCACTATTAGCCATGAACATCTGAGCTCATTTTCTTGTGCACAGATATTTCACTGCTGAATTGTAGATGTTGAGCGCAGAAGAAATCGAGCAGAAAGACCATTCTTTGGATGTGGAATCGATAGAAATACAATTTTTCATCAAAGACACGTAGATTTCTAGTACGGAACTAAGAGGTGATTCAAGTTTTTCTCGTTTCCAACTTTCAAAATTTTTTGCCAATCGGTTGTTTGAAGATATTTCAATCTAATCAATAAAAAAATGGAAAAAAAATAAATCAATATAAAAAGAAATTTTATTAAAATTTCTGAAAAACTCCTCTGAGAAATGCATTACTCACAACTTGTCAGATGAAAAACATGTTAATTTTAATTGGTGAAACAACTAACATTGACATGAAATTAGCATATTTCTTAATCAAGAGAAATGAAATCAAGATTTCAGCTCAAAAGATGAGAAAACCTCATAAAAATGTCAAGTTTTCTGCGAAATCATAAAAAAATACACTTTTCAGATTGAAATAATGTTGAAACACACAATTTTCTTAAAAATAAAATCAACAGAACCCATCTTGACACTTCAAAACATCGAAAAGTTTGAAAAAAGCGCAAGTTTCATTTTTAATGTTTCATTAGAACTGCACAAACAACAAATAACACAGCGTCATCGCGTAGTGTCGTTGTTTTCTTTTTATTTTTTTTCAATTTTTTTCAAACTCAAATTGAAAAAATTTTACCATAGGATTCTCTGAAAATGCATGAAATAAGTATTACAAGTATTCTTCTTTCATTTTCAGCGCTGAAAAGTGTAGGCACTCGGGCGATTTTTCGAGAAAATTCAAGTTTTGAAAATGCACTTTTTTTCGAAATTCAAAAAAACTTCCAAAACAGGGTAATTTGCATCGGGTTGTATTTAAAACAAACCTAGCAGCCCAAGAGAAACATTTTAGTTCCAAAAATTTGTCATACCGATGATTTTGAACAAAGTTATAGTGTTTTTTGTGAAAAATTGGACATTTTCACAAAAATCGATTTATTGTAACTTCCTGTTGACGGTTTGAGCTAATTTTTTTCATTTTGTTCGTCTGTCGATTCTCTACAAGAAACTCCAAGGTATCAATGACGAAAAACGTTTTATGACTGAAAAACCCGAGCTTGAAAACCAATAGTGATTCTGGGCGCTGCACCTCGACGAAAAAATTAGGTCTGCACCTAACTAAAAATACTTCCCGAGGCATTGATCTTATCTTTCTTTTAAAAAAAAAAGTAAGAAGATTCATTAATTTTGACAGGAGTTATGGCGATCCGCGTTTTTGAAAAAATCGATTTTTGACGGGCCATAAAACTTTTTTTTCAAGCTTATCTGAAAATTTGAGTACTACGTTTTTTACACCTACTGATAGGGTTCAAAAGAAAATATTAATATATGTTTTTTCTGGAAAATTTTTTTTCCATCAAACATAAGCCCAAATAGGCGCAGTCTTGAAGCCTGCGCCTAATCCAAACCATGTGGACTCGGGTACCCGGGTAAAAATGGTTTTTGAAAAACAATTCAAATTTATTCGATAATAAAATAATTCACCAGTTATCGAAACATTTATTTTCATTGATCGGCTATTCAACTATTTTTTCAAACGCTTTCTTTGAATATTACTCGAATGATGCCCACTAAATGAATTTCAATCAATTTTAGACTGAATCATGAAAATTGGCTCGAAAATGATGGATTTGTAAAACTGGAAGCTCTTCCAGATTTACAAATTTTTTCGTTGAAAAAATTCAACAAAAACTGAAATTTCGATTCTCGTTGAAAAAATTCAACAAAAACCGAAATTTTGATTTTCGTTGAAAAAATTCAACAAAAACTGAAATTTTTTCCTATACCCGCTAGTTATGGTTTTAAAAATTTCTGAAATTTGCGAAACATAAACTTCTTAAAAAATATTTCTGGAAAAAAACTGGTGAGTTATTTTATTATCGAATAAATTTAAATTGTTTTTTCAGAACCATTTTTACCCGGGTACCCGAGTCCACATGGTTTGGATTTGAGTTGGATTTGGGTTGAATTGGTTCGGGTGGGTATTTTTGATTCTCGAATGAGTTTGGGTCTTACCCGAGTCTGAACCATTGAGTCTGCGTCTGGGTTGGTTCTCCAAAAATGGGTTTGGTTCTGGGTGGGTCTGGTTCGAGTCGGGTTTGGGTCGAGTCTGAACCAGAACTGTTTTTTCAGTTTTGATTCTGGGTGGTTCTATTTTAGAACTGGGTATAAATGGGTGGTTTTGGGTGGGTTTTTTCGGTTTGACCCGACCCAAACCGAAAATTCAGAATCGGTTCGGAACCCTGGAATATACATATATTTAGGATAGGCCTGGGTTCAGGCTTAACCAGCTTCAAGTTAACCTAACTCGCGTGTATTATGAGTCCCCGGAGATTTTCAATAAGATAAATACATTTCTGTTCAGTTTTTCACGCTGCGAAAGATCCCGTGTTCAGTTTTTGGTGTGCGACTCTCTGAAAAGCCCGAAAATTGAGAATTTACTCATGTTAGAGACGATTTTATCGAAAAATGAGCACAGGGCGATGTTTTTTGGCTCATTTTTGTGCTCTTCAGAGAGTCGCGCAGCAAAAACTGAATACGGGATCTTTCTCAGCGTGGAAAACTGTACAGAAACATATGTGTCTTATTGAAAATCACAGAAGACTCGTCACAAACTCGAGTTAGGTTAACTTGAAGCTGGTTAAGTCTAAGCCTAGGCCTAGGCCTATTCTGAATCCCCTCGTAAGCTTAACTAGAGTCTAGTAGTACTAACTAACCTGTAAAGTACTAACTAACCTGTAAAATCGCATTCCTCGTCAAATTCGATTTAAATTTCATATAAATCACGATAAAAGTGACAACTGGCATTAGATAAATCAATAAATTAGTTATGCCAAATACAACCAAAAGTGGCAAGTTATGCGAACTTCCCTCCGCATTCTTCAAACTTGAAATATAGCACAAATCACTCCAAAAAACGTCGGGAAACCCCGTGAAATTCTGAGCATAGATAAGGCGATCCGCGGGTCCGCCGGAATTTAAAATCTCACGGGTCCATAGGAAAAATCCCGCAGGATAAAGTGCATAGAAGAAGGGCGTGCCGAATTGGTCAAGGATTTTGTACCAGAAGCTGGGCCAGACTGCACTCTTCAAACGGTAGAAGAATAGATGAGCTATGGAGACGGGGAGGGCGTGTCCCAGGCAACTTAGCGCAACTTGCCAAATCACCGGGGGCAACTGGAACCATGCCAAGTAGCCGGTGGGACAGGCGACTTGTATAGGTGCGAACCAAATCGTGGCGAGACCCGAAGTGAGTTGCTCAAACGAGAAATTCCAGAAAATCTTGGAGAGCAGAATGAAGCGGTAGATGTTTTTGATGTGTTTTTGGGCGCGGTAGAGCATGTAGAAAATTGCGTATAGGTAGATGGGGAGACTTAGGATAACATCGAGGTAGCTGAGGATTTGACAGATTTTGAGGGTTTGGCGGTAGCCGGAGAAATCGTTCATATTTGGGGGGGGATTCTGAAAAAAAATTTTTTTTTTTTTTTTTTTTTTGAAAAAATTATGTGTTAAGACAAAAATTCTAATTAATGAGGTTGAGTGCACTTTTTCTGACGGAAATCTCGAAAAAAAATGTGATTTTTTTGGTCTGACTAGACTAATTTTCCACGTCATAGAGTTTCTTTTTCATTTTTTTCTTTACTCTCATTAGAGTTAAAGCTTAGAGTAAAAAAAAACTGGGCTAGGCCTAACCAGAGTCTAGTTTGTCTTACAATTAGCTATGGTCTAGTTGGGTCAAACTATAGTCTAGTTAGGTATGAAAAATTAGGAAGCTTGAAAAATCTGAAATTTTGGTAAAGTTTTTTTTTAAAGTGCATCTCATTAATTAAAAATTTTATTAATTAATTTTTTTTTTAATTTTTAAATTAGGGCCTAGCTAGCTAAAGTTTATATAGGCCTAACTTCAGTTAAGCTAAGCCTAACTACAGTTAAGCTAAGTCTAACTTCAGTTAAGCTAAGCCTAACTTTAGTTAAGCTAAGCCTAAGTACTGTTAGGCTAAGCCTAACTTCAGTTAAGTTAAGCCTAAGTACAGTTAAGCTAAGCCTAACTAGAGTTAGACCTAACCCCCCCCCCCATATTTGGTCTCAAAAAATCGCAAATCAAAAATTTGCAGCTGAAAGAAGACGCCGAGCACCACAACCGCAACATCAAGCTCCTCCTTCTCGGCGCCGGCGAATCTGGAAAATCGACAATTCTAAAGCAGATGCGAATAATCCACGACGATGGATATAATCACGAGGAGCGAAAAATGTACAAAAAAGTTGTGTATTCAAATATCATCCAATCACTGACAACGATAATTCGAGCCATGGAAACGCTGAAAATCCCCTTTGCGGATAAGCCGCACGTCTTCCGCGCCGCTCAAAAATTCTTGCGCTTTGCGGAAAGCGCCGACGCGGACGAAGACGAGTTTCCCGATGAGATTTGCGATGTGATGCGTGAGATTTGGGATGATTATGGGGTTCAGGAGGCGGTGGCGAACCGGGCTCGCGAGATCAATCTGAATGACTCGGCCCCGTATTTTCTGGATCAGATGGATCGGATTTTTCATCCGGAATATGTGCCGAATCAGGATGACGTGTTGAGGACTCGAATTAAGACGACAGGGATTATTGAGACACAATTTTATTACAAGGATCGATTGTTTTTGGTTTTCGATGTTGGCGGGCAAAGATCGGAGCGTAAAAAGTGGATACATTGTTTTGAGCACGTTACTGCGCTGATTTTTTGTGTAGCGCTTTCAGAATATGATATGGTACTGGTGGAGGATCGCGTTACGGTATGTTCCTTTGAGAAAGGGGGGGGTGGGGAAGGGGGGGGACACAATTTTAAAGCTGGAAATTTTCTAGATCGGAGAAAAAATTCGGCTCTATCTCAACATAAGGGTCCGAAAAAAATATGAGGGCCCGCCCAAAATATATCAAACCACACGAAAAAATTTTCTTTGGTTTAAAATTTACGGACCCTCATTTTTTTCGGACCCTCTTTTTTTTCGGACCCATGAAAAAAATAACGGACCCTCTTTTTTTCGGACCCTTATATTGAGATAGAGCCAAAATTTCAAACCACCCGCGGGCTAGCGTCAACGCGGAGTCTCGTTGTTTTTTTTTTGCAAATTTTTTTTTCGGAAAATGACAATTTGCATGGAAATAACTATTTTTTGGGGTACTGTAGCACACAATTGTCGTCAAAGTGTTTGCACAATTTTATGAAATTGCGGATGCAGAAAATTTTCAAAAAAAAAAATTTTTTTTTTCAAAATCGCTCAAATTTGATAGTTTTTGAGTTGAAGGGTGGAGGGAGTACGGTATGTGCCTTTAGCGTCAACGCAGAGTCTCGTTGTTTTCTTTTTTTTTGCAAATTTTTTTCGGAAAATCTCAATTTGCATGGAAAAAACTATTTTTTGGGGTACTGTAGCACACAATTGTCGTCAAAATGTTTGCACAATTTTATGAAATTGCGGATGCAGAAAATTTTCAAAAAAAAAAGAATTTTTTTTTTCTCAAAATCGATCAAATTTGATTGTTTTTGAGTGAAAGATACCGTAGCGTCAACACGGAGTACGGTATCTTTTTTTTTTTGCAAAATCACCTACAGTACTATTTTCCCGCATTTTTTACTGTAGCACACGATTCTCGTCAAAGTGTTTGCACAATTTTTATGAAATTGCGGTTGCAGGCAATTTTCAAAAAAAAAAAATTTTTTTTTCTCAAAATCAGTCAAATTTGATCGTTTTTGAGTCAAAGAGTAGAGGGAGTACGGTATCTTCCAAATCACCCTACAGTACTCCTTTCACCTACAAAATCCCTCATTTTTTTCCAGAATCGAATGCGTGAATCGCTAAAATTATTCGACTCAATTTGCAACAATAAATGGTTCAAAGAAACGTCGATTATCCTGTTTTTGAACAAAAAAGATTTGCTGATGGCTAAAATTCGCAAATCCCCGTTGACCCACGCTTTTCCAGAATATAAAGGTAAACATTTTTAAAAATTTGATTTTCGCGCCACCTACAGTACTCTTTTGTTTTTCCCTTCAGGACCCAATGAATACGAAGAAGCTTCTGCATATATTCAACAGAAATTTGAGGACGTAAATGTTGGACAGAAGGTAGGTTTTTAATCAAAAATTTCAGGAAAAACTAGAATTTCAGATTTTCCAGCACAAAAATTTTGAAAAATCTGAAATTTTTCCAGCAAATCTACACCCATTTCACATGCGCCACCGACACAAATAACATCAGATTTGTTTTCGACGCCGTCACCGACATTATTATTCGAGATAATTTGAAAATTTGTGGACTTTATTGATTTTTTTTTGTTGAAAATCTCTGGAAATTCTGTTTTTCGAGAAAAACGGGTCCTAAACTGGTTATTTGGTGCATGAAAAATAAAAAAAATATTTTTTTTTGAAGAGAGATTTTTTTCGGGTCTCGCAGCGATTTGGCAACTTGAAATTCGGATATTTCCGTCAAATTCGGGTCAGTTTGAGTATAAACATGACGTATTTTAAGGCAAGTTGAACATTTTCGTGGCGAGACCCTCCTACAGTAACCCAAAACTCAAAGTTGATCAAAAATATGCCTTATGGGTGTCTAAAAACTGCAAATTTCACGAGGAATTCGAATTTACAACTTCCACGTCACAAAAATCGCTGCAATACCCATTTTGGGTTACTGTAGGGTCTTGCAACGAAGGTTTTCAAATTTCTCCCAAAATATATTATGATTATACTCAAAATGGTCCAAATTTAATGAAAAATCTGAATTTTACAATTCCACGTCATCAAAAATCGTTGCGAGACCTTTTGAGTTACTGTAGGGGTCAAAAGTTCACGATGTTCATAATCAAAATGCTGCAAATTAAATAAATTTTTCAAAATTTCGGAATTTTTCATAAAATTTGGGATAGTTTGAGTATAAACATGACATATTTTTGAGCGATTTTTGATTTTCGTGGTGAGACCCGGGCCTACAGTACCCTATACTCACGATGTCAAGCTGCAAGACCCATTTTGGGTTACTGTAGAGGTCTCGCCACGAAAATTTCCAAATTCTCTTAAACTATATCATGATTATACTCAAAATGCTCCAAATTTAATGGGAAATCTGAATTTCAGTATGAAATTTGCTGAAAATTCCAAAAAAAATCTTTTTTTTATTAAAACCCAAAAAATCACTTGGGAATTTTCGGCTTGACATTTTTCTTCGAAGGCATTTGTCCGGGTTTTTTCTTGGTTTTTGTGATTGTTTTTTCTCCGGATTTTTCAGCTGAGCCAACTAATTTCCTAGTGCTACAATCCTGGAAAATTACAGATTTTTTTGTGGCTGAAAATTTTCAGCTCGCAAAAATTACCGTAATATTCGTCTTCGAATTTCTTCGCACCACAATTGTTTGATAAATTTGCGATTTTCGAGATTTCAGCGATTTTTGCGACGATTTTTCCAAATCTTCAAACATTTTGGATCTCATCTGAAAATAGGTTACTGTAGGCTACAGTACTTCCCCCTGGGTTACTGTACCTCCATCTCCCTTTGATGATTTTTGAGTCGAGATACGCGAAGTCGATTGCGCGCTTCATTTCCGCCCCAGGAAGCCGGCAAAAAATCGGGTTGTTTCAAAATTGTGTCCAGCAAAACTCGACGGGCCTGGAGAAAAAATTTGATTTTTGAATTTTGGCGCCAAAAAACAACGAAGCTACAGTAACCCAGGGTTTTTGGCACCAAAAATTCAATTTTAAGGGTCTACAGTAATCTAGAGATTTTGGTGCCAAAATTTTCAAGATTCCAACAAAAAAAGGATTTTTATAGAGGGTTACTGTAGCTTACTGTAGTTTTGCTGGTTCAAAAATCGGCTGGGTTACTGTAGATAAAAAAAATCTACAGTAATCCTGTAGATCAAAAATATATCATGTTTTGACTCAAAATTTTGCAAATTTCAAATTTGGCGCCAAAATCTTGGTCCCGATGGGTTACTGTAGATTTTGGCGCCAAAACTTTATCATGTTCGGACTCAAAATTTTGCAAATTTCAAATTTGGCGCCAAAATCTTGGTCCCGATGGGTTACTGTAGATTTTGGCGCCAAAACTTTATCATGTTTGGACTCAAAATTTTGCAAATTTCAAATTTGGCGCCAAAATCTTGGTCCCGATGGGTTACTGTAGATTTTGGCGCCAAAACTTTATCATGTTTGGACTCAAAATTTTGCAAATTTCAAATTTGGCGCCAAAATCTTGGTCCTGATGGGTTACTGTAGATTTTGGCGCCAAAACTTTATCATGTTTGGACTCAAAATTTTGCAAATTTCAAATTTGGCGCCAAAATCTTGGTCCCGATGGGTTACTGTAGATTTTGGCGCCAAAACTTTATCATGTTTGGACTCAAAATTTTGCAAATTTCAAATTTGGCGCCAAAATCTTGGTCCCGATGGGTTACTGTAGATTTTGGCGCCAAAACTTTATCATGTTTGGACTCAAAATTTTGCAAATTTCAAATTTGGCGCCAAAATCTTGGTCCCGATGGGTTACTGTAGATTTTGGCGCCAAAACTTTATCATGTTTGGACTCAAAATTTTGCAAATTTCAAAATTGGCGTCAAAATCTTGGTCCCGATGGGTTACTGTAGATTTTGGCGCCAAAACTTTATCATGTTTGGACTCAAAATTTTGCAAATTTCAAATTTGGCGCCAAAATCTTGGTCCCGATGGGTTACTGTAGATTTTGGCGCCAAAACTTTATCGTGTTTGGTGTCAAAATTTTGCAAACTTCAAATTTGGCGCCAAAATCTTGGTCCCAATGGGTTACTGTAGATTTTGGCGCCAAAACTTTATCGTGTTTGGTGTCAAAATTTTGCAAATTTCAAATTTGGCGCCAAAATCTTGGTCCCGATGGATTACTGTAGATTTTGGCGCCAAAACTTTATCATGTTTGGACTCAAAATTTTGGAAATTTCAAATTTGGCGCCAAAATCTTGGTCCCGATGGGTTACTGTAGATTTTGGCGCCAAAAATATATCGTGTTTGGACTCGAAATTTTGCAAATTTCAAATTTGGCGCCAAAATCTTGGTCCCGATGGGTTACTGTAGATTTTGGCGCCAAAACTTTATCATGTTTGGACTCAAAATTTTGCAAATTTCAAATTTGGCGCCAAAATCTTGGTCCCCATGGGTTACTGTAGATTTTGGCGCCAAAACTTTATCGTGTTTGGTGTCAAAATTTTGCAATTTTCAAATTTGGTGCCAAAATCTTGGTCCCCATGGGTTACTGTAGATTTTGGCGCCAAAACTTTATCATGTTTGGACTCAAAATTTTGCAAATTTCAAATTTGGCGCCAAAATCTTGGTCCCAATGGGTTACTGTAGATTTTGGCGCCAAAACTTTATCATGTTTGGACTCAAAATTTTGCAAATTTCAAATTTGGCGCCAAAAATCGACTCACCTTAAAAGTATCCCGCAAAAATTCGCGCATCTGCGCGTCCAAACTTGTCTGCGTCTCCGGCGCAGTGAGCACCAACTGAATGGCCGTCAAAATGCATCGATCGAAAGCGGCGACGAGTTCGCGACTTCGCTCGCCGCCGCCGCCGCCGGCGACAAAAAACGCGCGAATTTGTCGCACACTTTCGGCCATCATTGATTTGTGTTCGAGAATTTGGAATTTTTGGAGACATCGCGCCACTTTTTTCGCCGTCGGGTTCACGTCTTCCGGTTTGAGCTCCGCACATTTTCCCAGGTACTGTAGACTAATGTCTTTTTCCTCTTTCAGCAGCACTGGTCTCATCTGGAAACAAGGATTACTGTAGTTGTTTTTTTGGCGCGAGTTTTGAATTTGCTATTTTTTGATACCCAACTTGATATATTGGGTTACTGTAGATGAGTTTTTCTACAGTAACCCAATCAATTACAGTAATCTACAGTACTCCTATAAAAATGCATAAATTTTCATCTACAAAAATGTAACCCAAAAAAATCTAGATCTACAGTACCTAGATTACTGTAGATCGAAATTGGCGCGAAATTTTGATCTACAGAAATTCACCGTAACCTCTAAAACCCCATTATTTTTTTTTCAAACAGAATTTTGAGCTACAGTAATTGGTCATACTGTAGACGCGCGATTTTCCCGCCAAAAAATTTTGAAAATTCGCGAAAATTTTGGCGCCAAAACCTACCGTAACATCAGCACTATTGAAAATCTCCATTTCTTCCTGCGTGATTTTTCGAATGCTTATAGATTTTCGCTGTATTTCAGTCAAACCGGTGATTTTCAGCAAATTTTGAGAAGGATTTGCTGAACGATTGAATGGTGTATTCTGCAACAATTTGAAGGTACTGTAGGTACAGTAACCCGGGTACTACCGTACTACTTTTCTATTCGATGTAAAGGATGTTGTGATCCATTTCATGATCCATTTTTTCTTTCAGTTTTGTTAGTTTTTCGATGCTACAGTACTCTCAAACTAATCAATGAGATACTGTAGTTGGGTACTGTACCTACAATAATACGCAAATAACAATTAATGCTAGGCTACAGTACCCCAAGCTACAGTACCCAAGCTACAATAATCATCATTTTGCTTTTCCCAAGCGAAAAAAAGCTCATAACTCATCTCAATAATTCATAAGGTACTGTTGATTTCTAAAAGGTACGGTAGCTACAGTACCCCTACAGTAACCCACAGTTTCCAAACAATCCAAGTAGTCATTGAACATTTGACGAAGTTTGAAATTTTTGTCGCTCATATTATATTTTTTGTGAGGTGAGCCGGATTAAAAAATGGGCGGCTCGAAAAATTTTTGCATTTTTTGGGGGGGGGGGGCCAGAAACAAAGTGGGTCACGTTTGGGCCACAAATATTGATTTTTTTTTTTTTAGAATTTTTGGATTTTTTCAGAAATTCTCTAGATTACTGTAGATCAAAAAAATTTTGGGGACCTAAAAAAGTGGGTTACTGTAGGGTCTCGGCACGAAGATTTCCAAATTTCTCCCAAAATGTATTGTGATTATAGTCAAAATGCTACGAATTTCATGAAAAATCGGGATTTCGAACTTCCACGTCATAAAAATCGCTGTGAGACCCAAAATGTAAGCAATCTTTATCTAAGTTCCATCATGTTTATAATCGAAATGCTGCAAATTTTCTGCAAAATCCAAAAATTTCTGCAAAAAACTTCCAATTTTTGATCGAATCAATTAATATTTCCACATAAAAACGCATGGCTGATTCCAATTTTTTATCAGATTTCAAACTGAAAAATGTGGATTTCATCAATTTTGCCGCTTCTCTTCGTCTTCTTCTTCTTGTTCGCCTCAATTTCGGCTCAAAAATTGAATTGCAAATCTGATGCGGATTGCCCAAAGGATCAAAATTGTAGCCCAAAAGATTCTTTCCGACCAAGTATGTGCTTGTAATTTTTTTCCCAGTTTTTTCTGTGTTGAATAAAACTTGAGCTGCATTTTTTTAAATCAAAAATGAATCAAATTTTGGAATTTTTCATAAAATTTGGGCAGTTTGAGTATAAACATGACGTATTTTGAGGCAATCTGAACATTTTCGTGGCTTTGGGGTCTCGCAGCGATTTTTGTGACGTGACACATTGAAATTCGCACACTCTGATAATAAAGTGTCTCGAACGCGTAGCCAGAGAAAAGTTGTGCGCATTTTTGGTGCATGTGCGGTAGAGCGCACAAGCTTGTTTGTCGGTTTTTTTTTCTTGAAACGGTTATAAATGAGTTATTATACTTATATGTGAATCGAGCTATATGCTCTGGAGAATAATGAGAGTAACGTTTTGATATAAAACATGTGAAGAAAATTTTTTTCATCAAGTTTTATTCAACACAAAAAAATGAAGAAAAATTATTAAACACAGATTTTATATGTGCAAACAGATGAACATCTTTTACCAGAAGGACAATCGGCATCAGAATTACATGTTATATCCCAAAAATATTTGGGAAAAGCCGAAATTGAGACGAAGAGAACGAAGAAAATCGGAAAAATTGAGGAAATCCACATTTTTCAGTTTGGAATTTGACAAAAATTGGAATCAGCGATGCGTTTTTATGTGGAAAATTGATTGATTTGATCAAAAAATGGAAGAAAATTTGGATGTACTTTGGAACAAGATAAAGATTGCATACAGTTTTGGGTCTTGCAGCGATTTTTATGACGTGGAATTGTAAAATTCAAATTTTTCATGAAATTTGGAGCATTTTGAGTATAATCATAATATATTTTGGGAGAAATTTGAACATTTTCGTGGCGGGACCATACAGTAACTCAAAATAGGTCTCGCAGCGATTTTCACGAAGAGAATTTGCAATTTTTAGTGAAAAAACTCACATTTCCTCCAGTTTTCCTCGAAAATCACAATCATTTGACCATTTCTCCGTCGATTTTCCTGTAATTAGCAAAATCTATATAATAAAGTTAACCAAAAGTAAGAAAAGTACATTTTTCCATTAAAAAAACCAGTTTTTGTATCAAAAATCAACTAAAATTATGTTATTTTTACTAGAAAAAGAGATAAAAATGAATTTAACAACACATTTTATTCAAATTCATGAAAAAACAACAAAAAGAAACATTTTCGAAAAACAAAAAACACAAGAAAATAAAAGTAGAAATGGAAGTGCGCCCCATTGATAATTCGCACTCCACACTCCACACACTCTCTCGTTTTCTCTCTCTCTCATCCGTCTCTTCAGCAAATCGCACTCTCTCATATTTTTTTTTTCGTTTTTGTTTTTTTGCTGAAAAACGCTGGAAATGGAATTTTTGTAACTAAATCGAATATGGAGAAGACAGAGGAAGAAAAATTGAAGCTATTCCAAGTTGTTTGATGAAAAATGGTTGAGAATGAAATGAGCAAAAGGTTTTCAAAAAAAAAAATGTCATGGTCATACTCAAACTGCCCCAAATTTTATGAAAAATTCCAAAATTTGATTCATTTTTGAAAAAAAAATGCAGCTCAAGTTTTATTCAACACAGAAAAAACTGGAAAAAAATTATAAGCACATACTTGGTCGGAATGAATCTTTTGGGCTACAATTTTGATCCTTTGGGCAATCCGCATCAGATTTGCAATTCAATTTTTGAGCCGAAATTGAGGCGAACAAGAAGAAAAAGACGAAGAGAAGCGGCAAAGTTGATGAAATCCACATTTTTCAGTTTGGAATATGATAAAAAATTGGAATCAGCGATGCATTTTTATGTGGAAATATTAATTGATTCGATCAAAAATTGGAAGTTTTTTGCAGAAATTTTGGATTTTGCATGAAATTTTGGATGAACTTTGGAACAAGATAAAAATTTCTTACAGTTTTGGGTCTTACAGCGATTTTTATCACGTGGAAGTTCAAAATTCAGATTTTTCATGAAATTTGGAGAATTTTGACTATAATCATGATATATTTTAGAGAAAGTTGAAAATCTTCGTTGCAAGACCATACAGTAACTCAAAATTGGTCTCGCAGCGATTTTCATCAAATACAGAAAAAATTTCGAAATCGCTTCAAAATGCTTCATGATTATACTCAAAATGCTCCAAATTACATGAAAAATCCAAATTTCACATTTCCACGTCACAAAAATCGCTGCAAGACCCAAACTGTAAGAAATCTTTATCTTGTTCCAAAGTTCATCCGAAATTTCATGCAAAAAACTTCCAATTTTTGATCGAATCAATAAATTTTCATAAAATAACATCGCTGATTCAATTTTTGTCATATTCCAAACTGAAAAATGTGGATCGCCTCAATTTTGCCGATTTTCTTCATTCTCTTCGCTTCAACTTCAGCCGGGCCTCGATTCCTGAAACACGGCTTCTGCAAAACTGTGGAGGATTGTCATCCTGGCGAAAAATGTGTTGAGGTTAACGGAGCTCTCAGATGCGTTGATGGAAAATTCCTGTTTTAAAATGAATGAGTTTGTTTTGCCACGTCATAACAGCTTTTTCTCCAAAAAATGATTTTTTCAATAAATTTAAATACAAAAAATGAGTGGTCAAGTGAATGCTCATGGTATTTTTATTTGTCGATAACCCAAGAGCTCCGGACCAATCATCTGAAAGCGCGTGAAATGCAAACCTTTTCTATACCCCTATCAAATCGTGCAGCCGACGCTTCCCTGGTTGCCTGCTTCCACGCGCCAGCCGCCATGTTTTCTGTGCAAGCGCAAGGTGGTGGGTTCGATTCCTCATGCCCGCGCAGAGTTTGTTTTTTGCGCAGAATTTCGCGGCGCGTTTTTAATCGTTGCGAGACCCAAAATCTACAGTACTTAATTAATTAATTAATTTATTCAAAAAAAAAATGCCAAATGAGATTCATTAAAATTCTGGTACCAGTAGTAGTAAATATTATAAATTCAAGGAGATCAAAATTTCAGGTGAGATCAGGGAAAAATGTTTACATAATTGTACATTTATTGGGGATTCGCGGGTTACAACAATTGAATTTGTGGAATTTGTGGAAAATCGAGCTGGAATTGGTGTTGGGAGCGCCTGGAATTGGGGGAAGTAGGTCGAGATCATCGGAAAGCGAGTCGGTGTCGAGATCGAAAGAGTCGCGGAGACGTTTGGATTCGGGTTCTGCAAAAAAAAATTAATTAATTAGTTAGGTAATTAGGGTAATTAATTAGACTAATTAGAACGATTACTGTATTTATTTAGGTAATTAAACTGTATTTAATTAATTAGGAAGATAAGCCCAAACAAAAATTTCAAAATATTGGGGGAAAATTTCAGATTGCTCAGATTAAGGGTTCAAAGTTTTTAAGCGATTATTTTTCCACGTGGATTTATAATTACACTAATTAGGGATTACTGTAGTTAATTAGAGAAAATGTCTATCATAGGAAAAAATCATAACTTTGGTTTCAGTGAAGATTTTGCCACGTGGCATTTTTTCAAAATTTTCAAAAAATTTTTGCCACGTGGCATTTTTTTTTCAAAATTAAAAAAATTTCCAAAAAAAAAATGACACGTGGCAATTTTCAAAACTCAGAAATAATTGATTTCCAGTAGTCTAACATGAGCAATGTTGAAAACAAGCTCAGAAATTTTATGATTAAAAATCCACGTGGAAGAGCAATCCTGAGCAATCCTGAGCAATCCTGAGGCTCAAAAACTTCACATTTTTAGAAATAAGTTTAACCTGAGCAATCCTGAATTTCTGAATATTTTTTAACATGAGCAATAAAAAAATCTAGTACTGTTTTGTCTATTTTGATTGGCCGAATTATTTTAATTAAAAAAACTTATTAACATGAGCAACCCCATAAAAACTTTATTTCTAAAATTTTTCACAAAAAAAAATTTAAAAAAATCAATTTTTTTTCTCCGGCTTCACACACAAATATTCCAAAAGGCATTTTTCGCCCATTTTACAATCCTCATTTTTCTGACAGAAAAATGGATGTTCGGGATCTCGGCAATATTTTGGTGGATTTTGAAGCGTGAGTGGAATTGGAAATTTGAAATCCTCACATGTATGACCTTTCGGGCAGTCTGAGTTTTTCTTGCAGTCTTTGAGAGCTGGAGCTGGAGTTGAGCTAACTTGTTTTGGAGCACCACTTTTTGGAGCAGCAACTTTTTGAAGCCTGGCAGACAAGAATTGGAAGAACTGTTCTCAAACATGGAATTTTGATAGATTTACAGGCTTGACCTTTTGGACATTCCGAATTTCCTATGCAGAATTTTAATGAGCCCACAGTTTGAGCCGAAACTTTTTTTATTTGCTCTTTAGCGTTTCTCCCGCAAGGATCATACGATTTTGGAGCTGGAGTTGAACGAACTTTTTTCTGTTTCGGAGATTGGCAAAATTTGAAAATGGGAAAAGTTTGATTGGAACCTGGCAGTTGGAATTTCGCACAAATCTCGCCTTTTGGACAATCCTTGTTCTTGTCGCAGATTTTGAGGGATTCTGGATTGATTGTTGAATTTTGAGCTGGAATTGATTGTGTGGCGGCAATCAAGAAGACTAGAATTAAAAATGAGCAGATTTTGAACGAAAACATTTTTTTTCGATATGATTTTTGGGGCAAGGGAATTTGGTTTTTATGCAGAATATTTTGTGATTTGCAGAATTTTTGCAGCCCTAATTTGTATTCGTGATTTGCAAGAAATTTGCAGGTCTGAAGAAATTTATCAATTTTTTTCAAAAAAAAATTTGAATCAGGTTTTTGGGCTCTGAAAATCTGACACTTTTCAGAAGTATCTGAATTTTTGGAAAATTTGAAAAAAAAATTTTGCCACGTGGATTCTTGCTTCCTTATCCACGTGAAAAAATTGAAAATTTTCGAAATAAAAAATCCACGTGGCAAAAATCCACCCTGTGGCAAATCTGGAATTTCATCTACCACGTGGCATATTTAAAAAAATTCAGAACTCAAAGGAAAATTTAAAATAGATTTAGGTTAACTTTTGCCACGTGGAATTATTTCCAAAAGAATTCTTGAATTAGAGTTTTTTTTTTGAAAAAAATCTGAAAACTCTTGCAGGATTTTTCAGCTTCGGACTGAAAATTCGGGAATTTCTCAGATTATTCTATCAGATTGAAGTTGAGAGTACTGTAATGCCACGTGGATTTCTGATTTCTGATTCCAATTTTCAGTCCAATTCAAAATTCAAAAAGTGCCACGTGGCAATTGAATTTTAAATTTTCTAAATATTCAGATACTTCTTCAGATTTTCAGAGCCCAAAAAATCTGGTACATTTTTTTGCTAAAAATTTCTTGCAAATAAAAATTAGGGCTGCAAAAATTCTGCAAATCACAAAATATTCTGCATAAAAACCAAATCGATCTCCTCAAAAAATCATATCACAAACCATGTTTTCGCTCAAAATCTGCTCATTTTTAATTCTAGTCTTCTTGATTGCTGGCTCAATTTCAGTTTCAGTCAAAAATTCGACAAAAACTGCGGAATCAAATAGCCTCTGCAAGAAAAACTCGGATTGTCCAAAAGGCGAGATTTGTAGAGGGTTCCAACTTCCAATTTTCAATGAAACACTTCCCATCTTCAAATTTTGCCAAGCTTCAAAAAGTGTGCAAAAACTAAAAGGAGTTGGCTCAACTTTGGTCAAAAATTGCACAAAAACCGAGGATTGTCCAAAAGGTCATTTTTGTGGAAAGTTAAACGGATCCACTTCAAAAGTTTGCCGTAAAGAGAATCCGATTTACTTGCGAGAAAAATGAGAATTGCTTGAAGGGTCATATTTGTGAGAATTCGAACAATCCAATAATCATATTTCATGTTTGTCGAGATCCGAAAAAGAATCCACTCTACTGTAGAAAGGACGAACATTGTTTGAAAGGATTTCATTGTAAAACTTGGATTTTGGGTGGAAAATGTGAGAAAAAATAATTAATTTTTTTAATTTTGTATTGAAAAATAAATATTTTTGTGGGATTTTTTTCGATTTTTTATGCTGGTTCAAAAAAATAAATTTTTCAAGAAAATTACGAAAAAAAAACAGTTTAGCTACAAAAGAACATTTTTCTTACAAATTCCATGTGATTTTTTCATACCTCAACCTTCAAAAAACCAAGTATAACCTGAGCAATCGTGAAAATTATGATCTATAGTAAATTAGGGTGAAAATAAGATTCTGATTCAAATGAATATAATCTGAGCAATGAAAAAAATCTAATTTGAAAATGTTTTGCAGACATTTTTGGGCTTACAAAATCTACAGTAATGCGAATTTGAATTTGAATTTAGCAATCCTGAAATGCAGTGATCTACATCTGGCAATTCTGGTGGGAAAATTTGATCTACTGAGCAATATTGAACATTTGAAATTTGAGATTCAATGATTCTAATCTGAGCAATCGTGAAATCGAATTTTGAAATGAGCAATATCAAAACAACTCAAAAACCCAACCAATTATTTATTAAAGAAATTAAAGAAAACTTAGATTCTTTTGCATTTTTTGAAAATCGGAAGATGCCAATTGGACCTCTGCATTTATATCCTGGCAAACAATCCGCGCTTCTCTTACATGAAGATGGATTTTGTGGTGGATATTGTTGTGGTGGCGGATATTGTGGTGGATATTGTGGGGGTGGAATTGAATCTGGAGGCGGATATTGAGCCGAAACTGAAATTGAGCCGGCAATCAAGAAGACGAGAATCAATGAGCAGATTTTGAACGACAACATGATTTGTGATATGATTTTTTGTGCAGATCGATTCGGTTTTTATGCAGAATATTTTGTGATTTGCATAATTTTTGCAGCCCTAATTTTTATTCGTGATTTGCAAGAAATTTGCAGGTCTGCAGAAATTGATCAATTTTTTTGCAAAAAGGTTTTTGGGCTCTGAAAATCTGACGAAGAATCTGAATTTTTTGAAAATTTAAATTGAATTTTGAATTGGATTGAAATTTCGAATCAGAAATCAAAAATCCACGTGGCAAAAATTCTTCTGGAAACCTAATCACAAAAATGGTTTCAAAATTGTTTTCTTCAAAAACTTGAAGTTCCACGTGGCAAAAATGTGTTCTGAAAAGTCTAATTTTATTGCTCAGGTTAAACTAACTACATTAAACTAAAATTTTTGGAATTGCTCAGATTATCCACCCTACTTAACTTGGTTCAGATTTTTTCTGCATAAAAAATTGCACAATTTTTGCAGACCTGCTTGCAAATCACGAATCAAAAATTAGGGCCGCAAAAATTATGCAAATCACAAAATTTTCTGCATAAAAACCGAATCGATTTGCACAAAAAATCATATCAAAAATCATGTTTTCGCTCAAAATCTGCTCATTTTTAATTCTAGTCTTCTTGATTTCCGGCTCAGTTTCAAATTACTGCTCCAGTTCCAGACAATGTCGAAAAGGATACAAATGTGAAAAGAAGCGTTCATGCTTAGGATCAATTGGTTGGTGCCGCAAAATTGATGAATAAATTTTCTTTTTTCGGAAATTTATGAATAATTTTTTTTATCAGCATAAGTGCCACGTCATAGTTATTTTCAGGATTGCTCAGGTTATTCTTCTATGGTCAAAAACCTAAGGATTGCTCAGATTATATATTTTTAATTCACAAAAATTCAGGATGAACTTTAAACATCTTGGGGTTGCTCAGATTAAATTACTGTAGATTTAGACTTTTCTGGATTGCTCAGGTTATACTACTGTAGATCAAAGATCGTTTTGGATTGTTCAGATTAATTTACTGTAGCTCACACATTTCAGGATTGCTCAGTTTAGTTAACTGTAGATCAAAATCGCCACGTCACAAATTGCTCATATTATACTACTGTAGACCCCCCAAACTAACTATTCTGTCGAACATCTCTCTGCGTCTCCTCGTTTTTCATTGTCTCTTCCTCTTCCTCATCACTATCCAAACTACACTCAACCAAACGACTTTTTTCCTCTTCTTTGGTGTTGGCGGCACTGCAAAATTTTGGTGTGAAAAAGCCACGTGGCAAGGAAAAAATTTGGCGGCGAATGACACCAAACACGGTGTGTTTTGGCGCCAAAACACACCGTGTTTGGTCTCGTTCTGCGCCAAATCTTGCGTAAAATTCAAAAAAAGTTAGCCGAACTCTCTCTCACCCATTCGATTTTGCCACCGGCGGCGGCGCAATCATTCGATCCATCTCGCTCAATTGATCCGTGTCGTCCAACGTGAAAACGTCGGTGTCTTGCGCCAAAACACGTGGCATTCCGCTGGAGCGGATTTGATATTTCGCGTAGCCACCATTGGTGTTTGGTGTTCCAGATGAAGAATTCAATGAGGTACCCGGAACGTTCATGAGATCTGCAAAATTTGGGTACTGTAGATCAAAAAAAATTGAAAAATCAAATATTTCACGGTATTTTACAACCGATTTTTTTCTCAAAATTCAACAAATTTTCAAAAAAATATATATTTCTTAAAAAAATTACAAAATTAAAAAAAAAAATTATTTTGGAAGTTTGAAATGTTTCTTGATCGGTTGCCAATCTTTCCAATAATCCACGTCGATATTTTCGTTTTTGGCGCGATTTGTGATGAAAAGATGGAGAGATGATTCGAACATGAAACTCTGCAACACAAAAAAAATGACTTACAAGGGAACCTTTTTTACTCAACACTTCAAATCATGATGAAATTTGGTCTATGGACAGCTTTTGGGACCATAAGAACACCCTAAAAATTTTAGTCTCCCAATGGACCTCTGAGCCAAGTTCTGGGCTCTCAGAAGTTCGAAAATTGCCAAAATTGGCTCATAAAATACGTCATAACTCAATTCTCAATCAATTTTATGAAAAACTGAGTAGCAGATGATGATCAGCGTGGTCGATTTACCCAAAAAGCATCAATAAATCAAATTTTCAGAAAAATTTTTGATTTTGAAAAAAAGAAGAACGCACATATGATGAATTTTCAGTCAAAAAATTCATGAATTTTCAGCTCAAAAATAAAAAACTTCAAAATTTTTCGAAATAAAATTTTTTATTTATGTACTTTTAGGTAATCGACTATGCTGATCAATATCTGAAACTTCATTTCTCTCAAAAAAAATTTGAAATGGAGCTATGATGACTTTTATGACCATTTTTAGGCCTTTTTTGAGTTTTTGAGAGCCCAGAACTTGGCTCAGAGGTCCATTGGGAGACTAAAATTTTTAGGGTGTTCTTATGGCCCAAAAAGCTGTCCATAAACCAAATTTCATCATGATTTGAAGTGTTGAGTAAAAAAGGTTCCCTTGTAAGCCTAAGGAACTGCCTAAGCCTAAGCCTAAAGCCTGCGCCTGAGTAAATTCCTAAGCCTTAGCCTAAGCCTAATAGGTTTCTAAGCCTAAGCCTTAGCCCAAGCCTAAAATAAATTCTTAAGCATAAGCCTAACATAAGCCTAAGCTAAAAAATGTTACCTTAATTTAGTCTGAACCTAGAGGACCATATTTCTCGACAAACATTGCTCATGTTAAAGACAAGTCAAAATTAATTTTCTAACTCTAGTATCCCTCCTCCGCAAGGCCCTTACCATAGTTCCCTCAGCAACTCGTTGCGGTTTCAATTCCTCATTGCTCGCTTTTTCAAAACACAGTGCATCCGGACCGTGCGGTGTCATAATCGAATGCAAACTTCCGCCACCCGGCCGGAATCCCGTCTCTTTAGCCTCATAACATCCGGCAATCAGACCCATATATTCGCTCATACAATTCCGATGGAAATATGGCGGGCGGAATGTGTTGGTGGCGACTCCCCAGCGGGGTGGGAAAATGACGAAGTCGGCAATGGCTGTGCCGGGTTTGAGAGAGGGAGCGGTGAGGACGGTGAAGATTGAGGGGTCCTGGAAATTTGGGATAATATGAGCAATGTTAAGCTTAGGCTTAGGTAGTTCCTTAGGCTTCTTTAAATTTTTAAGCTTAGGCTTAGGTAGTTCATTAAGCTTCTTTGATTTTTTAAAAGAAGGATGAAAGGTTCCGAAATTAATATGAGCAATGCTTATTTTTATTGTAAAGAACGTAGGATTTTTTTGATTAATATGAGCAATACTATATTTTCTAACAAATTTGTATTTTTCTTTCTGGGAGGTCCTTTTTTTCTCTTAAAAAATTTATTTTCGAAAAAATACATACTGTGCAATACTATGTTTTTCAAGAGTTTAACCTGAGCAATGCTCAAAAAATTCTTCCTTCAACAAAATTTCATTTTCCTTCAGCAAAGTTTAATATGAGCAATGCCCTCTCCTCCTCAAACTGGTAACCTGAGCAACCCCCCCCCGCCCTCAAAACTTACACAATGATCAAAAGACACCGTGTTGATGACCATGAATTTCCGCAAATCATACTTGTATGGACAATAATTCCCGTGCCATCCAACAACATCAAACGGGCTGTGATCCTTCAAAAAAAAATCAATACTAGTTCAATAGAGCGCACTTGCAAAATTTGTACATACCTGAACAGATTTAAACCAATGTCCCTGATATTTGTTCAAGATCTCGAAATTCTCAACATCGACATCTTCAAACCAGGCGACTGGAGTTTGAAAGTCTCGGGGATTGGCAAGACCGTTGGCTCCGATTGGACCGAGGTCGGGGATTTGGAAGTGGGTTCCGTAGACTTCGAGAATGTAGCCGCGAGACTCGCCAGAGACGTTGACCGAGAAACGGATTCCTGGAAAAAAACTATGTGAGCTTGTCTTTAACCTGAGCAATGCTTAGTTAGTAGATGTTTATCATTATTATCCAACATGAGCAATCTAGTCTCTTAGTCTTTAGGGTTAGGCACTTCTTTAGGCTTACAAGGATTTTTTTTGTCTTAGGCTTAGGTAGTTCTTTAGGTTTACGTTTAGACATTATCTTAGGCTTAGGCAGTTCTTTAGGCTTGAGCAATCTATAAGGCTTAGGCACTCCTGAAGACTTAGTACTCTTAAGCTTCGGCTCAGGCTTAGGTGTACCTTTACGTTTAGGCTTAGGCAATCTCTTAGGCTTAGGCAGTTCCTTAGGCTTAGGTTCATACATTTCCTTAGGCTTAAGTTAGGCTTGTCTTAGGCTCAGGTTAGGCTTAGGCTTAGGCCGTCCCTCAGGCTTAGGCAGATCCTTAGGCATTTACTTATTGTTAGGCATAGGCTTAGGCTTAAGCAATTCCTTAGGCTTAGGCAGTTCCTTAGGCATTTACTTATTGTTAGGCATAGGTTTAGGCATTTCTTTAGGCTTAGGTTAGGCTTGTCTTAGGCTCAAGTTTAGGCTTAGGCTTAAGCAATCTCTTAGGCTTAGGCAGTTCCTTGGGCTTCGGTTAATACATTTCCTTAGGCTGAGGTTAGGTTCAGGCTTAGGCAGTTCCTTAGGCTTAGGCTTAGGCAGTTCCCTAGGCTCAGGCTTAGGCAGTTCCTTAGGCTTAGGTTTAGGCTCACCTTGTGGAATAACACAAATCTCCAACGGCTCAACTCTCATCAAGCCAAATTCGGTCTTCACCTCCAACACGCCCTGTTGTGGCACAATCAAATAATCACCATCCGAATTGTAGACCGCCCGATTCTCCATCGACGCATTACACGAATACACGTGGATCTCCAGCCCACTTCTCGCACCAACACTTCCACCTTTGGCCACCGTGTAAATGTTATCAGCAAAATCTTTGCGCTCGTGTTTGGAGGGGAGCGGAAAGGGATTCCAGCGGGTTTGATTGGGTGTTGGTGTTGTGTCGATGGCGAAAACATCTTGGTTGTTCAGTGGAGTGAATGGTGTGTGGATGACGGAGGGACGGATACGGTAGAGCCAACTGCGTTGATTGGTGTGACGTGGCGCGGTGAATGCGGTGCCGGAGAGTTGCTCGGCGTACAGACCGTGCGGGCATTTCTGAAAAAAAAACACACTTTGAAGAAGGGGGGGGGGCGGGGGTTCACACGAAGCCAATTTTCATAGCTGAGTATCAAATGTGATTTGATACGCAGTTAATTCTCTTTGGGTTCGCTGAGTATTCAATGTACAAGTAGGTGAGTAGTCAGTTTTCTTGAAGTTAGCTGAGTATTCAATTTAGATAGCTCAGATACGCAGTCAATTCCCTTATGTTTAACTGAGTATCTAATTTAAATAGGTACGCAGCCAAATCTATTTCAGTGAGCTGAGTATCTAATTTAGCTACGCAGTCAATTTGACAGCGAGTTTTGAGATAATCTTTCCGGATAAAAACCCCGAGAGCTAATTATTTGACTGAGTATCAAATGTACGCAGCCAATTCTCTTAGCTGAGTAATGTAGATAGCTAATATGCTCAACAGTCTCTTTGACTGAGTATCAAATGCAAAAGATACGCAGCCAATATTTTGTTTATAAAAGTTTGCAGAAAAACACAAAGCAGTCAAGATTTTCCCATAAAAAACCCATCCAATCACATTCAAAAGAACACTTGGAAGTTTTTTTTTTTTGAGCAGCCCAGGGGATCTGATATTTAGGCCTAGTACAGGCCTAATACAGGCCTAGGCCTAATACAGAATTAGACCTAGCTATTAAACAAGAGAACAAAGAGTTTCTGTCAAAACCGCGACGCGCACGCGTCGCGGACAAAACAACATTTTTAATTTTGTGTGAAACGTGGCTGCGTTGCGGTCATGCGGCGCGTATTCTGAGAGTATAAGCTTAAACACAGCTACCTACGAATATGAACAGAAATAACCCTAAAGTTTAGGGTGTGTTTAATCCCAAATGTTTAATGCCAAGTTCAAAAATGCTCTTAACAACTTGTTAAGAAGAATTAACCAGGACAGAGCTTAACAACTTTTTTTGTAAAATTAAATTAAACGTTAAGGCATAGCCTTTCAAAGAAACATAGTTAAGACAAGCAGCAAACACGCTCTAATAAACATTCAATGCAATGAAAAAATCTTTATGAATCCACGAATTATCCACAATGTCCCGGTATCATTATCCCATCACTTAAGGAACCTCTACAACGTTGTCCACTTGGGCAATGCGCATTCTCCCAACAAGCATTGGCATATGTTAAGAAGACGACGAGAAGAAGCAAAATGTTGAGTTGGTGCATTTTCGAAACGGAAAATGATAGAAAATGGGTTGAGGAGGATGGTTTTATGGGGGAAAATCTGATTGATTTGATCATAATACTAATCGATGTATTTTGAATTTTCACGAACACAATTTTGTGAAGAGAGGGTTGTGTTGCGGTCATGCGCTGCGTGTTTCACGTTGGCTTAACCATTATTAGGTTAAGCTTGAGCTTAAGCCTTAAGTGAAAGATTAACAAGCCTGGTGTGAAACACGCGACGCATGACCGCAACGCAACACTGCTTACACAAAACTGTGTTCGTGAGAATTCGAAATATGTACATCGATAAGTATTTTGATCGAATCAATTATAGTTTCCCTATAAAACAGCCGTCCTCAACGCATTTTCAATAATTTTCCGATTCGAAAATGCTCCGCTTCAACATTTTGCTTCTTCTCGTCGTCTTCTTGACATATGTCAATGCTTGTGAGTACGATTCGGACTGCCCACCCGGAAAACACTGTAGAGGAGCTAGTCATATATTCCGTGGATATTGTGCATAATCTGTGGTTATAAAGAATTTTTCATTTCATGTTTAGAGTCTTTGATGTTTCGTGATTGAGCATCTCACAATTGCTCCCTGGGTTTAGGTTCAACCATTTTGTGCAGGGAGGGTTGCGTTGCGGTCATGCGTCGCGTGTTCCACGTCAGCTCGCAACCTGCACAAAACTTTTGGAAAAAGTGGAAAGGGGTAGGGGGCTGAAGCTTAGGCTTAGCCATCTCCTTAGGCTTAAACTTGGGCTTAACTATCTCATTAGGTTTAACCATCGTGTTAGGCTCAAGCCTAACTACTTCCTTAGGCTAAGTCTTAGGCTTAGCCACTTCATTAGGTTTAAGCGTAGGCTTAATCACTTTTTTAGGCTTAGGCTCAAGTATTTTGTTAGGTTTTTAGGACCATTTCAAGCTCTATGTGAAAAACCGCGACGCGTGACCGCGTCGCATTCCAAGCCACATCATAATCAAATCAAAAATTTCCCCTACAAAACCCCTCTCCCCTTCGTCCTCTGTCACAAAAATGCATTTCAAAACCATCCTCATACTCATCATGGCTGTGACAAGCTACGCATCTTCCGACGTCTTTCCGCGTACTGCTCCAACTTGTGTCTACGCTCCGGAATGTCCGTCCGGAATGAAGTGTCGTGGGATTTGTACTAATTTAGCAGTTGCTGGTGATGCGGAAAGACTTTTGGGTGAATGAAGAAATGATTGGTTTATTGGTTTCATGACGTGGCGAAAAATTTATTAACGCACAATTCTTCCATAGAGAAGTTCCTGCTCACTGGGATGTCCTCGACAGTATGGCATCTTTGGTGCGAATGGTGCCCAATAAATTTCTCCCGGACGCTTGCAATCCGCAGATTTGCTGCAGCGATTATCGCCGTATTGAGCGACGGCCATTGATTGGAGCAAGAAGAGCGCGAAGAGACTTTTAAAGAACATCATTTTCTCAATCGTGACCAAAATTGAGGCGTGCTATGGGTTTTTAAGGGGTTTTGCACGTTGATTTGATTATTTTTTGCAAACAAATTTGCAAAGTTTTTTTTTTCTGCTAGCTACAGTACTCTTTGCAGTTTGAAATATTGCATTTCAAGTTGGAGCTACAGTACCTCTTGCAGTCCGGAAAATCAATGATCGACAGTTATGTACTCGAAAATTTGCATTCTTGAAGTCTATATTTGATCTACAGTACCCCTTGCAGTTTGAGAAAGTAAATGTTATCCTTTTAATTCCTGTTTTGCAGTCTGGAGAGTTCGAGAAGCTACACAAATGTTTGCAGTTCTACAGTACTGCTTGAAGTCGGGAAAATTTGAAACAGTACCCTTTGCAGTTTGATATTTAAAAAAAGTAGTCTACAGTACCTCAACTTTGCAGTTTAAGCTAGAAGATTAGATCTACAGTACGCCTTGCAGTTCGGAAAATTCGCAAAATTAGAAGGATCTAAACTAGTCCTCGTGAAGAGATATATCTACAGTACTTTTTGCAGTTTGAAAATTCTGATGTATACAGTATCTCTTGCAGTTCGAACACATTTCCCACACTAGTGGTCATAATTCGATCAATTATTAAACATTGCCGCGTGGCTACAGTACTCCTTGCAGTTCGCAAAAATATTCATCCGAATCACAAAAATGCTCTACAAAATATTCCTTCTTTGCTTATTTTCAGCTACAGTTTCAGTCACAGCCAACTTTAATTATCCAATTAAAGTATGCCGAACTGCAGCCGATTGTGAACCCGGATTTCCATTTTGTGTCTCGGTTCAATTGATGTCGTCGTTGAGAATGTGTTCGAAATATTCGAGGGGATAAGTGAGAAAAATAAATCATTTTTTGTGGGCTCTACAGTACTCCTTGCAGTCCGGGAAAAATTTGAAAATTCCGAACCCTTTGCAGTTTGAGTTACAGTAGTAGCCCAATATTCTACTCTACAGTACTCCTTGCAGTTTCGAAAATTCAGAAAATTTGCAGCAGAGACATTAACATTATAATCAGCTACAGTAATCTTGCAGTTCGGAGAACAACTACAGAAAAATTTGAAAAATCCAACAAGAAACCTATACAGTATCCCTTGCAGTTTGGAAAATTCAAGGAATTCTTTGCAGTTTGATCTACAGTACGCCTTGCAGTCCGGTTTTCCGCCCCCCCCCCCCAAACTAACCTGCGGCGAGTTTTGTCCTTCCGGAAGCGCGTCCGGAACACGTGGATCAGCGGAAGCAAATTCGTTGCCAAATCCCGATTGGTAGCGGAGCTGAAAAAATTTGAGAAATTTATTTTGGCTCACGGAGCACACAGAAAAATAATTTGTTTTTTTGTTCAGGAAGAAAAAAATCTCATTTTTCAATTTGGGAATGGGAAAAAATCATGAATAGCAGATTTTTTGGGGGAGCCAGAAATGAAAAATTTGAAATTTTTTGGCGCGAAATTAGAAATTTAAAAATTCTGTGCCAAAACCTTTTGAACCCCCCGCAAAAAATCGAATTTTCCCGGAAAAATCCAATTTCGAACAGAGCCAAATTCAATTTCAAAAAAGTCTTTTCCATCTTTTTTTTCGAAAAAAAAGTAAAAAAAAAATTTTTTTTCAAAAAAATGTCAAATTCAGTGAAATATTAATGAGAAGCAAGCGGAAAATGAGAGAAAAATCGGAAGTTTTTTCGAGTGGAAAATTAATTTTCGCAGAAAAATGACGTTTTTCAAAATTTGCCAAAAAATCTGTGTACTTCTCTCGGAAAAAAACGGCGGGAAAATTTTAAAATTCAAAATTTTCTCCCCAAAAGCCTTCAAAAATTCATTTTCGGCTCTAACCAAACAGAAAAAAAGTGGTGAAAATGAAAAAGAAGAAGCCCAAGCTTCTTCTTTTCTTCAGAATTCCTCCGTCGCGACGAGAGAGTATGGAGAAAGAAGAGAGCGCAGAGCAGAAAGCGAACAAGTGGCGAGAGAGCGGAGAGAGTGCAGAGAAGCAGACGGTGAATGCGTCGATTTATGCTAATTGTACTCCTACTACTACTTTTCTTCCTTTGCGGACCACCCTGGGGAATTTTCTATGCACTCTCTGCGCTCTCCCACTCTCTCGTCTTGTGAGAGAATGAAAATTTTTGTCGCCAAAAATTGGGAAAAACCACTTAAGCTTCTGTTTTCTTTATTTATATATGGAAAAAAAATGGAAAAAATCGTGGAAAAAAGGGATTTTTGGCGGGAAAACTGGAGAGCTATGACGTCACAAAATTTTGGCGGGAAAATTTGAAGATTTGAAATTTGAATTTTCGCGCCAAAAAATTGTTTAAAACTCAATAAGCGGTAAAAAATACAAGATGAAAAAAAAAAACAAATATTTTATCATTTAAAAAAAAGTTTAAATATAATATACGTTTTCCTCTGCTTCTCTAACTAGCTCTCTCCATTTTCCACACTTTCTCACCTACTCTGCTTCTCTAATCTAACCACGCTTGTAATTTTCACTCCTAAACGTGTTTTTCACGTAAAAAATGGGTGAAAAAACAAAAAGTTTGAAAAAACGCTGACAAGTGTGTGGCCGTGGCCTAGAAATCCACTACTTTCCTCGGCCAAATATTTATTTTTTCCATTTTTCCTCGAAACTTTCTTTTTTCTGTTTTTTGGCTGAAAAAGGCTTATTTGAAATGATTTTTTTTGCAGAATGGTTAAAATGAGCAATAAATTGTTGGGGGATGGCGGAGGAATGGCGAAAAAATGGTGAGGATTTGAGTTTTTCTCGAAAAATCTCTAAAATGCGAAAAATCGGTTGAAGCTGTATTTAAACATGATTTTCGCGCCTTATGACGTGTCATTTTTGCCGGCAAAACGCAGAATTCAAATTTTCTACTCCAAAAAAACTCACATTTCCAAAATCAGCTGCCATTTTCGCTTTTTTCCGAAGAAATTAGAAAATTCCTTGTGTTTTTCCTACAAAAAAGGTTAGGTTAGGTTATAAAAAACATAAAAAAATATACACAAAAATAAAACAACACACCGTGATCGTCTTATCTTATCTCCAAAAACACCGTGTATGGTCATTTCGATGAAATTAGATCAAAAAACATATGATAAATGGCACGTGGCAATTGAAAATTTGACAAAAAACCCGAAAATGCCACGTCATAGCTCGAAGAAAAATTTTGAATTTGTAAAAAACAAAAAAAAATTCCAAAAAAAAAAATTCAAAATATTTTTTTTTTCACGTGACACCCCGCAAAAATGCCACATCATTTCAGCCGCCCGAAAAATCCGCAAAAAATTCAGTTTCGATTTCTTCACACTCTTCAAACAGGTAATTTTTCTACAGTACCTCTCCCAAATCTACAGTACCACCCCCCCCCCCCAAATCTACAGTACTCATTTCAGAGTTATTATACTTAAAAAAGTACAAGCAGTTTTTCAAAAGTTGGCTCGAAAAATGTCAAGTTCGTCGTCGTGTGCTAAGCCGGAATTTCAAAGTGGACAAGATGTGTCGGGGTATACGGTAGGTGCTACTGTTCTACAGTAACCCAATTCTATGGGAAAATGGCTACAGAATGAGACCAAATTTGAGGGGGTTACTGTATTTTTCAAGGTCTAAAAGTCAATTATAGCAAATGCGCTCTATTGAGAATTTTGAAAATATTCAAAAAATTCGAATTCTTATTTTTTTTTCTTTAGACTACAGTGACCCGGTCATGTTTGGAGTCATTTTGAAGCTTATCCCTTCTAGATTTCAAATTTCGATTTCAGATCGTCGGAAAACTCGGGTCAGGCGGTTTCGGCGCCGTCTACCACGTCAAAAAAGACGCCCTGCAAGCCGCGCTCAAAACCGAATTCGTCGTCAAAGAATCGTCGCAAACGCTCAAAAACGAGGTGCACATTCTTCGTCTCATGCAATGGTCGCCGCATTTTTGCCGTCTCTACGCCGCCAAACGATTGACGTGGCAAGACCAGAAGGTCAACATAATGGTGATGAGTTTGTGCGGAAGACCGTTGAGTAGATTGAGACGAATGATGCCGCAGAGGCATTTTACGCGCGAAACTGCCGCAAGGCTCAGTTTTATGATTTTGAAGGTGGGATTTTTGAGCTCGCCGTGGTTTTTTGACCCGGAAAAGTGGTTTTTTTTTACCTGGGAACTAACATGAGCAATGTTTTCCCCGGGAAACCTTGAAATTTCTAACATGAGCAATGTTTTCCCCGGCAAACCTTGAAATTTCTAACATGAGCAATGTTTTCCCCGGGAAACCTTGAAATTTCTAACATGAGCAATGTTTTCCCCGGCAAACCTTGAAATTTCTAACATGAGCAATGTTTTCCCCGGGAAACCTTGAAATTTCTAACATGAGCAATGTTTTCCCCGGCAAACCTTGAAATTTCTAACATGAGCAATGTTTTCCCCGGGAAACCTTGAAATTTCTAACATGAGCAATGTTTTTCTACCAATCTCAAGGTCAGGGGATCGATTCCGGGTGCCGGCGAAGATTTTTTTCAATTTTTTTCCTACAAACCCAGCAATATTTGGTGTCATTCGAAAGCCTATGACGTGGCAAAAATGAATTTTGCAGGCTCTCCACGATCTCCATCAAAGTGGAATTCTTCATCGTGACGTCAAAGCGAGCAATTGCGGTTGGCACGAGCCAACTCGCCAAATAATGCTCTTCGACCTCGGCTTTTGCCGCAAATTTTTGGACAAGGATCCGAAGACCGGCAAACTGAAACATCGTGAAGCGCGAAAATCTGCCGGATTCATTGGAACCTCGAAATTTTGCAGTGTTTATGCGCACGACGAGAAGGATCAGGGAAGACGTGATGATTTGTGGGCGTGGCTTTACACGACCGCCGAGTTTTTCTTGGTGCGTTGGGTTTTTGATGAAATTTGGAGCATTTTGAGCCCAAACATGATATATTTTGAGAGAAACTGGGTACTGTAGAAGGTCCCACCACGAAAATTGGTCTCCACGTGGGATTCTGATCATTTTGACACCAAACATGACGTGGTTCTGACGAAATTACGATTTTCGTGGTGGGACCCTTAGTTAAAGGGGGGTACCGTATTTTTAGATGTTTCACAGAAGATAGGCGTGTGAGGTGTCAAAATGCTCCGAATTTTTTGTAGATCACGAATCTGCTCTGGGGTTTTCGCTTTGAGACCCGGAGGTACTGTAGGGGTAACCAAAATCGAGGGGGGTCATCTTTTTTCCCCAAAATTACATAGAAATGTGTTGTGAGGTGTCAAAATGCTCCAAATTTTATGTAGATCACGAATCTGCTCTTGGTTTTCGCTGTGAGACCCAAAAAATTTAGAATACTGTAGGTCTGCCGGAAAACCGAGGGGGGGTCATCTTTTTTTCCAAAAAGACGTAGAAATGTGTTGTGAGGTGTCAAAATGCTCCGAATTTTATGTAGATCACGAATCTGCTCTGGGTTTTCGCTGTGAGACCCTAAAAATTTAGAATACTGTAGGTCTGCCCGAAAACCGAGGGGGGGTCATGTTTTTTCCAAAAATTACATAGAAATGTGTTGCGGGGTGTCAAAATGCTCCAAATTTTATGTAGATCACGAATTTCGCTGTAAGACCCGAGAGGTACTGTAGGAGGTCATGTTTGGTTTCAAAATGCTCCAAATCACCTTGTGAATATTTTTGCAGGGCTCACTTCCATGGTCCAACGAGGACAACAGTCATCTCGTCAGCACTCAAAAGCACAAAATCAGCAACAAACTGTTCCTACGTTGCCCGCGTGAAATCTACACCATCTTCAACCACGTCAAACAGCTCAAATTCGACTCGTGTCCCGATTATCCAATGATGCTCAAAGAGTTTCAAAACATGTTGACACGTCTCCAAATTTTCGACGAGGAGGTTTTCGATTTCGAACCCGGCTCTGCTTATTATGAGCAATACTATGCGAATCGTCAGACTGATTCGGAATGTGAAGATTGTCAAATGTTGACGACGGATTTGGAGACATCGGCATCGACTGGCGAGCAAACGAAAGCCAGTCGAATTGTTGATGTCGATCCGGCACCGGCGTTGAATGAAGTAGTTGGAGCGGGAGCAGGAGCAGGAGCTCAGGAGGCTGTGATCACTTTGAATTCGTCGAAAAGTAGCGAGAAGGATGGAGGAGTTCAGAGATTGGCGGCCGGATTGAATCGCGCTTTTAATCGGATTATTGGAAGTTAGTGGGTTTTGGGGGGGGGGAGGGTTAATATGAGCAATATCTTGAATTTTCCAAAACGATTTTTTAACGTCTCAAATAGTTACTAAATAAGTTTTAGTGCCAACTTAAGGCTGAAAATCAAATTTTCAGACCTCGAAAAATTTTACGAATTTTCCGGTTCAAAAAATCCGAAAATTTTTCCGTTTTCCGGTTTTAAATTTTCCGGCACAGGCTTGATATGAGCAATAGCTTGAATTTTTCCAAAAACCGGAAGAATTTAAAATGAGCAATGGTTTGTTTAGAATGAGCAACTTGAAAGTAGCTAATCTGAGCAATATCTCAAAATTTTCCAGAAACCGGAAGAATTTAAAATGAGCAATGTTTTAACATGAGCAATGAGTATTTTAATTTGAGAAATTTCCAAAAAATGTCTAGTATGAGCAATTTCAGAAATAGCTCAACAAAGTAAACCTGAGCAATTCTTTCAAAAACAAAAAAAAACCTTGAAAACCCTCTAACCTGAGCAATGTTTGATTTTTGCAGATGAATAAATCCTCTCCTGATCTTCTCAAAATTTTGCCCGAAAAACTCGAATTGTCTCTTCAATTTTTTCCTTTCGAAAAAATAAATTTTCTCATTTTCCAAGGCGTATTTTTCTAATCTGAGCAATGCTAAATATTCTCTATTTTTTCAACTAGACTCTAGTTTGACCTTTTTGGCGCCAAAAAATCTGGTTTTTATAGTTTTTGTTGGTAGTAGAATAGGCGATGACCTAAAAAATGTGTGTTTTTTTTTCGGACAGTTTTTTTTGGGGCGGATAAAACTAATCCGTTTTTGCGGCGCAAAAGGATTTCTTGTTTTTGTACGGTTGTTTTTGGCGCGAAAATTTTTGATCTAAAATTGTTTGTGTAAAGTTCAAACCATCATTTTTTTTGTTGTTAGTGTGTCAGAAAATAGATTTTGTACGATTTTTTGATTTTGAAAAAAAATCTGATTTTTTTCCGTGTACTTCTCTTGGACAACAATTTTTTTCAAATTTTTAATTTTGGCGCGAAACAAGTCCTACAGTAACCCAGAAAGGGTCTCGCAACTACTTTTCCTCGGAAAATTCTCGTGTACTTCTCTTGGACAACATTTTTTTCAAATTTTGAAGGAAAAAAAATGTTCCCGCCAAAAATTAATGATTTCATTTAATTAATTGATAACCAGAAGGTCTCCGCCGGCTAACGCCGGCTCCTCCTTCTGGATTGTCCCGGCTTCGCGCGTAGTTTTCTTTAGGTATAAAGCTTTTTAAACGGTCGAGAAGTTAGTTATTAAAAGACACTCTTTGTAAGACTGCAAAACCCACCGGACAAAGAAAAAGTCATGATCTCAGAATCGGCCCAATTTTTTTCTTAGTAAGTCCCATGGGTGGGGAACTTTTTCCACCAGGTTAGAGATCATAATATCGTTTCGCCAATTTGGTGGGACCGGGTGAAGGGGAACTCTGTTTTTCGAAAATTTATCGTAAGTAGGGTTAAAATTCATAATTTTCAATGATCAAAAAAGCATTTTGCTCGTCTTTTGACGCTCTTTCCGATGGAAAAGAGTATAAATTTCGATACTCAATCCTAAAAAAATTTTTTTTTTCGCCCTATATAAACATTGCTCAGGAGTCATTTCCGCTCTTTCTAACCGCTTCCAAAATGTTCCTCGTGCCTTTTTACGTAGATTTGACTACATTCAAAAAAAATTTTCGGGGTCCCTCATCTTCAAAAAATCACGTTTTTACGGTCAAGTCATGTTTTTTGCGCGCGCACACACACAAATTGCCATAAAATAATTGGATGTTTATTGCCCGAGAGGTCCTGGTTCGATTCCTCACCAATGCAAATGTTTTTATTTTTTTTTGTGCATTAGAAAATTACGATAGATAAATCAAAAAAAGGTTCTATCCTAGTATCACGGTCCCAGAATAATATATTGGTCCCAGAATAATATATTGGTCCCAGAATAATATAGAGGTCCCAAAATAATATATTGGTCCGAAAATTATTTTTTTTTCGGAATTTTCACAAAAACTTATATTTTTCAATAGAAATATCAGAATTTTAAATGAACGCTATTTTCCAAATTTCTTCAAGAAATCATTATTACAAAAATAAATGATAATTATTTCCCAATATTGGAAGTCTGAATCATAGTTCTAGAGTAAAAAAACAATTTATAAAGTCTTTGTTGAGTATGTGGATTTTATATTGCAAAAATAACACCAAAAACAGTTCCGACTCGAAGTGTTTTAGTAATTTTAACACTTATTTTGACCGAAATATAGTTTCGTAAATGATTTTTCATTGTTTGACCATTTTTGATCAAATTGACAGCTAAAATGAATTTTTTGTTTCAGAAATAAAATTGAAATGAAAATTCATATTTTTTGAACCAATATTTTCATGGGACCTCTGTATTATTTTGGGACCTCTATATTATTCTGGGACCAATATATTATTCTGGGACCAATATATTATTCTGGGACCGTGATACTAGGATATCACCCAAAAAAAAAGTATTACGCAAGAAAAAACATTGACCTGGTCAAACCACAATGACTGGAGTGAAGTTATGTGAATGCTAGAAGGTTCTGTGAAATTTGGAACCCTTTGAGCAAAAATTGCACTTTTTACATACGACTTAGTTTTTGTTTTTGAAGTTTTATGGAAATGCTGGAAGCTGAAGTTGACAATTTTGACAACATATGTATTGCCTCGAGGTTGGGCGCTGAAAACCCGAAAAAAAAGTGGAAGATCAGTTTTATGAATATATACAAAATCCTGATGGAAGTCATACGTTTGGAGAAGAAGATTACTTCAATTCAAGACAGATAATGTCATATTTTAGTAGATTGAAATCTCAAAGAGAGAAAACTAGATCGTCTAGAAGTGTTCCAACGGAAACCGGAGAAGAAAACGATGATGATGATGAAGACATGTATTCTCATGATTTTGAAGTCAAATATGAGACAATTTTCGATCAACTTGATAGCACAGTGAGAGATATAGTTAATTGGTACAAGGATGAATTTTTTATTGACGAAAATGAGCCGGAAGCTAAAAAAAACCTGAATAGGATTCTTCATAAATTGGGCAGTAATCTTTTCTGTGCCCCCTTTTTACTCTACCGCGTTCTCTGTTTTTCTACCCTTTTGTGTAATCATTTGAATATAAAATCTTAATTGAAATTACATACATTTTCAGATGACATTATAACCTAAAATTTAAACTTATTTCACAATTTCCAGACAGAAAATAAAAAAAATAAAAACATTCGCATTGGTGAGGAATCGAACCAGGACCTCTCGGGCAATAAACATCCAATTATTTTATGGCAATTTGTGCGCGCGGCGCGCGCAAAAAACATGAATTGACCGTAAAAACGTGATTTTTTGAAGATGAGGGACCCCGAAAAATTTCTTTTAATGTAGTCAAATCTACGTAAAAAGGCACGAGGAACATTTTGGAAGCGGTTAGAAAGAGCGGAAATGACTCCTGAGCAAAGTTTATATAGGGCGAAAAAAAAAATTTTTTTAGGATTGAGTATCGAAATTTATACTCTTTTCCATCGGAAAGAGCGTCAAAAGACGAGCAAAATGCTTTTTTGATCATTGAAAATTATGAATTTTAACCCTACTTACGATAAATTTTCGAAAAACAGAGTTCCCCTTCACCCGGTCCCACCAAACTGGCGAAACGATATTATGATCTCTAACCTGGTGGAAAAAGTTCCCCACCCATGGGACTTACTAAGAAAAAAAATTGGGCCGATTCTGAGATCATGACTTTTTTGTCCGAGCCTCTGTTGTAAAGTTTACGTTTTTACAAATAATGTCTTTTAAATGAATTTTGACCCAAAACTTCGGAATTTTTGTTCACACTTTTGAATAACTATAAATACAGTCTCGGGTAACGCGAATCGAGGGTATTTGCGGAAAAAACTCAAAAATAGATGCCGATCCAAAATGTATAAAAAATTAAGTTTTGCTTGATATTTTTACTTCGGTATGCAAATTTGTATTTTTATGTGGCTCTGTTCGGAAATAAAGGGGTTTAGAGAAAATGAAGTGGTTTTCCGAAAATAAAGGGTTTTACAGAGAATAAAGGGTTTTTCAAGAAAAAATGGTTTTAAGAGCCCGAAAAAGTAAAAAGAACTCTCCAATAATAAGTCCAAAAGTTAGTCAATTTTATCAACTATCTATTATCTGACTGAAATTTCATGACTCGATGTGGATCTCTAGTTTACAGGACCTCACTAAGCCTAAGCTTTGAATGCTAGGAAAGCTTTAAAAATTCAATTTTTATGTTTGTGCAAATCTGGAATAAAGACTTAGGCTTAGTAAAGTCCCAATAGACAACAATCACTTTTCTTTTTTCATATATTTTTACCCCTATAAAACCTTTTTGTTTTTCTAAAACCCTTTATTTTCTGAAAAACCCTTTATTTTCTGAAAAACCCTTTATTTTCTGAAAAACCCTTTATTTTCTCTAAAACCCTTTATTTCCGAACAGAGCCAGATATTTTACTCCAAAAGTAACCTATCGAGTTCCTAGCTTTTTACGGCACTGAAGATGTCAAATTTTCGAAATTCAAAATTCGAGTTCAAAACATACTTCTTCGAAAACTGCCCTATTTTCTAGACACCTCTTTTTCCTGTTCAGAGCCGATTGTTTTCTTTCGAATTTCAAATAACAAAAGTAAAGAAACTACGGAATTTTTAAACTATTTTTATATAAGAAGTTTTCAGAAAACAAAGAGGTGTTTTGATTTTTTGAAGCCTGAAATCCTATGCAAAAGTTGTCTTCAGAAATATTAAAGGTTCAGATTTGTGAACTGGATTAGAAGAAGGCTTACATTAGATTTAATGAAACATAAAAATTGAATATCTAATTGTATGAAGTTTTCAAAACCTCTCTTGTCAAAACCCTCTTTCTGAAAACTCTGTGTGTATTCCAAAAACCTTTCTTTCGATCGATAACCCCGATTGGTCTCTATAACCCTTTTTTTCTATTCAAATTCAAACATTCTACGTCTGAAAAGGCTAATAACTTCAACATTTCCAACGAATCAAATCTGGAGAGCTCAGAAAAACAGAGCTGATATATTCGAACTCTCAAACACACCAAACTCACTATCAAAAATTCACATCAAAGTCTTTGTTTTTGTTATTGTAAAAGACATTATTCAATATCTGAAAGTTGGAACAAATTATGAATTTATCCACAGTAATCTAACTCACTTTTTTTCTATTTTTTTCAAACCGATTAGGAATAGAGTAACAGCGAGAAATGATTAAAAATGTCCCCCCTCTATGAATGAAATAGAAAGATCAGATAAGAGACGTGACCTAGCCATTTTTTCCGATTAAAAACGTGATCATTCTTTTCTACACGGAAAAAGTTTTGATTTTTCACGTGAAAACTTGCGCACTTTTGAAATATTTCGAATATCGTGCATCATCTACGAAAAATTTGGAACACGTTGGTCCACGTCTCATTCAAAACGGTCTTCTAGAAATTGAGTTACGGTCAGCGACACATTTTTATATTCAAAAATACATTGAATTTCAGGAGTTTTTTCAGTTAAAGACACGTAGAAAACTAGAAATCGTTTGAAAAGCATTATTTGCATGTTTCTTATCATCCTTCAAATAGTGGAAGTACATAAACAAAATTGAAAAATATTGAGTTTAGCGAAAGTCAAAAAAAGAAAAAACCTTTTTGAAATCGCTCAGCCGACGCAAAATTTGGTGTTTGCACAAATGTCCGTTATTTGCCGCACATGTGTGCATTCTTAGCATACCGTACCACCACTTTTTATTCGTTTTTTCTTTTTTCAAACGAACAACACACAATTTTTGAAAAAAGGCGCGCGTTCAAATTTTGAAGATTACGAACACACATTTCTAGTTTTCTACGTGTCTTTAAAACTTTCTCCGCGCACTACATAAACTTATTTTTTAACTTGGTAGAGCTCCCCACCATGCTGCCAAAATTTGGAATCTTTTCATTTTTTAACCAAAATTTTTCATGCAGTGGGCATTGAAAACGGGCTCCGGACATACGCACTTCTTAAAAAGCAGTTTCCAATTAGTATATAGTAGATGATCATCTCTTGTCCGGGGCAAATCAGCCACGAAAAATAGCATGGGATTTGAGGAGAGTGCAGGCAGAGAGATGAAAAAAATGCAGAGAAAAAATTGGGGACATGTGAGAAGAGAGATATTGTTTATATCTTTCTCACTGCGATTTCTGACTCACCTTTTTGTTCATTTTTTGTTATGTAAAAAGTTCGGCGAAGTTCAAAATGCGGCCAGTTTTTTTCTGTTTGTTTACTAGTTAGTTCTCCAAAAAATTGTATAAAAATGAAAGTTTTTGCGAAAAATTTGCGAGAATTTGTGATTTTTTGAGCCCTCACATGACTATAAAAAATTTTTCGAAGATTTTTTATGGTTCCCATGAGCAAAACCCAAAATTTTCTGAAATTTTCTGAAATTTTCCAGTAGATTTGGATTGCTCATGTTATTCCGAGCATTTTGACACCCAACATGACATATTTTGGAGCGAAACTACGGTTTTCGTGGTGGGACCCGTTTAAAGGGGGGGTACCTAATTTTTGAATATTCAATAAAAGTAGGCATGTTGGGTGTCAAAATTTCTGGAATTTTGCGTAGATTACAAATCCAACTTTCAAAAATTTAGAAAATCCAGGCGAGACCCGACTTGGATTACTGTAGGGTCCCACCACGAAAATTATTGGAATTGTTTAAAACATAGCGTGTTTATACTCAAACTGACGGAAATTCTATGAGGAATCTCGAAAAAATATGTGCTACTAATGGAAATCCACGTGGGACCCAATTTGGATTACTGTAGGGTTCCAAAACTTGAAATTCTTCAAAATATATCATGTTTATACTCAAACGGATCCAAATTTCCCAAGGAATTCGAAAATTCTGAATTTTCAGATGATTTCAGCCAAAATTCCCCTTCCCACTCAAAAAAAATTTTCAAAAATTCCCGGGAAAACGCGCAATCAAGCGCGCGTTGTGTTGTTATGTGTCCAAAAACAACCTTGAAATCTCGATGTCATAATTATTTCTCTTCACTTTTTTCCTTCTTTTTCTCTGACCACAGGAGATTTTGTGAAAAGAAGACGAAAAACTAATACTATTTTTTTTTGGTTGTTGCTAGTTTTGTATTTGAATTTGGTTTTGTGGGAAAAACCTGTTGATCGTCGTTTTTTCGAGGGGAAATTTGGGATTTTTTGGAGATTTTTTGGAATTTTGAAAAATCCTAGCTACAAAAAATGCGTCAGCAAAATTCTGAGCTTCTAGAAATGCGTCAGCGAAATTTACAGCTTCGAGGAAAGCGTCAGCAAAATTCTGGGCTTTTAGAAATGCGTCAGCAATTTACCTAGCTACGAGAAATGCGTCAGCAAAAATCCTAGGCTACTAGAAATGCGTCAGCAAAACCCTAGGCTACTAGCAATGCGTCAGCAAAATTCTGGGCTTCTAGAAATGCGTCAGGAAAATTCTGGGCTACTAGAAACGCGTCAGCAAAAACCTAGGCTACTAGAAATGCGTCAGCAACTTACTTAGCTACGAGAAATGCGTCAGCGAATTCCCCAATTTTTCTCTGCGTCTCTCATTTTCTCGCACTCTCTAACTCTCAACTTCCAGAATGAAACTTCTCATTCTCACCACATTTTTTGTGGTTTGGCGGGTTCCCGCCACGAATTGCCAACCACCAACTACAGTAACCCAACAACAACAATCCACGTCATCATCTTCAACTACACCGGCTCCTGAGTGAGTTTTTTTGGGGGGGGGGGGGCCAAAAAAAAACTAGAAGATTCTGTCCAGTTTTCACTTGTGTAGTGAACCTAATTAAGAAAAGACGGGATTTTTTAATTGGGTTTTGACATACTTTTTTTTCTCTGCGTCTCTCACTCTCTCGCAATTTTTGGCGCGAAAAAACGTGAAACGTGAAAAATTTTCATTTTTCAAATTTTTTTTAATAGATTTTTTGAAATTTGAATTTTTGGCGCCAAAAAAATTATATTCAAATTTTACTGTGGATTTTAAGATTGCTCATTTTAGCCTAAATCTGAAGGAAAATTTTGGGAATATGATTGCTCATATTAGGCTCGAAAATCCGGGGAAGATTGCTCATATTAAAAACCCTTTGAGAGGGATTGCTCATATTAGGAAATTTTTGGCAACGATTGCTCATTCTAAGCATAGAAAATGCTTGCTCATATTAAAAAAATAATACGTGAAGATTGCTCATATTAAGAACATTTAGGAATTAAGAACATTTAGCATTGCTCAGGTTAAACCACATCAGGCAAATATTGCTCATATTAGCCTAAATCCAAGGGAAACATTTGGCAAAGATTGCTCATTCTAAGCATAGAAAATGATTGCTCATATCAAAAAATTTAGAAAATATTGCTCAAGAATATTTAGGAAGCAATGCTCAGGTTAAAATACCTCAGGGAAACATTGCTCATATTAAAAACATTCAGGAGGCATTGCTCAGGTTAAAAAATTTCAGTGAAAGATTGCTCATATTAAGCAACTCTTCCTCAAACATTGCTCATATTGAAAACATTCAGAAAGCATTGCTCAGGTTAAAACACCTCAGGGAAACATTGCTCATATGAATCCAATATTTCCAGGCCGCCCATCTACCTGCTCGTTTCTCCATCCGTCTTCCGACCCTCTCAAAACTACACAGTCTCTATGAATATTCTGCGCCGTCCCACCGCTCCCGGCGACGAATTTCTGGTGCGCCTTTCGATTGTGAATCGCGCCAACGACACGTTCGCCGGTCGTGTATTTCACGAGAAGAACATCGAGTTGGCACGCGCTCAAATCATCGATCTGACCCCACCGGATGATGCGATCTTCGATCCCACCGATGGATATCGATTGATGTTTCAGATTGAGAATGTTAACGGGGATGTGTTGTGTGCGGATAGGCATGATTTGCGGTTCGATTCGAAGGCGCTGTCGATTTTTGTGCAGACTGATCGAGCTGTTTATCGACCGGCTGCGTTGGGTGAGCAATTTTGGAGCATTTTGACACCCCACAAGCCTATTTTTGAAAAAGGAACCCGCTCTGTAGACTTTGCCACGTGGATTTTTGAAATTATCATTAGCTTCATCGCATTCCACGTGAAATTTGGAGCATTTTGACACCACACAAGCCTATTTTCAGAAAAAAATTAGAGAAAGGCTACCCCCCCCCCGGTCACTAAAACCTAAGGGGGTACTGTAGTCTTTGCCACGTGGATTTTTGAAATTATGATCAGCTTCATCGCTTTCCACGTGAAATTTGGAGCATTTTGACACCCCACAAGGATATTTTCAGAAAAAAATTAGAAAAAAGGTACCCCCCCCCCCATATAGATTTTGCTAGAATTCACGTGGAACTTTGAAAATTCATGCTGCTCTCAATTATTTGTGAAATTCGTGATCTTTATAAAATTTGGAGCATTTCGACACCCCACAAGGATATTTTCGAAAAAAGTACCCCCCCCTCCTTATGGGTCCCGCCACGAAAACCGTATCAAAATGACCCGCGAAACGAGGAGAATTCAAAAAATTTTCCAGTGCAATACCGTGCAATTCTTCTACGATCCGATCTCAAACCCTACAACGACACAGCAACCATAAAAGTTTACGATCCGAATGGTAACCTCATTTCACAAATCATCGATGCTAATCTCACCAAAGGTACGGTATTTTCAAAGTTTAGTATGAGCAATGGGGATTTTTTTGAAAAATTTTGTTTTAATTTTAATTTTTAAAATTTTTTTTTAAATTTTTTTTGAATTAAATTAAAAAAATTTTTTTTTTAATATGAGCAATGCTTTTTTGCAGGAGTCTACAGTGGAAAACTGCAATTGGCCGATGAATGTTTGTTGGGAGATTGGCGGATTACTGTAGACGCGAAACGTAATGGACAACAGGAGGGCAGTTTTACAGGTGAGCAAGACATTTTTTGGCTCCAAAAAATTGTCTGCCACGTGGCAAACAAGTTTTTCCCGCCGCGAATTTTCAAAAATTCAAATTTTTTCTGGAATTTTGATCTCTAATTGCAGTTGGCTAGACTATAGTTTAGTTTTGCAGATCCATAAAAATCTAGTGTAACTAGACTATAGTTTTATTGGCAAAATTCACCAAAAATCTATAGTTTTGCTTTGTACAGACTAGACTATAGTCTTGCTTTGATTCAAAAAGTAGTCTATGACGTGGCAAATTCACCAAAAATCAATAGTGCTGTTTTGTATAAACTAGACTATAGTTTTGCTTTGTACAGACTAAACTATAGTCTTGCTCAGAATCAAAATGTAGCCGATGACGTGGCAAATCCACCAAAAATATATGTATAGTGTAGTTTTGTATAAACTAGACTATAGTTTTGCTTCAAATAAACTAGACTGTAGTCTTGTTTAGTATCAAAATATAGCCTATGACGTGGCAAACCACCTCAACCCCATACTTTTTTCAGTCGATCAATACATCCTGCCAAAATTCGACGTGCAAATCAAAACGCCCAGCTTCATCACAGTCAATCAAAATCTGTCGGTTCTCGTCTCAGCCAAATACACATATGGAAAAGGTGTGTCGGGAAAAGCCAAAGTCTCACTTCAACTCCCGTGGCATCAATGGCATATGGTCGAACAGCAGCCGGTTTTGGTGGATTCCTCAAATGGTGGTGCGACAACTGAGGGTGGCGAAAAAGCGGTGCAGATTTTGGAGAGAACACTGAAATTGAATCGAGCCGGCGAGGCGACTTTCGATTTTTATAATAGCGAACTGAAGGCGCATAATTTGTTGCAGGTGAGTATTTTGAGTACAAATATGACTATTTTTTGTTGAAATTCGGTTTTTTCGGGTAATTTGGAGCATTTTGATACCTCACGAGCCTACTTTCAATTTACTTTAGGGGTCCCACAGCGAAAAACTTTGAAAATTCAAATTTAAGTTTTTCGCGGGTACAGTATTTCACAGAACTAACCTATGTGCCTTTAAAATTACACTATATCTAAAATGAGCAATGTTTGGCTCTCAAAATGCTCCAAATTGACCTATGCGTCTTTCTGAATTATCAAACTAGACTATAGGCTTGCTTAGATTCGAAATATAGCTTGTGACATGTGAACTAGACTATAGTCATAGTTTGGTATCAAAATATACCTGGCAAATCCACCAAAAATAAAGTGAACTAGACTATAGTCTTGCTTAGATTCGAAATATAGCTTGCTGCGTGTGAACTAGACTATAGTCATATTTGGTATCAAAATATAGGTTACGACGTGGCGAATCCACCAAATCTCTTAATTAAACTAGACTATAGTCTGAATTTGCAGGAATACTTCAGCTCGATCCGCATCATTGCCAGCGTCACCGAAGACATCACCGAAATCGAGCGAAACGCCACTCACACTCTCTCAACATACCGTGACGAAGTGAAACTTATCACCGAAAAACAAGGCGACACTTTCAAACCGGGTCTCCAATACAACGTGGCAATCCTCTTGCGCAAAATGGACGACAATCCGCTTGACGCAACGCTCCCCAAACGCGTACAAATCACCACATTCTACAATTACCCGTATAATCATGAGACCGCCCAAATTCACGAGGAAAAAGAGACGAAAATTGTGGAAGTTGATGCGCATGCCACAACTCAACTTACACTAAATCCACCAATTAATTGTACGAGCCTGAGAATTGAGGCACTCTATGATATCTCGGGTCAGGATAATTTCACCAATACACCCATCTTCACGTCACTCTATGTTGATGCTGCCGTCTCGCCGAGTGCCACATTCTTGCAATTGATTTCGGATAAAGAGGGACCGGTGGAAGTGGGAAAGACGTTGAGTTTTACGGTTAAAAGTACCAAGGAATTGAGTGTTTATAATTATCAGGTGAGAGAGATTTTGAGTTTTGACACGTTAAACACACAAATCGCGACGAGACCCAACAAAAAACAACATGTTCCTTTAAGATACTGTAGAATTTCGCAGCGGGACCAATTTACAGTAATGCAAAAGGTCAAAGGAACATGCTATTTTCCGTCGGGTCTCGTCGCAATTTTTATATCGTGTTCCTTTAAGATACTGTAGAATTTCGCAGCGGGACCAATTTACAGTAATTAAAGGAACATGCTGTTTTTCGTTGGGTCTTGTTGCAATTTGTATGTTCAGAGATTTTCAACAAAATTTGCATTTGCGCTCTACTGAACTATAATTTTTGAGCTAAAATACTTAGGGTATTTTTAGCTAGAGAACTTGAAACCTCGCAAATTTTTGCATTCGCGCTCTATTGAACTAATTGTTTTATAATGGAAAATTTGAAAAATTGATTCAACAGAAGGTTGCATTTACGCTCTACCGAAATATTGACTTTAAACTAAAAAAACTCAAATTCTCAAGAGAAGTTGCATTTGCGCTCTATTCAACTATTGATTTTTCAATTAAAAAAACCCCCAAATGCGCTCCATTGACAAAAATCCATCTAACGTCGTTTCCAGGTGATGAGTCGCTCAAAAATCGTGGCAGCCGCCCAACACACACCCTCGCCACCCACCACAACAACCACCATCACATTCACAGCCACACCCGAAATGGCGCCCAAATCTCGCCTTGTCGTCTACGCGATTGGCGAAGATTCGCGCGAAGTTCTGGTGGATGCGTTGGATTTCGAGGTGGACGGTGTCTATCAGAATGACGTGCAATTGACCATTGATCACACTGAGGCTCTACCAAAAACGATGGTTAATGTGAAGGTTTGTCGGACGTGGAATTTGACGCATTTTGATACCAAACATGCGATTTTTCTGACTATTTAGAGGATTTCGGCGTTTTGTTGCTCATTTTAACCATTCTGCAAGAAAAATCATTTCAAATAACCCATTTTCAGTCAAAAATGAACATTTCGAAAAAAAACAAAAAAAAACAAATTTGTCCGAGAGAAGTACACGGGGTGTGTGGATTTCTAGGCCACGGCCAGCAAATTTCTCATTTTTTTTTTTTCAAAATGTCTGTTTTTTCACGCAAAAATTTTCAGGTGACAGCCGATAAAGATTCATTTGTGGGTCTGTTAGCCGTGGATCAAAGTGTGCTGTTGCTGAAGTCTGGAAATGATTTGACTCGCGAAAAAGTCGAGCTGGATCTGGAGAATTTCGATAGTATTTTGGGCGGTGGATTTGGTGGCAGGAATTGGGAGGGAATTGTTGAGAGAAGAAGACGGAGAAGAAGAAGCTTTTTCCGACCAATGTGGGGAATTAGTGGAAATGATGCGGAGAGTGTTTTTTCGGTGAGTGATTTTCTGAAATTCGAGATTTTCAGCCTGAAAATAGTTTAATATTTTTTTTTGCAGAATGCTGGAATGATTGTGCTCACCGACGCTCTACTGTACAGAGAAGGTGAGTATAACCTAAGCCTAGCCTAAGCCTAATCTAAGCCTACCCTAAGCCTAACCTGATCCTAGCCTAAGCCTAACCTTAGCCTAGCCTAAGCCTAACCTGATCCTAGCCCAAGCCTATCCCAAGCCTAATCTGAGCCCAACCTAAGCTTAACCTGAGCCTAGCCTAAGCCTACCCTAAGCCTAACCTGAGCCTAGCCTAACCTAACCTAACGCTAGACTAGGCCTAACCTAAGCCTAGCCTAAGCCTAGATTAGGCCTAACCTTAGCCTAGCCTAGGCCTAACCTGAGCCTAAGCCTAGCCCAAGCCTAACCTAAACCTAGCCCAAGCCTAACCTAAGCCCCCTAAGCCTCACCTAAGCCTAGCCTAAGCCTAAGCCTAAGCCTAACCTAAGCCCCCTAAGCCCCCAATCCTCCCAAAAAAAATTATTTCAGAGCAACCCATCGCGTTGCGAACACCTGGCGGAATTCTCAGCGACAGCATAATGCTCGAAGCAGCCGCCATGCCCACCAACAAAATCGGCGCATCCGGAAACGCTCCGCAAATCCGCCGCTTCTTCCCGCACACCTGGATTTGGCACGACTCGGAGACCGGCGAAATCGCACTCAATCTTCCGGCTCCCGACACAATCACCACGTGGATCGCCACCGCGTTCGCCGTCAACGCGGAAACCGGATTGGGAATTGCGGCGCAGCCGGTGAAATTGAAAACCTATCAGGATTTTTTCATTCGGCTGAGTCTACCGTACTCGGTGAAACGTGGCGAGAAATTTGCGCTTCTCGTGCAACTTTTCAACTATGAGGAGAAGGAGGTGGATATTACGGTAACTTTGGAGTACGATGCGATGAGCGGATTCGATTTGTTGAGGAAGGATGGAACTGTCGTGAAGCGGTAGGTGGATTTTCAAAGAGCCCGGGAAATTCGGAGCATTTTGACACCCAACATGATATATTTTAAGGGGGGGGGGTGTCACGTGGATTTTCGAGCTTTCTCAAGCTAACTATGATTTTCCACGTGGAATTTGACGCATTTAGACACCTCACATGGTCCTAAATTACGGTTTTCGTGGTGGGACCCTATACAGTACCCAGGGGGGATACACTTTTTTTCAAAATTTCAGTTGAATATAGGCTTGTGAGGTGTCAAAGTGACCGGGATTCTGAAAATTCACGTGGCGCTTTCCCAAAAATAATTGCCACGTGGCATTTTCCAAGGGGGATACACTTTTTTCAAAATTTTAGTAAAATGTAGGCTTGTGAGATGTCAAAGTAACCGGGATTCTGAAAATCCACGTGGCATTTTCCAAGGGGGGGGTCACATTATTTTTTAAATTTATCCGAAATACCTCTTGTGGGGTGTCGAAATGACCAGAATTCCACGGGGATTCTGAAAATCCACGTGGAAATTTCCGAAGAACAATTCCCACGTGGTTTTTTCAGTAAGGGGGGGGGGTCACACTTATTTTTAACTTTATCCGAAATATCTTATGTGAGGTATCAAAATGACTGGAATTCTACGGGAATTCTGAAAATCCACGTGGAAATTTCCGAAAAAAAATTGCCACGTGGCATTTTTTCAGTGAGGGGGGTCACATTTTCAAACTTTATCCGAAATACCTCTTGTGGGGTGTCAAAATGAGCGAAATTCTACGGGGATTCTGAAAATCCACGTGGCGCTTTCCCAATAATAATTGCCACGTGGCATTTTCCAAGCGGGGGGGGGGGGTCACACTATTTTTTAGCGTTATCCAAACTATCTCGTGTGAGGTGTCAAAATGATCAGAATTGCACGGGGATTCTGAAAATCCACGTGGCGTTTTCCCAAAAAGAATTGCCACGTGGATTTTTGCGAAGGGGGGGGGGTCCCATTATTTTTTAAATTTATCCGAAATACCTTGTGTGAGGTGTCAAAATGATCAGAATTGCACGGGGATTCTGAAAATCCACGTGGCGCTTTCCCAAAAAGAATTGCCACGTGGCATTTTCCAAAGGGGGGGGGTCACACTTTTTTCAAAATTTCAGTAAAATATAGGCTTGTGAGGTATCAAAATGACCAGAATTCCACGGGGAAAATCCACGTGGCAAGCAATCTACGAAAATTCCAAAATTCAATTTTTGCAGAGACGAATTGGTGCAGGAGAATATTCGAGTAGTGAGTGTAGCCGGTTCGGGAGCCACAAAACCCGTCTACTTCCCAATTGTGCCCTCGCAAATCGGCGAAATCAACATCACAATCGCCGCGATTTCCGCAGACGGCAAAATCGGTGATGCGGTTTCAGAAGTGCTACGCGTTGAGCCGCAAGGCTACAAGGTTTCTCGCAATATTCCATTTATCATTGATTTATCCACCCAAAATTCAACCACAACTAATTTTGATCTACCACCAGTCCTCACCAAGTCTTTAGAATGGCCAAGTGATTTGGTGGATGCGTCGGAAAAGGCCCGAATTGAAATAATTGGAGATATCATGGGTCCGTTGATGGATCGTGTTGGTGATTTGGTTGAAATGCCCTATGGTTGTGGAGAGCAGAACATGCTCAATTTGGTGCCGAATATTTTGGTGTTGAAGTATTTGGAAGAGACGAAACGGAGTAAACCGGAACTTGAGGCGAAGGCCAAGAGATATATTGAAGCGGGTGTGCAGAGGGAATTGACTTTTAGGTGAGTTCACTTTTTGAGTCATGGAATTTGGAGCATTTTGAGATCTCATAGGCTTATAGGCCATTTTTTGTAAGAAAACATTTCGCATGTTAAAAATTTTTTAAATTTAATTATAGTCTGGATTGCTCAGGTTAAACTTACCATGAAAATTTAATTATTTGAATATTTAAATATTGCTCATGTTTACTTAAAGTCAAAGTTTGCAGAGTAAAGAATTTTCAGGTTCCGATTCTGAACTAAAAAATCCACGTGTCAAGAAATTTCTGAAACTTTTTGAGATTTTCAGTCAAACACGGCCATACAAGGCGCCCGTTGAGTCAGACGCGAGACGACGAGAGTATGATGACGTCATTAGACTCTCGTCGTCTCTCGTCTGACCCGACGGGCAATTGGAGTAAATGGTCGTGCAAAAAGACTAGAAACCCGTGTTTGTACTCAAAATGCTCCAAATTCAGCTCCTGAAAATTCTTATTTTCCAGACATGACTCCGACAAATCGTTTTCCGCATTCGGAAACGCGGACCCAAAAGGTTCGACATGGCTAACCGCATTCGTCATCCGCGCCTTCAATCACGCCAAACCCTACACGTTCATCGATGAAAAAATCATCCACGACGCAATTTCGTGGCTCAACTCCGAGCAAATGGAAAGCGGCGCATTCGCCGAACACGGCGAGGTCCATCACAAAGATATGCAAGGCGGTGCGCAAGCCGGCGGAATTACCCTAACCGCCTACGTCACAATCGCAATGTTGGAGAATGGTGTGCGGAATGCGCAAGCGTTGCGGTTCCTCGAGAAACACTTCGCGGAAGCGGAACATAATGCGTATGCGTTGAGTATCATTTGCTATGCGCTGAAATTGGCCGGAAGTGAACAGTTTGAAGCAGCTTGGGAGATGTTGGAGAAGCAGAAGCGGGAGGAAAAGGGAACGTTGAGATTTGGAGCGGTTTCGAATGGTGGTGGAAGTGTGGTGAAGGGATATAGCTTTCAGGTTGGTTTGGGGGGAGGGGGGGAGCATTTTGATATGAAATATGAGGGGAGGTTAGACAGCTAGAGAACATGAGACAAGTTAGAGATGCAGAGACACGACCATTTACTCCAATTGCCCCTCGGGTCAGACGAGAGACAACGGGATTCGAGATATTTTCGAGAAAATACGTGTCCCTTTGAAAAAATACCGTATTTTGTTTCAAGGAACACACGTGTTTTATTGAAAATATCTCGAAGCGAAATTCATTTTCGGGATATTTTTGCAAAATACTCTCGTCGTCTCGCGTCTGACTCAACGGGCGTCTTGTATGGTCGTGAAGAGAAGCCATACAACTAGAGAGCATAAGGGAGTCAGAGACTCAGAGGTGGCAGGCAGCCAGAGAGCATAAGTAAGTCAGAGACTCAGAGATGGTAGGCGGCTCGATGAAAGATAACGTTAGAGATTTAGAGATGTCAGACAGCTAGATGAAAGAAAGACGTTAGAGATTTAGAGATGCAGAGAAACTAGAGATCACGAGTGAGTTAGAGACGCAGAGAAGTTAGAAAGCTAGACATTTGAAGAGCACTATACGATCAAAGAGTTAGAGTGTCAGAGAAATCAGCTAGAGAGCATGCAAATGTGAGAGACGCAGAGAAAAAATCTATATTTTGTTCCAGGCTCGACCGGTCGACATCGAAACCACCTCCTACGCCCTACTCTCACTCCTCGACTCGTCTCCCTCGCCTCTCCCAAATGACTCATTGGCCCTAGTCCGCTGGCTCATCTCCCAACGAAACGCTCTCGGTGGATTTAGCTCAACTCAAGATACCGTAGTCGCGCTGCAAGCTCTCGCCAAATACGGTGCTCTAACATATCCGGGCCCGCGCGACGACTCCACAGTACCCCTGGTTACAGAACTGCAAATTCTGAATGGTAAAAACGCGACCGGCTTCTGGATCTCACCGGAAAATGCGACGGTCTTGCAATCGGCGCCGATTTTGAACATCAGGGAACCGATTTCGATCAACCTGGTCGAGAATTCGAATTCGACCAACTCGGCAGGTGTGCTCTTTGGTCAACTGGTTTATAGTTATTATCGAGAGACGTTGAATAGTGATGCGCCGTTCTTCTGCAGTCAGGAGATCAAGGAATTGCGGGCCGGCAATCGATTGCAGTTGGATTTGTGTTGCAAGTAGGTTTTTTGTCAGAGTCTGCGTGGAATTTGGAGCATTTTGACACCCCACATTGTGTACTTATCCTATTTTCCAGCTACACTAAAACTGGAAAATCGAACATGGCTTTGGCTGAAATCGAAAGTTTGACTGGCTATCGTTTCGATGGCGAACAAATCAATACTCTGCGAAATATTGAGGATTTGCAGAGAGTTGAGTTGCAGAAAGACGATACCAAAATGAATGTGTATTTTAATCCGGTGAGTTATTCTGCTCTGCGTCTCTGACTTGATGTGTAGATGTCTGGTTTCTCTGCTCTCTCCCTTTAGTTATGTAATTTCTCTCACATTTCTGCAATCTCTCAACTCTCTAGATATCTCTCTCCTCTGCGTCTCTAACATACCCGGCTTCTTTGCGCTCTCTCGTTATCTGCCTTCCTAGCTTCTCTGAATCTCTAGTATTACTACGTTCTCTATTTTGTCTGGTTTCTCTACCCTCTTGTGCAAATCCGGCTGTCTCTCCGTCTCTACCCTTTGAATGATCTCTATCTATCTGCGTCTCTCCAGCGCTCTATATTCTCTACCCTCCCTGTTTTCTATGCGTCTCTAACTTCTCTACCTCTCTAACTCTCTCATATGTTTTTTTTTTCCCAGCTCGGCTCCAAACCCGTCTGCCTCTCTCTCTACTCCGATGTCACATATCAAGTAGCCGACCTAAAACCCGCCAACTTCCGACTCATCGATTATTACGATCCAGAAGATCAACTCAAATTCACCTATTCACCCAAAATGGCGCGAAGTTTGGGCGAAAAATGCGGCGAAGATTGCTGGCCACCACCACCTTCTGAAACACCGATCCCATCGAATTCCGAAGATTCCGATGAAAATGGTGCTGGAGTTCAAGGTGCGATTGTGTGGATGAGTTTTGCTGTGATGATTTTGGCCCGAAATTTTTGAATTTTTGCATGTTTATTATAATAGTGTGTGTGAAATTACGGTTATTGATTTATTGATTTTTTTAAAAAATAAATTTGTTGTTTGTGTGTTATGACGTGGCAAATTTTAAGCTGAATATTGATTTTTTGCAGAGTTGCCGGAAGTTCAATAATTGTGTATTTTATTTTTGTGAAATGAATTTGTTTTTCTCTGAAAAATTATCAAAAAAATTTATTAGCAAAAAATACACGTTTCAAAAAGCTAGATCAGCCTGGGCCCGAACCAGGCCAACCCCAGGCCCACATTCAAGCCTAGGCTTCCGAACAATCCCCGATCTTCTTCCTCGATCCACAACATCCAACAAACACCGACAACATCAAAGGCAAGAACACCAAACCATGTGCAAATCCGATAGAAATCGCCAAAAATACGGTTTTGAAGAATGTGACGATCATATAAGCGGGAACATCGGCCAAAACTGAGACGGCCAATATTGTCGACATTGCTCCCTGAGCCACAGGCCAACCTAAGTCTCCCAAAGCATCGCAGACTCTTTTGGTGGTTGTGGATTCTTTGGAGATGACGTAGGCATAGGTGATATGTGCGGAATAATCGACGGAGAAACCGACTGACATGATTATTGTGATCATTGAGATGGCGTCCTGAAATCAATCAAATTTTGATTTTGGTTGGGTTTGACACGTGGTTTCAAAACTAAAAATGATCTATTTTTCACCAAATTCAGTTGCAAAATGCTTCCCAACTCACCAAATTCACATCCCAAAGTGTCATAAATCCTAAAACACCCAAATCGATTGAGGCAATGGTGACAGCCACCCAAAATGAGCAAACGGGTTCGGGGATCAAGACTGCGGAAATCAGAAGCATACAGGAGACGGCTACCACAATGTCTTGCAGCTGAAAATGAGTGGAATTGGGTTAGGCTTAGACTTAAAGGATAGGTTAGGCTTAGGCTTAGCCCTTACAAGGGAAGTGCATGAGATTAGGTTATATTTCAAAATTTCAGAACCTAACCCTGCACTTCCCTTGTTAGCCCTTACGAGATCTGCCTTACCGTATTCGGGACCACCAAAGCATACTGATCTGTGAAGAGCCAGAGAGGCATGTAGGTCGTGACATTGTATCGCTCGAAACGAGAGGCGATCTGAAAAATTCCACGTGTCACAACCATTTACTCCAAGTGCCCATCGGGTCAGACGAGAGATGACGTCATCAAAGACATCGCTGCGAGATATTTTTGAAAAAATACCGTATTTTGTTTCAAGGAACACAACATGTTTTATTGAAAATATCTCGAAGCGAAATTAATTTTCGAAATATTTTGCAAAATACTCTCGTCGTCTCGCGTCTGACTCAACGGGCGCCTTGTATAGTTGTGGTTAGAGATGGAAAACGGGCGTTAGGGCCGCCCGATCGCCCCATTTCTGGACGACCCATTTGCCCGGACGCCCGATCGCCCAGACGCCCGATCGCCCAGACGCCCGATCGCCCCATTTCTGGACGACCCATTTGCCCGGACGCCCGATCGCCCAGACGCCCGATCGCCCCATTTCTGGACGACCCATTTGCCCGGACGCCCGATCGCCCAGACGCCCGATCGCCCCATTTCTGGACGACCCATTTGCCCGGACGCCCGTTCGCCCCATTTCTGGACGACCCATTTGCCCGGACGCCCGATCGCCCAGACGCCCGATCGCCCCATTTCTGGACGACCCATTTGCCCGGACGCCCGATCGCCCAGACGCCCGATCGCCCCATTTCTGGACGACCCATTTGCCCGGACGCCCGATCGCCCAGACGCCCGATCGCCCCATTTCTGGACGACCCATTTGCCCGGACGCCCGATCGCCCCATTTCTGGACGACCCATTTGCCCGGACGCCCGATCGCCCGTTCGCCGCCGAAAAATTTTGTTTTGAAAAAATATTCGTCGACACGTGAAAAAATGAGCCATTTCTATTTTTAGGCGGCGAACGGGCGATCGGGCGATCGGGCAAAAAAAACGATTCCGAAAAAAGTAGGTCACGTTTTTACGTAAGCGGGGCCCGCTTTTCCATCCCTAGTTGTGGTGTCATTCCAGTTTTTCCCAAAACCAACCTCTCTGAAAGTATTCGTAGCCTCAGTCTGCTTGGTCGTTGTGGAAATATCCCTCATCCCAATCATAAATCGAAAAGTCTTGATAAAATGCCGACCAGTTCCGGGGGGTTCCTGTGCCCAAACCACATCCACAACCCACGGTTGACTCATATCCTCGTAGATGAACTGAGCGGCCAGCGAATAGAAGTGGGTGTCGAAGTCGGTGGTGGTGGTGTTCGGAAGATTCCTCTCGAATAGTTCAGATTCCTCCCTGAGCATCTCTCTGAGCCAAAATTGCACACCCTCATCTCCTATTGCGGTATGACAATTTGCAAAGACGCTAGCCATGCGGTCCATTTCCGCGCGTTCCGCGGGGTTCCGGAGATCCGGCGGGTTGCTGACTACAATCTGCAGACTTGCTCCGTAATGCCAATAGTGTTGCTCGAGCACTCTGTAGAACTAGAGAGGGTGGAGAGGGTAGAGAGGGTAGAGACTCAGAGAAACTAGAGAAGTTAGAGACGCAGAAGCTAGCCAAACTAGAGAGAGAAACACCTGGTCTACCTGTAATGCGGAGTGGCGTATGAATCATCAACAAGCAAATTCGCAGGCTCAAGTCCCTCCCGAAGATGATAGCAACCATAAATCGATAATGCCAGGTAGATCAAATACCAAACCCCGGCGATAAACCTTATCACAGGTTGCATAAGCACCGGAGCATACCAGTTACGGAAAAATGACGTGGCAGCGCAGTGGGCTTCCGGCGCGGGTTTCGAGCCAAGCCACAACATTTTGACAGTCCACGACATGGAGTTTGAACTCTCCTGGGATACGGCAGGTTTGAGCCATACACTGTGCATGCCTTGCTCCTCCCATCTCGTATAATAGACCAAAGCGGCGCAGAAGAATGTGAGTTGATAGGCGAAGGTGAGCAGTAGAGCGCACATTGTATAGATGCAGAAGATTTGGACGGCTGGGATTGTGGTGATTGTGCCGACGGCGAAACTCAGGGCATCGGTGGAGGCTGTGATGAGGATGGAGACGGCCGCGTCGGACATGCATTCGGCGATGCGGTGCGGATAGGCGTGCGTACGGTCGGTGCGTTTCAGCGAGGCTACCATCAGGAACATGTTGTCGGTGCCGACGGCTGGAAAAACGAGGTTGGGAAGCCTTGGGCAGCCTTGGGAAGCCTTGGGAAGACTTGGGAAGCCTTGGGAAGCCTTGGGACGCCCTTTGAGAAGCTATAGGAAGCCTTGGGAAGCCTGGGGAAGCCTTGGGAAGCCTTGGGAAGCCTTGGGAAGCCTGGGGAACCCCTGGGAAGCTCCCAGAAGCCTCGGGAAGCCTTGGGAAGCCTGGGGAAGCCTGGGGAACCCCTGGGAACCCTTGGGAAGCCTTGGGAAGCCTTGGGAAGCCTTGAGAAGCCTTAGGAAGCCTCGGGGAGTATTGGGAAGCCTCGGGGAGCCTTGGGAACCCTAGGGACGCCTTGGGAAGCCTTGGGAAGCCTTGGAAAGCCCTGAGAAGCCTTGGGAAGCCTTGGGACGCCCTGGGAAGCCTTGGGAAGCCTTGGGAAGCCATGGGAAGCCTTGGGAAGCCTTGGGAAGCCTTGGGAAGCCTTGGGAAGCCTTGGGAAGCCTTGGGAAGCCTTGGGAAGCCTGGGGAAGCCTTGGGAAGCCTTGGGAAGCCTTGGGAAGCCTTGAGAAGCCTTGGGAAGCCTTCAGCAGTTCAACAAACCCTCCAAAAGCCCCGAGTCAAGTTATCAAAACTCACCAACAACCAAAAACGGCATAACTGCAATAATATCATTATAGGGTATATTGAGATAGGTCAAAATGCCCATAGCACTCGCAATTCCCATACCAGCGTTCGAAACTCCCAAAATCGATAGAATCGGTTTGGTGACAATCCAATCGATGTACCATGTTCCTTTAATTGTGACTATTGAGCAGATTACAGAGAATATTACCAAAATTACGAAGGCGGCGATGAATCTGGGGAAAAATTGGGGATAAGAAAAGGTAGGTACTTAGGGTTGGGGTTAAAGTTAGGCTTAGCCTTACTCTTTAGGCTTAGCCAAATCTTTAGCCTCACAAAATCAAAATTTCATGCAAAAAATAAAAAATAAATCCAAAACCCGACAAAATAAGAGTGTGTGTCAACTGCCCGCAAACACCAAATCCTACGCGCAAAAAATAAAATAACGACACTCCGCTCAAACAATGTTTGAAAATTAAACAACGGGCAAGCCAAGAGTGTAGGTATCTCTACTACTCTCCCCTTTTTCCACACACTCTCTCTCTCTCATCTTCTCTGCGTCTCTAACATAATTATTTTTTTATTTTATTTGTTTGTATTCAAATTTTTTTCTTTTTTTTTTCTTTTTCCTATTTTTGTTGCATTTTAGAGGTAGGGGCTTACAAGGGAAGTGCATAGGGTTAGGTGTTGAACTTTTGATGAAACGTTCAAAATAAACCAAATCGACCATGCTGATCACGAATCCGAAGTCAAAAATTGCCACAAATGCCTGTGAGCACTTTTCTGGAGCTCCAAAGTTAGAATTGAGTTTTGGTTTTTGCCCATTTTCACCTTGTTTCTGGGTGGAAAATAGATTTTTATAACATGAATAAGGTTGTTCACCACATTCAAAAACATATCCGCTTTTTAGTTCTTCGAAAAATATGAAAAACCAGCTGAAAACTGCAACTTTTAAGAATATCCTGAAAATACACACAATCACACGTAAATACACACGTTTTTCAAAGTTTTTCGTGCATTTTCGAAAATTACAGTTTTCAGCTGGTTTTTCATATTTTTCGAAAAACTGAAAAGCGGATAGGTTTTCGAATGTGAAGAACAACCTTATTCATGTTATAGAAATTGATTTTCCACCCTGGAACATGGTGAAAATGGACGAAAACCAAAACTCAATTTCAACTTTGGAGCTCCAGAAAAGTGCTCACAGGCATTTGTGGCAATTTTTGACTTCGGATTCGTGATCAGCATGGTCGATTTGGTTTATTTTGAACGTTTCATCAAAAGTTCAACACCTAACCCTATGCACTTCCCTTGTTAACTTTTTAAATTTTTAGGGTATTTTATGCTTTTTGTGATAAAAAATCAGCAAAAATGGGTTAGGGGGGTCACCTTTTTGAAAATTTCCCCTGGAAGGGGGGTTAACTCGAGAGTCCCCGGAGCGACTAGTTCATGTATGAGCTCATCAGATCTTCAAGCCTACTTATCCCAACTCACTTCGGCGCCAGCCTTTCCGCATTTCTCGTCAATTCATCGCTCAAAGTTTGCGAGTGAAAATAGGTTATCGAAATATATTTGGTAGTCTTCTTATACTCATCCATCCTCTCTTTAAATTCCTTTTCCCACAATCCAGAAATGTAGGAAATCTGATTTGGGTAGAATTTGAGTTGATAGATCAGTAGCCACGCTGAAGCGCCCACAATGATATCTTCATCCTGATTTTCGGTGTGCGCTAGTTTTACTCCACCCAAAGCTGCTGCAATGTAGGCGGATCTGGAAAAAAATGCAATTTTGCGGCGCGGTTTTCAATTTGAGTGGTTTTTTTAAAGCGGGAATTTGAAATTGTTGAATTTTCAAAGCCTCCAGAAGCCTCCAGAAGTCTTCAGAAGTCTTGAGAAGCCTAGAGAAGCCTTGAGAAACCTGGAGAAGCTTCCAGAAGTCTTCAGAAGCCTCCAGAAGTCTTCAGAAGCCTTCAGCAGCCTTCAGAAGCCTGGAGAAGCCTCCAGAAGTCTCCAGAAGTGATGAGAAGCTTCCAGAAGAATTAATGAGCCTTTGGAAGTCTTGAGAAGCCTGGAGCAGCTTACAGAAGTCTTCAACAGCCTCCAGAAGCCTCCAGAAGTCTTCAGAAGCCTTCAGAAGTTTTGAGAAGCCTGGAGAAGCCTCCAGAAGTCTTCAGAATCCTTCATAAGCTTCCAGAAGTCTTGAGAAACCTTTGGAAGCCTCCAGAAGCCTCCAGAAGTCTTGAACAGCCTCCAGAAGTCTTCAGCAGCCTTCATAAGCCTCCAGAAGCTTCCAGAAGTCTTCATAAGCCTTCAGAAGCCTCCAGAAGTCTTCAAAAGCCTGGAGAAGCCTGAATAAGCCTGGAGTAGCCTCCAGAAGTCTTCAGAAGCCTCCCACCTCCCAAAATCCACTCACTTCTTTCCCAATCTCACAGTCGGATAAGTGATATTAATCCCATGAGCCCACAATCTTGACACCAGTTGAATATGATCATTATTAGCGCACCGTCCATCAGGTCCAGCCAAACACAAATCCCCAAAATTCCAGGTTCGATTCGCAAACTCGACTTCAATTCGATTCCGAATGAACGCATCCATCCGCTTGAGTTCCGCAGCGTATTGCGGTTCCAGAATGTTTTTCTCGGTGGTCGGCGAATCGCCTTTCGCCACCACCGCGACTTGAACTTCACGGGATTGTGTGACTGCGCGACCTGCCACGTAGCTGCCGTCGACGAGTGGCCACGCGTCATGAATTATTCGACGTTCGGTCTGCAATTTTTTGGAAGTGGAGGTGAGATTTTTGAAGGGCAAATAATGAATGGGACCCCAAATGGGACCACAAAATTTTTTTGAATTGTCTGAATGGGACCCCGCAAAAAAAGGGACCGCGTTGAATTTTATACTGAAAGGGATACAAAATTTGAAGCCTAAGCCTAGGCTAAAAATCCTAAGTAAGCCTAAGCGTAAAACCCTAATTAAGCCTAAGCCTAAAATGTTACCTAAGCCTAAGCCTGATATCCTAACTAAGCCTAAGCCTGAAACCCTAACAAAGACCTAAAACCCTGATTAAGCCTAAGCCTAAAGACCTAACTAAGCCTAAGCCTAAAATCCTAACTAAGCCTAAGCCTATGCCGAACCCCAGTGCTGAGGATACGTCTAAGTTTAAGCCTACCTGTGGTCCCATTCTGAAAAAAATTCAGTGGGGTCCCATTCGTACTAATAGAAAATGTCAACGGGGTCCCTTTTTTTGCGGGGTCCCATTCAGACAATTCAAAAAAAAATGCTGTGGTCCCATTTTATTATTTTGGGGTCCCATTCATCACGACGATTTTTAAACACCGGGGGACCATTCAGTCATTCGGGGTCCCTTTTGGGGTCCCATTCATTATTTACCTTTTTGAAGTTGTAGAGGCTACAATTTTGGTAAAAATTAAATTTTTTTTTTTTTTTTTTCTGGTACAAAAACTCCTCACCTTACTTGGCGCATCTGTAGGTGTATACAAATACAGTGCATCACTCAGCGGCTCCAACCCAATAAGTCCAGTCGCAAAAAACATTGTGGTTAAAATGGGCAAGACCATAAAAATGGCCGGATAACGGGCCACAATCAGGCCGTAGCTGTGGAAAAATCCGGCGGCCTTTCGCTCAAGGCACCCGAATTTCAGGCCCATCTTTTTTAGGCCAAAATCAAAATATAGTGTGAAATCGTAGACTACTACGACCAATTGTATTTGACCTACTTTGGATGCAGAAAAAATTTCGGGGAGAGAGAGAGAGTGGAGAGATGAGAGAGACGCAGAGATAATTTTCCTTCTTTTGAAACGGATGACCTCGAATGGGAAAGTTTTCGAAATAATTTCGGGATGAGAAGAAAAAAAAGAAAAAAATGTCTGATCTCGGGCGGGCTCGAACCGCCGGCCTTCTGTGTGTTAGACAGATGTGATAACCACTACACCACGAGATCGCATGGCGCCAACTGCTCAAATTATTGTGATGTTTTCGGTGTTTTCGGGTTGTTTTGAAGGCCTAGGCTTGTGGCGTTATGTTCCTTTGAAACTTCCAGAATGTGTCAATAGAGCAATTTGGCTCATTTATAGGCGGAGCCCAGTTGACCTAACTTTTGACTACTGTGTTGATTTAGGCACAATTGACCCCAAAGTGAAGAGTACGGTCATTTATTTACACTTCCTTTTGAGCATATTTTGTGAATAATACATTATTGTTATTCTAAATAGTTAGTTTTGGTAGTAGTTTGACAAATATTATTATTATTAAACTTTTCTGGTCACGAAATTAGTGAAAATGCAAATTTTCTGGACTTGTCTGGCCGGATTTTTGATCTACCCGCCGCCGGCTTTTGGCGCTATTCATTTTGGCAAACAACCACAACAGAATCAAGGTAAGTTGGAGGGGTCCTTTAACGAAAAAAAAATGTTTTTATTTGCTGGATTCTACGCGAAATTGCGGACTTTTGGGGGAAGCACTGAAATTTACGCGGATTACTGTAGCTCGGTCATTAAAGGAACATAATAATTTTTTTTCAAAATTGTCAAAAGATTTTGAATTTCGCGCCAAAATTTTTGTTTCAATTTTTGGGATTACTGTAGCTCGCTCATTAAAGGAACATGATCATTTTTTTTTCAAAATTTCCGAAAGATTTTGAATTTCGCGCCAATTTTTTTTTGAATTTTTGGGATTACTGTAGCTCGGTCATTAAAGGAACATGATAATTTTTTTTCAAAAATTACGAAAGATTTTCAATATTTGCATAGAAATCTCTCAGAAAACGCCGAGATTGACGTGCAAATGCAGAATTTGTGTTCAAAACAGTTGATTTCACGAAAAAATTGTACATTTCTTCAGTGAAACACGGAATTTCACGCAAAATTGCAGATTTCTCCTTCAAAACATTAAATTTGACGTGAAAATGCAGAAAAACACTGAATTTTACGTGAAAATGCAGAATTTCCATTAGAAAACACTGAAATTGACGGGAAATTGCACCATTTTACTTCAAAACACTTGATTTTACGAGAAATTGCAGAGTTTCCACTAGTAAACAATGAAATTGACGAAAAATTGCACATTTCTTCTGTAGAACATGGAATTTCACGCGAAATTGCAGAAAAACACTGAATTTTACGTGAAAATGCAGAATTTCCACTAGAAAACAATGAAATTGACGCGAAAATGCAGAATTTCACTTCAAAACACTAGATTTCACGAAAAATTGCAGATTTCTTCAGTGAAACACGGAATTTGACGTGAAAATGCAGAATTTCCACTAGAAAACACTGAATTTTACATGAAAACGCAGAATTTCCACTAGAAAACATTAAAATTGACGGGAAATTGCACAATTTTTCTTCAAAACACTAGATTTCACGAAAAATTGCGGATTTTTTTTGAAAAAACATGAAAATTGACGGGAAATTGCAGAAAAACACTGAATTTCACGAAAAATTCCAGATTTCTTTTGAAAAACATAAAAATTGACCGGAAATTGCAGAATTTCACTTCAAAACACTAGATTTGACGAAAAATGGCAGAAAACCACTGAATTTTACGTGAAAATGCAGAGTTTCCACTAGAAAACACTAGATTTGACGTAAATTTGCAGAAAAACACGGAATTTTACGTGAAAATGCAGAATTTCCACACCTCACGATAAAAATTCAAATTTTCCAGCTCCCGCGCCCAAACCCATCCCCCATCCACCGCTCCAAACCATCTGCGACCTTTTCGAAGAGGCAACCGCGCTCCACTGCATCGCCGATCTTGTGGATTATGCCGATTTGGCCAACAATGTTCTCCACCCGCCGCTGAGTGCAGTAGAGCGCACTTGCGACAAATTCCAGCAATATATGATGTGCACAAGCGGTGTGAGACCGGATTGCAGGTATTTTGGCGGGAAAAAAAGTGAGAAAATTTTTGAATTTGCAGACAATCGCGCGCTCCGAATATCGAAAAAATGTATGAAACGATTTGCGAGCCAAAATTGGCCGAAATAATGCGGGAAGAGCGAGAATGTTTGCTGGAAGTTGAAAAGTTGGTTTCTCCTCATTTCTCTGCAACCTCCTCTCCTCTCACACTCTCTAATCCCCTCTTTTTGCAGCGACAAAAACATCAAAGAGTGTTTTGTGAACAAAACGAACACACTACGCGACGAGACACCCGATACTGGTATGTTTAAAAGTGAGAGAGCGCAGAGAAACCAACACTAGCTGAGGGGAAACATGTTTAGAGAATTGGGGCGAGTGGCTAGACGTGGCTGAGTGGTCTAGTGGTATGATTCTCGCTTAGGGTGCGAGAGGTCCCGGGATCGATCCCCGGCTCAGCCCACCTTGTTTTTGCTCGTTTTTTTAGTTTTAATATTTAGTTTTAATATATTCGCGCCAAAAACCAACCCCATATTTTTTTACAGTAATCGATCCCACCAAAAACTACGAATGTACCGTAATCCAAGCCTACATCGATTGCTTGTTGGAACGCGAAGAAGACACGTGTAAAGACGCCGTGAAAATCGAGCTCTCATTTTTAGAATTGCTCGCGCATCGCAACGCGGACACCGCATGCGAATTGAATTTGAATGCGACGCGTCGCGGAAGACCGGAAAAACTCGAGGAATGCGATGAAAATGGGAATGACTGTAAATGCCGGCTTCCCGGATATTATTACGATTTAGTCGCCAAAAAATGCCTGGATGTTGATGAATGTGAGAGTCGCGATTCGCAATGTTCGCAAAAGTGTCGCAATTTTGCGGGCGGTTTTGCGTGCGAATGCGACGCGCGATTTTATCGATTGGCTGCGGATAATCGCACGTGTGAGCGACTTGACGCGTCGCCACTTTGGCTGTTTTTTGCGCATGGACAGAGTGTTTGGAATATTTCGACGGATGGCAAGAGTTTTCAATTGCAGCGAGCTGGACTTCAGAAAACTGCCATGATTGATGTGGATGTTAAGGTTGGTTGGAGCTACAGTACTCCTACAGTACTCTTTGCGAAATTCGGGTCATTTTGATACCAAAAAAGCTGGTTTTACGATTCTTTTGAAACCAAACATGGCATACCTACAGTACCCCTAGATGATTTGAGATCTACAGTAATTTTTATTTTGTAGATCAAAACTACAGTAATCTGAATGTTTTACAATCATCCACAGTACCCTCCAAATTTCATGTAGATCAAAACTACAGTACTCTCAATTTTAAAGGAACATAACTACAGTACCCTATCATATTTAGTGCCAAAATGTTCCAAATTTCATGTAGATCAAAACTACAGTAATTTAAAGGAACATAACTACAGTACCCTCTATCATATTTAGTGTCAAAATGTTCCAAATTTCATGTAGATCAAAACTGAGAACATAACTACAGTACCCCATCATATTTAGTTTCAAAATGTTCCAAATTTCAAGTAGATCAAAACTACAGTACTCAATTCAATTTTAAAGGAGCATAACTACAGTACCCTATCATATCTAGTGTCAAAATGTTCCGAATTTCATGTAGATCAAAACTACAGTACTCTCAATTTTCAAGGAGCATAACTACAGTACCCTATCATATTTAGTGTCAAAATGTTCCAAATTTCATGTAGATCAAAACTACAGTAATTTAAAGGAACATAACTACAGTACCCCCATCATATTTAGTGTCGAAATTTTCCGAATTTCATGTAGATCAAAACTACAGTAATTCAAAGGAAAATTTTAAAGGAGCGTCGCCTATATTACGCTGACATTGGGGCAAATGTGATTGAGCGAATGAACATCGATGGAACTTTTCCGCAAGCTGTTCAGAGATTCGACGTGGATGGACTCGAAGGAATTGCTGTCGATTGGATTGCAAGAAATTTGTACAGCTTGAGGAGGTACGGTAGGCGGGAGGGGGTTTTTTGGCGCGAAAATTTGATCTGAAATTCGAAAATTTTTAGATCCGACATTTTGGTTCAAAGTTTGGACGGGCGATTTAGACGAAGTCTCTATAAGGATGTGATGAGATTGCCGAGAAGTATTGCATTGCATCCGGCAAAAGGGTGAGTTTCAGATGAAAATCTGAAATTTTCAGAATTTTCTGGAAGTTCCAAGTTGTAGCTCTTGAAATTTGCTACAATTTTGATGTTGCGAACTTTTTCTGAAAATTTTGTTTGGGGGCTGAAAATCGGGTCTGAAACTGCAAGTTGAATATTCGAAACAATTTTAAAAATCTAGGGTTTCAGATGAAAATCTGAAATTTCTAGAATTTTCTGGAAATTCCAGGTTGTAGCCCTTGAAATTTGCTACAATTTTGATGTTGCGAACTTTTTCTGAAAATGCAGTTTTCGGGCTGAAAATCGGGTCTAAACTGAAGTTTTTAAAAAAAATTTTTCAATTTTCATTTAAAAAAATTTGAAAATTTCTAGATCATGTGAGATTTCAAAAGAAAGCTCTTGAAATTCTCTAAAAACTGTAATTTGTCTGAAAATCCAATTTTTTGTCTGAAAATCCAATTTTCAGCCTGATGTTCGTCACTGATTGGTCCCCCAATGCATTCCTCGCCGTCGCCACTCTCGACGGCTCCCGTTTCCAAAAAATTATCACAGATCGTATAACCTGGCCAAATGCCGTAGCTTGCGATGTTTACGCCGACAAAATCTATTGGGCTGACGCTTTTCTAGACACAATTGAGGTGGCGAATTTGGATGGGACAGGTCGTCGGACAATTATTGCGGATGCCGGATCGGTTCCGCATGTTTTCGGACTTGCGGTTGCGGATGATCATTTGTATTGGACAGATTGGACGTATCGTGGACTTTTGCGCGCCAATAAACATAATGGGGAGAATATTACGGTACTTGCGCAGACTGCGTTGCTACCGTATTCGTTGAAGGTTTTCCATACGTCGCAACAGCCTCAAGGTACGGTTTTTGGGGTTATTTTGAGTCCAAACAGTGTTTGTTTTTTTTTCATAAAATTAAAAAAAAAACAAAAAATTTCGACCACGGCAGGACTCGAACCTGCAATCCCCAGATTCGAAGTCTGGTGCCTTATCCATTAGGCCACGCGGCCACACTTTTCTTCTCTGCAGAATCGTCCCCATGTGAACGAAACGGCTGCCAACAATTGTGTCTGTTGGGCGAGACGGCGAGAGAGTATGCGGAGAGTGGAGAGGCGAAAGACAACGAGGGAAAAAAGGCTGGACAAAATGTGAAATGCGCTTGTGGAGAGGGTTTCGAGTTGGAATCGGATGGAAAAACGTGCTCTTCGAATTGTACCGCGTCACAAATTGAGTGTGGTGGAAGCGATGCAAAGTGGGTTGCTGAAAATCGGAGATTTTCAGCCGGAAACTGAAAATTTTAATTTTATTTCAGATGTATTTCAAAATTATATCTTTGCGATGGATTGGCACAATGTTCAAATCAAGCCGATGAGTTGAATTGTCGTGAGTTTTTTTAAGCCTAAGCCTAAACAGGCCCTTTAAAGGCCCCATTTAAGCTCATTTAAAGGAACATGGTGTCAAAAAACGCAAAAAGGCCATTTCAGGCTTAATCTACAAGCCTAAAAATGCCCCATAGCACCAAGAAATCCCAAACGTTTGCAGCTCCCCGGATCTGTCTCCCTGGCCAATTTCAATGCCACGACAACAAAAAATGTTTGCCACCTGGCGGACTTTGTGATGACGTGGTTGATTGTGCTGATTCTTCTGATGAAAAATATTGTCCACAACAAACAGCAAAGAGTTTTGTATCGAAACACGCGCCAAAACAATTTTATTCTAATTAATTAATTATTTTTTGCCACCCTGGAATATCCTACTTAATGATGTAAAATAAATACTTACAATTAAATTTTCTTAGAATTAAAAATTAGTTTTCGAAAAAATAAACAAGTGAAACGTGTTCTAGTTAGATAAAATCTCCACGTCTTTGCCAACTTGGATTTTTTGCCTATAAAACGTGGCGATTGATTCAGTTTGACTATTTCAGACAAATTTTGAGAACAAAAAGTAGCTTTCTTTGGAAATCTAGCTAATGAAATATTCCTGGCTGCTCGGGCTGTCACTTTTTGTGATTTACGGTAAGTTGAATTGAGCAAGAGAAATAGTGACTTATTTTATTTGGCTTGTTTTTCAGCAAATCGTTGTTGGTCATTGACAAATGGTTGGGTAAGTTGGCATTCAAATTTTGTCGTATTTTAAAGAGTATGGTGAAAAACATATCTCTCCAACCCATTTGACCATCCACGCGCACGACTCATATCGCTGAAATGTGTTTCATATCTCTGCACTTTTGTCGAGACAGACCGCCAAATTTACGCAAACTTTTCAGCGTTTTGCGAAAGTCTCGCGACAAAATGTTTTCCATCGAGGCACTCCTCTAAAGTTGCGCAATACCGCGAAATTTACGCAAATTGGGCAGTGTCCATAAATCGCGGAAACCTTGCGCGTGATTCCCTGAGTATTGTCCATTATGTTGAATTGATCAGCGGCGAATGAGGAGAAACATTTTTTTTCGAAAAATACATTTTCGAAAGCTGGCGGTCTTTTTATACACTCAGGGAATCACGGGCGAGATCTACGCGATTCGCGTGGATGGTCAAGTGGGTAAGAGGAATGTGTGCGAGGCGGAGAGTGACGGATTGAGGCCGGCCGAGTGAGTATGATCAAAAGCGATTAGTTGTGTCTCGCGTCGCCTCTACTTTTTGATTTTTGAGAGAGCACCGCGAGATTTCCGCGATTCGCAGACAGAAAACCGCGAAATCGCGGATTTCTGGGTCCCGCTAATCGCGGAGATCTAACCCGTGATTCCCTGAGCATATTTTGTTTTTAAGAATGATTGTCCAACCTCCGATACGAGTTATAATGTAAAAAGCGACGGACTATGTCCCCCAAATTCTTATTCTATCTATGGTCCACAGTATCGTAAATGTTGTGGTAAGTTTGAGTAAATTAAAATTGGTGGTTGGAGTTTCAAATCGCTTCCATAGAACGAAACATCGTGTTTTTATTTGAAAAATGCCATGAAGTGATGTATCCTCAACCACTTTACAGACTCTGCAAGTATAACTGTATAAATGTGTTGTTTTTCCAGAAAACATTGCATATTGTGTTACCGGAATGACATCTAAATTCATTTACTCAAATGGTGATGAACTGGTGTATGCGTCAAGGCGTTATGCTGACTTCGGTTTCGATTATTTAGAGCCAATATTTAGACTCGTTTATTATAATCATACTAAGCCTGATCACATTGCTTGCCGTAAGTTAATTACAGCTAACTAGTTGGAGATAAGTTTGAGGTGCTTCAAAAGTTGTTTAGTTCCTGGTTTCCTTTCATTTCCTGTTTTCATCCGAAATTAAATTCGAAAATCATTTCAATGGAAAATACTGGAATGTGATCTTTTTATCACAAAAAGTGCCGAACGGGTACAACAAAATTCCTGTGAACAATGGTTCCCCCCCCACCCTCTCTCATTCTTGGGATGTCGCAATTTCGACATTCATCCCATTTTTTCCGAAAATTATACATAAAAATTCAGCAATTCCGGTTGGGTGGATATGGTTCGATCAATTTTGGCAAGTAGCAACACCACGCCAAGCAACGGTTTCCAAACATTTATTACCGTATGGTGATAAAGGCGACGATTATAAACACAAAAAACCGAAGACTTGCGAAAAACATTCGGATTGCGACGAATTCGATAGATTTTGCGGAAATGTTGTGAATCCTGAATATGAAGGCGGAGTCTGCCAAAGTATGTGAAAATTTTCCATTTTTTTCTGACAAAAATTCGATTCACAAGAGAAGGCGAACGCGCCGAATTAACTTTTTCTGTAAGTTTGGAATTTTAACTATCACCCCTAGGGTGCACAACTCGCCCAAAACATGATTACGTGGCAAAGTTGTCACAAATGTCAAAAATCGGACTTTTTGGGCACTGTAATTCATTCCAGAGACGATATTTTTGAATTCTGATTTCACAACGTTGTTCAACAGGGTCGATTACCTGAAGATTCGAACTATCTATCAAGAAAATTTTTGAAATTTGAGATTTTGAGCTTTGAGCTTCAGGAGGTAACATGAAAATTTTCCAAAAATCAAAAAAGTAGTTTTGAACTGACCAAATCGACCGTGCTAAACAACGCTGTGAAATCAGAATTCAAAAATATTATATCTGAAATGAATTACATACAGTACCCGAAGAATCCGATTTTTGACAGTTGTGAAAACGTTGCCACAACAACTATGCTTTGGGCGAGTTGTGCACCCTAGTGGATCAATTCATCTGAAGAAAAAATGAATTGATCCATAGGACTTTTGGATTATTTATCCCTTGAAGTGATAGCTAAACTGCCAAAGTCACAGGAAACGTTTAATCGAGGCGTTCGCAAAAAACCACAAAAATAGTTTTTGACATTTGCTTTTTACGTCGATAAACGTTTTTATTTCAGAATTTCAGTACTTCTTTTTTATTTCAATGATTTCTCAAAAAAAAATTCTGAATTATAAACTCGTTCCCAAAAACGGTTCCCTTGATTACTATGTATATAAACTTTTTAGATGATGAAAATAAAGATTGTACCATTAGAACTGACTGTCCTAACAAAGGATGGTGCGATCCGAGAATCTTTTTGAATAAATGGACAATGATGGAGAAAACGCAAAAGTTTTGCTATCAAAGTGAGTTAAAAAGCGTGTTTGTGTCTAATGCACTTTCTTGTTAACTTCGAACATATATCTTTTTCAGATCCTGAACTTCCGGAAAATACTGGCCTTGAACAATTTCAAAAACGAGATTCTACACTCAACATTTTTGCGTGCAACAACAACGATGATTGTAATATTGGAACTGACAAAAGTGGAAAATGTATAGAGAGTAAAATTGGAAATTGGACTGGATATGTGCCAAATGCAGATCCGACAAAACTTGGAACACGCAAAAGTTATTTGGGATTGTGTATTGAGCCAAAACCAATATCATTCATTTTATCGTCTATATTCATTGATCTGAATATTAACGACAAAAAGGCAAGTGTTGGCAAAAAATATTTGCCAGTTGATTGGAAAGATAAGCCGAAATATAAGGATGAAATGAAACAGTGTACAAAAAATGGCGATTGCAAAAACGATGAATTTTGTGACAATGTCTACAGTTTTAACAATGATGCCAATTTCGATCCAGACAACAGATTTTGCTTCAAACTTCCCGATCTTCCACAATCCCCACCTCCTAATACAACTGTTCGTTATACAGTTGTCGAAGAAATTGTTGGTTTGATTGCTTGTCGAAATCACGAGGATTGCAAAACAGGCGGTGCTGATGGAAATTCATTCTGTTACACGTTGGGTGATTTCACATATGTGAAACTAGACAAAGATGGAAATAAGCCTCCAACACTCGGAAAGGTTAAAGGTATTTGTATGAGTGCAAACACATGCGATGATCCTTTAAACAATTATGTATGGAAAGACGGTGGAGTGGCAAAAAGTGGAAATTGTGAAAATGATGTTGGTTGTGTGGATGGTGGAAAAACGAAAGAACCTGCATATTCGCAAGAAGTATTCCAGTAAGTTTTTTTTTAAAAAATCAAATATTCGTAAGGCGGTGGGGCAGATTAGTTTCTCCCCCGGGAGAAATGGGGAGAAAGAGGAGAAAAGTGGTGCAGAAACGCGAGAAGAAAGAGGAGTTTCTGCCTTTTCTCCCAAACCGTATCGTGCCGAGACCCTTCCTGGAAAATCTCTGCTCCTTTAATCGAGTCGAAATACGGAACTATATCGGTCTTATCGATGAATGGTCTCGACACGATGATCCGGATACTGTAGGAGGAGAAAAGGCAGGAACTCCTCTTTCTCCCCGCGTTGCTGCACCCTTCTTCTCTTTCTCCCCATTTCTCCCGGGGGAGAAACTAATCTGCCCCACCGCCTAGGGCTCAACACGAGAACACGAGTCTGCACAATTAAATGTATCGAAAATCTGAGCTCGCGAAAAAAATATTTGTTTTGTTACAGACCGATTTGTAAGAAGGATAGATCATTCAGTACAATTGGATTGTGTTGCTATCGTTCAACTAAACAATGCCCTGCAGGAATTGTTGTCAAGCCCAATGTGAGATGTGGAAACGGCTCGAGCCCTTACACTCCATTTGCACAATGTTATGATGGTCCGGAAAAGTTGAAGGAGCAAAATGTTGGATTGAAAGTTTGGTGTCACACAAAAATCAATCAATGCTGTCAACATCAAACGTATCCAATGTGTCCAGACCAACAAACACCGTTATTCAACGAACCGGCGTGTGAAAACTCGAAACCGAATGAAGAGAGCAGTGGAACATGTGCGGCTAAAAAAGGAGGAATTTGTAAATGGGGGCATTGTTGTCCAAATGCAAAGGTTGACTCGACTGGAAAAGTTGTCAAACCCGAATATCCTTATAAGACCGAACAACCGTGCAAACCAGGTTATATTCCCCAACAATTTACGGATGGATATTGTGATCCGGTTTCGGAAAAAGTGGTTATTATTGGAAAGAAATCTGAAGACGGTCAAAAGTTGAAGCAATGGCCAGAAGATGATCCGAAAACATGCCAAGCCGATTTTGAATGTTCCACTGACAAATCGAAACTTTGTTTGAGAGTTGAATCAACTGGAACTGTTTTCAAATGCTATTATAATCCATTAAAAAGCAATGCAAAACAAGAAGAAGATTCAAATATGTTGATTATCATTCTTGTTGTTGTAGCTGTGGTTGTTATATTGGTGGCTGGTGGAATTGGCGGATTTTTGTTTTGGAAGCTTAAGAAGAAGGGAAAGAAAGGAAAGAAAGGAAAGAAGGGAAAGAAGGGGAATAATGTGAGCAGTTCAACTGAAAAAACTGGAAAGAAAGAAAAGAAGGACAAGAAGAAGAAGAAGAAGAAAAAGAAGGGAAAGAAAGGAAAGAAGGACAACACTACAACTGGAGATAACTCAACTTCGATGACTGGAGTTAGTGGAACTGGAACTGGATATTCGCCAGCTATTTTTTAAAGAGAGAAACCGATTTTTTTAGTGATACATCTTGTGAATAAAAGCGTCAAACTTGGATCGATTTTTTATTCAAATTAAAGCGAAGATTTCACATTTTCTCTTATTTCTTCCCGGAATCCAGGAGAATTTCAATAAACCGCGCAATTTTTTCAACTTAATTTCAGTCAAAAAAACTCATTTTCACCCACAAAACCCATAAAAATCACCAAAAACAGCGAAAAAAAACCAAAAAAAAAAATGAGCGGCGTCTAAATCCTCCGAGAGAACTACACCATCGCTACGAGACCAAACTGGAGAATTCTGTGCGCCTTTAACAGAGAAAGAAGAAACGACCCAAGGTATCTTGACAATTTCAAAAGTTTCCATCAGGCGATCTCGTGGTGTAGTGGTTATCACATCTGTCTAACACACAGAAGGCCGGCGGTTCGAGCCCGCCCGAGATCAGACATTTTTTTCTTTTTTTTTCTGAAATTTTCACAAAACGAAAGATCGAAATTTTATTCGCAATTCGTGTGTTTAGTGACATAAGCGATGAAAATTAGAAATCGTTTTGGTTCGAATTTTGCATGTGCCGCCAAATCGGGTTGATAATAATCGCGTAAACTTCGAGTCGCGGAAATTGCGGCACAGTTTCGCATTTTATGCCAGATGTGCTCGAAAACATCGACTATCGATTTTTGCGAGTTCCAATCTTTGGCCAATTCTCGCATGTCTAACTGAAAATTCAAGGTTTTCGAATCAAAAGGTCAGGGGATCGAAGCCCACTGCGTGCGGACTCACATTTCCGTCACGACAACAATCGGGATGAAAGAAAATGGTGTCGAATTTGACGTGTGGCGGACACGTGTCCATTGTGTCACGTGAGAAATTGAGTTTGCCGAAAAATTTCGCCTTTTCGTATGGGGTTCCAGGAGCGCCGGCCAGGTAAAATGGCCAAATTAGATTGTCGGGAGGCTGCAAAAAACAACATATGTTCCTTTATAAAGGGTACTGTAGTGTTTTTGAGAGACAAAAATCAAGAGTACTGTAGATCTGATTAGATCTAAGCTTCATTTCGGCTTTTGTGTCAAATTTTGATTCAAAAATTCGAATTTTTCCAAAACAAAAAAATACGTTTCAAAATTTTGATATAATTTATTATCAAATATTTTTTTCAATAATAGTCGAAAAAATATGAAAAAAAGTTTTTTAACAAAAAATTTCGATTCAGAAAAAAAATTGATTGATGACGTCGTCAATGGCAAAATTAGGAAACCATTCCTGATTTAGCCACGAGTCATTTTTTTAACAAAAAATTTGGAATTTTCAATGAATTTTATTGTAATTTCGAAAATTATAGCTTATTTTATTTCAGAAAAAATCCACGTGGCATTTTTTCTATTTATGAGGAAAAATTACTATAGAGAGATTTAAAAAAATCAATTTTTTTTGAATTTTCATAAATTAAAAAAAATGTTTTTTTAACATCGAAAGATCAAGAAAAGTCCAAAAATGTCGAAAAAACATTAGTTTTTCGAGTTTTTCAGCCAAAAATGATGACAAATCGATATTTTTCAAGCTTCTAGAGTAATTTCTGATGAAAATTGATCTTGGAATTCACTTTCCAGAAGGTTTTGCTGATTTTTCGTAAAATAAAAAATTTTTAAATTTTGATGAATTTCGAAAAAATTCATAAAATAAAGCAAAATAGGGTTCTCGAAGCTTATTTTCATCAGAAATTACTCCAGAAACTTCAAAAATATTGATTTGTCATCATTTTTGGCTGAAAAACTCGAAAAACTAATGTTTTTCCGACATTTTTTGATTTTTCGTGAATTGATCTTTCGATGTTAAAAAAACATTTTAAAACATTTTTTCGTTCGTGAATCGGCCCTAAAAATCAATTTTTTTGAATTTCCAGAAATTTTTAGGTTTCAAATTTTCAAAGCTTCAAAATTAGCCCCCAAAAACCCTCACCAATGGTGCAGTTCTACATGCACCATTCAACAATTCCACGTCAGCAAACGGCATCGAATTTTCGAGACATTTTTGTGTGGCCAATTCACCGGGTGCCAAATAATTCCGACGGCGGAAAACCATATTTTCAGAAGTTGTCGAATTGATTTGGCGGTTGAGAAAATCGAGTTCGGATGCGTATTGTTGTTGATTTGAAGATGGAATTATTGTGGAGATGCTGAAATTAATTTCAGGTTGAAATTTGGGAGATTTTCAAGCTAAAATTCGAAATTTTAGCTCCGAAATTCGAATTTTTCTGAATTTTTCGATTTTTTTCATGTAAAATTTGATAGTTTTAATTTCAAGTTGAAATTTGAGATTTTCAAGCTAAAATTCGAATTTTTCATGAAAAATTGATTTTTTTAATCATGAATTTTCAGATTCATTTTTGGACCCTGAAATTAATTTCAGGTTGAAATTTGGGAGGTTTTTGAGCTGAAAATTTGGGATTTTTAGCTCCAAAATTTGAATTTTTCTGAATTTTTCGATTTTTTTCATGTCAAATTTGATAATTTTCAAATTTTTTAAAATCCTGAAATTACAGGGTGTTTCATAAATAGTGTTACAAGAGTTGTTCATCTTTAGGTCAGTTTTGTGAATGTTGGGTAATTCCAATCGTTTTGGTCGTAAGATCAAAAATGTAGGGTTTTTCTTCCTCTACAAGAGCTATCTATGTAAAATTGACATTAATGTGTTTTGGACGCTGTTTATGACGTGTAAACAAAAACGAATTTTTCGAAAAATCCTTTTCTGGCACGACGGTCTTTCCAAAAATGAAAAGCCATGAAATCTTTAGTTTTTTTGAGTTTTATGGCTTAATATGATATTTTCTAATGTTAACAATGTTTCTAGTCAAAATTTCACACAACTCCAGATATTCATTATTTTTTTCTTGAACTTAGAAGAAGATCTTCAATTTCGACTGAAACTTCGGATTTTTCCGATTTTTCGACAAAAATATCGTTAAAATCGAGTTTGAATTTTGATGTAATCGGTCAAATCAGGTTTTTATAGAAGAAAAAACAATTGTGGTACAGAAATAATAAATATTGAGTGGAAAAAATCATATTTTTCCACAAAAGCTAAAAAACTCAATTTTATTTTTTGACAATTTCGAAAAGTAGGTTCACTTTGACCTCCCGGCTACGAGTCTACAGTAATGTTGTTACTTTGTCCGTTTTAAACTAACGAAATAAACCCGTCAAAAAGGGTTTTCGAAAGTTACTTTCGGGAAAAGAACAATTTCAAAAATAAAGGATCACATTGAACGAAAAAAATCGTGCGTGCAACAGTGACCCTCCACTGGCACACTTGAGCTGGTGGCAATGGTGTGAAAGTTGAAATGAGATGTTATTCATTCTCAAATCTTGTCATACCTACGTTCGGCTAAGTTTGTGTCAAATAATATTGAGTTTTGATCTTTTGCGCTTCCCTAGGTGAGCGGTGCAAGTTGTAACACTATTTATGAAACACCCTGTAATTTCAGGTTGAAATGTGGGAGGTTTTTGAGCTGAAAATGAGGATTTTTAGCTCCAAAATTCGCATTTTTCTGATTTTTTTCATGTAAAATTTGATAGTTTTCAAATTTTTTAAATTTTTAATTTTGAAATTCTGAAATTTTTTTGTTGAAAAATTAGGATTTTCAAGTTAAAATTCGAATTTTTCTGAATTTTTCGATTTTTTTCATGAAAAATTTGAAATTCTGAAATTAATTTCAGAATTTTTCTCAAAATTTACCTAAATTTTTTGGCCGGCGGCGGTTCCAAAACATCTCCATCAGCTTCTTTTTCTTCGAATTCAAATCCATTTTGAGTTACTGTAGGTATACTGTAGATTTTGGCGCCAAAACTCACATTTTCTTGAGCATTCGATGGTCCCGGTTGATTGGGATCGAAAACCTGGAAAATCCTCGAAATTTCAAAAAAAAATCCCAAAATTTGGCGCCAAAACCTACAGTAATCTGTGAAATCGATGGTTCCTGTTCGTGTGGATTGAAGTGCAAAATGGGAGAGGGCTGCTGAAAAATTTTGATCTACAGTAATTTATTTTGGCGCCAAAAACAGCGTGTTTGGTATCAAAATGCACGAAATTTTGAGGAAAATTCGAATTTTCGCGCGCCAAAACCTACAGTAATCTGAGATGTCGAAGGTCCCGGTAGATCTGAGGAGCCCGCCGAATTTTCCCTTGGATGATCAAATTCCAGATCAGCTCCACCGTAGTTGACGTAGACTTGCGAAAATGATTCCTGAAATTCAAAATTTGGCGGGAAATTCGAATTTGGGCTCAAAAAATCCCAAAATTTCAGGGAAATCTGAAATTTTCAGCACAAAAAAAACTTACATCCTGAAATTCCCTCAAAATATCCTCCAAACTATCTTCATCCATCTGAAAATGTGCTGAAAATTTTCAATTTCAGGTTGAAAAATATCTGAAAACCTTCTGGAAATCTGAAATTCTGAATTTTCAGAATCCTGAATTCAAATTTCTTCAAAAATACAAAAATCTAGGCAATTTTGAACCCGGGAAAAAAGGCGGCGGCAAAGTTTCAAAATTCAAATTTTTTTATTCAAAAAATGGGGTGCAAAATCGATAAAATAAATAAGTTTTGGGCTGAAAATCTGAAAATTTCAGAAAATATACAAAAAATCGGTGGGGAAATGAAATATGGGGGAAAAATCAAATCACAAATCACAGGCGATAAAATATATAAAAATTTTCAAATTTTAGGTTAGAAAATTGCAAATTTCGAGGGCGTTTCGAGAAATTGTTAAAGGGAGGAGGTACCGTAGTTTGCACTACAGTAACCACACAAAAGGCCTTTTTCGGGGCCCAAAAAAGCCTGGGCTTGGGCCTTATTTATTTACAACACGATCCTTTTGATTGTTGTTGTGGTTGATTCATGTCAACGGTTCCCTGAGAATCTTGGCCTTGAGTTGGTCCAACTGGCAACTTTTTCGCTATCGCCATGAACACGTCGTTGACGTTCATTGAGGTCTGCAAAAAATGCGAGGTTACTGTAGGGTCTAGGAGTACTGTAGGTGGAAAATTCATGAAAATTGGAGAAAATCAAGCTAAAATACATCAATTTTGATGAATTTTGACCTGTTTTGAGTGAAATTTTATCAAAATGAAGATTTTTGGGTCTCGAGACGATCCATGAGGTTACTGTAGGGTTTAGGAGTACTGTAGATGTAAAATTCGTGAAAATTGAGGAATTTCGAGCCAAAACACATCAATTTTGATGAATTTTGACCTATTTTGAGTGAAATTTGATCAAAATAAAGATTTTTGGGTATCGAGACGATCTATCGAGATTACTGTAGGGTTTGGGAGTACTGTAGGTGGAAAATTGGAGAAAATCAAGCTAAAATACATAAATTTTGAGTGAAATTTGATCAAAAATCAGATTTTTGGGTCTCGAGACGAGATTACTGTAGGTGGAAAATTCATTAAAATGGTAAAAGCGATTTTCTATGAAATTTGGTTAAAAATGCGCTTTTTTGAGTGAGATCCGTTAAAATAGGATATTTTTGGGTCTCGAGTAGATTTACCCTGGTTACTGTAGGGTTTGGGAGTACTGTAGGTGAAAATTGAAACATTTTGGCATATTTTGTGACAAAAAACATGGAATTTTAGGTCTCGAGAGGATCTACGAAACTACTGTAGACAATTTTGGCGCCAAAAATGAAAAATTCAAATTTTTCAGCGCCAAAAATCCCTCAGGCTTATTTGCTGTCAAAAAACGTGGATTTTTGGGTCTCACAGAGGTTTCTAGAGTACTGTAGATCATTTTTGGCGCGGAAAACTAAATTTTTCAAAGCCTAGGCTTATTTGGTGTCAAAAATCGTCAATTTTTCGTGCAAAAATCACAATTTTGCTCAAATTTCAGCTCAAAATCTCCCATACCTTAGCCGATGTTTCCATAAAAAGTAGTGCATTTTCTTCGGCATACGCATTGGCTTCTTCATATTCGACTACTCGTTTATTCGCCATATCCGCCTTATTTCCAGCCAATGCAATTACGATATTCGGTGACGCTTGTCTTTGGAGCTCTTTTACCCAATTTTTGGCCTTTTGAAACGATTCCTGAAATTAATTTCGGGATTTTTGCGGGGATTTGGAGCATTTTAAGCACAAATTTGATAATTTTCAGAGTTTTCGGTCAAAATTAACAAATTTTGAAGCATTTTAAGCAAAAATTCAATTTCCAGACCAAAAAATAAGCTTAAAATTCAATTTTTATGTAATTTTTAACTCAAAATCCATCAATCTTCGTGAATTTCAGCTTTTTTTCAAAAATTCCAACCTGATTTGTAATATCATAAACAACTATGGCCGCTTGCGATCCTCTATAATACATTGGTGCCAATGAATGATATCTTTCCTGTCCGGCCGTGTCCCAAATCTCGAATTTCACAGTCGCTTCTTCGAGGCACACCTGGAATTAATTTCAGGATGAAAAATGGTCAAATTTGGAGATTTTTGAGTGGTTTTTGTGTGAAAATGATGGAAATTCTCACTTTTCAACATTTTTTGCGAACATTTTTAAAAAATTGAGAAAATGACACGTGGCAAAATTGCTTTAATATTGTCAAAATTGAAAAACGAACTTCGTCAGTCGCGTGCGGCTGTGCGGCGCGGTTGGAAAACAATTATTTCCCGACCGCGCCGCACAGCCGCACGCGACTTACGAAGTTCAGCTAGAACTGGTTTTCAATTTCGACATGGTGCCAAAATCTTAACCATGTAATATACATAGTTTGACATCGACCAAATGACATTTTCATGTATTTTAAGCAAATGAGTTGAAATATTGGATTTTAATCGTATTCATATGATAGAATGGTCTAAGACGAACAGAATGATATAAATTTTGATGACTTTACGTTATCCATAAGTGATTTAGCCACACCTGGAGAGACAGTGTCCAAAAATTTTTGTACAGTGTGAAATTTTTTCAAAAAAAAAATTGTGCAGCGTGAAAATCTGAAGTTTTCGAAAAAAAAAACCTCGCCGGCAATAGGACTCGAACCCTGGTCTCATGCACGCCAGTCAAAACTGCTATCCTCTCGGCCACATCTCTCTTTTCTCCCGAGGGGAAAATGTTGGTGGAAAGGAAACTGTTTTCAAACGAATGCGTTCCAACGTTGCTCAAAATTTGAAGTTAGGAAAACTAAGCTTAGACTTGACGAACATGGTTGAATTTTTTATGATAGATTGCTAAGGTCATAGGCAGTGTGGAACACCATGAGTGCAGTGTGGAAATGCCCTATTTCGCTGTTATTTTGAAGTGTCCATTTTGATGGAAAAATTGGCCACTAGAAAGAATCGCGGGGCATTTTTTACTAAGGCAACCTCCAGGTTTGGTTTCTTCACAAAGTAGGGGTATTTTTGTGTCTAGTTTTTGAATTTACCCATGTGCAGTGTGGAAATTGATTTTGAAAGTCACAATTGATGAAAAACAGTTTTTTACTGGACACTATGTTTTTCTAGGCGAGTAATCAATTTCCACACTGCACATGGAGTTCCAATTAGATAAAAGACTGTCTAGAAACTATATTCATTTTAAAAATGAAGATTTATTGAGGTATAAACTTGTTTGTTATAGTGTGAAAAATTGAAAAAAAAAATAAAAAATTGCTTCGTTGAGCAAAACCGAACCGGTGACCTTGTGATTGAGGGCGCAGCGTCTTAGCCACTCGGACAATTGTGTGTTTTTATTTAAGAAGAGAAATGTTGGTGAAAAGGAAACAGGTGATTTTTTTTCGAAAAAAATACAGTGTGAGTTTTGAAAAAAATGTACAGTGTCCATTTTGGACACGTCTCGTCAGGTGTGGATTTAGCGATGTTTAGTCGATAAGCCGCTAAATCACTTATGAATAACGTAAAGTCATCAAAATTTATATCATTCTGTTCGTCTTAGACCATTCTACCCTATGAATACGATTAAAATCCAATATTTCAGCTCACTAGCTAAAAAACATGAAAATGTCATTTAGTCGATGTCCAACTATACCACGTAGTATCAAAAATCTCATCGGTACCACGCGCTCCACCGAAATAAACACGCAACGCAGACCGCGCTGCGCCACAACACACACAAAAAAGGGAGGGAATTTGAATCGTTCCCTTATTTGTGTGTGTTGTGACGCGACGCGGTCTGCGTTGCGTGTTTATTTCGGTGGAGCGCGTGGTACCGATGAGATTTTCGATAATATTAACTCGGATTTTGGGAAAAAATTTAAATTTTATAAAATTAGGAGATCTTTGGGGGTTTGCCAAAAGAAAACACCCAAAAAGCATCCAAAAAGCATACCGTTTGTGTCAAAAACGCGGCGCCAATCGTCGACTCTTGATACTCGTGAAATTGTCCTTTGACGAATCGCAAAACCAACGACGATTTTCCTGTAGAAAAACATTTATATGTCTCAACTTCAGGGAAGTGCATGAAATTTTGATGAAACATATCAAATCGACCATGCTGATCACGATTCCGAAGTCAAAAATTTTCACAAATGCATGTGAGCACTTTTCTTGAGCTCCAAAAAAAATAGAATTGAGGGTCGGTTTTTGCCAATTTTCATTATTTTATTGAAAATACACAGGTTTTATAAAGTTTTTTTGGGCAAATTTTGATATTTTTTTAAAAACACCGAAACTAAATTCCAACTTTAGAGCTCCAGACAAGTGCTCACAGGCATTTGTGACAATTTTTGCCTTCGGAATCGTGATCAGCATGCTCGATTTGGTATATTTCGATATGTTTCATCAAAATTTCCCTTGTAAATTGCCTGAAATTTGGACAAAATATCAAAAAACACTCACCAACTGCACTCTCGCCCAACAAAACCAATTTGAATTGGCAGACTTTTTGGCGCGCCGCCCGGACGGGCTCCCGACGATGCTCCGGAATTACGCGACATTTTTGTGTGGCGGGAGGGCTGGAAAATTTGAATTCAGCGAAAAATCAATAAATGTTACGAAATTCCTATGAGATGACTCATAAAAAAGTGAGAAATGTAACGGAAAAATGAGAAGATGACATGAAGAAAAATAATGGGTATTTGAACAGCTTGCCACGTGGCAAGGGATTTTTGGCGGGAAAATTCAAAATTCAAATGTTCGCGCCAAAATAGAGGTTTTTGAATTTTCGAAAAAAAATAAGGGATTTCTGCATTTGTGCGTAATCTCTAGTGTTTCGAAAATTTAGCGGGAAAACACGAAAATTCAAAAACTATCTTGAGAATCAAATTTTCGCGCCAAAACTATATTTCCACGTGGCAAGATAATTTTGGCGCGAAAATTGATTTTCAAAAATTTTGGTTTAGCAAAGGTCTGCTTGATATCCAAATGAAATTTCGAAATATTATCAATGTTTAAATTTTCGGCCTGTTTTCGCTTGAAATTCATGAATTTCAGCTCAAAATCCTGCTAAAATTCTAAAAAATCAGAATTTTTAGTCAAAAACCGGGCAGCTTCACTGAAAATAAACACACAAAAGTATCAAATTCCCGTGCAAGCTTCACATTGATAAACGAAAATTAAATAAACAAAACAAAATTATCGATTGATTTTTTGATAAACATGCACCTTTAAAAACTCCCAAATCACATTTTTTTACATTATCAATCAAAAAATCGATAAAATCCATCCACAGATATTCATTTGGATGTATCTATTAGTGATGACAAAAAAGCAGGCAAACACACAGAGAAAAATATCGACCTCATTTGGCTGCGTACTTGGCTGCGTAGCACACGTTGTAGCATGAGAGAGTGGCAGAGAAAACGAGAGAAAAGCCGACGGGGAGAAATGGATGTGTTTTTTGGCTTGTTTTTGTGGGGTGGCTGGGGGAAGAAGATAAAATTATTAATATTTATGAAGGGATTCCGTTTTTTTTTGGATTTTAGCGGGGAATTCCCGGTTTATGGCTAAATATTAGCGTTAGAGTGGAATTGATCTCGAAAATCCACGTTTTTTGAGTCTAAACAAGTCTGGGCTCATATTTTAGGCCTGGCCCTCAAAAAGCCTAAAAAATTCATATTTTTGATACCAAATAAGCCCAAACCTAATTTTTGAGGCCAAAAATTGCCAAAAAAATTTCCAAAAATAAATTGAAAATGAAAAAAAAAACCAGAAATAAAGAACAATTTCCGCGTGAACCAAAAAAAATAGAAAAAAACCGCATTTCCTACATTTTTCCACATGAAATGCATTCATTTCGCAATAGAAAATTTGTCACATGAGGCGCCTATCATATGAATCGATTTGCATTTAACTAAAGTTTTCGTTTTGATGATAAAACGTGAAAAACAGCGGTTGAAAATGCAAAAACAAACAAAAAACAAAAATATTTTTTTGAATGAAATTGTGCGCGCGGCTGCTGTTCGTTGCGAGACCCAATGCAATTTTTATTGTATGTTGCTTGGAATTTTTTCGTTTTTCGCGCCCTTTTTCCAGCCCCAAAATGCAATTTCAGCAAATTTTCAGACTCACAAAATGTCAACACGGAAGGCCGCTTTGCTCGCCGTCGGCTCTTTCAATCCACCAACAATTGCTCATCTTAGAATGCTCGAAACGGCCAAATCTCACCTAGAAACTCTCAATTTTCAAGTTTGCGAAGGAATTATGAGCCCGGTGGCGGATTCGTACAATAAAAAGAGCACAGTAGTGAGTGCTCAGCATAGGTGAGCTTGGATTTTTGGTGATAAAATCGAAAATTTATCGATTTTCTTTCAAAATTCGTCAAATTTAGGTTCAAAATGGTGAGCGCAGCGACAAAAAGCTCAAATTGGATACGAGGAGACGATTGGGAATGCACACGACCCACGTGGACACGAACTTTAGCTGTGCTAAAGCATCATTTGGAAGGAGTTAGGGTAAGTGTTTTGGGGGCGGGGAAGAAAAGAGGATTTGCTATGGAAAGCCGATTTTTGATTATTTAGAGGGAAAAGCTTGGATTTCAAGCTTAAAATGATTGAAAATAAGGTGTTTTTGGTGGAAAATCTGAAAATTTCTTGAAAATTCAGCTTTCTGGATGAAATTTTCATGAAAATCGATAATTTCAACTCCCAGAGCTTGAATTTCAGCTTTTCAAGCTTAAAATTTAAAAAAATTTCAGAATTTTCGAGAAAATTCTGTTAGAATCAAGTTTCTAGAACAAATTTTCATGAAAAATCGATAATTTCAGCTCCTGGAGCTTGAAATTTAGATTTTAAAGCTCAAAATTCAAAAAATTTCAACATTTTAAGTTTCTTGAACAAATTTTCATAAAAAATCGATAATTTCAGCTCCTAGAGCTTGAATTTCAGCTTTTCAAGCTCAAAATTTAAAAATTTCAGAATTTTCATGAATATTCTGTTAGAATCAAGTTTCAAGAACAAATTTTTATGAAAGTTCGATGATTTCTGTTCCTAGAGCTCGATTTTCAGCTTTTCAAGCTTAAAAATACGTAAAAGCCTGAAATTCTCAAATTTTTCATGAAAAGATCAAAAAATGTCTGAAAATTCTCAAATTTTCCATCAAAAATCAACTTTTCTAGCTCATTTTCCTCCTGAAAACCTCCAAAATCCAAATTTTCAGCAGAAACACGGTGCTGAAACTTGTCTCTTCCTTGTAGTCGGCGGTGATGTCGTCGATTCCTTCCCTCGAATTCTTCCCGACGGTTCGAATTTGTGGAACGCCGATGATATTCTCAAAATCATCATGGATTTCGGGTTAATTGTGATAAGTCGTGACGGAGCGACACCGCTGCAAACTTGCCAGGCGATGCCAACGATTTGCCACGTGGCGGATAGGATTACGATACTTGAGGTGCGTGAAAATCCACGTTTTTTGACACCAAACAAGCCTATATTCGATGAGCTACAAAATATGCGTCAGCATTGAGTGCTGACGCATTTTTTGTAGATTTTGTTACTAAATTCGGATCGAGGAAGTCAAGAAAATCAGTTTGATACCAAATAAGCCAGGGTACAAAATATGCGCCAGCGAAATTCATATAGCTGCAAAAAATGCGTCAGCAATAGGTTGCTGACGTGTTTCTTGAGCATTCTTAAATCAAGGCTTTGTAGTCTCATATTTTCCACCCTTCAAAAATTCACCAACAATGCGCCAGCATTGAGTTGCTGACGCATTTTTTGTACCTCACGGCTTGTTTGGTGTCAAAAAACGTGGAATTTCGCGCCAAAACCTACAGTAACCCTCAAAATTTTCTCAATTTTCGTTGCAGGACCAAGTTCTACCAAATCTGATCAGTTCAACTCGCCTGCGTCAAGCGATTCTGGCGCGAAAATCGATAAAATACGCCACTCCCGATGACGTCATCGACTATATTCGGGAAAATAATTTGTACGCGGCCTAGAATTTGGAGCGTGTTTTTCTAGGCCACAGGATTTGTTTTTTTTTTGTCAAAATTTTCATACGGGTATCTTTTTTTTTTTGGGAAAATTTTGAATAAAAATTTGAAAAAAATTATTTTTTTTTGCATGATTTTTGTTGTTGTCGTGAAACCCACTGTATATTTTAAATTTCCAATTTTTTCGCGCCAAAAAAAATGGACACTTTTCCCAAGTGTCCATTTTTTGCCTTGCGGCCAGCTAAAAAGTTGTTCTTCACTTTTTTTTATAGATTTTTTGTTGTGGAGCAAATAGGAAAATGGTGGACGCTGGTGGAGAAGGTTGGTGATTTTTGGGTGAAATTTTTAAGGCCAGGGAACTCAATGTTGACGCGTTTTTGGTGATCTACGTGAAATTTGATGAATTTTGATACCAAATAACAGTAAATTTGAACAACCTACAAAATTTACGTCAGCAAATCTTTTACTGACGTATTTTTGGTACCTAGGCTTATTTGGTATCCAAATAATCATTGGAAACTGTCCTAGATAATAAAACTAATCAAAATCTACAAAAAATGCGTCAGCAAATCTTATGCTGACGTATTTTTGGTACCTAGGCTTATTTGGTATCAAAATAATCCTTATCACTTTTCTCATTCAAATTCACCTACAAAAATTGCGTCAGCAACTAATTACTGACGCATCTTTGGTGCATAACTTGTTCTCTCTCTCAAAGTTTACACCAAAATGTATCATTTGTTGACTGCCTGCTTCAAAACAGCAGAAGGCGAGATATTTTGTCACCCCCAGGAGACACATTTATTATTATTGCTCATTTTATTTATTTATTCATTTTTATTTGTGTGTTTTGGGTGCACGGACTGCACATTTTGAAACAATGTGTAATTTTTGAACCTTAAAAATCCACGTGACAAAAATTATGTATTTATTTTTGCTGGTGGCCACTGGTAATCTCAGGATCGCGGGTTCGATCCCCGGTGCGCGCTATTTTTTCCTTTATTTTTTATTCGTTTTTTTTTCATAACATCAATCACAATTTTCTGTCCTCACATTGACATTTTTGAAAATATCAAGCCAAACCTAATCATTAAAACTAATTGTTGCCTCAATTTTTTTTCACTTCATTGTCAGTCTTCAAAAATGAAAATCTTCGATGAAGAGCCGATTTTTTTATTGAGCTCGATGATTTTATTTCACTTTCGCCTACCGTTTTTCTATCTATTCCTAAAAACACCCGAAGAAGAGAAGAAAGCAATCATCTATCGAATTTATAAATGGATTGCTGTTCATGTTTTGCTCGCTTCAATTATTCATTATGTTTCCGCAGGGCTCATATTCAGTATGTATTTTATCGAAGATGTTATTTATAGTTTCATAGTGATTAGTGTAATTGCTGTTTTCTATATGTTCGATCTATCCGACACTGGTTTTTTGTTATTGATATCGATTCAAAGATTCGTAATCATTGCAGATATCCAAAAATTAGTTAAATTCGTTCAAGGAAAATGGTTAATTTCTCTCCTTTCGCTGAATTATATTGTTGTTCTCGTTAAGGTTTATTTTAAGCTTGGATTATTAAATCCTCCAAAACTATGCACCTATTATTCTTACTTAACTGGTGATTTTTAGTATATTTATCAAAACAGATCGAAAATGACTGTTACTGCGCTCTATTTCAATGATGTATTTCAAGCTATCAGTTTATCAGTTTCAATACTCTTATTCGCACTTACACTCTATATAATTCACAAGAATCGTCACATTTTATCAGAGACTCGAAGAAGAGCCGAATTATCGATTATTTATCAGAATATTCCGATTGTCTTCAGTTTTTTGTTAAAGTATTTGGCACTTGTTGTAGTTTATTTTATTCGGGAAGAAAATGATAGTCGAGACGATGTTTTCAGAACATATGTTTGTAATAATTTAACAGATATTGACATGGTTTTTCCGATTACTTATACTATTGCTTATCTTGATAGATTTAAACCTTTAATTTCAAAGTTAACTTGCGGTTTCAAATGTTGTATTTGTTGCAAGAGAAGTAATCGAATCAGTGATAGATCTATGCAATTTATGAGTACAACACGACATGCGATGGAAACCCCTCCAGCTAATTGATAAAATTTATTGCTGATGAATATTTAGTACTTTTTTGTCTAGTGAAAACACATCTTGGCCAATGAGTACAATTTTGTAAAATCTAAATTTGAATATTTTTGAGGTCCAAAAAAAGCTAGCGTACAACTTTGATTTTTGGAAGCAACGAACATTGTTAGCCGAGGTCTGAGAGATCGGTTCCTTCGTTTCGAAAAAAAGAACTGTGAAGTTTTAAGGTCATATCGTTTCTGTTCCAATGGTCAAAACATTTTGAATTGACACTAGAAACACTCCCAAATATCTAGAAAAAAATAAAATATTTTATCAACAGTACATTCAATTAATTAGCTGGAGGGGCTTCCATTGCATGTCGTGTAGTACTCATAAATTGCATAGATCTATCACTGATTCGATTACTTCTCTTGAAATAAATACAACATATGAAACCGCAAGTTAACTTTGAAAATAAGGGTTTAAATCTATGAAAATGAGCAATCGTATAAGTCAAAGGAAAAATCATCTCAACACTTGTGAAATCATTACAAACATATCTTTTGAATATTTTTTCTCGACTATCATTTTCTTCTCGTATAAAATACACAACAACAGCTGAAAAATATGTGAAAATATAAGCAGCAATCATCGGAATATTCTGATAAATAATCGATAATTCTGCCCTTCTCCGAGTTTCCGATAAAATATGTTGATTTTTATGAATTACGTGAAATGTTAGGATAAAAAATATTAGCGAAATAGATACTAATATTGGTTCAATTGCAGAACTTACATAAAATGTATAAATATTCGCTTCCGATCTATTGACATATTTTGTATGTTCTATTCCAATAATCACAACATCGTAAAATGAACAACTCGATGTGTTAAAACCCTCAAACCCAAATTTGACTTTGAAAATAATTACAACATAATTCAATGAGAGAAAAAAGATCAACCATTTGTCTTGAACAAATTTGACCAATTTCTGAATATCCGAAATAACAACAAATCTTTGAATCGAGATTATTAACAAAAATCCAGTTTCGGATACATTAAACCAAATTATACGCTTGAACAAAACCACTGCAACATACGAGTAGAGTATGCTATTCACAAACCCAAGAGAGAATATAATTAATATACAAGCAAAGTATAATATTGTATGCAATAAAATATAAACAGCAATCCATTTATAAATTCGATAAATTATTGCCTTCTTTTCTTCCTCTGGAGTTTTTAGGAACAGATAAAAAAATGTTAACCGGCAATATCGTATAGTGTTGCTATATACAAAATAAAAAGGATCTCTATCAAAAGTGTTCACGACAGAAAAATCATGTGACTCATTGTCAGACATGTTTTTCTCCATTCTCAAATTTTTAAATTAGCGAGACTTTTAGGAAATTGAGAGACTTTTATCTCACAAAATAGTTTTACTTCAGAAAAATTCGGATATAAAGTGAATATAAGATTTGAGACTGAAATTATTTTTAATACTAGGTTCGCTCTGTCAGTTAAAATGTTATCGCTCCATCTCCACATTGAAATTTTGATAAAAACCTTCTCAAACCCTTCATTAATTTTTTTTCTCGAATTTTTTATTCACTTCACTCAAAAAAAAAAATGTTATCCATCGATGAAGATCCGATTTATTTTCTATGTAAGAATATTTTAAGATTCTCTCGAATACCATTCTTCTACCTATTCCTAAAAACACCAGACGAACAAAAAAATGCAATAATTTATCGAATTTATAAATGGATTTTTGTTTATACTTTGATCAAAACATTGTATTATTGGGTTTTCATCGGACTTGTATGTTTTGCAAAAGTTTTTCAAAGTGCAGTTTATACTGTTTTGGTCCTGGGGTTTTTCAACAAAGTTTATTCATTCGATATATCCGACACTGGATTTTTGTTAATAATATCGATCCAAAGGTTCATTATCATTGCGGATATTCAAAAATTGGTTAAATTTGTTGAAGGAAAATGGTTGATTTTTTTCCTCTCGTTTAGTTATGCTGTAATCTATGCTGAAGCTCGTTTCGAATCAAGTTTCCGTTGTCATATTGATGCTTGTTACTTGTATGCTTACGTCTATGATGAATTTAAGTTCTTTAATAGTATAAACTTCAAGCGTAGAACGACACCAGTAAACTGTGGTTTTTTCATATTTTCTTATCCTCTATTTGAACAAATAATGGTATCAATCTCGATTATACTGTTCATCCTAACATTCCTCAAAATTCGTAAAAATCGACACATTTTATCAGAGACTCGGAGAAAAGCCGAATTATCGATTATTTATCAGAATATTCCTATTATTTTTTCCTTTATTTTCACATATTTTTCAGCTATTGTAGTGTATTTTATACGAGAAGAAAATGATAGTCGAGAAGAAATATTCAAAAGATATGTTTGTAATGATTTCAAAAGTGTTGAGATGATTTTCCCTTTGACTTATACGATTGCTTATTATCATAGATTTAAACCCTTATTTTCAAAATTATGTTGCGGATTCAAATGTTGTATTTGTTGCAAGAGAAGTAATCGAATCAGTGATAGATCTATGCAATTTATGAGTACTACACGGCATGCAATGGAAGCCCCTCCAGCTAATTAATTTAGTGTGCTGTTGATGAATTTTTGCTGTATCAGCTTGTCAAGCTAATATTCCTTCCGCTACTCAGATGTTCCTCTGATTCGTACCGACAAAATATAGAGTTTTGAATTTTGAAATCAAACTTTTTCGCGCCAACCGGACACACACTTATTCTTGTTCCTCTTTTCAAGGAGTGTATTATGTTCAAACATAATACAACACACACAAGAAAAAAGACATTCGAAAATATTTTTCGACAATTGTTTGTCAACTACTTGCAAAGGGGGCTCTTCGCAAATAAAATAACGGTTCTTTTTGAGCCGAATTTTGGCTCATTTTTGGAGTTTTGTTTTTTGAAACGTGACCCAGATTTTTCTTCTTTTGGAATTTTTTTGAAGTTCGAAAAATTGAGCATTTCTGAATTCATCAAAAATACTAACAAGGCATTTATTTCATCTCTGAAAATGTGGAAATTACGAGAATTTGTGAGTTTTCAGGATTTTTCCACGTGGATTTCGGACTTCAAAAAAATTTTTCTCTGGACTCTCTCTCTCTATCTCTCTCCTCCACCCCCCCCCACTAATTTCTAGTTCATTAGAGCGCAAATTGAATTTTTCACACTAACCTTGCCAGAATTCATGCAGGAAATTCAAATTTCCTGGTCTCCCTGCAAATTTTCTCTAGCAAATGTATTTTTGTTCCAAAAAATTTCAAAAATAAAATTTTATTTTTGAAAAAAAATCCGACCACAAAAACAAATAAACAATGCTATTTCGGTCTGTTATCTTTGATTTTTTTCAAATTTTTTTATTTTGAAAAAAATTGTCATTTTTTGCTCTTCTTTTCAAAATGCGTTTGAAAATTTTCTTTAAAAAAAAATTGTTGAGAGAAAACTTGTTCCCGTGGTGCTCACACACATGTTTTGAGTTTTCACGAGACAAGTGGTTTTTATTGATTTTTGCCGCAAATTTATGTTCTGCGCTAATATGAGCAATGATTTTGTTTGTTTTTTGAGTCTCATTGAGGACAAAATATATTTTTAAAGTGATTTTTATTGATTACAAATTTTTTCAATAAGAGATTTACGGTAATCAATTTTCTACAACATTATTCATTCTTGTTGTGCTCTTGAATTGTAACGAATTATCACTGATTCGATTTCTTCTCTTGCAACAGCAGCAGCATTTCAAGCAACAAGCACAGCAAGAAAATAAACTTTGAAATCTCGCAAAATTGGCGGCCGTATAAACCACCGGAAAAATTGATTCGACACGTATAAAGACGCTACAAACAACCATTCTGAAATAATCATCTCGATCATCGTAGCTTCCCTCGTTTCGAATGAAATAAATCACCAAAGCTCCGATGTATTTGTAAATGAACGCAATGAGAATCGGAGTATTTTGATAGATAATCGATAGTTCGGCTTTTCTCTTAGTCTCTGATAAAATGTGACGATTTTGACGAATCACAATAAAAGTGAGGATGGTGAATATAAATGTTATTGTAAGAAATATGAATTCGGGAATCGCTTTGATTAAAATCCCGTAGTCGACGATTTCGAAGCCTGTTTCATTTTGAGTACATTTGTATTCGTCACGAACTATCATGAAAAGTGCGCAAGTTGTATGCCTTCGACAAGATAAACTAGGCATAAAAATGGTTCGTGTTAAAATTTCAACATAATTTAGTGATAGCAATAAAATCAACCATTTTCCTTGAACGAATTTAGCTAATTTTTCGATATTCGCAATAATGACGTATCGTTGTATAGAAATTATGAATAGAAAACTGAACTCGGGAAAATTACCTGGTTCAAAAAGCACGTTTAACACTAGCAAGAGCATTACCACAATATTATCACCGAAAATTTGGACTAAAACAATAGTGACAATCATTATGGTAGACCCTATTGTTTTGATTGAAATATGAACGAAAATCCATTTATAAATACGATAGATTATGGCTTTTTTTATCTTCTTTTGGTGTTTTTAAGAATAAATATGTGTAAGATATATGAATGAATATGAAAACCCAAGGAACAAGAAAATAAATCGTGTTCTCTGTTGGCGACATTTTTGAGAAAACTAGATGGAGTCACAAGATTTCAGTTTGAGCTAATAAGGGGTTATTAATCGAAGTAAATGTCAATAGGGAACCTCGACTTTGAAGTTTTTCGTTTCTTCAAGGAATCTTCATTTATGTACATAGATAGACTCCTTGAAAGTTTCAGCTCCAGAAAACATGCCTGTTAAAGAATATGCGCTGTAAATTATAGATCTCCAGAGAAGTTCTCAAATATCAATTTTCCGACATTTATCGTAATCTTCAACTACATACTAATTATGAAAAATTTGTCTGAGATCTCATTCATTATTTCAAAATGGAAATCGATCAGGCGAACCCTGTTTTGAAATGGTATGCAGATTTTCTTCGATTCATGTGGATACCTTACACTATTCTATTTCTGAAAACTCCAGAAGAAGACAAAAAAACGTTAATATATCCCATCTATAAATGGATTTTTATTTATACTCTTACTCAGACAGTGTTATATTTTATGGAATGGGCTGCTGTATTCAGTATATATTTTTTCAAGAGTATTATTTTGACCACACTTGTTTTCTATTTTGTGAAACTGGCTTACTTTTGGGCTGGAAATCAATCAGAAACTGGCTTTTTATTGATTATTTCAATACAAAGATTTGTTATTATTTCGGATTTTCGAAAATTGACGAAATTTGTTCAGGAAAAATGGTTGATATATTTTCTATGGATGAATTATTTGCTTATTTTTTGTCTTAAAACTTTGAAAATCATGTTCAGCTGTGATATATTTCCTTGTCCTCTATTCGCTCTTTCAACTGGTCAATTTATACATGATAAATGTATCAATAATTCCATATCAAAAATCAATCGTTTAATATATTTTGAAGTGTTTCCTGAATCGATTAGTGTATTCATGTCGATAATATTTTTCGTCCTAACTTTCATCACAATTCATTCAAATCGTCACATTTTGTCTGAAACTCGAAAAAGAGGCGAATTATCGATTATTTATCAGAATATTCCTATTGTTCTTGGTTTCCTTATCCAATATTTCACATCTTTCGTCATTCATTTTATTCGAGTGCAAAATGATAGTCGTGATGTCTTATTTCAAAGTTTTCTTTGCAATGATTTGACGAGTGTGAATTTGATTTTTCCTACAATTTATACGGTTGCTAACTTTGGAAGACTTCGAACTTTGCTCTCGAAATTGTTTTGTTGCTTAAGATTTTGTTATTTTCACAAAAGAAATAATCGAGTCAGTGATGGAGCGAATACAACAGTTTATGCGATAGAAGCTAATCCAGTTAATTGATCAATTTTAAAAATAAATATGCCAATACTCACATTCAGGAAAAAATTAGCGACGGTGCCGCGACCTTTTTTCTTTTTACCAGGGTACCGCACTTTTCTTGTGTTCGGACTGGTACGGAACAAGTTCGGCACCCGAACAAAGTCAAAATTTCCGGTTTTTCGAGCTGATGTTGCTCTGGTACCTTACGGTTTTTGCCCTGGTGCAGCGACGTCGCGGGTACTGTGACAAAATTGGTTCGGTACTGTCGCTATTTTTTTTCCTGAGTAGTTCCTTTGATTTTTCACAAAAACTTTATTAACTAATTAATTTTATCACTGGAGATTCTTGCAATACGTTGATCATTTTCTCGATTTCCTCTCGAATAGCAACATAAAAACAAATCGCGAAATCTCGCAATGTTAGTAATCGTATAAACCACTGGGAAAACAACATCAACATCTGTGAAATCACTGCAAATCAATAATTGAAAAACCTCGTCTCGTCGATCATTTTCCACACGAATCATATAAATCGCAAAAACTGTAATGTATTTGAGGACTAAAGCAGCGAGAATAGTGAAATTCTGGTAGATGGTTGATTTTTCTGATTTCTTTAGGGATTCTGATAAGATGTAGGGGTTTTTGGGGACTTTGAGAATGGTTAGAATGAAAAATATCGATGTGATTGATAGAATTATGGGTTCTGGTAGAGTCTCAAGATATAGTGAACAGGAATACTGGAAATTCCCGATTGTTAGATTGGAAAGTGGGCAAGCGTTTATTCCATAGTCACAACTCAAGAAACGTGCATGCGTAGAGAATATCGTATAGATTAATGATAGGTAGAAAATTAACCATTTTCCTTGAACAAATCTCGCCAATCCCGACTTGATCAAAAATCTCTGAATCGCTATCATCAAAATGAATAGAAAAATCATAAGGGGGATTTTTTAATTTGTGGAAAACCTCAACACCTGGAATCATCAGAATTGGTAGCCAATTTTTTGACTGAAATATGAACGAAAATCCATTTGTATATTGGATAACTCGTCGATTTTCTCTCGCTTTCAGAAGCTTTTAAGAATAGATAGGTGTACGATACCCAAAAGATTCGTAATATCCAATAGAGTGTGTAGTACTTTGGGAAGTCTTCAAACGCCATTTTGTGAGTTTGTTAGTTGACAAAATCTGAGTTTAGAGGTAACTAATGAGCAGTTTGGTAAATGTCACTAAATTGCTATGAAGAGACGCAGAGAAGACAATTGAATCAAAGTTTTTTTTTGGAATAGGAATAAGAATAGGTAATGCGGTTTTGTCACTCCGGAAAAAATAAGAGGGGTTCCCAAAAACACATTTTTTTGCGAGCTCCAGGTTTTGGTTGGAAGCTTTTTCGCATTTTTTGTGGCTCTGTGCTCTCGACGTCTGTCGTACCTGCACTCTGGTAGTCTAGCTTCTCTGCGTCTCTCTCTGCCCGGCGGTTTCTCTGCACTCTCTCGAACTCTTGTTGTCTCTGTCTAGCTTCTCTGAGTATATTCTCTCTCTCTCTCTATCCGTCTACTAGTCTCTGCTCTCTCTCTCTCTAACTATTGTGTTCTCTAGCTATATCGTTTCTCTTTATCCTATTATCTCTAAATCTTCTTCGTACACCTACACTCTGTGATCTACTCATCTAGCCTCTCGGCGTCTCTCAAAAGCTAGTTGTCTCTAGCCATCTAACCTCTCCAAACCTCTCACATTCACCTGCACTCTAGCCATCTAGCTTCCCTGAACCTCTCCGGTCCACATCTACTCTGTTCATCTAGCCTCTCTGCGTCTCTCAAAAGCTAGTTGTCTCTAGCCATCTAGCCTCCTTGAACCTCTCACATTCACCTGCACTCTAGCTGTCTAGCTTCTCTGTATGTCTCTCAAAACCTAGTTGTCTCTAGCCATCTAGCCTCTCTGAGCCTCCCCAAATCACATCTACTCTACTCGTCTAGCCTCTCTGCGTCTCTCACTCGTCTTCCCTGAATGTGTTCTATTTATTTGTCCACCTCCTCCTCGTTTTTTTTCTTCGGGCAATCTATGTTTGTAAATATTTTCTGTTCTGTCTGTTTGAAGAGACGATAAATATATGTGGATTTTCGGATCCATCTCGTTTTTTTTTCTTGTCTCCGCCAGAGATCAATATCTCGTATTTCGTCGTAGTTGGAAGAAATTTCTTGAAAATTTTCTCTTTGTTTTTTTTCGGGCTGAAAATTGAACAAAAAGCTTCGCCAGAACATAAAAGAGAAAAAGAAGACAATTAATTTTGAGTACACACTTTGTCTTATTTTTTTTGTGTGCTCAATGAGCCGAAAGAATTTTTTCTTGAGAATTTTTTGGCGCCAAAAATCCCCTATTTTCTCCTGAAAAATATACGTTTCAAAGTTGTGATAAGTCGAAATTCTGAGTTTTCGGAGATGGTAAAGTTCGAAGTTTTGAAATTTTATAATTTTCGCGCCCTCTATGCCACGTGGCATTGTTTCTCTGCTTCTCTAACCTCTCTCACCTACCTTCCCAAATAAAAACCACCTGTCCAAAGTCAGCTGTGTCTTCTTTCCTTTTCTCCTCCCGTTCCCCCATTCATTTTTCTCTGCTTCTCTGCGTCTCTCATCTCAGCGTCTCTCTCTCGACTTTTTTTGGTTTGAAATTTGAGATTTTTTATGAATTTTTGATTTTCTTGGGAGAATTTTGCGAAATTTTTTTCGAAACAATTTTGGCAGCCAGATAGATTTGTTTCCTTCCGGAGCAGCAAATTTGAAACACTTTTCTGTTTATTTTTTGGGGTGAAAGAATTTTGTTTTCTCAATTTTCGCGCCAAAATTCAAAGATCCCCGCGGAACTTATGAATATTCAAAAAAAATCAAATTTTTTTCCACAAAATTTCAAATTTTCCCGCCAAAAATCACTATGCTCAGCTTAAAATGACTAAGACACGAAGACAAAAAAAAGTGTCCCGATTTTTTTTTATCTAATAGAATTTTCAATTTGTGTGCCTTCGGGCACACAAATTGCTCCGCGCTTCGCTTTTTTGTCGACTTTTTTTTGTTGCTCTTCCCTAGTTTTTTTTGCGCAGTATGTGTGTGAATAATTAATCAGATCTTCATCACTTTTTCTTCATTTTTTTGCTCAATGTTTTGAGCACAGTGAAATTGGCATCGTTTATTTGTTGTTTTTAGTTTTGTCAGCGAAATTTTTCATTTTTTTTTCAACATTTTTCAACAAGTTTTTTTGATACTAAGGCCTGGACCAAGCCTGAAATTGGGCCTTAAATAAGCCTAAGCTTATAGTGGAACCTGAAATTAGTCGCATACGTTTCTTTTAATCCAGATAAGCCTTAGTTAAGGCCCAAGCTTGATCTAGGGCCAAGCCTAAATTTGGTCCAAGTTTTTTGACCAGGCCTAAGCCTAGATTCAGGCCCTGAGTTTGAGCTATTTCCAATTTTATAAGGACTTACGGTCTTTGAGATCCTTAAGAAGCAATTTCTTAAGGTTTTTAGAATATTTAAGGTCTCTCTGATTTTTTCAGAGGTCCTTAAGGTCACTAAAAAACATTGGTAGCCAAGTTTTAAGGGCCTTGAGGATTTCCAGGCCCGAAAAATCCATGTTTTTGAATCTAAATGCGCCTGAGCCCGGATTTTAAGTGAATCCTGAATCCAGGCCCCACGATTTTGAATCTAAATAAGCCCAGGCCTAAATCTAGCCTACAAAAATAATCATTTTTTTGTCATGATTCATTCAGTCATCAAAATATTTGAAAAAAAAAATCAAAATTTCCAACAAAAACCAGTTTTTCCTCCCCTCCCAGATTATGATTGACTGATTTTTTCCCAAAAAAAAAAATTTTTTTTTCCAATATTTTTCGTCCATAAATTATTATTATGCTATTCTTTCGCTGCCTTTCCCAAATATTTTGCTGTTTTCCCCAAAAAAATCGAGGTTTTCATAGAGAAATCGGAAATTTCCAAGATTCCAATCAAAAAATTCGATTTTTTCCAGAAGATCCACCTCCATCCACCTCGCAAACTTTGCAAATTGTCAAAAATCCTAGTGATCGTGAGTTTTTTGGGCTGTTTAGAGTTCAAAATCGTGATCTACGTCAAAAATTAGGCCTAGAACTTTTTTCGCGACGATTTTTTGAGCTATTGTCGTAAACTACGGTGTTTTGTGTGCAAACACCGCAAAGTGTGTGCACAGAAAACACCGTACCTTACGACAATTGCTCAGATTTTGCTGGAAATAGGGTTCTAGACCTAATTTCAGGTGTATATCACGATTTTGGGGTCTAAAATGAGTTTGGAGCACCAGGAAATCAGTTAGAGCTCTGTAACTTTCCTGAGAATGCTCCTAGTTCAATTTAGACCTCAAAATCGTGGTCTACACCCAATTTTTGATCTAGAACCCCATTTTCAGCCAAATCTGAACAAATTGCGTAAGGTATGGTGTTTTGTGTGCATACACCGAAATGTGTGTGCACACAAAACACCGTACCTTACGACAATCGCTCAGATTTGGCTGAAAATGAGGTTCTAGACCTAATTTTGCACGTAGATCACGAATTTACTCTCGATTTTTTGCAGAAATGACCACAAATGCTGAAAATGTCACAAAATCACCGCGAACAACACGTCAAAATCACAGTCATCGTCGAAAAATCCCGTTTGCCACGTCGAAATTCTGGTTGAGATTGGTGCGACCGTGGAAATGGCGCAATTTGAAGCGAAAAGTTCGAAGGTACGGTAGAGTTGTTTCGGATTACTGTACACATACCTCCCTTTAAGGTGGTACTGTAGATTTACAGTATCTTCTACAGTAGCCTAGGTAGATCAAATCTTACTGTACTAAATTTCCGTTCAGAAGCGACAGCGAGCGAAGTTCGACACGTCATCATCGAGTTGTTGGCGATGCGCCAGTGACGTCACCGTCACTTCCAGAATTATCCCAAATTTCCAGAGAGCAAGAGGAGGAGGAGAAGGGTGAGTACTGTAGTTTTTTGGCGCGAAAATGAGCAACAAAATGAGACTAAATAAGCCAAGGGTTACTGTAGATGGCACGTGGCAAAAAACTACCTTCAAAATGAGACTAATTATGACTAGGTCACGGTAGATGTTAGCGCCAGAAAATCTACAGTAACCCCAATTTTTTTGACACTAAAAATAGCCCAAAGTTGGAGCTAAATAAGCCCAGGGTTACTGTAGGAGCCACGTGGCAAAATCTACAGTAACCCGATATTTGTGGCGCGAAAAATAAGCCTCAAAATGAGTCCAAATATTACTAGAGTACTGTAGATTTTGGCGCCAAAAATCTACAGTAACCCTCCGAAAAACTTCAATTTTTATCCGTTCTTTTTCAATTTTTGTTATTTTCTCACGAGATTTTTTTTTCATATTTTATCTCTCGAAATTTCTATTTTTCAACTTTGGATAAGTACAAAAATCATTGCGCACTTGAGATTTTTTCTCATCATTTTTTGCTGCTCTGTGAGCTCGAGCAGCAAAAGAAAAATCACTTTTCAATCTATTTTTCATTGAGATTTTTTGCTGGAAATTGTGGGTTTTCTCATTTTCTAGCTGAAATTTTGGGATTTTGACTGAAAATTTGAAATTTAGATGAAAAGTTGGGTCTGGAACTTTTTTGACGCGAAAAATTGGGCATAAAAAAATTCCCCGAAAATTTTAGGTTTCAAAATTTTTCGATTTTGAATTTTTCAAATTTTTCAAAAAAAAATCCTAAGCCTTCCTTTTTTAGACGAAGATCATGGAAAATTGGAAAAATCATACATCGGTATGCCCGGCATTTCGTCCGGAGGGGGCCTGGCTAACTTTTGAAAAATGGGTGGGGGACCGGCTAACTTTTTGAAAATTACGATTAGTTTAGATATGAATATTTTTTGGAAAAGTCACACTTTAAACTCCAAAATCCAACTTCTGAAATAGGAAATCGTATCAAATGAAAGTTCATGAACAAGCTCATTAGGTCCCTTCATCCAAATTAACTCTAAAAAATTTCATTCTTAAAAGTCTACTGAGCCCCCCTGACCCAAAACTACCAAAAATGCTGTTTTTTGCCTCAAATTCACATTTCACACTCAAAAAGTAACTTCCAAAATAGGAAATCGGAGGAAAAAAGTGTTCACAAATATGCTAACTAGGTCCCTCTAACGAAATTAACTCCAAAAAATTTCAGTCCTAAAAGTCTCTGAGCCCCCCTGACCCAAAACTACAAAAAATGCTGTTTTAGCCTCAAAATCACACGTCAAATCCCAAAATTCAACTTCCAAAATAAGAAATCATATCAAATAAGTGTTCGAAAACATGCTCACTGGGTCCCTTCATCCAAATTAACTCTAAAAAATTTCATTCTAAAAAGTCTACTGAGCCCCCCTGGCCCAAAACTAAAAATCGGTCGATTTGTCCGGCTGAGTCGGTCGAAATGACCGGGAGGTCATCTTTTCATTAAAATCGCCTTTATTTTGCTTCCTGAAAGGATTCAGACAACTCCAAATGCTGTTCCAGTGTCTTGTGTAAATTTTGAAGTGATTTGATTATCGTTAAACGGTTTTTTCCTTTTTTCGGATTACCACAGTAATTTTTTCTTTCCTTCTCTCTCATTTAATTTCTATCCCCCTTTTCTATTTTTTCATATTAAAAATTTGACAGAGAGGGAGAGAAGGCAGACATAGATCATGGCGGTAGGGTGCTCGTCTACTATTCGTGCCACGCAGGTTCGAACTTTGGCGCCGGCGAAAAGTTTTATTTTATTTTTCTCTCTTGTGGAAAGGGGGGTGGCTAACTATTAAGTTTTCACGTAGGGGGAGCGGCTAACTTTGAGGTCCTGACCGGGAGAAACCGATGTATGGGAAAAATCTTCTGTTTAATTTTTTTTTTCTTTGAGAGCTCACAATTTTTTTTTTGCTCAAAGAGCAATTTTCACATTTTTCTCGTGTTGAAAGCACAACAGCTGTTGATTTTGAAAAAAAATCGTTTTTCGTAAAAAAAAATTCCAGTGTTATTTTTTTCAGCTTGCGAAGCCATCACCTATCGACCGGTTTGCTCGGAAAAGTGAGTTTTTTTGAAAAAGGAATTTTGGGGGCCAAAATTGGTTGAAAATTTCGTGCCTTTTTTTTCTTGAAAATCCACGTGGCACCCAAAATTCAAATTTCAAATCCAATTTTTTTGCAGTTCCTCAACTCCCCAGCCAGTTATTGTCGACGTCGAGAAAATCTCAAAAATCCGCGCACAAATCTACACTCCATCACCGTCACAATCAACTACAGTACTCCGAACTACGGTAGTTCAAATCAAGGGAGAAAATCCGGCGATTTTCAATGCACCACCTCCTCCACCGCATCAAATTCTGCCAAGTTTATTGATTCACCCACCACAGTGTAGTTCGAGAGACGCTGGAGATTCGGACGAAGGTACGGTAGGGCAATTTGGGATGCGGAAGAGGATGCGGAAAGAGATGCGGAACATTTTGAGCTAAAATTCGTGGAGTTTGGAGCATTTTGAGCTAAAAATCGTCAAATTTAAAGCATTTTGAGCTGGAAATCAACTTGAAATCTGATTTTGACCTGAAATTCAGGATTTTTGAGCTGAAAACCATGAAAATCTCAAAGTTTCAGCTCAAAAATCGATTTTTTCATCAATTTTTAGCCTAGAAAAATGAAAATCTGCCAAAAATTCATATTTTGATTTTTCGTGAAATTTGGAGTATTTTGAGCTGAAAATCATGAAAATCTCAAATTTTCAGCTCAAAAATTAAATTTTTCATCATTTTTTACTGAAAATCTGCCAAAAAATTCATATTTTGTTAATTCTCCCTGAAATTCAGGATTTTTAAGCTGAAAATCATAAAAATCTTAAAATTTTCAGCCTCAAAACTAAATTTTTCATCAATTTTTAGCCTAGAAAACTGAAAATCTGCCCAAAATTCAAAATTTCAGCTGAAAAATTTGAATTTCTAAATTTCCCGCCAAAAATGCCACGTCATCAATCAATAATTTTTAGAAAACATCGCCTACGATCAAAGCACCGAAGACGAAAGCGAAGAAATGTCGTCGACTCGCCGCGGCGGCGAAATTTCGCCGCAAACGTCGCGCATGCTCAAAGAAGGCTATCGTCGAATCGAGGCCCGTGAGCCCAATTTCCAAGCGCAACCCGATAAACCGGTCCTCAAAAAGCCCGGACAGCCCTCCAGGCTCAAACTCAACAATAACAATGAGGATCTACCGGATAAATTGACGGATGATAGTGATAGTGATGAACCGATTCAGTATAGAGAAGCGGAGCCGGCGACACATGCGGAAGCGGAAGCGGAAGCGGAAGAAGATGATGAACCCATCCCCGGTGGACCGCTTTGTCGGAAAGATACGATGGCGTTGAAGCTTGACGCGGCGCCGCCTTGTAAAAATGATATATCCGGACAGACGGCCGCAGACCGCAAGAAACTCATGAAAACCGCGTCGATTAAACTGGCGCGGAAACTATCGGAAAGACCCACTGCGGACGAACTCGAGCAGCGGAATATATTGCGGAAGAAGCGCGAGGAACAGAATCCCGAAGAGAGTATGGAGGAGAAGCGGAAATTGTTGTTGAGAAAAGTTGGTTTGGGCGCCGGGAGAGTGATCTACGTCAAAAATTGAGCATAAAACACGTTTCCCGCGCTTTTTTAGCCCATTTCCGTCAGATTTGGTGTTTTGTGTGCATACACTTTTTGGTGTCTGCACACCATACACCGTATCCTACGACAATTCCTCAAAAATCCCTGGGAAAAACGTTTCTAGACCGAATTTTTATGTAGATCAAGAATTTCACATTATTTGGGCTTAAAAATGAGTTTTAGACCAATTTTCGAGCTCCAGCCTAGATGTTGATGATTTGGAGCTCGAAAATGGGTCTAGAACTCACTTAGATAATACGAAATTCAAGTTTTACGTTGAAAAATTGGTCTAGAAACCTTTTCGCACGAATTTTTGAACAATTGTCGTAGAGTACAGTGTTTTGTGTGCATACACCGAAAAGTGTGTGCACAGAAAACACTGTATTTCACGACACTATTCCAAAAAAATTCCCCGAAACCTTCTCCAGGCGCAGTTTTTCACGTAGATCACGAATTTCTAACTGAAAAATCTCATTTTCTCACAAAATCCCCGCCAATTTTCAGCTGAGTTTCCGTCCGACAATAAACCAACTCAAAGAACAACAAATAATTCAATTCAACGACTATGTCGAAGTTTCGCAAGCTGAAGTTTATGATAGAAAAGGCGATAAACCGTGGACACGATTGACACCCTCTGATAAGGTAAGAATTTTCGGGATTTTGGCTGGAAATATCGATTTTTCATGAAAAATTGAGTTAGAAATGTTCCTGGGTAGAATTTCCAGCATTTTTTCATAGTTCTAAGCTGACAAAACTGGAAATTCAGGTCCAGAACCATTGAGATCTTGATTTTCAGATCTTCCAGCATAGAAATATGCAAAATGTTGAAAATTTCAGATTTTTTGTGAAATTTTGACCCAAGAACCAATTTTGGACGAAAAATCTGAAATCTGGATCATTTTTCATACTTGTAGGCTGGAAAAGCTGAAAATCGAAGATCTAGAAGCTTCTGGACTTCGATTTTCAGCTTTTCCAGCCTAGAAAAATGAAAAATGCTAAGAATTTGGGATATTTCATGAAAAATAGGTTGGAACTATGTTTCTATAACGAATTATCAGCAATTTTCTTGTTCTCAAGCTGGAAAAAGCTGAAAATCAAGGCCTACGGGATTATGAATCTTGATTTTCAGCTTTTTCCAGCTTGAGAACAAGAAAATTGCTGATAATTCGTTATAGAAACATGGCTTCAACCTATTTTTCATGGAACATCTGAAATTCTAGCATTTTTATTTTTTTAGGCTGGAAAAGCTGAAAATCAAGGTCCCGAAGCTTCTAGACCTTGATTTTCATCTTTTACAGCCAACAAATATGAAAAATGCTGAAATTTTCAGATTTTTCATGAAATTTTGACCCAAGAACCAATTTTGGACGGAAAATCTGAAATTTTTAGCATTTTTCATAGTTCTATCAAAATTTCAGATTTTCCGTCCAAAATTGGTTCTTGGGTCAAAATTTCATGAAAAATCGATAATTTCAGCCTAAAAACCTCAGTTTTCAGCCCATTTATCCCCGAAAATCGATAATATCTTACAGGCGATGATCAAAAAAGAATTGAACGATTTCAAGGCGACCGAAATGGATGTGCACGAGGAAAGTCGCATTTTCACGCGATTTCATCGATAAAACATGGTGACGTGGAAAATTTTGGCGCCAAATTCAACATTTTCTCCTCACAATTTCTCTAATGCACTTTTAAAACCTTGTTAAATACTATATTTTTTTGCCTCCCCCACTTTTTTACTTATATATTTTTCTCAAAAACCTTTTTTTTTGTCTTATTTATATGAAATCTAGCCGGTTTTCTCTCTTTTTTGTGCTGTACAATATGTTTTTTGGAATAAATTTTCGGTTTTCTGAAAGGTTTTTGGTGGAAATTTGACCCAGAAACCAGTTTTTCATGAAAAATCCGAAATTTTCATGACAAACATAGGTTTCTAGATCAAATTTCCTAAAAATTTTGAAATTTTCAGATTCTATAGGCTCAAAAAATCACATTTTAAGCGAAATTTATATTTTCCAACGTGAAAAAAAATAACGTGTCCCAAAATCTTCAATTTTCATCAGTTTTTTGATAGAAAATGGTTTTTCAAAAATTAAATATTGAGAAAATGTGAGTTTTCAGCTTTTAAAACCTGAAATTACGAGAAAATAATGATTTTCTTCAAAAACCCTATTTCTTTCTCACTGATTTCAAACAATTTTTCAGAAAATTCTGAATTCACCAGCTGAAAATCATCATTTTCAACAAAAATCACAATCTTTTCGCCCGAAAATTCAAGAATTTCAGCTAAAATTCATGAAAAACGTTGATTTTCGAAATTTGACACGAAAAAACACGATGGCCGAGTTTTGCGTGGCCTAGAAACCGACAAGCCACACTTGCACTGTGTAAAAATTTCCCTCTTTTTCGCGTGTTTTTCAGCCCAAAACCATGTTTTTCAAGCGGAAATCGATATTTTTACTTGAAAATAATGTCAGAATCTTGAATTTCAGCCATGTTTTACGCGGGGTTCATCGAAATTTCGATGAAAACCAAGGAAAAATAGATTTTTGCGTGGAAAATTGTTTTTTTGCAGGAAATACACAATGGATTGTGATATAGCCTCATATCACGTGGAATCCTTCGATTTTCTGGTGACTTCCGGATGTCAATTTGCGGCGCAAGCAGTTCCAGCCGAAAAATTTCGGCTGAAAAACGGTGATGCGGTCTCGCTGAAATATATTTCGGCGCAGTTGTCGAAACCGACTTTGGATAACTCGGTGAGTGGAATTTTGGAGTGGAAAATGAGGAATTCGGTTGACAAATTGATTTTTAGACGGAAATCTAGGCTTAGGCTTGTTAAGACTCAAAAAACGTGGGATTTCAGCTTCAAAGTAAGCCCAGACTTAGGCCTAATTCTAGGCTTGTTTAGACTCAAAAAACGTGGGATTTCAGCTTGAAAATAGGTCCAGGCCTAGGCCTAATTCTAGGCTTGTTCAGGCTCAAAAAACGTGGGATTTCAGCTTGAAAATAGGTCCAGGCCTAGGCCCTATTCTAGGCTTGTTCAGGCTCAAAAAAACGTGGGATTTCAGCTTCAAAGTAAGCCCAGGCTTGGGCCTAAGTCTAGGCTTATTTAGGCTCAAAAAACGTGGGATTTCAGCTTCAAAATAGGTCCAGGCCTAGGCCTAATTCTAGGCTTGTTTAGACTCAAAAAATCTGAATTTTTCAGAGCAAATTAATCGCCAGCGATCAAGTTCCACTAATGCCTGCCGAATGTCGACAAAGAGGTTTGACGTATGCTGGAAATTTGAAAGTTGGAATTGATGTGAGTTTTTTTTTTTGGTTTTTGGGCGGGAAAATGGAAGAAAATGGTGATTTTCTGGCTGAAAATCTTTATTTTCATGAAAAATTAAGTTAGAAATGTTTCTGGCTAGAATTTCCAGCATCTTTTCATAGTTCTAAGCTGAAAAATCTGGAAATTCAGGTCCAGAACCACCGAGACCTTGATTTTCAGATCTTCCAGCATAGAAATATGCAAAATGTTGAAAATTTCAGATTTTTCATGAAATTTTTACCATTTTTCCTTTTTCTGGGCTGGAAATGCTGAAAATCGAAGTCCCGAAGCTTCTAGACCATAATTTTCAGCTTTTCCAGCCTAAAAATATGAAAAATGATCGATTTCCTTCAGGTTCATGTAAATGGTCAACGGCTTGACGTCATCGAAACAATTCTTGGCCGAGTTCCAATAATGCTCCGTTCAGCCGGATGTCATTTGCAGGATTTGAGCCGAAAAGAGTTGCTCAAAGCTGGCGAGGAGCCAATTGAAAAAGGAGGTTATTTTATTGTGAATGGTTCCGAAAAAGTGATTAGATTGTTGATTGCGAATAGAAGAAATTTTCCGATTGCGCTGGTTCGAAAAAGTTTCAAGGAGAAGGTTGGTTTTGATCGAAATTCGAGGGATTTTTATCAAAATTTCATGTTTTTCAGCTTAAAATTCATGATTTTAAGATTAAATTGATGGTTTTGAGCTTAAATTGATGGTTTTCAACCCAAAATTGATAGTTTTGGCGCCAGAAATCCACGTGGCGAAAGTCTCTTTCAAATCGTATGAAATTTGGTCTTCTGAACCTAGTTATAAGCAATAATTGCTGGAAATCATGTATTTTAGCTCAAAAATAGCTGAAATTGTGCAAAAATCGTGATTTTAGCCTAGAAATGATTGAAAACAGAGTTTCTGATAAAAAATTATAGATTTTTACTCATTTTGATCAGAAAACTATGATTTTCTTTCTGAAAATCACTGAAAATCTGTAATTTCACGGGGAAAAATCATAAAATTTTGATCTAAACATATCAAGTTTATACTCATTTTCATCAGAAAATCATCAAAAACCACCTAAAATTCACATTTTTCATCGAAATTCTTCAAATTTATGCTCAAATTCAATCACAATTTTCCTACCAAAACCTCTTCAAAAATCTTCCAGGGTCGACTTTTCTCGGAATTCGGTGTAATGATGAGAAGTGTCAAAGAGAATCACACGGCAGTTATGATGACATTACACTATCTCGACACTGGAACAATGCAATTAGCTCTACAATTTCGTCGCGAGATCTTCTATGTTCCTTTAATGTATATCGTCAAAGCGTTGACCGATCGAAACGATGCGGTAATTGCGGCGGAATTCAAACGCGGACGAAAAAATGATCAATTTTATGCGAGTTGTGTGTTGAACATGTTGGCACAATGTCAAGAAGAAGGTGTGATTCATCAAGAAGCGGCAATTCGAGCGATTGGATCGAGATTTCGAGTGGCGGTTGCGGATCGAGTTGCACCGTGGGAGGATGATTTGGAAGCGGGACGGTTTATTTTGAGGTCAGCGAGTTTTGGGGGCGGAAAATTGAGCTAAAAATCGAGAAAATTCATCGAAAATGATAGATTTTGATGTGAAATTTGAGAAAATTGACCAAAATTCTTGAAAAATTGAGAAAATTCATGGATTTTGATGTAAAATTTGAGAAAAATTATCGAATTTCATATAAATTTATAAAAAATTGACCTATAAACCTTGAAAAAGGCTGGAGAGCTGAAAATTGACCTAAGGATCTTGAGAAAGCTGAAATTCGGCAAAGTTGATCTGAAATTCAAGCAAATCACTGAAATTTGATCTAGGAACCTTCAAAAATGTTTAAAATTGGATAAATTGATCGAAAATGATGGATTTTGATGTGAAATTCAAGAAAAATTAGCTAAAAATGATCGAAAATTCTGGTTTTTGACCTCAAATTTCAGAAAATTGAGGTTTTCGACCTTAAATTCAAGAAAACTGGGCTGAAAATATGAAAAATCACTGGAAATTGAGCAAATGTTGATTTTTGACTTGAAATTCAACGAAAATTGTTGAAAATTAATAAGAAATCATTTTTCAGCCGTAAAACCTGAAAATTATCATAGGATTATGATTTTTGACCCGAAATTTGATAAAATCGAGAAAAATTGACCAATTAACCCTGAAAAATGTTGAAAATATACAATTTTGACATGAAATTCAAGAAAATTGATCTAGAGACCTTCACAAGTGCTGAAATTTGATTTTTTACTCAAAATTACTCTAAGAAGCTCGAAAAATGCTGAAAATTATTGATTTTATGTAAAATTTGGACCTGAAATTCAAAAATTATCTGTGATTTTCTCGATTGAATAACAATTTTCATTGATGAAAATTTCCAGAAATTTGCAAATTACAAAAATTTGAAACGTATTTTTTTCGGAGGGAAATTTCGAAAGGTTTTTTTCTCAAAATATTTATTTGAGCATAATAAAAGACATAAGATAGACAATCTTAAACATACTTAGTTAATTAATTAATCAATGAATTAATTAAGCGAATGCTATTCCGAAGTTTCGACTTCAATACAATTTGGCGAATCTGGAGATTCATTTTCGAAATAATATTCCTTGTTGCGCTCCGCTTCTTCCATGTCTTCGATCAATTTTTCGAGCTTGAGACGTTTTTCCTAGAAAAAATTAGGTTTAGGAGAAATTTCTGAGGTTTTTGAGACTAGAATGGACCATTTTAGGTGAATTTGACCCATAGAAGCTTGAAAATGGTCCGAAGTCATAAAAGTGGTACACTTTCGTACAGTAATACACTTAGGCCTTGTTTTTTAAAATTCCGAGAGCCTAAACCGGCCTCTGAAGCCTAAATCGGCCCTCTCAAATTTAGGCCCTCGAAATCTTCTCCTCCTCCCAAATGCTTACCCGATTTTCATCCCTAAAACATTGATCAGCGCACAGCATATCACCATGCCTCTTTTTTCTCTCATGTTGTCTCTCAGTTTTCCGTTCCTCATACAATATTTGATTCTTCGCCGCAATATCCTGGCTAAATCGCCTTCTCAATGTTCGAATTGGCACATCTTGATTCGGATTCAGATTCAAGTTCACCTTCAAAATGCCGCCCAAATCGTTCTCCATTTTTTCGAGTTTTCCAATGAATTGTGCTGGCGGAACACCGGCTGCGGTCAATTCGGACACAATGAATTCCATTGTATCGCGATAGAGATTGTTGCGGAGATTTTGCATTTCTTCGATGTGCGCGTCTTTTTGATCTTCGAGAGCGTGTTTCTGTGAAAAATTGGAGTTAGAGTAACTTTGGTACAGGACATTTTTTTTCGCTTCAAGAGAATCTAGTTGTGAAGCTTAGAAATTCAAATATTTTCAACAAAATCCCCATTTTGTCCTAAGTTATCGTAACTTCTGAAATTCCCCAGCAAATTAGACTAACCTTGGATTCTTCCATTTGCTTCTTAACATTGGCTAACTCCGAAGTGATCTCTTGATTCTCATCAACCGAAATCACATTATGACTCTTCAAATAAGTTATCTCATCTTGCAAATCCAGAATTTCAACCTGAAGTTTGGCTTCGCAAATTGTTTCGGCAGACATACTAGATAGAAGAATGGTAACTTAGCCTAACTCGGGTTGCTCTTTTATAGGTGTTTTAATAAGAAAATGTTGCTCCGCCCACTTTGTTTTTGGTCGATTTTCCCAGACTTGCACATTTGTGATATTTGACACATTTTTTGTCGTTGGGTTTTATGACGCGGCATAAAAATTGTTGTTTTAACACATTTTCCTAAAGGCATTGATTTTGGGAAGATTTTTTGGTGAGAAATCACGGTTCTGATCTGAAAATTCGGAAAATTTCGAATTTTCAGCTGAAAAATCGGATTCGACTGAATTTTTCAGCCAAAAATTCTGAATTTTTCGTAAAATTTTCTCACCGCCAAAAATACGTTTCAAAAATTGTGTAATTAGTTTTTGAGATTTGAAAAATTCGATAAAAGTAAAAAAAGTGAAAATCTGGATAAAATTTAAAATTTAATTTTCCTAGAAATCTACTGTTTCAAAAATTTAATATAAAAATTTTGGGAAAAAATTTTCGGTTCATTTTCGAAAATTAATTTTTGAAAAAAATGAAAATTTGAATTCAAAATATATTTCAATTTGAAATTTTAATCAAAATTAACTGAAAATTTCAAATTTCAGCCTGAAATAGCCAAAAATCAAGATATACTTGGCCGAAAATTACTCTAAAATTTTGAACACTAAATTCAAGCTAGCAAAAATTTTCCCAACCAAAAATAAAGTCTAGTTTAGTCTCAAAATTGTGAAAATTTTTCTAGGCCTGGGCTTATCTAGACTCAAAAAACGTGGATTTTTCTAGGCTTGCTTAGACTCAAAAAATCCAAATTTTCAGGGCCGCAGATCTAGGCTTATCTGGGCTCAAAAATTGCGGAATTTTTAGGGCCGAACATCTAGACATAAATTTTAGGCTTAAACTAAAATCTAGCCTCAAAAATTGCGAAATTTCCTCCAAAAAACCCCCAATTTTGTTGCAGAGAATGTGTTCTGATTCATCTCGACGACAACAACGAGAAATTCTACACACTAGCCTACATGACACAAAAACTCATCGCTCTCGTCAAATCCGAATGCGCCCCAGAAACCCCGGATAATCCACAATTCCAAGAGGCCTCAGTTTCAGGCCACATTATGTTGCTCATATTAAAAGAGCGTATGGAGAATATCATTGGAATGTTGCGCCGAAAATTGGAATTCTTCTCGGCGAAAAAAGAATTTGTGCTAACCAGTGCGCAGATTTTGAAAGCGCTCGGAAATCATCAAGGAGGAGAAATCACACGTGGAATGGCCTATTTTTTGGCGACCGGAAATTTGGTGACAAGAGTTGGATTGGCATTGCAACAAGAATCGGGTTTCTCGGTTATTGCTGAACGAATTAATCAATTGAGATTTGTGTCGCATTTTAGAGCTATTCATAGGTAGGAGGGTTTTTGGGCTGAAAATTGCAGAATTTGAAGAATTTTGAGCCAGAAATCGTGAAATTTGGAGCATTTTGAGCTAATATATGAAAAAAAAAAGATGAAAAAAAAGATTTGGAGGGGTTTTTGCCCAAAAAATCATGAATTTCGAAGAATTTGAACCCAAAACTGTTGAATTTGGAGCATTTTGAGCTATTTTCCATGAAAATGAAATTTGAGAACTGTTAATTTTTGAAGAATACGGTATCTTCAGCCAGAAATCGAGAAATTTGGAGCATTTTCAGCATGAAATCTTGAAAATCTGAAATTTTCAGCTAAAAAATTTGATTTGTCATCAAATTCAAGCCTAGAATAATAAAAATCTGATAAAAATTTGAATTTTTTGTTCTCCAGAAAATTTACGTTTCAAAATTTTGTTATAAAAATGTTTGAGAAATTTTTTTAATGTTTTTGACATTTGTAATATTATCCAAAAATTCTAGGACTGAAATGATTTTGCCTAATTTTTCAAGCTAGAAAATCTGAAAATTCGAAAAATCTCTAAATTTTGTGATTTACAGCTCAAGCTGAACTAAAAATAAAAATTCGTAAAATTCAATCAGGAACAAGGCTAGCTTAAAATTAATTTTCGAAAAATTAATTTTTGAGCTTAGCCTAAATCCTAGAAGAAAAGATAACATAACTTTTGAGCTCAGCATAATTTTCAGCTAAAAAATCTAATTTTTCATCAAATTTCAGCCTAGAATAATGAAAATCTGATAAAAATTGAATTTCTGATTTTCCAGAAAATATACTGTTTCAAAATTTTGTTATAAAAAATGTTTGAGAAATTTTTTCAATGGGTTGATATTTTCAATTTTATCCAAAAATTCTAGGACTGACTTAGCCTAATTTTTCAAGCTAGAAAATCTGAAAATACGAAAAACCTCTAAATTTTGTGATTTACAGCTCAAGCTGAACTAAAAACAAAAACTCGTGAAATTTAACCAGGAACAAGGCTAGCTTGAAATTAATTTTTGAAAAATTAATTTTTGAGCTTAGCCTAAATCTTGAGAAAAATTAACATAACTTTTGAGCTCAGCATAACTTTTCAGCTAAAAAATCTAATTTTTCATCAAATTTAAGCCTTGAATAATGAAAATCTGATGGAAAATTTGAATTTTCATTTTTCCCGAAAATTTACTATTTCAAAATTTTGTTATAGGAAATGTTTGAGAAATTTTTTCAATGGTTTTGACATTTGTAATATTATCCAAAAATTCTAGGACTGAAATGATTTCGCCTAATTTTTCAAGCTAAAAAATCTGAAAATACGAAAAACCTCTAAATTTTTTCAAGCCTAGAATACAAAAATTCGAATTTTTCATTTTCCAGGCTTGTGAGCTCAAGATAGCCTAACTAACCCCATTTTCTTTGCAGAGGTGCCTTCTTCATGGAAATGCGAACAACCGACGTGCGCAAGCTCCGGCCCGAAGCCTGGGGTTTCATCTGCCCCGTTCACACACCCGACGGCGCTCCCTGCGGTCTTCTCAACCATCTCACAGCCTCCTGCAAAATCGTGACGCATTTGAACGACAACTCCAACATTCCAGCAATGCTCGCCAAATTAGGAATGTACACGCATAAAACTGTACAAATGTCACCGGAAAATGAGGAATTGTATCCCGTGCTAATGGATGGAAGATTTATTGGATATGTGCCAATTGGAAAAGCGGCTGCGATTGAACGATTTGTGAGATGTGCCAAAGTTGCGAATGACGCAAGAATACCGTATACTTCAGAAGTTGCATTGGTCAAAAGATCGACAGATTTGAAAAATGTGCAAACACAATATCCGGGAATTTATATCTTATCAGATCCGGGAAGATTAATTAGACCTGTTCGAAATCTTGCACTAAATGCTGTTGAAAATATTGGAACCTTTGAGCAAGTTTATCTCAGTGTAGTTTTGGATCCGGAAGAAGCGGAGCCCGGTGTAACTATGCATCAGGAACTCCATCCCAGCTGCCTCTTCTCGTTTGCCGGAAATCTCATTCCGTTCCCCGATCACAATCAATCGCCGCGAAATGTTTATCAATGTCAGATGGGAAAACAGACGATGGGAACGGCTGTGCATGCGTGGCATGCGCGGGCGGATAATAAGATGTATAAATTGCAGGTTGGTTTGGTTTTGGGGGAGGGTTTTGAGCCAAAAAACACGAAAAATGGACCATTTTGACCTAGGGACCATGAAAATCATGAAATTTCGCCTCGGGACCTTCTAAATTATGAAAAATGGACGATTTTGACCCCAGGACCATGAAAATCATGAAATTTCGACTAGGAACCTTTAAATTTATGAAAAATGGACGATTTTGACCTAGGAACCTTAAAATTCATCAAATTTCGACTAGGAACCTTTAAATTTATGAAAAATAGACATTTTTGACCCCAGGACCATGAAAATCACGAAATTTCGACTAGGAACCTTTAAATTTATGAAAAATAGACATTTTTGACCCCAGGACCATGAAAATCACGAAATTTCGACTAGGAACCTTTAAATTTATGAAAAATGGACCATTTTGACCCCAGGACCATGAAAATCATGAAATTTCGACTAGGAACCTTTAAATTTATCAAAAATCGTCGATTTTGACTTCGGGACCTTTAAAATCATGAAATTTCAACTAGGAACCTTTAAATTTATGAAAAATAGACATTTTGACCTCGGGACCTTAAAATTCATGAAATTTTGATCCTGAACCGTGAAAATCTAAATTTTTGACCCTGGAACTTCAAAATTGGACGGAAATTAACCCAGGAACCATCAAAAATCCACTTTCAGCTGAATTTTTGACGGTGATTTGGGTATTTTTGACCTAGGGACCTTAAAATTCATCAAATTTTGACCCTGGAAGTTCAAAATTATTAGAATTGGCTGAAATTTCCAGATTACTATCATAATTATTTGAGAAAATCAATTTTACAACTCTAAAATTGAATTATTCACGAATTTTTAGCCCAGAAAATTTAAATTTTTGAAAAAAAGGCAAAAAAAATTCTCAAAAAATTACTGTTTCAAAATTTTGACAAAAAAATTTGAAATAATTTTTTTGATTCATTGTGGAAATTACTCTCAAAAAAATATTGATCATACATGTTTTTCTCCCTGGATCGACCCCTACAGTTAGCGAGACCTCAAATAAAAATTTTCAAAGTTAGTAAGACCGTTAGTGTGGGGGGCAAAAGCCTCCCACACTAAAAAAAATTTTTATTTTTTTTTCGAAAAAAATTGAAAAATTTTGCAACACGTTTCCAGTATGTGAACTCGAACCCTATGGTAGCTACCATTGGGTCCCTAACTCAGCGCTCTACCACTGCGCTATGTGTGCCCACATCTCAGGCAAATCGTCCCACCGGTGGGCCCACCGGTGGGAAACCGGTGGGAAAAATAAACAAAAACACTGGTGGAACACCTCTTTTTGGTGTTCAGACGGTGTTCAAACGGTGTTAAGCGAGTGTTAAGGTGGTGGTACACCGGTGCTATTATCAAATTTGTGACCACCGGTTTCCCACCGGTGGGCCCACCGGTGGGATTATTGAAGAGAAGGTGTTGAGTGAGTGGAGATTTGGTGTTACACCGGTGGGACGATTTGCCTGAGATAACCCGCATGCTGTTTTTCTCATTTGAATAGGATGCGTTTGAGAGATAGAAAAAACACAAACAGTAAATTACATTGTTGTATTTTACATTCAATTATTCAAAAAAATATAGAAGAAAATCATGGATTGAATTGTAAATTGAAATACGAATTCTTTAGACCTTATACAACAATATAAAAGCTTATCTTCAATGAATAAATACGATAAAATACTTTTTTCCATTCGAAAATGTTGAAAATTGGCTGTTACCAGAAAACTCAAAACCTAGAAAAGTATGTCAAAATTAATATTTTCACTTGAAAATTTGCACAGTGTGTCTAGAGGTCCTATTGAGGTATATTGAACTATGAAATTGATAAATAATGCTGCATGGGGAAAATAGTTGAGACCACTGGATTTTATCCAGGGTTACCCTGGATTTTATCCAGAATTTTATATAAGTACCCGGCGGTCTCAGTAGACCTTTCAGAAAGGGCATTTATTCTGGATAATAATTAAGAATAGACCTTGTAACATAACCTAGAACGATTTTCAGATGCTAAAATCAATTTTGGTTTAACACTTTATGATGATAGAAGTGGTGAATTGATGAAAAAAGTAGATTTTCGATAGTTTTTGGGCCGGCGGTCTCAGTAGACTTCTTAGAAAGGGGTTTTATTTTGCATAATACCTAAGAGGGGACCTTGTAACATAACCTGGAACGATTTTCAGATGCAAAAATCAATTTTCGTTAACACTTTATTATGTTAAGAGTGGTGTATTGTTGAAAAAGTAGATTTTTGAGAGTTTTTGGTTCGGCGGTCTCACTAGATCTTTCAGAAAAAGCATTTATTTTGGATAATGAGTAAGAGTGGACCTTGTGACATAATCTCGAGCAATTTTGAAATCGAAAAATTATTTCATGTTCAAAACTTTATGATGATAACTAATTAAAAAATTTTCAAAAAAAAAGTTAGTAGGACCTCAAATTTTTTTCGGAGTTAGTAAGACCGCAACCCTGGATAAATCCAGGGGTAAAACATGTATGATATTGATTTAGATTTTCAGATTTTTTGGCTGAAATTGTGGGATTAAAACAAGTAACAAAAAAATTGTTCCAACATTTTCATATAAAAATTTTGAAACAGTGGATTTTCGGAAATTTTTTTTCAATTTTTCAGGTTTCCAAGCTGAAAAACCCGAATTAGCCTAGTAATCATGAAAAGCTCCATTTTCCACCCAAAAATCCCAATTTTCTTACAGTTTCCTCAACAACCTTTGCTCAAATTGGAAGCCTATGAAAAATACGAAATGGACGAATATCCACTTGGAACAAATGCTTGTGTTGCTGTCATTTCTTATACTGGATATGATATGGAAGATGCGATGACAATTAATAAATCGAGTTATCAAAGAGGATTTGCGCATGGAACTGTTATTAAAGTTGAAAGGTTGGTGAGATTTGGAGCATTTTGAGCTGAAAAATGTGAAAAATGGCTTATTTTAAGCCCAGAAAACTGAAAATGTTGGATATTATCTGAAAATCCGGAATTTTCAGCTGAAAAATTGAATTTTTCGTGATTTTTTAGCCTAAAAATTGAAAATTTTCAAAAAATTGACATTTTCATTTTTCCCGAAAATTTACTGTTTCAAAATTTTGATATGAAAATTTTGGGAAAATTTTTTTTAATAATGGTGTACAAGTAAATTTGAAAAATCTGTTAAAATTGAGTTTTTGACTGAAAATCTAAAATTTTCAGCTACAAAATTGAATTTTTCGTGATTTTCCAACTTAGAAAACTGAAAATTTGGAAAAATTGACATTTTCATTTTTCCCGAAAATTTACTGTTTCAAAATTTTGATATGAAAATTTTGGGAAATTTTTTGTTTATCTGGAGATTTTCATCAAAATCAAAAAAAAATAATTTCAAATTTTACCTCAAAAAATTGAATTTTTTGCCTAGAAAACTGAAAATTTCACTGTTTCAAAATTTTGATATGAAAATATACAGAAAAATCGGAAAAAATCGAATTTTTGACTGAAATTCTGAGAATTCTAGCTTGAAAATCAACAAATTCAATTTCCCACTCCAAAAATTCCCCAATTTTTGCAGAATAAACCTGGTCACCGATCGCGAACGCAAAACAATTTTCCACAAAATGTCTCGCGACGAAATTCCAACAGTCGGATGCGATGGATTACCAATTCCTGGACGCCGATATTTTATGGATGAAGTCTATTATGTGACTTATAATATGGAGACTGGAGACACCAGAAAACACAAATTTCATTATGCTGAACCCGCATATTGTGGAAATGTTCGAATTGTGCAAAGTGATACGGATGGAATTATGGTAAGTAGGGTTTTTGGGAGAGAATTTGGAGAATTTTGAGATAGAAATCATGAAAAATGATGAAAATTGAGCTAAACATTGAGAAATTTGAGAAATTTTGAGCTAGAAATTATGAAAAATGAGCTAAACGTTGAATTTTTCAAATTTCCAACTGAAAATTTGGAATTTTCATGAATTTTCAGCCTAGAAAATTGAAATTCTGAAGAAAATTGGGAATTTTAATTTTTCCCGAAAATTCACTGTTTCAAAGTTTTTATATGAAAATTTCTGAGATTTCAAATTCGACGTTTCCCATCTTTTACGAAAGTTTTATGAATTTGATATAATAAGAAGAGAATTTTGATCTGAAAATTTGAAATATCAACAACAAAAAAAAATTTTTTTTCGAATTAAAATGTATATTGATCAATACTTGGTGAGGGGAAAAAATGAGGACGCATTCCCCTTGGATCAAAATGCAAATCTCCATTAGAATGATCATAGAAGCCGTGAAAATCTTGGGTTTCATCTTCGCTATAACAAATAACATGAAAATTGATGAAAAATGAGCAAAAAATGATAGAAAACGTACGAATTGAATGGCCAATTTGTATTTTTTCTCCGTATGTGTTGATCTTCTGATCAACAGAAAGAAAACATATTCACCAAAAAATAATGTTTGTATGACAAATAGTAATGTTCGACTGAAGGATGTATCATCACAACAAACTATGCTATAAAAGGAGAACGCTAAATATTATTATTGTTGTTTTTAGTTTCTTTCTATCCTACATAAATATTACTATTATGAACCGGGTTGGGATTTGACATGGTGACCCATACGTTAGCTCAACCCGGTTCCCGATTCGCCAAAATCTATATTCGAAAAATTACCAACTATCAACCGAAGAAGTCAGAAGACCACGAAGAACCAAGAGTTATGACACAATTATTAGAGAACAATGCTATTTCCGAAAAACAGAAGATCAGATCAAATGAAAACCCGATATCCATCTCCTTCTATCAATCGGAGTATACAAAATGTAATTGGCCTGGAGTGTTGTGGAGGACCCTGAGATCCACTAGCGGAAGCTATTTGGAAAATGAAGTTGGATTAGACCTCCAACTAGAGAATGCTTGGATTTGACCTCCAACATGGAACTTATATTGAACTTGGAACCAATATTGAACTTGTCACTTAGCGCATCGGAAAATGCCTACCTGGACTATTTTGCTTACTTTTTTGCTTACATTGCCTGCCACCTCATTTCACCAGAAAACATTTTTGTCGACTCGGAAAGATATATATTGCATTTGCATCGGACTATTTATTCTCAACTGATAGTAAATTTGGAATCACTACAACCCTCTTGCTTCGTTTTCACATGTTTGGAATCTACTCGAATTTGAATCGGAAACGTCATCCTCCTTCACTTGTTCTGTTAGGAGGGTGTTGCTATCACAAGCAACAGTAAAAGAACAGACGGAATATATCACTTGCCATTTTGGATTTATTCATTTGGTACAACTTATATTTATGTATAGCTGAGCATGACAACCAACCTACACCTTCACTTTTTTCTGTTAGGAGTGTGTTGATCTTCTGATCAACAGAAAGAAAACATATTCACCAAAAAATAATGTTTGTATGACAAATAGTAATGTTCGACTGAAGGATGTATCATCACAACAAACTATGCTATAAAAGGAGAACGCTAAATATTATTATTGTTGTTTTTAGTTTCTTTCTATCCTACATAAATATTACTATTATGAGCCGGGTTGGGATTTGACATCGCCTGGGTCACCATGTCAATTCCCAACCCGGTTCATAATAGTAATATTTATGTTAGTTAGAAAGAAACTAAAAACAACAATAATAATATTTAGCGTTCTCCTTTTATAGCATAGTTTGTTGTGATGATACATCCTTCAGTCGAACATTACGATTTGTCATACAAACATTATTTTTGGTGAATATGTTTTCTTTCTGTTGATCAGAAGATCAACACACCGTACAAAATTCAATTTCTTGCGAAATTCGAAGATTCCTCGATGAACATTTCTCAACATCAATTTCGAATTGCTGCGAAATTCGAGCGACTGCGAAATAACTTTGACAATTGTTGATGGATTGATTTTGGTGGCATCAAATTCGAGATTTCCGCCTAATCTGTTCAAATCAATAAATTGATTGTCGGACAATGTGAAATTAGTTGTCAAGCAATATGCTTTTCTGAAAATCTTCATAGCTCTCTCATCAACATCAATCGAAGGTTCTCTTGTATCGTTAAGGAAAACACTGATTTCTCTGAAATGGTCGACACGTGATGTTTCCATTTTGTATAGAATATTCAAAGCAACATCTGCCAAATTCGATGTCAATCGTATTTTTTCAATGGACCGCCATTCAAAATCTTCAGCCAATCGAATATTATTGTTGGTGTTCACAGTAATTTGAATATAGAGAGTTTCAACATTTGTGGATTTTGAAAGAAATGCGTATAATTGATCGATTTGACTAGTAGTAATATCCAAAGTAGCAACACGTGGAAATTTGTCGATCAATCCATCTTGCATCATATAATCGACCTGCAAGAAACACATTTTGCAAAATTTTTTGGCTCGTTGTCAATTACCCCAGATATTTCTAAATGTTTTAGATTATTTTTCGAGTTCACCAAAATGTTTTCGAAAATCTCGCAAGCGATTTTGTTACTATCTGCAATAGTTTTCCAAATGAATTGGTCACGATGTTCGATTTCGCAAATATTTTCAACTTGCTTGAAAGTTATTTGAAAATGACGATTTATTGTCAAAAGAAACATTGTGCCTCTTCTCAAATATTCAATTTTGATTCTATCAATTGTTTTCGTCTCGTTTAGAACTTCTTTGAGACAGCGGAAAGAGCATTTTGCGAATTTCAAACTGGAAACATTTCATGTAGTTTTGTTTTTTTGTTTTTCTCTGAAACTTACCGTTCGTCTGTATTCAAATACTTGAAAACTTCAAACTTCATCTCATCCGGTAAATCATTCCAACCTGTCATTTTCACTGGAAAAAGGCACACTTTTAAAAGTGGTTGAACGAAAGTGGCTGCTTGAGCAGAAATAAAATTGTTATCATATTAATTCTGGTCATTAATTAATGATGAGAAATACTGATAAATATTGTGAAATATTTCTGTGTTTTCAAAATCTAACTAAAAACAATTTAGAAATTTTTTTACTACAAAAAATTCCCAAAAAATCAGATTTTTGGGGTAAAATTATCGAAATTCACCGAAATTTCAGATAACAAAATTTTGAAACGTATTTTTATGGGGGTTTTCAAAATTTTCTTGGCAAAAAAATTATGAAAAGTTCATTTTTTCCATTGAAAAATTCCTATTTTTCCACTCAAAATCTCGTTTTTTTTTGCAGCACGCTCTAATTCAATGGCGAATCGAACGAAATCCAATCATTGGTGATAAATTCGCGTCACGTCACGGTCAAAAAGGAATCAATTCATTTTTGTGGCCCGTCGAATCGCTACCTTTCTCTGAATCTGGAATGGTTCCCGATATTATTTTCAATCCTCACGGTTTCCCATCTCGGATGACTATTGGTGAGGATTTTTGAACCGGGAACCTTGAAAGAAAAAAACTGTGCCCTGAAATTGCATAAAAAGGGGCGTGGCTTGTTTTTTAGTCAGATTTTGAGATTTCTGATAAATTTTGAGCCTTGAAAAATTCCCTCCGAAAACTGTGCCCTGAAATTGCATAAAAAAGGGGCGTGGCTTAGTTTTTTGGTCAAATTTCAAGCCTAAATTCAAGAATTTTGGTCCTATTTGAGTCGAGAAAAACTGTGCCCTGAAATTGCATAAAAATGGGCGTGGCTTAGTTTTTCAGTTAGAATTTGAGATTTTTGATGAATTTTGAGCCGGGAACTTTGAAAAATAATCTCAGAAAAAACTGTGCCCTGAAATTGCATAAAAAGAGGCGTGGCTTAGTTTTCAGTCAGATTTTGAGATTTCTGATTAATTTTGAGCCTGGAACCTTGAAAAATGAACTCGGAAAAAACTGTGCCCTTGTAACTGCTAGACCGGTTCATATAATATAATAAGTTTATTAATACATAAATAGCAAGTTACGGATACAATACAAATTAGGGTGTCGACATCTGGCCTGGTCCTACGCGTCCCCTCATAGAACTCCCTTATCAGTCTCTCGGTGAAGTTTATATAGTGAAGTCTTATCGCACGTTACATTCCTATCCGGCATATTGGGATTCGACCTCGAATCCTTCGAAATTCTCAATGGTTAATGTGATTCGGATGTGTGTTTGAGTGATGTGTTGAATTGATTGATTGGTTTGGAGCTGGCGTTGAACATGTTGAATTGGCTCGAAGTTTTTGTTGAACATGTTGAATTAGCTTGAAGTTTGCGTTGACCATTGAATGGGTTCGAAGTTGGCGTTGAATGTTTTGAATTAGTTTGGACTGGCGTTGTACATTGAACTGATTCGGCTTGGTTGGTTCGATGGTTGTTCTTGCGGGGATTCGTAGATCGGGATGTCGGTTGTGGTGGATGGATAATCGGGTGGCAATGAAATATAAGCAGGTGGCAATAATATAAACGGGTGACAATGAGATATGAACGGGTGACAATACAATATGAAGGTAATAATAAAATATATATGTAGTTGATATGGATTTGATGATTGGATGTGGTTGCAATTGATGATGATCTGTAAGAAGTTTTGGTTGGTGAAAGGTCTTACAACTTCGATCTAGGCTAGTCTGCCTATCCCTCTTACCACTTTTGTGATTTTTTTTTTGTTTTTGGTTGGTGAAAGGTCTTACAACTTTGATCTACTAGTCTGCCTATCCCTTTTATCGGTTCGCGACCCGAGAACTTAGTTCTTGCGTTTTGTTGTCGCTGGGAACGTTGTCCATCCTGGGGCGGCCCGACGCTTCGGTTCCGACGGGATATCGTTGGATGTTCCATCTTAGGTCTGAAAGATGACGATCAACGGTTTCCGGGAGTTTGTCTTCTCCGATTGGAAAAGGGATCCGAAGATGCGGCTTCTTTGATCTGGCCCACCGCCACTGAGCGGGTTTCTTCGTCGGTGTGCCCCATTTTATCAGTTTATACGGACTCGTGGGATATCGAGATAAACGGCCGGCGTTTGACTGGTGGGCGGTAGTGGCGCCGGTCTGTGACGGATAGGCGCTGTTGGAGTGAGCGATGAAGGACCTTCCATTGATATGCTTTTCCATGGTTGAGAATACAATGGTTCTGCTTCTTCCTCGATGGGGATGCTCATCGTTCCCGGAGATATCGGCTCGGCTGTCGTTACCTGATCTCTTTCAATAATTCGCCGGATAGACGCATCTGCATTCGCGTCCCAATATGGAGCTTCTCGTCCCATCTGTCTTACGTTGCTCACCAAGTTCCGCAGAGCGCTGCTATGGTATCTTTGGCCTATGATAGTAGGGATATTTCCCATGTTCGCATAGATAAAGAAACCTATGATTGCGGCTCGAATCAAGATGTATGCTGTAACTATAGCGCACACCGTGTACACCCATGCGTCCACCATCGTTGGGATTCTGCCGAAGACGGCCCTTGTGGCCCATCCTGACCAATCGGGCATTTCCCATTTTCCGTCGTTCTCGTTTACGATCTTTTTGATGGCGTCGTCTAATGCATAATATGGCATTGATCGAACATTACTGTCTAAATTTCTGCTGGTGCGTCTAGCCATGTCGTTTACTTGGATGACGTCAAAACTACCACCGACTGGCGATGGTAATGAATTGGATAAGTTCCTGATCGTGATCGCGTGGAACATTTTGAACGGGAAGTACCCGTCTGGGTTTTCTTGATTCACAGGGGTACCGATTTCGCTAACCGTGTGAGTGTCGATCTGTTTCAATGAGCCTGAACTGGCTTCATAAATTAACAAATTGTTGAAGATTCGGATCGGAATTTCGCGAACTAGTGCGCATTCTTGTTGGGGCCAAATGTGATGCACAATCAGGGTTTGTGGGTCGACGCCAGCCTCGATTGTTTTGTTCCCGTCTCGATATTGGATTCTCGGATATGAACTACATTCGGACCCCATTGGAACGAATTTGAATGAGTTTTCGGGAAGTGGCATGCACGGCCATGCTTCGACTAGATCAACCGAAGATGCACTGGCGAACACGTATGGATGACCCGTTAATGAACGAACTGCTAAAGTTGGGTTTGCCAAAAATGTTGTGCGTTGAGCGACGATTTGGGTTCTCCATGTGTTGCATGCTAGACGGAAGGCTTTTGTAAATGCGAATTTTGTGGCTTCACGAATGTGCACCTCAACTGCTGACAGCGATGCTGCCAACGCTTCCGGACTGATGAATTGGGCGGTTCTGAAAACGTCAACATCATATGCGTTGTCCACTTTTTCTTTGAGTAACGTTTGTTTCTCATTTCTCTTGTTTCGAATAGCTCTTTCTTTGTCTTGGCGAGCCTGCTTGATAATTTCTGGATCAGCTAGCTGGTGTTCTAGGACTGCTAGGCCTTGGTGGGTAACGATCATGAGATATTTTTCACAATTATAAGTCGAATTATATGACCGATCCCAACTCAATGCGATTTCCCCTGATTCGTCTAAAAATGTTGGTCCGGTCTGGTGTCCGTTGACCGTCATGGCCTCGATGAATGCGCATTTTTGTTCAAAAGAAGGTGTCCAAACTAATGTCGCGCCATCGCGCAACGCGCAACTACCGTGATCGTAATTGCACCCGTGCATATCTCCTGCCGGACTGAAAATCGCTGTGGATCCGAATGCCGCGTGAATCGATGAATATGTCAAGTAACAATTTGTGATAACGATAGTGTTGTTACTGCAGCATGCAAACGGATTACTAGGATGAGTGTATTCGAATTTGTTTTGAGTTGCCCATTTGCCCTCGACTTCGGACATCAGCCCGTGGCTGCATCTCTTGTTCATCTCCATCATTCGGCATTCTTCCGTCGATACTGGCATATCAGTGGCTTCATAATGCTCATATTCTCCTCCGAAGAATCCTCTATAGAAGTATGCGCTTGATTTTACGATGCGACAATAGCTTGCCGCCTGTTCATACCGCTCGACGTTTGGTTTCCAAATAGAGATCCGGATTGCGGTGGGTTCGTCTTCGGGCTCGACTTCAAGACTTGGACATTCTAGAGTCCGATTCAATGACAGAAAATAGCGGGCGTTCGTGGTCTGACAAATCATCGGCATCTCGGCCTGACCGGAGTGCGCTCCGACTATCGGGATAAGTATCAACGTGATCATCGCAATTGTGGCTAATCCTAGTTTTCTGATGCGGTTTATCCGAAACGGGGGTGAATTGTTGTTGTCTGTTTTTCCGCACGTCATGGACGCTAGTTGCCTGTTTCTTAACTGAATGTTTTCCATCTGAGTTGACACCTCGTCCAAAACTGTCTCCGTTTCATTCAGTTTCTGATTCAGCATGGCGATTCGACCTTGTCCTTGGTACCAATTGTTATCCGACTGACGATTGTTTGGTGCCCGAGGTGATGGGTTCCTCCATTCGTGGCGGCGATCTTCGTAATCTGGGAATCTATCGCTTCTTTGGTTATAATCTTGAGGTAGGTTGTCGAAGTGTTCCTGTCTAGACCAGCATTCTCTGCTTATGTGGCCTCTTTTTCCGCAGTTATAACAATTGATTCCGTCTCGATTCCTTCGTTGAAAGTCGCGTTGTGGTAGGTGCAAGAATGGTTGAACCGGGCGCGTGGGTGGATGTGTTGGGTGTTGCTGGCCATCTACTTGGGCTAGGCGCAGAATTTCTGGTCGGGTGGATTGGGGAGGTAGCACGCTTTCCAGGGTACGCGCTCTTTGAACCGCTTGTTCCAAAGACTCAATTCCTTGGGCGATCAACTGTAGCGATATATCTGGCCGCACTCTGTCAATAAATTCTTGTGCTATTCTCTTTTCGATTTCGCCTCGTGACGTGGAAGCGTCGACCACATTTTGAATGATCCGTGTCAGGCGATCAACAAAATCGAGCACGCTTTCTGTCGACCTCTGTTTACATTCTTTCAATTGTGACCGAGCGACCGTAGTTTGTGCGCTAGTTGTGAATTTAGCCGCCATGAACGCACAAGTATCTGCGTATGAAGTATCGCGGCTGAGCGTCTGCAGGAATGCCTCTGCTGGTCCTTCCACGTAAAATCTCAAGAAACGCGCCTTGTCTGCGTCTGTCGCTGCGGGAGTACTAGCGGTGACGTAATCTTCGTACATCGGGAGCCATTGAGACCAAGATGTTTTTCCTGAAAATTTGGTTAGCGTTATGGATCTAAGCATCAAAACCCTTGGTGTTGCCATTGTATTCGACGGAGAACTATCGATGATGAAATTCTTCGATTCGGATTTGACGTAGGGGGAGATGGCTGACATGGTGGGAGAATACACGAAAAAGTAAATTTTGATTCACCGGTGACTCGAGGTCGGGTCACCAGTAGTTACAGAGAACAACAATGACTTTTGAAAAATAGTTTGATTCACTAACTTCCTGATGCCAGGCTGAGAGTGATTTGGATTTGGGGTTACAACGGACGACTATGAAACGAACTGACAAGTTAAATTTTGGAGAGGATGAGTTTCTCGATGCTTGTGGTCAACTTGAGGAAGACAACACAAAGTAAAACCAAAACTACCGGGCAGTGCTTGTGTGTGAAGTTGATGTTGATTGACTTTGGGCGGCAAAATCGCTAGAATTACCTGTAAGTATTACGTTGGATTAATTATGATCGGCATTAGTTGTGGGCCTTAGTCAAGCACCTCACGTCGTACACGGAACCGAAAGACCGAAGCTCAAAAGGGGAAAAGAAAAAAAAAAAGGGAGAAGAAAAAAAAATATAGTGGTCTCAGCCCACAAGAGGGGACCGCGAGCAGTCCTCGTTTCATTTAGTCAACTGATATCGACTGCTCATAATCTTCTTCTATATATGTGGTGCCTTCTTTATGGCTAGTCCTGGCTCCGCCCATATTGTTTGTCACCAGATTCCTCTCGTTGATAAGATTTCCCCCTGGCACATATTTTGTTTACTTGGTCCTGTTATCTCGCCGATGGGGTCGTATAATATGTTGCCGTATACCAATATAATTGTTTATGGCCTCTAGGAAAATGATATTGGCTCCGTTTACAATCGTTTATCATGAAGTCTTTCGATTTTTGATTACGCTTCTGTGCAATCGTATACAATCGCATGGTTGTAAATGATACAACGACCAAACTTCGTTTTTCCCGGACTTACCGTGATGGTCTGATTGTCCTCGTGATGTGGCTTGTAGTAGTCGTCACGATTCCGAAAATCGATTTTTGGTCTGAAAAAGAACGAAACCGGAGCGGTTTTGTAGGATTTTGTTCCATATTTTGGTAGAATGCACATCTCATGTGAAATGTGCGTTCCTTTGCAATTCGGCCAAAATTGCCTTGATATTCACCATCGTCATGGTTGCGGGAGCTGATTCTCCCATTTCGCGATCTCAAATTTGTCGACTCTCCATTTTCCCGGTTTCTCATTTCATTTTCGATTCTTCCATACTCTCTTCCATAATTTTCGCATTCATTACTCATTTTCACTCATTTTTCGCATTCATTTTCAGTATCACTCAATTTTCCTCATAATTCGCTCTGTATCACTTTCTCAATATTATCTTCATCTCACTATATTCTCGATTATTCTTCTTCATTCGTCTTTTTCATTTTCTGGCTCTCATTCTCAATTCTCATTTTGCATTATACAGCTGTCTCTACTCTACTTACTAAACTGTATATATAAGAGTAAACTAATAATCTACACCAGAAGCTTCTGTTAAAAAAATTGGAGACTTGATGCATGGTATACCTCAGATGAGATCCACCGTGCTTATTTTCAACTTACCAAGGCGTGCACTCCTTGACAAGAGGTGGTCGGGGTCGGCACTCGCTGCTACCAATGTAACTGCTAGACCGGTTCATATAATATAATAAGTTTATTAATACATAAATAGCAAGTTACGGATACAATACAAATTAGGGTGTCGACATCTGGCCTGGTCCTACGCGTCCCCTCATAGAACTCCCTTATCAGTCTCTCGGTGAAGTTTATATAGTGAAGTCTTATCGCACGTTACACCCTGAAATTGCATAAAAAAGGGGCGTGGCTTAGTTTTTTGGTCAAATTTCAGGCCTAAATTCAAGAATTTTAGTCCTATTTGAGTCCAGAAAAACTGTGCCGCAAAATTGCATAAAAAGGGGCGTGGCCTAGTTTTTGAGTCAAATTTCAGGCTTAAATTCAAGAATTTAGGACCTATTTGAGTCGAGAAAAACTGTGCCGCAAGATTGCAGAAACTAAGCCACGCCCACTTTTTTTCCACCGCCAAAATGTCAAATTTCAAAATTGTTTCCAGGAATGATGATCGAAAGTATGGCGGGAAAATCGGCTGCAATGCACGGTGAAACCTATGATGCAAGTCCGTTTGTATTCAAGTGAGTTATGGGGGAATTTTGGCCCAAAAAATGGGATCCGGGTGGATTTTTGACCTAAAATTTGGGATTTTCGGTGATTTTTGAGCTAGAAACACGGATTTCTGGTCAATTTTGACTCAAAAAACTGGATTTTCAGCCAAATTTCCTATTTTCAGCGAAGAAAACACGGCAATCAATCATTTCGGTGAACTTTTGACCAAATCCGGCTATAATTATTATGGAAATGAGACTTTTTATTCGGGAGTCGATGGAAGACAAATGGAAATGCAAATCTTCTTCGGAATTGTCTATTATCAAAGATTGAGACATATGATTGCGGATAAATTCCAGGTTTGGAGAATTTTGAGCTGAAAATTTGGGTTTTTGATGGAAAATGAGCTCAGAAACTTGAAATTTGGTAGATTTTGAGCAAAAAATGATAAAAATCAGAAATTTCAAACCTATATTCATAATTTCAGCCTTAAAATTTCTTGGCAAAAAATTTGGAGCATTTTGAGATAAAAATGTGGGTTTTTGATGGAAAATGAGCTCAGAAACTTGAAATTTTGTGAATTTTGAGCCAAAAATCATAAAAATCAGAAATTTTGAAGCTTTATTCATAATTTCAGCCTTAAAATTTCTTGGCTGAAAATTTGGAGCATTTTCAACCAAAATTACGGTGGTTTGGAGCAATTTGATAAAAAAATCATGAAAGTTGGTTAAAAATGAGCCACAAAACTTGAAAATCTGAAAATTTCGAGAATTTTGAGCTGAAAATTTGGATTTTTGATGAAAAATGAGCTCAGAAACTTGAAATTTCGTAGATTTTGAGCTGAAAATCATGAAAATCAGAAATTTTCAACCAAAAATTCTCAATTTGTCTGAAAATCTGAAAATTTCAGGTTCGAGCCACCGGTCCAATTGATCCAATCACTCATCAACCGGTAAAAGGACGAAAAAAAGGAGGAGGTATTCGATTTGGAGAAATGGAAAGAGATGCTATTATTGCGCATGGAACATCGTTTGTATTGCAGGTAATTTTGAAGATTTTGTAATTTTGGCTGAAAAATCTGGAAAATTTGCTCTAAAATGAGCCGGAAATCATGAAAATTGGCTCGAATTTTTCCCAGAAAAAATACGTTTCAAAATTTTGATATGAAAAAAAATTAGATTTTTTTTTATTACCTTCTTCGATTGATCATTTCAATAATCTACCCTGTAAAAACTGTGCGGTGAAATTGCGAAAAGGGGCGGAGCTTGAATTTTTGTTGCAACTTTGCCGCATGGTTTTTGAACAGAAAATTTTCTATAAAAATGAGTTTGAATTCAAAATTTTGACCAAAAATTTGTGCCGCAAAATTGCAGAAAAATCTAAAATTTTTCATTTTCCTAAAAATCTACTGTTTCAAAATTTGATTTTTTTTTCTATAATCTAGCCTGTAAAAACTGTGCCCTAAAGCCACGCCCCCTTTTGTTCTTCTGCAATTTAGCCGCACAATTTTTGCCCCCCCCCCGTCAAAAACCATTATGATTTTTTTTTACAGGATCGTCTCCTGAATTGTTCGGATCGTGACGTGGCATACGCATGTCGTCGATGTGGATCACTTTTGTCGGTTTTGATGTCAAGTCGACAAGGAATGCATTTGGAACAGAGGAAAAAAGTGAGATTTGGGCTGAAATGTAGGGTTTTTCACCTGAAATTCATTATTTCTGACCTAGATTTAATCAAAAAGTGAAAATTTGCAGGGAACTATCGCGGCGCCCGTCGATTATTCCGAACAACAAACTTGTCGAAGTTGCGGTAAAGAAGATCAAGTTTTCTTGATTCAGGTGAGCATTTTTGAGCTGAAAATCTAGAAAATTGCACAATTTTAGCTAAAATTCTGAAAATCCCCGAAAAATTTCACATTTACTAGAAAAAATGCAATAAAAATCACATTTTTCTTGTGATTCAATATTTTTAATTGGATTTTTATTTGATTTTTTCCTAGAAGTTTTGCACGTAGCAATCTAGTTCTTACAAGAAAACAAGAACGCAAATTCGCTCTTACGAACATCCCGCGAAAATTTGGGAAATTTGAAAAATTAATTTTTTTAGTGTTTCAAAAAACAAGTGCGCTCCAATGAACAACCCGCGAAAATTTGGGAAATTTAAAAAATTAATTTTTTTTTAAATTTAAACAAGTTCGCTCCAATGAACAACCGCCGCAAATTTAAAACATTTCGAAAATCTTTTCTAACTTTTATTTTCTTACAGGTTCCACGTGTTTTCCGCTATCTGACTGCCGAATTGGCTGCGATGAATGTGAAAATCAAATTGGGCATCGAACATCCCTCAAAAATTCAAGGATCCTAGATTTTTTTCCAGATTTTTTGAGTTTCAGCCAAAAAATCTAGAAATTTCCCCCCATTTTTAGTTGTTGTACTGGTATTTTTAATCGATTTTGTTGATTTTTGAAATTGTTTTCTTTTTCGTTGAAAATTTGTTTTGTTGACCTTTGTTTTTTATTGTTATATGAAAGTTGTTTTTTGAAAAAAATAATTTTTTGGAGCAAGCGCGCTCCAATGAGAACCGCGAAAAAAAATCGATATTTTTGAAATTTTTATTGTTTCACAAAGCCTTTGTTTGTTTTTTGAGAGCCGGCCACAAAAATGTGGGCGGAGCTTCAGTTTTTTTTTTTTGAAAAAAATTTTGCGCAGCTTTTCCTGCACTAATACTTTCTTTTCATTTTGAACATTGATTTTTGGTTTTTTTTTGCACAAAAATTTAGCAAGAAAAACTGTGCGGCGAAATTGCTGAAAATTTAAGCCACACCCCTTTTTTCAAATTCAGAAGAACGGAAAATGATGCAATTTTTTAGCTTCAGAATTCAGAATGATGCAAAAATTCTGATGAAATTTTTGAATTTCGCGCGAAAACGTGGCATTAGGGCTTTTTGGCGCGAAATTCAAATTTTTCAAAAAATCCACGTTTTTTCATAAAAAGAACACATTAGACACATAATATTTTTTCGTATTTTTCTCTGCGTCTCTCCACAAAAAACATACATTTTTTGATGTTAGCCTAAATTGTGTGCACTTTTTCCTATGTGATGCAAATTTTCTTAGTTTTCGTGATTTTTTTTGGCGCCAAATTTGAATTTTTGAATATTGTTTATTGATTTTTTTTGAATTTCGCGCCAAAAAATTCGAATTTTTGTGAGAAATTTTTGACATTTTCTTGCAAATGCTAAATTTTTATGTGATTTTTCAAATAACAATTTTTAAATAACGTTTTGATAACACAATTTACATGATTTTTGGCATTTCCCTCCAATTTCAAGAATTTTTGTCATTTTTCTTCAAATTCAGCTTATTTTTAGCAAAATTTCCGTGAAAATCTCAAATTTCCAACTGAAATTCTAGATTTTCCTCAATTTTCAGCCCGAATTCCCCCAAAAACTCTGAAAATTCAAAAAACCCAAAAAAAATGCGAAAAAATAAAAGTAGAAATGCAAGTGCGCTCCAGCGAACAGCGTGGGAAATTACCGATTTCAAACTGCTTTTTTTCACTTCGAATTTCTGTTCCCCATGTGTTATTTTTTCGCGGAAAAAGTTCGGCTAACTCATTTTTCTCCACAAAAAATATGACGTCACTTCTCTTTTCTTCTCATATTTTCTTCGCGGAACACGTGCGTTTTTGCAAAAAAACACGGAGTTCAAAAATCGCCGGCGGGAAATTCAAAAATTCAAATTTGTTTCAGGCAAATCTCATATGGAAGTCAAAAAACACGTGGCTGTGTCTCAACTGGAAAAGCTGAAAAATCTGAAATTGCAAAATTCGGTGGATTTGGCCAATACAGATCAGGTTAGTAGAATTTTTTGGAATTTCGCTCGTTTTTTGCTCAAAATCGCCTTATTTTCTGCTGCTGATAACATTATTTTTGTTTATTCAACATTTTTCGAACAGCGAAAATAGGCGCCGCCCATTTTTATTTTGCAAATTTGCGGCGCAGTTTTATTTATTTAATTACTTAAATAAAACCCTATTTTAATTACCTAAGACATTTATTAAGTCAAAAAATGTGATTTCTATTTGTTTTTCTGATTTTCCAGACCAACATTCAAACAAAAATTCATATCAGAGATCAGTTTTTGACCTACGCGCAAAGTTTCGAAAACAATTCACGTTCAAATTTCAAATTTTCGCACGCAGTTCGCTGGAGCGAACTTGCATCTTTACTTTTATTTTTCGTCATTTTTTTCATTTCACGTCGTTTTTATGTGTTTTCCGTTGAAAAGTAAGAGAAATGTGGGTTTTCGGGGTTGGGAAAGGTGCGAAATGCGATTTTTGACTGAAATTAGGTGGGGGCGCGTGGAATTTCAGACGAAAATCTGGAATTTTTGGTGGAAAATTAGATTTCGCTGAAAATCCTCGTTTTTCGATTGTTTTGCGGTTTTTTTCTATTGGAAGAGCTTGTAGATCTTTATTTTCATAGAATTTAGCTAGAAATTCATCTCAAAATCCAGATTTTCAACCAAAAATCTGAAATTTTCGTTAAAAAATCCAAAATCACTAATTTTCCCCACAAAAATCACAATTTCTGTACAGAAGATACAGTGATGACTATTTTTTGTAGTTTCTGTCCAAATTTAGCATTATATTTTGTAGTCGACACCCAGTTTTCAACAAAAATCACAAAACCCCTCGAATTTTTTGCAAATTTTGTGCCAAAACGGGCGGTCAGCACGGTAATTTGATATTTTAAACATAAATGAAAAAAAAAACAGTTTTGTTTATAAAGTTTTTCGGACACCCGGGTGGTTATTTTTGATGTTTTGAGGGTTCTTTGCTCAAAATTTTGATTTTCGCGCCAAAAATCATGATGGGAGCTTGATTGACGTGTTTTTGGTGCAAAAATCCGGGTTTTCTAGGCGGAAGGAGCTTGACTGACGTGTTTCTTGTGTTAAAAGGGGCTACAAAACATACGCTAGTAGAACATTCTATTGGCGCATATTTTGTAGCTGCCAGAAATACGCCAGAAAGCTTTCCTACTAGGGTTGTTGACGCATAATTTGTAGCAACCATGTAATTCTGTTGACGCAAGTTTTGTAGCAACAAAAAACACGTCAACAATAACATGTTGACGCCTTTATTCTGTAAATGACATCACCTACAAAATATGCGTCAACAAATACTTTGTACTGACGTGTATTTTGATCAGAAAAAAGTGTTTGTTTTATTGGGCGAACTATCATTCTTCTTTGTACTAAATACAACAGCAAAAAACATTGTCACGTTGTATGTTCGAAAAAAAAAAGAAGAAGAAATTATTTATGACGTTTCATTTTATGATAAGAAAATATCATAATAATATAATAATAATACTACTATAGTACAGTTTTTGTCCAATTTTTCGCAAAAATTGGGTTTTTTGGTGAAAAATCGTGATTTTTTGCACGAAAAACACGCCAATCCACTTGTTGACGTGTTTTTCGTGCAAAAATTCACGTTTTTGCACCAAAAACAAGCCAATCCACCTTTCGACCCATTTTTTGCCCTATAGTTTTAAAAAATCACAGTTTCGTGTAGTTTATAGATGATTTATGACTGAAAGTACGAAATTTTTCGTTAATTCGATTAAAATTTGTCATTTTATAGTTTGTGTGTCAGAATCTTTGGATTCTGGGACGAAAAATGCGTCAGCAATGGTATTGACGTGTTTTTGGTGCAAAATTTACATGGGTTTGTACGGAAAATGCATCAGCTAAAGCGTTGACGTGTTTTTGGTCCATTTTTCACATTTTAAAGCCAAAAGAGCTTTACTGACGCTTTTGCGATGTTAAACTTGCTAGAAATGCGTCAGTAAACCCTCTTTGATCTATCAGACACCAAAAACACGCAAGGAAGCTTCACTGACATATTTTCGGTGCAAAATCTACCTTGACACATTTTCCGTTTGATATTTTTCTCTGTTTGTACGGAAAATGCGTCAGCTAAAGTATTGACGTGTTTTTGGTGCAAACTTTTGGGATTTTCGCACCAAAAATGCGTCAATCTCCCTCCTGACCCTTTTTTTGTGCTCTAACAGTTCAGGTTCATTTCCAAAAAAACCATCGAACTTCCGATTTTCCGTAGGCGAAAAAACAAATAAAACATCACTTATTGTTTTTTTTCTTGCTCAAAAATCGTCCGATTTTCCTCTGCCGGCTGATCTTTGAAGAAAAAACAGCGTGATATTTCAATTTAGCCCAACTCCCTAAGCTCCGCCCCTTTTTCCCCACAAGCTCCGCCCACATTTTTGAGAATTGAGAAAAAGGGGCGGAAAATTGGGGAGAAGTTTAGTTTTTGTGTTTTTTGTTGAGGTGTTTGTGATTACCAGAAATGCGTCAAGGGTTAGATTGACGTGTTTTTGGTGCTAAAAACCTTCTTGAGCTATTTTTCTATGAAATTTGCTTCAACTGACGCTTTTTTGGTACAACATCAACCAGAAATGCGTCAGTAAACCTCTTGGCGTATTTTTGGTAGATTGTAAACCGTAAATGCGTCAGTGACTAGTTTTTCGTTGTAAAATCTACCAAAAATGCGTCAGCAACCGTATTTTTGGTCCATTTTTCACATTTTAAAGCTAAAAGAGCTTAACTGACGCTTTTGCGGTGCAAAATCTACCAAAAACACGTCAATCTTCCTCTCCTTGACACGATTTTCCGTTTTTTTCTCTCTGCGTCTCTCGTTTTCTCTTGCTCTCTAACCTCTCTAACATCTCTCATCTCTTCAGCCAAAAAAGTGGGAAAAAGATGTCGTCGTGTGTCTTCCAATATCCAACACAACAAATCAACGTGGCGCCGAAAAATGGCGCGAAAAAAGTTCGGCCAGCCGAGTTGCGCCTTCAGGCGCCCCAATCCGCACGAGACCTGGTACGGTACCAAAAAAAAATTTCGCGCGCGAAAAATCAACGTCGTAAAAATCGAGTTATGACGTGGCTTTTTGTTTTTGCAGATTCAAGATGAGTGTCGAAGTTTGGTGTTGTCGAATCAGCAGCTGAAAAGATTGATGGCGGCGATGGAGAAAAGCATGGAAGAGGGCTTGGCTAGTGAGTTTTTTGGGGTTTCGAGGGTTTGCGACGAAAATCGCGAGCTGAGATGTGGATTTTTGAAATCCGCGTGGAATTTTGAGCCGGGGACAGTTTTTCTGAGAAAAATTGAAAAATGTTTACTAGCGGGATCGAACCCGCGACCTTTTGATTGATAAAAGTTCAAATCTTTAACCGACTGAGCCATTTGTGCTAAATCTCGAGTTTATGCTGAAAAAACCACTTTTCCCGCTCCAAATTCCACGTGGAATCCGAATTTTCATATGAAATTCACGAAAAATTACTCGGCGACCTAGAAAATTGGATTCCACGTGGAATTTTGAGCCGGGAAGTCGTTTGCTGGGAAAAATTGAAAAAAAGTTTACTACGGGGATCGAACCCGCGACCTTTTGATTGATAGAAACTCAAATCTCTAACCGACTGAGCCATTTGTGCAAAATCTCGAGTTTATGCTGAAAAAACCACTTTTCCCACTCCAAATTCCACGTGGAATCCGAATTTTCATATGAAATTTACGAAAAATTACTCGGCGACCTAGAAAAATGGATTCCACTTGGAATTTTGAGCCGGGGAGTGGTTTTGATGAAAATTAAAAAAAAAAGTTTACTACGGGGATCGAACCTAGCACCTTTTGATTGATAGAAACTCAAATCTCTAACCGACTGCGCTATTTGTGCAAAATCTCGAGTTTATACTGAAAAATCCACTTTTCCCGCTCCAATTTCCACGTGGAATCCGAATTTTCACATGAAGTACCTGAAAATTGGCCCCGAGACCTAGAAAAATGGATTCCACGTGGAATTTTGAGCCGGGGAGTTGTATTGATGAAAATTAAAAAAAAAGTTTACTACGGGGATCGAACCCGCGACCTTTTGATTGATAGAAACTCAAATCTCTAACCGACTGAGCCATATGATTGAAAAATAACGAATTGTTGTCAAAAATCGGTTAAAAAACATGTTTCTGGATCAAATTTTTTCGAAAAATCTCTCCGAGACCTAGAAAAATGGATTCCACGTGGAATTTTGAGCCGGGGAGTTGTTTTGATGAAAATTAAAAAAAAAAAAGTTTACTACGGGGATCGAACCTGGCACCTTTTGATTGATATAAACTCGAATCTCTAACCGACTGAGCCATTTGTGTTAAATCTCGAGTTTCTGCCAAAATCGAGCATTTTTAGCTCAAAACCACTTTTCCGGCTCAAAAATCCACGTGGAATCCAAATTTTATGGTCCCAAAACCTAGAAACCTACTAAAAAACTGAAAAAATTATTTCCAGCTTCCACCAAAAAAGTGGCAGTGAAAATGTTGCCCACCTACGTGGATTCTGTACCAAACGGCACAGAACGTGGCGATTTTCTGGCGTTGGATTTGGGCGGCACCAATTTCCGCGTGCTACACATTCGATTGGACGGCACTCCGCAGGCGGAGATGCGCGGAAAGATTTTCCGCGTTCCGGAAAGTATTATGCGCGGAAGCGGCGAAGCGCTTTTCGATCATATCGCCGATTGTATGGCCAAGTTTATGGAGGAGAATGGTTTGAGGAAAGATGTTAAGCTTCCGCTTGGTTTCACTTTTTCATTTCCATGCGCGCAACAAGGATTGACTAAGTGAGTTTTTGACGCAAAATTTGAAAATTTTCAGAGAAATCATTCATTTTGACCCAAAATTCATCAAATTTGACCGAAAATCATGTTAAATACCAAATTTAGGCACAAATCCGGATACATTAGGCCTTAGAGTCCTAAATTAGGCCTTAGAGTCTTGAATTTGGCCTTAGAGCCTTAAATTAAGCTTTGGAGCCGCTAGAAAGACTGTTAAGCCTTAAAAATGACATTCAAGCCTTAAATTAGGCCTTAGAGCCTTTAGAAAGACTTTAAGACCCTAAAAATGACCTTGGAGCCTTAAATTGGGCTTCAGAGCCTTTATTAAGACTTTTAAGCGTTTAAAATGACATTAAAGCCTTAAATTAGGCCTTAGAGCCGCTAGAAAGACATTAAACCGTTAAAAATGACCTTGGAGCATTAAAATGGGCCTTGGAGCCGCTAGAAAAACTGTTAAGCCTTAAAAATGACCTTAGAGCCTTAAATTGGGCTTTGGAGCCTTTAGAAAGACTTTAAGACCTTAAAAATGGCCTAAGAACCTTAGATTTGGCCTTAGAGCCTTTAGAAAAACTGTTAAGCCTTAAAACTGGCCTTTGAGCCTTTGAAAGGAACTTGGGGCCCTAAAATCGACTTTAGAACTTCAAATTAGGCCTTAGAGCCTTAAATTAGTCCGTTGAGCCTCGAAATTGGTTCAAAACCTTTTGGAAAGACCTTGATGCCTTAAATTAGGTCTTAAAGCTTAAGTTAGGCCTTAGAGCCTTAAATTAGGCTTCAGAGCCTGAAAATCAGTCAAAAATACCACAAAAATGCTCCAAATTTCACCAAAAATCCCATTTTCTCACTCAAAACTCACTGGCAATTAATTTCCAGAGGCAAACTCATCTCGTGGACCAAAGGTTTCAAAGCTTCGGGAGTTGAGGGAAGTGACGTAGTCACACTTTTACGAGAAGCTTGTCATCGACGAAAAGATATTGATATTGATGTTGTGGCGTTGTTGAATGACACTGTTGGAACACTTATGGCTTGCGCATTTCAGGAGAATACTTGTCAGGTTAGCAAATTTCGGGAAATGATGGAAAATCGCTAGAAAATGAGCCAAAAATCGATAATTTTGAAGGATTTTGAGCCAAAATTCATGATTTTTGATGAAAATTGAGCGAAAATCGATTTTCCAAGAATTTTTATCTGAAAATATATAGATTTTGAAGAGGTCACGTCTGAAATATCACAGTTTTTTTCCAAATTCTTTTTTTTTTAAATTAAATTTTAGAAATTTTAAATTGCCACGTCATATGTCACGTCTTTGAATTTTGGCGGGGGATTTTTCTACAGTAACCTACAGTAGTTCTTATGTGCAAAATTTCAAGATTTTTCTTAATTTTTGAGCTTGAAATTTTAATTTTAAAATTGCTTTAAAATTTTGAGAAAAAAATCATTTTTAAAAGAAAAAATCTGAAATTTCTGAAATTTTAGCTCAAAAATCCTGGAATCAGAAAAATCTAGCCTTTTTTGGAATAAAACATTTCAGAATTTTCACGATCAAAAATAGAGTTGGGTTAACTTTTAACACTTTTCCTTTAAAAAACTAGTATACTCTTCGTGAAGTGTAGTTGGAGAGAGTCTCAGGGTTCCCAACTGTTATACTTTTTATGTGATCTATTCTCAAAGTCAGAGTGAGGGGGGGGTTCCCATTTTGAAGAAAAAAATCCCCTGAAGTAACAATAAGCGTGTTCCAAAAGTTGCAGCGCTCAAACCCCCAAAAAAAGAAAAAAACAAATGAAAATTCACGAATACTTCTACCGTACCCCTCATCAAAGGCGCACACAATTTTTCTCCCGTGTCTCACAACGCGCGTTGATTTTTCAAAAAACGAAGCGGTGTTTGCACAAAAAGAAACATTTAATGTGACGCCAAATTTTCAGTGATTTCGTTTTTTATAAGGGGAGGATAAGAAATTTCAAATTGCCACGTCATAGGTCACGTCTGAAATAGCTGAGTTTCATAAAATTTGAATTTTCGAATTTTGTCGTGGGATTTTTCTACAGTAATCTACAGTAGTACTTATGTGCAAAATTTCAAGATTTTTCTTAATTTTTGAGCTAGAAATTCTAATTTCAAAAATTGCTTAAAATTTTGAAAAAAAATCATTTTTAAAAGAAAAAATCTGAAATTTCTGAAATTTTAGCTCAAAAAACCTGGAATCAGAAAAATCTAGCTTTTTTTGGAATAAAAAATTTCAGAATTTTCACGATTAAAATTAGAGTTAGGTTAACTTCTAAAGCCTATCTTATTTTGTTTCAGAAAGGCCGAAATTCAAGTTCAGCTCAAAATTTAGGCCCAGACTTATGCTATCTCAAAAAATTCGCATTTAATTCCAGATTGGTGTAATCGTCGGAACTGGCACCAATGCGTGTTACATGGAGCGAATGGACAGAATTCCAAAATTAGCCGGCTACGTCGATGAACACGATCACACTCCCGAAGAAATGATAATCAATACAGAATGGGGTGCATTTGGCGACGATGGAACAATGCATTTCTGTCGAACAAAATGGGATGATCAAGTGGATCGAGAATCGATTAATCCAGGTCAACAACTCTACGAAAAAATGATATCCGGAATGTATATGGGAGAAGTTGTCAGAGTGATTCTCGAGGATTTGGCTCGCAAGAATTTGCTATTCTGTGGAAATTTCGAGGCAATTTCCAAAGCGCATTGTTTTCCGACGAAATTTGTGTCAGAAATTGATCAGGATTTGATAGATTCAGAACAGGATGACGCGAATTTCCAGAAAACCTATCAAATTTTGGAGGATATTGGGATTGAGACGGTTTCCAGCTCGGATTGTGCGAATGTCGCGTATGTTTGTAGTTTGGTCTCGACACGGGCTGCACATTTGACGGCGGCGGGAATTGCGATGCTTTTGAATCGAATGAATAAGCGGATGGTGACGGTTGGTGTGGATGGAAGTGTTTATCGATTTCATCCGACTTATCCGAAATTGTTGGATGAGAAGATTGATGAATTGATTGTGGGCGATATTGAGGTGAGAGTTTGGGACTAGATAAGCCTAGGGTTAGGCCTGAAAATCCACGTTTTTTGAGTCTAAACAAGCCTAGGGTTATTTCAATTATAATGTGGATTTTTGGCCTGAAAATTGGGGGTTTTTTGAGCCTAAACAAGGCCAGGCCATTTTTTGGGCTCAAAATCCAAGCCTAGAGAAAGCCCGGAAAAATCCACGTTTTTCAAGTCTAGATAAGCCTAGATTCAAGCCTGAGCTAAAATTTTAGAGATCAAACTAGACTATATTTTTGGGCCTGAAAATTTGGGATTTTCTGAGTCTAAATAAGCCCAGATCTAAAATTCAGGCCTGATAAAATCCACGTATTTTGAGCCTAAACAAGTCCAGACCTATATTTTGGGCTTAAAATCTAAGCCTAGAGAAAAATCCACGTTTTTTGAGTCTAGATAAACCTAGATTCAAGCTAAAATTTTAGAGGTTAAACTAGACTATATTTCTGGCCCTGAAAATCTGGGATTTTCTGAGCCTAAATAAGCCCAGACCTAAAATTCAGGCCTGAGAAAATCCACGTATTTTGACCCTAAATAAGCCTAGTTTTAGGCTTAGGGTTACTGTAGGGGTTTTGAGCTGAAAAATCTTTATTTTCTGAACTTTGAGCTCAAACTTGCTCTAAAAATCTGAAAATCCAAAGATTTTCGAATTTTCTCTTCAAAAATATAAATTTTAGTGCAAAATTTGATGGAATGCTGAAATTTCAATGTTTCTATGAAAATTCTGAATTTTTGAGAACCTACAGTAATCCTGGGCTTATTTAGACTCAAAAAATCCGGAATTTCACGAGGTTTTTCAAGCTACAGTACTCCCCAACCGCAAAATCTACAGTACCCCTCAAAAATCAATAATTTTTTTTGCAGTACCAATTGATGTTGTCGGAAGATGGTTCGGGACGCGGTGCCGCTTTGGTCGCCGCCGTCGCCACGCGGATCAAAGCGGAAAAGCTGGCGTTGCGCAAATTGTCGGCCATCAAATTCTCATCAAATTAGTCCCTTGGTTTTCTAGGCCACGGCCCCCTTTCAACGAGCTTTATCCATTTTTTTTTTTTCACGGGACCCCACAACTTTTGTGACATTTAATGCACCCCCTTTCAAAATTATCGATTTTTTTTTTGAAAAAATATTTTACTAACCCCCCCCCCTCCGAAAAAATGCAATTTTTCCCACCAAAAATGTATCTAGAACTTTTTTTTTTGCAAATTTTATTCCAAACTCGATTAAAATCGTGTATTTATTATGTATGTGTGTGAATATAAATTTCATTTTTAAGTTTTTCTACAAAAATTGCGCCAGCACGCGAAATGCGTCAGCAAATTTTTCTGGTTTGAAGGCTACAGAAAATGCGCCAGCAAAACTCGACCTACAAAATCCACGTCAACAAAACCAATTTATTTTATTTTTGGCGCCAACACACACAAATAAAAATTAGGAGATTACTGTAGATTTCTACAGTACCCCCCGGGGTTACTGTATTAGCTTAACTGGCTCGATTTTGTGATTTTTGTTCGAATTCCATGAAATCGATCAAAAATGTGGCGCCAAGGAGGACTCCTTTGATTTTGACGTCGAGGTCCATGGGAACTGCAAGAAAAAAGTGTGCGAGGGTTGCAAAAAGGGGCGGGGCTTGATTTTTTGAGCATTTTGATACTAAACAAGCCTGGGGAAAGCGTGCCAGGCTTGCAAAAGTGGGCGGAGCTCTAGAATTATAGGCTTGTGGGGTGTCAAATTGAAGCTCCTGGTCTAATCAAGATAACTATGATTTTTTTAGGCCACGCCCACTTTTTGCAATTTCGCCGCATGGTTTTTCTTCATTTTTTTTTGTATAGGCTTGTTTGGTGTCAAAAAACTGCAAATTTCTCTAAGAACCCTGTAAAACCTTACAATTAACTTGAAAAATATCGGCATCAGTAAAAGCTTCTCTTACACATCCACCCCATTTTTTGGTGATTGCACCAATCGTTTCTCCACCATTCGTTTTAATAGGAAACTCCTTATCATTACATCCAATCATATTACAACAACACGGTCCATCAATTTTCAAAATAACATTTCCATCCGCGTCCAAAACATCAAAACATGAAGCCATACATGCGCCACGTTGGCGAATTTCACCCAAAACACCGTGTGCTGGTGAAATGATCTTGGCTTCTTGTTGACAGCATCCGATGCATGCAAAACAGCCGCCACAACCTCCACCACAGAATTTGAATTCGCGCGTGATTGTCAGCACTTCCTAGAATTAATTTTAGACATTTTCGTGAAATTTGGAGCATTTTGATTATAAATATGGTCATGTTTAGTCTCAAAATGCTCCAAATTTCATAAACATCGGCACAAGCAACTCTTGAATTTCCTGGAATTGAATTCAGGGTGATTTTGAGGCTCCCAATAGAGTTTGGAGCATTTTGAATCCCCACATAACCTATTTTTGTGAAAAATCAAGAGTATCTCATGTTTGGTATCGAAATGACGCAAATTTCAGAGAGATCTCAAATATTATGTGCTCAAAATTTTCTAGAATTAAATTCAGGGGTTTTGAGAGTGATTTTGAGACTCCCAATGAAGTTTGGAGCATTTTGACACCACTATTTTTGTGAAAAATCGAAAATCTCATGTTTGGTATCAAAATGACCCGAATTTCATTTTCCAGAACTTCCTAGGAATAAATTCAGGATTTTTAGTGAAATTTGGAGCATTTTGAATATAAATATGGTCATGTTTGGGCTCAAAATGCTCCAAATTTCATAAAGATCGGCTCAAGCAACTCTTGAACTTCCTGCAATTGAATTCAGGGTTTTTGAGAGTGTTTTTGAGGCTCCCAATGGAGTTTGGAGCATTTTGAATCCTCACATAACCTATGTATGTGGAAAATCAAAAATATCCTATGTTTGATATCAAAATGCTCCAAATTTCATTGTCCAGAACTTTCTAGAATTAAATTTAGTGAAATTTGGAGCATTTTGAATATAAATATAGTCATGTTTGGGCTCAAAATGCTCCGAATTTCATAAAAATCGGCTCAAGCAACTCCTGAACTTCCTGGAATTGAATTCAGGGTTTTTGAGAGTGATTTTGCGGCTCCCAATAGAGTTTGGAGCATTTTGAATCCCCACATAACCTATTTATGTGAAAAATCAAAAATATCTCATGTTTGGTATCAAAATGACGCAAATTTCATTTTCCAGAACTTCCTAGAATTAAATTCAGGAATTTTCGATGTTTCCCAGAAAATTTGGAGCATTTTGAGTATAAATATAGGCATGTTTGGGCTCAAAATGCTCCAAATTCCCGCCTGAACTCAAAAATCCACGAACCCTCTTAAAATTATCCACAATATGCATGATAAATCCCCTCTGATAACCACAACACTGTCTTTCACAACAACTCGATTCCTCAAATGCATAATATGCTTGTTGACCATTCGCATTCCTCAATACATATCGATTTTTTGTCTCCCAATCTGTCATGATTTCGAGCAACTCTTTGATTTGTTTCACAACTACGTGATCCAAATATGTCAAATATTCGAGTCCCGCTGGGACACCGGACATTGGTTGAGGCATTTCCATCCATACGGCTGAAAAAATCAGGAGATTTGCTTCATTTTGATACCCCATAAGGCTAGGCTTTGAAAAAAAAACCATGCGGAGAAATTGCAAAAGTAGGCGTGGCTTAATTTTCGAGCCTCGGAAAGGGTTAGAGCTTCTAAGTTAGTCATAGAGCTCCAGTTTGACGCTGAAAATCCCCTGAATTTACCTCCTGGAACTGCTGGAACCTGAGCTCCCGGTTGAGTTGTGATAACTTGCATTTATAGAACTAGTCTCAAAAGAATAGAAAAATGAGAAATGAAAATTTCAGGTTGGCTGATAAACAGCTGAAATTGTTGTTACTATGACTACAGGGGCCCAACATTCGAAAATTATGATTCAGACTTGAAAAAAGCGTGGTTTGGAGTTAGAGTTGGGGAAAAATGTGATAATTAGGTGATTTTTGGTGACTGAAATTCTGATTTTCAGCAAAATATTTGCTAGAAAACAAGCGAAACATTGGAAAATGAAAAAAAAACAAATTCAAACGCCCGCGAAAAACAAACAAACCGCCGTCAACGCGGAGTCTCGTTGTTTTCTTTTTATTTTTTTCGTTTTTTTCAGAAAAAGTGACAATTTCCATGAAATAAGCCGTTTGCTGTGGGTAAAAATTAATTGAAACACTGTGATTGAATATTTTCAGCGGAAAAAAACTGATTTTTCATCTGGAAATTGTGGTTTTCAGTCCAAAAAACCCCGTTTTTAGTGGGAATTGTGGGTTTTTGTCGTAGAATTTTTCGCAATCTTTGTGTTTTTTCGCCTCAATGTACTTTAAAACCAATTGATTGCGCATTTTTTCATTTCACATGCACCCAATTTCCTCATTCAAATCTCTCTTTCTCTCGCCACTCTCTCCTCCCCACACACTCTCTCGCCTGTTTTTTTTGTTTTCTCTCTGCTTCTCTGCGTTTCTCAAGACGAGAGAGAAAATGGGCAAAAGAAAAATGTTTTGTTTAGAAAAGGTTTCGCTTTGTAATTTTGGCAATTTTCAATTTTTTCTCTGTATTTTTTTCATTTTTGTTGTTGCTTACAACTAAAAAATCAATAAATTCCAGCGAAAATTTTCAGACAAAAATGCAAAATCAGCCACCTGCCTATGGTTATAATCAAGTTCCGATGGGTGCGATTACAACTCAACCAGGAGTTCAGGTTCCAGCAGTTCCAGGAGGTAAATTTTATGGATTTTGCTCATTTCTAGAGCTCTAATTTGACCCCAAATAAGCCCAGGTTTCAAAAAAAAAACCATGCGGCACTATTGCAAAAGTGGGCGTGGCCTAAAAATCGGGAATTTTCTGAGAAAGAAGAAGATTACAAGTGTTCATAAAAAATTCGGAAAATTTCCACTTCCTGGTGATAAGAAAAAGTGTTCCTTCGTTATCAATTTTATTGGGGAAAAAAGTGGGCGGAGCCTAATTTCTGGCTCTCTGGAAATGTTTTGATCTTCTTATTTAGCTCAAGAGCTCTCGATTGACACCGAACAATATTGAAAACCGTGCCGCAAAATTCAGGACACGCCCACTTTTGCAATTTCGCCGCATGGTTTTCACCGCAAGAACCAAACCTAGCCTTATGGGATATCAAAATGAAGCAAATCTCCTGACTTTTTCAGCTGTATGGATGCCGATGCCTCAACCAATGTCCGGTGTCCCAGCGGGACTCGAATATTTGACATATTTGGATCACGTAGTTGTAAAACAAATCAAAGAGTTGCTCGAAATCATGACAGATTGGGAGACAAAAAATCGATATGTATTGAGGAATGCGAATGGTCAACAAGCATATTATGCATTTGAGGAATCGAGTTGTTGTGAGCGACAATTTTGCGGAAATCAAAGAGGATTTGTGATGCATATTGTGGACAATTTTAAGAGGGTTTGTGGATTTTTGAGTTCAGGCGGGAATTTGGAGCATTTTGAGCCCAAATATGACTATATTCATACTCAAAATGCTCCGAATTTCACAAAAAATCCTAAATTTAATTCTAGGAAGTTCTGGAAAATGAAATTTGGAGCATTTTGATATCAAACATAGGATATTTTTGATTTTTCACATAAATAGGTTATGTGGGGATTCAAAATGCTCCAAACTCCATTGGGAGCCTCAAAATCACTCTCAAAAACCCTGAATTCAATTCTAGGAAGTTCTGGGCTCCCAGAGCTTATCTCCATGAAATTTGGAGCATTTTGATATCAAACATGACCATATTTATACTCAAAATGCTCCAAATTTCATGAATATTCCTGAATTTAATTGTAGGAAGTGCTGACAATCACACGCGAATTCAAATTCTGTGGTGGAGGTTGTGGCGGCTGTTTTGCATGCATCGGATGCTGTCAACAAGAAGCCAAGATCATTTCACCAGCACACGGTGTTTTGGGTGAAATTCGCCAACGTGGCGCATGTATGGCTTCATGTTTTGATGTTTTGGACGCGGATGGAAATGTTATTTTGAAAATTGATGGACCGTGTTGTTGTAATATGATTGGATGTAATGATAAGGAGTTTCCTATTAAAACGAATGGTGGAGAAACGATTGGTGCAATCACCAAGAAATGGGGTGGATGTTTCCGCGAGGCTTTTACTGATGCTGATGTTTTCCAAGTTAATTGTAAGGTTTTATGGGGATTTTGGGGAGTGAGGGGGATTTTTTGATACCAAACAAGCCCCGCCCATTTTGCAAGCCTGGCACACTTTCCTCAGGCTTGTTTGGTGTCAAAATACTCCAAAAATCAAGCTTCTTGCAGTTCCCATGGATCTCGACGTCAAAATCAAAGGAGTCCTCCTTGGCGCCACATTTTTGATCGATTTCATGGAATTCGAACAGCAATCCAACAACAGATCGAGTTAGTCTAACTCTAACCAGAGAAATGTTGCTGTTTTTTGCCTTTTACACGTTTCTTGTGATGTTAGCCTAACTACTATATGTGCATAATTACTTATATATAATCAAGATTTGCTTTAATATATTTTTCGGTATGTGCTTTTTCTCACAAAACTTCAAGTTTTACGAAAATTTTGAATTTTCAGACGATTCCCGCCCATTCTTCAATTTCTCTTCAACAAATTGATTCAATTTTTTTGCATTTTTGAATTTTCTAACTTGCCGCCAAATAAATACTTTTGAAATGACGTGTAGAGCCAAAACACAAAGATTTCTCAAATGTCAAAGTTTTGGGCTTTTGAACAAAACAAAAGGAATAAATTTTTAAACTTTTCTTTTGTTTTCAAGGAATTTTTGATTTACACAAAGTTTTTTTGGAAAAAAAATAATGTGAAAACTGACCAAACTAGATTTTTAGATATCTGGAGGGAATTTCAGAGCTATTGAGAAACTTTCATCTGAAACCACTCTCGGTACGTTGTTTAAAGGTACATGCGTATGAAAATCTAAGTACACCATCGTTATCTACTTGAAAAACTGCACTGGGGCGCGTTTTCGTCTTCGTGGCGAGACCTTTTCGCGAAAAACGAAGACGTGCAGAAATTTTTGTACGTACACGACCATTTACTCCAATAGAAAATTGCCCCTCGGGTCAGACGAGAGACGACGGGAGTCTGATGACGTCATCTGAGACAGAGAAAGACATCGCTTCGAGATATTTTTGAGAAAATATGTGTGCCTTTGAAAAAATACCGTATTTTGTTTCAAGGAACACATGTTTTATTGAAAATATCTCGAAGCGAAATTCATTTTCGAGATATTTTCGCAAAATACTCTCGTCGTCTCGCGTCTGACTCAACGGGCGTCTTGTATGGTCGTGCGTACACCCTGACGAACAACTGCACAAGCGTATCAAAGGCCAAAAATACGTACCCCGCATACACCGTGACGCAAAAATGCACTTTCAGCCATTTCTGAACGAAAAATTCACTTAAAATGAACAATTTTCGTTTCCCAACATCAAAAATCAATGTCCACGTGAACTCGAAAATCGCGTGGCATATTTGACAACGCGAAATTCGAAAAAAGCGGTATTTTGAGGCTTGCGAAGCAGAACAACTGGAAATTTCAACAACATGAGTGTCATACCAAATAGCCCAACTCTGGTAGCCGAGGAAAATATCGAGAAAATTCGCGCGGTGGTGGAAATCGCGCCTCGTGTTCACCGTGTTATTCTAGAGAAGAAGGATCGACTACCACTTCAAGGAGAGATGTTCGAAAATGACAAGGGCCACCAAATTGTTCTGAAGCAAAAATTAGGCGATGGAGCTATGGGACATGTATTTTTGACAGAGGTTGATGGAAGGTATGGTTAGATTCAGTAGAATCAAAAATTTGGTTTTTTTGAAGATCGGTGGCTGTGAAAACCGAAAAACATTCGACTGCAATGTTGCCGATGGAAATCAAGGTTCTTCTTATCACAATGCGCGAGAATTGCAAGCATTTTTGCAGAATTTATGATTATGTAAGTGAAAACATGGGTTTTAGGTATAGTTGGACATCGGCTAAATCGACTAAATGACATTTTCATGTTTTTTAAGCAAGTAAGTTGAAATATTGGGTTCTAATGTTATTCATATGATAGAATGGTCTAAGGCAAACCGAATGATATAAATTTTGATGACTTTACCTTATCCATAAGTGATTTAGCGGCTTATCGACTAAATATCGACTAAACGTCGTTAAATCACTTATGGATAAGGTAAAGTCATCAAAATTTATATCATTCGGTTTGCCTTAGACCATTCTATCATATGAATAACATTAGAACCCAATATTTCAACTCATTTGCTTAAAAAACATGAAAATGTCATTTAGTCGATGTCCAACTATAGTTTTAGGCGTACTCATAAGGTAGATTGGGTAAGGAAGATTCGAATTATATAATTTTTGATGGTTTTAGGGTACCTTAGCGAAGTAACCTTATGGGTGTCCTAAATTCATCAAAAATTATATCATTCGAATCCTCTCAAGATTAAAATCGCGAAAAACATCGAATAAAACCTTATTCAGGGAAATGTTCGTCGTGAATATAACTACATGATAATCAGCTTATTGGGAAGAGATTTATATCGTCTTCGATCGGAAATGCCTACAAGATCGTTCTCTATAAACACTACAACAAAAATCGCGCTCGAAACATTGGAAGCAATCGAAGAATTGCATAGCATCGGTTATTTGAGTCGTGACGTCAAACCGAGCAATTTCGCGCCAGGATTGCGCGACTTCAAAGAGCACAAAACCATATTTATGTTCGATTTTGGCCTAGCCAAAAAGTATGTTGATCGAGAGAATCGGAAATTAAAGTCACGCGGTGAAGTTGGTTGGAGAGGAACTGTTAGATATGGAAGTCTGAATGCTCATAAAAGATTGGATCTTGGAAGACGGGATGATTTGGAATGCTGGTTTTATATGCTTGTCGAAATGCATGTTGGCGAAGTTCCCTGGCGCTTTTTGACGGATCGAGCGGCTGTTGGTAAAGCGAAAATTCACGCGAGAGAAGAGGGCCGCGCAAATTTCTTTTTCAAGTTACCAAAACAATTTGATACGATTCTTCAAATGATTGATAGCTACGCATTTGAAACTCGCCCAGAATACCGGCAAATCAAAAAACTTATAAATGAGATTCGCGCGGAAAACAATTGCCCAAATCATATACACTGGGATTGGCAAACCGATGAATCACAATATTCTGAACTCACTGAAGCTGTCTCAGTTATGTCGGATATGGCAATTTTAGCCGAACAAGGCGCAACAAATGTTACTGATCGTGGATAGATCGAACTTACTGTAACAAAAAAATTTTCCAAAAATATACCACTCTTTCAACTACTAATCATCTATTTCGAAATGCTGTAAATGTAAAAATCCATCTTTTTTATGTAAATAAAGTATTCTTTGGTTCTTTAGTGGATTTTCATCTGAATTTCACGTGAAATCGTTTTTTCCGAGCAAAAAAACAAAAAAAAACGTCATTTTGTGAATTTTCGCGTCACGGTGTCAATGCACACAACGCCAACTACAGTAGTAAAATGCGATTATTTTTTATTTTCGAGCTGAAAAATTAATTTCCGCAGAAACTTTGAACATTTGTCGCTTTTCTATTTATCTCCAGCAAATTCGTGTATTTCTCTCGGACTAGACAAATTTTCTCACACACAATACGCTTTTTATAATATCTTCTTTTTTTCCTTCTTCTTCTTCTTTCTTTTTGCCAACGAGCTGCGAAAAAATCGATAATCCGTTTTCTCTCTGCACTCTCCGCACTCTCTCACCTCACACTCCCCTCTAGTTTTTTCACCCCTTCTTTGTGCTGTTTTTTTTACGTCACAAACGCTCGGTTTTCCAGACAAATTTCAGAATTTTTACTGAAAATGAAACATTTCGCCAAAAATAGCTTTGAAAATTCAAAGTTCGAGGGCTGTGCAAATATTTGCCGCTTTGGGCAAAAATGAACCTTTGTGTAAACACATTTTTGCGAAATTTTTATCATTTTTCATATTTTTTTATGTGTGATTGTTGAAAAATATCGGGATTTTTATTTGAATTTTCGAATTTTTCCGCTTCTCCGCGAGAAATACACGTTTTTCGCTGTAAGACCCTAAAAACTATATTTTCCGGGAAAATTCCGCTTCTCCGAGTTTCTCCACGAGAACTACACGTTTTGTTCGCTGTAAGACCCAAAAACCGAATTTTCCCGGGAAAATTTGGCTTCTCCTCAATAAATACACAAAAATCCGTCTTCTCCGAGAGGATTAGACGGAATTTATTTGAATTTTCGCGTTTTTCCGCTTCTCCGCGAGAACTACACGTTTTTTCGGTTAGAGACCCTTAAAATCTACATTTTCACTTATTTCTATTTGGATTTTTCAAATTTCCCGCTTCTCCGCGAGAACTACACGTTTTTTTTCGCTGTAGGACCCTAAAAACTATATTTTCCGGGAAAATTCCGCTTCTCCGAGTTTCTCCACGAGAACTACACATTTTTTCGCTTCAAGATGAAGAAAACTTAGCTTCTCCAAAAGAACTACACGTTTTTTCGCTGTGAGACCCATGCAATCTCCATTTTCACCAATTTCTATTCAAATTTTTCGAATTTCCCGCTTCTCCTCGAGAACTACACAATTGTTTATCGAAATTTCTCCATTTCATATCAAATTAATTTGAAATTTGTTTATTTACATTTTCCGCCCCCAATTTTTGTCCTCGAGAACTACACACACACATTTTCCCAGCTGATTGATAAAAAAGAAGAGAATAGTACTATAATTCGTTTCAAAACCGGTTTTGGGCGCCAAAATTTTGTGGTAGGCTTTCACTTTTATATGTGAACACTCTGACAAGACATAGGAATTTTCTTATCGATTTTTTCCCGCAATGTGTGTGTGACACACCTTTTTTTATGAGTCACTCGTAATTTTTTTTTCTTGTGTACGATAAGAAATGAAGCGAGTAAGTCAATTCTCGGCCGCGGCCTAGAAATCCCCCGCTAACATGAGCAATCTCCCGATTTGACAGCTCGTCTTCTTACGGAAATGCTCATGTTTGTTGGCTTGTTTGCCCAAAGTATGACGAAAAGCTTACCCCATTCACTTCTTTTTTGCCCAAGATTCGTTTTGTTTATTGTGTATCTATTGTCATGTGATTTTTTGACGCGAAAAATATCGATTTTTGACGCCAAAACGAGATTCTGCTGAAAAGTAGAGTTTTTTCACGAAAATCCAGCTTAAAAACTGAAAATCCGTGATTTTCTCAGATTTTCAGCTTATCCTAGCTATAAAACTCGAAAAAATGCTCCATTTTCAGCCAATTTTAGCTGAAAATGAGAAAAAGCGAAAAATTTCGAAAATAAACAAACGTGACCTAGAAAACCAATACCTCGGCCCTCAAATTGTTCGTCCACGTTTCATTTTCATTTTCTTTTTTTTCTCTCGCACTCTCCGCGACTTCCACACTCTCTAACCCTATTTCAGCGATGGATTTAAGCGACGATCAAATTCGCGCTCTACCGCACTCCGAACTCCTCACCTACTTCTATCAAATGAAAGAGGAATACGTGGATTTTCAGCAAAGTTCGCTGGAAATGGAGAAAATGATGGATTCGGAGTTGGAGGAAGTCAAGGGGAATTTGAAGCGCGCTGAGAATCGATTGCACATGTTGACGCAGGAAAATGAGAGGAATAAGGTGGGGATTATGAATTTTCGAGAAAAATACACCGAAAAGCTTGAAAAATGCATGAAACACGTGGAAATTCAGCCTTAAATTGGGCCTTAGAGTCTGAAATTAGACTTTAGTGCCTTATATTAGGTCTTAGAGCCTTCAAAAAGACTTCAAAGCTTTAAAAATGGCCTTAGAGCCTTAAATTAGGTCTAAGAGCCTCTAAAAAAGCTCTAAACCATGAGTTTTGACCAAACATAGCTCAATTTGCTTTAAAAATCATGAAAACCCAAGATTCTGATGAATTCTTTCAAAAATTCAAATTTCCCCGCCAAAAATTGAGATGGACTAGTTTTGGATTCCTAGGCCACCCCCCAAAAATCGATAAAAACCCAAGATTCTGATGAATTCCATCAAAAATCCATTGAAATTCAAATTTTTCCCCCGAAAATTGAGAGGGACTAGTTTTGGTTTCCTAGGCCACCCCTAAAAATCGATAAAAACCCAAGATTTTGATGAATTCCATCAAAAATCAATTGAAATTCAAATTTTTCCCCCGAAAATTGAGAGGGACTAGTTTTGGTTTCCTAGGCCACCGCCTAAAAATATGTGTTTTTTTAATTCAAATTTTCTTCCAGTCCCGCCAAGACGAGTCTCGAACTCAATGGTGTCAAGTCGAAGAGCAACTTCGCCGCGAAAATGCCGAACTTCGTGAAACTTGCGAGCGCCAGAAGACGCAAATCTGCCGACTCGAACAGAAAAATGATGTTTTGGAGGCGTCGGAGCGAAATAAGGAATTTATGGCCGGAGATTTGGGAAAACAGGTGAGATTTTCGAATTTTTCACGGGATTTTAAGCTGGAAAGTGAACTTTCAACCTAAAATGTCTGAAATTTCAGCTCGATCGTGCTTTTGAGAAAATCGCCATCCTCGAATCGGATTTGTACGAAAAACAGGTGGCACAGGAAGAGATGCAGAGATTACGGTAGGCGTGGCGGGACCCAAAGGCTTCTCAAAAAAAAATTCAAAATTTTTTTGTAGGATCGAAGAATTGCGCACTTCTGCCGAACGACCGCGTCTCGTTGTTGAACCATTGAGAAATGAAGCGTTGCCGGATGAGCCGAGTCCGGGACCATCGAAATCCACGTCAACACAGGGTGAGCTAACGATGCTCCGCGTTTACGCGATCAAAATTCAATGAAAATGAGGAATTCTACGATGCTTCGCGTTTCCACGCTCAAATTTCAATAAAAATGAGGAATTTTACGATGCTCCGGGTTTACGCGCTCAAAATACTTGAAAAAATTAATATTTTACGATGCTCCGCGTTTACACCTCTAAAAATGGGAAATTCTACGATGCTCCGGGGTTACGCGATCAAAAATTCAATAAAAATAGAAAATTCTACGATGCTCCGGGTTTACGCGCTCAAAATACTTGAAAAAATTAATATTTTACGATGCTACGGGTTTACACCTCTAAATTCAATAGAAATGAGAAATTCTACGATGCTCCGGGGTTACGCGCTCAAAATACTTGAAAAAACTAATGAGGAATTTTACGATGCTCCGCGTTTACGCGATCAAATTTCAATAAAAATGAGGAAATTTTACGATGCTCCGGGGTTACGCGCTTTAAAATGTTCAAAAATCACAACGACACTCCATGTTTACACTTCGTAAACACACGGAGTATCGTTGCACTCTCGTATATGTCACTACAACACTCCGCATTTACAGATCACTCAAATGATATTTGCATGGAAGTTGATGACGTGGAAGAACGTCTAGAACAAGTTCAAATCAGCGGGAAGGTTGGCGCGAAAATTTCAAATTTTCAAAATTCATTTTTTTTTTTACAGCCAACCGGTCAATCTTCTGTCAATCTAATTGTACGTAGTTTGATCTCCAAAGTCGAACACCTCGAAACTGTGCTTTCATCCATAAAATTGTCGACAAGTCGAGCTTGAACTCTCGGACTACGGTATGTCTGTACCTTTATTTCTTCCACTCAGGACCCCATGACCCTTTAAATTTTTGGTTTATTTTTCTTGAAAGTGCTATTCCCCACACACAAAGTTACGGATTTCTATCGAATTTTATATTATATATATTTGCTTGGTGTTTTTTTTTTTGCTCAATAAAATTTTGTTTTTCAAAATTTTTTTTTTTGAAATTTCAGGTTTTTGGCGGCCTAGAAACCCGAATTCGGCCAGGAAATATAAAATTTCATGGTAAATGGCCTAGAAAACCAAATTTCTTTGAAAAGTGGCCTAACAGAAAACCAAATTTCGATGAAAAATGGCCTAGAAAACCTTATTTTCGATGAAAAATGGCCTAGATACCCGAATTTCGATAAAAAATGGCCTAGAAAGCCAAATTTATATAAAAAATGGCCTAGAAAACCAAATATCTTTGAAAAATGGCCTAGAAATCCAAATTTATATTAAAAATAACCTAGAAATCCAAATTTATATTACATATGGCCTAGAAAACCAAATATCTTTGCAAAATGGCCTAGAAAACCGAATTTTTTCGAAAAATGGCCTAGAAAACCAAATTTTTTTCGAAAAAGGGCCTAGAGAACCAAATTTTATATCAAAAATGGCCTAGAAAACCGAAGTTTTTCGGAAAATGACCTGAAACCGAATTTTTATAAAAATGGCCTAGAAATCCTAATTTTCATAAAAAATGGCCTAGAAATCCGAATTTTCCCTAAAAATGATCTACAAATTCAAGTTTATCGATTTTACGGTGAAAAATTCATTCAAATTGCATATTTTTCAAAAAATCCCTCAATTACAGCTTGATTTTCCAACTCCTCGCCAACAATTCGCTGAATTTCACATCTGAAAATTTGAACACAATTTTTGCGCGCGAAAATTTGACCTACCCATCATCCATCACCAGAATCGTGGGAGTTTTGGTGATTTCGAAAGCCTCGCTGGTCACTGCAAAAAAAATTGGATTTTTAAATTTTGGCGGCAAAGCTCGAGCAAAATGGTATAAAAATTAGCTGCAGGAGCCGAGAAAATAGAGCAAATGGTGTAGTCGGTAAGTGCCTACGTTACTGTGTGGGAGGTCACGGGTTCGAGTTCGCTCGGGGGCTATTTGAAATAAAAACGGACAGCCCCAAGGTGGACTCGAACCCCTGGCCTTCAAATCGAGAATGTAGACACTTACCGACTACACCAACTATGCTAATTTTTACATCATTTTGATCAGCGCTATTAAAAAATTACAAAGATCATCGCCATAATGTTGAAAAGTGTAAATAATGGCAGTTTTCTCGTATTTCCGACACAATTCGTCGAATTTCGGCTTGATTTTCAGCGAAACCTCACACAAATCCCAGTAGAAAAATAAAATGACACGTTTTCCGAGTCCGAATTCCGATTTGCTCAAATAATCCTCATCGTCCACACAATTGAAAACAACCATCGCTTTTTTTTTCTGAAAATTAAAAAAAATAATGAAAATAACCGAAAACTTTATAGTTTTTGTACTTAAATAGTGTAAAGTTATTGTTATCATTCAATTTTTGATCAGTTTTTGGTGAAATCACGAAATATCACGAAAAGAAACCCTATAGCCTATAAAAAAACATGAAAAAAACGCCTAGAAACATATATATCCAAAAAAAAGAGCAAAAAAGCAGAAAAAGGAAATCTCACATCTTTTTTGCTTGCTCTCTGAGCATAATTCTTTATTTTTCTTGGAAAAGAAGATTTTTTTATTTTATTTCATGAAAAAATGAAAAAAAAAAGGTTTTCAATGATAATAATCAATGACGAAATGTTACACAAACTTTTTTATTTGTGAAAAAAATTTTACTTACCTAAACTTTGGTCCATTTTGCTTGAAATCCGGTGGAAAATGATAAAAATATCGATTTTGACTACTGTAGTTCGAATTGTGTGCATTGACACCGTGACGTGAAAATGCACACAATTTTTTGTTTTTTGTTTTCAGGTCGAAAATCAGGATTTTTTGGAAACTTTGAGACTCGGAAATGCTATTTTCCAGCTCAAAAATATCGATTTTTCCTACTGTAGTTTGAGATGTGTGCACTAACACCGTGACGCAGAAATGCACAGAATTGTTTTTTTTTCGTTTTTCAAGCGGAAAATCAGGATTTTCTGGAAAGTCCTCGAGAACTACACAAATGCACTTTTCCAGCTCAAAAATATCGATTTTTCCTACTGTAGTTTGAGATGTGTGCACTAACACCGTGACGTGAAAATTCACACAATTTTTTGTTTTTTCGTTTTTCACGCGGAAAATCAGGATTTTCTGGGAAATCCTCGAGAACTACACAAATATTCACTTTGAGACCCGGAAATGCAATTATCGATTTTTCCTACTGTAGTTTGAGTTGTGTGCACTAACACCGTGACGCAGAAATGCAGACAGTGCTGGATTTTTTTTCGTTTTTCACGCAGTTTTCTGGGAAATCCTCGAGAACTACACAATTTTCGCTGCAAGACCAAAAGAACACAAGTTTTCTTCTAAAATTTCTACTTTATTTATAAATTTATTCACACATAAACCAAAAAAAAAAAACAGTTAGAGACATAGAAAAATTAGGGCGGGGAACCGAGTATTTGTTATTTCACAGGAGACGAGATGAGATATGCAAATTTTTGGTGTTTTTTTGACAATTTTTGGTGAAAAAACCCGGGAATGAAATGAAATTTTGATTAATTATATGGGATTAGAATAATTATAAATGTAGAGATTATTGGAGAATCGCGAGTTAGGTGAAGTCGAGTGAATTTCGTGGAGAAATTTACATATTACTGAACAAAGCGGCGACATCTTTGACGCGGGAAGATTGGTGGAGAGCTGCAAAATTAAAATTTGAATTTTTGAAATTCGCGGGGTGAAAATTTTGGCGGGAAATTTGAATTTTACGAAAAATACTCACCTCCCAAGCTCTTTCTTCGTGGCGCATTTGGTGGCGCAGGCTTTACGCGAAGTCTCCGCGCCTCACGAGCAGTAACCGCGGATTGTGTCGCCGCAACTGGCGACGCGGGTGTGGCGGCCAAAATTCGCCGCACTGGAATCGCACGCGGACGATGCGGTGTTTTCAAGCCGGCCGCTTGCGGGATAATCGAATTGTTGTTGGAGGCATCTGAGTCAACAACAACTGGCTCTGCGGCTGGTTCCGCGTCCGCGTCCGCTTCCGCTTCCGCATCCGAGTCGGACGAATCTGAGTCGAAGTTGAGACGTGGAATTGGCAGATTTCCGAGACGCAATGGTGAGATGACAAAGTTGGCCGGGATTGGAATATCGTCAGAACTTGTGGCCGGATTATAAGCATGTTCCAGTGAGAAAAGTCGAGAATGACGACGTTTTTTGGAAATCGGAGCTGTTCTGGCTGGGGTTCGTTCTGCAAAAATATTGGATTAGTTTTGGGTGGATTTAAGCTAACTTAGGTCAATTTTAAGTGAAACCTAGGTGAAATTTAGTGCTGAAAATAGTCTCGAGCTCTTTAAAATGCTCCAAAGCCTTTAAAAATGCTCCAAAGCCTTTAAAAATGCTACTAAGGCCCTTAAAATGCTCCAAGGCCCTTAAAATGCTCCCAAGGCCCTTAAAATGCTCCCAAGGCCTTCAGGAAGCTCCTAAGGCCTTTAGGATGCTCCTAAGGCCTTTATGATGCTCCAAAGGCCTTTATGATGCTCCAAAGGCCTTTAGGATGATCCAAAGCCTTTAAAAATGCTCCAAAGCCTTTAAAAATGCTCCAAAGGCCTTTAAAAATGCTCCAAAGCTCTTTAAAATGCTCCAAAGCTCTTAAAAATGCTCCAAAGCTCTTTAGAATGCTCCAAGAGCCTTTAGAATGCTCCCAAGCCCTTAAAAATGCCCCCAAGGCCTTTAAAATGCTCCAAGGCCCTTAGAATGCTCCAAAAGCCCTCAAAAATGCTCCAAACCCTTTAAAAACGCTCCAAAGCCTTTAAAAATGCTCCAAAGCTCCTTAGAATGCTCCCAAAGGTCCTTAAAATGCTCTTAAGCTCTCTAAAATCACCCTAGATTCCCCAAAATCCCCTAAAAACCAACCTGTTGGACTCGAAATGGCACGAGCACTTCTCTTCAAACTTCTTGGAGCCAAAAAATCGGACATAGCAATGGGGAGGAAATACGGTAGACTTAGGCTAAGTAGAGCGGGGCTCACCAACTCCAACCGGATTAGCAGAATGCAATAAACTACTTCTGTAAAAAAGCACCAAGTTGGGTCACCAACGAAGCCACGCCCCTTTTCGAGAGCAAAAAAAAGGGGCGGGGCTTAGAGGTGCGAAGATACGTAAATAACAATAACAACAGGTGTTCGTGTGATTTAGAAGGTGCGAAATCGATGACGAAATGAATGAAAGATTGACAATGTGCGGCACGGTGTTTTGACGAAATTTGGAAGTTTGGGAAAAGACGCGCCAGAATTGACATGTGTGATTCTCGTGGATTTTTGAATTTTTGGAGATCAGCGGTTGTCCACGAGGAGTACACGGGTTAAGAACATATACGTGTAGTTCTCTCGGAGAATTGGGGAATGATGGGAATTTGATTGGAAAAGAATCACAAAAATTTTAATTTATTGGTTTACCGCTTGTCCGTGAGAAGTACACGGGTTAAGAATCAAACATTATTGCCGTGTAGTTCTTTTGGACAAGAAGTTTCGTCCGGAAAAAACAAAATTATCAGCAAGGCTCACAAAAATTGAGCAAAATCGTACAAATTTCGGATTTCAGAGGTTGCTCTCTTGTCCGAGAGTAGTACACGGTCGGAAAACGACCAAAATTTGAAATTTTTCTTCAAGTTTTAGCTAACTCTTACACGTTTTGGATTTTTCATCAAGTTTTCATTGAAAAGTGAAAGCCACTCACGTTTTTTTTTTCAAAAATCTGATTGAAATATTTTTCCAAACTAGAAATGAAATTAAAAAAAAAAAAAAATAAAAGAAACGTGACCTAGAAAGGATTTTTCAGAACAATTTCACATGAAAATCCTGAATTTTGCCGAAAATCAGCTTTTTCATGAAAATATTGAGAATTCTCACATAAATTTTACTTGAATTGTTTTTTTTCAAGTTTCGGTTTATTAAAAATATAGTTTTCTTCAAAAGTTTCACAAAAAAACAAGTTTTCAGCGAGAATTTTGAATTTTACATCAAAAAAATCTTGAAAACTCAATATTTTCAATTTTAAGTCTGTAGAAAACCTCATTTTCCTGGTTTTCCGTATGAAAATTCACATCAAAACTCGTTTCTCCTTGAAAATCCGTGATTTCTCAAAGAAAACCCAATTTTCCATGAAAATCCCATCACCCAAACGTTTCCCAAACTTCCAAACCAACCACAAACCATCTTCACACTTTGCCAAACATACTTCACCACAATTTACACGTCACAAACACCTGTTTCACCAAATTTTGGCGCAAAACACAAAAAAAAAACACAAAAAACGAAAAACAAAAATTCAAATAGTGTGCAAACACCGCGACGCACAATTGCACACTTTAAAAGCTTTTCGAAAAAATGCATGGGCGATTTTCCGGCCGGAAAACCGAGACGCAGAGAAAAGCCTAAATACAACTTATTGTTGAATTTTTTATTCACTGAAATCCTTGTGGATAAAAAATCAAAGTTCCAGATGAGATATCATAGGATCCACGGCCAGAATCGATTTTGTAAGTGCTAAAATAATTTTGTTTTTCTAACAATAAAATAATGTGAACATTTATTAAACCTACAATTTGTTCGGCGCGATTTCATTCAAATTCAGATCTTCACACTTCAAAATATCACTATTCACATTTGTGAATTCGCAAATTCCCATACCATTGCTCATAATAACATCGATAATTTTCGAAGTATCAAATTGCCTTGCATTCAATTTCAAAGACTTGACTGAAGTTGCCAACTCGATAAATTGATCATTGCTCAGAATAAGACTAGTTTTGAGTTCATCCGATTTTTTGAAAATATCTATAATTTTCGGATCATCAATTATTGTACATTCTTTTTCGTAGATGATTATACTGACACTTTCAAACTTTTTGTTTTCCGGAATATCTATTCTGTGAAGAATATCAAATGCTAAATCTTCATTGTTTTGTGAACTCAAGTCCAAATAATTGATGTTTGAAAGCGTAAAAGTGAAACCCCTTAGCTGCTCTGTATCTGCACGGTAATCCACAATAAGCTGTTTGATATTTTCAGCTTTTGAAAGAAGCGAATATAATTGATCCTGGCGATTTGTGATAATATCCAGAGTTTCAAGCCGGGAGAAATTATCGATTGATTGATTTTGAATCATATAATCAACCTGGAGAATGATAGTGTGTAAGTGCATTTCGAGATTTTTTTCAATTTTATGGATTACAATGAGAAATCGATCAATAATCATTTTAAGACTTCCCAGGAAAAGAACAAAATTTGCCGAATTCAGGCTCCACCGAAATAAACACGCAACGCAGACCGCGCCGCGTCACAACACACACGAAAAAGGGAACGATTCAAATTCCCTCCCTTTTTTGTGTGTGTTGTGGCGCGGCGCGGTCTGCGTTGCGTGTTTATTTCGGTGGAGCGCGTGGAGTACCGATGAGATTTTCGATAATACCTAAAATGAGGTTCGAAAAACCCCACCTCATACAACGTCAACAAATTGAGGCTATCCTTATTCTTCGCCAAAACTCTTTCAAAAATCCCATACGCCATATTCTCACAGTCTCCTATAGTTTTCCAGAAAAACTCCCCACGATGCTCAATTTCACACAACTCCCCGATTTGCTTGAATTTGACCTCGAAAAATTTATCGATTCTCACAACATAGATCCTGTCTTCTTCATGTTGGCTAAATAATTTCAATTTTTCAATTCCCAATGACTCGATATTCTTCTCGTGCCTCAGAACTTGTTGCAAACATCCAAAGGAGCATTTTGCGAATTTCAGGCTGAAAAAAAACCTATTTTCAGATGTAGTTTCGATACTTACCGATCTTTTTTCTCCAACAATCTGAAAATGTCAAGTTTCAGCTTTTCCGGTAAATTATGCCAGCCTGCCATTTTTTCTATTAAAAAAATGTTATCAATTGATTTTTCTCATAGGAATAAATGGTTTTTTGAAGTTTTGAACAAAAAAAAGTATTGCGAAATATGTTTGCTTTGGTCAGAAATGATTTTTTTTTGTTGAAAATGCCATGTAGATAATTCCAAGAATTCGAGCTTCATTAATGACCAAAAAATCGAAAAAAAAAACAGTTTTTCAAAAAAAAAGTCAATGCGCGTTGCAAGACGCTGGCGAAAAATTGTGTGCACCTTTGATGAAGGGTGCGGTAGAAATATTTTTTTTCTTTTTTTTTGGAGAAGTTTTTGATTGCTGCAAGATATAAGCGGGTTTCGTTGTAGAAATTAATTGATCAGAAATAATTATTGCCAAAAAAAAATCCCGCTTCCCGATTCACGTGAGAATTTTTTCTGCGACAGCCATTTCTGAATTTAAAAAAGGCGAGAATCAGTGATGAGTTGGCAAGAAGAATTTGATGATGGCGATTCAGATGTGCAAGAAATCGAAACATTTCTGCAATTCACACCCTTCGAAAAGAGAGAATATGAAGAAGAACTTGATGCAATAAGAATATCGATTCAAAGTTCAATTCGTAAATATAATTCCAATTTTCCTTTGAAGTTTTTACCGGAAAGTGAACAAATTGTTCTATCGATCAGAAATTTGATCTCAAATATGATTTCGTGTAAGTCTTTTTTATTAAATCATGGAAACTGAAATCGATTTTTTGCAGGCGGAGAACATAAAACAAAAATCAACAATTCGACGTTGCAATGTTCAAAACCACATCCGACAAATATCCTATTCAATTTAATTTGCTCAAATAAAATTGAAATTTCGGATGTTTGCAAGGAAATCATTAAAAGTGTTATTAATGATGCACAAGTTTTTTGGGTTGAAAATGATTTTGGAGGAGTCGAAAAACGCTATGAACAATTGATGAAAATGATTGAATTTGTCGGAAATTTGAATAGGATTATTGATCAATTGAAGACTATCGATTTTGAGGAAAAGAATTTGGAAAATGGTGAGATGGTGGAAGAAATATGGCTCAAAAGCTTTAAAGACAATTATATTTTTCAGAACTAGACGAAGAACGACCCAGAAAAATGCGAAAAATGGCTGAAAATGAGGAAGAAAAAAAGATGCGCGAATTACGACGAAATGTGCTGACAAATCTGAATTGCGACAATTTGGCAAAGTTGCATTTAATGTCACACATTGAAGAATTGGCAAAATATTCAGAAAAAGCCAAAAAATGGATAGAAGAAGGTGGAGGAATTCAGAAAATCAAGGATTCGTTGATGCACACTGAACATTCAGAACATCATCAGAAAATTCAACGGGTTTTTGAGGAGAAATGTGGCGATTTGAAAGCGGCGAAAATGAAATGCTCGAAGATTCTCAAGAAATTGCTCGATTTTTATGAGTTTTATCAGAATAAGCGAGCGATTGAAATGCGATTGCGTAAGGATTTGCGAGAATATTCATCGATTTTTGAGGATTTATCGTTTTGGCCGATTTTCGAGGAGCCTCGGAAACATTTTGAGGATAATTATCATCATGTTGATGATAAGAAACTGTGGGTTTTTTTTTGAGAAAGCCGAGAAATGTCGGAAATTTGGTCAACGCAACATTTGAGCGAGTTTATTGCTTTGGCCGAGCTCCCGACATTTCTCGGTCACCAAAATAGTTCGGTCACATATATTTTTCTTTTCTGAAATTAGTCGCTTCCAAATAGAAAAAAAGGAAAAAAATAAAAGTAAAACAACGACACTCGACTTGCCTGTTGTTTAATTTTCACACACTGTTTGAGCGGAGTGTCGTTATTTTATTTTTACAAGATTGCGCGTAGGATTTGGTGTTTGCGGGCAGTCGGTGTTTTTCGCTCTTTCTTTAGGTTTTTTGTTAAGTAAATGCATTTTTAGCCTTATTCATCAGCATTTGAACTACATTTCGGTCAAAATCGTGTGCATTTTTCAGTTTTTTACTTCTAAAAACTGAAATTCAGATTTTTTTTTTGAAAACTTAACATTTTTAGCGCTTAAAATAATTTTTTTTTAAGTTAAAAGAGAACAATTCAAACTTGCTTTTCAGGAAACCGAAAAAAGAAAAGCAAAATTGGGAACCTTTACATCATTATCTGAAAACTTGTATGGGAACGTGCGATTTCAAATTTTCATATCTTTATCCAACTTATAAAATCGCATCGGATTATGGAATTTATCGAAACATATTTGATCATTTTCAATTGATTGAAAGATTGACAGCTGAATTGATCGATAATTTTCAAGTTTTGCTCAAAAATCCGCAATTTTTCGATCATCAGCATTCAACTATAAAAATACGATATGATGAAAATCGTCGAATCAATGACAAAAATCGACTGAACTCAGGAGTAATTTCGCTAATCAGCAGCGCTGCCCCGTGGACGCCGCAGCGCTGCTGATTCTCCGAAAATTCCCTGACCGAGCAGCGCTGCCATTTCGCAGCTGGCCTCTCTGGCAGCAATCGGCTTCAGCTGCCATACACAAGGCAACTGTTGCTCATCGCTGCCACACACATGGCAACTGTTGCCCACTGCTGCTGTTCAAATCGGCAGCGCTGTGGCGTCCACGCCGCAGCGCTGCCTGTACTTTTTGAGCAGCCCTGCCGTTCAGCTGCGAATTAGCCTCTGAGAATTGTGATGTTTGTCGAGTTTCACATAGTTTGGCACATTTTCGTTTTGCTATTGGGAATAGTAGTTTACATGGATATCAAAAAGCAGAAGGACATTTTGGAATTATCAGAATTATTGATTTGATTTTGAAAGATGAGGGAAGGGTTCGGAAAGAGGATTTGGGGTGTGTGAATTTGAAATTTTCCACAATTTATTCAAAAATCTTTTCAGATTCTTTGAGAAATATCTGTTGACTCTCAATGAATTTTCTGGTTTTATTCAAAATTATCGCGACGAATTTTTGCTGGATGAAAAAGAGAAAATATTGGCGAAAACTAGAAAAACAGTGGCGGATTTTAGAAATGAGGCAATGATAAGACATGAAATGCGATGGAATATTTGGTATGAAACTATGAGAAAGGTTGGTTCATTTCAAAATTCAGCATCAAAAATTGACTTTTTTCAGACTTCCCACGCCAAAAATGCTGAAATTTTCGAAACCAGGATGCCGGAATTTTTAGAGAAATTCAAAGAACTCGTGTATATTCTGAATGTTGTTCATCAGCAAAATGCGGAGGAAACGTGAGTGTCAAGGAGCCGCGCCTTGAGAACAGATGTGTCAAGGAGTCGCGCCTTGAGGACAATTATGTCAAGGAGCCGCGCCTTGAGAATATATATGTCAAGGAGCCGCGCCTTGAGAACAGATTTGTCAAGGAGCCGCGCCTTGAGAACAGATATGTCAAGGAGGCGCGCTTTGAAAACAGATATGGAAAGCAGCCGCGCCTTGAGAACAGATTTGTCAAGCATCCGAGCCTTGAAAGCTTATAATCATCTAATTCAGGAAAAATGACGAGAGTGTGAACAGCTGTCCGATTTGCTGTCAATATTTCCACAGAATCGCAATTTTTCCATGCATTCACCAAATTTGCGAAAATTGTCTTCAGCGTATGATTGTTCAACGTCGTATTCAATACAGGTATTTTTGGCGAATTTCGAGAAATTTCGAAAAAAAGTATTTTTCAGATCAAATCCGGTTTCAATTCTCTGCCCAAAATGTCGTAGAAGTTGCAAAGAACACGAAATATTGATTGGCGAAAAGCCAAAACGAGATTTTGGTGGAAGTTCGAAATTGAAGAAAATTATAGAATTGATCAGGCAATTCTTGAATGAAGATCAGAAAAATCGAATTGTTATATTCACAAATTTCACAGCTGGCGATTCAATTTGGAAATGTATTGTTGAATATTTGAAAATGTCGAAGGTTTGTTTTTATATTAATTCGAATTTCGAAAAACAGGAAAATTTGAAAATTTCAGCTCGATTTCTTTCTCAGGCAAATCGTCCCACCGGCGCAACACCAAATAGAAAAAAACACCGGTGTTCCACTTAACTAACACTGACTGAACACCGTTCTAACACCACTTCCCACCGGAGTAACACCGCTTAATTATTTTTTCCAACATTTTTTACCACACCAGTGGTCCACTTAATTAGCACCGGTTTCCCACCTAATCAACACCGGATGTCCACCTTTCATCTGGTGTTCCACTGGTGTTGATAAAATGGAAGACGAGCATTGAAAAGGGCCTATCAAAAACATAGCGGCGCGCGCGCCTCGCGAAACGTCGGTGAACTCACTACATGACCTTCCACGAAATCCGCGAATTTCAACTTCAAAATGCTTCTATTATTGAGGTTTTCTCTTGTCCGGAGAAATTTTGTCTCTTCACTAAAGAGATAGTCAGAAAGTTCGCTCTGGCGAACTAATTTTGCTCAAAGGAATTCAAATATTCCATTCTGAACAGAAAAAATGAAAAAAAATAAATTTCTCTCAAAAACTTTTTCAAACCCACCGGTGCAACACCTAAATCCCACCGGTTGAACACCTGAACGCCACCGGTGCAACACCAAAACTCCACCGGTGTTCCCCCTTTTCCCACCAGTGGAACACCGAAGCACCACCGGTTTCCCACCGGTGGGCCCACCGGTGGAAGAACGGTGTTGAGTGAGTGGAGATTTGGTGTTGCGCCGGTGGGACGATTTGCCTGAGGAGCCTGGAGAATTGTCGAATAGTTTTATCATCAACATCATCGAATTTTCCAATTATAGCGAATTACGCGATTTTTGTCGACCAAATGAAATCTGAAATTCAAAAATCGATAAATCGCATCTCAAAAGTTCATTTGCCGAAAAAGCGACTAACAATTTATCATTTATTTATGGAGGATAGTATTGAGGAGAAATTGTGGAAAATATCGAAAAGTGCCGTGAATTTCACAGGTTAGTTGTGTTTTTGAGGAATTTTCAAATTTTATATTTATGGGGCTATAGTTTTTCAACCAAAAAAGAGGAGAAACTCAAACCTATCTTGATTTTTCACCATAAAAAAATGAAATTTAAAAAAAAAACTATTAGGTTTTATTGATAAAAAATAGTGCTTCTGAGGTGATTTGTGCTTCAATTCCGTGTTTTTTTGGTTTTCAGGTGTCAAAACGACCAAAAGTTGGTTTAAAAACTTTAAATTCATGCAAAATTCCGAAAAATAGGTCCCCATATATAAATTTATTATTTTATATCCTAAAAAAGTTAATTTTAAAAAGGTTGAATAACTCAGTTTTCATTATAGAAGCGGATTTGACAGTTGGAAACATTCGCCAAATTTTCTCCAATTAATAAAAAAAATTATAAATATAATTGAGATGTGATTTAAAGTTTATGTAGTTATTTATTCATTTTTCTGTGAGCCTGTGAATAATATTTATTGTTTTTTTTTTCGAGAAAATTTTATAAATGTAGAAATTGTTGATTTAAGTACACTTTTTACTCGAAAATTTTGATAAAGAAAAATCAAGAAATTTTTGCTCTGCCAACATACATAAAATAGGTCCCCCGAGTCAGTTTTTAAAGTTAGGGTCCCTCCTTGAAAATTTTCCAAAGTTAAACACCTGCCTCACATTTTTGAACGAATTTTGGTAAATTATCAGCAGAAAATTGGCCAAGTTAGGCACTCTTCCCTTCAGATTTTTGAAAAATGTTAAGCCCCTCACCCCGATTCAGTGGACCCATTTTATGTATGTCTGCCAATTTTTTCCGCGTTTTCAAGTCGAAGAAAAATCGATTTTCAATTTTTTTACAAAAAAATTTGATTCAGAAAATGTCAGAAAACTATTTTTTATTCCTATTTTTTAGGATTGATTCACGAACGGAAAAAATATTTAAAAATGTTTTTTTAACATTGAAAAATCAATTCACGAAAAGTCAAAAAATGTCGAAAAAACATTGTAGGTCAAAATTAGTTTTTCGAGTTTTTCAGCCAAAAATGATGACAAATCAATATTTTTTTAAGCTTTTGGAGTAATTTCTGATTAAAATTGATCGTTCCAGAAGATTTTGCTGATTTTTCGTAAAATAAAAAATTTTAAATTTTGATGAATTTCGAAAAAAGCAAAATAGGGTTTTCAAAGCTTATTTTCATCAGAAATTACTCCAGAAGCTTGAAAAATATTGATTTGTCATCATTTTTGGCTGAAAAACTCGAAAAACTAATTTTGATCTACAATGTTTTTTTCGACATTTTTTGACTTTTCGTGAATTGATTTTTCGATGTTAAAAAAACATTTCAAAACATTTTTTCATTTGTGAATCAGCCCATTAGGTTTGGGATTTTCATATGAAAAAAACCCCGGTCGAATGGTGTTTTTGGCGGCAAAACGCGAATCGAATGATATATGAAACAGCTGTGTGCGGCGCAAATATTTTGGGTGTTTTACACCCAAACTTATTACAACTTTTTTTATGAGATCACAACAATTGTTTGAACATATGACACATGGTTCGGGTGGAAATTGGTGGAACAAAAAAAAACAAAAAGAAATTAGATGGGTAATCCTTGACTTCTCAATTGCTGTAGTTGAGAATCGCTCAGAAATTCCAGCTCTTCAGGGGGCTCTGAAGAAGAAAAAAATTTCAGCCAAATTTTTTTTTGCTCACCATCAATTTTCTCGAATTGCACCCGTCCCTCCAACGTGTCAAAACCAATTGCACCGCGAATTTTCACCCAAACACCATTGAAAATCAGCGGCAAACTTCGAAAATTCAGCTCATTTTGGAGCTCTTCGGAAAATTCGAGTTGGATTGGGATGGTGATGCCGGTTCGGGAGAAGGTCTGCGAAAAAGATGAAATTTCCCGCTTGTCCGAGAGAAGTACACGGGTTTTAATGGAAAATTTGAAATTTTGAAATTTCCCGCTTGTCCGAGAGAAATAAACGAAGTTTTAATGGAAAATTTGAATTTTCGAAATTTCCCGCTTGTCCGAGAGAAGTACACGGGTTTTAATGGAAAATTTGAATTTTCGAAATTTCCCGCTTGTCCGAGAGAAGTACACGGGTTTTAATGGAAAATTTGAATTTTTGAAATTTCCCGCTTGTCCGAGAGAAGTACACGGGTTTTAATGGAAAATTTGAATTTTCGAAATTTCTCGCTTGTCCGAGAGAAGTACACGGGTTTTAATGGAAAATTTGAATTTTTGAAATTTCCCGCTTGTCCGAGAGAAGTACACGGGTTTTAATGGAAAATTTGAATTTTTGAAATTTCCCGCTTGTCCGAGAGAAGTACACGGGTTTTAATGGAAAATTTGAATTTTCGAAATTTCTCGCTTGTCCGAGAGAAGTACACGGGTTTTAATGGAAAATTTGAATTTTTGAAATTTCCCGCTTGTCCGAGAGAAGTACACGGGTTTTAATGGAAAATTTGAATTTTCGAAATTTCTCGCTTGTCCGAGAGAAGTACACGGGTTTTAATGGAAAATTTGAATTTTTGAAATTTCCCGCTTGTCCGAGAGAAGTACACGGGTTTTAATGGAAAATTTGAAATTTTGAAATTTCCCGCTTGTCCGAGAGAAATAAACGAAGTTTTAATGGAAAATTTGAATTTTCGAAATTTCTCGCTTGTCCGAGAGAAGTACACGGGTTTTAATGGAAAATTTGAATTTTCGAAATTTCTCGCTTGTCCGAGAGAAGTACACGGGTTTTAATGGAAAATTTGAATTTTTGAAATTTCCCGCTTGTCCGAGAGAAGTACACGGGTTTTAATGGAAAATTTGAATTTTCGAAATTTCTCGCTTGTCCGAGAGAAGTACACGGGTTTTAATGGAAAATTTGAATTTTTGAAATTTCCCGCTTGTCCGAGAGAAGTACACGGGTTTTAATGGAAAATTTGAATTTTTGAAATTTCCCGCTTGTCCGAGAGAAGTACACGGGTTTTAATGGAAAATTTGAATTTTTGAAATTTCCCGCTTGTCCGAGAGAAGTACACGGGTTTTAATGGAAAATTTGAATTTTCGAAATTTCTCGCTTGTCCGAGAGAAGTACACGGGTTTTAATGGAAAATTTGAATTTTTGAAATTTCCCGCTTGTCCGAGAGAAGTACACGGGTTTTAATGGAAAATTTGAATTTTCGAAATTTCTCGCTTGTCCGAGAGAAGTACACGGGTTTTAATGGAAAATTTAGAATTTTTGAAATTTCCCGCTTGTCCGAGAGAAGTACACGGGTTTCAATGGAAAATTTGAAATTTTGGAGGAATTTCCCGCTTGTCCGAGAGAAATAAACGAAGTTTTAATGGAAAATTTGAATTTTCGAAATTTCTCGCTTGTCCGAGAGAAGTACACGGGTTTTAATGGAAAATTTGAATTTTTGAAATTTCCCGCTTGTCCGAGAGAAGTACACGGGTTTTAATGGAAAATTTGAATTTTCGAAATTTCTCGCTTGTCCGAGAGAAGTACACGGGTTTTAATGGAAAATTTGAATTTTTGAAATTTCCCGCTTGTCCGAGAGAAGTACACGGGTTTTAATGGAAAATTTGAAATTTTGAAATTTCCCGCTTGTCCGAGAGAAATAAACGAAGTTTTAATGGAAAATTTGAATTTTCGAAATTTCTCGCTTGTCCGAGAGAAGTACACGGGTTTTAATGGAAAATTTGAATTTTTGAAATTTCCCGCTTGTCCGAGAGAAGTACACGGGTTTTAATGGAAAATTTGAATTTTTGAAATTTCCCGCTTGTCCGAGAGAAGTACACGGGTTTTAATGGAAAATTTGAATTTTCGAAATTTCTCGCTTGTCCGAGAGAAGTACACGGGTTTTAATGGAAAATTTGAATTTTTGAAATTTCCCGCTTGTCCGAGAGAAGTACACGGGTTTTAATGGAAAATTTGAATTTTCGAAATTTCTCGCTTGTCCGAGAGAAGTACACGGGTTTTAATGGAAAATTTGAATTTTTGAAATTTCCCGCTTGTCCGAGAGAAGTACACGGGTTTTAATGGAAAATTTGAATTTTTTTGAAATTTCCCGCTTGTCCGAGAGAAGTACACGGGTTTTAATGGAAAATTTGAATTTTTGAAATTTCCCGCTTGTCCGAGAGAAGTACACGGGTTTAATGGAAAATTTGAATTTTTGAAATTTCGCGCTTGTCCGAGAGAAGTACACGGTAAAATTTGAATTTTTTTGGAAAAAAATCCATGTCCTCCAGAATTCCTCAAAAAAAAATCAGATAACCAAAACTGGGTTACCGTGTTCATTTTTTTTCTTCGCAGATTTTATCTTAAAAATTTTTTTGGGTCGCTGCCGCAAAAATGACGACTTTTGTTGAGGAAAAACATCATTTTTTTGATAAAAAATTAATTTTTTTGAAAAGTAGCGGAAGCTTTTTGTATAGTTTTTTGATGAAAATTGTTGTTAAATTGAGAATTTTGCGAATTCTAACACAAAAATGGCTTAAAATCCATCATTTTTCATCTAAAATGGCTTAAAATCCATCATTTTTCACCTAAAATGGCTTAAAATCCACCATTTTTCACCAAATTTTCGCCTCCAAAACCCACCAAAGTCATTTTTTGTTGTTGCACCAAATTCCGAAATCTCTGACGTCTTTCACCAATTGGAGCATGCTCGAATAATGTGAATTTGGCTTCGGAAAAATGCGCGAGTTGCGCCAGAAAATGATCGGATTGAAAATTTGCAGTTTGATCTGCGACCACTCTTCTCATTTCTGCAAAAAAATACGGTATTTTCCTAGACCTACAGTACCTCTAGAAGTACAGTAGTACTCCCAGACCTACAGTACCCCTAGAAGTACGGTAGGTGAGTCACAGGAAAATCATTGAGGTAAAATGTGACCTGGTGAGAAAAAAGTAGGAAAGAGAAAATTTAGGGAGGCAAAAAGTGGGCGGAGCCTAGATTTTATCGAAATGAGGTTGTTTTTTTTCGAAAGAGTAGGTTTTAGGGGTACTGTAGATTACGGTAGATCAAATTTTGTCCTAATTCAGGTTACTGTAGATGACAAGCAACAGAAACTACAGTACATTTTTTTTTGAAATTTTCTTCTGAAGGTAGATCAAATCTCTACCGTACTGCAACTGTAGATTCGGATTACTGTAGCTCAGATTTGCAGCTCAATAAAAAATTGGCAATTTTTGAACTACAGTAATCCCCATAATCTTGGCACCAAAAAAGTTGCTCTCCTAAAAAATGTGAAGTTCTTGACGGCGTTTAAAAATTCATACAACCCATAAATATCAAATGGGGTCTTCCCCCATGTTCCTTTAAAATGCATCAACTTTTTTTTTTTCTTTCTTCTTTTTTTTTGACTCACACACAAAATCCCGTGCACACATCCCATTCTCTGCGGAAACATGATCAACAATTTTCCGCTTCTTTCCGCGTGCGTTATCATCTTGGCGGCAGTGTTTCCGCGCGGCACCGACGCGTTCTTCTGCGTCGATTCGGCGAAAGGATGGTGTGAGACGAACGATATGTGGGGGTACTGTATGCTGAATAAGACGGTTGGCAGTTGGCAATGCGATTCGGGAGAGACTTGCGGGAAAAAGGTGAGTTTGCGGAGGGTTTTGGGTCCCGCAGCGATTTCTGAGCAAAACTAGAGTGTTTTTTGAGATCCTCACGAAATTTGGATCAGTTAAAGTATGAACATGATTTATTTTAGAGAAGTTTGAAAATTTTTGTGGTGGGACCATCATGTTTTGGGTCCCACAGCGATTTTCTACCGTAACCAATATTCCCTCAAGCTTCCTCTTGAAATTTGGAGCAGTTAGAGTATAAACACGATATATTTTGAAGCATGTTCAAAATTTTCGTGGCGGGACCCTACAGTACCCCAAAAGTTTGAAAATCACCACTGCACCTTTAAAAACACACGTTTCTGGGTCAATTTTCGACGCTGAATCTGAATTTCAACATCCCAAGTCACGAAAATCAGTTCTAGAGAAAAAGGTGACCCCCCCTTGTTTAGTCCAGAGGGGGGTCACCAAAAAATCTCAAAACATAGCCTGCGCCTTTAAAATTCATGTTTTCAAGTCAGTTTTTCACGCTGAATTCGAATTTTCACATCTCAATTTTTCCAGGACGCCATAAAAAATCGAAAAGTCAACGGATGTACCAAGGACTTGTGTTGTTGTAATACAGGAGATGGATGTAGTTTGGCGTTTATCAAGTTGGCCGAAGAACACGGTCAAAAATGTTTGAATCAAAATGAGGCGCCGAATTCGGATCCCGAACATTTTCGCGATTGTGACGATCCGTATTGTTATAGTTTTTTGGTGTCGGTGAGTTTTTGGGTGGGCTGTGAGCAAAAAATGCACAAAATGTGGTCTGGATTACTGATTTTCAGCAAATTTTTCATTTTTCTGATTTTTGCTGAAAAAATGGGCTTAAAATCATCAGCCGGAACAATTTTTCTGATTTTTGAATTTCAAAATTTCAATAATAATAATTTTTCTCAAGAAAATTTTTTATATGATGACGTGGCAGTTTAGATTTCAGCGCGAAGTTTTGAATTTTGAATCACGCGCCCAAACAATTTTTCAATTTTTTTCCAAACTTATGACGTGGCATTTCCGAAAATCATTTCAATAATTACATTTTGAACTAGATCATTTCTGGCGCCAAAATCAAGATTTAAAAATTTTTTCGCTAAAAATCTAGCCTAACCTTATAGGTTAGGCTAGATTTTCACGAACGAAAAAAATGTTAAAAAATGTTTTTTAACATTGAAAGATCAATTCACGAAAAGTGAAAAAATGTCGAAAAAACATTGTAGGTCAAAATTAGTTTTTCGAGTTTTTCAGCCAAAAATGATGACAAATCGATATTTTTCAAGCTTCTGGAGTAATTTCTAATGAAAATAAGCTTTGAGAACCCTATTTTGCTTTATTTTATGAATTTTTTCGAAATTCATCCAAATTTAAAATTTTTTATTTTACGAAAAATCAGCAAAACCTTCTGGAAAGTGAATTTCACGGTCAATTTTCATCAGAAATTACTCCAGAAGCTTGAAAAATATCGAATTGTCATCATTTTTGGCTGAAAAACTCGAAAAACTAATGTTTTTTCGACGTTTTTTGACTTTTCGTGAATTGAATTTTCAATGTTAAAAACACATTTTTTAACATTTTTTTCCTTCGTGAATCAGCCCTAAAAATCCCCAAATCCAAATTGGCAGGAAGAAGAAGGTGGTCAAACAACAGCATCCCGTGGCTGTTATCATCGTTCCCTTCTCAAACATCAAATGTTCCTCAAAGAGGACAAAAACTATCAGAACAACACGAAATGGAAAGAGACCGAGCGGCTATTCTCGATTCCGACTTGTCAAGAAATTCTGAGCCAAACCGAGAAATCCGCCGGCAATTCGAATTCGAGTTCCGTCTCGCAATGCGTTGATTTCAGTTGGGAGCAGCTGGAAGATCCCGAAGATCCGACATCCGATCAAATTCCGATGAAGGGAAGATTGTGTTGTTGTGAGGGTGGAGCGTTGTGTAATTCGAATCATGGTTGGGCGGATAATGGGGTTAGCTTGGTGAGTTTGGGGAGGGGGGGGTTAGGCTTAGGCTTACGATAAGGCCAATCTTAAAATTCAGGCTTTAGGCTTTAGGCTTAGGCTCAATTAGGCTTAACATTAATTCAAAGCTTTCGTTAGATTTAATTTAAATCTAGGTTTAGGCTTAACAACTAAAAAAAAATTTTCTATAAAAAAATTTAAAAAAATTTTTTTTTTTAATAAAAAAATTTAAAATTTTTTTTTTAAATAAAAAAATTTTAAATTTTTTTTTGAATAAAAAAATTTAAATTGTTTTTTTCAATAAAAATTTTTTTTTTGGGCTTCAGCCTCTAGGACTTTTAGGCTTAGGCTTATTATTAATTCAAGGCTTTTGATCAATTTTAGGATTTTTAATTTTCAGGCCTAGGCTCCGATTTAGGCTTAAGCTTAGCAATTTAGAAGAGGGTTTAGGCTAGTCCTAAGGTAAGTCTGTAGACAAAGATTTAGGCTAAGATTCAGGGCTGTAGGCTTTAAAAATAAGAGATTCTGGATTCTATAGGCTTAGGTTTAGATTTAGGCGTCACTAGAAAATTAGAAAAAAAAATTTAAAAAAAAAATTAAAATAAAAAAAAAAAAAAAAAATTTTTTTTTAATTAAAAAAAAAATATTTGAAGAAAATTAGGCCTAGGCCTAGGCTTAGGCTTATGCTTTTGAATCAAACAATTTCGCACTGGGGTTAGGTTTTTAGGCTTAGATTTAGGCCTAAGGCTAAAATTAGGTCTAATTTGATACAATAGGCTTTTAGGCTCATAATTAGGCTACTTTAGGCTTGATCAGGCTTTCCAGGCTTCCCACTCCAATTTTTTTTTTCTCCAGCCCGAATTGCAACAAATGATCCAAGATTCCAAATCCAACAGTACCCCATTTGCCACGTCATCAACTACAGTACTCTTCGTCTTTTTCCTAGCATGCACCTTTAAATTTTTCTAGATTTTTTCGAATTTTAAGTTTTTAAATAAATTTTTTCATTCAGCAAAACGTATGTACAGTATATTTTTTTCCTTATGAAGGAAGTTTGAAAAAAAAATGAAAAGTGGTGAGACCCAGACCCGTTTAAAGGAACATACAGTAAGCAATCTAAAGGGACATACATTAAAGTTATTTAGGATTAATGGGTTTAAAGGCGCTCAACTCGCCGCTTCCAATCTCGATTGTTGTTGACGCGATTTTTGGTGGCAATGGTGACGTGGTGGCACTTCGAATCGATAATTGAGAGATTGGTGTGGAGACGTCGAGTTGGGTGTCGGAATGAGTTCGCATATGGCGGGATATCATATCGCGGCGACTCTGAAACCAACAGATTTGAGTTTGTTTTTAAAGGCACATCATTTTGACACCAAACACCGTGTATTTTGGGAGTGGATGAGGTTTTCATGAGCTGAGACCTCGATTTTTGAAATCAGCGCGAAATTTTAGCTCGGAAAAATGTATTTTTAAGGGCGCAGGGTGAATTTTGAGATTTTTGGTGACCCCCCCGCTTTAGGAATCAGGGGGGGGGGGGCACAAAATTTTTCCTGGTGATTTTCATGAGCTGAGACCTCGATTTTCGAAATCAGCGCGAAATTTTAGCTCGGAAAAATGTATTTTTAAAGGCGCAGGGTGAATTTTGAGATAAAGTGGGTGGTCCCAACACGACTTTATGGTCCCACCGCGAAAATTTTCAAATTGTTTCAAAATATATGGTATTTATACTCAAACTGCTCGAAATTGAGTAGGGAATCTCAGGAAAATGTTGGTCACGCTAGAAAATCGCTGCGAGACCCAAAATGAAGCGTGTAAGGGTTACTGTATCTACTGATCTCTCATTCATAGTGAAAAATGAAAAATTGAAACTATGTCATGTTTATACTCAAACTGACCCACATTTCATGGAGAAGCTTGGAGAAGGATAGGTTACTGTAGAAAATCACTGTGGGACCCAAAAATGATGGTCTCACCACGAAAATTTTCAAAATGCTTCAAAATATATCATGTTTATACTCTAAATGCTTCAAATTTCAAGGGAAATCTCAGAAAAATATTGGTTACGATAGAAAATCGCTGTGAGACCCAAAAAACTCACCGCCGAATAATTACAAAGCGGACAGGCGTACGGTTTTTCGCCGGTATGCGTCCTCAAATGCGTCGACAAATGATCGCTCCTCGAAAAAACCTGTGCACAAGTTGGGCAGCTATACGGCTTCGCCCCCGTGTGCAATCTCATATGCCGTGTCAACATATCACTCCGCGAAAAGCTCTTCGAGCACTGTCCACACTTGTGAATCTTGGAGGCGTCATCCAGCGTGCAACTTCGTTGTCTGTGTCGACTTGCGATATGTTTTGCCAACCTGTCGTGAACTGCAAATGCTTGTCCGCACAGCTGACAAGTATAGGCTAACTCATCCGCCGCGCCGATTTTCTTTGGCGTCGGCGATTTCAGCGATTTTGCTGCGGTTGGTGTGAGAATTGGTGGTGGTGGGGCGGGAGCTTGGAGCATATTTGTGTATTGTTGGAGCTGCGCGAACAGTTGATTCTTTGCCCAATTATTGACTAGCAGATTGGCGGCGTCGACTTCTTCTTTGGTTTCGAGTCGAGATGTTGCACGACGTTCTGAGATTTCGTCACGTTCTGAGGTCTGCAATTGAAATTTGGATCATTTAGAGTATAAACAAGGTATATTTCGTGGTGGGACCCATCACACAGCGATTTTTCAGCTTTTTCAAGGTTACCACGTGATTCCCCATGTAATTTCGGTCAGTTAGAGTATAAACTCGACATATTTTGGAGCACTTTTGAAATTTTCGTTGCGGGACCATAAAGTCGTGTTGGGATCCACTTTATCTCAAAAATCACCCTGCGCCCTTAAAAATACATTTTTTCCGAGCTAAAATTTCACGCTGATTTTAAAAATGTAGATCGCAACTTCTGAAAATTCCCGGGAAAAAATTTAGTGACCCCCCTCCCCAGGAAATCCAGGGGGCCCCTCAAAAATCTCAAAATCCCCGAGAAATTTCCAGTTTCCAAGTTCCCGGGTCAATTTTTCACGCTGATTTCAAAAAAGTAGGTCGCAACTTCTGAAAATGTCTAGAAAAATTTTTTGTGACCCCCCTCCCCATGTCCGGAAATCCAGGGGGCACCTCTAAAATCTCAAAATCCCCGAGAAATTTCCAGTTTCCAAGTTCCCGGGTCAATTTTTCACGCTGATTTCAAAAAAGCAGGTCTCAACTTCTGAAAATTCCCGGGAAAAATTTGGTGACCCCCCTCCCCAGGAAATCCAGAGGGCCCCTCAAAAATCTCAAAATCCCCCGAGAAATTCCCAGTTTCCAAGTTCCCGGGTCAGTTTTTCACGCTGAGCCCAAAAAATCAGATCCGAACTCATGAAAATTCCCGGGAAAAAATTTAGTGACCCCCCCCCTCCCCAGGTCCGCAAATCCAGGGGGACCCATAAATCCCCCCAATCTTCTCGAGAAATTTCCAGTTTCCAAGTTCCCGGGTCAATTTTCTCTTCTGAATTCAAAAATCGCTCTCCAGAACCTTCAGAACCGCTCGGAAAAATTTTGGTGACCCCCCTCCCTAGGAAATTCAGGGATGTCTAAAAAACTACAGAATCTTCGGAAAATTTCCAGTTTTCAAGTTTCTGGGTCAGTTTTTCACGCTATTTCCGAAAAATTAGGTCCGAACTCATGAAAATTCCCGGGAAAAAATTTGGTGACCCCCCTAGGTCCCGAAATCCAGGGGGCCCCTCAAAATCCCCCGAGAAATTTCCAGTTTCCAAGTTCCCGGGTCAGTTTTTCACGCTGATTCCGAAAATCGCCCTCCAGAACCTCCAGAACCACTAGGAAAAATTTTGTGACCCCCCCCCCCAGGTCCGGAAATCCAGGGGGCACCTCAAAAATCTCAAAATCTTCCCGAGAAATTTCCGGTTTCCAAGTTCCCGGGTCAATTTTTCACGCTGATTTCAAAAAAACACATCCCAAACTCACAGTAGGCGGTGGTGTACTACTACTTCTCTCCTGATTGTATTTGTTCAAAATCATTGTCGATTTTTTTCCATAACATGGAACACTCAAACTCGAATGCGATAGTTCATCTTTTGGTATCATATCGGATTCGGATCGACTTCTTTCACGTGATAATTCGAAAGCGCCGCCGACTTGGAGCAAGTTGTGAGAAAGTGATGAGACACTTCGAGCATCGAAACTGAAAATTGGAGAAAATTTGGAGCTTTGAGCTCGAAATTTGGAATTTCAATTTTGAATTTTCAGTGTTCTTGGCAGCAAAATTCAGAATTTTCAATTTTTTCAGCTCTGGGGCTCAGAATTTTTCATCTCTGGAGCTCAAAACGGGGTGCAAAAAAATTTTTGACCAAAAAAAAATTTTTTTTTAATTTTTTAAAATTTTTTTGTGGAAAAAAAATGTCAAAAAATAGGAAAAAAATTATAGTTTTTTGACATCGAAATTTTTTTGTCAAAAAATATTTTTTGCCCAGAATTTTTCAGGCAAAAAATAAAAAATAAAAAATTTTTTTGACAAAAAAAATTTTTTTAAATTTTTTGTTCAGAACTTTTGAGGCTAAAAATTAAAAATCAAAAAAAAAATTTCTTGTCCTCACCTAAAATGTTGATTCGAATTGGGCGACAACGAAAAACTGGGCGACACCGAACACGCCGTGTCACACTCGAAAGGCGATATTAGATCTTTGTCGAAATCGACACTTCGATCACGGTATGCCATCCACGAACTTGATGTTGAGAATGAGGATCGGGCACTTGAGCCAAGATCTGATGTGGCATAGTTGGGGGATAATCGAGCACTGTCGATTTGGGAGGAGAACTGCAAGAAGGGGTACTGTATGCGCCTTTAAATTTGCAGGATTTTCCAGGTTATCCCGTGATTTTTAGTGAATTTTGAAAAATGTTGGTACTGTAAGCGCCTTTAAATTAGATCACTCTTGATTACGGTATGAACCTTTAAATATTACTTTAGCTTAGGGGTACTGTATGCTCCTTTAAATTCTGCTATTTTTGTAGTACTGTATGCCCCTTTGAATGTATGTAAGATCATTGAAAAATTACTGTAGAGTACTGTATGTACCTTTAAAACATTTCAATTTTTTCACTAGTCTTTAGGGGTACTGTAGTTGAAAAAAACGTTGACACGATTACTGTAGCTAGAGAGTACTGTATATTCCATAAAACCCAGAATTTTTGGTTGAATTCTAGATCTACAGTAATTCTGCTCCTTTAAAACTGTAGCCCAACTACAGTAGTCCAAATTACCGTAGTTCAATTTTTTTCTGCTCCAAAATATTTTTCAAAACTTTTTTCAAACCCATTTACGTCACACAACGTTTTTTTTTGCACATGACTAATTATTCACACTTTTGTTGATTTCATATATATTTTTTTTTAAACTAGAGTCTAGTCTGTGAGGTATACGGTAGCTAGAGAGGTAGATCATAAAAAACCACCCCCTTTTTGGCGCCAAGAAAAAAATGTGGGCTCACTGGAAAAAATGAGAGAGCGCGAGCCTAGAAAATAAATTATTCAACGGGGAATATATGTATACACTTCGTTTTTTTTCTCTTTTTTGTGGGGGTGGCTGAGAAATGATGACGTGGCAAATCTGGGAGTACTGTAGTTTGCTAGAATCTAGCTAAGTACTATAGTTATACCACAGGATTACTGTACTCAAAAATCTAGAATTTCAAAAAAAATTGCAGCAAAATCTCTGGACGAGTTTGGTCCAGGCTTAGGGAGTACTGTAGTTAGCCTCTCAGATTACTGTAGGCAAGCTTTGGGTTACTGTAGATTACTGTTCGCAAATTTCCCAAGGCTTAGGCTCAGACTTAGGCTAAGTATTGTACTTTGGAATTTCGTGGGCTCAAAAGCTCAAAAGTACAGTAGTCCTGGAGAGGATTACTGTAAAAATGACGTGAAAATTTGGGCCAGGCTTTCTTAGGCTTAGGCCTAGGCCTAGGCCCAGCAGATTACTGTAGCTCCTCACCATATGAATTCGGGTCATCAAATCGGCGCTCAACAAATTTCCATCGAACGTGATGCCGGTCGGCGAGCTCGGCATCGATGGTCCCTGCTCACAGATCAGAGGGCACTGCAAAAAAATTTTTTTTGATTTTTTATGGGAAGAGGAGGGGTACTGTAGGATTACTGTAGGCGCCTTTAGTTGTTAAATGGGTACTGTATGTACATAGATTTGAATTTGGTTTCGAAATGTTTTTCTGTAGAATTCAAAAACACCTGATTTTTAAAGTTTTCCAAAAATTATCTGTAGATCAAAGAAGTACTGTAGATTACTGTAGGCATAAAAAAGTACTGTAGATGTTTTTTTTGGCGCCAAAACCCTTGCCACGTCATAGCAAAAAAAGTTTCATAAAACAAATTTTTCTCAGCGGAAATTGTGATAGGATAATTTATTTCCGACCGGAACTGATTTATTTCATGAATTGAGAAAAAAAATTTGAAAGTACAAATTTTTTTCTAGAATTCAAAGGGATCTACAGTACTCCCCGGGGCTTTCTACAGTAGTCCGGAATTTAAAGGGACAACACAAAAATTTTTTTTTAGAAAAAAAACAAAATTTGTCAAAAGTACAGTACTCTGAGACTCTTCTACAGTAATGTGTGTTTTAATAAAACCTTAAAGGTGTCTACAGTAATCTACCGTAATCTTGCAGTAATCCTTACCGAAATTGTGGGCAAAACGAGAGCTGGCGGTTTTTTGGCGGCAGTGTTGGAGTTTGGAGCATCGGTCGACATTTTTTTTGGAGCTGGAAAAAAAATTTTGTGGGTGATTACGGTAGGTTTACGGTAGGTTAGGAGGATACAGTAGGATTTTTTTTCGCGCCAAAAATATAGGTAGATCAAATTAGTTTTTCACACGCGCGTCACAATTTAATCCACGTAGCAATATGAATTTTGGGACAAAAAATTCAGAAAAAAAAAGTGGTAGATCAAAAAAAAAAACTTTCCTACTGTTAATTTTGGCGCCAAAAAACACCAAAATGAGGCCAGAAATTTTTTGTATCACTGAAAAAAAAGAAGCCGAGCACAAAAAAAAATAGTGGGGGAGCTCTGAAGAAGAAGAACTGAGCCGGCTTTTCTTTTTCTTCTCTCATCTCACAGAAAAAAAAAAATTTTTTTTCTATAAAAATCGATTTTCGGCCGGTTGGTGGGGGTGGAAAAAGAAAAGAAGAAGAAGAAGCTCAAAGCTTCTCTTCTGAATTCTCTCGTTTCTCTGCGCTCTCTCACTCTCTCTCATTTTTTGCAGCAACCGAAAATGAATGAGACCACCCTCTCTCATGCATTTTTGAGCTGAAAAAAAGGGGCGTGGCCCCGATTTTTGGCGCCAAAAACTACCGTACCTTTGGAAATTTTTGGCGGCAAAAGATACTGTAGATCAAGAGGAAAAAAATGAGTATAAATATGGCGGGCCGAAAATTCTACAGTAACCTAGAAAATTTGAAAATCCAAATTTTTTGGCCTCAAAAATTAGATTTTGCGCCGAATTCGCCACGTGGCAAATCTACAGTAACCCTGAGCATATTCGATCTCAAAACACGTGGAATGTTTGCGCCAAATCCTACAGTACCCCTATTTTTTTTGGCGGCAAAAATTTGATCTACAATTTTTTCCAATTAACAATAATCTGACCTTACTTATTCAGTATCAAAATTTGTGGATTTTTTTTTGGCGCCAAAATCTACAGTACCCCAGCTCACAAAAATGACGTCATCAGATCAAAAACCCAACCAAAAAAAAATTCGATCGCAATTTTTTGACGTATACACACATATGTAAAACCAAAAAAAACCAAAAAAAAGCGCATATAATAAATGCAAAATCCCTCCCACCTTCTCTGGCGCACTCTCTCACTTCCCCATACTCTCTCGCGAGATGAGAGAGTATTGGGAAATGAGAGAGTGCAGAGAGAGGCAGAGAGAGGAAGAATCACCCATTTTTTGATGTATTTTTTTTGTGAAATTGGATTTTGCTTGCTTCTTTGTTCCGCAAATGGAAAATTGATGGGATTTTTTTTAATGCGCTGGGGTACTGTAGGTAAAAAAAAACCACGTCATCTGATAGTAAATAAGCCTAGGGTTACTGTACGTGGCAAAAAACTACGGTGAGATCAAATTTTTCTGGCCAAAAAAATTGGATTATTTTCCACGTGTTTTGATAGTAAATTAGCCTAGGGTTACTGTAGCGAAAAAAAAGTGTAGATCAAATTTTTGGCGCCAAAATAAGGGGTACTGTAGGAGGATTTGACACAAACATTCCACGTGTTTTGAAATCGAATATGCTCAGGATTACTGTAGATTTGCCACGTGGCGATTTTTCGGCGCGAAATGACGGAAGAATTTTTTGAAGCCAGAAAATTTGGATTTTCAAATTTTCTAGGTTACTGTAGATTCCACGAAAATTGGGATATTCAAAAAACAAATTAGAATTACTGTAGATCAAATTTTTGGCGCCAACTCCTGAAAAACCACAAAAATGCATTAGAAAAACTGAAAAAAAATTTTTTTGAGCACACCAATATTTTTTTGTGCTCATTAGAAGGATAAAGGATAATCTCTTGCTGGATTGACGCACGAAAAATTGAAGAAAAAACTGGAAGATTAGAGGAATTTTTGATTATTCTGAAAATTATCTGGGAGAAAATCTGGGGCTGAAATTATTATCTTTAATAGTTTTCGTATAGCAAAAATCCCATAATTAAGTATGATTTTTCGAAAAAAAAATATATAATTTATGGGAAAATTTCAGAAAATCACAAATTTTTGTCCAAAATCGCCGAAACTTCGTCTTCATTCGCTCCACTGACACGATCCACAACTTCTCTGCAAAAAAAAATTTTTTTGAATTTTTTTTTATTTTCAAAAATTCAAAAATTTTACCCATTTTTGAAGATCAAAAAGGCTGGAATGCTGGAAACATTGTAACGATCAGCAACTTCTGAAATATAAAAAAAATAAATCACTTTTCATTACTGTAGGTAGCTAGGAATCGCGGCGAGACCAAAAATTCAGAAAAATTAATGGAATTTAGGTCTTGGCACGATTTTTTGGGTTTACTGTAGCTAGGAATCGTGGCAGGACCAAAAAAAAATTGTGAAAACTCAGGGTTACTGTAGTCACATCGTGTCGGGACCCGATTTTTCTATATTTTATGTAAATTATTTACAGTAACCCGAGAAAATCGTGGCAGGAAGTGAATTCCATGAATATTTCGAATTTTTGGGTCTCGCCGCGATTCCTAGCTACAGTAACCCCAGAAAAAACCTTTAAAAAACACCGAAAAAATCCAAAATCCACAAAAATAATTTTCATTCAATAATAATAAGAACATAGAGCTGGCATGCGAAAAAAGGGAGAGTACTGTAGATGCTACAGTACACCTACAGTACCCCAAAAATAATCAACCGTTGAGCAAAAAACGAAAAAAAAGCGATTTTTTTGGAGAAGGAAAAGTGGAGGAGGCGGGAAAAATCACAGAAAAATTGGGGGGCGCGAAAATTTAAAAAATGGAAAAGGGAATAAATTGCACGGGGTTTTGGGGGACTCAAAATTTTCAGAATTTCTTGGAGGATTCCACAGCAGCCAGGCGATTTTCCAGCAATTTTAATCGTTCCAACAATTCATTGTACTCGGCGCGCGACACAAAATCGCCTTTTTCTGCAAAAATTCGGGATTTTCAGATGGATTCATGTGAATTTTCGTGATCTACAGGATCGAATTAGGCGGGAAAACAATTTTCATCAAATTCGGCTGGAAAACATTTTTTCAGCCTAGAGGGGTCCTTTAAGACCAAAAATTTAAAAACTTTCGTTAATTCATAGATATGGGTGTCTAGAAACGTGAAATTTCACGCAGATCGCGAAAAAATCGATAAAAACCTCGGAGAAATTCTACAAAATCTAAAAAAACCTTCCAGGGGAGCCTCAAGAATCCCAAATTTTTTCGGAATTTTTTTAAGTATTCCGTATTTTTTTTTCGGATTTTTTCGACATTTTTAGAATCTCCATGAAATTCCGCATCTTTTGGTATATTTTTCAACAAATTTTATGAATTTTGTAAATTTTAGGTTCCCCCCCCTGACTAATAAAAGGGGGGGTCACATGTTTTTCAAATTTTCATGAAAATATAGCTTGTGAGGTGTCTTTCGACGTGAAATTTCACGTAGATCACGAAAAAATCAATAAAAATCTTCAAAATGTTCGATTTTTTGAGTATTGATACCCCTGACCTATAAGGGGGGGGGTCACATATTTTTAAAATTTTCATGGAAATATAGCGTGTGAGGTGTCTTTCAACGTGGAAATTCACGTAGATCCCAAAAAAATCAATAAAAATCTTCGAAATTATCGATTTTTTGATTATTGATACCCCCTGACCCATAAAAAGGGGGGGGGTCACATATTTTTAAAATTTTAATCAAAATCCACCTCGCTTGGTATCATTCTGCGCCAAATTTCACGTAGATCACGAAAATCCCAAAAAACCTTACCTCGGTCCTCATGCGACGCCGCAACTTGCGGTAAAATTGGCCGCAAGGCCGGTTTGGACGCGGAAGATGGCGGTAGAATAGGTTTGGGACCTGGCGAGGCGGTGGTGGCCGATGATGACGTGGCAATTGAGGTGAGAGTGGATGGCGCAAACATTGAGGTAGACATTGGTAATGGTGTGGTGGTTGGTGAGCTCAAACGTGCTCCACTTGGTGACTCATCCGAGGACTGAAAAAGAAAATTGATTTTTGGGGCAAACATAGAATAAAAATTCATTTTTTTATAGTTGAAAAAAGGAAAAAAACTTTTTTTCAAGGTCAGAATTGTTAATGGTAAAACAAACAAGTTTTGGTGTTTGGTCAGGTTGAGAATTTGCAAAAAAAATTTTTTAGCCCTCATGGGTCCTTTAAGACTCAAAATTCGAAAATATATACCTATGGGTTTTAAAAAACGTGGAATTTCACGTAAATCACGTTAACATTTCTGAAAAATTTCAGAAAATGCTAGAATTTTTCCAAACTTAATTTTGCGACTTTTAGATGGAAATGAGTAGATTTTCATGATCTACGGGTTCGAATTAGGCGGGAAAATAATTTTCAAAAATTTTTGAACAAAAATATTTTTAGCCTTGATGGGTCCTTTAAGAACTAAAATTTCAAAAATATATAAATATGGGTGTCTAAAAACGTGGAATTTCACGTAGATCACGAGAAAATCACTGAAAAACTTTTGCAATTTTTTTTAAACCTATAAGGGTCCTTTAAGGACCAAAATTCGAAATTTTTCAAAAATATATGAAAATAGGTGTCATTCGACGTGAAATTTCACGTAGATCACGAAAAAAACCAAATAAAAAACCCACCCTCTGCCGATTCATAACCATACTCATCGGTCGATTCTTTTGTGGTCTCGCCCGATTTTTGGTGATGTGTTGAAGTTCGGTGATTTGATCTCCACCGCCACTTTCTGGATTCATTGTTGGCTCGGCGCCAGCTCCTCCCACATCACTTTCTGTTGATTCGAAATTGGTGGCTCCTGGTTTGGCTCCGCTGTGAAGTGGTGGAGGACCAACGACTTTGAGATTCTGCAAGAAAAATTGATTTTTTCGGGGAAAATTGTGATTTTGGTGATCTACGGTGGGAAAAACTTTTTTCAAAATATTTGGGACCAAAATGTTTTTCAGCCTAGATGGGTCCTTTAAGACCTAAAATTTGAAAATTTTCAAAAATATATAAATATGGGTGTCGAAAAACGTGAAATTTCGCGTAGATCATGAAAACAGTATTTAGAAGTTTGAAAAATGTTCAGGGAACACGGTCTTTCAACAAACATAGTTTTGCTAAAGATTTTTCACTAAAAAAAGGTAACTTTCGAATTTTCTATAGTGATTTTCAGAATCCCCATGAAATTCTGCATCGTTTGGTGTACTTTTTATACAATTTTGTTGAAATTATCGATTTTTGATGACCCCCCCCGTACTAAATCCAGGGGGCCATATGAATTTTGAAAATTTCATCAAAACCTATCATGCTTGGTGTCGTTCCACGTAGAATTTCATGTAGAACACGAAAAAATCAATAAAACATTGAAAAATACCTATAAATTCAAAATGAACCCCCCCCCCCCTTTATTTATTCCAGGGGGTCACATATATTTCAAATTTCCACCAAAACCTATCATGTTTGGTGTCGTTCCACGTGGATTTTCACGTAGATCACGAAAAAATCAATAAAAATCTTCAAAATTATCGATTTTTCAGTATTGATACCCCTGACCTATAAAAAGGGGGGGGTCACATATATTTCAAATTTTCACCAAAACCTATCATGTTTGGTGTCGTTCCACGTGGATTTTTACGTGGATCACGAAAAAATCATTGAAAACCTTTGGAATTCAGAATGAACCCCCCTCCCCGTAATAAATCCAGGGGGGTCACATGAATTTCAAATTTTCACCAAAACCTATCATGTTTGGTGTCATTCCACGTGGATTTTCACGTAGATCTCGAAAAAACCACTGAAAACTTTTGGAATTCAAAATAAATCCCCCCGTACTAAATCCGGGGGGGGGGTCACATATTTTCGAAAATTTCACCAAAACCTATCATGTTTGGTGTCATTCCACGTGGATTTTCACGTAGATCACGAAAAAAATTTAAAAATGACATACCGACGTAATTTTATCCCTCAACGCGGCAAACGCATCCTTTTTCGACGCAACAGTTGCGCTCTGGAATGGCGGAAGTGCTCCTGTAGATGTGGTTGGTGAAATTGGTGAGATTGGTGTTGGTGTGGAGGCGGACGCGTTGCTTCCGGCGGCAGACTCCATTTTCATTTTAAGCGGTTTCGGCGGCACGGCGGGTTGTGGCGGATTTTGTGGCGGTGGTTTGTGGTGGATGTGATTGGGTGTGGTGTGTTTGATGGCAGCGAATTTGGCGCCAGATTCAGTGCCGGCGGGAACCTGAAAAAATTCGAATTTTTCTGGGAAGAGAAAAATTGGCTGAAAAATAAACATGTTTTTATGAGGGGGTGATTCATAGAAAGAAAAAAAAAAGAATTTTCCCCATAATGTTCTCTGGAGCGCATTTGCTCTCTGAGGAGAATTTTATAGAAAAAATCGATTTTCCTGGTAGAAAATTCGAATTTTGGAGGAAAATTGGGAAATTTCGGTAGAGCGCACTTGCTATTTCTAGCCAAAATTTCATATTTTTCTTTAAACTTCCTGAATTTCGCTAGAGCACATATGCTCTTTTTGAATCTTGGATAGAAAATGAGCATTTTCATAGTTGAAAATTTGAATTTTGGAGAAAAAATGGGAAAGTTCAATAGAGCGCACTTGCTAATTCTAGCTAAAAATTCAAATTTTTCCACAAGAATCCTGAATTTCGGTAGAGCGTATATGCTCTTTCTGGCTAAAAAATTTGAATTTTTCACATTACCGCATTAATTTCAGTGGAGCGCATTTTCTAGTTAGCTAAAAGTTTGAATTTTCCGGGGTGTTCGCTAGAGCGCATTTGCAATTTCTAGCTAAAATTCAATAAAAACTGAAATATTCTACTCTCCAGAGAGGAAACAATGAAAAAAGAGGAAGAAAAATCGATTCTAACATGAGTCATGTGCGAAAAAAGGCGACTTTTTTTGTTGGTTTTTGGAGTTAGGCGAAAAAAAAGAGGGGAAAGAGAAGAGTAGACCAAAAACTAGGAAAAAACTTTTTTGGCGCCAAAATCCTTCAATTCGAATTATTTTGACACGAAATACGCTGATTTTTGCACTAGAAAAAGCAAGTGCGCTCTAGTGAACAATTTGATTTTTTGAGAAAAATTCAAAAAATGTCCCAAAATATATGATATTTGGTGTCATTCTGCGTCAAATTTGGCGCTAAATTCAAAAAAAAAATTGCACCAACCTGCACCAATTCGACAAAATTATCGGGGAAAAGTCCATTTTTGCCGTGCAGTTCGCCCTCAAACCATCCGGCATCTCCGCAATTTTTATTTACAATATTTATCAAAACATCCAAATCTGATAGAGCCAGCTCATCTGGATGTTGTGGAATATAGACGAATTTGACACGAGCCATTTCTGCGGGGAAAAATTGGAATTTTTGAATTTATTGGGGAAAAACGGGATGTTCGGTGGAGCGCATTTGCTATTTTTTGTTTTCATATTTAAAACTGAAATTTTGAATTTTTATCAGAAAATCAAAGATTTCGGTGGAGCGCATTTGCTATTTTTGTTTAAAAAAGTTGAGTTTAGCCTACTTTTCATGTTTAAAATTGAAAATTGAATTTTTCTTCAGAAAATCAATCATTTCGGTGAAGCGCATTTGCTCTTTTTTATTCAAAATAGTTGATTTTCGGCTAGTATTCATACTTAAAACTGAAATTTTGAATTTTTCTAGGAAAATCAAGAATTTCTGTGGAGCGCATTTGCTCTTTTTAATAAAAAATGGTTGATTTTCGGCTACTTTTCATATTTAAAACTGAAATTTTGAATTTTTCACAAAAATCATGAATTTCTGTGGAGCGCAATTGCTATTTTTGGTGAAAATGGTCGATTTTTGAGTGGAAAAGAGCAAGTGCGCTCTATCTGAATCCCGGGTTTTCAATGAAAAATTCAAATTCTTAGTTCGGTAGAGCGCATTTGCTGAAAAATCAATTTCTAGCTCGAATTTTTCAAAATTTCCAGTATTTTCGTCCAAAATGCTCACCTTTCATCGAATTTGCCTCAATTTTCACATCACTATTATTTGTTTTCACAAATCCAATCGGTTTCAAAATCTCTGTGATTACTGTAGACGGTGTTCTTTCGATGGCTTTCGGTTCGACGGTTTCACGCAAAACTACTGTAGCTTCGGATTTTGGGCGCAAGTTGGACGATGTTGTGGTGGGATTGGTGGAAGCTGAAAATGAATTGAAATTTTGAATTTTGCGTGAAAAATGGCGCAGGAAGAGTGCAAATACGGTAGATTTTGGCGCGAAAACCATGATTTTTTGAATTTTCCTCAGAAACACGTGTTGTTCGCTAGAGCGCACTTGCTTTTTTCTAGTGAAAATAATCATATTTGGTTTCAAATAAATGCGAATTCTCTGAATTTTCGAATTTTTCTTGAAAAATCAATTTGTTCAGTAGAGCGCGCTTGCTTTTTTTTCGAAATTCTACTTGGAGCTAAGTTTTTGAATTTTTTTCAAAAAAAATTATGTTGTTCGGTAGAGCGCACTTGCTTTTTTTTTAGTGAAAATAATCATATTTGGTCTCAAAATAATGAAAATTCTCTCAATTTTTGAATTTTTCTCGAAAAATCGTCTTGTTCGCTAGAGCGCACTTGCATTTTCCAGTAACTTAGCCCAACTCACAGCTCTTCTGATGCACAAAATTGGTGGGAAACATGCCGATGGCACCCGTCGTTTTTAGCCGCCCACGTGACCAACCATCTTCAACCTCCTCGATAAGCTGAAAACATTTCTCTCTGCGTCTCTCTCAAAATCCCATGCTCTCTCGCTCTTACCTCAATGACGTCACCAACACCAAATGACAGTTCGTCTTCTTGTTGTGATGTGTAGGGAAATGCGCCGATGAAGATTTCTGAAGCTTTGAATTTTTTGAATTTTTGAATTTGGCGTGAGATTTGGCGCCAAACGACACCAAATATGCCTACTTTTGGCGCCAAAATTGAATTTGACGCCAAAAATATGCAAATTTGGTGTCATTTTGACCAGAATTTCGCGACGAGACCCAAAAACTAACGCCTCTCACGTCTATCATTCTGCGAATGCACCGAAAACGGCACACGATTCGTCATATCGCGCGAAAGTCGATTCACAATATCCTTGACATTTCCAGACATGACTTCAGCCTGAAATATTTCGTCATTTATTTATTTATTGATTGATTTCAACCTAAACAACCAGCAAATTACTCACCTCTGCCACTTGAGTCATTTCCTCGACGGCGGCCCAAAAAACCTGCAAAATTTACGAAAATCGATAAGAATTGGGCGTTTTGGCAGCAAGAGAGAATTTGATAAGAGACTACTATCTATTTTCGACATCAACATAAAAAAACTATGCGGCTTACCCTAGTTTTGTTGGTTTTTGCCGATTTCGAAACGAGGCGCACAAAAAAACAAAAAGAAAAATGCAAGTGTTGCAAGCGCGCTCCACTGCGAATGCGCTTCAATTTCAGCTTTTTCTCAATTTCCTTGCGATATCAATATTTAAAATTAGTTGAAAAATTGATTTTAGAAATAAGCAGCTTGCGAGGAGTATTTTGATATATAAAACCTAATAAAACAACAAGGGAATCAATAAATAATTACCTAGGTATGACCTTGAATTATTAATTTTTTCAGAAGCAAACCTAACCCAATCAAAAATTGAATGAATCGAAATAGAACATAATAAAAAGCGCGAGAAAATGGATCGAATGCGAAGCGAAATGACTCATTTCTCATCGCTCTCTCGATGTCTGCACTCTCCCCTGTTCGCCGTGCTCTCTCGCCACATCGCTCTCCTCGTTTTCGACCATTTTGGGAGGCAAAATTGAATGGAACGCGGGGGTAAACATTTCAATTTTCGGCCGGTTTTTTCTTGTGTTGTGTTGTGTTGGGTTGGGTCGGGTTGCTCTTTTGCGGTGTTTGATGAATTTAGCGATGGAGCGCGATTGCTTTTTCTATGTTATGGCAGAAATGTCACTTTTCTAGAGCACAATTGATTCTTTTTTGAATTTTTGAAGAAAAATCCATGGTTTCGCTAGAGCGCACTTACTGAATTTCAAGCATTTCAAAATTTTGCTAGAATTTGAAATGCTTAAAAAAGGTGTATCGAAATGACGGGAAAAAATGTCCCGCAAAAATTGAATTTTTTGCCAAATTTCTAGGTTTCAATAGAGCGCAGAAGGTATTTTTGCGGAAATTCGAGAAAAAACGAATGTTTTGTGAAAGTTTGAATTTTAAAACAAGAAATGCAAGTTTCAATAGAGCGCAATTGCATTTTCCAGCAGAAAGTTCAAAATTGTCAAGGAAAAGACGTGATTTCTATGGAGCGAAGTTGAATTGTCCAGCTAAATGCATTTAAAATGTTCGAAAAATGCTAAATTCATATTTCTATAGAGCGCACTTGCTTTTTACAGCGAAAATTCAAATTTTCTCTCAAAAAAATCGTAAAAATTTGCATTTTCCACTAAATTCAATTTCTCTTTCCCCTTTCCTTCCTAAAAATAAATAACTCAATTAAAATGCAATAAAATTAGGGCCTAGTACGAATGCGCCTTTAAAGAGCAAAACAAAAACCAGGGTCACATTTAAATATGACAATTTCTCCAGCGTAGAAAAAAGCCCTCGTGGCCGAGTGGTTAGCGCGTTGACCTCACGTGCGAAGGGTCTCAGGTTCGATGCCGTATGCGAGCGCGAGTTTTTATTTTTTTTCCCCCGAAAATCAATACAAAAATACTCAAAAACATGATCAAAAAAGGCGAAACGGATGCGCGCGAGCGAGCCCGCAAAAGAGCACAATGTTTGGTTTGAGCGAGAGAGTATGAGAGATGAAGAGAGTGCGCAGAGAAAACTTTATTTGTGAGGGGAGGAAAAATGGTGTGAAAGAAGTGAAAATGGGGTGAAATCTGAGATTTTGTATTTTATTTTATTTTTACACATTATACATTATACTATATACATTAGTCGCCAATCGGAATCGTGTGATTTTCCAGCGTCGAAATCGCACTTCGAATTCGCAAAATCGTCAAATCCACGTGGCGCATCTGTTCCGAATGATGAGCGTGTAAATCGGGCGGGAAACTGGAATTTAGGCGAAATTTTGAGAAATGCTTCTTGAGTTGACAATATTTGAAATACATTCGATAATTGGTGGAGAGATAGGTTTGGCTCAAACGAAGCTCCAGTTGACGGCGTTGCGATTCGTGCGGGTTCTGCGAAAAATTTGAATTTTTTTCGGAGGAAAATGTGTTTTGGGGGCTTTAAATTATCATATAAGTGTTTTTTTTTTGGAATTTTCTAGATCCTGATCTCTAGATTGCCATAGATGGAAAGATCAGGGTTCAAACCGAAAACTTCAGCGAAACCAATCATGTTTGGTCTCAAAATGACCGGAATTTCGAGATTTGGAAGCTCCTAGATCTTTCCAGTAATAGAAATCAAGATCCTGATTGACTTGGCTGGAAAGATCATTCCAAAACTCATCAAGTTTGGGCTCAAAATGCTCCAAAAAGCACAAAAAACTCGAATTCCCTTTGAAAAACTCACATTTTCCTCCAAATCCATCCATAAAATCGATAAAATCCACGAAATTTCTCGTTTTTTCGTCCAAAACACAAAAAAAAGATTGTAATCTTTTTTTTCTGGAAAAATGGCCAAATCAATAAGTCATAAATATAATTGGCAATAAAAAATAAACAAAAAAGTTTTTCAAAAAAAAAAATTCTGTATTAAAGAACAGGTTTTTTCTTCTACAGTAATTTAAAGGAACAATTGAGAAATTTTTGAAAAAAACTGTTTTTGGAGCGAAATTCAGAATATTCAAATTTCGACAGTAATTTAAAGGAACATGATTGGATTTGCGAAAAAAAAGTTTGAAAATCATTTTTTTTGGCGCGAGATTCAAAAAAAAGGGTATTTTAACTACAGTAATTTAAAGGAACAAGGCTGACATTAAAAAAAAATTCAAATTCAGAAATTTTTGCGCGAAAATCCACCTACAGTAATTTAAAGGACCAAAATTTGAAAAAAATAAATTTTTCCCAAAAAAAAGCAGATGGTCCTCCAAAAAACAATAACATCTGGCTTTTTTGTGTCTACACGGCCTTTTGTATAATATTCTAATGAGACGAGAGAGTGTGAGAAAATGAGAGAGTGGCTAGAGAAAAATACAGTTCTTTTGTGTTGTTTTTGTTTGCTTTTGATCAATGATTCTTGAGAGTCACAAACTAGAGTCTAGTTTCTTCAAAAAAAAAATTTATTGTCAAAATGAAAAAAAAACTCAAAAATAAATTAGTATAATTCAAAAAAAAAAGCTGCTAGAAAAAATATTTTAGAAAAAAAATTGAAAAAAATTCACAGGGAAAAAACTCAGAAAAAAAAGGCACCGAGACAAAAAAATTCAAAATTTTTTGTTATTTTGATATTCGACTCCTAAATTGTTTTTGGTATGTATTTAAAGGGACATACAGTAATCTACAGTACTCCGAGAGAGAGAGAAAAAATAGGTTAGAAATCTACATTGGTGAATGTTGTGAGGCATTGTGAAGATCCGAAATGTCTGCAAAAAACAAAATTTGAATTTTTGAAAATTTGGCGGGAAATTTCAAAATTTAAATTTTCTTCCCTTTGGAAATTTGGCGGGAAATTTCAAAATTCAAAAATTTTCGCTATCATGTTTGGTATCATTCTGCGGCAAATTTTGGCGCGAAAAAGCAAAAATTCAAAATTTGGCAGACTTACACGATCTTTGCGGATGTGGTGATTGATAAAATGTGGATCTGGTGAGTTGGAAAAGGAGTCGAGTGTGACGACGAACTTGTTCGTCTTGAGTGGTTTTGATGATTTCTGCAATAATGAGAAATTGGGGATTGCTCATGTTAAACTCAACATTTAAAAAAAAAAAATATTGCTCATATCAAACTCAATATTGTTGAAAATCATTGCTCAGATTATAAAAGTCCAAAAAATTATTTTTTGAATCGAAAAAGCATTGCTCATCTTAAACAATCTAGAAATATCATATTAGAAGAATTTGAAGGCATTGCTCATATTGAAGCCAATTTTTAAAAATTGCTCATATTAAGTCCTTAAAGGCATTTCTCAGGTTATCCTATTTTCAAAGACATTGCTCATACTAAACCCAACTTCTTAAAGGCATTGCTCATCCCAAACTCCAAAAATTTGCCCCATTGCTCATATTAGCAGCTTCCCCTCTCACCTTGTAAAGTGGTCAATAATTGTGACGCAACATTCGGCGTATGCTGCATAGTTTCAGCATCGCTGACATTGATGGCTGGCAAAATATGCTCGATATATCTGCAAAAATTTGTGATTTGCAATTTTGCGGCAGGGTTTTTTTGGGGTGGGATTGAAAATTCAAAATTTTTGCGAAAAATCGGGATTTTGAAGATTTTTTTTGCCTCAAAAAAATTCACGTGGAAATTTTGCCGGAAAATTCAACAATTTCAAATTTCAGAGGGAATTTTGAAAAATCAAAATTTTGAAAATTTTCGCGTCAAACATGTTTCCGGACCAAAAAATACGATTTTTTGGCTAAAAAATGTCGAAATTTCACGATTTTTGGGCAAAAAACATCGAAATCTTCAAATTTTGCCGCAAAAAAAGTCCACGTGGAAATTTGAAAATTCAAAATTTTAAGATTTTTGGACAAACATTCGGAAATTTGAATTTTGGCGAAAAATTCAAATTTCAAAATTTCAGAGGGAATTTTGAAAAATCAAAATTCGAAAATTTTCGCGTCAAACATGTTTCCGGACCAAAAAAGGCCGTAATTTCACGATTTTTTCGCTAAAAATCCGGAATTTTGAAGATTTCAAGGTCAAAAACACGCTCACCTATATTTCAAATCGCGTTCATGTCCCAAAGTTAGTGTAAGTTGTTGTAAAAGTGACACCAAAACTGGTTGACTCATCGAATTCGGGTGGGAGAAAAGTGAATCGGGATTGACGTGTGAGCAAACGAATTCCAACAAATTCGGGTCTCCCGTATTCAACGCCGTCTCAAATGCGAGTTCCGGCGAGTTTTTGAGCAATTGCAAGAGTTGCGCACGATCTGTGCTGCTCGAATTTGCTGGCGCAACTTGTGTTGCGGCAAGTTGAATCGCCGCAACTGCCGCATTTTGTATCGCTTGCGACGTCGTCGTCAGATATTCCGCAAGTCCCGCGCGGAATTGCTCATTCAACCGGTCAAACAACAAATCACAACTTCGCTCAAACGCCGGCACAACACATTCTTGCAGTCCGGCTCTTGCCGCACCGCCGACACGTTGCGCGACGTATTCGCTAGTGTCGGCGGTTGCGGAACGGATTGCCGGATCGATGGCCGCTTGGATTGCAGTGTTTCCGTTGCGGAGTGCGGCAATTATATCGAGACGGGAATTCTCGCAGACTTGTTCGATGCGATTCAACAAATAGCCTTCACGTTGACGCATTTGATCGTCTGAAAACATTTCTGAAATCGGATTTGGGGCATGGTTTTGGGGGCGGGGCTTAAATTACTTATTAGGAATGCTTTAAATTTCCACGAATTTTTATCCAAATTTTCGAGAATTTTGGTTTTGATTTATTCAAAATAAGAAATATGAAAACATTGAAAAAAAAAAAACATTTGATATGAATTACATCAAAATTTTGAAACGTATTTTTTTGTTTTTGAAAAATTCGAATTTTCTAATCAAAATTTGACCCAAAAGCTGAAATGAAGCTATTTTGAGCTCAAAGTTTGAGCTTAAAATTTATCAAAAATTTTGATTATCAAGTTTTATTGCAACTGTTTGCGGCATGGTTTTGGGGGCGGGGCTTAAATTATGATTATGAATTAAAGATTTAGAACTGCGGCGTTGTTTTGTGGGCGGGGCTTATGATTTTGTACTAGTTTAGAAGTTTATTTTTTCATTGCATCTGTTTGCGGCATGGTTTTGTGGGCGGGGCTAGATAGGAATTGCAGAATTCTGGTGGTTTTTAAGAAACCCTTAGAAAAACCACGCCGCAAAATTGCAAATTAAAAAAAAATCCAAGAGAAAACCGCGCCGCAAATTGCCAAAAAGTGGGCGTGGCTTCTCTGATTCAAATATACCCATAGTGGGTATCATTCCGCTTCAAATTTTCCCGCCAAAAAACCGCGCCGCAAATTGCAAAAAAGTGGGCGTGGCCTACTTACCCATCGCTCCAATCATCTCCACCAATCGCTCATTCGACGCCTTCCGCTCCATCTCAATTCTCTCCAGTCTTTCAACAATATCATCCAATTTTTGGCCAAATTCTTCCGCCTGTTTTTGATCTACCACCGGATTTTCATGAAGCTGTGGAGCCGAATTTAGAGCCGCCGGGATTTTCAGAAGCAAATCTTGAGTGGCATTTGAGGTTTTGGGAGTGATTTCGACCAATTGGCGAAGGTTTTGGTGTTGTTTTAGGGTGATCTGGAAGAAAAATCGGTGATTTTTGGTGAATTTCAGCTCAAAATCCAGCATTTTCAGCCCACACAAACCTGTAATTCAACCATGCTCTTTTTTCCCATCGCCACAAAATATCGTCGAAGTTTTGGGGCTTTTGAATCGGAATTCGAATCCGATTCGTCATCTTCGTCTTCGTCGTTTTGGAAAATGTCGTCTTCTTGGGATTCTGAATGAATTTTGAAATGAGAAATGAAAAATTTTTTTGAATTTTTTAAATTGCCACGTAATTCAGGTCACGCGCGAAAAACATGAAATTCAAAATTTCCGACAGGCTTTTGAAGATTTTTAGCCCAACATCTGAACCTAGGCCTACTTAGGCTTAAATCTAGGCCTATTTGGACTCGAAAACCGTGGATTTCTCGGGCTTAAATTAGGCCCAGACTTAGGCTTAAATCTAGGCTGGGTTCGACCCGAAAAACGTGGATTTTGCGGGTCTAGAAAACTTAGGCTTAGGCTCAACTTTAGGCTTATTGGGACTCGAAAAACGTGTATTTTTCGGGCTTAAATTAGGCCTAGGCTTAGGCTTAAATCTAGGCTGGTTTAGGCCCGAAAAATGCGGATTTTCCGGGCCTAAGATAGGACTAGGCTCAAGGCTATTCCTAGGCTTATTTAGGCTCAAAAACCGTGGATTTTTCGAACATAAATTAGGCCTAGACTTAGGCTTGAATCTAGGTTTATTTAGGCCCGAAAAAAGCGGATTTTCCGGGCCTAAGATAGGACTAGGCTCAAGGTTATTCCTAGGCTTATATAGGCCTGAAAAATCTAGACTTTTCGATCTTGAATTAGGCCTAGGCTTATTTAGGCTTAAAAAACGTGGATTTTTCGGGCTCAGGCTTATTTAAGCTAGAAAAACGTGGATTTTTCAGGCCTAGGCTTATTTAGGCTCAAAAAAATCCCCTTTTCACCCCCTCCTCCCCGCAAAACCTCACCACTTTCAAAACTATTCGCCGCTCCAACATGTGCCAGCGCATAAATCGGATTACAAAACGAAGTTTGCGTAACTCCAGCAAACCTTGGCAATTCTCCAGCCTCCGAAATCTCTACCGAATATAAATTTGCACCGTCAACATCCAGAAAATGCAAAAATTGTGAGCTCGGATCGATAATCGGTATAAAATCATTAACAGTTCGTGGCGATTCGAATCGAATTCGTCCCAATCTTCTCCACTTCTGACATTCGAACAACGCAATTTGTCGGCCGCCGTGCGAAATCGCAACGCAAGCTCGCCAAAACGGCGCCTCTTTCCGCTGTTCCGCTCGCAAATCATCCAAAAATATCAAATCGCTGAGTGTCGCGTTGGCACGCGTGAACGCGGCGCGCGGATCGAATATATGCGCGAATTTCAGCGCGTTCTCCTCGTAGTCGATGACGTAGAAGGCGACGGGGCCGGCATTTTTGGCCACAGCGATTGCGGTGCAATCGGGAGCGATGCAAACACCGGCAATCCGCGTCGCGGAAACATCCGCTTCCGCGTCCGCCTCCAAAGTCAGCGATAGAATCGCGCCATCACAACCTTTTGCCGTCTCAAAATCCACGTCATTACCCTCGGAATCCCTTGAAAATAGTCCATGTTCCTTTAAAATGCCCAAATTCACCACGTGTAAATGACGTCCGGCGTAGATCGCCAACACGTGGCACTCTTCCTCTTCCTCATCTTCTTGACTCTCGTCGTCTGCACTCTCTTCACTTCCCGCTCTATTGGGAATATAGGGACACCACGAGATTTTTGGCTGATCTTCGTGGGTGGTCTTGGGGTTGGAATTAGAGGGCCAATTGAGGATGGCAATGTGTTTGGTGCTGGAAAAAATCGAATTAATTTTGGCGGGAAAATTTCATAATTCAAAAAATTTTATGATTTTGGCGCGAAAAACAGATGGCAATTTCGAGCTTCAAATTTGAATTCAGTCTTCGCGCCAAAAATTGGTATTTGAATATTTTTGGCGGGAAATTCGAATATTTCACTTTTCCGCGTCCAAAATTCATAATTTTTCAAGTTTTCGGGCTAAAAATTATGATTTTTTATCAAATTTCATGAATTTTCATCCAAAATTTATAATTTTCCAAGTTTTCGGGCTAAAAATTATGATTTCCTATCAAATTTCATGAATTTTCATCCAAAATTTATAATTTTTCAAGTTTTCGGGTAAAAATTATGATTTCCTATCAAATTTCATGATTTTTCATCCGGAATTCATGATTTTTTAAGTTTTCGGGCTAAAAATTATGATTTTTTATCAAATTTCATGATTTTTCATCCAAAATTTATAATTTTTAAAGTTTTCGGGCTAAAAAGTATGATTTCCTATCAAAATTTCATGAATTTCCACTCAAAATTCATGATTTTTCAAGTTTTCGGGCTAAAAATTATGATTTTTTATCAAATTTCATGAATTTCCACTCAAAATGCATCATTTTTCAAGTTTTTTCCTCCAAAAACTCACGGAATACAATCCTCGGCCACTTGATAAATAAAAAGACTCGAATTCTCATCCAAAACCGCAAAAAATTGTTGATGTTGCGCAAATTGAATGTCCAAATCCGAGTGTCCCAAATGCTCTTTGAGCCGATGTTTTTGTTTGGTTTGCAAGTTGAGAATGTTGACATTTCCACCAATTTGATCAGAAATCGACCGAAAACCGATGAGATTTTTTGTGAGTGGTCAGGATTCGACCAGCGATTTGACGGACCTGCAAAATTCGAGATTTTTCGGTGAAAATATGGTCATTTTGGGTTAAAATTGGATTTTTAGAGTAATTCCCGAGTTTTTGATTGAAAATTTGCTTATTTTCATTGAAAATCAATAATTTTCACTGAAAATTCGTTATTTTCAACATTTCTACACCCCTTTCCCCTCAAAATCCTCACATCACAATTATGATTCATAATAATTTTGGTATGAACATTCGACGAGTCTCTTTCTCTCACACTTTCATCCTCATCATGCGATGCCATGTGCAAAACAACATTATTTCCGATCTCAAACCCGATTGACGAATTTTGTCGCGAAATTGTGCTGAAAATATCGATTTTCACACATTTTCCCTTAAAACCCCCACAAATCACTTACTATCGCTCCAAAACTGAATTCGGCGAATGAGCTGATGACGTCATTGCTGTTTCACCCATTCACCTGAAAAAATCCGCTGAAATTTGTCTGAAATTTGGCTGAAACCCGCGAAAAAGCCCCGGAAACAAAAAAAAACACTGAAAAAAAGTGCGCGGTGTTTGCACACTTTTTGAATTGACGCACAATTGCGGACCGGGAAAAGGGGCGAAAATCGCTTTTTTCGTCGGTTTCCGGGGAAACCGCTATAATGATAAGGTTGACAAATGTGAAATTGAAAATAAGACCAAAAATTGAAATTATAGGGTTTTGCTGACATTTTGTCCGAGAGAAGTACACCGGAAATTAAGGGGGAGGGGGATTTTTGGTCAGGAAAACCCCCCGGTTTAAACCGGGGGCAGTTTGTTTTTCAATAAGCTGGGCTGAAAATTAGGGATTTTCAGAGTTCTGGAGATTTAGTGAGATAGAGCGCAAGTGATCCTGTAAAAATCAAAAATTTTCGGAAAAATCTGAATTTCACGGGAATTCAAAAAATTGAAAAAAAAATGGGAGCTGACATTTTTAGAGCAAAAAAATGGACACGTTTCAAACGTGATATGTGGCGGCCCCTTTGGAAATGGTATTTAAACGAAGCCGTCGGGAGGTTTTGTCAGTTTTATATTCGTTTCGCGATGGATCCTCAAGTGGGAGGAGGAAAACGATCAAAGAAGGATACGAAATCCACGTCAACAACGCTGAAAATATCAGCAACAAAATCTACGCTAAAAACATCAGCAACTAAATCTACGCTAGCAACACCAGCGACTACACCAACAACTGCCACAGCGACCGCAACGACGAAAAATACGCCAAAAACGACTGCAAAACCAGCAAAGACAAAAGCAATATCGGAACAAGGATATGATCCAGAAGAAGGGCCGCCTGGAAGAAGTCTCTTTATCACCATTGGAATTTGGTTTCTAGTCATAATTCTAATCGCAGGAGGTGTTATGTTTGGACTTATCCTAACTCAATCCAAAATCGACGACACTCCCAAGAAAATCTTGCAACAACACAAAGAAGGTATGATTATTTATTCTAGAATATAGATATCTCAAATTCAAACTATTTCTTCTTTCAGATACAGTCAAATCTATCGACAAAGCTATTCAAGTTGTTCAAACCTTTCCGGTTTTGTTTGATAATTTTGCGCTTGAACAAATGTCACCGGAACTATTCAAAATCATTCGCAAAGAACTGAATGTGGAAGATTTGGTGAGTTTTTCGATAGTTTCTACTAAAACAAGTGATTATATTTATAAAATTACAGAAGGAGTCGGATTTTTACAAGGAAGATGATAGTCTGCCATATGGAGCTGTTTTTACTACACTTGGAAAAAATTGCCCACCCTTGCCGACTGGATTTAATGTAGAGAATTTTCTCTCCTTGTGGAACAATGGAACAAACATGCAAAGAGAGCAACTGAAAAAGATCATCAGTCCATTTATTGCTCAAGAAAAATCGTTCAGTGATACTTTGAAGAGCGAATCAGAAAAACCGGGAAGATTTTCGCAGCGCAGAGTTGTGATGTACTCTGAAGATATTATAACAATGCTTCATGATTACAAAGAGATAACTGTGGCTCGATATGATTCATTGATAAAATCATATGAAGATCAGGAGGAGTCTCGTAACGTTGCCGAACTTGCTCATTTGATATTCGTCATCATACTTTATGCAATTAATTTGATCAATTTTGGCGCAATCATCATTGTGTTCATCTTATTCCAAAAAGGCAAAATCAAATTGAAAACTCTGAATAAGTCTTCAATTATTCTTTTCATTATTTCTTTGGTGTTTGCATTTGGTTTGATTATTTATTCAGTTTTTGGAACAGCTGGATTATCTCCATTTGGATACGAATGTAAATTGTCCAGCAATGTTCAAAATCCAGACAAAAAATTCACTAATTTCGATGGACAAGTCACAGATCTTGGGTTTGTATTTTTTAAAAAAGAAATTACATTGATAAAGTTTATGTTTCAGAAAGATTGCTGGTAGTTGTGAAAATGGGGCGTCGATTTTTTCGAAAACATCGCCATTTTTGAATTTTGACAAAATCAAGCGTAGTTTGAATGGTTTTGAAAAAGTTGTCATCAATTTTGCTGAAAATCTTCAGTTCAAAGCCAATTTGGATGATAAAAAAATTATTCACATGAAGTCAACATTGGACGCGGAACTATCGGACCTGCTAAAATATCAAAAGAATGGAACCTGTTTGACGCCTGGTGGTAGAACCAATATTGCTTTGATGATTGGAGCATTGGAAAATATCAAAACTGCTTTGGTGACACTTGAAACGCGTTCAAAAGAGTTTCCCAATAAGAATATACAGCCAATGTTATCCGCCTACATTAAAACATCATTTGATTCTTTGAGAAATGTTTCGGAAGCCGCAGTGGATTCGATGAATGTAACACAGGCAATAACGGAAGGATCCATAATGGATCCATTATGGATCCTTCCGTTATTGCCTGTGTAAATGATTTATATATACATAGATAAATGTTATTTTATTTCAGTCGATATTCGATTCTATCGATATTTCGTGCCAAGAAGTCCCGACAGCCGCATGCGATGATCGTTTGAAGGACAACATTTCTGGTTGGATATTGTTTTTTGTGTTCTTTTTGAATGCACTTCTGGCCAAGTTGCTTTATACGATTCCAGCCAGAGAGTTTCAAATGAATCATGAATTTGAAAAGAAAATCAATGCTTTGAAAGAGGAAGTTGAAGATCCAACGAAGTCAGTCGATGTAAGTTAGTTTTTAATTTTTGATGTATAAACATGTCAAAATGAAAAATAGACAAACTATCCTGGAATTTTTTAGATTTTTTGAAAATTTTTCGAAACTTTCGTGACAGATCAATTTTTGATTGTTCAAAGTATTTTTATAGAAGAAACAAGTGAAAACTGAAAAAGACCGAACCAAGTCTTTGGAGACTGCTTTGATCAAGAAGGAACAGAAATCCTCCAATCAACCGGAAAATGGAGAAAATCCAGATACTGATGCAACTGGTACGCCTGCGGTTAAATTTTGAATGAAATCGGTGGATGAATACTTAAGAATAATACAAGTGTAATTTGATTGAATGAAAAAATTTTCGCCTTGAATTACAATACATCTCCACGGCCACGGAATGTTCTTCTTTTTTTGTGACTTCTCGCGGAATTTCACGTAGAATCTGAAATTCATTCTGAAATTTGCGACTTTCCAGCTTTTGTTTCAGAATATTTCAAATTTCGTATCATTTTTCCCACCTGAAAAATGTTTATTCAAACTTTTTCATATAAAAAATACAGTATCAATTTTCCAAATCAATAATTTTTCTCCAAAATTGTTTGAAGTCCCTTTTGATTTGCTCCGTTCAGAGTTTCGACAACTTCTCTGCAAAAAAGGTGGCGCGAAATTTGAAAGTTTCTAAAAATTCAAAGTTACCCATTTTGCAAGACCAAAAATGTTGGGATACAATCCACGTTGAAGCGATCAGAAATTTCTGGAAAAAAATATGGGTTATCAAATTTTCGCGCCTAACCCCACCTTCATTTTCATCCAGATAAATTTTCAAAAATTAGAATTTTTCCGCAAATTTATCGGAAAATTCTGAGACTATTGGAGCAATGTGTTGACATGGTCCGCACCTTTAAAAATTCAAATTTTCCCGCCAAAAATTCAAATTTCGCGTCAAAACCCACCATTTTGCTGTGAAATAGGCCAAAATCAATTTTTCGTCCTTTTTGGCGTCGAAAATTTGATTGAAGTGTTCCTCGTTTTCAATGATGATCATTTTTTTTTCAATAACCTGGGCTAAAAATTAGGGATTTCAGAGTTCTGGAGATTTAGTGAGATAGAGCGCAAGTGATCGTGTAAATATCAAAAATTATCTTATGGGACGATGCGCGAAGAAAAAAACGTCAAAAAACGTGTTTCGAAACATAAAAATACAATGCACGAAATGTCGCAAAACGTCGCGAAACTCGAGTTTTTTGACATTGAAATGTCGGGAAATAAGCATGGTTGTTTGTATCGTACTGAAACCACAGACACTGGAGATAGGTTCTTACAATGTTTTTACTTGTTTGTAACAGTTTTCACCCCCATTTTCTTCGGAAACACGAGACTTGGCAAATGCAATTCAGAGATAACACTTTCATTTGACAAAGATTCCTTTTCAGAAGTTTTTATTACCTATTTTCGTAAATTAATATCCTTTTTCAACCCCTGATATGTCTTTTCTACAAAAACAATCTATATTTTTTCCACATTTTGAGAAAAATCATACTTGTTTCGCGACATTTCGATGTCGAAAAACTCGAGTTTCGCGACGTTTTGCGACATTTCGTGCATTGTATTTTTATGTTTCGAAACACGTTTTTTGACGTTTTTTTTTTCTTCACGCATCGTCCCATTAAAAAACTGAATTTCACGGGATTTTCCGATTTTTTTCGTTCGGAATTCAAAAATTGAAAAAAATGGGAGCTGCCATTTTTAGAGCAGAAAAAAATGGACACGTTTCAAACGTGATATGTGGCGGCCCCTTTGGAAATGGTATTTAAACGAAGCCGTCGGGAGGTTTTGCCAGTTTTATATTCATTTGGTAATGGATCCTCAGGTGGGAGGAGGAAAACGATCGAAGAAGGATGCGAAATCCACGTCAACAATGCTAAAAACATCAGCAACAAAATCTACGCTAAAAACATCAGCAACTACGCCAACTACGGGTGCAACAAAATCGACGCCAACAACTGCCACAGCAACCGCAACGACGAAACCTACTCCAAAAACGACTGCAAAGACTGCAAAACCAGCAAAGACAAAAGCAATATCGGAACAAGGATATGATCCAGAAGAAGGACCGCCTGGAAGAAGTCTCTTTATCACCATTGGAATTTGGTTTTTGGTCATAATTCTAATCGCAGGAGGTGTTATGTTTGGACTTATCCTAACTCAATCCAAAATCGACGACACTCCCAAGAAAATCTTGCAACAACACAAAGAAGGTATGATTATTTATTCTAGAATATAGATATCTCAAATTCAAACTATTCATTCTTTCAGATACAGTCAAATCAATCGACAAAGCTATTCAAGTTGTTCAAACCTTTCCGGATTTGTTTGATGATCTTGCGCTTGAACAAATGTCACCGGAACTATTCAAAATCATTCGCAAAGAACTGAATATTGAAGATTTGGTGAGTTTTTCGATAGTTTCTACTGAAACAAGTAATTATATTTATAAAATTACAGAAGGAATTGGGCCTTTACAAGGAATCTGCTATTCCACAATATGAAGCTGTTTATGTTACACTTGAAAAAACATGTCCAACCTTGCCGACTGGATTTAATGTAGAGAATTTTCTCTCCTTGTGGAAAAACGGAACAATCATGCAAAGAGAGCAACTTAAGAAGATCATCAGTCCAATTATTGCTTACGAAACCTCGTTCAATGCCACTTTGAAGAGCGAATCGGAAAAACCGGGAAGATTTTCGAAAAACAGAATTGTGGTGTATTCTGAAGACATTGTAAAAATGCTTCATGATTACAAAGAGATAACTGTGGCTCGATATGATGCATTGATCAAATCATATGAAGATCAAGTTGCTTCTCGAAGTTTTGCCGATTTTGCTCATTTGTTATTCGACATCACACTTTATGCAATTAATTTGATCATTGTTGGCGCAATCATCATTGTGTTCATCTTATTCCAAAAAGGCAAAATCAAATTGAAAACTCTGAATAAGTCTTCAATGATTCTTTTCATTGTTTCATTGGTCTTTGCATTGGGTTTGATTATTTATTCAGTTCTTGGAGCAGCTGGATTATCTCCATTTGGATACGAATGTAAATTGTCCAGCAATGTTCAAAATCCAGACAAAAAATTCACTAATTCCGATGAACAAATCACAGATCTTGGGTTTGTATTTTATTGAGAAATTACATTGATAAAGTTTATTTTTTAGAAAGATTGCTGGTAGTTGTGAAAATGGGGCATCTGTTTTTTCGAAAACATCGCCACATTTGAATTTTGACAAAATCAAGCGTATTTTGAATGGTTTTGAAAAAGATATCACCACTTTTGCTGAAAATCTTCAATTCAAAGGAAATTTGGATGGCGACGAAATTTTTAATATGAAAGAAACATTGGAAAGGCAAAGTTATAATCTGAAAAAATATCGAGACAATCCCACTTGTTTGGAAAGTGGTAGTAGAGGGATCATTGAATTGATGATTGGAGCTTTGGAAAATATCAAAATTGGTTTGGAGACCCTGGAAACCCGCGCAAAAGAGTTGAAAAATAAGAATGTACAGCCAATTGCATCTGCCTACATTACAACATCATTCGATACATTGAGAAATGTTTCCGAAGCCGCAGTAGAATCGATGAATGTAAGTGATTTATTTTAGTTTGAAAAAATTCCATTCAATGAAAAGTTGCTTGATTTCAGTCCCAATTGGATCTTGTCGATATTTCATGTGAAGAAGTTCTCACATCCGCATGTAATGATCGCATGTTCCATCTTCTCAAAATCAACATTTCTGGTTGGATATTGTTTTTTGTATTCGCTTTGGTTGCGCTTCTTGCCAAGTTGCTTTATACGATTCCAGCCAAAGAGTTTCAAATGAATCATGAATTTGAAAAGAAAATCAATGCTTTGAAAGAGGAAGTTGAAGATCCAACGAAGTCAGTCGATGTGAGTTAGTTTTTAATTTTTGATGTATAAACATGTCAAAATGAAAAATAGACAAACTGTGCTGGAATTTTTAAGATTTTTTGAAAATTTTTCTTGTGTGTCAAATTTTTCGAAACTTTCGTGACAGATCAATTTTTGATTGTTCAAAGTATTTTTATAGAAGAAACAAGTGAAAACTGAAAAAGACCGAACCAAGTCTTTGGAGACTGCTTTGATCAAGAAGGAACAGAAATCCTCCAATCAACCGGAAAATGGAGAAAATCCAGATACTGATGCAACTGGTACGCCTGCGGTTAAATTTTGAATGAAATCGGTGGATGAATACTTAAGAATAATACAAGTGTAATTTGATTGAATGAAAAAATTTCCGCTTTGAATTACAATGCATCTTCCACGGCCACGGAATGTTCTTCTTTTTTTGTGACTTTTCGCGGAATTTCACGTAGAATCTGAAAATCATTCTGAAATTTGCGACTTTCCAGCTTTTGTTTCAGAATATATCAAATTTCGTATCATTTTTCCCACCCGAAAAATGTTTATTCAAACTTTTTCATATAAAAAATACAGTATAAATTTTCCAAATCAATAATTTTTCTCCAAAATTGTTTGAAGTCCCTTTTGATTTGCTCCGCTCAGAGTTTCGACAACTTCCCTGCAAAAAAGGTGGCGCGAAATTTGAAAATTTCAAAAAATTCAAAGTTACCCATTTTTCAAGACCAAAAATGTTGGGATACAATCCACGTTGAAGCGATCAGAAATTTCTGGAAAAAAATATGGGTTATCAAATTTTCGCGCCTAACCCCACCTTCATTTTCATCCAAATCAATTTTCAAAAATTCGAATTTTTCCGCAAATTTATCGGAAAATTCTGAGACTATTGGAGAAATGTGTTGACATGGTCCGCACCTTTAAAAATTCAAAATTTCTCACAAAAATAGAAACTTTGCCCGAAAACCCACCATTTTGCTGTGAAATAGGCCAAAATCAATTTTTTCTTCCTTTTTGACCTCGACAATTTGATTGAAGTGTTCCTCGTTTTCAATGATGTCCATTTTTTTTCAATAACCTGGGCTGAAAGTTAGGGATTTTCAGAGTTCTGGCGATTTAGTGAGATAGAGCGCAAATGATCGTGTAAATATCAAAAATGTACTGGAAAAACTGAATTTCTCGGGATTTTCCGATTTTTTTCGTTCGGAATTTGAAAATTGAAAAAAAAAATGGGAGCTGTCATTTTTAGAGCAAAAAATGGACACGTTTCACACGTGATATGTGGCGGCCCCTTTGGAAATGGTATTTAAACGAAGCTGTCGGGAGATTTTGTCAGTTTTCATATTCAATTTGGAGATGGATCCTCAAGTGGGAGGAGGAGGAAAACGATTAAAGAAGGATGCAAAATCCACGTCAACAACGCTGAAAACATCAGCAACAAAATCTACGCTAGCAACACCAGCGACTACGCCAACAACGGGTGCAACAAAATCGACGCCAACAACTGCCACAGCAACCGCAACGACGAAAAATACGCCAAAAACGACTGCAAAGACTGCAAAACCAGCAAAGAAAAAAGCAATATCAGAACAAGGATATGATCCAGAAGAAGGTCCGCCTGGAAGAAGTCTCTTTATCACCATTGGAATTTGGTTTTTGGTCATAATTCTAATCGCAGGAGGTGTTATGTTTGGACTTATCCTAACTCAATCCGAAATCGACGACACTCCTAAGAAAATCTTGCAACAACACAAAGAAGGTATGATTATTTATTCTAGAAAATAGATATCTCAAATTCAAACTATTCATTCTTTCAGATACAGTCAAATCTATCGACAAAGCTATTCAAGTTGTTCAAACCTTTCCGGATTTGTTTGATGATTTTGCGCTTGAACAAATGTCACCGGAACTATTCAAAATCATTCGCAAAGAACTGAATGTGGAAGATTTGGTGAGTTTTTCGATAGTTTCTACTGAAACAAGTGATTATATTCAATAATTACAGAAGGAGTTGGATTTTTACAAGGAATCTGCTATTCCACAATATGCATCTGTTTATGTTACACTTGAAACAACATGTCCACGCTTGCCGACTGGATTTAATGTAGAGAATTTTCTCTCCTTGTGGAAAAACGGAACAATCATGCAAAGAGAGCAACTTAAGAAGATCATCAGTCCAATTATTGCTTACGAAACCTCGTTCAATGCCACTTTGAAGAGCGAATCGGAAAAGCCGGGAAGATTTTCGAAAAACAGAATTGTGGTGTATTCTGAAGATATTGTAAAAATGCTTCATGATTACAAAGAGATAACTGTGGCTCGATATGATGCATTGATCGAATCATATGAAGATCAAGTTGCTTCTCGAAATTTTGCCGACTTCGCTCATTTGTTATTCGACATCATTTCATATTCAATTGGGTTGATCATTGTTGGCGCAATCATCATTGTGTTCATCTTATTCCAAAAAGGCAAAATCAAATTGAAAACTCTGAATAAGTCTTCAATGATTCTTTTCATTATTTCTTTGGTCTTTGCATTGGGTTTGATGGTTTATTCAGTTCTTGGAGCAGCTGGATTATCTCCATTTGGATACGAATGTAAATTGTCCAGCAATGTTCAAAATCCAGACAAAAAATTCACTAATTCCGATGAACAAATCACAGATCTTGGGTTTGTATTTTTTTAAAAAAGAAATTACATTGATAAAGTTTATTTTTCAGGAAGATTGCTGGTAGTTGTGAAAATGGTGCGTCGATTTTTTCAAAAACAACGCCACATTTGAATTTCGACGCCATCAAACGTAGTTTGGATGGTTTTGAAATGGATGTCATCACTTTCGCTGCAAATCTTCAATTCAAAGGCGATTTGAGTGGCGAAGAAATAATAGATATGAAATCAGCATTGGACAAGGAAAGTTTGAGACTGAAAAAATATCGAGACAAACCCACCTGTTTGGCATCTGAAAGTAAAAATATGATTATTTCGATGATTGGAGCATTGGAAAATATCAAAACTGGTTTGGAGACACTGGAAACGCGTGCAAACGAGTTGGAGAATAAGAATGTGCAGCCGATTTTATCCGCCCACATTAAAACATCATTCGATACATTGAGAAATGTTTCGGACGCCGCAGTGGATTCGATGAATGTAAGTGATTTATATTAGTTTGAAAAAGTTCCATTCAATGTAAAAGTTGCTTTATTTCAGTCCCAATTGGATCTTGTCGATATTTCATGTGAAGAAGTTGTCACATCCGCATGTAATGATCGCATGTTCCATCTTCTCAAAATCAACATTTCTGGTTGGATATTGTTTTTTGTATTCGCTTTGGTTGCGCTTCTTGCCAAGTTGCTTTATACGATTCCAGCCAAAGAGTTTGAACAGTATCATGAATTTGAAGAGGAACTCAAATCTATGAAAGAAGAAGTTGAAACTGCAACGAAGGCAGCCGATGTAAGTTGGATCAATTTGGAGAAACAACTGATGGTTTCAAAATCGCAATTTTTATAGGAAGCAAACGATGATCTTGCAAAGGCTCAAGAGAAACATGATAAATATAAAAAGGTGAGAAAACAGTTTTTTTTGTTGTCATTATATGAATTATTTTTATAGGAATCGAAGGAAAAACATTCCGCTGAGAAAAAAAACGAAAGAAAGTGGAAGAGGAACTCGAAGTGACTCGAAGTGAACTCGAAGTGAGGAAATTAAATTTAATTTTGGGATTGGGGTTGATTCACGAACAGTCAAAAAATGGAGCGAGATTTGGTAGAAAAATGAGGAATACATGCGGCTTCGAAGCTTCTTTAAATTGTCATAATTTCAAACTCCAAAAACTAACATTTTTGATGTTGGTGTTTCGTTCGTGAATCAACCCCACATTATCCGAAGTTTAGAAATTACGTAATGTGTTAGTGTTGGAAGAGAAGAAAAGAATAAGTTTGGAAAAGGCGCTTACGGTGAGAAAATTGTTCCTTTTTTAATCATTCAAAGTATTTTTATAGAAGACATCGAAAGAAAAAAAAGCGGCAGTCAAACGTGAAAAGGTGAGAACTCTAGCAATTGCTAGGCGGCCAACATTTTTTCTATAAAATTGGTATTTTTGGTGTATTGAACTTTTTTTAGGATTTGGAAAAGAGTCTCAGTACTCTGACGAAAAAAGCAAAGAAATCGAAGAAGAATCAGAAAGATGAACCATCCACCAGTCAACCGAAAAATGGCGAAGATCAAAACGGCGGCGATGGAACTGATACACTTGCGGTGAGATTTTGATGGACTTCGATGAATACTTGTGGATGAATACTCGTGAAAAATTTTATGAATAAAAAAGTTTGAAAAATTTTCGTCTTCGTGGAAGAGTTTTCCTATAGAATAGGAAAACTCTTCCACGGCCTTTTTTTTTAACAGACAGACAACTGGAAATTTTCAGAATTTCACGCAGATTTGTGATTTTCCAGCCAGGGTTTTCCTTAAAATATCAAATTTCCCGCCCAAAAAAAGTTTATTTATATATTTTCAGATAAAAAATAAAGCAATATGAATTACATATTCCAGTAAACAAAATTTGGCGAAAGTCAATAATTTTTCTCCAAAATTGTCGCAAGTTGGGCTTTAGTTGCTCCACTCAGAGTTTCGACAACTTCCCTGCAAAAAAGGTGGCGCGAAATTTGAAAATTTCGAAAAAATTCAAAGTTACCCATTTTTTGAAGACCAAAAATGTTGGGATACAATCCACGTTGAAGCGATCAGAAATTTCTGGAAAATAATTGGATTACTGTAGGTAGATCAAAATTTTCGCGCCAAAACCCACCCTCATTTTCGTCCAAATCAATTTTCAAAAATTCGAATTTTTCCGCAAATTGTTCGGAAAATTCTGTGACTATTGGAGCAATACGTTGACATGGTCCGCACCTTTAAAAATTCAAATTTTCCCGCCAAAAATTCAAATTTCGCCCCAAAACCCACCATTTTGCTGTGAAATAGGCCAAAATCAATTTTTCGTTCTTTTTGGCGTCGAAAATTTGATTAAAGTGTTCCTCGTTTTCAATGATGATCATTTTCTGGAGAAAAAACCTTGGATTACTGTAATTCAAAAATTGGCGCGAAAATTCGCTTCAAAATGACACCAAATTTGAACAGGGATACTGTAGGTTTAATGTCATTTTTTGCGCAAAAAATCATGTTTACTGTAGCAAACTACATAGTATTTTCAGAGTACTGTAGCACTACAGTACCCTCTGCAAATTATTTTATTTTCAGAAAGCAAAACCAACCAAAAATGATATTTTTCAGCGAAAAAAATCGAGAGAGTGAGAGAGACGCAGAGAAGCAGAGAAAAAATGGGTGGAGCCAGGGGAAAACTGGAATAGTTTCCAGTATTCTTTTGTTGCCAAAAAATAAATAAGGGTTTTTCTTTTGATAAGAAAAAAATTGGAAAAATTATTTTCAGAAATTTTTTTCTGCAAAAAAATCATTGTCAATAGTTTATGGCACAATCTTCAATTTTTTCACAAAAAAACAATAATCACACAATTCGTTCTAAACTTCTCGATTTTGCATCAATTTTCTCGGATTTTGTCGGTTCGCTGTCAACAATTGTATATACATCTTCATATATAAATTCCCATATTTTCAAATATACCATCGGTGATAAAGAACATGGAAAACAAAAGAAAATAATCGCGTAACCTAATACTGAAAAAAAACTTTTGTTTTTTGAGGAGAGAAGAATATTTCAAAAACTTACCCATAGATAAACCTGCAGGGTCCACAGAAAATTTCATGAACTTTGGACATTTGATCTTGTCAGTACAACCATCAGTAGAAATGTAGCTGCAAAAAATATGAATATTATCAAAGATGAAAATATTCTTTTTTATTTAAAACTCACAAATATGTAAAGTTATAAGAAAATGTCAGAAACAAAAATGGTAGCAAGTTCATAACTATCCACCACCAAAACGCCCACAAAACCTTCCGCAATATAACTTTTCGCTGATTTTTCCTCGCCTCAATTTCATCGCTTGTCGCCTTTCTATGTTTGGTTTTAAAATCATTATTGCAATATTTACAACTCGTAAATCGTGCCTCTCGTGTCACCCATTTTTCCATGCAGGTTTTGTGGTATTTTTTGGAACATTTACAATAACTTTTGGGTTCTTCATCGAAATATTCCTTGCACATTCGACACTTTCCGAATTCTTGTGTACTTCTCTCGGAGTTTTCTTCTTCAGCAGCAGCAATAATTGTAAAGACTTTTCCATATAGAAATTGCTTTCTTGATTGGTTTGCGATCAGAAATAAAAAACCAATTACACTGACGACGAAAAAAACACCACTTACGAGTACTGAAATGTTTTGTTTTTTTTTAATTGTGAATATTTTTGAAAAACTTACGAAGCAATAAAAGTACGGTGCTTAGAACAGCCGGGAGGATATTTGCGGAATCCTCACGGACACGGTGATTAAGTTTGAGGTATCTGCAAATTGATAACCCATTTTCCACCTACAAAGGCAAAAAACTCACAAGTCTATCAAATGGGAATCAAGTTTCAGAATATAATACACTGGCACTAACATCAATACACATATCAAAATCACAGGTAAATATATCCACAAAAACTCATTTCTCTGTTTTCTCCTAGCTTCAATTTCTTCCGACGTCGGCTTTCTTGATTGAGTTTTCAGGTCTTTCCCACAATATTTACATTCCATCTGTGAATATCGTGTTAACCACTTTTCCATGCATGTTTTGTGATATTTTTTGAGGCAATTACAATAACTTTCGGGTGCTTCATCGAATTCTTCTTTACACATTCGGCATTTCTCGGCTTTCATGGCTAAAACTTGCCTCGAACGGGAAAAGTGCGAGAAAATGAAAATATTTTTTTTGAATTTCAAAGTTGGCGCCGTCTCATCGTTGCGAGACCCGTTTGCAATAGAGCGCGTTTGGTGTTGTGTACTTCTCTCGGACTTCTTTTTGTTTTTTTTTTCGCACGTATTTTTCTGCTGAACAAAAAATCTCGGTTCGCTGTTTAAAGGGACATGCTTTAATTTTCCACCGAAATCTCAAGAACGGCTGCATCAAATAAAAATCTGAGTACACCATCTTTATCGCCGTAAAAAACTGCATGGAAATAAGCTTTGGTGGAGCGGGCGGGTGCTGTTTTAGCGTTTTGGGGTTCGTGGCGAGACCAATTTCGAAAAATAGCGCGCAAAATGGAGAGACGCGATACATTTCTCTGCATTTGTGCGTCACCGTGTTTGCACAAGTCAATACAGTATACCAACCGCGAACCGAGGGCCAAAAAAATACGTGTTCGAAATTTCTCCGTTCAAAGTGCAAAAACGCAACAATGGAGCTTGAAATTGGTAAAATGAAACTTGAGGATGATTCGGAGCAAACTGGCTGGTTCGATTTACCATACGAGATGAGAAGAATTGTGATCGATTTGATGGATATTCAAACAAAATTCAGATTCTCAAGATGTTCAAAAGATTGTTATGAAGAAGTTTATTTGTCGAAAAATGCAATAAACGAGATCGAAATTCGACAGCAAAACAATTATGGGCTTTGTTTCATTTTGAGAAATAAGAATGATAAATTCTTTTTTGTGATTTGTAAATATGGAAGGGAAAATCACTTTATCTATCTCGAAATCAACAAATATTTGGAAACTGGAAATATTCTTGAGGATGCGAGAATTTGCTTCGATGGTTTGATGAAACTTGCGCGAAATAGTTTGCAAAGTCTGGTCATAGAATCCGTGAGTTATTTATTTCTCAAAAAAAAAAAAAAAGATTTTTTTCCCGAAATTTCAGCCATTTGTTCCAATCAATCGAACACACCTCGGACAATTCAAAACATTGGATAATCTTGTTCTTGATCTTCCTCTCAATATTTCATCGGGTTTCTTTTCTTTCGAACAAATTTGTGAGGTCAAAGAAGTCCTCAGCATTAATGGACTAAACTTCGAACAAGTTTTTTCACTGAAAGCTGAAATTATTCTAATGGGAGATGTTGAATTTACAAATCAAGAATTCGCCAATTTCTTGAATCGAATTGTAGAAGGCGATTTGAATCGAGGAATTCGCAAAATTTCACTCAACACTGGAGCTGATAAATTGGATTTTTTACGCTCATTTTTGATTGGATTTCGCTCGGAACTTGTTTGGTGAGTTTAGTATCACGGTAAACAATTTTGAAGGATTTGAAATTTTTTTTAGTCTCATTTACTGGGTGTTCGAGAAGAAAATCGATGAGAATAAGTTTTTGAGTCTTGTTTGCAGAATTGAAGGTGATTCTTTGGATAAGTTGAGTATTGATGTTGAAATCGGAACTTCATATTTCTCTCTTTGATTCAAATTTTTGTTCTATGTATTCTGATAACAAAAACAATAAATAAATATTATAATTCGTTTTTGAACTTCTTCGACTTCCATGGTTAAAAATATTTTTTTGAATTTCAAACTTGGCGCCTTCTCATCGCTGCGAGACCCGTTTGCAATAGAGCGCGTTTGGTGTTGTGTACTTCTCTCGGACTTCTTTTTTTCGTGTTTTTGAAGAGAAATCCTATAAAATGGCTAGGAATTTATGAGGTGACTCGTCATTTTTGAGCAAACTACAATTCTTATCATTTTTTTTTCGAAAAATTTCGAAACTGATAAGCGATGGCTTGTATAAAAAGCAGAAGAAAATTCGAAAACCGCGACGAAAAATGGCGCAATTTGTTTTGCGAACGCAAAAATTCCAATTCATCTCAAATGGCTTGAGCAACCGCTCTCATTATTTCACTCTTCAATACATCGACATCGATGATTTGTTCGAGAAATTGAAGCGACACATCGGAAGAGTCAAGAAAATCCATTGGAAAGACGTGGAAGACGATCATATAATTTTGGAAGATGCGCAAGATTTACGAGAAGCTGTGAAGTATTCAAAAGAGAGTGTTGCGGGAACTTTGACGATTTATGAAGGAGCTGGAGATAGTGATTCGGATTCGGAATCTTCTGACACTTCTTCAGATTCCGAAACTTCTTCGGAAAGTTCTTCAGATTCAGAGTGATAAGTTTTTTTCGTGATGTATATATATATTTTTTGAAAAATAAATTGTATATAATCTTAATGATGGGAAAATACGAAAAAATCTGATAAAAATTTGTGATTTTCTTACTCAAGCTTAAAAAATGCACGACGATATTCTAGTCGGAATTCTGACTTGTTCAATCTGCTTAATCGGTTTAATCGGACAATTTCTGATAATTTTTGGATGCTTCAAAATCCCCGCAATGAAGACGTATTTCGGCTATCTAATGATTCATGAAAGTCTTCTCGAAGTCTTCGCAATCGCCATAAATTTCGCATTTTTCTTGCTCGGAGTAACCTTCAGATTCTCCTGGGTCCTTGAAAATTCCGAATTTTTCGGCACAATTTTAGCCGTTTTCCTGCCAATTATCACATTTTCCAATGTTCTACTTGCAATAAATCGACTTTTTTCAATACTATTCCCATTTTCTTACTCAAAAATCTTCAAATATTTTCATTTTTATATTATTTTTGGGTGGATTGGCCCGATGATTCCAAGTGCTTATACGATTTTTTTCAGTGAGTTTTTTCCAGTCTGAAAATTAAAAATTTTTTTTTTTAGAAAACTGTCGGTATACTTTCACCTTTACCGGTTGGCTTTTCCTCCCACTTCCAGGTGAAAATTTGCTGCTCAATTTCGTAGCCTCTGCTCAAAATTTGCTAGCTTTCACATTTTTATCAGCCGATGTTTTAACCCTAATTTTATTGATTTACTATCAATTCACTTCTGCTTCAATTACTTCATCATCTTCGTCAAATCGAAATCGCGACCTTAAATTCTCACTTCAAATAATTCTACAAGGCTTAGGTTTAATGATTATTGGATTTTGGTATGGGAATGGTTATCTCTTTATTCCTGGGAATATAAGTTTGGAATGGAGAATTTATTGGACAACAACATTTTCAGAAAATTTATTGCATATTGGTTATCCAATTATTATAATTTGTGTAAATTCGGATTTTCGAAAATGGCTATTTTTTTGGAGGAAACAAACGTCTACTGAGATTAGTCTTCTTTTTTGAAAATTCATTGAAAATAAATAATACGGTAGAAATTAAAATTCAAGAAATTTGTGCACTTCTCTCGTGGAATCTAAAATTAATGGGAAAAATTCAAATTTATTAAAAATGTGAGTAAAAATCAATATTTAAAAAATACAGGAAAGTTCCAATGAACAATATCTATTTACGGGAAGAGTTTGAATTTGAAAGGGAAAGATTGGGGTAAAAAATTCTCAAAAATCATGTATTTCTTTCGAAATAATCCGATATTTGCGTTACTCGATAAGGTTTACATTTTGTGGAGATAACAACTGAATCTGATTCGATGTGGATTCGAATATGTTTATCATTTCGTTCGGCAAAACATTCTTGTCCCCAACCCCTGAAAAAATAATTTTTTCAATTCAAAAAACATCGGAAAAAATGATCAGAGATCACGGAAAATTGAGAGAGTCTAGAGAATCAAGTGGTTAGTTTTTGTATTTTTGTCCAAAAAACGAATTTGTCTGTCTAGACTCTCTCAATATTCTTTTTTCGAAAATTTTTCAATTAGTTAAAAAAAACCCACCAACGCCGACGTGCAAAAATTCCGGGAACAGTTTTCAAATACACTTTAGTGGTCAATCTGATCTGATCCACATTTTCATCAATTTCACCATCAAGAATTCGATCGATAAGTTTTCCAATATCTTGTCGCTCCCATTTACACTCGATCTCAATAAGTTTCGCTTTCATTTTCAATATTTGCGCAACCGATAATTTTGGGACTTTCACCCAATTTCTGACAGCGCAAATTTGCTCAAAATCAATAAATCCACAGCGAATCGGGTCGACGGATTGATTCATAGAGTAGGAAGTTAGGTGAATTTCTTGGAGGTTTGGCAATTTTCCAATTTTTATTCGATTGTAGGGAAAGCCTTCCTAAAAGAGAAGATTTCAAAAAATTTCAATCCCACAATCAGAAACCCTTACTTACCACATTAATATCCAAACACTTCAAACGATTTCTCGAAGTTTTTAGCAATCCACGAAAATTTTGCAATAAAACATCACTTCTCTCTTTTTTCGAATCAACGGCAAATGAGTGTTTCAATTGATTGTCCAACTTAATTATCTGGAGTTTCCGAATATATGTTGGTGAGCCGCGGTTTTCAGGTGTAATCTTAAGGTTCAAATCAAGTTCTGCCCGATAATTATCACAAACTTCGATACATCCACCATGATCTCCATATTCATTTTCAGAAAATGAGATCAAAGTTGTTTTGGATAATTTTCCTTCTTCTAAGCAATCGATCGAACATTGGGAGAAGTTGAGCATTGTTTGAAAATCCATCAAATTCATCACAATTTCTCTCATTTCTAATGGTATATCGAACCAGCCAGTTGTCTTTGAATCATTTTCAAGCTTCTTTTTCTTCGTTTTCGGCTCCATTTCTCTTTGAAGTTGGAAACAGCTCAGAGAAGTTGTACGATTAATCGGCGAGCAAAGTGAACTGAACGATTAATCGGCGAACAAAATTCAATTCGGCGATTAATCGGCGAGCAATCTTTTGATCGCCGATTAATCGGTGGCGCGTTTCAACGATGCAACGCTTGCACATTGTTTAGCCTTTCTTTTGTTTTTGTTTTTCGAAACTTTGCGAATTCGCAAGTCACTTTTAAATTTGCTGTTTTATGGTTTTAATTCATATTTTGCAGTGGATGACTTTTCTCAGTGGTCAATGATAAACTGGCGACGGTTGGATGTGTTCTCAAACATTCTACTTCATCATAAATTGGTTATTGAGATATAAATGAAGGTTTGTGTCGATTACTGATAAAACATTACAAATCCTGCGTATTATTTTCTTTAGATCGAGAGTGATGGGATGAAAATGGATCATTTACTTCGATGAAATAGGATCCCTATGTTCCAACAAGGTAAATTTACATGTTGTGCAGTCACTAGGCTTACAAGGGACCTCCATTAGGGTGATAACGGAGTTTGAAATAAGGCAAGTACAGTCTTATGTTACTCGACGCGCTGATCACGATGCCGCAAAAATCAGCTGCTGAGCTCCAGTCTGAGCCGCGCAAATGAGCTCCAAAGCAAATTTTGATACGAAAATTTAAATGTTGGAATTAAAAAGATTCACGTTTCTTTGGAAATCGAAGCAATTATTCACGTGAAAATGAAAATCGACTCCAAACACCAATTTTCGACAAAAATAAAAATTCCCAAAGTTCTTTTCAGCCTAAATAACCACAAGGTACTTCTATTCAACCCAAAAGTTACATATTTGATATGAAAATTGAGATTTTCTGAGCAAAATTTGGAGCTCATTTGAACGGCTCAGACTGGAGCTCAGCAGTTAATTTTTGCGAGATCGTGACTAGCACGTTAAGTTAACTAAGACTGAAGTTACCTTTTCCAAAACCCGTTATCACCATAATAGAAGTCCCTTGTTAGCGAGATAGTATTATTCTAATTCACAAACGCTACTATTATGTACTAGAACATTATTCTGATTATGTCCAAAAATGTCCCATCTCGTCATATCTTTTAAATAGTCTCGTTATTACAGAAAGGGCCTACTGCTGCGCAACTAAGTCAACTTCGTATTTGGACCAGATGTTATTCCCACCAACATTCCATGGTTCTAATCTATCAAAACAACATCTTCAATAATTTTAAAAAGTAAGTTTTTTCAGTTATTTAACATACAATCATGTCTTATTCTTACAGCACTGGATCTACTACAACCATGGTTATCATCAGTACGACTTGAGTTCTTGCGACAATCGAAAGAAAACGCGACGCCAATCGATTTTTCAACGATAATTATAATTTTCTGTACTGTTTATGCATATATTAGAGTAGCGTTCGATGTTATTTATGTGTTTTCTTCTATTTATAGTCAATAAATATCTAATTTCAACTGCTTATGGCTTCAAAATCAGAAAAAATTCAAAAACACGGAAAAAAAATGAAGCAAGCGCGCTCCACCGCACACTCACCGATTAATCGCCGAGCAAAAAACGATTAAAATACGGTTGCTAAACTTTTAATCGAAAGTTGTTCGCCGATTAATCGCCAGTTCATCGCCGATTAATTTTTCACACTCTCTGAGAGGTTTTTTTTGAAAAAAAAATCAAAATTTCGCCCGAGAGAAGTACACAACATCAAACGCGCTCTATTGCAAACGGGTCTTACAGCGATGACTTAGCGCGAGGTTTGAAAATTTTTTTCTTGCTTTTTTTTCGATCGAAAAAACATTCTCCTCGATTAAATAAAAACAAATAAAAGTTTATTTAAGGCGATGATGCAGATTAGTTTCTCCCCCGAGCTAATTGAGGAGAAAGAGGAGAAACGTGTTGCAGGTGGAGGCGAAACAATGTATTTTTCGAATTTCGCCCCATTTCTCCTCATTTCTCCTCGGAGGAGAAACTCATCTGCAACATCGCCTAAAAGAAAAACAGTGAAAAATAAAAAAGTAAAATCAGAAGTAGATAAAAACAAGAGTATTTACAAATAATTTTGTTTTCCTTTCCTTATCCAAAAAGTATTTGGCTTCACACAAACTTCGAGCAACTCATTGAAAGTTTCCAAATATTTAAAATGCGTCACATAATTCTCAATAATCGGCAAATCCCCGAAACAACTCGAAACATCATCAAATTCTTCGGGATTTTCCAACTCCAAAATTTTCCAGCCAACTCGATTTTCCTTCGCCAGCAACAGCAAATTCAGATAAAAATTCACATCTTTTGATGAATATTTCGGAGATGATAAATATATTTTGCCAGCTTTTAAACGCGAAATTTCTTCAGGTTTTAGGTAGATTCCATGGATTTTTACACGTTTTTTCACTTCAAATAATTGTGAAACATCCATAAATCCACATTTCACCAAATCTTTCGAATATCCATTAACTTCTATATCATTCAATGATTTTAAATGTTTTATATTCGTTTTGTCGAAGGGAAAATATTTCTGGAAAATTCAATTTTTAAAAAACTGCCACGTAATCCAAAAAACTCACTGAATCAATCCATAAAACACTCAAATCTTCAGCAAATTCAATAAATTTCAAATAATATTCAAATGCCACGTCACAACACTGTCCCTTTAAAACCGTCCGCCATTGCTCGACATGTTTTTGTTCTGTCATCCAGTATTTTGGCAATAGTTTCACTTTTGAAAACGAGACATCCACTGAATTCACGGATTTTTTCGTGATTCTCAATTTCAAATCCCACGTATGGCTGAGAATCACACTCAAATCGATGTAAAATGTGGATTGGAAGAAATAAAGTGAAGAGAGTTGCATTTTTCCTCCATTTTTTGAGCGGAAAATTAAGGAGATTAGTTGATTGAAAGTTTCGGCGGATAAAAATAGCATGTGGATTTTTGAGCGAATGTTCAAATGGTCGAAAATCGCGATTTTAACATTTTCCGGAAGTTTTGACCAGTCGAAATGCTTCGAATTTTCATCACATTCCATTTCTGCAAAAACATGAAGCTTGAAAAACAAGAATTTTTCGAAATTTCGTGGAAAAAACAAAAATTCGTCCGAGAGAAGTACACAACATCAAACGCGCTCTATTGCAAACAGATGTCGCCGTGATGAGCTGGCGCCAGGCATGTTCATTTTGCCGGCAACGCCGGCCGTTTGCCGTTTCAAAAACGGCGACGGCAGCCGCTGCTGTTTTGAAAAAATAACACAGAACAGCATGCCGTGGCTGCCGTGCCGAAATGCCGGCATTGCTGTCTATTTCGTGAAGAAAATTGTCGAAATCATCGAACAAATCCTCCAAAAACACTCTGAATTAATGAGAAAAGGAGCTTGAGACACGCGCGCGCGAGACTGTTTAAATAAATTGTGTGTGCGACGGTTTTCGGGTTGCGCGCTGTTGTGTGTGTTGTGTGCAGGGGGCGGAGCGACGACCTTCCCCTTCCCATTTCGAAAAACGGCAGCCGGCCGGCAAGCCGCGGCTGCTGTTTTTTGCTATTTTCTTCTTTGCTGCTCGGCCAGCAAAACAGCGAAGCCACGCCCACTCGGCAGCCGTGCCGTCCGGTCAGCAGGCAGAATGAACATGCCTGGCTGGCGCGACGTTTGAAATTCGAAATTTGGTGATTTTTTTAAATTCGCGTGAACATTTCACGTTTTTTAAGACCAAACAAGTCTGGAAATTGTTTTTCTATCAGAAAACCAGACAAATATTCAGCCTCTAAAATTCTGGCTGAAAATTATCATTTTTTTCAAATCGTAGGCGTGTTTGGTGTCAAAAAACGTGGAATTTTTGCCCCAAAAATAATTTATTTCAAAAAACCCAAGTTTTACAAACAAAATCCAGCCGCGTGACAAACTTTCATATAATCTTTCGGTGTCAACGCGAATTGTTTTTTGGCAGCTTCGTAGCGAGGTTTGATCGCTTGAAGACATTTCTTTTGTTCAGCCGCATTTGCATTGGTGCACGTCTGAAAATTGAGAATTTTGAGCTGAAATTGGCTGAAATTGATGTTTTTCTAATTTCAGCACACAATTTTGGTCTGAAGTAGGAAATTTGGGCTGAAAATATCTGAAAAATCTCCTCTCACCGCAATCAAAAATGTCTCAACCACAAGAATTCCTTTGAGTTCAAGCGCTTGTCGACAAACTTTACAGTTTTTTTGGGCGAATGCCACGTGGCACAAAAATGGAACCAAAACCAGAATTGAGAATACCAAAGATGATTTCATTTTTTGATTTTTTGTGCGATTTCTGCCACGCTTTTTATGCTGATTTAGGGGCTAATTTGATCAAAAATTTGCAGAAAATTATTGGGGTACTGTAGTTTTGGCCCAAAAGTTTAGACTAATTCGATTGGAGGGGTACTGTAGGCCACGTGTTGCTTTCTGGGCCTAAAATTATGGATTTTCAAATCAAAATTTTGTGCTGGAAATTGAGAAAATACTAAATTTTCAGCATTCATATGAGTTTCAGTGAAAAATTACAGTCTAGAAAGTTTTTCCAAACGTTTTTCAAAATTTCATAGTTTTCTCTTCATGCTAATCTGAAAATCTGAAACTTTCAGGATCCAAATTTTGTGCCGAAACTCAAGAAAATATTGATTTTCAACACAAAATGTTGATCTAAAAAAACGCAACTGAAAATTATGGAGGATAATAATATTTACTAAACTGAAAATTTGCGCTGAAAACGCTGGAAATCTTTAGAAATCACTATTTTCTTGATTTTCAGCATGAAAATTTCAATTTCACTATCATTTTATGATATTTCTAGAGAATCTGATTCACAAAAATCAAATCTACAGTAACCATGTCATATTTGGTGTCAAAAAACGTGGAATTTTCGCCCCAAAAATATATTATTCAGAAAAAAAATCAAAAAAAAATCTGAAACTTTCAGGATCCAAATTTTGTGCCGAAACTCAAGAAAGTATTGATCTTCAGCAATTTTATCAATTTCCAGGAGTTTCAGCGCAAAATTTAATTCCATAAAGTTTTTTCCCAAAGTTTCCACTTCATGCTGAGAAACTGAAACTTTCCAGGAAAAAAATTCGCGCTGAAAAACAATAATTTTTCGAAATTTCGTGAAAAAAAAACAAAAAGAAGTCCTAGAGAAGTACACAACATCAAACGCGCTCTATTGCAAACAGGTCTCGCCGTGATGAGCTGGCGCGAGGTTTGAAATTCGAAATTTGGTGATTTTTTTTAATTTTCGAAAAAGAAAATCAAGAGTTTATTTCATTAAAAAAAGGTAAAAACCGATAAAACATGACAATTTGACAGAAAAAAATATAAAATAAAACTTATAAAGGTGTCCATTGGCGTAAATCCGGCGAATAATTGGGTACAATTGAAAAAGTTTCATCCACATCATATTCGAACGCAACAACTTTATCGAATCGTTCCACCAACAATTCGAACGAAGGATAATTCCAACTGAAAATGAAATATTCATTTCTGCATCACTTTTTTGTTCACCAAAAAGAAAAAAAGAAAGCCCTCACCAACTAAGGCGTTGCGCAAAAATTCCCCTAACATTTTCCAAATTCGGTTCAGGTCTAAAAGAGATGAGTTCCACATTTTCGTCAAGTTCCCCATCAAAAATTCGATTCATAAGTGGTGCAATATCAATCGGATCTTCTTCAAAATCTTCAGAACCAATTTTAATAATTTTAGTTTTCATTTGTAATAATTGATCAAATGTGAGTTTGGGGATATCGATAAAATGAGAAACAGCGCAAAGTTGCTCAAATTCGATGAATCCTGAGGAAATCGGATCAATTTGAAGGTTTTTAATATTTCCTCCAAGAATGATTTCGCTCAATTTTCGAATATTCTCCATCTTCATTTTATCATAGGGGAAATCTGACTGAAAACATTTATTTTAAAAACAAATTCCTCTCAAAATGCCTCACCATGAAAATCCACAATCGATCCAAACTATTTTTCGCTAGCTTCATTAAACCGCGCAACATTTGAGCAAAATATTCATCAAACTCTTCTTCCGTATTAGTTTCAAAGCGATGTAAATCTTCGCGAAATGCGCGAAGAGGCATTTTAGAATACGTGGATCTTTTTGAGCGATCGCAAATCACGAAACAGTACTCATTATCTGAGTAATCATTAATTTCGAAACATACACCAATTTTCGGTCTGCCAATTTCGGATAACTCAATCAATTCCAGCACATTTCTCGATAATTGCACTTCTTCGTAACAATCTTTGGAACATCTTGCAAATCTGAACTTTGTTCGCATGCTCATATAATCGATTACAATTCTTCGCATCTCATATGGTAAATCGAACCAGCCAATTGCCACTGATTCGTCATCAAACTTGATTTTCTTCGTCTCCGGCTCCATTTCCCGGTTTTACGCTTTGAAACGAGAAATTTCGAAAAAACAAAAAAAAGTCCGAGAGAAGTACACAACTCCAAACGCGCTCTATTGCAAACGGGTCTCGCAACGATTAGATGGCGCGATGTTTGAAAATTTATTGTTTTTCTTTTTTTTTCGCTGTTTTTTGACAAAAAGAGATGGCGCGATGTTTGAAAATTGTTTTTTTTTAAATAAGACAGAGAAAGTTGAAAAATTATCATAGATCTTTAAATAGGAAGTTATGTAGAAAAACTTAAAAGATATTTTTGCGGTGGAGTTTTGAGAGTATTTTTTTAGGTAACATTTTTGAAAAATCTTCTTTATATATACACAAATAAACAAATAAAAAAAAGTTATAGAATATTCCATGCGGAGACCATAAATCCGCCCGCGCTGTTGTCGGTTTGGTCGATATCAGTCAAAATTTTGGTATCAATTACAACTCCAAATCTATGATCAGTGATTTTTATCATTTTATCCACTCTTTTCACCAAACTTTGCATCGCAAAAAACCTTTAAAAAAAACAAATTAATTTCTCTTGAAGAAATAATGACACTCACTGCATACGCCTTGCAAAAATTCCCGAAATCTTGTCAACACAGTGTTTTGGTCTGATTGTGATATAACTGACATTTTCATCAAGTTCCCCATTGATAATTCGATCAATAATTTGATCAAGATCATAAAGTTCACCACCGTCATAACCAACATCAATAGAAACCGCTTTTAATTGAAATATTTGATCAATTGTGAGACTTGGGATGGATATTTTTAATTCAACGAGGCGAAGTTGCTCGATATTGATGAAACCAGAGCGAATCGGATCAATTTGATTGTTTTTTGTATTGGCGAAAAGGTTGATTGTTGTTAAACCGTTTAAATTTCCAAGTTTCATTTGATCGTATGGAAAATCGTCCTGAAGAAAATTTAGTTAACCTTTTGAATTTTTTTAAAATTCTCACTGACCATTTCAATCATCAATTCTCTTAAACTACTCTTCAAAATCATCCATAAACCACGAAAGTTCTCCAGTATAAATTCTGTCATTTTTTCCCTTGAATCCACTTCAAACAATCTATCACATTTATTTCGAAAATACGCCAATGCTTGCTCATTTTCCGGCGCCACTGTGGTGTTACAAACTGTGAAAAGTTCGAGAAAATTATCTTCTTCTTCATCATCAGTAGTTATATGAATATTTATATATTCTATAGATCTTTCACTACTCATATCCATTATTTCCAAGCAAAAAGCATTGAGATTGTTCGATAATTGAACTTCTTCCAAACATTGTTGTGAAATTTGTGCGAAGTTTCCTTTTGCTTGCAATTTCATATGATTTATCACAATTTCTCTCATCTCATATGGCATATCGAACCAACCAGTTTGCTCCGAATCATCATCAAGTTTGATTTTATCGCTTTCCAGCTCCATTTCTCGGTTCTGCGCACTTTGAAAACAAAAATTTCGAAAAAAAACAAAAAGAAGTCCGAGAGAAGTACACAACACCAAACGCGCTCTATTGCGAACGGGTCTCGCAGCGATGAGATGGCGCGATGTTTGAAAATTTATTGTTTTTCGCTGTTTTTTTGACAAAACGTTCTCAGAGATTCGCTGGCCAGCTCGCCACCAGATCGCTGCGGCCACCTGGAAACGGCATGGCCGCCAGTTCGCCTTGAGTTTTCCGGCGACGTGGCCTGTGTGTTTGAAATTCTGGAAAGCTGGCAAGACGGTGGTTTGTACTCAAAACACTGCATTTTCTACTGTTTTTTTCACTTCCTAAGGTTTCAAGTGCTGCGAAAAAACAGAAAATGAGCAAATTTTTTCGAAAATGCCGCAATTCACAAGTTTTTCAGACATTTTCATGAAAATTCATTTTTACGTGGCGAAGTGGCCACCACATGGTAGCCATGTGGGCTTGACCTAGCCAGAGCTTGGCCACCTTGCCAGCAAAAAAAAAACCGGGCGACATGGTTTCCATGTGGTTCCCAGGTCAGCCAGCCTCCCCACCTGGTGGCGAGCTGGCCAGCGAATCTCTGAGTTTTTTGGGCTATTCAAATTTCATGATCGAATTATCTTTCTCTCGAAAATATTTGATGTTTTGAAGAAATAATCGCTGACATACACACACTTTTATTTATTTCCTGTGTGCTTTTTTGCTCTGTTTTTTCTCAAAAAAAAAAAATTCGAAAAAACACCTGTTTTTTTTCGACAAATGTTGTACAACAAACAACAAGCACAAAAAAAACAAACAAAAATTGATATTTTGATAAATTTTCCTCTCATTTTTCTGTTGTTTTTTTTGTATTTCTTGAGACGAAAGAAAATTTTTGCTAATAAATATGCTAATAATGGCATTTTTGGAGTGAAAAAAATATATAGGAGGAAAAATCAAGCCACTGGGGAATTTTGGGACCTAAACAAGCCTAAATTGAGACATTTCCGGGCGTCGAGCCGAAAAAAATGAAGGAGGAGAAGAAAAAAGTGTTCGGAAATGTGATTTTTTGGCTACTTTTTTTTCGGCTTGGAATTTTTGTTTTCTGAGAAATGTAATTTTAAACAGCTGAAAATTTTTTAGAAATACCTAATGCGTGACCCAAAAATGTAAATAGTTTTTATTTAGAAAAAAAAATGTTTTTTATCATTTCTTAATTCTTGAAATTGATTTGTTTTTGTAAATTTATGAAAATGTGAGTTTTTGGGCTTTTCAGCTACAAAAATACGCGCGCGCCAGTTTTATAGTCTTTGAATTTTCAAGCGCGCTATAAAACATCCCGCATAGCTCAGTGGTATGTCTCTAGATTCACCCCCAGATGGTCAGGGGTTCGATCCCCACTCGCTGTAAAATTTTTTTTCGTTTACAAAAAAACTCCCCATCATATCTTTTTTTTGTTCTGAAACAACTTCCTTTTCCAATCTCAGCCAATTCCATTTCTCCTTTTCAGTGTTTTTCGTTCGAAATCCATTAGTTTCTGTGTTCCATCCTCCACCACCAATAGATATATATCCATTATTTCCTGTCTTTTCTAGTTTTTTCTCCTTTTTTTCTTCGTTTTTTGCCTGCTGTCCCCGTGTTCCTCTCGTTTTTGCCCCAATTTTTTCATAGTAAGTAGAAGAAGAAGAGAGAGAAAGAGGAGGAAATCCGATTCTCATGGGATTCTTCGGAAAAAAGTCGGCTCGCCAAAAAAGAAACAAAAAAACAAAAAAAAATGGAGGAGTTCATAAAAATGTAGTTTTGGTTGATAAAAGTCTCTTTTGGGACGGACGCAGCACTTTTGGTTCCTTTTTACGAGAAATGCGCAAGCTGAATGTTTGCTGACGCGGAATTTGTAGCTACAAAATTTGCTGGCGTATATTTTGCAGCCCCTTCCCTCCTGGTTTAAAAACGTCAATCATCATCATCTTTTCATTTAGGATTACCCGCCAAAAAAAATTTTTTTTTTTGAAAAAAAATTGATCTTGTTCTGTTTCAAGAAATTATTATTTTCCCATCTGTCAAATTTTTTTGCACAAAAAAAAGAATAAAAAAAGGTTTCAAATTTCAACACAAAACTTTTTTCTCACTTTTTTCAATTTTTTCTGTGTTACTTTTTTTTAAAATTTTTTTTTGAAATTTAAAAAAAACTGTTGTAAATAGATCAAATAAACAAAAACTGCTATTTTTGCGCGCGCCAAATTTTTTAATTTAAATTTTCCAAACGTCAAAATGACGTGTTTTTTTTCAGGCAAAAAAGGGGCGAGGAGAGCAAAAAAAAAGTTTTTTTTATTCTTGAAAAAAAAAAAGGCTTTTTGTATGGCGGGATGAATTATTCGGTTTTTAGTTTTTTGTTTGAACAAAATTCCTTTTTCACACAAATTTTCGAGTGTTCCTTGGTCCAAAAATTTTTTTTCTTCGAAGTCTTCAAAAAATGCGCCAGCAAATTTGCTGACGCAATTTTTGTTTCAAAAATTGGCTCAAATTTTTTTAAAATTAATTCGAGCCAATTTTCAAAATGTACGTGTATTTCTATTCATTTTCAAAATAAAAATAAAAATATTTCTCTCATGGCCTAGAAAACCAAACCTCGGCCAGGATTGTTTTTTGTTCCCAGACAATTTTGAATAGAAATTGCGTGGGCCATTGCTCATAATAACAATAATTATTATTTCTCCTCAATTTTTCCTTTTTCAAAAACAAAAGAGCGAACATTTCAAGTGCTTTTTGCTCCACTTTTTGAGCTGGTCTACACGCAATATTTTTCGTGGAAATGAGATTTTGCTAAATGTTTAGGCTTAGCTAAGGATTTAGGGTTCTTAGCAGGCTTTTAGGCTCAAAAATTTTGAAATTTCTGCAAAAAATGCGTCAGCATTGATTTTACACTGACGCGTTTTGTGTAGCTACAGGCAAAAAATACATAATTATGTTGCAATTTTTCCTTCTTCTTCTTATCACCAATACATTTTTCTGTTTACATAATTTTTCCTTCAATTTTTTTTTGGGGTTTTTCAAAAAAAAAAAATATATATATATAATTTTTATTGGCGCCAGATGGCTCTTTCATTTTTATTTTGATCTTTTTTCGGGACCCTTGAAGACTGAGCGATAAAATTAATTTGAGAAACAGAGGTGCACCCTTTTTTCAAGGTGCCGTGTAATTTTCGGAAAATTTTTCTATAGTTTTGGAAGGATGCCTAAGCCTAAGGTCTTTGTTAAGCCTAAGCCTAAGGTTTTTTAAAAGCCTAAGCCTAAGGGTTTTTTTAAACCTAAGCCTAAGGTTTTTTTGAAAAAAAAGGTTTTTGTTAAGCCTAAGCCTAAGGTTTTTTTTAGCCTAAGCCTAAGGTTTTTTTAGCCTAAGCCTAAGGTTTTTTTAGCCTAAGCCTAAGGTTTTTAGCCTAAGCCTAGGGTTTTTTTGAAAAAAAAGGTTTTTTTTAGCCTAAGCCTAAGGTTTTTTTAGCCTAAGCCTAAGGTTTTTTTAGCCTAAGCCTAAGGTTTTTAGCCTAAGCCTAGGGTTTTTAAAGCCTAAGCCTAAGGTTTTTATATCCTAAGCCTAGGGTTTTTAAAGCCTAAGCCTAAGGTTTTTGATAAAGCTAAGCCTAAGGGTTTTTAGCCTAAGCCTAAGGTTTTCTGAAGCTTAAGCCTAAAGTTTTTTAGACTAAGCCTGAGGTTTTTGTGAAGCCTAAGAAGCCTGAAAAGCCTAACATGAGCAACCTTTTTCCCCGCCAAAACAACATTTTAACGATGTTTTTCCCACGCCTTCTTATCTCATATGTTTTTATTTGCGCTCATTTTTCATGCGCCTTTAAATTTGAGTTGGGGCAAAAAATGATGTGTTTCCCAGTAGCATCTGCAACATTTTGTCATTTTGTCGTAAAAAATCCCAATTTTTTTGCCTGAGCTCTTTTTCAAAACTCTTTTCCCGAAGAGCTGAAAGAGATATAGATTTTTTTTTCAGAAAAAGTTTCAATTTCAGCTCCTCAGGAAACAAAAAAATCATTTCTGAAAACCAATCCATCATAAAAATGTGGCATTTTTTTTTTCGTTCATTTCTTATTTTATTTTATTTTTTTGTTCTGTGGGCATATTATTCTTCAAGGCACAAAAAAAACAACAAAAAATTTTGTTATTTTTGAAAAAAAAAATTTTTTTGTTATACATAATTTGATCATGTGAGTCATAAAAATTTGGTTTGAAATTTGAATTTTTTTTTGGTTTTTTGATTTTTGAACAAATATTTTAGGCTTAGGCTTAGCTAAAATTCTAGGCTTGGTTAAGGCTTGGTTAATTTTAGGCTTAGTTAATGACCCTTAGGCTTAGGCTCACCTTTAGGCTTAACAAAAAGCCTAAGCCTAAAGCTAAAGGCTTAGGCTTAGCTGAAGGCTTAGGCTTAGCTAAAGGCTCAGGCTTAGCTAAAGGCTTAGGCTTAGCTAAAGGCTTAGGCTTAGCTAAAGGCTTAGGCTTAGCAAAAACTTAGGCTCAACCTTAGGCTTAGGCTCACCTTTAGGCTTAACAAAAAGCCTAAGCCTAAAGCTAAAGGCTTAGGCTTAGCTAAAAGCTTAGGCTTAGCTAAAGGCTTAGGCTTAGCTAAAGGCTTAGGCTTATCTGAAGGCTTAGGCTTAGCTAAAGGTTTAGGCTTATGAAACTCTAGGTTTAGGCTTAGTTAATGACCCTTTGGCTTAGCAAAAGCTTTAGGCTTAGGCTTAGCTAAAGGCTTAGGCTTAGCCAAAGGCTTAGGCTTAGCCAAAGGCTTAGGCTTAGCCGAAGGCTTAGGCTTAGCTGAAATTCAAAATTTTCAAAATCAGATTTCTGAAGCTCTCAGTTATTGCCACGTCATAGCTATGTTCAGGCTTAACCAAATACATAGGCTGAAAGTTAGCGGAAATCGCTGACACGTGGATTTTTCCAAACATAATTTTGCCACGTCATAGCTTTTAGGCTAACTTCAGATCAAAAAGGAACCAGGTCCTAAGCTAAAAATTGATTTCAAAATTAATTTCTTCTTCAAAAAACCCTCCTTCCTTATCCCCCTCCCCCAAAAAGAAAAAAAAAATCCAATTACCTTTTGTTTACACCCCAAACACACCTCTAATTATCCCAATTAGCCTCCCCCCGTTAATCCAATATCGTCTCAAATTTCCAGATTGCACCAAAATCATTTTCGGCGGCCACCCGAACGAACAACAACATTAGATCCAAACACACACAGAAATCCGATGAGCCGCCCATTTTTCGCGTCTTTCGCCAATCCTAACTGAACAACACAAATGTACAATGCGTTTTCGAAATTCACATCCGCGAAGTCGATTTCGAGAATTTTCAATTCTGATTCTGCTAGTAGTGTTGTTGTTTGCACCAAAATCGGAGGCTCGAAGTTTATCGTCGCGAGGAAACTCGAATGTGGTTCGAACATCGTTGGGAGCGATTCGAGGAGTTGGTGAGGTGAGTAGGGGGGACTAGAAAATTTTCTAGGCCACGAGCTATTCAGAAATGACCAAAGATTTTCAAAAATTTGGATTTCTAGGCTTCTGTGACCGAGAGAGTTGGTTTTCTAGGCCATCAGACCGAGAGAGTTGATTTTCTGTGACTGAGAGAGTTGGTTTTCTAGGCCATCAAAAGTTTCTGTGACCGAGAGAGTTGGTTTTCTAGGCCATCAGAAGTTTCTGTGACTGAGAGAGTTGGTTTTCTAGGCCATCAAAAGTTTCTGTGATTCATAAGAGTATGTTGAAATTCTTGGTCACAAACTTGATATTTGGTTTTCTAGGCCATCAGAAGTTTCTGTGACCGAAGAAGTTGGTTTTCTAGGCCATCAGAAGTTTGTGTGACCGAGGAAGTTGGTTTTCTAGGCCATCAGAAGTTTCTGTGACCGAGCAAGTTGGTTTTCTAGGCCATCAGAAGTTTCTGTGACGGAGCAAGTTGGTTTTCTAGGCCATCAGAAATTTCTGTGACCGAGCAAGTTAGTTTTCTAGGCCATCAGAAGTTTCTGTGACCTGAAAAAATCTTGAGAACCTAAGAAATGTTGTCCGAAAAATCTAGAACATATTTTGAACTTGTCAGAAAGATTTCAGACTTTAAAAAAAACACCAGACTTCTCGGAAGTTCCGAAAACCCAGTTTGCCACGTCATAACTCATTTTGCAGGAATTCCAAAAAACCAAAGTGACAGCCTATTTGGGTGTACCATTCGCCAAACCGCCCGTCGGCGAGCGCCGTTTCAAAGTCGCCGAAATGATCGAAAAATGGTCGGGTGAACTCGAGGCGAATAAAATGGCACCCACGTGTTTTCTGACACGCGACACCGCGTTTCCCCAGTTTCCCGGTGCTGAAATGTGGAATCCGCCGGCGAACATCACCGAAGACTGTCTTCATCTCAATATTTGGGTGCCCGAACATCACGATGGTACGGTTATGGTGTGGATTTATGGCGGAGGGTTTTTCAGTGGAACACCATCGCTGGATTTGTATAATGGCAAAGTTTTGGCGGCTAAGGAGAATACGATTGTTGTTAATATTAATTATAGGTCAGTGATTTAGGGGGAAGGGCTTTTAGGCTTAGGCTAAAGCTTAGGCTTAGGCAAGGGCTTAGGCTTAGGCAAGGGCTTAGGCTTAGGCAAGGGCTTAGGCTTAGGCAACGGCCAAGGCTTAGGCTAAAGATTAGGATAAATTCTTAGGCTTAGGCTTCTTGAGCTCAGGCTTCTTTGGCTTAGGCTTCACACTACTCTTAACGACACTCCGCAATAACAGCTACAGTTCCCTTTGAAACGAAAATCCACGTGGAATCGTAAGAGCGGAGTGTTGTTGTTTTTCTTGAAATCATACTACGACACTCCGCAGTTACACATTCCAAAATTTCCAAAGTATAAATGTCCAAGAATGAATGGAAAAATGTGCATACAAACCCTACGCGCAAAAACCTACCGTATTCCAGACTCGGCGCCTTCGGTTTTCTCTACTTTGGCGATGATTCGCCAATCGCGGGTAACATGGGTTTGATGGATCAACAGTTGGCTATGCGATGGGTCTACGAACATATTGGTGCGTTTGGCGGTGATCGAGATCGCATCACATTGTTTGGCGAATCTGCTGGATCCGCTTCGGCTACCGCGCATCTTTTTGCGCCTGGTTCGCATAAGTATTTTAGGTGAGTTTGAGAGAAGTTGCTGGAAGGATGGAGAGAACCAACTTCCTCGGTCACAGAAATTTCTGATGGCCTAGAAAACCAAGTTCTTCTAGACCTCAAAATCAATTTTCCAGATACATAATCGCAAAAAGTGGTTCAATAATCAACTCGTGGGCATCAGCCAAACCATCAACAATGTTAGATTTATCAATGAATCTCGCGAAACGGGTCAATTGTAGTTCGTCTAGTATGGAAAAAATGATGAAATGTCTCAGGAATGTCGATGCACATATTATACAAGAAGTTGGCGATAATTTGACAAATGGTCCCCCAATGACATTTGCTTTTGTGCCCGTTTCATCGGATGTCAACTTTTTTCAGGTTAGCGGAAAAAATTTTTTTTTTGGGTCCTGCAGCGATGTCCCTTTAAAACCTCGAAAAATTGCAGGGAGACCTATTCCAAAAAATCGCCGAGCGTGATTTCAAAAAAGACGTGGACATAATCTTCGGAAGTGTCAAAGACGAAGGAACCTATTGGCTACCCTACTACATGGCTGATCGTGGATTCGCCTTCAATCACACGATCACAGCTGAAGATCCACACAATCGTGCATTGATCACAAGAAATCATTATCGTGAATCAATGCGAGCATTTTCACCGTATTTCGCGAATTCCGAACTGGTTTACAACGCTTTTATGAACACTTATGAGCATGTTTCGAAGAGTATTCATGAGAAAGAAAGGCTTCGCGATGGAGTGGCGAGGTTTTTAGGCGATTTGTTTTTCACGTGTTCACTTATTGATTTTGCCGATTTGATGGCCGATAATGTTAATGGACAAGTTTATATGTATTATTTTACCTATCGGTGAGTGATACGGTAGAAATTGGCGCGAAAACACGACCATATTATCGAAAATCTCATCGGTACCACGCGCTCCACCGAAATAAACACGCAACGCAGACCGCGTCGCGCCACAACACACACAAAAAAGGGGACGATTCAAATTCCCATCCTTTTTTGTGTGTGTTGTGGCGCGGCGCGGTCTGCGTTGCGTGTTTATTTCGGTGGAGCGCGTGGTACCGATGAGAATTTCGATAATACAAGGCGCCCGTTGAGTCAGACGCGAGACGACGAGAGTATTTTGCAAAAATATCCCGAAAATGAATTTCGCTTCGAGATATTTTCAATAAAACATGTGTTCCTTGAAACAAAATACGGTCTTTTCTCAAAAATATCATGAAAGGATGTCTTTCTCTGTCTTAGATGACGTCATCAGACTCTCGTCGTCTCTCGTCTGACCCGAGGGGGGCAATTGGAGTAAACGGTCGTGAAAATTTGAAGAATTTTGAGTTCTGTTCAAAAATTGACTCAAAATCATCGATTCTCAATGGAGCACATTTGCTTTTTGTTTCAAAATTCAATTCAAATTTCTTTTCTCACAGATCAAGCGCAAATCCATGGCCAAAATGGATGGGTGTAATGCATGGCTACGAAATCGAATACGCATTCGGTCAACCGTTTCATCGACCCGCTTTATATCAACAAGAATATTTGAGAGAAGAAGAACAACTATCGACAATTGTTATGGATTTGTGGGGACAATTTGCGGAAGGAGGGTAAGCTTTCGATATTTTTCCAAAAGGGCTGATTCACGAACAAAAAAATGTTTTTTAATTCACGAAAAGTCAAAAAATGTCGAAAAAACATTAGTTTTTCGAGTTTTTCAGCCAAAAATGATGAAAAATCAATATTTTTTAAGCTTCTGGAGTAATTTCTGATTAAAATAAGCTTCGAGAAGCCTATTTTGCTTTATTTTATGAATTTTTTCGAAATTCATCACGAACAATCAGCAAAACCTTCTGGAAAGTGAATTCCACGGTCAATTTTCATCAGAAATTACTCCAGAAGCTTAAAAATATTGATTTGTCATCATTTTTGGCTGAAAAACTAATTTTGACCTACAATGTTTTTTCGACATTTTTTGACTTTTCGTGAATCAGCCCTAAGAAAAGCGGAGTGGTTGCCTAGTTTTTGCAAGACCAGGGTTCGACTCCACCCGCGGATAATATTTTTTTTATTTATCAAAAAAAATCGATTTTTCGCTCATTTCAGAAAAATGGATTCGCATTGGCCATTATATAATCGAGTTGAGCGAAAGGCGCTGGAAATCGGAAGATCGACAATCGAAGGAGAACATCGGATTGTTAGCGATGTGCATGGATCGTATTGTCGAATGATTGAGGAGGCAAAAGCTTTTGTGCATCAGAAACAGGATTGGGAGAAAGGTTGGCTATTTTTTTGACACCCAAGCGCAAAATTGTTCTTTTTTAGCCCCCGATTGTCGAACTCGTCGACTTGATGCATCAGCAATTCAAGTAGCCTCCTCCTCTTCTTCCTCCACAAAAAACCTCAACAGCATTGTGTTGTTTCTAGTCTCAATTTTCTATTATTTTCTATCTAAAAATCTGTGATAATTATCCAATTAATTAATCCAATCACTATATTTACTTACTATTAATTAATTATTTCATTATTCCCCCTGATAGATCTCACAATAATCACGATTTTGTCTATTTATTGATTGATTTTTTGCACATCGAATTTTAAAAAACGGTGTATGCTCATTTGTTCTATTTCACTGTAATTGCCTAGTTTCGATTTTGTAACATTCCAGCTTTTTTCTTGATAGTCGAAGAATAAATTGATTTTAAAATAAAAATACTATTTTTTGAATTTCAAACTTGCCGCCTTCTCATCGCTGCGAGACCAGTTTGCAACAGAGCGCGTTTGATGTTGTGTACTTCTCTCGGACGAATTTTTGTTTTTTTTCGAAACTTTTGATTTTCTAATCCCCACAGCCCGGAAACGCGTACCCAAAAAAAAATTTCTGTGCGACGGGCAGACAGGCAGAGGAGAAAATGGTCTCGCAGCGCCGCTAAATAAGATGCAAACGGGGGAGCGGGATCTGTGGTGTGTCGTTGTGTGTTTTTTTTTCTTTAATTTTTTTTCATTCTTTTTTTCGAAATTTGTTCAGAAATTTCGAATAATTCCCAGGGAACATTGTATATGAGTAGGTAGATGAAGATGAAAGGAAGGCAGAGAAATACATTTCACGTGTATTTTTGAAATTTTTAGGGCCGTAAAATTGAAAAAGAAATCATTGAATGTTCGAAATTGATCAAGTTAGGCAAACTTCTGTAATTTTGCACAACTTTTTCTAGTTTCCAGTTATTTTGGACTTTCGAATACGGCGATTAATATGAACTAGGTCTCGTTCTGATGTAAATGTTCTATGAGTTACTTTTTGGGTCTTGAAATCGCTAGGATGTCGATTTTTCAGTACAAAATTAGTCAAGCTAGGCAAACTTTTGTAATTTTGCACAACTTTTTCTATATTTTTGATATTTAGCACTTTTTTATACGTAGATTAACATAAACTAGGTCTTGTTTCTAGGTAAATGTTTCGTGAGTCATTCTTGGGGTCTTGAAATTGCTTGGGTGTGGATTTTTGTTTGAAATCATGAAATTTAGAAAAAGTTGAGTAATTTTGCACAACTTTTTCTAGTTTTTTGTTATTTATGACTATTTTATACGTAGATTAACGTAAAATGGGTCTTATTCCGAGGTAAACGTTCTGTGAATCACTTTCGTGGTCTTGAAGCGTTTTTCGGGTGTTGATATTCAATCAATTTCAACACCCAAAAAGTGATTCACAAAACATTTACTTCAGAACGAGACCTAGTTCATATTAATCGCCGTATTCGAAAGTCTTAAATAACTGAAAACTAGAAAAAGTTGTGCAAAATTACAGAAGTTTGCCTAACTTGACCGATGCATACATTCATTATTTTTGTATTCAATTTTACAGCCTTCAAAATTTCAAAAATAAATTCGAATTTCATTTCTCTGTCTTCCTTTCATCCTCCTCTACTTTATCATATACAATGTTCCTTGTGTGAATTATTATTGAAGTACAAAAACGTGTAAATTCACAAAATAATGAATTGAGAAATTCAAACACACAATTATTTCGCCCCGCGGGCAGAGCGCAGACAGCGGGAGCAGGGTGTCGCACACACAAAAAAAATTAGGTAAGCATATCCGGGCTGTGTCCCCCCCCCCCAAACTCCTCCCTAAAACACTCACCAATCGCTTCTAATTTTCAAAACATAAAAATATCATCGAAAATTCCGAAATCCTCCCAATTTCCCACTTTTTGATATTCAAATTCAACTTTCAGCGATTAATTGACCTGAAAATTTAGATTTTTATGTATTTTCATCGAATTTTCATTCAATTGCCCTGGAAAACAAAAAAAACCGCGAAAATGAAAATATTTTTCTGTTGCGCTAAACAACGGGCAAAGCGGAGTGTCGTTGTAAAAATTAATAAATTTTGTTTTTCAGCGTGTTTTTTTCAAAAAAGCTGCAAATGGAGCCCGCGGCGAAGAAAATAAAAGTTGAAGATGAACCTGACTGGTTTGATTTACCATACGAGATGCGAAGAATTATTATTGATTATTTGGATATTCAAACAAAAGTCAGATTTGCAAGATGTTCAAAAGATTGTTATGAAGAAGTGCAATTGACAAAATACTTCATGTATAAATTGACAATTTCGGGATCAGAGAATTACACGTTGTTTCACTTGAACAACATCTGGTCAGGATATAAATTTGCGATTTCTAAAGGTGCACCCGATCCGATTTTGTGGGATCCCAAGAGAAAAACGATTCGCGTCAAGACAACTGAGGAATTACATCAACTTTTACTTTTATTTTTCCGTGCTTTGATGAAAATTTCGAGAAATGGTTTGGAAATTTTGGAGATTTATAAGGTGAGATAAGTAGAATTGATTTTTTATTAAAAACTTTTTTATTTTTTGCAGTACAATTTTCCGTACAATGAAACAAATGTGAAAATGTTGAAAAATTTGCGAGGAATTGATATTTATCCCAATCTCGATGACAATATTGATCCGATTCGCTGTGGATTTATCGATTTTGAGCAAGTTTGCTCTTTTGATTTCACTGTGGGATGTCCAATTTTGACGATTGATCAAATATTCAAAATAAAAAATGCACGTATGATTTTTATTGGTTATGAAAATGGGGAAGCGATTGATATAAATCAACTCGTAAATCGTATTCTTGATGGTGAATTGAATGGAAATTGTGAAATCATGAGACTTAAGCCAAAACAAAGTTTGGACACGATTCCTGGAATATTTGCAAGGCGAGAAAAGTGAGTTATTGATTTTTTTCAAGAAGAAAACATGAGCAATTTTCAGATCTTCAGGATATTCCCAATATTTGGTCAAACGGAAGGATAAAATGATTCTAGTTAAGAATAACCCTCTCACAATTGATATTCACACTAAAATCTGTCCATATGGAATTAATTATCGAGAATGGACCATTTTGTAAACCGCTGTATTTTTTTTTTGAAAAATGAAAATGTCTAAAAATATTTTTTGAAGTTGCCGCCGTCTCGTTGCGAGACCTGTTTGCAATAGAGCGCGTTTGGTGTTGTGTACTTCTCTCGGAATTTTTTTGTTTTTTTCGAAAATTCTTTAGGTTTGGGATTTTCAAAAAAAAAATCGGCGAAATGGAGCCGGAGACAAAGAAAGTGAAACTTGACGATGATCCGGAGCCGACTGGTTGGTTCGATATGCCATATGAGATGAGAGAAATTGTGATAAATCATATGAGTTTGCAAGCAAAAGGAATGTTCGCACAAATTTCACAACAATGTTTGGAAGAAGTTCAATTATCGAACAATCTCAATGCTTTTTGCTTGGAAATAGAGGATATAGGTAGTAAAAAATACGATAATATATGTATTGATATAACTACTGATGATAATTCTCTCGAACTTTTCACAGTTTGTAACACATCGATGGCGCCGGAATATGAGAAGACATTGGCGAATTTTCGAATTGCAGGAAAAGTGTTTGGAGTGGATTCAAGGGAAAAAATGAGAGAATTTATACTGCAAAATTTTCGTGGTTTATGGATGATTTTGAAGAGTAGCTTGAGACAATTGATGATTGAAATGGTGAGTGAGAAAACAAAAAGATTTCAAAAGTTTAACTAAATATTATTTAGGATGATTTTCCTTACGATCAAATGAAACTTGGAAATTTGAACGGTTTGGACACAATCCACCTTTCCGCGAATACAAAAAACAATCAAATTGATCCGATTCGCTCAGGTTTCATCGATATCGAGCAACTTCGCCTTGTTAAATTAAAAATATTCCTCCCAAGTCCTACAATTGATCAAATATTTCAATTGACGGCTGAATCTATTGAAGTTGGTTATGACGGTGGTGAACTTTATGATCTTGATCAAATTATTGATCGAATTATTAATGAGGAGCTTGATGAAAATGTCAGTTATATCACAATTAGACCAAAACAGTGTGTTGACAAGATTTCGGGAATTTGTGCAAAAAAGACAATTTGGTGGGTTTAGTAAAAGACTTCTTCTTGACATTTTCTGTTTTCAGGAGTTCTACCGAGATGTTTTTGGTGAAAAGAATGGATAAAGCGGTGAAAATCACTGATTTCCCATTTGGACTCGAAATTCAAACCGAAGTTTGGACTGGGATCGATGAACGCAACATTTGGCCCATTTCATAATTGTTTTTCTCTATATGGAAAAGTGAATTGTTATTTACCTAATCAACGTTCAAAAAAAAACAACAAAAACTTCTAGAATTATCGATTTTCGGCCTAATAATCACAACTTCCATCCTTCCAACCATCTCTCCATCTTTCCATCACATTTTTGCAATCAAATTCGGGTTTTCCGGTTTTTTTGTTGACCTTGTTGTGAAGTTGACACATCCATTCGGCGAAGTTTTCACGTGATGAAACTGAAGGCGGTGATTCGATGAGATCTTTTCGTAGATCTTTCGCACAGAAATCGCAGGGGTAGAGCTGGAAAATTGCATCATTTTTAGTTTTTTCCACCCAAAAACCCTCACCTGTCCCAATAAATTCATAAAACTCTTCGCCTTATTTTTCTGCTCCTCACTCGGCTTCTCCGGATAATAGACCGACATCGTATGCAGCAAATTCCACGTGGATCTGCCCAATTCATCTTTATCCACCGGACATTCGTGTTTTCTTTCGCTGGAGGTGCTTGGCGCCTGATTTTTCAGCTTTTCCGCCATCTCTTTGCCCTTTTTCATCATATCTTCAACGCTGATACATGCCTTGCACGGTTTTCCATCGGGTCCAATAGAATGATCCATTCTTTGTGTTTCTGCTGAAAAAAAATGATGCAATTTTCACCAGAACTTTTTGAAAATTGAGTAGTTAGAGGTTTTCGAGTGTTTTAAATCGTTTAAAAATACTTAGAACCCTCGAAAACCTCGGGAAACCCTGCAAAACCTCAAAAACCCAAAAAAAGTGGAAAACACGCACACATTTGCAAAACAAAAGGCGGCAGTCCACCGTTTAAAGGGACATGAACCTTCTGCAGTCTTTTTCAGTGGAAAAAACTTATTTTCATAAAAAACTGATTACACCACTGAAATCCCCGTTTAATTCTACCCCAGAATAGTGCTTCTGGTGGTGAATGGTTGAGGTTTTTTCTCTTGGTAGTTCTTCGAGACCCAAAAAAGTTTCGAACAGTTGCGCCTTGAAAAAATAGCGTTGAAAACAGAGAGACGCAGACAATTTTTTGAATTTTTTTTTGAATTTTGGTGTAAACACGGCGACGCACAATTACACCTTTTTGTCTTTGCAGACAGTAGTGTTTTTGGTGGACTGCCGCCTGAATGTGTGCGTGAAAAAAAAGAAAATAAAAAATAATATGGCCTAGAAAACCAAAGTCCTTGTCAATGGAGCGCACAAACCCACTCAGCGCCAACATTCATTTTCAAATTTTTACCGCACTTTGCATTTATTCTCTTGTTTGTCAACTGATAAGACTGCTCCAAATAATATGTAAAAATGAGCGAAAATCAAGTGATTGCGTTGAGAAATGCGTTGGAAACGTATCTGGGCGGTGAAAAGCTGAAAGTCGCTGAAAAAGATGTGGGTTTTCTCCAAAAGTTTCATTGAAAATCGAGTTTTTTGCAGAAAAACGTTGCAATCATCCAGGAAACTCATCGAACTACGATTTACAAGATCAAAAATGAGATGTTTGATGAGATTTTGGACCTGGCCACGCTTTCCAAATATATTTTCAAGGCTGCTTACCAGGAGATTTGTGAAATTGTGCTGAAACTTGAGAAAAAAGCGATTAAAGGATCAACAAGCGAAACAAGGATCAAAAATGGATTGTACAATGTGTCGATTGAGCATTTGAAAATTTGCAGTGAAAATGGTAAGCGACGCGGTTCAGCGTTGCGTTTTTTGTCAAAAAAAAAACATAGCGCGTGACCTATTTTTTTCAAATTTTCCAACCAAAAAAATCATTTTTGCAGAAATCGATAATAATCAAGTGCCGTGGGTGGTGTATATTTTGCAACTTTTGAAAAAACCCTACATTTTATCAAATATTCATATGGAAAATGAGATAAGCTATTGTTTGTATAGTTGTGCGGCAAATTCGCAATTGTATTGGGTTCAACACGCACTTTTGCGAAGTGAGGAGGGTTTTTAGGGGGGTCGTGGCCGAAGTTTCAGCCAGGGATTTCTAGGCCACCTCTTGGCTTTTCTCATTTTCCACCAAAAATACCGATTTTTCTTCAGATTTATGGTCCACAATTTGGCGTCGAATCCAAAATCCCGAATTGGACCCTACAGTACTCGGAAACTACACAAAAACCATCATCGAATTGCTGGAAAATGTGAAATTGGATGTTTTTGAGCTCACTGGCTATGGTTTGGCGAAATTGGCGATTTCGTCGCTGAAAAAATCGATTGATGGAAGGACGGAGAGAAATTTGTGGGTATTTTGAGAATTGTTGAATTGTGGGAGGAAGAGTACTGTATGCACCTTTAAAATCTCAAAAATTTGATATTTTTATCCAAAATTTATCGATTTTTAAAGGTATATACAGTATTTTCAGCAAAAAGTATTGATTTCTGAGTTCTGAAGGCTCAAAAAATCAGTATGAACCTTTAAGACCCCGATAATCGATATTTTAGTGCTAGATTACTGTATGCACCTTTAAACTCTTGAAAATAACGTATTTGAAATAAAAGTGTACGATAAGAGCCTTCAAAAACCGTAGAAATCAAATTTTTATGTTAAAACTACGGTATGCGCCTTTAAAAATCGGTTCTTACTGTAGAAAAAAACTTTAATATTATCGAAAATCTCATCGGTACCACGCGCTCCACCGAAATAAACACGCAACGCAGACCGCGTCGCGCCACAATACACACAAATAAGGGAACGATTCAAATTCCCTCCCTTTTGTGTGTGTTGTGGCGCGGCGCGGTCTGCGTTGCGTGTTTATTTCGGTGGAGTGCGTGGTAGCGATGAGATTTTCGAATACTGTATGTGCCTTTGAAATTCGCTTTATTACTGTGTGCACCTTTAAATTCCATTTTTCTTGCAGCTGGACAACTTCTCGAAAATCGGCCTACATTCAAATTCTGTCGACACTCCTCAAAACCCATGCTCTTCACTCGCTCGATTTTCTGCTCTTCGAATTGCCCGCCAAAAATTTGGCCGAACATTTCGTCAGCCAACTATCGATTTTCGAACACTCACCAACACTTCAATTTTTCGACGATTTCTTCCGCTGCTTCCAATTGCTACCCGCTGAAAAATGCCGAGAAAATGGGCGGAAAATGAAGAATTTGGCGGCGGAATGCGCCGCGTTTATGCTCGCCGGAGCGGAAAACGCGCTCACGATACGCGGAGAACCGCCGGAAAAGTGTTGTGAATTTTTGGCACGTGTGCTAGTTGTTGGAGAATGTTGGGACGAGATTGAGGTGGGTTATTGGGTTATTATGACGTGGCAAATTTTGGAATTTTTTTGACACCAAATTGATTTTTTGGTGACAAAATCTTGGCAAAATTCAAGATTTTTCATTAAAATTTGACGTTAAAAATTGGTTTTACACGTGACACGTGGAATATTTTTTTTTGTCATTTTTACAATTTTTAAGTTCCAACAAAAATGTGAGCCGAATTCTCAGAAAACTAGGTAAATTTTTGAAATTCGGGGTTTTTGGCGGCAAAAATTGGGTTCTACAGTAAATCTAGGATCAGGCTTATTTAGGCTTAGATAATCTGGATTTTTGACACTAAATAAGCCTAAGCCTAGATTCAGGGCCTAAATTTAGGTCTAGACTTATTTAGGCTTAGATAATCTGGATTTTTTGACACTAAATAAGCCTAAGCCTAGATTCAGGGCCTAAATTTAGGTCTAGACTTATTTAGGCTTAGATAATCTGGATTTTTTGACACTAAATAAGCCTAAGCCTAGATTCAGGGCCTAAATTTAGGTCTAGGCTTATTTGGACTCGAAATATCTGGATTTTTCATCTGTAACTTAGTTTTAAGCCAAAGTTCTAGCATAGGCTAGTTTGGGCTCAAAAAAGGTGGATTTTCGGCCTGAAACATAGGCTTAGGGTTAAATCTAGGCCCAGGCTTATTTGGTCTTAGAATATCTGGATTTTTGGCCTGAAACACGGGCTAAGAGATAAATTCAGGCCTAGGCTTAGGCCTAGGCCTATTCGGACTCAAAAAAGGTGGATTTTCAACCTGACATTTGGGCCCAGACTTATTCTAACTCAAAAATCTCCAATTTTTCCAGAAGCTCCGCCAAACTTGCACCCAACGAAGTCTCTCACTTCGAATTCTCACCCAAATCCTCAAATCCCGCCCCTCCGCCCTCAAAAATCGTCAAAATCTGTTGGATGAAGTGTGGAAGAATCGTGAACAATTCCAAAGTGATGCAATGCGTTGTGCCATGTGTCAACTATTTTCCGCCAATTTTCCCGCGTTCAAAAATTTTGGTGGCGCCGCCGCAAAAATCGCCTCCGTCCTCAAATACGCTCTATCGCTAATCACAAATCAATCAACACTTGCGGACGCCGCAAATCTTGTCGAGACCATTTTCCGCTACAGTACGCCGCGGAACCACGTGGCCGTTCCGCGTGATCTTCTTCCGCGTGTCATTGACACGTTGATGACACGTGGCTCACCGAATTCGCCGCCTATTCAAAAAGCCGTCTCCGCCTTCTTGGCACACGTGGATTTTGAGGAGAATTGGCATTTGGCCAGCTTTTTTGAGATGAGAGATGAAGAGGAGGAAGAGACGCAGAGAAAACGAGAGAGATGGAGGTATTGTTGATCTACAGTACTCCTTAAAAACATTTTTTAAAAAAATTTCCAGATTCCGAAAATCGATAATTGATTGGCTTCTGACTTCGACCAACTCGCTGACACCAAAAATTTTGCGTCAAATCTGCAAATTTCAGCCACAAATGTGCAATTTCGACGAATTTCAGCCGTGCCACGTGGATCCGCTGAAAATCCAGATGCAAAATCTGAAATTGCTCAAAATTCCGGAGCCCGAAGAGCATCTTGAAGACGGAAAAATGATTGAAGAACTTGTCGCATCATTGCCACGTGGCATTTTGCTGGAAACGACTGAAAATGAGAATTTTGAAGAGGTTTTGAAGATGCCGATTGCCGAATTGGAGAAATTAAAAATGTCGGAGAAATTTTCGCGGAAAATTTTGGAGAAATGCATTTTTGAAAATGAGGATGATGTTTATGACGTGGCGTTGAGATTTGAGAAATTTGCGATGGTTTTGACGCAAGATGCGTTGCGAGAAGCGAAAGAGAAGATTTTGTAGGTTTTTGGCGGAGTTCAATAGAGCGCACTTGCTTCTTCGAACTGAAAAATTTGGAATTTTTCCATGAAACTTTGAAAATCGCTCATAAAATCGATAGTTCAGTAGAGCGCACTTGCATTTTTACACTGGAAATTTGAAATTTTCCAACAAAAAACCATCAGTTCAATAGAGCGCACTTGACCTATTTTCTATTTGAATTTCGAATTTTCCCATAAAAATAACAGTTTGCATTAGAGCGAACTTGCATATTTCAACCGAAAAATTCACTTTTTCACTATTTTCAGTGGAGCGCACTTGCTTTTTCCTCAGCTAAAAATTCGAAATTTTCTTCCAGCCGTCTAACATCGGATGTTCTGTCAACAAAATCATCAATCGAAGAATCGGACGCATTCCTGATTCAAACAATCACCCTAAACACTTGTCTGAAATTCCAGAAAAATGTGAAATTTTCTGGAAATCTTCCGCTCGACCCATATTTTGTCGCCGAATTTCCGGAAAATGTCGATTTTTCGCGCGAAACATCGCTCAAATACCTGCGAAAATTGCGAAATTCACCATGGTTTGCGCAGAATATTGTGAGGAATCTCGTGGAAAATGAGCCGAGATATCGTGGATTTTTAGCACCAATTTTGAGCCACGTTTTGGCTCCAAAAAATGAGAATTTGCTGATGGTTTGTGTGGCGAAAATTGCGAATTTTCGAGAAGTTTTGCGATTTTTTTCAAGTGAATTTCGACACGAAACAGATGCGAAAATTGCCGTTTTTGAAATTTGAAAATGAGGAAAAATTGAAAAAATGTCAAAATTATTTGAAGTTGCCGAAAAACGTGGAACTCGATGTGGAAGATTATCGATTATTGATGGGAACTTGTAAATTGTCGCGAATCGCTTTTCAGTTTTGGCGAATTTTCCGAGCGAATCCCGGAGAGATTTTGGAGGTTTTGGTGGAGTTTGTGAGTTTTTTGGGGGCTGAAAATCGGAAAATTTTGACTGAAAATTCAGATTTTTTGTGAATTTTTAGCCTAGAAAAATTCACTGTTTCAAAATTTTGGTATAAAAATTTTTTTGAATTTTTTGGTCCAAAAATGCCATAAGAAAAAAACTAAACACTCTGATTTGAAAATTTTAAAAATTCTTAGCCTAATAAATTTGAGAATTTCCAGTTTTCTCTCTGAAAAACTGAAAATTTTGACTGAAAATTTGGATTTTTCATGAATTTTTGATCTAAAAAAATGTACTATTTCAAAATTTTTCTATTAAAAAAATTGGAATTTTTTTTGATACACCAAGTTTTGAAAAATCTGATACTATCGAATTTTTGCTGAAAATCTACAAATTTTGACTGAAAATTTGGATTCTTCGTGAATTTTCAGCCTAGAAAATTGATTTTTACTTACAAAATTCAATTTATTTTTTTCCCGAAAATTTACTGTTTCAAAATTTTGGGATAAATAAAAAGTGGATTTTTTTCGTTCCAGCTGAATAATTTTATTAAAATTATGAATTTTAGGCGTTTTTTATCTGAAAATCTGAAAATGTACAAATTTTTACTGAAAATTTGGAATCTTCGTGAATTTTCAGCCATTTTTTGGCCCAAGTCTGAAAATTTCATCGATTTTGTTGCAGGTTGATTCCTGTGAGCGCCTAGGCTTCCATCAACGCCTCAAAACCGTGCTCGAAACAATTTGGAGCTCGGAATTTGCTCAAAAATCGTCACAAATCGTCAAATTTGTCATGGTTCGAATTTTGTCGCGAAATCCTGGTGAAAATTCAAATTCGGCGTCAAAATTAGTAGAGAATTTTGTGAAAAATGGGCTTGATGAAAGATTGATGGAAAATTTGGAGATATTTGCCGATCCACGATTTTATGCGGAATTGCACCGATTTTTGAGGGAAGAAAAAGGAAATTGTGAGTTTTTGGGCCCAAATTTGGGTCCTCAGGCACGAAAATCCACGTTTTTTGACACCGAATAAGCCTAGGAGTACTGTAGAGGCCCTAAGCCTATTTTATATCAAAAAATCTGGATTTTTCAGCCCATTTTCTTTCAGCTCAACCCGAAAACCAGAAAATTTTCGAGATTTTATCCCAAATCTGGAGATATTTACCCGAACTTCGCTCCGCCATCCAACCAATTGTTGCTCAATTTTTCGCGCACAAAAATTTCCCGCAACCAGCCACGCGTTTCGACGCGGAAAACCTCGCGGAAACGCTCCGCTTCAAACTCGCTCTACGGATAATGTCACGTGGCAATGGCGCGAAACTACGAAAATTTGAATTGACCACAATGTGTGTGATGTTTTTGGAGGATTGGAAAGAGTTGGCATATTTTCAAGTGACTTGCGGCGAACTTGGGAAAACATGGAGCATTTGGGAAATTGTGTAGAGAAATTGGAGGCGAATTGAAAGATGAGAAAATGAGGATTTTGGCAAGGATTGGACAGGTTTTTGTGAGTCTTTTGGGCCTGAAAATCTGGAAATTTTGACTGAAAATTCGGAATTTTCGTGAATTTTTAGTCTAGAAAAATTTACTGTTTCAAAATTTTGATATAAAAATTTGTTGGTTTTTTGCTTTGATTTTGATTGGTAAGAATCTAAAAGAATTTCGAATTTCAGACAATTTTTAGCTGAAATTCTGAAAATTTTGACTGAAAATTTGGAATTTTCTTGAATTTTTAGTCTAGAAAAATGTACTGTTTCAAAATTTTGATATTAAAAAAGATTTTTTGAATTTTTTCGGTGCCATTTCTGTTATAACCAATAAAAAATTATGAATTTCAGGCAATTTTTAAGATATTTTCTATTTTTTTCACTGAAAATTCAGAATTTTCACGAATTTTTGTTCTAGAAATCAATAATTTCCTCAATTTTCCAGCCCGAAATCGCAATGATGACAATTCCTCAATTACTTCATTCACATCTATCCGATCATCCAAATTCGCGAGAATCCCTCGTCGCTCGATTCCTAAAAATCGCGCGATTCTGCGACAAATCAAATCGTGATTGTGTTGAATGCCTCGCTGAATGTGTTGATTCAATTGGTCTTGATGTTTTTGCTGGATTTGAAGATCTAGAAGAAGATCGAGCTGGAATTGAGATCTTCCGATTCTTCGAACTCGCTATGGTTTTTTTGAAATATCGATTTTTGGATCACTCATTTTTCATAGCGAATTTGATTTTTGATCGAATCTCCTATAAAAATCGCAATCTTATGATGATTCAACGAATTTCGATTGCTGACTTCAAATCTGAAAATGCTGAAAAACTTCTGGAATTGCTCAGGAATATTTATTGTGCTGAAAACAACGCGATTTCGCTGGCAACTTTGCCCAGCGATGAATCGTGGGAGACTCGCAAAATCGCGTTGGCATCTGCCAATTTTTCGCTGAAAAAACTGAAGATTTTCAGCGAATCTGAGCGAAAATCGCGCGATTCGACGATTTGCGAATGGATGTGTGGAATGCGCGAAACCGCGGCGAATTCTGAGTCGCAGAAATATTTGGCGGCGATTTTGCGCGCGAATTTTGAGAATGAATGCTATCCGAAACATGTGGATTGTGTGGAAAAGGAGATTTATAGGATTTTGTATCATCTGGAGGGCCCTAGGCCCGGCCCGAGCCCCCTAAGCCTAGATTTTGAAGAATTCCGGTTGGTCCAAGTGGCCCTTGGCCTTTTTCCACCACAAAATATTTTGGAACATGTGATTGCGACGATTCGAAAAATTCGCGAGAAATGTGGCGAAAATGGCGAAATCCTGCGAGTCGCGAAAATGTTGGCCGAATTGGAGGCTTTTGATGCGGCACTTATGATTTTGGACAAATGGAAGGAACAATGTGTCGAGGTGGGGGATTTTTTTGGAGACCTTGGGCTGAAAATCTGAAATTTTCGACTGAAAATTTGGATTTCTCATGAATTTTTTATCCAGAAAATTGAAAATTTCTAATTTTTTAGCTGAAAATCTACAAATTTTGATTGAAAAATCGAATTCTTTGTGAATTTTTAGCCTAGAAAATTGAAAATTTTGATGAAAAATTAATATTTTGTGGAGACTTTGGGCTGAAAATCTGAAATTTTTGACTGAAAATTTGGATTCTTCATGAATTTTTGGTCTAGAAAAGTGAAAATCTAGTGAAAAATTGATATTTTGTTTTTCCCCGAAAATTTCCTGTTTCAAAATTTTGGTATAAAAAAATGTTTGAATTTTTTTTTGATCCCCTCCTGATTCTCCTGTCCAAAAAATCTGAAATTTTCTAATTTTTTAGCTGAAAATCTGAAATTTTTGACTGAAAATTTAGATTTCTCAGGAATTTTAGCCTAGAAAAATTAAAATCTAGTGAAAAATAACATTTTGTTTTTTCCCGAAAATTTACTGTTTCAAAATTTTGGTTTTGTTGTATTTACTTTTTTACGAAAAATCTGAAATTTTTGACTGAAAATTTGAATTTCTCGTGAATTTTTAGCCTAGAAAATTGAAAATTTGATGAAAAATTGATATTTTGTTATTCCCGAAAAATTACTGTTTCAAAATTTTGGTATAAAAAAAGTTTTCCAAATTTTTTTGATTCAGATCCCGGTTCTCCTCTCCTGTCCAAAAAATCTGAAATTTTCTAATTTTTTTTCTGAAAATCTGAAATTTTTGACTAAAAATTTGGATTCTTCATGAATTTTCAGCCTAGAAAATTGCAAATTTGATGAAAAATAACATTTTGTTTTTTCCCGAAAATTTACTGTTTCAAAATTTTGGCTTAAAAAATTTGGAATTTTTTTTTGATACTCCAAGATTAGAAAAATCTGAAACTGCTGAAAATCTACAAATTTTGATTGAAAAATCGAATTCTTTGTGAATTTTTAGTCTATAAAATTGATTTTTACTTACAAAATTCAATTTATTTTTTCCCAAAAATTTACTGTTTCAAAATTTTGGTATAAAAAAATTTTTAGAAATTTTTTTTGATTTTGCAAATTAGGTTGTTTCTAGAAATTTTGAATTTTCACTGGAAGCCCCGCCCACAAAAATTTCATTCAACACATTTTGGCAATTTTACAAGCTCCAAAAAAATTCGTGGGCTCACTGCTCAAAAATTGCTCAGTTTTTGCTCTCATTCTCCGCGCATTCTCTTTGCACTCCTCAAAACGATTTCCATGACCAGATTTTTTCAACTCTTCACATTCCTGAATTAATTAATTAATTAGGGCTAATTTCATAGAGCTAATTACCGCTAGAAGATAATTCTCAAGACTCGACGAGCCGCCACGTTGCTCCAAAAGTTTGAGACAAATTTGGCAGGTTTTTGATTGCTCAACGCAATTTGAAAGAGAAAATAAGACGAAAAATAGGAGGATTTTGAACATTTTCAAGTTTGAAAATGAAATTTTGTTCTGGAAATAGTTTTCTCACAGACAAGTTTTATTAGGGAAAATTGAGCACGTTTTATGCCAAAAAATCAAATTTTTCAATAAATTCTGAACCTGGAAAATTTACGTTTCGAAAAATCCTGAAAATTTTTCATTTTTCATAGAGTTTCGATAATTGGACTACTTGAACATCTCAAATTTCGTTTTTCAACAAAGTTCGATGTTTTCCACGAAAAATGTAAAAATCAATAATTTCCCAGCAAAAATCTGTATATAAAACCACTTCAGACAACATGAATTTTTTTTCAAAAAATTCTGTGTAACTTCAGAAGAAAATGTTCAAAATTCTCCAAATTCTCATCATTATATTCTTTTTCAATGCAATTCTAGGCTCTCAAAACCTTTGCGAAACGTGTCTGAATTTAGCGAATGTCGAGAAAATTGAAAATTTCAAGTTGGAAGATTGCAAAATTTTGCACAAAACCATGGATTCTTTGAGAAAATGTGTGGAAGAAGTTTATGAAAATATGAGGGAAATTCGAATTTTTGCGTGGAAAACATCGAATAAAACGGAGGAAATTTGTAAATTCGCCAAATTTTGTTGAAAAATATATTTTTTTAACAATAAGAATTGCATGAAAAACTCTTTGGTTCACAAACGAAAAAAACTTAGAAAAATGTTTTTTTAACATTGAAAGATCAATTCACGAAAAGTCAAAAATGTCGAAAAAACATTAGTTTTTCGAGTTTTTCAGCCAAAAATGATGACAAATCAATATTTTTCAATCTTCTGGAGTAATTTCTGATGAAAATTGACTTTGGAATTCACTTTCCAGAAGGTTTTGCTGATTTTTCGTGAAATAAAAATTTTTTAAAATTTGATGAATTTCGAAAAATTTTATAAAATAAAGCAAAATAGGGTTCTCAAAGCTTATTTTCATCAGAAATTACTCCAGAAGCTTAAAAAATATCGATTTGTCATCATTTTTGGCTGAAAAACTCGAAAAACTAATGTTTTTTCGATGTTTTTTGACTTTTCGTGAATTGATCTTTCAATGTTAAAAAGAAGTTTTTTCGTTCGTGAATCAGCCCTAGAGAAAACTGTCGAAAAGGTACAAGTTTTCTGCTCAAATTCAATAAAAACGACCGGAAACCGGTGAAAAAACACGGCCTGTGAATCAAAAAAAAATCCCAAACTTCATTAACATCTGCCAACAACCGATTTACAAGCCTTTTTCGCCGAATATCCCTTCTGATTCATCAGATTTTTCATCTTATTAAAGTTCAGTAATTGATCCTCATAACAAGTTGTCTCAATTCCCTTACAATGCTCCACGATACGTTTCAAATATCGATTTGCCTCTGTTTCGGAGATTAGAACCTCTTGACAAAGGAGACATTCTTGATTTGAGGCTGAGCAGATTTTTAGGATGAAAATTAGGAGAATTGGGAACAAAATCATGGTTTCTTGGTTGATTTTTGTTGGAGAGACGCGATTATAAAGCGGTTGTTGTCTGTGGGAATTTTTTGTTGGAATTTTTCAATTTTCTAGAACAAAAATTCGTGAAAAATTCAATTTTTCAGTCAAAAACCCGAGATTTTCAGCAAAAACTCGTCTGAAATTCAAATATCTATAGAAATTATAAAAATCAATGGAACCAAAAAAAAATTCAAAAAAATATATCAAAATTTTGAAACAGTAATTTTTTCTAGATCAAAAGTTCGTGAAACATCCAATTTTTTAGTCAAAAATCTCCGATTTCAGCTAAAAAGTGTCTGAAATTCGAAGTTCTGATAACCAAGACCAAATCAAAAAAAAAACAAACAAATTTTTACGAAAAAATCTGAAATTTTTGACTGAAAATTTGGATTTCTCGTGAATTTTTAGCCTAAAAAATTGAAAATTTAATGAAAAATAACATTTGGTTTTTTCCCAAAAAATTACTGTTTCAAAATTTTGGTATAAAAAAAGTTTTCCAATTTTTTTGATCCTGACCCCGATTCTCCTGTCCAAAAAATCTGAAATTTTCTAATTTTTTAGCTGAAAATCTGAAATTTTTGACTGAAAATTTGGATTCTTCGTGAATTTTTGGACTAGAAAATTGAACATTTGATGAAAAATAACTTTTTGTTTTTTCCCGAAAATTTACTGTTTCAAAATTTTGGTATAAAAATTTTTTAGAATTTTTTTTGATGTACAAATTTGGTTTTCACGAAAAATCTGGAATTTTTGACTGAAAATTTGGATTCTTTGTGCATTTTTGGTCTAGAAAATTGGAAATTTCTAATTTTTTAGCTGAAAATCTGAAATTTTTGACTGAAAATTTGGATTCTTCGTGAATTTTTATCCAGAAAATTGAAAATTTGATGAAAAATAATATTTTGTTTTTTCCCGAAAAATTACTGTTTCAAAATTTTTGTATAAAAAAATGTTTTAATTTTTTTATGATACTGCAAAAATGGATTGCATTCATAACAAAATTTTGGAACAGTAAATTTTTCGAGAAAACCAAAATTTCATTCATTTTCAAAATTTCTAAACTGAAAATTCACGAAAAATCCGAATTTTCAGTCAAAAATTTCGGATTTTCAACAAAAACTCCTCATATTTTTTTCCAGAATCCCGTCGACCAAAGCCTCATCGAAATTTGTCGCGCCGAAATTTTGTTCAATTCCGGCGAGCCGAAAATCGCCGAAAAGCACATTTTATCCATAAAACCGCAAAATTTCGAATCTCGCGCCGAATTCAGTTTGGTTCAGAGTCGAATTCTGATCGAATATCGAAATGATTCAGAAGAAGCGATGCGAATTCTGGAAAAATCGATAAAAACATCTGAAACTCGAGATTCTTGTGCTGAAAATCAGAATTCTTCTGAAGTGAAATTGAAGGTTTTGCTGCGATTCCACGATGTTTGTATGGATCAATTAACTGAATTGGATAAATATAAAGAGGGATTGATTTATCGCATTAAAAAGCAGGCGATTGAACAATTTCAGACTCAAATTGATCAGAAATCGGAAATGTGAGTTTTTTGAGACTGCTGTAGGATTTTTGGCGCGAAATTTAGCTATTTTTTGAGACCGAATAGGGTACTGTAGATTCAGAAATGAGCTACAGTAACCCCAATTCCTACTGTAGCGAAAATTTGAAATTTCAATTCCCGAAAAAAATACGTTTCAAAATTTTGGTATAAAAAAATTTTGAAACTTTTTTTTCCTATTACTGATAAATGTCCTCAATTCTATATTTTTGGCTGAAATTCTGAAAAATTCGGGTTACTGTAGGGTTTTGGCGCGAAAATTTGCTATTTTTTGAGACCAAACATGCCTAGGGTACTGTAGATTCAAAAATGAGGTACAGTAACCTGAAATTTCTAGCTCCACATTGCTACAGTAACCCCAATAATCCTACTGTAGCGAAAATTTGAAATTTCAGAAAATTCCCGAAAAAAATACGTTTCAAAATTTTGATATAAAAATTTTTTGAAAGTTTTTTTCAATCTTTAGTTTTTGGCTGAAATTTCAAATTCTGAAAAAATTCGGGTTACTGTAGGATTTTTGGCGCCAAAAAATTGAGCTACAGTAACCCATAGCATATTCGGTTTAACAAAAAACCCTAAATACCTAGCTCCATATTTCTACAGTAACCCCCAATTCCTACTGTAGCGAAAATTTGAAATTTCAATTCCCGAAAAAATACGTTTCAAAATTTTGGTATAAAAATTTTTGAACATTTTTTTTCAATTGTATATTTTTGGCTGAAATCTCAAATTCTGAAAAAATTCGGGTTACTGTAGGATTTTTGGCGCGAAAATTTGCTATTTTTTGAGACCGAATATGAAAGGGTACTGTAGGGTCGAAAATGAGCTACAGTAACCTGAAATTTCTAGCTCCACATTTCTACAGTAACCCCAATTCCTACAGTAGCGAAAATTTGAAATTTCAATTCCCGAAAAAAATACGTTTCAAAATTTTGGTATAAAAAATTTTTGAAAAATTTTTTTGTTAAACGGCATGAAAATTCAAATTTCCAAAATCTACAGTAATCCTAGCCTTATGTATTATCAAAATTCGCCAAATTTCTTGCAGAACTCGCCGAAAATCATCTGCGACGCGACAAATCGCAGACGACGAAGAAAATCGTCGCACAATTCATCGACTGACTCGCGAACAAAAATGTGAACAAGATCATGTCGATCAAACTGAAGCCGCAATTGTCGCAGCAGCCCAAAAGGCGGTCGCTTCCGGACTCGCCGCACTCGAAACTATCGCAACCGCAAGTCGCGACGCGGAAGATGACGCGACGCAACGCTCGCAAGCCGCACTCGTCATTTTCCCCCTTATCGATGTGATTTTCAAGTATGAAGTGCTTCCAGAAATTGTTGCGGTGGTTCGAGATCGCACGCCGCGAATCTCGTCGCGACTTTGGATTTGTGCCGCGTCGCATGTTGCGTCGCGGTGTTTTGCCGCGCGGCAACAATCGCCATTGCGGAAATATTTGAGACAGGTTGGGGCACAGTTTTGTGGGCGTGGCCTAATTTTTTTGGAATTTTGCAGATTCTGACGCGACTTGTTATCGATTACCCTTTCCATGTGTTGCACACCCTTTTGATGTATGAATATGAGAGTGTGAGTTTTTAAGGGTTACTGTAGCTACAGTAGTTTTCGAAGATCAAATTTTGAACCGAAAAATCTGAAAAAATCGATAATTTTGAATTTTTTGGCACGTGGATTTTTTCAAAGATTTTTCAAAGGCTACTGTAGCTACAGTAGTTGTTGAAGCTGAAAATTCTGAAATTTTTCTGAAAATATCAATTTTTTAACCGAAAGATCTGAAAAAATCGATAATTTTGAAGTTTTTGCCACGTGGATTTTTTTTGAGATTTTGCAAAGGTTACTGTAGCTACAGTAGTTTTTGAAGCTGAAAATTCTAGAAAATATCTGAAAATATCAATAATTTTAAATTTTTGCCACGTGGATTTTTTTAAAAAGATTTTTTAAAGGTTACTGTAGCTACAGTAGTTTTTGAAGCTGAAAATTCTAGAAAATATCTGAAAATATCAATTTTTGAACCGAAAAATCTGAAAAAAATCGATAATTGTGAATTTTTTTTTTGACAAATCTTCCGACTGAAAATCTAGCTGAAAATCTGAAATTTTTCTGAAAATCTCAACATTTTCACTCTAAAGATCTGAAAAAATCGATAGTTTTTGCCACGTGGATTTTTGAGCAAAAATGCATTTTTATCTGAAAATCTGAAAAAAAATCAATAATTCTAAATTTTTTGCCACGTGGATTTTTAAAAAAATTCCCCAAATTTTTTTTTGCAGAACGGCGCCGAAACTCGCCGCTTCATCGATCAAATCGCCGACGAATGCGGAAGTGGCGGCGGCGACGCGCGGAAACTCCGCGACATAATCCGCGAGATGCGCCGCGCTCACGAAGCCTATCGAGAATTTGCGCGGATCGACGCGCGGAAAGATCTAGCACCTGCTGTCAATTCACGATACACCCTTCCCGCCTCGCTGAAACTTCATCATGTTGAGCTGACGCGTCTCCCATTGCCGTGTGTCACGCAAAAGCTTCCGCGTTCCGCGTGCGATTATTCCGCGCGCGAATTGGTGACGTGGCAAACGTGGAAACCGTATTTCACTCTGGCTGACGGCCTATCAACCCCAAAAATTTGGGAAATTCAGGGTTCCGATGGATTTTGGTATAAAATTGTGTGGAAAAAAGAGGATGTGAGGCAGGATTTGCTCGTCGAGCAAATGTTTGACATCACAAATTGTATTCTGGACAAAAATGATGGGCTCAAAAATTTGCGGACCTATAAAATTGTGCCATTAGATCAGGGATGTGGATTGATTGAGTTTTGTCATGGAACTGTTAGTATGAGTGAGTTTTTTGGGGGGAAAATCCACGTTTTTTTGACACTAAATGAGCCTAGGCCCGAATTGGGCCGAATAGCCCTTTCTGGCCTGAAAAATCCATGTTTTTTGACACCAAATGAGTCTAGGGTTACTGTAGATTGTTTTTGGCGCCAAAATTTTGAATTTGAAATTTTCCTGCCAAAAATTTGAAAATTGAATTTGGCCCCAAAAATTACAGTAACCCATGACATATTTAGGCTCTAGTTTAAAATTTTTTAAATTCAATTTTTTTGGCGCCAAAATTATCTACAGTACCCCTAGGCTTATTTAATATCAAAAAGTTTCAAATTTTCGCGCCAAAAACTACAGTAACCCATGACAAATATTTGGGCTCTAGTTTGAAATTTGAATTTTTTGTCACCAAAAATGATGCCTACAGTACCCCTAGGCTTGTTTAATATCAAAAAGTTTCAAATTTTCGCGCCAAAGTTATCTACAGTACCCCTAGGCTTATTTACTATCAAAAAAATTTCAAATTTTCGCGCCAAAATTATCTACAGTACCCCTAGGCTTATTTACTATCAAAAAATTTCAAATTTTCGCGCCAAAATTATCTACAGTACCCCAAGGCTTGTTTACTATCAAAAAGTTTCAAATTTTCACGCCAAAATTATCTACAGTACCCCTAGGCTTATTTAATATCAAAAATCCCCAAATTTTTTGCAGAAGAACTGCTGTGTGGTGCAAATCGTCAAGGTGGTCTCCACCACAAATATCACCCAAATGAATGTTCAATTTCTGAAATAACCCGTCAAATGCGAGACTGTCAAAAAGATTCCATCGAACAACGTCGTCAAGTCTTCATAAATATTTGTCGTCAAATTTCGCCAGTCTTTCGCCATCATTTCTACGAATCCAACCATTTCAGCTGCCAAATTTGGCGCCAAAAATTGACGGAATACCGTAGGAGCCTGTCAACGTGGAGTGTTGTTGGTTATATTGTTGGATTGGGTGACAGACACACGTCGAACATCTTGTTTGATATGCAACAATGCCATTTTGTGCATATTGATTTTGGTGAGTACTGTAGCCTAGGGGTACTGTAGGGGGTTTTTTGCGGGAAATTTCACGTATTTTGAGACCAAATATGCCTAGAGGTACTGTAGGCGGGAAAATTCGATTTTTTTTGTCACGCCTACTGTAAACTACAGTAGTCCGAGCGCGTGAGTATAGATCAAGAGTGTATGTCCCTTTAAAATACCGTAGTTCCTTAGGGTACAGTACCTCAAAGCTACAGTAATAATTTGAAGGGACGTACACTTTGAAAACTTGATTTTTTATAAAAGGCTAGGGGTACTGTAGATGGTTACTGTAGCTTTGAACTAAGAAACTACAGTACTTTAAAGGGACATCTCCCTTTAAATGATTACTGTAGCTTTGAGGTGCTGTACTCTTACTCTAAAAACTACGGTAATTCAAAGGGACATACACTCGCTTCGCTGGAGCCGCTTTCGCGGGATTTTGATCTACACTCGCGCCAGAGGCACTCGGAGTACTGTAGATCACTTAAAGGGACATACAGTACCCCGAGCGCCTCTGGCGCGAGTGTAGACCAAAATTACGCGAAAGCGGCTCGAGCGAAGCGAGTGTATGTTCCTTTAAAATACCGTAGTTTCTTAGGGTACAGTACCTCAAAGCTTCTTTCAATTACTGTAGCTTTAAGGTACTGTACTTCAATTGTTTGAATTAAGATTTTCTCAAGCTCCGCCCCTTTATGCAATTTTGCGGCATGGTTTTTTGACCAGACATATTCGGTCTCTATCAGCACTTCAAAGGAGCATACAGTACCCCGAGAACCTTTGGCACGACTGTATGTCCCTTTAGATTACTGTTGCTTCTAGGTACTGTTCCCGGTAATTTAAAGGGACATACGAACTGTAGCTACAGTAACCCTCTAGGTGTATTTGGTGTCAAAAAATTCGCATTTGAACCTATTTTTTTGCAGGTATGATTCTGGAATACAGTAAACGTCTTCTACCAGTTCCTGAATTAGTTCCATTTCGGCTAACTCGAGATTTGTTGGATCCAATTCTAATCGAAGGAATCGAAAATGGACAATTGGCTGAAAATTGCACAAATGTGCTCGAAAAACTCAAAACTCATCAAAAAGTTTTGCTCGGCGTCGCCTCTGGTTTGCTCCGCGAAACGATGTCGAACTTCCGCGAAGTCGAAGAGAATCTCAATCGTCCCAGCTTCATCTCACAAATGGCAATCGGAAGGTTGCGCGAGAAATTGGCGCGAAAACAACAAATTTCAAATCTCGAGATTCGCCGATTGTTGAGAGAGTCGACGAATTCCGATAACTTGTCGCGGATGTTTTGTGGATGGATGCCGTTTTTGTGATTACTGTGGGTTACTGTAGGGGGTTTTGACGTGAAAAATTTGAATTTTCCATCATTTTGTGATCATTTTGAACCCGAATTTGCCACGTGGCATTTTTTGTATTTTTTGAACTCGGGTCATTTTTACTACCTGTGAATATTTTTTGTTTTGATGAAGTTTTTAGTTTTTTCGGGTTACTGTAGATTTTTGCGCTAACAGTCTGAGGGTATGTCCCTTTAAAATACCGTAGTTACTTATGTTAGAATACAGTACCTCTTCAGATTATTGTAGCTTCTAGGTACTGCACTTCAAGATTTTCTCTAGCTCCGCCCCATTATGCAATTTTGCGGCATGGTTTTTTCGACCAGCCACATTTGGTATCAAAAAATCCCAAATTTTCTCTACCAGTACTTTAAAGGAGCATACAGTACCCCGAGCGCCTCTGGCGCGAGTGTAGATCAAAATTCCGCGAAAGCGGCTCGAGCGGAGCGAGTGTATGCACCTTTAGATTGAGATACTGTATCCTGAAAGACTACGGTAGGGAATTTTACATTGCATTTCACTAGCCACGCCCCTTTCTGCAATTTTGCGGCATGGTTTTTTTTTGACCGGCCATATTTGGTCTCAAAAAATCCCAAATTTTCCGCATGTCCCTTTAAAATACCGTATTCCAAAAAAATATTTATCTAGCTGCTGGAATTTGAGGCAATTCATAACCGAAGAGCAAAAAATCGAAATAATACATTTGCACCAATTTCGTCATCAAACGCGAATTGTTGCGCAAAATTTGGACAATTTCATCGCGTTCCACAGAATCCCGTGTACTGTGAGCGGTTTTTTGTTGAAGTGACGTGTCTGGAACGCAAAAAGTTGGCTGAAAATATGAATTTATCAGTGGAGCGCGTTTGTCACATTCACGTTTGTGAGTGTGCTCCTTTAGATTACTGTAGCTTTGAAACTACGGTATTTTAAAGGGGCATCCTCCCATTTTCTGCAAATTTGCGGCACAGGATACTGTAGGTGCACTTTAAAGGGCTAAAGATGTATGCACCTTTAAAATACCGTAGTAACTTCAAAAACTAAAACTCACTAATATATTCCATCGATTTGTCATCAACACCATTCGCCGCCAAAAAATCCAAAATATCATCAAAAAATCGCCGAGAATCCAATCGCAAAATGGTATACCGTGCAATATTTTGCGAGAATTCGCAACGCCAAGATTGTGGAAAAAAATGCGAATCGTCGAAATACACATTGCGGGTTTGGCGATGCGCGAAATTCGACATTCGAGAATACATGACATGGATGAAGCATGTGAGATTCTGGAGATTTTTTGAGCTAGAATCAGGGCTCGGCTTGTGAAATTTGATGCATTTTGATACCAAATATGACTAGGTTTTGAGCTACAGTACTTTAAAGGGACATACACTCGCGCTAAAGGCGCTCGGGGTACTGTATGCTCCTTTGAAATTCTGATATACACCGAATATATCCGGTCAAAAACTATGCCGCAAAATTGCATAAAGGGGCGTGGCTTGTGAAAATCTTTGTTAATTTAAACAAGTGAAGTACAGTACCTAGAAGCTACAGTAATCTGAAGAGGTACTATATTCCGACATAGGAAACTATACGGTATTTTAAAGGGACATACACTCGCTTCGCTCGAAAGGCGCTCGGGGTACTGTATGCTCCTTTGAAGTGATCTACAGTACCCCGAGCGCCTTTGGCGCGAGTGTAGATCAAAATTCCGCGAAAGCGGCTCGAGCGAAGCGAGTGTATCTCCCTTTAATATACAGTACTACTACAAACTACAGTACTTTAAAGGGACATACACTCGAGCCGCTTCCGCGGAATTTTGATCTACACTCGCGCTAAAGGCGCTCGGGATACTGTATGCCCCTTTAAGTGATCGAGTGTAGATCAAAATTCCGCGAAAGAGGCTCGAGCGAAGCGAGTGTATGTCCCTTTAAAGTACTGTACTTCTTTCTTATGTTAGTTCAAAGCTACAGTAACCATCTACAGTACCCCTAGCCTTATTTACTATCAAAATGCGTTAAAAAAATCCTATCTAACCGTCTGACACCCTCCACATCTATGATGATGTTTCTGCCACGTCTTCTCTCGCAAACACTTGTCCACAAAACCCGAAACGAATCGCTCCACCGGATCACGAACCACTGTGAAAAGGTGCATTTTCGAATTGCCACGAATTTTTCGAAGTTCCGTGAACTCGTTGATGTTTTTGCACAGTCTGTTTGAAAAATTTGCTATTTTTTGAGACCGCGAAAAAGTACAGTACTCTTCTATGCTTAGTTACGTGGAGCTACAGTAATCTAAAGGGACATACCTAGAATCATAAATATCTCGATCGAGCGTTCGATTTGCCGCCAAAAACCGCGCGGAATCTGTGAGGTAGCACATAATTGCGGTGAGAAATGTGGAGAAGTTTTTTTCGATGGCGCATGCCAGAAGACCGTGCTTCGTGGAGGTCTGTAAAAAAATTCAAAAATTCAAATTTGCCGCCAAAACCAACTCACCCTATATTGCTGTCTAAATTTCACAAAAGCCGGAATACACTGGCTCATATTCTCGCCGCTACAAATATTTTTTGAATTCAAATTTCGCGCCACCTCCTCTTGTTGACACGTGGCATGTTTTTGGTGCGAATTCGAAATTTGAAAAATGAAAATCAGCGAGAATAATAGTAGGGCGATTAAAAGTTTGACGAATTTTTGCATTTTTTTTTTGAGGTGAAATTGAAAATTTTATTGGGTTGGATTAAAAAAATGTGTTTTTTTTTTTGAAAAAAAATTTATCCGATTGATTTTGAACTTTAAAAAAAAATATATTTTTGAAATTTGAATTTTTCAAATTGCGTGAACTATGACGTGGCAATTCTTCCCCCGTTTATTTTTTTCTTCAAAAATTTGGAGCCTCAATCATTTCTAGATTATGTATTTCAAAAAAATTGCAAAAATATTATTTTTATTAGAAATTTTAAACTTTATTGAAACTATTCAATTTTTATCAACAAATTCTTCTGCTGGAACATTCGAGGAATTTTTGATATTATCTGAAATATCTGAAAATCCAACAAGAATTTGTGTGGAATTTTTTGAATCGGAAAAATATCGATTTTTTGAGGATATACAATCTGAAGGAATTCGAGAAATAAAAAAGGGAAATCAAATAAAATTCGAGAAAAAAATAGAGGAAGGTGATGAGATTTATATCGCTTTTGAAATGTGAGTTTCTGAAATTAATTCTGGGGAATTTCGCATTTCTCTTTGAAAATTCCCTCAAACTCAACAAATTTATTAAAAAGTGAGTAAAATGTACAAAATTTAACAGAAGAGAAAAAACACCATCAACAATAAAACAATCAACTTTTGTTAATTCCAATTTTGAAAACTCTTCAACAATTTCAAAACCACCTCAACTTCTTTCTGATTTTCCGATTCATCTCTAATTTCTTCAAATCGCTCACGAAAAACCTCAAAAGCTTCCTCATAAAATTGTTCTTTTCCAAAAATGAACGAACTATTCAACAATTTTTTGTCGCAAAACAAAAACTTAATTTCATTTTGCAAAAATCTCGCGGGAATCACTTTTCGCTTCAACAACACTTCTCCATCGCTTTTTTTGGTGAAATCAAGAAATTCGAAAAATTTCACAAAAAGTTCAACGCTTTTTGGTCTATCTTCTTCTCGCTGAAAAAAAAATTCCACAAAGAAAAATTAACAAAACGTACCAAAACAGCCCAAGGAATTCTCGTTTTCATCAATTCATAAAATTGTTTCCATGACATTTCAAAGCGAAGTGGGATTGTTGGAAGAATATTCCTGAAAATTTAAAAAAAAACTGTCAATTTTCTCTAAAAGGCTCACATAAATTCAATTTCTCGACATTCTTGCATTTTTCGAAGCCCATTTTGAAACATTTCCGATTTCATCAAATCATTCATATAATATTTCCTATCCAAAAACACTCCCTGATTTGCACAGAATTTTTCGAGTTGTCGATTTTTGGTTTTCATATAATTGAAAATGAGACTTTTGTGTGCGATCAAAATGTTTTTTGGTTCAGAATTTTGAGGCAAATAATCGTCCTTCAAATATTCGAGTTGATCACAAATGGATGGATAATCGGAAAATAATTTGTATAAAACTTCTAGTGCTTCTGATTGTTTGATCGTTCGCATTGGAATTTTGAAAATCGGCTGAAAATTTAAATTTTTCAAAATTCCTAGAGAAAAACATTGTTTTTTTAAAGAATTAAATACCTCTTCGGCATATTTGGCAAGTTCAACATAAGCTCGATTCATAATCTCTTTCAATTTCCAAGTCTCAACCATAAATCTTTGATTTCGATTTGCACTAAAAACCTCATTTTCTCCTGTCAATTTTTCACCAAACCAAGCAATAATTTCCTCAGAAAATGTCCTGACAGCCGTCCGCGAGGTTGCGAGCCGTCTAATGCTAGCAGAGGCTGTCCGGCAGCTCGCATTCTCATAAAAAGGGGAGGATCGAGCGCATCTCCTCGCCGCCAGCTAGCGGACAGAAAAAATTGCGACTGGAGCAGATTTGCTCGTCTATTTCCTTTTTAATTTTTTTCGAATTTTTTGGCCTAAAATATTTTTATGCCTTTTTCATCGAGAATTTTCACAGAAAGCATGCAAGCAACGTCGCAAAGTGTTCTAATGGAGACGGTGCACATTGCCAGGCACCTTCGTGACATGAAAATGTGTTTTTGGTGAGTGCAGATGATTTTTAATTCAGTAAATTAGTGTAAACCTATTTTTCAGGGCTCTCGATGATTAAAGCGAGGATTTCGATTGAAATGGTAGAATGGACGAGCAACACAACAATATTTTTGATAAAATTTATAAGGTAAGGTGTTTTGAATGAACGCTTTGGTTCCTGAGTCCCAGTAGTATTAATATCATTCTCTACTGTAGAAACAAATCAATTTCGTGAGAAAAGAACTCATTCTATCAAAAATTCGAATGGAAAATTGTATATTCATCATGTTTGTTACTCATATTCATCTAGAAATGAATTTGATTGTATTTTTCCATCAGTGCTTTAAAAATTAGAGAACTATTACTTCTAGAAAATTAGTTATAATAATAATTTATGACGACACTGAAGGTGTTCGCAGCAAAAACAAAGGAATATATAAAACATGGCAGATAAAAATTAAGAATGAGTTGGGTTTGAATTTTTTTTAGTTATAGGAATAAAAGTCATTTCTATGTCATTGACAAGTCGTAAACTCTTAAATCGCTTGTCAGCTCTGACTCACTTTCTACGCAAACCTTATGGGACAATTCGCGAAGAAAAAAAACACGTCTAAACACTTTTTTCTTCGCGAATTGTCTCATTATAATTTTGGCTCGTTGTGTTTTCTAAACATTGAACGCTGCATCAGCAGTGTTGTTTTCATTGTTTTGCAGATAATAGATAGATAATAGGATAAATCTGAATATGAAATTTAAAAAACTTCAAAAATGACTAGGTTATTTCTCATTTCCCAATGCCCTATATTTTTAAGCAAAGTTTCCAACACGATTCAAAATTTCAGATTCTACAATCATCAGTCAAATCTTCACAGCCTGGAAACTACAACACATCACCCTCCACACTTCGACATCCACACGATTCTGATAAATGAAGTGTTTTTTGTTTAATAAATACTTTTGAAACAAGCTCTATGAACTGCAAAAACAACGGCAAGCGCTAGCTAGCAGCGAGAACTGGCGAGGTCTCGCCAGAAAAATGCGAGAAATGGACGGCCGTCTGCCGGCTCGCGTGCTAGCTGGCGAGATTTTCTCGCCGACGGCTGTCAGGACACTTTCTGAGTCTGGCAAATTCTTCTTTTTCAATCCTCCTTTTCGAAACAAATTCAAACCATATGCGACTTCATCGAAAAAATTACGAAATGCGTAGAATGCCAATTTACAATATGTTCCATAAGGAGTTGAGATCGGATGCGAACAACGAAACTTTGAAACTTGGATGGGAATGGAGATGAGATGAACATCGTCATCTGATAATTTCAAAATTTTCAGGATTTTTTTTGAATGTTTCCAATTCCAAAACTTTTAAAATTCCAAGTTTACGTTCTTCTTCATTTTCGATTGAAATCAAACCTGCAAAATTATATTAGTTCATTGAAAATCTCCAATGAAAGCTTCATTATGTATTTTAAATTAAAATTTTTAACAAACCTTTTGGAAAAGGTTTCGAGTATTTCTTTTTCATCACAATATCCAGCACATTCTCCGCTTCTTTCGCGATGAAAAATGTTCTTGAATCACATCTTTTCTCATTTTCAAAAAATCCTCGAAGAACTTCATATTTTTTGTGAAACCAATCAGCTGTGTTGAAAAAGTTTTCAACACAATTTTTCCATGATACGAGAGACATATAAAGATTTGTATATTCATATTTGTTCGCAGATAATGGCAACATTTCATTTTCCAGATGAAGTAGCGTATTTACTTGTGAGATCAAGTCATCGTCGTATTTCGAGTCGAAAATAGTTATGAAATTCTCAAATTTCAAATCAATAACATCGAAGATATATGCAGTTCGACCATACGATTCAATCAAATCCTTCATTTGTTTATCAAATATCTGCTTCGGGATCATATCATTGCTTTGATTTGTTTCATTCAAATGTCTTCCAATTTTTCGAATAACAGACGTGTTCACCAATTTCATTAGAAATGACATCTTTCCTTTGAATTTCATAGCATAAAAACTTCCAAGTGCCTCATGCTTTGTGAAAAACATCGTATTTTTTGAACTCAAGTACGATATAGAACGGTGTTCGAAGTTAATTTTACAACCAAAATAGAGAAATGGGTTCGGAAACATTTGCTGCGCAATAAGATTGTTGAGCAAGTTATCTTTGTTTTTGAATAATTCGAAAACAGTACTTTCCTCGTCTTCGAATAAAATATCCAGCAAATCATCGATATTTTCGATCTTCGAGCTTTTGAACTTGTCAGAAATGTTCTAAATAATTATTGATTCATTATTGAAAATAACTCGATATTTTGTGAAAACTTACATTTCCATTAACTGTTTCTATCACCAAAGCTTTCACATATTCATTTGACCATCCAATGGTGGCTTCTTCTCGAGTTAATATAGGATATTCCATGATTTTTTGCATGGAAAAAAAGCGAAAAAAGAAAAAAAAAGAAAAAAATGTCTTACGGTAGATATTCAAGGCACACGCACAATTGTGTGAGATATCTCGCAGCGAAAAGCGTGCATTTATTTTTTCAAAAATTTTTTTTTATTGTTTTCTCAAAAAAATTTTTTTTTTCATTTGCAACAAGAAGAGCATACATAATTTTACAGCTTCCAAAATTACGTGAACTATAACGTGGCAAATTTCCCCTTTCATTTTTCACTCCAAAAATCGCCCAATCATTTCTAGATTATGTATTTCAACAAAATTGCAATAATATTATTTTTATTAGAAATTCTAAACTTTATTGAAACTATTCAATTTTTATCAACAAATTCTTCTGCTGGAAAATTCGAGGAATTTTTGATATTATCTGAAATGTCTGAAAATCCAACAAGAATTTGTGTGGAATTTTTTGAATCGGAAAAATATCGATTTTTTGAGGATATACAATCTGAAGGAATTCAAGAATTAAGAAAGGGAAATCAATAGAATTCTAGAAAAAAATAGAGGAAGGTGATGAGATTTATATTGCTTTTGAAATGTGAGTTGATTAAAAAATTTTAAAATTGAAATTGATGTTGCAGAATTTTGATGAGTGTACTGACAAGTTCAATATTTATCTCAATTTTCATGCAAATTTCCAATTTTTTATTGGTTAATTTGTTTATTTTGGAAAATGATGAAGAATGAAGTTAAATTAACTAACAAACAAAACTTTCTTTAATATAAGTCCCATTTCGCTTCAATTTCATTTCTCGATATTGTGCTAACGAATTTAATGCATCCTCCGGAATTCCCCTTGTCTTCCCATCTCGAATCATTTGACGCAAACAAATTATTGGACCAAAATCAAAATTTTCAAGAACTTTGTTTGCTGCAAAATACATATTTTAACTTCAGAATATCAACATTTTTTACCTATAATATGATTAGTATTTGCTGCAAATTCGTTCAAATATTCAACCCCAATAATACATATTCCATGCCTTTTCCATTTTGATCTACAACTTTTATCATATCCATCTGGTCCACTAAAATTCCAATCAGTTTTTCTTGTCAAATCGTCAGATTGCATGCAATTTGATGTCATTTGTCCCGCAAGTCCCAATGAATTTCCAAACAACGTTTGAATTAACATCTCATCAACTCCATACATCAAATTATTATCGAATAAATCCAAAATTGATTGCAAATTTAATTTATCGAAAATTGAATCAACAAATATTTTGGACAAAAATACTTGATTAAGTCCTTTGCGAATTTTCAAAGGTGTATGTAAAATTTCATTCGACACTTCTTTTTCTGCAAAAAAAAGTTGACTTTGGGGGTGGGGGTCGAACCCTGGTTTCGCAAGCCATAGGCAGCCGTGTATACCACTCGGCTATGCTCACCATTTTTAAAAAGTTTCAAAGCAGCTGGTGTCCAATTCGCATTCTCTTTATATCTTCCCTGAATTCCATATTCCATGCCCATAATACTTGTATAATTCAACATTTCACTAAGATCCGATAATTGTTCAGTGGATTTAAGAACTATGTCATTGTTCTGAAAAAAACTTTGTCAAAAAAAAAAAAAAAAAAAAAAAATTTCTTATGAACCTGTAGGAGTAAAACATGCATCCAATTGCGATTCGAAATCATTTTGAGACAATCAAAATGTGCTCGATCTTGAAAATGTCCCCAAGAATCGAATGAATATTTCGTGGGATTTATGATAATATTTGGTAGGCATTTTGAGAGTAATCGCATGTTTTCGAAAAGTCGCAGAGCTGATTTTGAATCAATTGAAAAACAATATGTATTTTCTGGATGATAGTTTAATGAGAGAAGACTTTCTTGAAGTTCATAAAGCTGCAAAAAATCACATTTTTCTGAAAAAAAACGAGAGAAAACGAGAGAGTGTGCGTGCAGAAGAGACGCGAGACAAAAAAGGGATATGAAAAAAATAAAAATCTCTAATTTCTCACCTACCCCCGCGACGCGTGTGCGTTGCGGTCGCTTTTCCATACAAAACCCCCGTTGGCTGTTTGCCAGCGGGCTCTCTCGCTGTCTGCGTCTCCTGCAACAAAATGAGAAAAACGAGAGAGTGTGTGTGCAGAAGAGACGCGAGACGAAAAAGGGATATGGAAAAAATAGTCACATTTTTCTATTGTCCGTTTGGAAATAAGAGTCACCCCGCGAAAAAATTAATTTGAATTGAGAAAATCTCTAATTTCCCCCCTACCCCCGCGACGCGTGTGCGTTGCGGTCGCTTTCCCATACAAAACCCCCGTTGGCTGTTTGCCAGCGGGCTCTCTCGCTGTCTGCGTCTCCTGCAACAAAATGAGAAAAACGAGAGAGTGTGCGTGCAGAAGAGACGCGAGACGAAAAAGGGATATGAAAAAAAAAACTCCGCCTTTTTTTTTTCTAGAAAAAAATCTCCATATATCCTTGTTTTAATATTTTCACAATCCATCGGAAGTTCTAAAAGTTTTCCGAGTTCTAATTTCAATCTTCCATTATTCACATAATTGTCAATCGCATCTATTGAACCATTGATTATTTGGGAACAATTCAAAAATTTAGATTCACTTCTGAAATTTTTTTTCATATAAGACGTCTAGATTCACATTAAATTTCTCACTTTGTAAAATAAAAATCCTCAAAATTTTTGTTTTTTTGAAAAAAAACATGTGATTTTGCTTTCATCATTTGCTGAAAATTGTAATTTTTTGTTAATTAAAATTTTTGAAAACTCACTTTTTCACTTTGAACATAAAATAGAATGCTGTGAAATATTAATATTCCACAAATAAAAAATAAGGAATTCTTAAGTTCAGACATAATAAATTTCAAATAGGCCTATTATTAACAAGGTTATCGAAAATAATCTGACCCGTTATTTTTTAATTGAAGTTTTAATTGGGTAGATCAAATCTAAAAAATCTAAAAAATCAATTATTTGGGAAATTATCTTAAATTATCGATTTTTTTCCAAATTCTCAAATTATAAAATGCAATTTTTGAAACGTATATTTGGCAAGTTGCCCAAAAAAATACGCAAAAAATTTTTTAAACTTTAAACACATTCAATTTCAAATTTCATTCTTCATTTTCTGTCACATGAAAACAACAAAAATATGCATGAAATTGAAGATTTGAATAGCAATTGATATTATTGTGAAACTTCCAAGAACACTGAAAATCACCGCATCTGAAAAAATAAATTTTCAGAATTCATAATAAAAATTCCATAAATCAACTCACAATCTTTGATTTTCTTTTCCTTTCTTCTCAAAATCATAATTCGTTCCCTTGTCTGAATATTTGGAAATTCAAAAATTTTCGAAGATTTTCTTGATGTTTTTGATATAATTCCTCCAATAACAATAACAGATCTCGATTCAGAATAGAAATATAAAGGATTATCGATTGATTTGCAATTTTTATAAAATGGCAAAGTTTTTCCAAAATAATTTTTGAAATCAGAAATAAAACAAAAATTGTAGATGAATTTGAATTGATAATTATTTGATTTTTGACAAATTCACAATCATTTTTATCTCGACATGGATGATGATGTTGCATATTAATTAATTCATTTTCTCCTATCAAAGCAGTTTCTTGATTTTGAAAATCTTTAAATTTTGTGTCATAAAATAGAATACTCAATCCTTTATTTGAATGTGTCACATTTTTGACAATTTCATTGAAAAATCGATTATTCCATCTTCTATTCTGATAATATTTTTCAAGATATCGAACTTTAAGTGTATTATTTTCAATAAAATATTGATATCCAACTTCATCATTCTTATTTTTGAATTGAAGTTAAAAATATAATGGATTTTCCTTATTTTGTCCAAATAAATGAAACATAAAATGTTCGGACCAATCAGATTTTGAAGGTAGAACAATGTTATGAACTCCAGTGTAACCAGATAATATTTCAAAATTCTTCAACACTGATCTTTCAAAATTCCGATCTTCTCGATTTATATTTTGATATTTTTCCTGATTTATTCTATAAGTTCCATTAATATTACATCCATTATGATAAATAATATCAAAAATGAATAAATTCTGAATTTTCACAGAATTTGAAACATATTGTGATTTGATTGATAAATCAACTTGTAATTTTGAAACTTTTTTTTCCATTTTCAATATTTGATAAATATACTTTTCCATCAGAAAATCGAATATTGAATTCATAAAAATTAGAAGAACTCGATTCAAATTTCATATTTTTCGATGGAACTTTCAAATCAACATCACTTGATAATTCAACATTTAAATCTGATGATATTTCGATTTTTGCAAAATATTTATCATTTGATACTGGAAATTGAATAGATGATGGAATTGTCACATTTTTTCTGCAACATCAATTTCAATTTCAATTTCAGAATTTTCTAATCAACTCACATTTCAAAAGCTATATAAATCTCATCACCTTCCTCTATTTTTTTCTCGAATTTCATTTGATTTTCCTTTCTTAATTCTTGAATTCCTTCAGATTGTATATCCTCAAAAAATCGATATTTTTGCGATTCAAAAAATTCCACACAAATTCTTGTTGGATTTTCAGACATTTCAGATATCATCAAAAATTCCTCGAATTTTCCAGCAGAAGAATTTGTTGATAAAAATTGAATTGTTTCAATAAAGTTTAGAATTTCTAATAAAAATATTGCACTTTTGATGTTATTTTCGAAGAAATACATAATCTAGAAATAATTGAGGCTCCAAATTTTGGAGCAAAAAATAAAGGGGAGCCACGTCATAAAAAAGTTCACGCGAAAAAATTCATTTATTTTCAATTTTTTCTCAAAATTTAGATCTTTTCATAGTTGGCGGGTTAGATTTCTCGCTCGGAAGTCGATATCTGGTCACACCATCATTTTTATTCAAACGTTTCCGTAGATCTTCAATATCCAATTTCAGTTCTAGAATACTCTCAAAATCCGATGTTCCATTATTAATAAAACTCATCTCATTAACCGCACCCATAACTCCATCAAATCTACTATTCCGTCTTGATCTCAATTCATCTACAGCTTCATGCAAGTCACGTTTTCTCTCTTTTTCACTGCGTCTCTTCCTCGACATATAGTCTCGTCGTCTGCTGCTCGCAAGAATCCACGTGATCTTGACGCAGAATAGTATGAGCTCGGTGATAGTGATCACCGAGATACCCATGAATAATCCCATATTCCCCCCAATATCACTCAACATCTCAGTCAATGACATCGCCTGAACTTGTGAGTATGATGTGTAGAACATTTCCATGAAAAATATATTGATAATTGCCACGTTTTTACTGGAATTTATATACATTTATGTTAGTGGAGGGAAAAAAAAAGAAAAAAAAACAAAAAAAAATTCGGTGCCTCATGCTGGAATCGAACCAGGTTGGTTGGTTCGATTATAAAGTTGGTGCGATTAAATTTTTGTTTTTCGCTGCGAGACCCACATAATATGATTCTCCGAGTGATTGCTCATTGACCTGAGCCATTCTAGCGACTCCTTTTTGAATCCATCACCATACGAATTATAACTCTCATATTTGATACTGTCACATTCGATATGACATTCAGTGCAATTTGGTAGATCAATGAATTCGAGACCTTGATCTAGTTTTTGCGCCATTTTTGAGTCCATACAAGTGATGGTTTGATAGGGCGTGCACATTGGTTTTTCTGCAACAACAAAAAAGTTTTGCGAAAACTTTTGATCTACCAGGCTTGGTAGATCAAAGTTTTGATCTACCAGGCTCGGTAGATCAAAAAAAAGTTAGGCTAACTCACGTCCATCAATATTATAGGTGAAAGGCGAGCAGCCGCATTGCTCATAGAAATATTGTGCCAAGCACAATGAGCGGCACGCGATTGAGGTGTACGGTAGATTTGTGGAGGAGTACTGTAGGGGCCAGGAGTCTGTGCAATTGCCCCAGCGAGTTAGTTGAAGTAGATTGTGCTGGAACATTGGGGTTGGGTTAGGCTCCGCCCATTTTTCTGTGCCCTAATCTTGGGCACAGAAAAATGGGCGTGGCCTAAACCCAGCCATGTTTGGACTCAAAATGCTCCAAATCACGCGCCAAAAACTACCGTAGTCTTCTTGATCGCCGAATACACGGTTCTCGACGGTGACACACTGATTCCTTCCGATGCCAGCTCCGGATCTCGATTCGATTCATGAATATAATATCGAAAGCCGTTCTCGTAGATGTCGGAGAATAGAATATCCTCGTATTGTTTGTCGTTGTCCAGAACTTCTTCGAGATGTGCGTCGACGATGATTTGAAGGCTGGAATTTGGAGCATTTTGAGCCCAAACACGGATATTTTCAAAGCCACGTGTAGATTTTTTGGAATCTAGAGCAAATTTGGAGCATTTTGAGCCCAAATTTGGATATTTTTGAAGCCACGTGGAGATTTTTGAGTACTAGAGCAAATTTGGAGCATTTTGAGCCTACATTGGGACACAGAAAAGTGGGCGTGGCCTAAATATATCCATGTTTGGGCTCAAAATGCTCCAAATTTCCCACAGGGCACAGAAAAGTGGGCGTGGCCCCAAATATACCCATGTTTGGTCTCAAAATGCTCCCCAAAAAATCTACAGTACCCCGCCTCGACTCCCGACGACACTTGTTTATGCATCCAATCGGGTGCATGCAGCGAAAAATCGATCGTATAACATTTGCCCAGCGACAAGATTTTCGATTCCACGTATTTACAACAATCGAAATGGGTTCCGCCGAAATAGCATCGAACGAACATTTCCTCACATTCATAGCCTAAAGGGGTACTGTAGGTACAGTACTCTGGAGTACTGTACCTACAGTATCATACCTGAACTATTCAAAAAATTGATCACATTGAAATCCTTGTGCGCATCCATATAAGCCTCCGCTTTTTGGTTCACTGGAAAATTACGGTAGTCGACAGTAACCCTGAATCTACAGTAAGCTACAGTAATTTAGAGTACCCCACAATTCATTGATCTACTACAGTACTCACTCTCCTCTACAGTACTCCTGTTGAGATTACTGTAGAGCACCATAACATCCGTATTAGTTTCCATCAAATAATCCAGAGTTTCAATCGATAAATCTCCGGATGAGTTCAATTTTTGAACATAGGATTTTTTGATGGGATTGAAATTGCACACCGTGACAGCCGGGAAATCCATTCCACCTTCGCTGACAATAAATGAGACCTGGAATTTGAAAAAAAAAACAAAATTTGAAAAAAAAAAGTTTGCCTCGGAGCGGGATCGAACCCAAGACCTAAAATTTCACAGTGTTTTTTCAGTAGTGGTACTATAGTACCTCTACCGTGATTTAGTACCCCAATAGGGGTGATTTTTACCACTATTGCACCCCTATTGCACTACTGATGGGCAGTGGTTCAAAAGTGGTGCAATAGTGGTTTTCAATTTACAAAAACTGAATGGTACATAACAATCAAATGGTTCTGAAGTTGTTGTCTGAAAAATTTCATCATAAAAAATTCCAGTTTGACAAAGTTATCAACTTTTATTTTTCAAGGGTAGGGGTCAGGTAGTAGTTGAGTAGTGGTCGCATAGTGGTCGCATAGTGGTTGAGAAGGGGTCCTGACTCTACGAAAAAATTGCATCTCCAAAACTGTGAAAAGGGATATTTTTAACGAAAACAAATATACAGCATAGTTCGGAGAGAATTTATTGGCTATTTAACAAACAGTACCGGTCAAGAATCTGTTGATTTTCAGAAAATTTCAGAAATCTTGACAAAATACTCCATTATTCATGATTTTCAACAAAAAAACACTTGCAACTTCATGAGTCGATCTCGCTCTGATTATACGTTACTTATTAAACTGGCTTTACTCTGAAAATACTGCTGAATCGAGCTTGAAAACGAGAAAAAATGCATTGGTTACTGTAGGCCGTTCGAAATGTGTGCAAACACACACACGCACACACAAACACATTTTATTTGACGCGCACGTATTTTTGATTTTTTGTTTTTCCTACTTTTTCGCTTTTCTCTTGTTTCTTTCATGTTTTACATGATTTTACATGCTTTTTCAGGTTCATCATGCGAAACAAGTCACCTGGCAATCGTGCACCACGAAATACACGGAGTTTTTTGATGAAAAAGTGAGGAAAATTATGAAAATAGGAAAAACAAGGAAATTCGATTTTCAGGGTCAAATGGTTTTTGATTGAAGTATGTTGTGAAGCGCTACTTCAAAAGAAAATAAAAATAAATGAGTGACGTGAAAAATCTGCTTGTACTGGGGGATATTCGCCTGGATGCATGGAAAGTAACGCCTCATCTTCCGAATATGCTCGTGAAGACTATGTTCAAGGAGCAAGCGGCGGTTGACACACATCGGGAGGAAACACCAACCCAAGAGTTCAAGTCTCCAATGCTCGCATCAATCAATATTGCTACATGGGACCACCAAAAATGTCACTCAATCAATGAATCTTTCAAACACCTGTTTTTGAAATCTGTGTTTTATGAAAACCAAAGGAAATTGGTAGTATGCTCAAGGAGGATGCAGCGGCGCGCAACTATGAGAAGAAAACACCAACCCAGCTCAAGTCTGGATCCATCGTGTTAGGCTCAATCAATCAAGGAATCTTTCAACCAAACTCTCGCCAAATCCGAGTTTTATAGGAGCTCAAGTAATCAATGGTGACTGGTCAATATTGCGGTGAGTTTTTGTTTCGTTGACAAAACTGGTTGGCCACAGAATCAGGGTCGCCTGTATCTGTAGCCAGAAGATTTTCGAAGTGAAGAAATCATGAAAGTATGAAAATACAACGGAATTAGATGTTCACGGCCAAATTGTTTTTGATTGAAGCATTTGAAACACAACTTCAAATGAAAATGCAAGACAATGGTGACAAATTTATTTATATATGTCTACTGGAGGTTGTGTTTCTTTAGAGAGTCTTGAAAATACTTACTCTTCGAGCGCTCAAAAATGCAAAGAAAATTAACATATTTCCATTTTCTACTTTTTTTTAAACTCAAAAATTCTAATTGTTAAAAAATTTTTTGTAAAATTGGATAAGATCATAATTTAGAAAATGAAATGATTAATAATTTCAGATTCGAAATGATACATTGGCTATGGTTTATACTTGGGTTAAAGATGAAAAAAATGCCAAGTATTTTCCCTTTTCAAAAATCTTCAAAAAGAAAATCATGCGTAAGTGAAAAAAGCCCATTTTTGAAGAAATACCCTATTTTTACTTTCAGAGTCTATCGAAAAAGGACTCCCAGCTGATTTGATCAACCGCGAACGAATGATCACATCCGCTGCAGGAATTTGTATCGCATCCATGACGCGATCATTGTGAGTTTGTTTTCAAATAAATAATTATTTTAAAAATTCACTAATGAATGAAATTCGTCTCATAAAAATTGAAATTTCGCATTTGTATTCATGCGATGTCCGAAATAAAAATAAAAATATTTCAAATAAAACTTTAAAAAAAACTCAAAGGTTTTTTGTAAGTTTTATTTGAAAAATTTTTAGACGTGGATTATAGTTTTCAACATGAAAATAAAAAAAAAAGGTGGAGGGGATTGTAGAATTTTAATCATAAATACTTCTAAAATAAAATTCCGACTCCCCCTTATCACAAAAAATACACCGTGTTGATGAATCGTGACATATTCAACTATTTCAGCGATAATCTGAGAAATAGACAAACCGAAGAAAAGTTGGACACCGCAATGTATGAGGCTGCTAAGAAAATTGCCGCGAAAAACCGAAAATCTTAAGAAACTTCATCTATTGGTTTTGTTGTTGAGAATTTCATTTTTTTTTGTTGAGAATTTATCTGTTGTTGTTATTGTAATTGGTTAATAAATATGATTCTGTTGGAATCAGTGTTCACTTTTGCTCAATTGGAAGCTCTACTATTGGATTTACCACCAAGGTACGCTTTCTGGTGACCCCTACTCCACTACTACAAGACCACTGAAAGACCACTAAGGCACCACTACTAGGGTACTGAACATCGAAGAGTAGTACCTCAACAAGTGTACTCATAGGACTACTGGTAAAAAACGGTGTAGTGGTGCAAAAGTACCACTGAAGTGGTACTATTAGACCACTATGAAAAAACACTGTGTTTCAAAGACGCGCGTGCTAACCAGTCGGCCACGCGCTCCTCTTTTTCTCTGCCTTCAAATGTTTGATATATGAAACGAGGAAAATTCGCTCACCTGCGATAAAGTGGGCCTTGAAATATACATCAATAATAGCTGTAAATTTTGATACAGCAAAAATGCGGCACAAATCAGAATCACAAAAATCCAGAAGATTTTCGAGAACAATTTGGAGGATTTGTGCAATCTCCGCGGTCCGTGCATTGTTGTCATGTCTGGAAAATTTTCCAGATTTTTTTTGGCTGAAAATTTGTGAAAATCTGAAAATTCGAAAACGCACTTGCAAAATGTTTGGCTTCTCTTCGAATCGACTGAACTCCGGCCATCTTGGAAATCGGAATTTCGATGATCAGAAATCTGAAGTTCTTAGGTACGCAGCTAAATGGGGAAACTAATTAGATACTCAGCCTAAGATAAATACGCAGCCAAAATGGCTTAGCTGAGTATCAAACGTACGCAGCTAAATTTTAGTAAGAAAAAAACTCACCCCATTTTTCCTCAAAATGATCAAAAAATGTTGGAAAAATTTTTATATGTTCCGAAATTTTTTTCCCAATTTTTTTCGTGTCCAAGTACAGTACCTATGCAAATATTAGGCGCTATTTTTGGAAAAATCTTTGAAAATTGGCCTTTTTACGACTTTATGTGTGAAATTCATGTGAACACAAAATTTTTGAGGCGAAATTTGAAAATTTGAAAATTAAATCGCCTACAGTAACCCTGAAAAATTTTAAATTCAGATCAAAAAAGTTTCAAGCTACAGTAACCCTGAAAATCTGAATTTTCAAAAATATTCTGGAAAATTCAAGGTATGGGATCAAACTACAGTACTCTTCTGAAATTAAAAAAAAAAATTTTGAAAGAATCCAGGAGTACAGTACCCTTTTGAAAAATGATCCATTTTTTTGAAATCTTCAAAAACTACAGTACTCCTGGTATTTTTGCAGATTTCAAGTTTGGAAGTTACAGTACTTACCATTTTCATTAAAAAATACAGTAATCTTCTGAAAACATTTTTCATGCACCTTTAAAACTACAGTACCCCTTTGAAAATATTTTTTAATTCAAAAATCAATCGCAAAATTCTCCCAAAACCCCCGTAATCAATCATTTTGAACTAGATTCTCTCAATTTCCAAAAAATTTTTCAAAATTTCGTCGTTTCTTATCAAATCAGATCAACTTTCTTTCCAAAAATTAGACCTTTTCACTAAATTTCGGAAAATTTATTGTACTTGTTTCTTTGACTTCAAAAAAATCACTTTTTTTCCCGCCAACCCCAAAGAAAAAACCAGTTTTTATTTGAAAATGATTTATTTTCGTGTGTGTTTTTGTTCCCACAAAAAAAACATGGAAAATTTCAAATTTTTAAATTTTTTTCTCAAAATTTTTTTGACCGGTCAACCTTTATTTTTATCGCATTACCCTAATATTGTTATTGTTTTTTTTTCAAAAAAATAAAATTTTTTTCAGAAAAAAATGACTTCGGAACAGTTTTTGACGGTTCCGGGGTTGGCTGTGAAACAGCCACCCAAGCAGGAAAAGTGAGTCAGGGGGGGGGTACTGTAGGTTTTGGCGCCAGAAAATCGTGCTGGGGTACTAAGAACCTTCAATCTTTTCGGGTTACTGTAGTTCTGGAATTTTCTGAGATCTGAGATCCCGGTTCAAATTTGTTCTAGGGTTACTGTAATTTTAGGATTTTTGAGATCTCATAATTTTAAAATTCTTCTGGATTACTGTAGACCTAGGACTACTGTGAAACTTGTTGACTTTCCTGGGATTACTGTAGTTCAGTACTGTAGGTTCTTGTATTAATGATCTATGTTTTTAGTACTGTAGGTCAGGGGTACTGTAGATTCCAGACATTAGAAGTACTGTAGATGCTTAAAAATTAAGCAAAAATTAATTAAAAAAAATAGTTTCACACGAATTTCGGACCTGAAAATCTCCCTGTTAAAAAAACTTTCAGCCAAAAAATTTTTGATTTGCAGACGCGACTCCGACGCCTCTGAAACTTCAACAACATCCATCGAACACGAAAATAATCTCACAGTCCGAACACTAAAATCCATAAAAGGATGGTACGGTTTTTTTTTTTCAAAATTCAAAAATTTTTACGAGTTAGCAAATATTTGAAGACCTCAAAGTACCATTGAAATTTTCGATTTTTGGAAAAAAAGGCACATTGAAAGAAGTTCAGGGCGTCTTCAAGTCGAAATTTGGCCAATCAAATTATTCTCGAAGTTCCGGCTTCGTCTTTGATGAAAATCAAGAATTTGGAAGGAGTTGGATCGGTTGAGCGGGAAACTAAACATTTTACAGGTCAGTGAGAGAGGTTTGCTGGCGCATTTTTGGTAGGGACGCTTTAAGCGTGATTGGTTTGAAAAATGCGTCAGCTAAGCTTTTGGTTGACGCTTTTTATGTAAATACTACTAGAAATACGTCAGCTAAGCTTCTTGCTGACGCATTTCATGTAGAATGATTGATTTTGGGGTTAACTAGAGTTTTACTGACTCATTTCGCGTAGATTCTACTGAAAATGCGTCAGCACAGGGTATTGCTGACGAATTTTGTGTAGATACATAATTCAACGCGTTACAGAATTTCCTGACGCGTTTTCTGTAGGTCTGTCATGAAATGCGTCAACAGAAGTTTTTTGCTGACGCGTTTTGTGTAGGCTGTGCAGTCATCACAATGTTCCACTGGCGCTTTTTTCGAAGACATTCATTCGCGTCAGTCAAAGTTGAAACGGTTGCTGGCCCGCTAAAATAAGTATCTATCGAAAATGCGCCAACAAAACGCTTAGCTGACGTATATTTTGTAGAGATAAGCAAAGCTTAATCATCCTACAGAAAATGCGTCAGTACAACCCTTGGCGCGTTTTCTGTAGGCTTAATAAGAAAGCTTTCACTGACCCAAAGTATGTAGCTAGTTTTTGCTGACCCAAAACACGCCAGCACTCAAAACTGACGCATTTCTTCCAGGCACCACCACAATGCACGGCCCAAAACGCATCTTCAACGGCAAAGGCTACGCGCGAGCCTTCTGGATAATAATCGTAGCCGCTGCTCTCGCAATGCTCATTTTTCAAATCGTCGTACTCCTCCAAATGTACCTCTCAAAACCCACCCTTTCCCAGGTTTCATTCATCGTCAGTGAAGGTGGAATGGATTTTCCAGCTGTCACGGTGTGCAACTTCAATCCCATCAAGAAATCTTATATTCGAGAACTCAATGTTTCCGGCGATTTGTCTTTTGAAACTTTGGAATATTTTTTGCAAACTAATATGGATACAATGTTCATTTATAGTAACTTGAATCGTACGAAACTGAAAACATCGCATGAGGAAGCGCAAGCTTATAAGAGGAATCATAGTGATTTTCGGATAGTCAAGTTTCTACAAACTGCGGGGTAAGCGTCGCGTGTGCGTCGCGGTTTTTTCAACCCATCCAACTCTCCACTTTCCAGCTACGATTGCTCGGAAATGTTTGCGACTTGCTACTTTGGCGGAAGACGTTTCGATTGCTGTAAATATATGGAGCCCAAAGTCACTTCCTATGGAAAATGCTATCAATTAGATTTGAAGAATTTGGCGCCAGAATGGATGCATAAACAGATTTCACCCGGGTCTGAGGCGGGGTGAGTTGAAATTTTGGGATGTTTTCGAGCTAAAAATCGTGAAAATGTTATCAATTTTGACTTCAAAACTTATAAATTGTCAAATTTCAGCCCTGGCATTGTTTCCAGCTCAAAAAATTACCCCAAAACCAAGTTTCACCCTCCAAAATCCGGAAAAAATAGAAATAAAAAAACGATACTCCGCAATGACGGGTTCGTGTAGTTCTCCCGGACAAGTTTGAAAAATGTCGTTTTTTTCATTTTTCATTGATAAAAGAGTCTAAAACTGAAAAAAGCAAAAAAAAAATAAAACAACGATACTCCGCAATGACGGGTCCGTGTAGTTCTCTCGGACAAGTTTTGAAAACTGTCGTTTTTTTTCATTTTTCATTGATAAAAGAGTCTAAAACTGAAAAAAGCAAAAAAAAAATAAAACAACGATACTCCGCAATGACAGGTCCGTGTAGTTCTCCCGGACAATTTTCAAAATTTTTCGTTTTTTTTTTAAATTTTTCATTAAAATAGTCTAAAACTGAGAAAAAAGGAAAAAATAAAAACAAAACAACGATACTCCGCAATGACGGGCTGTGTAGTTCTCCCGGACAAGTTTTGAAAAATGTCGTTTTTTTCGATTTTTCATTGTTAAAAGAGTCTAGAACTGAAAAAAGGGAAAAATAAACAGAACAACGATACTCCGCAATGACGGGTCTGTGTAGTTCTCGTGGACAATTTTCAAAAATTTTCGATTTTTCGATTTTTCACTGAAAAAAGGAAAAATAAATAAAACAACGATACTCCGCAATGACGGGCTCGTGTAGTTCTCCCGGACAAGTTTTGAAAAATTTTCTTTTTTTTATTTTTATCATTAAAAGAGTTCAAAACTGAAAAAAACAAAACAACGATACTCCGCAATGACGGGCTGTGTAGTTCTCCCGGACAAGTTTTGAAAATTGTCGTTTTTTTTTTCAATTTTTCATTAAAATAGTCTAAAACTGAGAAAAAAGGAAAAATAAATGAAACAACGATACTCCGCAATGACGGGATGTGTAGTTCTCCCGGACAAGTTTTGAAAATTTCCGATTTTTCATTGATAAAAAGAGTCTAAAACTGAAAAAAGGGAAAAATAAATAAAACAACGATACTCCGCAATGACGGGCTCGTGTAGTTCTCCCGGACAAGTTTTGAAAAATGTCGTTTTTTTCATTTTTCATTGATAAAAAGAGTTTAAAACTGAAAAAAAAAACTATACTCCGCAATGACGGGCTCGTGTAGTTCTCTCGGACAATGTTGGAATTTTTTTTTAGTTTTTTCGATTTTTCATTGAAAAAGGAGTTTAAAACTTAAAAAAAAGGAAAAATAAAAAAAAACAACGATACTCCGCAATGACGGGTCCGTTTAGTTCTCCCGGACAAGTTTGAAAAATTGTCGTTTTTTTCCATTTTTCATCGATAAAATAGTCTAAAAATGAAAAAAAATTAAAAAATAAAACAACGATACTCCGCAATGACGGGTCTGTGTAGTTCTCGTGGACAATTTTCAAAAATTTTCGATTTTTCGATTTTTCACTGAAAAAAGGAAAAATAAAAAAAAACAACGATACTCCGCAATGACGGGTCCGTTTAGTTCTCCCGGACAAGTTTGAAAAATTGTCGTTTTTTTCCATTTTTCATCGATAAAATAGTCTAAAAATGAAAAAAAATTAAAAAATAAAACAACGATACTCCGCAATGACGGGCTGTGTAGTTCTAACGGACAAGTTTTGAAAATTGTCGTTTTTTTCATTTTTCATCATTAAATACAACTCCTACGAGTCTAAAAAGTGAAAAATGAATTTTTCCAGCCTCCAAATAATCGCCGACGCTCGTCTCGAAGAAGAAATGAACCTCGACACCGACGACGCCGACGCAATCTACTTCGACATCTACGAACAGGGTTTCCGCTACTTTGTGCACGAGCCCAACCAAAAAGCAGAGCTGGCCTCCGAAGGTATAAGTGTCTCACCGACCCGCGTCGTCTACTCAGCCATCAAAAAAACCACCCACAACCTTCTGAGCCGCGATAATTGGGGAAACTGCACTGAGACCTGGCCTAGCGGCTATTCAACCTATTTGGGATACTCGGCCACCGCCTGCAGATCGCTATGTCTTGCTCAGTATTTTCTGGATAAATGCGGATGTAGCCCGTTTACCTATAATATCGATGGCGAGAAAAACATCTGTTCACCTTATGACACAGTGGTTTGTATGGATGATTATATGGTGAGAAGTGTAAATGGGACAGAGTTCCTGGAACTTCCCGATTGCACGGAGTGTCATATGGAATGCGGAAGCACCTCATACACCGCCTTCAATTCCTATGGTGATGGTTTTAACAAGGGAAGTCTAGAGTGGCTGAGGAATTTGGAGAATCAGACAACTAAACATATCAAGTGAGTATTATCGAAAATCACACGCAACGCAGACCGCGTCGCGTCACAACACACACGAATAAGGGTCTCCCTTGTTGTGACGCGACGCGGTCTGCGTTGCGTGTTCATTAGCGCCTCGTGGCAGCGACAAAATGTGCATTTTTATAGCGGGAGCGTGTCGATCATCAACATCTTCTTCCTGGAGATGTTCTACACCTCGTACTCACAAGTTCAGGCAACTTCCTTGACTGAAATTCTTAGTAAGTGCGGCCATAAATTAACTGGGACTCCAAATTCGGAGGGATGGGGGTTAACTTTAGGTGCATTGGAGGTAGGGCCCTTAACTGTGGAGGTAGGGCCCTTAACTGTGGAGGTAGGGCCCTTAACTGTGGAGGTAGGGCCCTTAACTGTGGAGATAGGGCCCTTAACTGTGAAGGTAGGGTCCTTAACTCTCAAAAATTTTGGAGTATTTCATGCTCTTTGAGACCAAAAACCCACAAAAAGTTGGTTAGGGTGGTTAACTTTTTGAAAATTTTTCCTGGAAGGGGGGGGGTTAACCCAAGGGTACCCGGAGCGACTAGTTCATGTATGAGTGCGGCATGGAGAAGTGGGCGGAGCTTGCTGTTTGCATTTGCAAAATCACCGCACAGACGCTATTTTTCCAGGTGACATCGGTGGAAATATGGGAATGTTCCTTGGAATGTCAGTCATCACCATCACCGAGCTCTCCCTCTTTTTCTCTAAAATATTCTGGATTGTTGTGTCAAAATCTCGTCGTGACTATATGTATAATAAAAAGAGACGCGAGAAAACGCAAGAACAACATCTAGAGGAAGCTGTCAAGGAGTATCAGGAGAAGAAATCGCGTCGAAACTCGCGGGATGATATGAATCGGGTGTATCCGACGATGGCGACTCCTGCGATGGCAGCGTCTGCCTCGACTAGTAGTATGGAGAGTATGGTAAGAACTTGGGTATGGGATGTTTTTATACTATACGGCACGGTACCTGCAGATCTAACTCACACAGTACTGTTGTTTGCTGTGTAACCCTTCAATCACAAAAATTTTCAGATCGAGCTGAAACTCGACGTCGAAGAGCTGCGTAACAAATTGAGTCAACCGGGCGTGACACGCCTCCGACTTCCGAGCGACAAAAAATCATCACCGCCCCCAGTTTTCACCATCGATGGCAAAACCTAATGTATTTATTTATTGATTTTTTTTTGGATTCTCATAATTTTTGCTCACTGGTTTTTTTTTTCATACCCCCGACGATTATTTTTCTCATGACGTGTACACTTTTTTCATAATATTTAATAATGATAAAAATTAACAAATATTTATAAATTTAGCCACTGACAAATGTCAATTTTTTATATAAAATTGATATCAACTTCAATACTCTTAATATTTTTTGAAGAACAGTAGTATAGCCAAAAACTTCATCTAGAAGCTTCTTTTAATTTTATTTGGAAGCATAAATTGAGTGCACACAAAATTAATAGCTCAATTTCAAACCACCCAAAAAATGCATTCTTCATTTTTTTCTTGAACTCTGCGCGATGAGTTGGTTCATATTTCTGTTTCTACTTTTTTTGAAAATTGACATTTGTCAGTCAATCATATTGAATAAAAATGAAACTAGGTTGGCGAAAAATCTTTTTCCCAGTCAGCAACAACTGATGAAGAAATTATTCAAATCATATGATTCGAGAGTTGCGCCTGTTATAGATTCACATTTTCGACAATCAAATTATTTTTATTTTTACGAAGGAGATTATTATGATTGGTTTATTCAACTCATAATATCACAATTGAAAATGATTGATTTGGATGAGCCACAAGAACTATTCACAACATCAGTAACTGTTCAACATATGTGGATGGATTTGCGATTGATGTGGAATGAATCAGAATATGATGACATTCATAGTATCTATATACGACAAGAACATATTTGGAGTCCACCATTAGATGTTTATTCAGCGTGAGTTTTCCCAAATTAAAAAGGCGATACGCCTAGAAAAACGTTAGACCACGTAATTTCTGGCTTCTCCATAAAAAATCCCCTAAGGTTCAAAAAGTACATGTTATATACCTATTTAATTTTTAAGGAGTGATGTTAAAGATCATCGTGATCAGGATTTTCGAATCGTTCGACTTTTCAATGATGGATTACTTAGAACGTACGTGACAATGAGATTGACTACAAATTGTCCCTTGGATATGACAGAATTCCCATTTGATATTCAAACTTGTGAATTGCACTTTGGTCTTTCTGGAGTTGATGTTGATAATTATAATATGACAATTGTAGCGCCAAGTAATGAATTGGAAGAATTGTGTGGAATGGTAACAAACAACTTTTTTTCTCAACCAGGCCACATTATTCTCTGATTTAGGGTAACTCTGCTTGGGATGTGATAAATGTAACATGTGGACAAATGATTCACTACTCAGTGAGAAGAGCCAAAGCACGACTGGCAGTTCTTCGATTAGTTTTGAAACGTAACCCGTTATTTTACATGTATATGATTATTTTGCCAACTTTCATCATCAATCTGATTGCGATTGGAGGAGTATTTTTGAAAAAATCGAGTCCGATGGAAAGATTAACTATAGGTTTTACACATATTATGACTATGACTTTTATATTAGGATTGGTATCCGAGAAAATCCCAAAAACCAAAGAGATTCCACTTTTGGGAAAATATATTGTATTGAGTTTATGTATGATGCTCTTTGCATTGGTAGTTTCATCGTTATTGAAGAAATTTTGCGCGATAACAGTTGATAACAGGTTTTTTAAAACAAACTCAAAATATATTCATTCATAATATTTTCAGAAGATTCGGAAACCTTGGTCAAACTATGAAAATCATTGTCTTGTTCGGTTTACAATTCCTCAATGCATTTTCGTTTTTCTACATGATTTATCGATTTTTAAAATTTGAGTTGGAGTATGGTAGAAAAGGGTCATGTCATTTTAGAGATGACGAGAAGAATTATACAAAATATTCCAAAATGTATTTTGAATATTCAACTGAAGCAGACACAGAATTGATATATTAAGATTTGAACTAATGTTGAGATGTTGATATTTCTAATCAGTGCTTATAATTTCTAATTATGTTATAAAAATTTTGCCAAATATGTTAAATTATAGACTTATGGATAATCAAAACTTCATTCACTAAAATCACCAGATTCCTCTTCAATCTCTGAATTCCTTGAGCAAACCATCACAAACATCGTATAAACCGTCATCAATTCCACCAAAATCACCGCAAACATCCCCAAAAACATCTCAAATCTCCCGCGAAAAATCGGAATTCTAAAATTGCCCATAAAAGATAGTGCGATGATTCCAGATAACATTAGAATTTTAGCAATTCCTGATATGATTCCTATAATATAAAGCCATAGAAGTTGTGTGAAGATCAAGATCACAAGAAATCCAGCGATCAGAAATGGAATCAGCGCAAACATCCAGCCTCCGATGTATCCGAACATACTGATCTCAACATTTAGATCCTCTTTATCGCTGATTAATTGAACTGCACCAACAACCAGGCAAAAAACCACCAAAACCATGCCCAACATTAGCCAAATCACAGAAATTATTGCCAAAAATCGCTGAAAATTTCCAGATTTCCCGCCCGACTTTGGATAACTCACCACAGCTTTGATGAAATTACAAATCTCCACATTGTTATCAACTTTTTTGCACATTCAAATTTATAGAAACTGATTAGGGGCTTTTTCTTTTTTTTTTTTTTTGAAATATTTTTCAGAAAAAAATCTAGGTCACGCTGAAAATATTTTAATTTTTTTTAGGAATTTTTCTCTTGCCAGCGAAAATAAATATGCAATTTTCCCCCGGAGATTTCGTGCGCATCGGTGGTTCAGTGGTAGAATGCTCGCCTGCCACGCGGGCGGCCCGGGTTCGATTCCCGGTCAATGCAACTTTTTTTGTTTTTTACCTGGTAGAAAAAATAACAAAACTCACCAATGAAAATCACACGTGGATCTGAAGCTCCGCCCACAATTCCGTGCCCTCACCATTTTTTTCGAAGACAAGGTAAAAGTGGGCGGGGCTTCAGAAATCTCAGCAAGCGGAATAATGTAGAATATAGGAATAAGTACAGTAGCCTGGGAGATCTACAGTAACCCAGAAACTACAGTAACCAGGGAATTACAAAATTCGAAAAATAATGGCGTAAAAATTGTGCACCTACAGTAATCCTATATGATCCTACAGTATTCCAGAATCTTCCTACGATAATTTATTCAAAGCCTACCGTACTCCTTAATGAATCGTACAGTACCCCAACTTGATCTACAGTAACCCAAAAAAGTTCTAAAATTTCTCCAAGCTCCAAAATTATTTCACAGTAACCCTGATGTACAGTAACCTGATCATTTTCAAAACGTATCTACAGTACTCTTTCTAACCTACAGTAATCCAAATACTTCAAGGAAAACGTTAATATGAGCTATCATTTTCTACAGTAACCCAAGGTTCTCTACAGTAATCCGAAATTTTTGCAATTTTCCTACAGTACCCCATTTTCTAGAAATTCCAAAGGTCAATCTGTATCTACAGTACCCCAAAACTACCCACCTACAGTACTCCTACAGTACTCCCCATCTGAAAATCAAGAAAAATTCGCTTTATTATAAAATTATTATATTCACACACAAATACAAAAAAAATGGATAAAAACATGAAAAAAAGTCTCGTGGCACCTAGAAAAATTCAAATTTTTTTTGAATTTTTGCAAATTCGCTCCACGGGCACTTGGGCGCGAAATTGCAAAAATTCAAATTTTTACACGTTTTTCGTAGGGGCACACAACGAAAAACGGAAAAAAAATTGAAAAAAAAAATTTTTTTTTGGAAAAAAACTATACAAAAATCAATAAAATGTGTTTTTTTTGGACAAAAAAATTTTTCAAAAATTAAAAAAAATTTAGGCGGTTCCGAATTTTTGCTCCAATTTTTCGTCATCACATCGGGCACTGACGGATTGACGAATCATTGCGGCTAGTTTGCGGAGACGCGATGCGGAATATCTGAAAAAAATGGGAGATTTTGGGGTACTGTAGGTTCTGGGGGTACTGTAGCGCTTCAAAATGAGTGTAAACATGACAAGGGTACTGTAGGTTCTGGGGGTACTGTAGCGCTTCAAAATGAATGTAAACATGACAAGGGTACTGTAGGTTCTGGGGGTACTGTAGCGCTTCAAAACGAGTATAAACATGACAAGGGTACTGTAGGTTCTGGGGGTACTGTAGCGCTTCAAAATGAATGTAAACATGACAAGGGTACTGTAGGTTCTGGGGGTACTGTAGCGCTTCAAAACGAGTATAAACATGACAAGGGTACTGTAGGTTCTGGGGGGTACTGTAGCGCTTCAAAATGAATGTAAACATGACAAGGGTACTGTAGGTTCTGGGTGTACTGTAGCGCTTCAAAACGAGTATAAACATGACAAGGGTACTGTAGGTTCTGGGGGGTACTGTAGCGCTTCAAAATGAGTGTAAACATGACAAGGTTACTGTAGGTTCTGGGGGTACTGTAGCGCTTCAAAATGAGTGTAAACATGACAAGGGTACTGTAGCGCTTCAAAATGAGTGTAAACATGACAAGGTTACTGTAGGTTCTGGGGGTACTGTAGCGCTTCAAAATGAGTGTAAACATGACAAGGGTACTGTAGCGCTTCAAAATGAGTGTAAACATGACAAGGTTACTGTAGGTTCTGGGGGTACTGTAGCGCTTCAAAATGAGTGTAAACATGACAAGGGTACTGTAGGTTCTGGGGGTACTGTAGCGCTTCAAAATGAGTGTAAACATGACAAGGATACTGTAGGTTCTGGGGGTACTGTAGCGCTTCAAAATGAGTGTAAACATGACAAGGGTACTGTAGCGCTTCAAAATGAGTGTAAACATGACAAGGTTACTGTAGGTTCTGGGGGTACTGTAGCGCTTCAAAATGAGTGTAAACATGACAAGGGTACTGTAGCGCTTCAAAATGAGTGTAAACATGACAAGGTTACTGTAGGTTCTGGGGGTACTGTAGCGCTTCAAAATGAGTGTAAACATGACAAGGGTACTGTAGGTTCTGGGGGTACTGTAGCGCTTCAAAATGAGTGTAAACATGACAAGGATACTGTAGGTTCTGGGGGTACTGTAGCGCTTCAAAATGAGTGTAAACATGACAAGGGTACTGTAGGTTCTGGGGGTACTGTAGCGCTTCAAAATGAGTGTAAACATGACAAGGGTACTGTAGGTTCTGGGGGTACTGTAGCGCTTCAAAATTAGTGTAAACATGACAAGGGTACTGTAGTTTAGTCATGTTCTAGATTACTGTAAGTCATTTTAAAATTCCAAATTTTCAAGAGATACTGTAGGTACAGTACCCTAGATTACTGTAGATCCCTTAAAACTACTGTAGCTCGAAAGTCAAAAATAATTTCAAAATAAACCATTCAAGTGTAGGCTCAAAAAATTCCAAATTTTTAGGAGCTACAGTACCCCGGGTTACTGTAGCTACAGTACTCCCAAATCCAACTCACTTAATCGATTCTCTCCTTCGAACCATCGAAGGATCAGAAGAAAGGAATTTGTGGGACAACGCTTCGTCGGTTCTCATTCGGCGGCTGCAAATTTTCAGAGATTTTCAGAGATTTCTAGACTGAAATTGGCTGAAAATCTCGAATTTTCAGTCAAAAATCGCAGATTTTCAGCCAAAAAAAGCACTTACAGCGGTGATTTCTTCAAAGCCCACGTCACAAAAGAGAGAGCTTCTTGTGAAGCGTTGACTGGAATCAAATTCGGATCACATTTCACATTGATCACATTTTCTCGAACTTCATCTTCAGTTCTATCGTATTCGGAGGTGAATGGATGGAATCCGGCGAATCTGAAAAGAAATTGGGGGAAATTCTAGAAGATCTAGAAAATTCGGATTTTTTTGGTATACAATTTGAGTTGGAAAGTTGTGACAACTTGAAATTTCAGACAAATTTTCAGCACAAAAGTTGTTGAAATATGAAAAATTCTGATTTTTTTTTGTTATCAAATTTGATCTGGAAAATCCTGAAAACTTTAATTTACAGATAAATTGAAAACATTTTTTCGCAAAAAAAATCTGAAAATTTCAAGCTCGAAAATTTTTTAAAAATTTTTTTCCACGTGGATTTTCAGCTTCAAAAAAAATCCAGGAATTTCTGGAAAATCTAGACAATTCTGTTTTAATTTTTGTCTTAAATTTTGAAAAATTTAAAAAATTCGGATTTTTTTGAAATCAAATTTGAGCTGGAAAATCCTGAAAACATTAATTTACAGATAAATTGAAAACAATTTTTCGCAAAAAAATCTGAAAATTTCAAGCTCGAAAATTTTGGTATAAATTTAGAATTTTTTGAATTTTATAGTGAAAAGTTCTGAAATGTTTCTTTTGAAATTAAAAAAAAAACATTTTTTAAAAAATTTTTTCCACGTGGATTTTCAGCTCAAAAAATCCAGGAATTCATGAAAATCTTGATCTTGACTATTCTTTTTGCTTTTTGAAATTTTTAAAAAATTTTTCAGCCCAAAAGTTTTGAGAAATTTGAAAAATCTGGGAAATTCTGTAATTTTTGCCGCCAAAACTGCAACTCACAAGCAAAAAGCGACACATCCCATTCCCCAAACATCACTTTGCACAGTGACTTCTTCGGGTGCCACGTGGAATTCTGGTGGCGACCATTTGACATCCAATGACGTCACTGGTTTTCGGGGTTCGGACACTTTTTGCGCACTTCCGAAATCGACCAATTTTGCGATCCAACTACGTTTTGATTGGAACATTATGTTGTGTGGATTGATGTCGAGATGAGCGATTCTGAAAAAAAGATTTTGGGGGTGGGAAATTCAGAATCCACGTGGAATTTGCATAATTTTGATATCAAACAAGGTACTGTATAAAGGGCTACAAATTATGCGTCAACAATTGGTTTGCTGACGCATTTTTTGTAGCTCTGACGTGTTGGGTGTCATAATAATTGGTAAATTGATATTCCACGTGGAATCCGAATCATTTTGATACCAAACAAGACAAATTTCGAAGATCTACAAAAAATGCGCCAGTGAAAGGTTTGCTGACGCATTTTTTGCAATTCTCGTTTGAGACGTGTCAAAATAATTGGAAAATTGATATTCCACGTGGAATTCGGATCATTTTGATACCAAACAAGACAAATTCCAAAGATCTACAAATTATGCGTCAGTAAACCACCTTTTGGCGCATATTTTGTAGTAACACAGCCATATTTGGTCTCAAAATAATCAGCATTTCACTGACGTAAATTTGGTGCTGGCGCGAATCTTGCAGCTCATAACACAGCCATATTTGGTCTCAAAATGATCAGCATTTCACTGACGTAAATTTGGTGCTGGCGCGAATTTTGCAGCTTATAACATAGCCATATTTGGTCTCAAAATGATCAGCTCACCCTCTAAAATGCAAAAAGTGCAAAGCAGCGGCAACTTGTCGCATCGTCATCGCAATCTGCTCTTCCGTATAATAATCATTGAACACAAATCGCGAGAACACATCTTCATACAATCGTTCAGCGAACAAATATTGAAAATCTCCATCGGTGTAGGCGGCGACGAGTCGCTGAACATTATCATGTTGCGAATCGCGAAGAGCTGCGAATTCGTCGCGCGATTCCTGTGTCGCTGGTTGGATTTTGACAACGCAATGAGCTTGCGATTCAGATGAGGAATCCACAGCATCTCTGAGCACTGATTTAGCCGTCTTGAAGCGAAGTCCAGCAATCTGAAAAAAAATCGGGTTGCGGCGGGGTTTTGTGGGCTCGGAAGGCCGAAAAAGGCCTTAGTAAGATCTAGAAATTCAGCAAAGCCTTCTTTAAACTCAGGTCTGGTTTAGGCCTGGTTTATGCCTAGCTTAGGCCTGGTTTATGCCTAGCTTAGGCCTGGTTTATGCCTAGCTTGGGCCTGATTCAGGCTTGTTTTCGGCCCATTTCTTTAGGCTTTGTATATTCAAGCCCATTTTTGGCCTGTTTCTCAAAAGGCCTACTCATAGGCTCGTCTGAAATAGGCTTATATAAAATCTAGGCCTAACATCTTTCAAATCAAAAGCAAACAAATCAGGCCCTTGCCCAAATCTAGGCCCTGTCTCAGGTCATCAAGAATCTCTCAGCCTCTCAGGCTTTCCCATAATTCAGGCCCCTTTTTCAACTTTAGGCTCTGGAAAATTAGGCCTATTTTTGGCATATCCAGGCTTCTCCTAGGCCCTTCCTCAGGCTCTTCTCTCAGAAATGCTCACCTGCGAATCTTTTGAAAAGCTAAATTTGTGAGAAAATTTGCCACGTGGATTTTTAGCTCAAAAAATCCAGGAATTTAAGAGAATCTAGACAATTCTGTGATTTTTGTTTCAAATTTTGAAAAATCTGGGAAATTCTGATTTTTTTTTGAAATCAAATTTGAGCTGGAAAATTCTGAAAACTTTAATTTACAGATAAATTGAAAACATTTTTTCGAAAAAAAAATCTGAAAATTTCAAGCTCGAAAATTTTGGTATAAATTTAGAATTTTTTGAATTTTATAGTGAACAGTTTTGAAAATTTTGCGTTTGAAATTTTTAGACCCTTTTGTGCTACCCAAAAATTAGGTAAGTTTCAGGGCCCTTTTTTAACTTTAGGTTCTGGAAAATTAGGCCAATTCTGATTTTTTTTCAAAATCAATTTTGAGCTGGAAAATCCTGAAAACTTTAATTTACAGATAAATTGAAAACATTTTCTCAAATCATCTAGAATCTCTCAGTCTCTCAGGCTTTCCCATAATTCAGGCCCCTTTTTTAACTTTAGGCTTTTTCCTGTGATGTTAGGCTTTGTAAATGCAAGCCTATTTTTGGCCCACAAAATCTAGACCCTTCCTCAGGCTCACCTGGAATCTACCATCCGGTTCTCCATTCACCAACTCCACCACCAAATTCTTGCCAATCGATAAACCTTCCTCTCTCAAAGTCTCCTCCTCACTTTCCTCCGAAATTCCCTCCAATCCCGATTTCACACCACCTTTCCGTTTCGGTCCACCAGCCGACACAACATTCAGCCGAATCTCCGATTTCAGTAAATCAATCTGAAGTTTCGGTGCGCCTTTTCCATGTGTCTGCACAATTCGACTAGATAAACTAGGAAGTCCTGGTCCGAATCCATTCTGAGCAGTAACTCGGAACTGATAAACTCCAAGTGGGGTGAGATGTTTGACAACCACACTTTCATCATCGATTCTATCCGAAATCAATACCCAAGGTGCCGAAAAATCATCGGGTCCCGCTGGTCGGAATTCCAATCGATAAGTGATTCCCTCTAGATAAGTTGGTCCTTCTGGAGCATCCCATTGAATCAATAGCTCTGTATCCGATGATAATTCACATTCCGGTCTTCCAGGTCTCGCTGGAGTTTCGCCGCTAATCAATCGCGAACTCGCTCGATCCACACCATATTCATTTGTCGCTGTGCAAACATATTCGCCAAGATCATAGGGTGCCGCTTGATTTATGATAAGTCGCGCCACATTCGCGTCTTGCTCAAATTTCACGCGTTCTGTCGCGAGCACTGGTTTTCCTTGGAAATCCCATTGGATTTTGGGCGCGGGACTTGCGGCCACGTGGCATTCGAAGATTGCAGGTTGCGATTTTCGTAGGTAGACGTCGCGGAGGCGAGAGGTGAAGATTGGGGCGAATGCTGCAATTTTTTCTCGTTAACCAAAAATTATTGCCACGTGGCAGGCAATTGGGGAAAAATTAGGAAAATTTTTTTTTTGCAAAATTTTTGCCACGTGGAATTTTCAGCTCAAAAAATCCAGGAATTTATAAAGATCTAGACAATTCTGTAATTTTTGTTTTAAAATTTGAAAATTTTCAGAAAATTCTGATTTTCTTTGTTATCAAATTTGAGCTGGAAAAATCTGAAAACTTTAGATTACAGATAAATTGAAAACATTCTTTCGAAAAAAATCTGAAAATTTCAAGCTTGAAAATTTTGGTATAAATTTTTAGACCTTTTTGAATTTTATAATAATTAAAAGTTCTGAAATTTTTTTCTGAATTTTTTTTTTGAAATTTACAACCCAAAAATTTTGAAAAATATGGGAAATTCTGTAATTTTCCAGCTCGAAAAATTTGGGGATTTTCTGGAAAATCTGAAAATTCGGAAAATTTTGGTATAAATTTAGATTTTTTTGAATTTTATAGTGAAAAGTTCTGAAATTTTTTTTTTGAAATTTTTTTTGAAATTTACAGCTCAAAAATTTTGAGAAATTTGAAAAATCTGGGAAATTCTGATTTTTTAAATCAAATTTCAGCTGGAAAATTCTGAAAAATTAAATTTTTAAAACTGCAATTCCACGTGGCAGGCAATTGGGCGAAAAATTTGGAAGATTTTTTTTTCAAAATTTTTAAAATAAATAACTTTTTTCAAAATTTTCAAAATAAATAACTCAAAATAGCTTCATTCAAATTTTGATTCAAAAAATTCGATATTTTCAAAAACAAAAAAATACGTTTCAAAATTTTGATATAATTTATTATCAAACAGTTTTTTTCAATAAAACTTAGAATTTCTTCAAAAATTTGAAAAAAGGAAAAAAAAACACGAATTTCCGCGAATTTGCTTGAATTTTTTTCACGTGCAAAAAATCTTCAAAAATACAATCAAAAACTATTGCCACGTGGCATTTAGGGAAAAATTAAAAAAAAAATTTTTTTCCAAATTTTTAAAAAAAATTGTTTCTCAAAATCTGGAAAAAATTCTGTGAGAATTTTCACAGTGAATTCCACGTGGATTTTCATCGAAACTTTGAAATTTTTCAGATTTCAAAAAAAATTGAGGAGATTTAGAGGATTTTGTTCCAAATTTTCAGGAGCCAAAATTTTCGAATTTTCAAAAAGCCACGTGGCATTTTTTCTCAAAATTCATCTATTTGGATTTTTAGCACCAAATTCAAATTTTCCGCGACCTTCCGCGTCATTTCCGCAAAGCCCCCCCCTCCCCAAAAACCCACTTCCATCCGCATTCCGTTTCGTCGCCGACGGTGCAACCTTCTCAATATCCGCACGAATTCTTTCGATAGCATTCGCAGCACTTCCCGATTTTTGCAACGTGGCATGTTCCGAAGATTTGGGTGCCACTCCCAAATTCGTCTCTCGCAAGATGTCAGTATATCTGCGACGTTCGCGAACAGTAATATCGCGGTTGCGAACTCCCAAAAATCCCTGGCGAACAGTGGGCGCGCCAACTCCAAACAACTCCTGGCGATAATTTCGAACTCTCGAATTGAAGGCGGCTCCGCGAGCAGCCATCAAATAAGTGTCGGGTCCGATTTGATAGTGCGAATCCCATGGTGAATCATCAATGTCTCCAGAAGTGTTCGCATCATTATCATCATCTCGATAGAAGTTGGCAGGCCGATATTTGTCGAGATCATCCAAGTTGACAGTTCGACGATTCCGATCTTTTTCCAACCGATCTTTTTCGTCGCGGAAATCATTGTCATGATCGGATGGTTTGATCTGGAATAAAAAAAAATTCGAGATTTTTGGAGCAAAAAAAAGTGCTCACCTGTTTCTTGTGCTTATCCATAAATGCGTCATCATCATCAATTTCTGGCGCCAATTCTCCGGGTGGCAAAAATCCGGGCTTTCCACGTTTTGTAGCGATGAGGACCTGGGAAAAAATTAGGCTCAGATTAGGCTCAAGCCTGAGAATTTCTAGGCTTAGGCTTAGGCTTATCCGAACTCATAGGCTTAGGTTTAGGCTTATCCAAACTCATAGGCTTAGGCTTAGGCTTATCCGAACTCATAGGCTTAGGTTTAGGCTTATGTAAACTCATAGGCTTAGGCTTAGGCTTATCCAAACGCATAGGCTTAGGCTTATTCAAACTCATAGGCTTAGGCTTAGGCTTATCCAAACGCATAGGCTTAGGCTTATCCAAATTTATAGGCTTAGGCTTATCCAAATTTCTAGGCTTAGGCTTGACCAAAATCTAGGCTCAAAGTCAGGCCCAACTCAAAATCTAGGCCTAGCTTTAGGCTTATTCAAACTTATAGGCTTAGGCTTATCCAAACTTATAGGCTTAGGCTTATCCAAACTCATAGGCTTAGGCTTAGGCTTATCCAAATTTCTAGGCTTAGGCTTATCCAAACTCATAGGCTTAGGCTTATCCAAATTTATAGGCTTAGGCTTAGGCTTATCCAAACTCATAGGCTTAGGCTTAGGCTAAACTCATAGGCTTAGGCTTGGGCTTATCCAAACTCATAGGCTTAGGCTTAGGCTAAACTGAAAAATCTAGGCCCAGCGTCAGGCCCAACTTCAGGCCTAAATCTAGGCCTCCAACTCACCTCCATCGAATGCTCCTGTCTTGGACTTAGCATAACTGGACTCTTGGTTCCAGGCGTCGATCTTCTCGGTGATTTTGGATTGGGGCTCAAAGTTTGAGCCGGTGATGTTACTCTGCAAAAAAATTTCCAGATTTTTGGCTGAAAATCTAGATTTTCAGATGAAAATCTGAAAAAAAAACCAACTTGATCAATCCAGAAGCCGAAGTTGTGTCAACTGTCAAATCACCGTGAATTCCTTCGAGGAAAAGTGGAGCTCCGACCGGGATATTGGGGTCGTTTTCAGCTTGCTCCAAAATCTGCGAAAAAAATTGAATATGTCTGGGTCTCTTGGTTTTGTGTGCTCTCTAGGCTGGTTTAAAACAATTTTTAGCTACAAAAACCCTACAGTAACCTAGGCTTATCTGGTCCAAAAATGCTCCAAATTTTCGTGCCCTACAGTAACCCAAAAATTTCAGATTTTCAGCGAACATAATAGAATTTTGAATTGAACCGAACAGTAGCATCAAAAAAAATTTAAAAAATTTTTCATATCAAAATTTTGAAACGTATTTTTTTATATTGAATTTGGGTATTGAAATTTCAAATTTTTGGGGTCCAAAAAATGAATCTACAGTAGGAATTGGGGTTACTGTAGGATTGTCGAGCTAGGAAATTCGAACTTTTTGAGATCAAATGTGCTTAGGGTTACTGTAGCTCAGTTTTTGACTCAAAAAATTCGAGAACAAAACATCGTACAGTAATCATGAGCATATTTAGTATCAAAATGCTCCAAATTTCCTGAGCTCAAAGTCTACAGTAACCTTAGACTCATCTGGTCATAAAAACCTCCAAATTTTCGTGCCCTACAGTAACCCAAAAATTTCAGATTTTCAGCCAAGATCACAAAATGATATCTATCAGAAAAAAAATTTCAAAAATTTTTCATATCAAAATTTTGAAACGTATTTTTTTCGGATTGAAATTTCAAAATTTTTGGGGCCAAAAAATGAATCTACAGTAGGAATTGGGGGTTACTGTAGGAATGTCGAGCTAGGAATTTCAGACTTTTTCAGATCAAATGTGCTTAGGGTTACTGTAGCTCAGTTTTTGACTCAAAAAATTTCAGAACAAAACATGGTACAGTAACCCTGGCCATATTTAGGCTCAAAATACTCCAAATTTCACTACAGTAACCTTAGGCTCATCTGATCTCAAAATGCTCCAAATTTCGGTGCCCTACAGTAACCCAAAAATTTCAGATCTTCAGCCAAATTCATCAAATTGCTGACTATCAAAAAAAATTTCATATCAAAATTTTGAAACGTATTTTTTTTGGGTTTTGAAATTTCAAATTTTTTGGGACCAAAAAATGAATCTACAGTAGGAATTAGGGGTTACTGTAGAAATGTCGAGCTAGGAATTTCGGACTTTTTTGAGATCAAATGTGCTTTGGGTTACTGTAGCTCAGTTTTTGAGTCAAAAAATTCCAGAACAAAACATCGTACAGTAACCCTAGCCATATTTAGGCTCAAAATGCTCCAAATTTCTCTACAGTAACCCTAGGCTCATCTGATCTCAAAATGCTCCAAATTTTCGTGCCCTACAGTAACCCGAAAATTTCAGATTTTCAGCCAACATAATATAATTTTGAATAGAACCGAACAGAAGTATCAAAAAAAAATTTCAAAAATTTTTCATATCAAAATTTTGAAACGTATTTTTTTCGGATTGAAATTTCAAATTTTTTGGGATCAAAAAATGAATCTACAGTAGGAATTGGGGTTACTGTAGAAATTTCGAGCTAAAAATTTCGAACTTTTTGAGATCAAATGTGCATTAGGTTACTGTAGCTCAGTTTTTGACCATCGTACAGTAATCTTGAGCATATTTAGGTTCAAAATGCTCCAAATTTCTCTACAGTAACCCTAGGCTCAATGGGTCTTAAAATGCTCCAAATTTCCCCCAAAAAAGGTTAAAGGTGCATGAAAATTAGCGGTGCAAAAAGGATAAAAGTGCTCAGAGAAGTGTGCTCCTAACTACCTCTTTGATCAAAACTTTTGGCACTTTCACAAGCTCCTGATTGGCGGGATTTTCACCATTTTTCTGCTTCAATTTTCCCGGTGCTACCTTTTCAACTTGCTGCAAGTGAGCCGTCAGTTTTTGCTCAATTTTCCTGTCGAGACACGAGATTTTAACCTGCGGTGTAGTATTCTGCGCAGGTTTCAGGGATGGCGAAATATGCATAGTTGTTTTCTGATTGCTCATCTTAGAGCCCGGTAAACTACAGTCTAGTACTGTGGAAAATAATATATAGCTAATCAATAGGAAAAAACACAAAAGTTAGTCAAAGTTGAAGCAAGAAACATATAGTGAGAGATTTCTCTAATTCTCTGGCGCTCTCTCAAATTTGCGTGCTCTCTAAGAGTGCGCAATTGGCTCAACTTGAGATTTTCTGTTGATTTTAGCGTTTTTTTGAGCGCGTGGGAGAGAATTTGCGGGTTTTTTTGGAGATTAGATCGAAAATCGACAGGGGGATTTTTGAAAATTGCAGATTTTGCGGAAAAAAATCTACAGTAACCCTAGATTTTTGAATTTCAATTTTTCCCGGGTTCAAAACTACAGTAACCCAAGGACCTAGGCTTATTCGGTCTCAAAATGCTCCAAATTTTCCCGCCAAAACCCTACAGTAATCCAAATTTTTCAGATTTTCAGCCAGAAATATAAAATTGAAAGAAGAAGAAAATTTTTCATATGAAAATTTTGAAACGTATTTTTTGGGAATGGAAATTTCGTCAAAAAACAATCTACAGTAGAAATTTGGGTTACTGTAGGAATATGGATCCACAGTAACCCAAGGACCAAAGCTTGTTTAGTCTCAAAATGCTCCAAATTTTTCGGGCCAGATATCTACAGTAACCCAGGAGCCTAGGCTTATTTGGTCTCAAAATGCTCCGCCAAAATTCTACAGTATCCCAAATCCCAAATTCCAGTCATACCTGTCGATCCGCAGCCGGTAATCCAGCCAAAACCGCGTCCGGATAAGTGACTTTCGGCGGAATAATTTCACCAGCAGCAGCGGCTCCAGAAGGTCGTGGCGATTGTTGTGTTGGTGTCTGCGTCTCTGCTCGTTGCTGTTGCGGACATTGCTCTCTAACAGTGACTTCTGGTGTAAGTGTGGGTGTTGATGGCTCCGAAGTTTCGACAACAAAATCCTGCAATTTTATGTTTACCAGATGTGTTATTTTATGTTTTTTGTTGAGAATTTCATCGGATTTTCTGGGAGGCAAAAGTATAGTCTAGTTTGGAATATTGCTCTTCAAGTGAAAAAAAAATTTCAAGAAAAAATGCTTGGATATTTTCTAGGGTAAAACTAGAGTATAGTTTGAGATTTTCAGAAACTTCAAATTTCTCATAAAATTGTCTGAAATTCCGAAATTTCAAAAACATTGCTCATATTAGTTTCAGCTTTCCATCCAGAATTCCCCCACCTTTGGAATTTCGAAATCCTCCAAACTCGCCAAACTTCCAGCAATCGATCCCTCCTCCGAAATATCCGACAAAATCCGATTCGCAATTTCCTCCTCAATTTCACGACGCTCTCCGCGAATCATTCGAATCGGAACCTGAAGCTAACGAAAATTTGGGTAAAGACTATTTTTCCGAGAACATTTTTATTTTTCTGACCCAAAAAATGATTAAGTTTTTTTCAGGTCTGACTTTTTTCTTTTAAACTCAGGTAATTTGTTTGACATTATCCAAAAAAAACCCCATAATTACCCAGTTTTCTAAAGAAGAAACCGAAATCTAGAAAACAAAACAAAAATTCTTCTCGATGAACGCGATTTTTGTGACTTTTAGAACAATAATCGCAAATGTTCCTTTAATCGCCAGACCTATATATTTCTATCTTCTAATGAAGGCAGAAAAGGATGAAAGAGACACTCTAATTTATAAAATACATCGTGCCATTTCGTTTTACATAATTTACTATTCAATGATTTGGACACTATTAGCAATGATATTAGCTCTAATGGAACTATCAATCTGGCTGAATTTTCGAGTGTTGGCTTCAATTTTCGCAGTGTAAGTTATTTAGTCTAACTCTATCTACAATAATAACCAGAAATTATAGATTTTCTATATTGATTACATTCGCCTCAATTTCAAACGATGCTTCAACAAACTTCATTTTTCTAATCGCAATTCAAAGACTTATTATCGTTCTAGATTTCGAGAAATTTGTCAAATTCGTCGATGGAAAATGGCTAAGATTTTGGATCAGAATCATATTCGTTGAGATAATTTTGAAATCGATTATCGAGAAAACACAGTGTAAGCATAATCATAGTTGTGAATTGCTAATGTTCGTCAGAGACAACATCTCGTGTGGTGCAAAAAGTCGTTTACAACGAAATGTAGGTTCATTTTGTGATTCCCGGGTTCAAGCTTCACGGCTAACTTTACTTAAGTCATTTGTTATAGGCCGAAACATATATAAAATACCGAATCTACAATTCATTAATAATATCAATCATATTCCTAATTACCCATCTCATAATTCTAAATTATGTGCACAAAAACAAGCATGTGATGTCGGAAACAAAAAAACGAGTAGAATTATCGATAATCTTTCAGAATATGCCGATTTTCATTTTAACCTCAGTGAGTACATAGATTTGTTACACATGCACACAAATTGTATTGCAGCTAAAACTTTTCGGCATCTTAGCCCACTACATTTTCCCACAAATTCCTGGCGAAATCAAATATTTTCTATTGTGCTACACAGAAACAACGGTGCTCAATGTGATTCCAATCACTTATACCATTGCACATTTTGATCGATTGAAAATTTTGATTTGGAAGAAAAAAGGGAGGTGCTGTAGTTCCACTAAGTACACTACATAAAGTATAATTATTTTTCTGCATATCTGACTTGAACCATACAATTATACTAACCGAAGAATGCTAAAAATCATGTTTTTTTCACCACAAAAAAAATGAGCATTTTCGAAATTCTCGAATTCACGCGTTTCATATTTGGCTCCACAATTTCCAATATCCCATTATTATTTCGACCAATATATTTCTATCTATTCTCAAAATCCAGTGAAGACGAGCGAAAAACCCTAATCTACCCCATCCAACATCTCATTTTTCTATATATTCTCTATTATTCCATAGTTTGGTCCCTATTTATTCTCAACACATTTTTCGTATGGTTGTTATGGAAAACATCGCCCATTATGTATATCTTCATATTGTAAGTAAGTTAGGCTAACTCAATAGAATTCTTCTTATTTTTCCAGTTTCTTCGAATTCATTCCCCTAATTGCTCCGCCAAACGACGCTGGAATCTTGCTAATTTTCCTCATCGCAATCCAACGTTTCATAATAGTTCTAGACTTTCGAAGACTCTCAAAATTCGTTGAGGGAAGTTGGCTCAAATTTTGGATAACTCTCGGATTCTTTGAGATAATCTTCAGCTCCATTGTTATGAAAGCCAGTTGTCGCCTCGAAATCTCTTGTAAAAACCTAATGTTGCTTCGTGATAATTTCACATGTAATAAGAAAAGTTGGAATATAACACATGAAAACTACATAGTGTACGAAGTATACACCGAATTTGTAGTTTGTTATATTTCCCTGATTCTCCATCTAATCATGTTATACCATATTCACAAAAACGAAAACCTGATGTCCGAAACGAAAAAACGGGTGGAACTATCAATAATCTACCAAAATTTGCCGATTTTCATTCAAAGCCTGGTAAGTCGAAGCTTCTAGAAGGTGAAAGATTGTGCAAACTTCAGCTAAACCTTCTCGGAATCTTCTGTTGGTTTGTGACCCCTGAACTTCCTGGAGAAATCCGACACTTCCTATTATGCACGTCCGAAACGACAGTGTTAAATGTGATTCCGGTCACCTATACCATCGCACATTTAGTCAAAATCAAACATTTTTGGAAAAAAACGACGAAAAAGCTAGGAAGTGTAGTTCCGACAAGTATACCTAATTAATAAAATGTTAACTTGTGAGAAAAACTTCAAAGCTATAGTTTGGTTCACAAAAAGTTCCAAAAGTCATATAAGTCAACAAAAAACCTATAGATATCACACGAATCGATTTGAATGAACTTTAAATTATTCTAACCCATAATTGCAGCCATATCCCCTGAATTTAAGCTTTATTTTCGCTGATTTTTGATAGCAATATAATGCTGCTCGACATTTTTTACACCACTTTCTACATATTCCAGCGAATATTGGATGTTGTCACATTCACTTCTCAAATTCTCTATCTCATTTTGTTCACCAAAACAAAAAACGATACACGTGAAAATCTCATTTTTCCAATTCAAGTCGCAATTTTTCTGCTGATTGCGGTCGATTTTTTGAATTTCATTTCATTCTGGAGTAATTTAGCGTTGATGTATTTGGTGAAGGTGTTGAATAATGAAAAACAACTTCCTTGGTATTGGGGATTTTTCGGAGTGTGAGTTGTGAAACGTGGAAAAAAAATTTTTTAAATTTTTTAGAATCGCAGTTATTCAAGCAATGATTCATCCCCACGTCGACTCGGGAATGGATTTCATTCTTCTAATCGCAATTCAACGTTTCATAATTGTACTAAACTTGAAAAAACTGGCAAAATTAGTCGATGGAAAATGTTTGAAAGCATTGATAATCTTGGTCTTTATACATATTATTATTGACACAATTTTGACAAAATTTGAATGTAACTTTGTAGAAGGTTGTGATCTTAAGATTCTACTTGAGGACAACTTCCACTGCGCAAATTATAGCACATTTATTCACATTGAAAATATTTGGTTTCGAAAGTATTTGGCTATCAAAACTCTATCAATTTCTTACTTTTCCCTATTTGCACACGTTCTTCTATTATACGCCGTGCATAAAAACAAACATATATTTTCCGAAACACGTCGTCGCACAGAATTATCAATTATTTATCAAAATATGCCAATTTTCATGTCGTGTATGATCAAATTTATCGGAATCATATTTTGGTTTCATTTCCCTCAATTTCCATTTTTAACAGAAATATTACTTTGCAAATTCCAAACAAATTATGTGAATATTATTCCAATCACTTATATTATTGCTAATTTTAAGAAATTTAAAAGTATTTTTTGGTTTAAGAAAAAGGAAACAACTGTTGTTCCATCAAGTATCTTTACATAAATATTTTGTGTTTTGAAAAAAAATTTATAATTTTTGAATTATGAATAATATTTTTGAAACTTTTTGTTGAAAATTTTTTTGAAGTAAAATGTTCAAAATTCTAAAAAATCTCAGTTTTTTAGCTCAAAATGCTCCAAATCTAAATTTGGAGCAAAATTATCTTGATTTCTCAACAAGTTTGACTATTGTGCTCAAAAACGCTCCAAACCCCCCGAAAACCGCTGGATTTGAGCTCAAAATGCTCCAAATTAGACAAAACAGTTTGAACTTGTGCTCAAAACGCTGAAAATAACACAAAACTGCTCGAATTTGAGCTCAAAATGCTGAAAATAACACAAAACTGCTCGAATTTGAGCTCAAAGTGCTCCAAAACGCCGAAAACCCATGAATTTGAGCTCAAAATGCTTTAAATCCAAAAAATCCCCCGAATTTCCGCTCCCAATTCTTACAGATAGCAAAAATCCCCAAATTTGAGCTCAAAAATGCTCCAAATAGCCGAAAACCCATGAATTTGAGCTAAAAATGCTCCAAATCTCCATTTGGGGTTCGAAGCGCTCTAAATTTCCTAAAATTACCCAATTTTGACCTCAAAATGCTCCAAACCCCCGAAAACCGCTGGATTTGAGCTCAAAATGCTCCAAAATTCTTGATTTGTCCTATAAAAGCTCCAAATCTTCCCAAAAATGCTCACCTTTTGCTGCGCATTTTGCTGTTGCTGCTGTTGCTCCTCAACCTTCTTCTTCCTCTGACTCGGCGTCTCTCCCTTATCTTGCGGCACCAATTTTCGTTTCTCTTGCGCCACCATATTATTCACGGGATGTTCTTCTCCAAATTCCTCTAATCCGATCGGATTACCGTATTCGTCCACGTAGAAAGGTTCGTCGTCAAGCGAAATCGGTCGGCGTGAAAGTTCACGTGGATCGTAAACCGGTCGACCGTATTGATCTACCTCCGGATACCTCTGATCTTGTTCTCGATGTCTTTCGGGCTCTCTGAACCTTCCGGAATCGTGTGCTGGTTGTCCTTGAGGTTGCGGAATACCTCGCGGAAGCCTTTCCTCTTGCTCTTCAAGCAGAAAATCTCGCGGGTCCTGAATCACACCGTATTGTTGTTTTTGGGTGGGTGCTTCTCTCTGCTCCTGTCTTGGCCGTTTCGGAATATATTCGACTTCTGGCGGTGGGCGGGGCTTAATTCGAAGATGTTCGTAGATTTCGGCCGGACGTTTTTCGGGTGTTATTGGTTGTGGTGCATGGTTTTTGGCGAGCTCTTGAGCGCCCTGCAAAATTGTTTTTTGAAACGTATAAAAATCGGGAAACTCACCAAAATCGCTTCCCACAATATCCACAGGACGACGCGAGGTGTGTGCGCTCTCTCGTTGTCTGCGTCTCTACAGCAAACAACACTCTCTCATTTTTTCTTCAATTTTTTTGAATTTTTTTCGAAATTTTTCAAAAAATTCGAGAAATTCACGGGAACAATGGTATATGAGCGAGTAGAGGAGGATGAAAGGAAGACAGAGAAATAACATTTAGTTCCATTTTTGAAATTTTGAAGGCTATAAAATCGAAAGAAAAACTTATGTGTTTTTTATGAAGAATTTTAGCTGAAATTTCACGAAATTTTTGGTAAATTTACTTCTAGATGCCAGGAATTACGTGAATCAAAGTATACCAGTTTATGTGATGCTAGGAATAAGAAGTTTCGAGCCTAAAAATTCTTGCAATCAGCAAAACACGTTTATTTGAGCGTTTTTTAATTTAAAAAATAAGAAATACCTGAATTCAAGTGTGAAAAACTGAAAAATCTAAATGATAAAGTTTTATGTAACAAAAAACGAACTATCTAAATAAATATTCATTAATAAATAATAGAAAGTCGTGTCTTACAAAAACATTTTTGAAAAACCGGCTGAAAATTAACATCAGCAGAAAGGCAATATGAAAATATACAACAAAAAGATTGTCAGGATTCGAATGAACTTTTTAGCTGAGTTATATAGCTCCGAATATCACAAATCGATAATTTTGGCAAATAAGGAACGTCATTCTTCGATTCAAACTCAACTTTTCCAATCAACTTCAGAAAAAATATCGTCAAATCTCTACCAAGCTCCAAAATTTGAATTTAGCAATAAGAAGAGTCGGATGTTACTGTTGAAATATGAGTTCCTCTCAATTAATCATCTTTTGAGCCATCAAACATATACAACCCTCTCCAACGACCGCTATTTTCTTCATAGTTCCAACATATACATTGTCAAGTGGATTTTCATGTGTGTTCTCGATGTTTTTCACTGTCCTCTAGTACTCTGAATAACAAATTTCCTGATGTTGGTGTTGGAAAGCCAGATCCTCCAGCGCGAGTTTATCGCAATGTTCCTCATTGAAAAAATGTGTGGTTGATTCGAAATTACGATCAGATACATCCAATGCGATTACGATTTTGTCAAAAATCAAATATCACGAGCAGTTACATACTTTTTGAACAAGTAAATGTCCAAACGTAGCGATGACCAGCGTGAACCTGCAATAATACCGTTATAAATTTCGTTATTATCAAATTTCTGAAGCAAAAAACCTACGAAAAGCTTAATTTGCTTCTCTCCCATCATATTCGAATCATTTTATATCCAAACAAGCATCAGAAAACAGTTCAACGCACCACTGGTAACATCCATCGATTCATATGAAAATAAATCTGTCGTCGTTAAAATTGGTCCAAATCTATCCCATTTCATCCCAAATGTGGTCCTCGTATCCCAAAAAGTTCGAAAAATGTGTATTCTTCACTTTTTGGTGACACCCAAAAAACCTGAAAAACGAACGAAAATCTTTAAAATTTTTGAACGGCATTATGGCGTTACTTTATGAAACGATCTATACATGAAAATGTTCTCTGACATTCATAGAATAGGAAATCGTTCATGAAATTAAGAAAAAACAACAATAACACTGAGTAAAAACAAGAAAAAGTTGAAAAATCGGCAAAAAATTCGATTTTTCCATTGAAAAAAGACAAACGAGCAAACGCGCTCTACCGAAACGAGAGATTTTTCGAAAAGAGACGCAGAAACGTCGTCTTGTGGACACTGTGCTTCCAAAATCTGTTCACTGGGTGTTTGTTGCACAAAAACGCGTCGTTCCTGGAACAAAAAAAAATTTGGATTTTTTTTCGAGCGCAAAAAATTCCAAGCCACTAGAAAAATGCTCCCGCGCACAATGTTGATTTATCCGCTTTTTGTGTACTTAGGCCGATTTTTTAGAGCAAAAAAAAAAGAAAAAAAAAATTTTTTCAGGGATTTTCTTCTAACTTTGAAAAAAAATTTGAAACAACGACACTCCGCCTGTCATCCGGAGTGTCGTTGTTTCAAATAATTCCTAGGACTTCAAAATGAAACTAGAGTCTAGTTTCAGAAATATCCGAAAAACAAGTGTCAACCGGAGTATCGTTTAAAAATTTTTTTCCCATTTTGAGGCTATTTTCAGAGCTCATTTTGTAGACAATTTCAAGGGCTTCAAAATGAAACTAGAGTCTAGTTTCAGATTGAAAAAAAATCAATAATTTCCCAACTTACCAGCCATTTGTGTTGATATTTGAATTCTCTCAAAGTATCAGCTGAAAGTGGCTCATTTTTCAGCGATTCGCAATTGATCCAAGGATGTTGGAGAGCTTCATCAACAGTCATTCGATGCCTAAAAATCGGTTTCAAATCATGAAAAATGCTAAATTTTGAGCCAAAATGCACCAAAAATGGCCCATTTTCATGGTTTTCCGCTCAAAAATCGATAATTTTCACCCAAAACTCACGCTGGAATTTCCAACAGCAACTTCTGGACAAAATCCGAAGCATCACTTGAGAAATTTCCCAAAGGCGAGTTATCATATTGACATTTGTCGACATTTGCCAAGGTTTCATTATCATTGTCGCCGTGGAACGGAGATAATCCGGAAAGTCTGGAAAATTTGGGGTTTTTGGGTGAAAAATCGATAATTTTAAGCTAGAAATCATGAAAATTCGATTTTAGAGCTTACACTAACTTTTAATTTTCAACCAGTTTTCAGAAATAATAAATTTTAAAATGACGTGTCATTTTCATTTGAAAAAGGTAAAGAAATCTCCATTTTCCGTCAGGAAACTCCGGTTTCCCACGCGAGAAAATTGAAAAATAAAAATGATAAATTTGAATTTGCATGTGCGCGCGTTTTCGCTACGAGATATTTGTGTGAGGCAGTTGTGTGCCTTTGAAAAATACCGTATGTTTATTCTTTTTTTTTCGTTTTTTTTATTTTCCGAAAAAATTCATGTTTTCATTTAATTTTTTTCGAAAATATGTTTTAGACGCGTTGCGGTTGTGCGTCGCGTGTTTTCAAAAAACTCACAAAACATAGGTCAAAACACCGCAGCTCCACATATCTGTGGCCAAAGTCAACGGATAAGCCCGCACAACTTCAGGGCTCACAAATTCGGGACTTCCGCGAATTTCGCCGGTTATCAAGCCTCGCAACAATCGTCTGGCTTGCCCAAAATCGGCCAACTTCAGCTTGTCATCTTGCAACAAAATTGTCTCGGGTCGCAAATCCAAATGAGCGATTCGCAAGTCGTGCATGTGTTTCAAGGCGAGAAGAAGTTGGCGGACGAAGACGCGAACGCATGTCTCGCGATTTTGTCCGTGCGCGGATTTGACTTCGCATCCCGGATGTGTTAGGTGCGAAAGTGTGGAGTTGGCGCTGAAAAATCGATATTTTATATGGAAAAATTGGGTGAAACACTTTGGGAACTTTTAATTTTACCTAGAAATCAAGAAACCTCCATTTTCCGTCAGAAAACTCCGGTTTCCCACGCGAGAAAATTGAAAAAATGCGAAAAAATAAAAATAATAAATTTGAATTTGCAAGTGCGCGCGTTTTCGCGAGATATTTGTGTGTGGCAGTTGTGTGCCTTTGAAGAATACCGTATATTTATTATTTATTTTTTTTTTCGTTTTTTTTTAATTTTCCAAGGAAAAATGGGATTCTGTGGGTTAAAACGAGAGGAAATGTGAATTTTCATAGAAATTTTCAAAATTTCCTGCAAAAAATGTGTCAATCTCAAACTCACCACTCAAAACTGACTCGCACCATAACTAGAGTCTATTCAGACAAAAAATACCCGTTCAGAAAATAATCAATCCAACTCAAAAAATCGTATATCAGCTCTGTGCAGCTCTCTAAACCCTCTCAACTCCCCACACTCTCTCCCCATCATTTTTACATGCAAAAAACGGCTCTGCGTCTCTCAAAACCTCACACTCTCTCCGTAAAATATCCCTCATTTTTGCCAGCTTGTTTTAAACAAAAACAAAACACCTGACAAATTGATAGAAACTTTTTTTATAGTTTTTTTGTGTGAGTGGGAGAAAACTCACCAATTGTCCTCCACCAGGGTGAACATTTTTGGCGCGAAAATTTTTTCAAGTGTGTGTAGGAAAGTGTGTAAAATAAATTTGTTTTTGAGAATTACGCCATCTGGACCCAATTTTTTTTACACATTTTGATTGATTTTTATCGGATTCAGCAGGAGGGTGTAGTGGTTTTGGCGCCAAAATTTTCTTCAAAAATGAATCTTGTTAATTTTTTTTTGAATAAAAAATTTTTGGCGCGAAAATCGAAGCTAGAATTTGAGAATTTCTAAAATGAAGCTCAGAATTTCAGGCTTGAAGTTAGAACTGAAACTTAAAATTTTCAGCTATAGATTCTCAGAAATCAAAAATCATCCCATAAAAAAATTCCCATCAATTTTTACGAGTTCCAGACTCCCTATTTTCCCCAAAAAATCATTTTCATCTCCATTTTTTGTTCGATTATTCTGAAACTTCAGAAGTCTAGAAATGCTGAAAATTCTCCTAATTTTCACAATTTTCTTCATATTTTCTGCGAATTCAACGCCTTTGGGATTAATTCCGGGACCAGTTCATATGTTGGCGCAAAAAGCGCTCAATTTTTTGGGATAAATTTTGATTTGATGGAAAAAATAAAGGTTTTGGGGTGTAAATGCGGAGTGTTGTTGTTTTTTTTCGTTCAGAAAAAAATTGTGTTTCCAAGATTACTGTAGATTTTTGAGAGCTTTAAATTTTACAGTAATCCAATAGTACTGTAGATAATTTCAAGAGCTTTTTAGAAAACATTTCAGTCTACAGTACTCCTGGGTTACTGTACTTCTGGTTTATTAGAAATAAATTTTCTGAAATTCTGAGAGGTTTTTTTTAAATTGAAAGTCTACAGTAACCCAGGAGTACTGTAGCTCATCTGGTAGCTCAAATCAAGGGCTTAAAATTATTCCAAAAAAATTAAAAATTTTTGAAATTTGAACCAAAATTCTACAGTAACCCAGGATTACTGTAGATCCTATTGTCGAAGGTTTCAAGAGCTAGAAAAAAAGGAAAATTTTAGAATCTTAAACATCTACAGTAACCCTAGCCTACTACTGTATATCATTTTGAAGCAAATTTCGAGAGTTACAAAATAAAACTAGATATTTCAGAATTTTGAATCAAACATCTACAGTAACCCAGGACTACTGTACCTCATTTTGTAGCAAATTTCAAGGACATTTTTTGATGGAAAATCCACTGTAACCCAGATCTTCCCGAAAACAAAAAAAAACCAACTTCTCAAAAACGACAAGCGCCAATTGCTCATCTTTGAGCACCCGATGCAATTGCACAATACCAGGATCATCCAACGAATTGTGAATTTCGACGTGGCGCCGCAACGCGTCATCAATGGGGCGCAATTGCGCCAAAAAGCGTCGCGGTGTGGCGCCAACTTTTGGTGCTCCTGGAGCCACGCCCAACTTTTCCGTCACCCAAAATGGTGCTCCATCCGCCGCCAGCCTGCAAAAATACCACCATTTCTCTCAATTTTTTTGGGGGATCAAAATTTGTTTCTCTGTGTCTCTCTCTATCTCTCACACTATTTCCCCCCGTAGTAATTTGATATCAAAAAAAAATTGGCGGGAAAAATGTGAGAGATAGAGAGAGAGAGAGAGAGAGTGTACATAGGTGAGAGACGCAGACATTTTTGGGGACAAATGTCCGATTTTTGGAGAAAATGGTGGTATTTTTTTTGGCGATGGCGGATTTTTTAGCTCCGCCCCTTTCCACGTGGCAAAATGAGAGGAGGTGCAGAAGAAGTTCCAGCTGAAAAAACCTGCAAAAAATGTCTGAAAATTCATTTTGCCACGTGGAAAATCGGAGGAGGTGCCTGAAAATTTGCGATGCGGAAAATTGGCGCGCGCGGAAAAATCACCAAAAATCGGACACAACACACGTGACGTCACAAAAAACCAAGGACAAAAAATCGATAATTCATTTGGTTGAGCAAAAATTCTTCAAAAAGTGGGCGGAGCGAGAGAGAAAAGGGGCGTGGCTTTGTTCACACGCGCAAAAATTTGGGCACATCTTGCGCGAGAAAATTCAAAGGCGGGAAGCTCGAGACGCAGTGGGCACTCTGCGTCTCTTCTCTCGCCGCCACCCCCGTTTCTCTGGCTCTCACCAAAACAAAAAGGGTCACTAGGCTATGGAAAAAGCACCGAAATTTTGGGGAAATTTAGCGAAACTGGGGGCACACATACAAAAACACACAGACATAAAAAACATTTTCAAGAACCGGCATAAGTGAAGAAAAAGTGGGCGTGGCAAGTGCCACGTCACACACAAAAAATCAATCAATCAATAATAGATACATAGAAATTTGATTATTATTATTATTACTTTTCGTCTTGTTCCGAGATGTCGTAGGTTTCGCGAACGCGACGCGATTCGATTTGGACGCGACGTCGCGGCGCGATTTCCACGTCATTGTAGTCGCCTTCGGCTGGAAAAAGTACAATTAATTCTGTTTTTTTGGCCAGAAAATTTTGATTCTGTTTTTTTCTGGCCAAAAATTCTGATTCTGTATTTCTGGCCAAAAATTTTGATTTTATTTTTTTTGGCCAAAAATTTTGATTTTGTATTTCTGGCCAAAAAATTTAGATTCTGTTTTTTTTGGCCAAAAAATTTTGATTCTGTGTTTTCTGGCCAAAAATTTTGATTCTGTTTTTTTGGCCAGAAAATTTTGATTTTGTTTTTTTTCTGGCCAAAAATTTTGATTCTGTATTTCTGGCCAAAAAATTTTGATTATGTTTTTTTTGGCCGAAAATTTTGATTTTGTGTTTTTTTTGGCCAGAAAATTTTGATTCTGTTTTTTTCTGGCCAAAAATTTTGATTTTATTTTTTGGCCAGAAAATTTTGATTCTGTGTTTTCTGGCCAGAATATTTTGATTCTGTTTTTTTTGGCCAGAAATTTTGATTCTGTTATTTTTCGCCAAAAATTTTGATTCTGTGTTTTGTGGCCAAAAATTTTGATTCTGTGTTTTCTGGCCAGAAAATTTTGATTCTGTATTTCTGGCCAGAAAATTTTGATTCTGTTTTTTGGCCAAAAATTGTGATTTTATTTTTTTTGGCCAGAAAATTTTGATTCTGTTTTTTGGCCAAAAATTGTGATTTTATTTTTTTTGGCCAGAAAATTTTGATTCTGTTTTTTTTCGCTCACCTTCAACTGTGACCGTACACGATGTTGTGGCCTGTCCGGCATCATTTACAGCGACACACGAATAAATTCCACTGTCACGCCATAATGGATCATTGATGATCAGCGAGCAGAGGTAGGGTCCGTCTTGGACAAATTTGATGCGAGATGATTCAACGATCGGTCGCCATTCCTGGAATCATCGGGGGATTAGGGAGGTCCGGATTGCTCAGGTTAAGAGCTTCGAAGGGTTTCTATAGAACTGGCCTAAAGCTTCTAGATTCCCTTAGGATCTTAACAATTTTGACTTCTGAATATCTGTTAAGGTAAGCTCCTAAGATTGTTTAGGTCTATCTAACATCCCAGGAGATTTCCTAAGTTTCTCCTGGATTTTAATTTAAAAAAAAAATTCTAGGAACTTCAAAGGATATCCCTGAGAAGTCCACCCTTCAGCTTCCCAAAAACACTCCGTACCTTCATCCATTTCAACTCCGGGAATGGTTCTCCTTCGACTCTCACATCCAATTTCATTGGCTGTGCAGATGAGAAGGTTTTGTTGACAAGCGGTTGAATGAAGTTGGGTCGAGCTGCAAAAAAGTTTTGAGTTAGGATATCTCAGAGCCAACCCCCCCCCCCCAAACTCACTAGCCAAATCCACCATAATATTCTGTTGCGCTTCACCATACTCATTCTTGGCAAAACACTGATATTGTCCCACATTATCCTTGCTGAACCCGCTGATCGCCAGCGTTGTCTCAGTTCCACCATACGTGTACACTTTGCATTTCGACGTCGGACTCTTGGTATCAATGTCCCATCCGCGGAACTTCCACGAGATGTCAGGATCGGGGAATCCGCTGACATTCAGGATGATCGTCAGTGTATCGTTCTCGGCGCAATATCGTTTTTCAACAACTCCCGGTGCAAACCATGGTGCACACGCGTATTGCTCACCGTATCTTTGATCCAAAGCCCGTTCCGCGTAGGGGTCCAAAAGTGGGATGATCTTATTGGTCCGGCGATCGAAGACTGGTTGTGGTGGGGCCATGAGTCTAGATGGTGGTGAAGCTGGTGAAGGATCGGAGATTCCATAGATGTTTTCAGCGCGCACACGGAACTGGTAGGATTTTCCGAGCTCCAGATTGCGAACCTTGCAAACAGGTTCAGGGATATTGTAATCCAACAATGTCCATTCCTTCTCAGGCAATTCTCGAATCTCAATAACATAGGTAACCTGCGGATATCTTGGTGGTGCTCGCTTCGTCGGAATCCACGACAACGTCAAGAAATGTCCAGTAACCTCCTTGATAAATGGTCCACGATCGGGTGGAGTTGGCAGACTTGCCGTGTTCAATTTTTGAATCCATATTCCTCGGTAAGATATGGTGTGACATCAATATCACCGTTGAATTTGATGTTGTCCAAGAATGGCACAGTGACGTCGAGAACAGCGCTCGAACTGGCTGAACCATGCGAGTTCTTGGCAGTCGCCACGTACTCTCCAGCATCCTCCAAAGTTGTGTCGAGGATGATGAGCGCGTGCGAACCTCCCCCACAAGATTGGATTTTGATTCTGCCACCTGGCACGATCTTTTTACCATTGTGGAACCATTCAACTTCAGGCGTTGGGTTTCCAACAACCAAGCAATCGAAAATTGTCGGCATGTGATTGAAGACATGTTTGTTCTTGAGTTGTCGCACAAATCCTGGTGGGAAAGGCAGACCTCCACGATCATTTGGAGCTGATTCGCCAGCATGTCTTGGTCGAATAATATTGAGCGATCCTTCGGTTTTGGCAGATCCAAGTTTGTTGGTTGCCTCGAGGGAGTATTCTCCTTCATCTTCTGGATTGGCATTGACGATTACGAGATGATGAATTCCTCGTTCATCGGTGAAGATGACACGTTTGCCATCTGGACCATCCGTGTGAATTTCTTGTCCATCTTTGAACCATTTGACGGTTGGAGTTGGCACACCAGTCGCACAGACAATCATTTCAACAACATTTCCCTGCAAAACGGGTGATTAGGGCCGAAGTTCAGCAAAATCTCTAGCTCTCTAACCCACTCTGCTCGTCTAACTCTCACTGTCTGCGTGTTACAGAAGAGGGGGGTCTGCGGGGAAGACCCGGGGAGACCCGGGAAGACCCGGGAAGACCCGGGGAGACCCGGGGAGACCCGGGGAGACCCGGGGAGACCCGGGGAGACCCGGGGAGACCCGGGGAGACCCGGGGAGACCCGGGGAGACCCGGAGAGACCCGGGAAGACCCGGGAAGACCCGGGGAGACCCGGGGAGACCCGGGAAGACCCGGGGAGATCCGGGGAGGCCTGGGGAGACCTGGGAAGACCCGGGGAGATCCGGGGAGGCCTGGGAAGACCTGGGAAGACCCGGGAAGACCCGGGAAGACCCGGGGTCACCCGGGGAGGCCCGGAAAGACCCGGGGAGACCCGGGGAGACCGAGGGAGACCCGGGGAGACCGAGGGAGACCCGGGGAGACCCGGGGGAGACCCGGGGAGACCCGGGGGAGACCCGGGGAGGCCCGGGAAGACCGGAGGAGACCCGGGGAGACCCGGGGAGACCCCCGCAGCCCTCATGAAAATTTCACAATAACCTAACCTTTTATCCACCATGACTAATGACGTAGCCAAACATCTACTAACTAAACGATTTCCAAAAATCGCCGACGCATGAATAATTCCCCAATTTTTTTCTTATTATTTACCTCTCTGGTCAACTCTGACTCTATAGAAAAATTAGAAAAAAAAAGTTATTTATATAACAAATAAAAATCGCAATCGTGTGTACTTTTTTCCCGAATGACTCATTATTTTTTTCCTTTATAAATGTGTCAGGTCTGTGGTGTGAATTAGTCATTTTTTGGGCTCTTAAAACGATGTTAAGAGTCCAAAGGGGCTCCCGATAAATCAGCCCGAAATCTTTTCAATATCTCCAAAACCCTCTAATTTCTCTGAAGCCCTCCAAATTCTCAGAAAGCCTTTATTTTCTGAAAAACCCTCTATCTTCTCTTAAGCCCTTTAATTTGTTTAAAGCCCTCTATCTTCTCTGAATCCCTCTGATTTCTCTAAAGCCCTCTATCTTCTCTGAATCCCTCTGATTTCTCTAAAGCCCTCTATGTATCTTCTGAAGCCCTTTAATTTCTCTAAAGCCCCCTATCTTCTCCAAACCCCTTTAACTTCTCAAAAGCCCTCAAATTTCTCTAAAGCCCTCTAATTGCTCTAAAGCCCTCTGTGAATCTTCTGAAAAATCCTCTATCTTCTCTTAAGCCCTCTAATTTCTCAAAAGCCCTCTATTATCTTTAAAACCCTCCAATTCCGATTAGAGTCATTTTTCTGCTTGCAAAAATCACGTAACTCTCTCTAGCCAGGGTTCCTTGCTCATTCACCATGTGACTTTTGTGCTCAAATAATGAGCCAACTTCTACACACACACACACACACTAGCTTACAAATAATAGTTGTGTCTACAATGTTGTCTTTGGGGCTTAAAAAGTGTTTCGCACTTTGTTCTTACCCGTTATCATCCAATTTCGCATTAAATCATTATTTTTTCTATTTTTTTGTAAACCTCTTATCAAAAAAAAAAATTACGATTTTTTCTAATCATTTTTTAAAAATATGTAAATCAGAGTTAAAACTCACCTCATGAATACTCATATTATACAATCCTCTTCTGATGCGCGGCTTGCATTCTTCCGGCTCTCCGGAAATTTCCGGAAGAGCTCTTGAGCCAATCGATCGGTCGCCTGAAAAAAAAAAATGTTTTCAGATTTTCTATATGCTTCATGTTCGGTGACAGCAACAATGCTACTTGTTTTGGTATTTTTGAAATTTTCGATGGGTCTCGAAGCGGCCGCAATTACAACACAGAGGTGTCCTACGGTAGGGCCCTTTAACCCTCCCCCTTTAAAAATTATAATATATCTTTAGAACTGGTATCATGACGAGCCTGGCCGATCTTGCTACCATCTAGCGCCTCATCGTATGCGGCTCGCGGAAGCGCATACCTATTGCGCATCGCAAGCGGAAAACTCGCACGTTTTGCGGATAGAATGCGGAGGCGAAACGGATTTCATCTTCCACGATGTTATGAAGGGCGAGTCCGATCAGAGGATCTGGATAGACGCGCGAGCCCGGTTCGATATTCTAGATGGCTCTGCCGGTCTGTTCGGCCCAGGATTTGTCTATAGATGGCCCAACGGGAAGATCGTGAGGTACTCAAATTGGGCCGAAGGCCACGGCATGCAAAAGGTCAACAGAAAATTGGATAAATGCGTGCAAGCCAAAGCCAACGGTCAGTGGGTCAACTCGAATTGCACGTCGCTGGCAAAAGTGATTTGCGAGAAAAAATTGCATCGGCCTTACTCCAAATTCTGTCCAAAGCACTGGATCTATTTCTCAAGTACACAAAGTTGCTATCGAACTATATCTAAAGCTAATATGACGGCGTTGGAAGCCGACTCGAAGTGCTATGATTACGGCGCCGAACATCGGCAGGACGCGATGCTTAGCAGTGTGATGAGCGAGCAGGAAAATGAGTTCATTTTGGAGTTGGCGTTGAAAAAGAATTCGCATTTGGATTTTATTTTCTTGGGTGGATTTGGGAAATCTAACAATGGTCATAAATGGCACTGGATGGATGGTGAGTTTTCTTAGGTTATCCTAACTTTAGGGAGATAGGCTAACTAAAAACGTTGACTGTGGAACCTAACTTCACAGCTGAAGGGCATCCGTGAAAGACCTGTGACCGACCGACAAGATTCAAAGGTGTTTTACGGGTCATGAACAGGTGGTGCCACCGGGGAGACCCGGGGGAGACCCGGGGGAGAGCCGGGGGAGAGCCGGGGGAGACCCGGGGGAGAGCCGGGGTAGACCCGGGGGAGACCCGGGGGAGACCCGGGGGAGACCCGGGGGAGACCCGGGGGAGACCCGGGGGAGACCCGGGGGAGACCCGGGGGAGACCCGGGGAGACCCCCCGCCCCCTGTAACACGCAGGTCAAAATCGACACGTCTCAGACCTGTCACAGGTGTTTTGCCCACGGGTGTTTCACAGGCCTGTCACAGGTCCGACCGGATGCCCTTAAGCTGTGTTAAATTCGCCAAAACTCTTAAGAGATAGGCTAACTCGAGTTTTTTTCCAGGCTCCCCATTCAAATATCTAAATTGGGACCGTGGCTCGCCGTACGGCGCTCGAGCGTTCGCAGTTTTGGTCATGAATCGTCGCGGCAAATGGCTCAATCATTACGCCGATCGAATTCTTTCGCAGTATAACTCGGTAGCGGTTTGCAAATTCAAGTCATAATTATATTTTTTTCTATTGATCTCAACTCATAATAAATCTATACTCACCTTCAATAACAAGTTCAGCTTTGGTGGAAGCGGTTCCGTGTTCATTTGTAGCCACACATCGATAATATCCTTCGGTCAAGAATGTGACATCGGATAGGATCAACCTCTGAGTTCCATCAGCTGCCGCTTCCATCTTGATCTTGTCACTCGCAAAAAGTTCCAAACCATCCTTCAACCATTTGATCGACGGGAATGGCGAGCCATATGGCAAGCACTCGAAAGTTACAGCATCTCCAGGTTTCGCTCGACGAATCGTCAACGGTGTTGTGAAGCCTGGCGCTTTGCCAGCAGCCATGGAGGCGTCGAGATCGCGTGGCACACGTGTTCTATCCGCGCGGATCACATTCACGTCACCGGAAGTTCTTGCGGAGCCGTAGGTGTTTTCGGCGACGCAACGGTAGCCTCCGGCGTCTTGACGGGTGGCGGAATCGACGATCAGTTCGCAAACACCATCGGGGGATTCGGTCTGGAAGAAATGAGATTTTATCAAGAGTTGGGCTAACTTCTGATTTAAAAAAAACCACGTGGAAGTTCACGTTTTTTAAAATTCTCCGAGCTTCAAAAATAAATTTTTTTTCGAAAAAAAAAACATAAATACGGCGCATGTGTAAAAATGACGCCTTGTTTTTTTCTTGTTGCGAGAGGCAGTGAGGAAAACAGAGAGAGTGAGTTAGAGAAAGAGACAGATAGTTCTTTTATTGTTTTGCATAAGAGTAAAACTATACTCTAGTTTGACCTAGGCTAGAAAAATGGTGTTTGGTTTGTATTTAGTTTGGTGTTGGGTAAAATTTATTTCAGTGAAGAATTCTAATAATAAATTTAGTGCCAAAAAAACGTGGCAAGTTGAAAATATTAAAAATTAAAAATTCAGAAAAATCTATCCCAAGCCCAAATAAGCCTAAGCCTAGCCCCCCCCATAGATGAACTGGGACTCCGAATTCGGTCGAGGGGTTAACTTTAGGTGAATTTTTGGCCAGATTCTGAAAATTTTTTGACCATTTTTTGAAGCCAAAATCTGGCCAAAACAGGTTGATTTTATCAAAAATTGGCCGAAAAGGTTGGCCAAAACTGAACCATTATTTTTAACTTTCTCCCGGAGCAACTAGTTCATCAAGCCTAAACCTAGTCCCCCCAAAAACTCACCAATTGCAATCGACCATACGGGAATACCCGTTCACCATCCTTAAACCATTTGATACTCGGCTTTGGCTCCCCACTAAACTTGCATCGCAACTTGAATCCCTGTTTCTCCGGCACTCTCACATTCTCCAATCCCTCAATCAACTTCGGCGCCTTATTCACATCAAAATCTCCGCTTGTCGGAAGTCCACGATCCGCAGATCTTCTCGATCCATCTCTCGCTAACTTCTTGACAGTCGCAGTTCCCTTGTCTTGCGCAGTGCCACTTGGATTAGTAGCAATGACTCGATAGATTCCATCATCATCATAAACACAACTAGGAATGAGCAAGGTTGCAGTGCCATCTGAACTCAAAGATATCTGAATTCTTTCCGATGGTTTGACAACAGCTCCATCCTTATACCAAGTCATTTCCGGAAGCCCTCCACTTGTATCAACCTTGCATTCAAGTTTCAAAGGTTGTCCCTCAGTTGTTCTCACATCTCCCATCTTCAAAGTAAACCTCGGTGGCACACTCGACACAACCGAAGCACCCTTTCCATCATCAATTCTCACAAATGATTTAGTTGTCGCACTTCCATTCTCATTCGTCGCAACACATCGATAAGTTCCCTCATCATGCAAAGTCGCCTTCTTGATTCGCAGTTGATAACAACCTCGCGACTCCTCTTTGCTCCATTCAAATCTCGTGTCTTCAATTAACGGACCTCCATCTTTTGACCATTTCACACTTGGCATCGGTTGTCCAGTCACTTTGCATTCCAGATCAATAATTCCACCAATACTAATCGACATATCGGATAACTCCAAGATGAATTTCGGTGGTTTTCCCTCGTCAATCTTCGCCTTTTCAGTTTTTCCAAGAGCCATTTGAACATGCGCAGTGGCTTGAGTCTTCGCTTTACCGTGCGCGTTCTCAGCTTCACATCGATATATCCCCTCATCACTCATCGTAGCCTTCTCCACCGTCAAACTACAACTTCCATCCGGCAAAATCTCAACTCCACTTCTAACTAATTGACCATTTCGATACCATTTGATATCTGGGAATGGATCGCCTTTAACAGCGCATCGAAGGGTGAAAGTGTCTCCTCGATCAGCCCAAAGATCAACCAATCCTTTAGTGAAGAATGGTTCCTCGCCTTCTTTTTGATCTCTTGCTTCGGAACTTTCACATTAACACTGCAACTTGTATTGATGGTTCCATGGGTGTTAGTGGCAACACATCTATAGGCTCCAATATCAGATTCAGCGGAATCCGATATCGTGAGAGTAGCAGTGCCATCTTCAGCATATTCAATATTAGTTCTCGAATCAGCACGAAGTGGAAGACCATCCTTATACCAAACCACAGATGCTCTTGGAATCGCATCAACTTTACAGCTCAATCGAATCGCCTTTCCACCATTCACACTTTGATCTTCCAATGGTGGATTAATCCTTGGTGCATATTCCCGTTTCTTCTCCTCAATAACATCCTCATGTGTTTCAACTTGATAAGTAGCCTGAGTTTCAGCCTGTCCCAATTCATTGATCGCAACACATTTATAAACTCCAATATCATGCTCATCAAATGGAATGATTTGCAAACGACAAGCTCCGTCCACAGTATTTCTAATCTCTTGATGGGAATTGTGCTCGATCTTGATACCATCTCTAAACCATTCGATTTCAGCAGTCGGGTTCGCATCAACATGACACTCAATAAACATCGGATCTCCTGTTGGAATTCGTCGATCCCAGAGTGGCACATTGAATCGAGGCGGGTATCGAAGATCATCTCTCGAACCATCTCCACGATCAGCAGCTCTTTCGAATTGCGCTGTGGTCTCATCAGACCCCAAATCATTCTTGGCAACAACTCGAAGATCTCCAAAATCTTCCTCCCGAACATCTTTGATAACTAGAGTATAGTTTCCATCAGCCATATCTTCAACAACAAATCGACCATCGTCTTGTGGAAGTGGTTTGCCATTCAAGAACCATTCCAGCGCAGGTTTCGGGAATCCTCGAACCTTCACATTGAACTCCTTCTTCTCTCCAGGCAACGCAGCCCCATTTCTCAATGGAATCACAAACTTCGGCTTCACCGGCGTCTCTCCTTGATCCTTCACCGTAACCTTACACTGACTCTCAACAGTTCCCTTCGAATTCGAAGCCACGATCTTATATTCGCCAAGATCGGACTTCTTGGCCGCTCGAATTCGCAAAGTCGCAGTTCCATCCAACGCAACTCTCATCGTCACTCGATCATCCTTCTGAAGTTCAACACCATCCTTAAACCACTTGACATCGGGGAATGGTTCTCCAGCCACTGTCGCTTGAAGAGTTAGCATATCTCCCTCCTCAACTTCAGTATCCTTCAATGGCGAGATGAAACTGGCAGGTGATTCAGGTGCAGCCGGCTTGGCCGCCTTCACATGCACCACACTTCCACTATAAACTTCACCCTTGTCATTGGCGAGTGATACACGATAAGCGGCTCCATCGGATTTCTGGCTAGTTGGGATGGTGAATGTGTAGATTCCTGGCTTCGAATTCTCACCAGCTGGAGCAATCTCCTGACCATTCTTATACCATTTCACAGTCTTTGGAATTCCCTCAATTTTCACGGCAAGCTTGATCGGTTCTCCCTCATTAACATCAACATCCTTCAATCCATCGAGGATCTTCAAGATATTCGGTTTGCTAACAGTAAGAGCAGCAGATGAATCGCATTCTCCAGCCGCATTGCCGAGTACAACTTTGTATTCCGCACCATCGTCAAGTTTCGCCTTATTGATCACAAGTTCATACTTCTTCGGTCCGATCTTCTTCGCATCAAGATGATTATTCGGTTTGATCTCTTGACCATTCTTATACCACTTGACAGATCTAACCGGTTGACTAACTTCAACTTTGAATCTTTCATCATCACCTTCAGCAATATCCAAATCATCCAATCCTTTCACAATCTCCGGTTTCTCATCAACTTCACCCTTCGCAGAACTCTTCGCCTTTCCACTTTCATTCACAGCTTCAACTGAATACTCTCCAGCATCTTCTGGAGTCGCTGATTTGATGGTAAATCGATAAGTCTGATTGTCAACCTTCTCAACATCTCCCTGCACCGCTTTACCATCCTTGAACCATCTCACCTCATCCGGTTCTCCCTCGATCTTCACTTCGAATACCAAACTAGCACCCTTGGCGACAATTTGATCTTGCAAACCTTTGAGAATCTTGCAGATTCCAGCCTTGGCTTTGTTCACAGTCAACTTCGCTGCCGATTCAGCATCTCCAGCGGTGTTCGAGAGAACAACCCTGTATTCCGCAGCATCGTCTCGAACAGCATTCTTGATTGTCAACGCGAACTTCGTATCGCTAACCTGAGCAATACTCATTCTCTCCGCTCCATCCTTGATCTCTTGACCATTCTTATACCACTTCACAGTTCTCGGTTTGGTGTTGGTTTCCAATGTGAAATCAGCATTCTCACCTTCAGTGATACTTTGATCTTTCAACGGTTTCAAGAATGTGATCTTCGGCTCAACAACAATCTTCGACGCACTATTCGCAGCTCCAGCTTCATTGCTAACTTCAACCTTATAATCTCCAGTATCATTCGCTACGGCTGCCGGGATTTCCAAACTGAATTTGTTGTCACCGTCAGCTTTGCCTCCTGGAATCTCACGACCATTTTTGTACCACTTCACAGTCTTTGGCGAGCCGCTTGTCTCGATCTCAAGTTTCAATGGAGCTCCAACTGGGATAGTCTGATCTTCAAGACCTTTCACAATCTTTGGAACCTCGGCTGGAAGTTTGACAGTAAGAGCAGCTGAGGAATCAGCATCTCCAGCATCATTGGAAACCACAACTTTATAATCAGCGGTATCATCGTCAGCTTGAGCATCAGGAATTGTGAGAACATATTCACCATCTCCCTTATCTTCAGCCTTGGCATCAGGGATCTCTTTTCCATTTTTATACCACTTCACATTCTTGACTGGTCCCTTAGTCTTGAATCTTGAAAGTGGCAGTTTCTCCTTGATTGATCGAAACTGGAACAAGTCCGGAGACAATCTCAGGCTTGACTGGAGCTGGAAGCTTCACAGTGAGTGCAGCTGCCGAGTCAGCATCTCCAGCATCGTTGGAAACCACAACTTTGTAATCAGCGGTATCGTCTTGTTGAGCATCTGGGATTGTGAGTTGATAATTTCCATCTCCCTTATCTTCAGCTTTAGCATCAGGAATCTCCTTGCCATTTTTATACCACTTGACATTCTTGACTGGTCCCTTGACTTTAATCTTGAAGGTGGCAGTCTCTCCTTGATTCACAGATGATTGGGATAAGCCCCGACACAATTTCAGGTTTCCCTTCAGCCGCAGTAATCTTGGCCTTCGAATCGATTTCTCCAGCATCATTTGAAGCTGTGACAGTATAATCTCCAGGTTCTTGGAAATCCGGGACAACCAATCGATATTTTCCATCTCCCAAATCCTCACCCTTCAACTCCTCTCCATTCTTATACCATTTCACATTCTTCGGTTTTCCATCAATCTCAACTTCCAACACCAATTTCGAACCTTTCGGTACAATTTGATCAGCAAGACCTTTTTTGAATGTTGGTAAGCTATCAGTTACGGTAAGTGTCGCAGATGATTCAACAGACAAAGATTCAGTGGAGAGTACAACTCGATAACTTCCACTATCACTAATCTCTCCACTCTCAATCTCCAATTTATATTCCGATTCGGTGATTTGCACCAACTTGGTGTGACTTGAGCTAGTAACACTTTCACTTCCCTTGTACCACTTCACAATCTTCGGTTTGCCTTCAACTTCAACTGATAGAATAATCTTGGTTCCTTGATTGACAGTGGTGTCAACAAGCCCTCTCTTGATCTTGAGAACCTCACCAGGAATGACGGTGAGTGGAGCTTTCGAATTGGCAACACCGGAATCGTTAGTGACCTCAACTCGATAGTTTCCTTGATCAGATGTTTGAGATTTTTCAATAACCAAGGTTTGAGTTCCATCAACATTCGATTCCTTATGAATTCTTGAATCAGTACTGATCTCTGCGCCATCTTTAAACCATTTAACATCCGCCGCACTTCCACTGATCTTACATTCGAATTTCGCCGTCTCCGTCTCCTTGACCTCAAGAGCTTTGAGTTCTTGCACAAAAGCTGGAGCAGTTTCCTTGACAGTTAATGTAACATCACTCCAAACATCTCCATACTCATTCGATGCTGAACATCTATATTCATCTTGATCTGAAGTGATAGCTTTGTCGATGACAAGTCTTTGAGTTCCATCTTCCAAATTCTCAATGGTGACGTGATCGGATGATGTGATTTCCTTTTCCATTCTTATACCATTTCACAGTCGGTTTTGGTTTTCCAGAAATCTTTCCTTCCAAAACAGCCCGCTCACCGACTTGAACAACAGCCGGTCGAACTGGTTGGATGAAGTCTGGAGCCTCTCCGTCGATCTTGGCGGCTCCTTCGAGAGTAACAATGATCGGGCCTTCGGTCCAGGCACTTCCGAATTCATTTTCAGCGTGACATCTGGAAATGTTTGGATGTTTGTAGATCTAGGGCTAGTAGATCTAGGGCAGGAGATCTATAGGGCTTACCTGTATTCTCCAGCATCGTTGTGTGTAACATTGTCGATGGTCAGGGTGAGAGTTCCATCATCCTTGTGTTCGGCGCGGATTCGAGTCGACATCTCGACCTGGAATTACTCTGGTTGTCTGCGTCTCTAACCCTTGTTACTCTCTTTTATCACTCTACTTCTCTAATCCTCTCTGCGTCTCTATCTCCCTCTACGTCTCTAACCCATCTCCCCTACCTCTTTTCCTTCGCGTGTCCATTTGATTTTCGGACGTGGCTCTCCGCTGACACGACACTTGAGAACAGCCTGCGACTTTTCGGCAACCGTACAACTTCTGAGAAGTTCCACAAATTCCGGAGCACCCTTGCGGTGATCTCCGTCGCCAGTGGTGGCGGTTTCTGAAAAAAATATTTGAATTTTTGGAGGGCGAGGGGGGTAATGAAAGCGAGAAGCTCAAAAGTATGCGGAAAAAGCTAGCTTTTGAAAAATATTTAGGCTTGATATGAGCAATAATGGGGCTATTCATGTTATTTTTCAACGCTGAGAAAACGGGAGAAAAGCGGAGAAAACCTATTCAGGTAGGCTGAGAAAATACGAAAAAAGCGGAGAAAATGTATTTCCTCCGCATTTCTCCTGTTTTCTCAACATGCTGAGAAAATACATGAATAGCCCCATAAGCTTTTGAAAAATACTTAGGATTAATATGAGCAATAAGCTTTTGAAAAAACTTTGGCCTAATATGAGCAATAAGCTTTTGAAGAATATTTAGGCTTAATATGAGCAATACACTTGAAGATATAGGTTTAACATGAGCAATAAGCTTGAAAAAATATTTAGGCTTAATATGAGCAATACGATTTAAAAATATAAGCATAGCACGAGCAATCAACTTTAAAACATAGGCTTAATATGAGCAATAAGCTTCTGAAGAGTATTTCGGCTTAACATGAGCAATACACTTCAAAAATAAAATGCCTGATATGAGCAATAGGCTCGAAAAATATAGGCCTACATTCATGTAAAGCCTGATCTTAAAACTTTGGTCTAACATGAGCAATAAGCTTTTAAAAAATTCTTAAGCTTAATATGAGCAAGAAGCTTTTTAAAAATATTTAGGACTAATATGAGCAATAAGCTTTTGCAGACAAATATTTAGGTTTAATATGAGCAATAAGCTATTGAAGAGAATAAGCTTAAGATGAGCAATAAGCTTTTATCTACAAATATTTAGGTTTAATATGAGCAATATGTAAGCTTGAAGAGAATAGGCTTAACATGAGCAATAGGCTTGAAAAAATAGGCCTAAATTCATGCGAAGCCTGATCCTAAAAATTAGGTCTAACATGAGCAATAAGCTTTGAAAAAATACGCTTAATATGAGCAAAAAGCTTTGAAAAATAAAAACCTAATATGAGCAATAAGCTTTTGAAAAATATTTATGCTTAATATGAGCAATACGATTTTAAAAAATACTTAAGCTTAATATGAGCAATAAGCTTTAAAAAAAATATCTAGGTCTAACATGAGCAATAAGCTTTTAAAAATAAAAGCCTAAATTCATGAGCAATAAGCTTTGATCCTAAAAATTTGGCTTAGTATGAGCAATAAGCTGAAGCATATCAATTTGAACCCATATTCCCCGGTGCCCGAAAAAAGGGTAGTGCCAGTGCCAGTACAAAATTAAAGCCACACAAAAATTGTCACACATCAAACCACTCTACCAACCTCCAATAACAGTTTCCTCCAACAAAAGTTCTTCAGTATTCTCAACTGTAACATGCTCCTCAACTTTAGAAGCATATCGAATCTTAAGTTCAGCCAAAGTGTCAGCACTTCCAGCAACATTCACCGCTTCACATCGATAAGCTCCCACATCTTCTTGGTCGGCTTTCTCGATTTTCAAACGAATCAAACCATCTTCTCGAACTTCAACGCGACTCGCATCGATTTTGACACCATTTTTGAAAAAGTTGACAGTCGGATGCGATTCGCGGTTGACACGACACTCCAAAACCACCGTATCTCCCTGATTGGCAAAGGTCTCCTTCAAAGGTTCAATGAAGAGTGGCTTGACCTCCTCAACATTCTGCTTCTCGAATGAATATTTCGGAATCCTGATCTCTCCGATCGTCTCATCTTTCCCAGCCTTGTTACTAGCTTGACAACTATATTTGCCAAGATCTGAGTGATTTGTATCCTTAATCACCAGGACATATTTTCCATTTTCCTCCTTCTTCTGAATAATATGATTATCATCGATGAGAACTTGAACACCCTCCTTAAACCACTTGACTTCGGGCTCAGGTTTTCCCTCAACTCTAACTTCAAGTTCAGCCGGTTTTCCTTGCTCAACATCAATCGGTTTCAAGCCAACAACAAATAACGGCGCCTCAATCTCATCTTGCACCGCCATATTCGCAGTCGTCTTTGCTTCTCCCGCCTCATTCGTCGCTTTGCATGTGTAAACCCCCACGTCACCAATTCTCGCGTTATTAATCACCAAACTATGGTGTCCTGAATTATCCTGCTTCGTGAAAACATGCCGGCCATCAATGACAACTGGATGATCATCTTTGAACCATTCAACTTTGGGTGCAGGCGTGCCAATCACAGTCACATCAAGACTCAGAGTCGCTTGCTCTTCAACTTCAAGGGGTCGTAACTTTTGTGTGAATTCCGGGGGCACCATTGATCTTATAATTCCAAAATGCGCACTTGTCGTGGCATCACCGCCTTCATTTCTAGCACGACACGAATAAACTCCAACATCCTCTTGTCTCGCATTTTCAATCATCAATGTATAACTTCCGGTGCTCGCTGATCTCTCAATTATATGAACTCCATCAATATGAATCGGAGTATCATCTTTGAACCATTGAATCGCGGGTTCAGGCTTGCCAACAACTTTCACACTCAACGTCAAACTTTCCGTTTCCTTGACCTCGATTGGGGTGAGTTTCTCGACGAATTCTGGAGCATTGATGTCTTTGACAACAGCGAAATTGGCACGCGTTTCAGCTTCACCTACTGAATTCGTGGCGCGAGCGATATAAATTCCTGAATCTTGAGTAGTTGCATTATTGATTGTGATCGAAAATGATCCATTTCCCTGATCAACTTTGATGATATGATTGCTACTTTCAATTTCAACAAATCGACCATCTTTGAGCCATTCAACATTTGGAGCTGGGACACCTTTCACAGTTACCGAAAGTGTTGCAGTCTCATTCACTTTCACTTCAGTTGCAACAAGTTCTTTGACAAAAGTGGGTTTTTCGAATCCTTGGGCCAATGTAACTTCAGCATTCGATTCAGCGGATCCAACAGAGTTCATAGCAGTGGCGGTGTATTTTCCAGCATCCGATGTTGCTACAGATTTGATGATTAGGGTGAATACTCCAGTCTCAACATTCTTGACGATGGTGTGATTGGAATCTTCAGTCACAAGTTTTCCATCCTTGTAGAAATCTACAACTGGGGCTGGTGATCCTTTGACAGTTACTGAGAGATTTGAAGTTTCATTAATCGAGATTTGAGTTGAGACAAGTTCCTTGACAAACGTGGGTTTCTCAAGAATTTGAGAAATTGTAACTTCAGCATTTGATTCCACCGATCCAGCAGTGTTTGTAGCAATCGCCGTGTATTTTCCAGCATCAGAACTTGTCACTGATTTAATTGTCAATGAAAAAACTCCAGTTTCAATATTCTTCACAATACTATGATTCGAATCTTCAGTGATAAGATTTCCATTGTTGAAGAAATCAACACTTGGAGCAGGCGATCCTTTAACTTCAACCGAGAATGTAGAAGTCTCATTGATCGAAATCTTCTGCGACGTGAGTTCCCTGACAAAGCTAGGCTTCTCCACATTCTTTGTCACCTCAACATCAGCCGAAGATTCGGCAGTTCCAGCTGAATTCGAAGCCTTCGCAGTGTATCTTCCAGCATGTCCCGAATTCGCGTTATGAACAATTAGGGCAAAAGTTCCGGTCGCCGAATTCTTGCGGATATTATGTTCACTATCCTCATTGACCAGATTTCCATCCTTAAACCAATCAATATTCGGATGCCCTCCAACCTTAACTTCCATCTGAATCTCCTCAGTCTCCTTGACACTGGTATTCTTCAATCCCTGCTCAAAGATCGGAGCATCAATTTTCATTGTCACTTGAGAATTCGAGTTCGAAGATCCCACAGAATTGATCGCCACAGCTTTGTAGCTACTGATATCTTCCTGTGTGATCTTATCAATCACCAATCTCCAATGTGTATTTGATTGATCGTGCTCAATCGCAATTCTCGAACTCGACTCAATCTTTGTCGAAGATCGATAGAACTCCACATGTGGTTGTGGTGTTCCTTTCACCGAACACGACAAGATCAACTTCTCATTCAGGCTGATTTGTTTGTCTTGAAGATGTTTGGTGAATTGTGGTGCTTCTCCTGGAACATGGTGAGAGGTGCAAAACACATACAGTGCAGGGTTAGATAAGGTAAAGTGAAAAATTGTGACCCCTGGGTAAAAAAACGCGACTAACCTTGAACAGTGAGGAATGCCTCGGTCTTCGAAGTTCCTTCCGAATTCTGGGCAACACACGAATATTTTCCTTGATTTTGTTGTTGGGTTGAGTTGATTGTGATGCGTTGAGTTTGCTCGATGGTTTCGATGGTGATTGATTCGGAGCTCGTGATTTTTTGCTGCAAAATTTCAGATTTTAGGTCTGTAATTCGTAAATTCAGTGAATTTCCCATGCATTCTTTAGAAACATGCCGTGAATTTTTATTTTGTTTTTTTTGGGTGCTTCAAAAATGCGTGAAAAATGCCACGTGGCATTTGGAAACCCAAAATTCTGGAACATTTTTTTCTGAAATTCAGCCGCGTGGCATTTGAAGAAAAATTGAAAATTAAAAATTTTGAAAAATTCTGAAACATTTTTTTCTGAAATTTTTCGGAATTAAAAATTTCAGAAACTCGAAAATTCAGTGCCACGTGGATTTTTTAGCTAAAATTCTGAAAATTTAATTTTTTTTTGTAATTTGAAATTACAGTAACCCGAAAATTCAGTGCTACGTGGATTTTTTTCCGAAATTTTCAGAGTTCTAGAAATTCAGCCACGTGGAATTTGAGAGATTACTGAAAATTGAAAATTTAGCAGAAATTCTGGAACATTTTTATCTTGAAATTTTTGGAATTCAAAATTTCAGCAACTAGAAAATGTTGCCACGTGGATTTTTTTGCTGAAATTTTCAGAGTTCTAAAAATTCAGCCACGTGGCATTTGGGAGAAAATTGAAAATTTAAAATTTTGCAAAAATTCTGAAACATTTTTTCTAGTAAAATTTTTTCCACTTGGATTTTTTTTTGCCGAAATTTTGAAAATTCAATTTTTTTCTGGAATTTGAAATTACAATAACCCGAAAATTCAGTGCCACGTGGATTTTTTCGCTGAAATTTTCAGAGTTCTAAAAATCCAGCCACGTGGCATTTGGGAGAAATTTGAAAATTAAAAATTTAGCAAAAATTCTGAAACATTTTTTTCTTGAAATTTTTCGGAATTCTAAATTTCAGCAACTAGAAAATTCAGTGCCACGTGGATTTTTTGCTGAAATTTTCAGAGTTCTAAAAATTCAGATTCCAAATTTTCTGAAAATTTCCAAAAAAAAATTTTTGTTTTTGAGAATCCAGAAAATTTCGAAATTAAAATTAGGATTTTTTGCGAACTGTCAAATTTCGCCACCTGGAATATTTTTGAAATTCTAAAATTTCAGAAAAAAATCCAGATTTCTCTGAAAAAAAAAATCCAGAGAATTCTCAAATTAAAAAAAATTCCTGGACCCCCCCCGCCCCAATTCAAAACTCACATTATCCTTAAACCACTCAACACTCGGCTGGGGTTCTCCAACAACTTTGCACTCAAAAACAACCCTCTCCGATGTCCTAGTCGTCTTGTCTTGAAGTGGCAAAACAAATTCCGGCGCAACCCTCTTCACCTCCACCCTATCCAAGTTCTCAACAACCGTCAGACTCGCCTCACATCTATCCAACCCGGCGGTATTCTCCACAATACACGTATACTTGCCAGCATCCTCCTCCTTCACATCATCAATGATAAGTTCCTGTGTGATATGACCCTCGGGTCCAGTTCTCGTTTGAACCCGGATTCTAGCAATGAGCTCAATCTCCTTCCCATCTTTCAGCCATTTGCAACAAACTCCTTTGGTGTCTGGAACAACACACTCAAAGACCGCACTATGACCCTTCTTCGTTTTCGAATCCTTGATCCTCTTGATGAATGCGGGAGCCATGACTGGAGTTGGAGTTCGATGCATCTCACTATCACTATTCTCCGTCACATTGTCTCCATCAAATTCTTCCGCTTGCGCTTCAGATTCCGATTCACTAAACATATCGCTTGTAAACGTAATCATATTCGCTGTACACGACACTTCTCCCGCATCATTTTCCGCTTTGCAGATAATCTCACCAACATGAACATCCGGATTGAAACTATTGATGGTTAAGATCGACGTCTTGTCATCCGTCACAATTGTATAATCAATCTTATCATTCTCAATCTTATTATTATTAATAAACCATGTCAGAGTAGGCTTCGGATCTCCAGTGAACACAACCTTATGCACAACTTTAGTCCCAGTCCTGGCTCGAACATTCGACAACCATTCCAAAAAATCCGGCGGCTCTCCACGTGGCAACACCAAAAGTGTCGCTTCCGACGTAGCCTTGCCATATTCATTAACAGCCTCGCAAACAACTTGCCCACTATAATCACAGGTAATATCCTTGATCGTCACCGTATACGTTCCCTTTTCCGAGTGGATTTTGATGTTTTGCGATTCTTCGAGCTTCTTCCCATTGACATACCACGACACAACTGGTTCAGGTTCACCAAGCAAAACAGCTTTGAGTTTCAAAGTGTCACCTTCACGGCAAGTTGCGTCGCATAGCGAGGTCTCGAATTCAACCGGGATTGGGGCCACAACCTTTAATGGTCCCTCTGTGGAAACCTCACCAGCCTTATTGTACGCAACACATCTAATCTTCCCACTCATATCAGCGCTGACTCCATGAATCTTCAAAGTATAGACCCCATTCGAATTCGATATCTCCGTATCTTCAGTCTGCGCAACCAACGTATTATTAATATACCACTTGACAAACGGTGTCGGGTCTCCAGTGATCAATAATTTACACTCCAAGGTGTCACCTTCGGTCAGATTTATTGGTGCAATATCACTTTGGAATGCCGGCTTTGCCATCGGTCTTCCCTTAACAACACCGAGTGAAGCGGCACAATCCGCAGCGCCAAAATCGTTTTCCGCTTTCACCGTGATTCGACCCTTGTCTTCCATTTTTGTGGTGACAATTCGAAGTTGAAGTGAGAGACTTCCATCAGATTCTTCGGTTTCGAGAAGTTTCACATGATCATCTTGAGCTTTGAGTTCAACACCATCTTTCAACCATTTGATCGATGGTTTTGGCTTGGTCGGATTCACCTTCGCATCCATAATTGTCAAATCGCCTTCGGTAATCAGGCGATCTTCCAAATTTCTTGAAAAAGGTTGGCGCTTCGCCAACTCGTTTCACCGCCAATTGAACGTCTCGCTTCTTGTTGCCCACCGAATTTGTGGCATTGCACGAGAGTTCGCCGGCTTGATCGGGGCTGATGGATTTGATTTCGATGGTGTGTTCGCCGTTGGTGTCGGTGACTGTGATGTTTCTGAAATTGGATGGGGATTTTGAAAGCTATGTGGTTTTGACGTGGAATTTTTGGGACAAAAAATTGAAGAATGTGGATTTTTTTTCCAAAATTTCAGATTGAAAAAAAATTTAGAAATGTAGATAAATTGCGAAATTCCAGATTTTTGCCACGTGGAATTTTTTAGAAGCCAAAAATCAGGAGATTGCTCATGTTAAACTACCTATGCTTCTCTAAAAACCAAAAATCAGGAGATTGCTCATGTTAAACTAATTATAGTTTTTTTTTAGAAGCCAAAAATTAGGAGATTGCTCATGTTAAACTTTCTACGAGCCTTTGGGAGCCAAAACGTGGAGATTGCTCATGTTAGACTAACTATAGTTTTTTTTTAATCCAAAAAATTAGGATATTGCTCATATTAAACTACCTATAGTCTCCTTTAAACGCTGAAAATGTGGAGATTGCTCATATTAAACTAACTATATTCTTTTCAAAATACAAAAAAAAAGGAGGATTGCTCATGTTAAACAACACAGAGTCCTCGAGAATTCAAAAATCAGGAGATTGCTCATGTTAAACAACCTATCCTCCTTTAAAAGCCGAAAATGTGGAGATTGCTCATGGTAAACTTTCAGCGAGTCTTTGGAAGCCAAAAACTGGGAGAATTGCTCATGTTAAATTAATTATAGTTTTTTTAATCCAAAAAATTAGGAGATTGCTCATGTTAAACTTTCTACGAGGCCTTGGAAGCCAAAAATGGAAGGATTGCTCATGTTAAACTACCTATGCTTCTCTAAAAAACCAAAAATCAGGGGATTGCTCATGTTAAACAACCTATGCTCCTTTAAAAACCAAAATTGGGGGATTGCTCATGTTAAACTACCTATGCTCCTTTAAAAGCAAAAAATTAGGGAATTGCTCATGTTAAACAATCAATGGTCATTTCTAGACCAAAAATCACGGGATTTCTCATACTATGTCCCTTTAAAAAACGATTGCTCATGTTATAAAACTTCTAGAAGACTGAGAGTTAGCCTAACTTCCGAAAGCTTCTTCAAAAAGAGATGTGATCTTTCAAAAGCCAAAAATCAGTGTATACATAAAACTTCCACAAAACTCAGAGTTACCCTAACTTCTCTCCAAACTCACGGATGCTCTTTGACAGGTTTTCCATTCAACGTCCATTCAACACTCGGCTCCGGATATCCCTCAACATCAGCCGTATACTTCACATCATCACCCTCCTTCACCTGTCGATTATCCATATTCGTCGTGAATTTCGGAACCTCAGTCTTCCGATCAACCTTAAGTTCCGCGGTCGCCTCAATCTTCCCAGCAATATTCACAGCCTCAACTCGAATCGTTCCATTATGTTCCATCAGTGGTTTATGAATCCGAATCGACGTTTTTCCCGTCTCATGAACATATTTCACCTTGACCTCATCAGATTGAATCAGTTTCCGATTATTCAAGAACCATGAGATGTTGGGCATCGGTGAGCCGGTGACAATCGCACTGAACTTCACACTCTCCTCCAATGTTGTCTCATGATTTTGTGGAGCTTGGATGAATTCAGGCTTCTTGTTCGCCCCATTCACCTTGATCTTCGCCGAAGTTCTCGCTTCCCCCGCTGAATTCTTAGCCTTGGCGGTGATCGTCTTCCCATCAAGATCCACCTTGGCTTCCGGAATCGTCACATGATAAGTTCCATCGCCATGATCCTTCACCTGCACATCATTCTCCCCATTCTTCAGCACCACCCCATCAATCTCCCAGGTGACATCAGCTGCCGATCCTTCCAACTCCAAATTCCATCGCAGCGGCTCTCCCTCATCGCAAATCTTATCCGTGAGATTCGATTTGAATTTCGGTTGCACAACATTCGGCTGAACTGTAAGTTCAGCTTCCGATGTTGCAGATCCAGCCGAATTCTGCGCTGTCACCTTAACCCTTCCCGAATCCAAATGACTAGCGCTCTTGATTTCCAAAGTATAAGTGGATTCCGATTTGGTAGTGGTCTCATAGAACTTCTCATTGATCTGCCACTTAACATTCGGTTCCGGAAATCCACTGATCATCGAGGTAAAGATCGCAGTCTCCGTCTCCTTGATGCTCACACTCTTCGGACCTTCCAAAATAATCGGCGCAGTGGATGGTGGATTCACCTTCAGATTCCCGCTAGATTCCGATTTTCCAACCTCATTCGATGCTTCCACCGTAATTCTTCCAGATTTTTCAGCACAATCAATCGTCAATGATGATTTATTCTCCTGGTTAACAATAGTTACAGAATTCACACCATTTTGAAGTTCAGCTCCATCCAAGAACCATTTATATTCAGGAGAATGTAGAGCGATAACATCAACAGTGAATTTCTCACCCTTGGTGACTTCAACATCTCGAAGTTTATCGGTGAATTCGGGCTTCTTGGTTTCCTTGGGCGCTTCAAGAATCTTGAGTTCAGTCTTGCTTTCAACACTCGATGTTTCATTCGAAGCAACGATCGAAACAGTTCCGGCTCCGAAGTTTGTTGTGTCAATCGAACATCGGAATTCGAACTTGTCATCTTGAGATATGGTGACACCTTGGGATTATGTTGAGTGAGTTCAACACCATTTAGGAACCATTTGATGTTGGTGGCGTGTTCGACGACGATTTCAAAGTGTGCGATGTCGGTCTTGTTGACGGTTTGGGTGGTGAGATCGCGGGTGATCTTGGGTGCGGGTGGCTGGAAAAATATGATGAGGTTTTGGGAAGGTTTTGGGAATCCGGGGGGACCCTCGGAATCTTAGGGACCTTAGGGACCTTAGGGACCTTCAGAAACACACACACTCTTCAACACAACTTATCAAAACTATCAGAATTTTTCGGAAAATTTTTGAAAAAAATTTTTCGAGTAGGAACTTCAGAACTTCCAAAACAATTCCAAACATTTTTTGAAGTTTCTGAATTTCAGAACTTCCAGAGAGCTTCAGAAAATCAGAAGTTTTTTTCTGAAATTTTTCAAAAAATTGTCTAATTTCAAAAATGTCCAAACTCTCGAACACAAGCTTCAAAAAATCTCAGAACTTCAGAATTTTCAAAAAAATTTCAGAACTTTTCTCAAACTTCATAAGTTTTTGAGAAAATTTCAGAGAATTTTGGGAAAATTCTGGAATCTCTGAAGACATCACAACTATTTTTCAGAACTTTCAGAAAACTCCAGAATTTTTGATTCTACAATTTTGATTTCCAAAAAATTCCAAAACTCTTCTATTCTCTAACTTCTCTCTCGTCTCTCACTATCTCTCTCTTATCTCTAATATCTTCTTCAAGAGAATTACACAAAAAACATACATAAGGCTCATAAAAATTCCGTGTAGTTCTCTTGGAAAAGATGGGGACAATTTGAAAGATGTAGAATTTTTAGAAGGTTGAACTGAAAAGTTCAAAATTCAAAATTCCAGACTGAAATTTTAAGGCAGCTTCTACATAGATTCTAAATTCAGGTCAGAAATTCAGGGCTCAAGTTCAGGGGATCAAATTTACCTTCACAACTGGTGTTGGTGACTTGGGTGGTGAAGCAGCCTTCTTGGTGGGACTTTTTGGTGGCGAGCCAGCTTTTTTGGTTGGCGATTTTGGTGGAGAAGCTGGAGCTTCTTCTACTGGTTTGGCTTCAGGAGTTTTATCCTTTTTAGTGGGACTCTTGGGTGGCGAGCCAGCTTTTTTGGTTGGCGATTTTGGTGGTGAAGCTTCTTTCTTAGTTGGTGAAGCTGGTTTGTCAGCTGGTTCTGGTTGAGTAGATTTCACATCTTGAGTCGATTCAATTTCAACTTCCACCGTTGTTTTTTGGATCTCTGAAGTTGTGGTAACTTCAACAGTCTCCTCTGATTTCTTGGTGGGACTTTTTGGTGGAGATCCAGTTTTCTTGGTGGGACTTTTGGGTAGTGAAGGCTCTTTCTTGATTGGTGAAGCTGGCTTTTCAGCTTCTGGAGTCTTGTCTTTCTTGGTTGGACTCTTGGGTGGTGAAGGCTCCTTCTTGATTGGCGAAGCTGGTTTCTCATCTTGGCTTGATTTAACCTCAACTTCCACCGTTGTTTTCTCGATCTCTGAAGTTGTAGTAACTTCAGTAGTTTCAGAAGTTTTCTTAGTTGGACTCTTCGGTGGAGATCCAGCCTTCTTGGTCGGTGAAGCAGGTTTTTCAGCTTCTGGAGTCTTATCCTTCTTGGTAGGACTCTTGGGTGGTGAAGCCGGTTTCTCATCTTGGCTCGATTTGACCTCAACTTCTACTGATGTTTTTTCGATCTCTGAATTTGTTGTAACTTCCACAGTCTCCTCTGATGTCTTAGTTGGTGATTTCGGAGGTGATCCAGCTTTCTTGGTTGGTGAAGCCGGTTTCTCAGCTTCTGGAGTCTTGTCTTTCTTGGTTGGACTCTTGGGTGGTGAAGGCTCCTTCTTGATTGGCGAAGCTGGTTTCTCCTCTTGGCTGGATTCAACCTCAACTTCTACTGATGTTTTCTGAATTTCTGAAGTTGTGGTAACTTCAATAGTCTCCTCTGATTTTTTAATTGGTGATTTCGGAGGTGATCCAGCCTTCTTGGTCGGTGAAGCAGGTTTTTCAGCTTCTGGAGTCTTATCCTTCTTGGTAGGACTCTTGGGTGGTGAAGGTTCCTTCTTGATTGGTGAACCTGGTTTCTCATCATGGCCGGACTTGACCTCAACTTCTACTGATGTCTTTTCGATCTCTGAAGTTGTTGTAACTTCCACGGTCTCCTCAGATTTTTTAGTTGGACTCTTTGGTGGACTTCCAGCTTTCTTGGTGGGTGAAGCAGGCTTTTCAGCTTCTGGAGTCTTGTCTTTCTTGGTGGGACTCTTGATTGGTGAAACAGGTTTTTCCTCTTGGCTCGATTTAACCTCAACTTCTACTGATGTCTTTTGAATTTCTGAAGTTGTAGTAACTTCAACAGTTTCTTCAGATTTTTTGGTTGGACTCTTGGGTGGAGATCCAGATTTCTTGATGGGTGAAGCAGGCTTTTCAGCTTCTGGAGTCTCATCCTTCTTGGTAGGACTCTTTGGTGGCGAGCCAGGTTTCTCATCTTGGCTGGATTTAACCTCAACTTCTACTGATGTCTTTTCGATCTCTGAAGTTGTGGTAACTTCCACGGTCTCCTCTGATTTCTTAGTTGGAGATTTAGGTGGAGATCCAGCTTTCTTGGTCGGACTCTTGGGTGGTGAAGGTTCTTTTTTGATTGATGAAAAAGGTTTTTCCTCTTGACTTGATTTAACCTCAACTTCTACTGATGTCTTTTCGATCTCTGAAGTTGTTGTAACTTCCACGGTCTCCTCAGATTTTTTAGTTGGACTCTTTGGTGGACTTCCAGCTTTCTTGGTGGGTGAAGCAGGCTTTTCAGCTTCTGGAGTCTTGTCTTTCTTGGTGGGACTCTTGATTGGTGAAACAGGTTTTTCCTCTTGGCTCGATTTAACCTCAACTTCTACTGATGTCTTTTGAATTTCTGAAGTTGTAGTAACTTCAACAGTTTCTTCAGATTTTTTGGTTGGACTCTTGGGTGGAGATCCAGATTTCTTGATGGGTGAAGCAGGCTTTTCAGCTTCTGGAGTCTCATCCTTCTTGGTAGGACTCTTTGGTGGCGAGCCAGGTTTCTCATCTTGGCTGGATTTAACCTCAACTTCTACTGATGTCTTTTCGATCTCTGAAGTTGTGGTAACTTCCACGGTCTCCTCTGATTTCTTAGTTGGAGATTTAGGTGGAGATCCAGCTTTCTTGGTTGGACTCTTGGGTGGCGAAGCCTCTTTCTTGGTGGGTTCCACTGATGTCTTCTCTGAAGTTGTGCTAACTTCTACCTCTGTCGGACTCTTTGCCAACTCCAAACTCTTCCTACTAGTCTCAGTACTTTCCGATGTTTCAACTCTAGTCTCCGATGTGATGTGTGTTTCTGTAGGCGATCCTCGACTTCCTCTACTCGCCTTCCGTTCAACCGGTATAATATCCTTCTTAATATCATCTTCAGCAAACGAAACTCTTCTTTTGGGTGTCGTCGACGAAATACTAGTCGACGATTCAGTTCGTCTAACTTCCGATGTTGTTTGAAGCACCGTATTCTCTTGCGGTTGTGATGTCTGAATAACAATATTGCTCGAGCTCGAGTTGTGCTCAATTTGAATTGAAGATGTAGAAGTGGATGAGATTAGTGTGGTTTCCATTGTTATTTCATTCTGCTGATTGTTGGTGTTGGGTGCTGGTGTTGATTCCTATCAAGAAATTATTAAGAAGGGGGCGGAGAAAAATCGAGTTGAGAGAAGTTAGTCAAAGTTTGAGATGAAGCTTGGGAACTTTTAGAGTTTTTTTTTGGAAATTCTGATAGTTCTGATAGATTTTGGGACAGGACAAGACAAGAAAAAACATGCAAAAAAATTACCGTGTGTAGAGAGTGCATGGCAAATGCGGAGAGTGTAGAGAAAAAAACACATACCTACATGCAAAAAAAGAGAGAGAGAGGGAGGGAGGAGAGAGCTGTCTGCGTCTCTAACTCTCTGATGTGTCTAACTGTCTAGCTGTCTGCGTCTCTAACTCTCTAATGTGTCTCGCTGTCTAGCTGTCTGCGTATCTAACTCTCTAATGTGTCTAGCCGTCTAGCTGTCTGCGTCTCTGACATAGTGAATCCCAGCTGCTTGCATGTTTCTCACTCTGCGTCTCTAACCAACCAGTTATGTTTAGCTGTCTGCGTCTCTAACTCTCTTATGTGTCTAGCCGTCTATCTGTCTGCGTCTCTAACTCTCTAATGTGTCTAGCTGTCTAGCTGTCTGCGTCTCTAACTCTCTATACTGTCTAGCCGCCTGCGTCTCTGACATAGTAAATCCCAGCTGCTTGCAAGTTTCTCACTCTGCGTCTCTAACTCTCTAATGTGTCTAACTGTCTAGCTGTCTGCGTCTCTAACCATATGGTAATGCATAGTTAAGTCTCTAACTCTCTGTCTCGCAAACTTGTAGCTCCTCTGGTTGTCGGGTTCTCTGCGTCTCTAACCGCACAGTAATATCTAAAAACCTCTGCGTCTCTCAATAGATCGTGATCTCTTCTAGTCTATAGCTGTCTGATTCTCTGCGTCTCTAACCATACAGTCTGCGTCTTTTATCGCATGAGTCGGTTCTCTGCTTGTCTCGCAATCTGCGTCTCTACACTTACTGACTTCCTATGCGTCTCTAACCTCTGCACATTCTCTAATTCTCTAACATATCTGCGTCTCTCAATAGATCGTGATCTCTTCTAGTCTATAGCTGTCTGATTCTCTGCGTCTATAACCACACAGCCTGCGTCTCTTATCGCATGAGTCGGTTCTCTGCTTGTCTCGCAATCTGTGTCTCTACACTTACTGCCTTCCTCTGCGTCTCTAATTTTTGCACATTCTCTGATTCTCTGCGTCTCTAACACACTCTACTTATCGGCATCTGTTCTGATTGTCTAACTGTCTGCGCCTAGCTGTTTGTCTAGTTCATCTTACTGTCTTCCTCTGCGTCTCCAACCTTCTCACATTCTCTGACTCTCTGCGTCTCTAACCACACAGTCTGCGTCTCTTATCGCATGAGTCGGTGTTCTGCTTGTCTCGCAATCAGCTTCTCTACACTTACTGACTTCCTCTGCGTCTCTAACCTCCTAACACTCTCTAACCGTCTAGCTCTCTGCGTCTCTAACACACTCTACTCATAGGAATCTGCTCTGATTGTCTACCTGTCTGCGCCTAGCTATTTGTCTAGTTAATCTCACTGACTTCCTCTGCGTCTCTAACCTTCGCACATTCTCTGACTCTCTGCGTCTCTAACCTTCGCACATTCTCTGACTCTCTGCGTCTCTAACCTTCGCACATTCTCTGACTCTCTGCGTCTCTAACACACTCTACTCATCGGCTTTATTCATCTCACTGACTTCCTCTGCGTCTCTAACCTCCTAACACTCTCTAACCGTCTTGCTCTCTGCGTCTCTAACACACTCGGCATATGTTCTGACTGTCTAACTGTCTGCGTCTAGCTGTTTGTCTAGTTCATCTTACTGCCTTCCTCTGCGTCTCTAACACACTCTGCGTCTCTAACACACTCGGCATCTGTTTTGATTGTCTAACTGTCTGCGCCTAGCTGTTTCTCTAGCTTTATTCATCTTAGTGGCTTCCTCTGCGTCTCTCACACACTCTCTCCGCCTCCCCTCAACAAACCATGCAAACCCAAAAAAGCCCACAGGGGGATGAAAAAGCTAACTGAAATTGGTTGCAGCAGTGTTTAAAGGGACACCATAGCATGTGTAGTTCTCCACGAGAACTACACACACACGTCCTTTTAAAAACCGCTGCGAAACCATAGGGGTCTCCCAAAAATGCGCGCCAACCTTTTTGGGTGTCACCACCAATTGTGCGCCAGTCTCGTCGGCTCCGAGCGAGTTTTCTGCGACAACAGAAATGGTCCATTGTTGGGTGTCGGAGAAGTAGGTCGCCGTGTCGATGTGCAAAATCGATGCGCCGTCGAACTCCGAACTGCTGGTCACACGTGCGCCGTCTTGTCCGTCGCGCACCTGGAGATTTGAGAGTGTGAGTGTTTTTTTCGAGCTCTAGATGCGATTTGGAGCATTTTGACACCAAACACACCTTGTTTGGTGTCAAAATGCTCCAAATTTCCCACCTTTCTTCCATTAATCGACCAACTATAAGTGGGCGGTGGAATTCCGAAAGCATGCGCCTCAAATCGCGCCTCCTCTCCTTTTTCCACCGTAATCGTTTTTGGTCGCAAATCGAATTCGGGTGCAAATGGTTTTTTGTTGACACTCAATTTCGCCGTCGTCTCATCTTTTCCCTCCGAATTTTCAGCAACCGCTTTCAGTTCACCGCAATCTTCCAATTTCAGATTTTTGATTTGGATTTTGATGGATCCGTCGAATTCGCGAATCTCGATTCGATCCGATTGTTCGAGTTTGATCGAGTTGAGGAACCAGGTTACCGTTGGTTTTGGCTCGCCTTCGACGCGGACCTGCGAAAAATTTGGGGGCGATTTTTGAGATTCTGGAGATGATTTGAATTTTTAAGGGCCAAAATTTTTGGAATTTCAATTATTTTGATGATCTTAAAAATTGAATTTTGAAATTTTTTGTGAAATTTTTTAAAGGTAAATTTTGTAAGCCTAAACTTGATCTCAAGCTTAAGCCTAAGAGGTTGTTTAAGCCTAAGGCTAAGCCTAACAAATTGGTTAAGCCTAAGCCCAAAGCCTACGTGGCACAATTTTCAGAAAAATGAAATTCTAAGTTTTTTGTTGGAAAAAAATTTAGGTGCTGAAAATTTCAGAATCCACGTGGCATAATTTTAGTAACTCAAAAAATCATCCAAAAATCCACGTGGCATGTTTTCAGCGTGAAAACGTGACAAAAATTTCATTTTCAAAATTTTTCTGAGCCAAATTTTTTGAACTCAACAATTTCAGAAATTAAATTCTAATTTTTAAAATTAAATTCCAATTTTTTTGTTTTGCAAAAAATTTAGGTGCTGAAAATTTCAGAAATGCGACATGGCATAATTTTCAGAAAAATTATTTCTGATTTTTTTGGTTGGAAAAAATTTCAGTGTAACTCAAAAAAATGAGCCAAAAAATCCACGTGGCATAATTTCAGCCCGGAACAAAAAATTTCAAAAATTGTTTGAAAATTTTCCCGCGTGAAAACGTGACAAAAATTTCATTTTCAAAATTTTTTCAGAAATGCCACATGGCACAATTTTCAGAAAAATTAAATTCTATTTTTTTTGTTGGAAAAAATTTTAGTGCTGAAAATGTCTGAATCCACGTTGCACAATTTTCAGAAAAATAAAATTATAATTTTTTTGTTGGAAAAAATTTCAGAATCAACGTGGCACAATTTTACAGAAAAATTAAATTCTAATTTTTTTTGTTGGAAAAAAGTTCGAAGCTGAAAATCGCTGAATCCACGTGGCATAATTTTAGTATCTCAAAAAAATCAGTCAAAAATCCACGTGGCATAATTTCAGCCCGGAACAAAAAATTTCAAAAAATTTCATTTTCAAAATGTTTTGAACTCAAAAATTTCTGAATTTAACCCTAGTCAACATTTCAAAAATTCCACATGGCACAGTTTTCAGAAAAATTCAATTCTAATTTTTTTTTGGAAAAATTTCAGAGCTGAAAATCTCTGAATAGCCGTGACATAATTTTCAGAAAAATCAAATTCTAATTTTTTGTTGGAAAAAATTTCAGTGCTGAAAATCTCTGAATCCACGTGGCATAATTTCAGTCCGGAAAAAATTTCGAAAATGTTTTGAAATTTTTTCCCACGTGAAAACGTGACAAAAATTTAATTTTCAAAATTTTCAAACAATTTTTGAACTCAAAAATTTCTGGATTTTTTCCTCAAAACCCTAGTCAAATTCGGTCTCAAAAAAATCCACAGAATTCAAAGCTCCAAATTTTGTCGTCCAAAATTTTTTCAACAAACCCCTAGTTAAATTTGAATCCAAAAAAACTCCAGAATTTCAGAGCTTCCAAAAAAATCAAGTTCCCCCCTCAAAACTCACCTCAAAAACAACACTTCCATCAACTTGTTCCGATTTATCCGTCAACTTTTCCGTGAATCTCGCCGGTTTTTTCGGCTTCTCAACAGCTTGGACAACAAGCCGGGCTTTCGTCTCAAATCGTCCCACAACATTTTCAGCTCGACATAATACGGTGCCCGCGTATTGTGCCGAATCGATTGTCATTTTGTGATCATGATTATTGAGTTGCTCGATTTTCACACCTGGACTTGACGAATCCATTTTGTGTCCGTTGATGAACCAAACAACTTCCGGAGTTGGATTTCCGCGAACTGTTGTTTCGAAAATTGCCGGCTCACCGAATTTTACTGTCTGCAAAATTGAGGATTTTTGAAAAGAAGCTTAGAGTTTGGTAGATCAAAAAATAATCAAACATTTTTCGGGGTACTGTATTTAAAAAATGCCTTTTTTGCAGGTTACTGTAGTGTTAAAGCGGGAGTTTTTGATCTACAAAAAAATTCTGAAAATTACTGTAGATAATTCTGCTAGGTCAAAAAACAATCCGGGATACTGTAGTTCTGTAGATCAAAAACCCATAGTGGATTACTGTAGACTTCAGGGATACTGTAGTTTTCAGTCTCTAGGTTACTGCAGGAGGTAAATAGAAATTGTGGAAAAAATTGGGATTGAAAAATTCCGGGTTACTGTAGCTTCCAACGTGGAAAAAATTCAGAATCCACGTGAATTAGATCTAGTAGATCAAAAATAAAAATCCAAAAAACCTGGTAGATCAAAATTCTGGCGCCAAAAATCAATAAAAGCTCTGCTCTGCCAACGTACCGAGCAAAATCTATCTTCTCAAAAACTCTCCGGGCAAAAAAAATAGTTGTGTAAAAACCCGGGAGGGACCAAAAATTGTCTACTAGATCTAAAATTAAAATTAAAAGTTCCCAAAAAAATTCGCAGACTTCTGAAAACCAATTCCATAAAAATGTTTGAAAAAAAATTCGAAAAAAAATCGCTTCTTACACAAAACACCTTTTGTTTCATGAGCTCATCAAGCAAAAAAAAAAAAGAAGTGAGAGAGCACAGGGAAATGAGAGAGTGCGGCGAGAGAAGCAGACAAAACATATCCACCTCCACAATCAATTTTTGTGTGATAATCAAAAGGGATAGAAAAAAAGGTCCGTAGGGAAAAATATATTTCGAGGGGGAGACAAAAATCAAAATTTTTGGAATTTCAACTAGGTACAGTACTCCTACAGTACTTTGGATTTTTTTTGGAATTCCAGAAAATTGTAGATCAAAAACTAACCTTAGTAAATAGGCTCTAAAATTACTGTAAAACACAATTTTTAGGCTTTAGGTTGGACAAAGCCTTAGGCTTAGGCTTAACCAATTTTATAGGCTTAACCAAAGCCTTAGGCTTAGGCTTAGGCCTAAACAATTTGTTTTAGGCTTAGGCTTAGGCTTAAACTATTTGTTAGGCTTAGGCTTAGGCTTAACCAATCTGTTAGGCTAAGGTTTAGGCTTAGCCAATTTCTTAGGCTTAGGCTTAGGCTTAAACGATTTGTTAGGTTTAGGCTTAGGCTTAACCGATTTGTTAGGCTTAACCAATTTCTTAGGCTTAGCCTTAGGCTTGACCAAAGTTTTAGGCTTAGGCTTAGGCTTAAACAACCTCTTAGGCCTAAGTTTAAAATCAAGTTTAGGCTTACATAAATCAAAAGGCTCCAAAATCAAGTAGGCTCAGGCTTAGACTTGAACAGTTATGAACCAGTAATAATCTGTTAGGCCCGGTCCACTTTAAGGCTAGGCCTAAACCTAAGCCTAGACCTAAAGGTTCCCGAAAAATCGCCCCACCTGATCCTCAATATCCTTGATAAAAGTGGGTGCGCTTCTCGACTCCTCCTCCTCTTGTTCAACAGTGAGCCGTGCCCTGCTCTCAGCCGAACCGTGTTCATTTATCGCTCGCGCCACAATTTCACCATCATGTGCGTCTTGCGCCAAATTGGTGATTGTCAGGCGATAGAAACCGTCGTGCCCAACAATTTCCACACCGTTTTCAGCGTTTCGCAACTCTTTTCCGGCCAATGTGAATGTTAGAATTGGCTCTGGCCAACCGTTCACATCAACTTCGAATTGGACCTGCAGAAAAAATACATTGAGGGGGGGGTACTGTATGCGCCTTGAATTTTGGGGAAGGTTTCGAAATACTGTATGTTCCTACTGAGGTTTGAGGGGTACTGTATGTACCTTTAAATTGAATCAAATTTTCTAGAACAAAGGATGTGTACTGTATGTTCCTTTAAAGTTTCAGATCTGGTAAATCACAAAAAAATTGAATGTTCAAAAATTTAAAAATTTGTAGATCAACAACATGTGTTCGAGACGATACTGTAGAATCTACTGTACATTTTGGCACCAAAAAAATTCTCTAAAAATCTGGTAGATCAAAATTTCCAGAAGTGTTGCTGAACTGCAAATTTTGAATTCCAGAAATTTTGTGGATCAAAATTTCCCTACTCTAAAATCTAGCTGAAATTTTGGATAGATCAAAAATTTCTAGAAAATTCTGTTTTGTAGATCAAAATTCGGGGCCCCTGAACTTTTTCAAATTCAGAATCTCAGAAAAAATGTTCCCAAAAAACCTGTAGATCAAAATCCTCTAGCAGATTTGGGCCCAAAAAAAAGTTCAAGCTCAAAAATCCCCAAAATCTCTCACCGTTCCCTTCTCCTGTGCCATTTTATCCTCCAACGGTTTGGTAAACACTGGTGGACTTGGCGGAACTCTCACTTTCAATCTCGCATCGCAACTCGTTGTGCCCAAACGATTTGCACCTTGACACGTGACAATTCCATCGAAATGACGTGTCACATCTTTGATTGTCAGAATACAAATTCCATCTTCCGATATGAATTTGACTTTTTCACTTTCACTCAGCGGAATTCCATTGATCAACCAAGTGATTTCTGGATTCGGATCTCCAGTGATGACTGATTTGAATCGAATCTCATCACCTTCATTACATTCAACATCTTCGATTGTGGCTTGGAATTCGGGTGCCACGTGGTTTTTATCGGGATCTGGTTGGACAAAAAGTTCAGCCTTGGATTCGGTGGTTCCGAATTCGTTTTGAATTTTCACCGAGTAGACACCAGTGTCATCTGGTTGAGCATCGCTGCAAAAAATTTGATTGAAAAAGGGCTTCAAAATGAGTCCAAATTTGGCTGCGTACCTACATTAGATACTCAGCCAAAAACCCTTAAACAATTAGAAAGAATAGGGCTTCAGAATTAGTTGAATTTTGACTGCGTACGTTTGATACTCAGGCGAGTAGAGAGAGGGAGAGTGATCAAAATTTAACTACACATTAGATACTCAGTCGATCAAACATTAGACTGGGAAATATACAGATACTCAGCCTAGTAAATTCTGCTAGGCTGCGTACCTACATTTGATACTCAGCCCAAAAAACATAACGTCAAAGATTTTCTAGAAATTTTGCCACGTGGATTTGTGGGCTCCAAAATCTTTCAGAATTTATTTTTGGAATTCAGAATCTTAAAGTTCTAGGTCTCAAAAATCCACTGATCAAAATTTGACTGCGTACCTTTCGATCTACATTAGATACTCAGTCTGGGAAATATAGAGATAAATTTGACTGCGTATCTACATTAGATACTCAGCCAAAAAAAACCTCGAAGATTTTTTGCCACGTGGATTTGTAGGCTCCAAAATCCTTCAGAATTTTTTTTGGAATTCAGAATCTCAAAGTTCTAGGTCTCAAAAATCCACGTGGATTTTTCACAGAACTTACCGAATCTCCAACTTGGCCGTCTGTCCATCATACTGTAATTTGAAGTCAGCACTCGGTCTCAACGGCTGATCATCAACCATCCAAACAAGTTCCGGCTCTGGCCAACCCTCAACCTCACATTCGAAATTAATCACATCACCCTCGCGACACTCCTGATCTTTGAGCGCGGAAAGAAACGCGGGCGGCGCCGCCTCCTTCTCCACTTTCATCACGCGGAAAAACGCGGAAGTGCTCGCCTGACCGTACTCATTCGTCGCCATACACGTATATCTTCCGGTATCGGTGACGTGAACTGGATCGATTGTCATTGCGAAGAAGCCGTCCTCGTCCGAATAGAAAGTGTGACGTTCATCTTCGGAGAGTAGAACATCGTCTTTGTACCAAGTGATATCGGGGAGCGGATAGCCGGTGACTTTGAGGCACATTTTGGCTGACGATTCTTGGAGAGTTCGGAAACCGTATTGGGTTCGAGTGACGCGGGTTCCTTGCATTTCGAGAGTCGTTCCGGTGGTGGCTGGAAATATTTTCGGATTTTTTTGAAAGTCGTGAGTTTAGGCTTAACTAGGCTCAGGCTTCTGGGTTCAATTAAGCTTGGGCTTATTTGTCTTAGGCCTAATTAGGCTTAACTAGGCTCAGGCTTCTGGGTTCAATTAAGCTCGGGCCTATTAGGTTTGGGCTTAACTAGGCTTAGGTTTAGGCTTAACTGGGCTTAGGTTAAGGTATTGACTTAGGCCGGTTTAGGTTCAACTAAGTTTGGGTTAAGAACTTAGGCTTAAGCTTAGGTTCAATTAATCTCGGGCTTATCAAGCTTAGGCTTTTAACTAGGCTTAACTAGGCTTAGGTTAAGGTATTGACTTAGGCTTAAGTTTATCTAGCCTTAGGCTTAGGGCTTAGGCTTAACTAGGCTTAGGTTTAGGCTTAACTAGGCTTAGGTTAAGGTATTGACTTAGGCTTAAGTTTATCTAGCCTTAGGCTTAGGGCTTAGGCTTAACTAGGCTTAGGGCTTAGGCTTAACTAGGCTTAGGTTTAGGCTTAACTAGGCTTAGGTTAAGGTATTGACTTAGGCTTAAGTTTATCTAGCCTTAGGCTTAGGGCTTAGGCTTAACTAGGCTTAGGGCTTAGGCTTAACTAGGCTTAGGTTTAGGCCAAACTAAGCTTTTAAGCTTTTTTCCAGAATGTTCCAGAAAAATGCAATTGTTGAAAATTTGTTCCCGAAAAAAGAAAAATCCACGTGGCACAATTTTTGAGAAATTCAAAATTCTGGAATTTTTTGAATCTCAAAATTTCGCGCCGAAAAATTCCTAAAAAAAAATTTTTCGAAAAAATAAAATTCAAAAGATTTGGTTGAATTTCTATAGAAATGAAATCCACGTGGCAAAAAATTTCGAAAAAAAAATTTGAAAATTAGTTATTTTTCCCGCGTGAAAACGTGACCCACAGATTATTTTTAAAAAATTTCATTATCAAATTTTCCATGGCTTCAAAAGTAACCAAATTTGGACTCAAAATGCTCCAAATTTGGGCTCAAAATGCTCCAAATTTAGGCTCAAAATGCTCCAAATTTGGGCTCAAAAAGCCCCAAATTTGGACTCAAAATGCTCCAAATTTGGGCTCAAAATGCTCCAAATTTCCCCCCAAAACTCACTCCAATCAATACTACTCGATCCTCCTGAATAGATACTTGTCGATGAACCAGTCGGCGAAATCACCGGCGGTGATTTGATCTTCTTCCGAGGCGTACCACCTTCATCGGGACCTTCAAAAAAAATTGAGTTTTTTTTTTGTTGGAATTTTTCTCGGAGCAAACAAAAAACATTGGGCTCTCACAATCAACATGGAAAAATAAAATGAATTAGGCTAACTCTAAACGCAGTTATTTTTTTTTTTTGGTTAAAAAAATCTGGACGGACAAAAAAAACTGAAACTGAAAATATAAAATACACATAATTTCCACGTGGAAAAAAAGTTGGGTCAAATTTTTGAGAAATTAAAATTTCTGGAATTTTTTAAAATTCAAAATTCTGGAATTTTTTTAAAATAAAAATTTGATGCCGAAAAATTCCTAAAAATTTTTTTTTCGAAAAAAAATAATTTTTTTTTTAAATTTCAGAGCAAAAATCCACGTGGCAACAAAAAAATTCCAACAAATTTTCATTTCCAGAAAAATCCACGTGGCAAATTTTTTGAGAAATTCAAAATTCTGGAATTTAAAAAAAAAAAAAATTGTGCCAAAAAACGTATGAAAACTTTTATTCGAAAAAAAAAATTGTGCTAGGAAATTCCAGAGAAAAAATCCACGTGGCAACAAAAAATTCCAAAAAATTTTCATTTCCAGAAAAATCCACGTGGCAAAAATTTTTGAGAAATCGAATATTCTAGAATTTTTTGAATCTCAAAATTTAGTGCCAAAAAATTTCTAAAAATGTTTTTCGAAAAAAATAAATTTTTCAAAAAATTTCAGAGAAAAAATCCACGTGGCAACAAAAAATTCCAAAAAATTTTCATTTCCAGAAAAAATCCACGTGGAAAATTTCAGAGAAATCGAAAATTCTGGATTTTTTCAAATCAAAATTTGGTGTCGAAAAATTCCTAAAAATATTTTTCGAAAAAAATAAATTTTTCAAAAAATTCAGAGAAAAAATCCACGTGGCAACAAAAAATTCCAAAAAATTTTCATTTCCAGAAAAATCCACGTGGCAAATTTTTGAGAAATTGAAAATTCTGGAATATTTTGAATCTCAAAATTTGATGCCGAAAAACTCCTAAAAAATTTTTCTCGAAAAAAATTGTGCTAGAAAATTTCAGAGAGAAAATCCACGTGGCAACAAAAAATTCCAAAAAATTTTCATTTCCAGAAAAATCCAATTTTTTGAGAAATTGAAAATTCTGGAATTTTTTGAATCTCAAAATTTGGTGCCGAAAAAATCCTAAAAAATTTTTTCGAAAAAAAATGTGCTAGAAAATTTCAGAGCAAAAATCCACGTGGCAACAAAAAATTCCAAAAAATTTTCATTTCCAGAAAAATCCACTTGGCAAAATTTTTTGAGAAATTGAAAGTTCTGGAATTTTTTGAATCTCAAAATTTGGTTCCAAAAAATGTATGAAAACATTTTTTTTCGAAAAAAAAATAAATTTTTCAAAAATTTCAGAGCAAAAATGGGAAAATTTTGAAAAAAAAATCAAGTATTCTGGAAGTTTTCAAAACATAAAATCTAAAATCTTTAGAAATTTTGAAAATAAAATCCACGTGGCAAAATTTAGTTCTGCAAACTTCTTTTTTTTTTATTGAAGAAGAACAAATTTCAAAATTTCAAAAAATTTTCCACGTGGCAAAATTGTTTCAAAATTTCAGGAAATTTTCCACGTGTCAAACACCAACACAAAAAATGCACACCAAAATTCACTCCAAAAAAAGTGCACAACACCTCTCAAACTACTCTTCCTGGATCCGCTCCACTCGCTAAACTCAGACCGAGCCGAGTCGAGCTCAAAAGTGCTCACACTACTTGCTCCTCGCGGCCGCCCACCAAAAGCCGCTCCACCATCAGAAGATGGTGCAGTTTGGCTGGTGGTGGACATTGTGGTGGCTAGAAAAAAATCCCCGATCAAAATTTCGAACTTACACCAAGATGGATCAACAAGTTCCAATCCGCCCTCTTCGGTGTCCGTCAATTCGATGATATACAACGTTTTAAGGACCATCCTTCCTTAGGCCTTAGGCTTATTAGGGCTTAGGGCTTAAGGGGCTTAAGGCTTCCACAAAAAAAAAATCAATCGATATCAGCAGAGAGAGGGGCGTAGATAATAATATAATAGAATATAAATGAGAGCCTCTGTGTTGCTCTCGGGAGGCGAGAGAGTATGGAGATATGAGAGAGACGCAGAGATGTTAGAGTGTGGGCGATTACACACGGGAAATGATGATAGAAAGGGATTTTTGGCAGCAGCAGAAGCTTCCGAAACACTTTTTGCGAGGGATTTTCTTCGAGAGTACAACACGGCATTTTGTGTGTAACATTGTTTAAGGGGTGCGCAAAAAGGTCAAGTAGCGCATGGTTTTGTGGGCGGAGCTTTGGAATTTTTCCAATAATTCAAAAATCTTGCAAAGGCACGGTTTTGGGGGCGGGGCCTAATATTTATTTCATTTTTCACTCTGGAAACTCTAAACTTTGAAAGTCTTCAAATTTTTGTTTGCCGCACGGTTTTGTGGGCGGAGCCTTTTTCAAAATTCTGCAATTTTCTGCCATCGCACAGTTTTTTCCCTTTTTCTCTGCGTCTCCCCTCTCTCTCCCAATTTTCCCCAAAAACATCTGGCAAAATGTGTCCAATAACTTTTGATTTATGCGACGAAACCAAAATTTCCTTCCCCTTTTTTATTCGACATTTTCAACGCGCTTTTAAAAAGCGCGCGTGGTTCAGTGGCAGGGCGCTGGTTTTGGAATCGAGAGGTGCGGGGTTCAATGCCCGCCGGGTGATGAAACTTTTTTATTTTTTTTTTTGATGATGATTGTGTGCAACACTTGTTCGTCTTTTTGAGATACACACACACAAGAAAAATCTCAAGTGTAAATAAATATCCCTCATTTATTTTTTGCTCTGGGAAGAGGACATTTTGGAACTTGTTGAGAAGAAATCCCCAAAAATTTAAAGGAACATACCGTACGCCTCCTGTTCTTCACCTATATCTTTGAGCCAAGCTTTTCGCGTGTATTCGGCAGTTTCGAAATCGCGTGGCTTCATTCTGCGAAAAATTTGAATTTTTTTTCGAAAAAAAATGCCACGTGGCTTCAAAATACCCCGTGTTTCGGCTCAAAATTATCAGGAAAATGAGGCGAGCTCAAAAATTGCCACGTGGCTTCAAAACATCCCGTGTTTGGGCTCAAAATGCTCACCGGAAACTGGGCAGACCGGGTTCTTGTGGCTGCAATACAATCGTATCCTCATCCGTCGTGTGTTGTCGAATATTGTATCGATCCAGCCTGATTGTTGCCACGTGGCAATACGCATTCGGTTTGTGATCGGTGAACATGATTTTGTTGGGGAACAGAAAGACGTAGCGAATTTGCGGATCGCTGTCGCCTTCCCAAACTTGAAATGTGTCCTGGACAAGAAAAAAACACGTGGATTTTTGGGTTTTGGCGCTAGAAAAAGGGGGCGTGGCCTAAATTTCGGGCCCCACTTACATGTCTGATAATTCGGCCCAATTTGCTGGTATCTCCTGGATATTGTTTGATGTTGTCAGTGTATTCCAAATCGTGGACTCTGGAAAAATTTAGATTTTTTTTTGTAGATCAGAAATTTGGCGCCAGAAAACAAGCTACAGTAGTCTAGAGACTGAAAAATCGGGAAAAACCGATTACAGTAACCCAAGTCAAAATTTGAAAAATCAAGTTTTCGCGCCAAAATATCCACAGTATCCCTAAGCTCATTTGGTCTCAGAAAATTCCGATTTTTTTCCATTAAACTACAGTAATCCTTAGCTCTCCTACAGTATCCCTAGGCTTTTTTGGTCTTAAAAAATTCCAATTTTTTTTGCAGTAAACTACAGTAATCCTTAGCTTTTCTACAGTAATCCTAAGCATATTTGGTCTCGAAAAATTCAAATTTTCGCGCCAAAACTCTACAGTAATCCTAAGCATATTTGGTCTCAAAAAATTCCAAATTTTTTGCCATTAAACTACAGTAATCCTTAGCTCTTCTACAGTAACCCTAGGCTTATATGGTCTCGAAAAATTCCAAATTTTTTCGCCATTAAACTACAGTAATCTTTAGCTCTTCTACAGTAACCCAAGGCTTATTTGATCTCAAAAAATTCCAATTTTTTTTGCCATTAAACTACAGTAATCCTTGGCTCTTCTACAGTAACCCTAAGCTTATTTGGTCTCGAAAAATTCAAATTTTCGCGCCAAAACTCTACAGTAATCCTTAACTCTTCTACAGTAATCCTAAGCATATTTGGTCTCTAAAAATTCCAATTTTTCTTAATTAAACTACAGTAATCCTGAGCTTACTTACAGTAATCCTAGGCGTATTTGGTCTCAAAAAATTCCAATTTTTTCGCCATTAAACTACAGTAATCCTTAGCTCCTCTACAGTAACCCTAGGCTCATTTGGTCTCAAAAAATTCCAATTTTTTCGCCATTAAACTACAGTAATCCTTAGCTCTTTTACAGTAACCCTAGGCTTATTTGATCTCAAAAAATTCCAAATTTTTTTTCCATTAAACTACAGTAATCCTTAGCCGTTCTACAGTAACCCTAGGCTTATTTGGTCTCAAAAAATTGCGAATTTTCAGTCAGCTGCTACAAACCTCTGTGGAATAGTTGTCACCAATTCCAGTGCCTTCTGAATACTTTTCGATGATCCACCATTTGCGCGAGTCGAATATTTGACAAATTCCTTGAAATAATTCTGATATTGAACCATTCGATTGGCGATTTCATTGATGTGATCCGAAAATGTTGAAGCTCCAGCATCGGATTTATTCGACAGGTTCTGAAAAACGGCAAAAAATAATTATTGGGGAATTTTTTGGTGGCTTTAGGGGGTTCAGAAAAAAAATGTCATCAAAAATCAGAAAAAATTCAGGTCCTACAGCAAAAAAATTTCATCAAAAAGCAGAAAAATTGGGAAAAATAGCGAGAGAGTAAACAAAAAAGAGAGCGCAGACAGCGAAAGCAGAACTTTCGAAGATCAAAAATCAATTTTAGAAGTCTAAAAAATATTTTTCAAATTTTTTTGGCGGCAAAAACTACACAAAACTAGAAAAAAACAAAATTTTTGGGTCTTGCAACGAGATAAAAATACAGTAATCTACATAATTTGAAGGAAATGGTAATTTTGGAGGCCAAAAAAAATTTTTTTTTTAATTCTGGGTCTCGAAACGAGTTCCAAAGTACAGTAATTTTGATGAAAAAAAAAAAATTTTTGAAACATTTAAAAAAATTAAAATTTGATGAGCAAAAAATACAAAAAATTTTTGAAACGTATTTTTTCTGGGTGTTTTTTTTTGAAATTGAAGAAAAACCAGAGCAAAAATTAAAGGAACATTGAATTTTCAGAAAATTGTCAGAAAATATTTTTTTTGAGAACAGAAATTTTTTGAAATCAAAATTTAAATTCTAGAAAAAAAAACACAAAATCCATAATTTTAAAAAAAATTAGAGAAATCTATTATAATTTTCTGTTATCAGTTCAAAAATGTTTTAGGCCTGGATTTACAAAATTTTTGAAACGTATTTTTTCTGAGATTTTTTTTTACTCAATATTGAAAACTCAAAAAACATTCAGCAAGTACGGTAATTTTTGGCGTGTTCAGAACTTCAAGAAAAAATTGATAACCATTTTTTTGAGAACAGAAATTTTTAAAATAAAAATTTAAATTCTAGAAGAAATCACAATATTAGAGCAAATTTCAAAACGAAAAATCGATAATTTGAAAAAAAGACCAGTAGAAAATCAGCAGAAAATTTAAAGGAACAATGATATTTTCAGAAATTTGGGTCTCGAAACGAGTTAGAGAAAAAAATACAGTGATTTTTATAAAGAGAGTAGAACCGCATAATCAGTTCAAAAATTTTTTAGACCTGGATTTTCAAAAATTTTTGAAACGTATTTTCTCGGGGTTTTTTGAACAAATTTTTTAAAAAAATTTTGAAAAGAATAACAGAGAAAATTAAAGGAACATTTAATTTTTGGAAATTTGGTCTTGAAAAAAATTAACAACATATCAAGTCAAAAAATGATTAGCAAGAATTTAAAAAAATGTTTGAAACGTATTTTTCACGCGAAATTTTGGCTTAATCACACCTGGCGAGAAAGTGGCAAATCAATTGTTCAGGGTGAGATTTTTGAATTTTTTGAAATTTTTCATTAAAATCCGCCGAAAATCAATAAAAAACTACACTTTTTCGAGAAAAAATGTACAGTGTGGCTTTGAAAAATTTTTGTACAGTGTTCAATTTGAATACGTCTCGTTTTTTGAAAATAAAAATTGGGTCTTGAAACGAATTAAGGCGCTTAATTTGAAAAATAACAAAAATCAGAGCAAAGTTTTGAAAAAAAAAAATTCAACTTTTTGAAATTCAGGTCTCGCAACGAATTGTGAATGAACTTTTTTATCAGAGAGAAAAAAATTTGGCAGCAAAAAATTTTTCAAAAATCGACAACATCAAAATACAGTAACTCAAAAACAAAATAGAAAACTTTAAAGGTACATTTGATTTACAGAAATTTGGGTCTTGAGAAGAAATAAAATACATAGAAAATTATCAATTTGAAAATTGATGAGCCAAAATTTACAAAATTTTTGAAACGTATTTTTTTGGTGTTTTTTATAGGCCAATTTGAAACAGTAGAAAAATCAGCAGAAAATTTAAAGGAACATTGATATTTTCAGAAATTTGGGTCTTGGAACGGATTAGAGAAAAAAGAGACAACGTCAAATTAAGAGAGTGCAGACAGAAAAATTGGTTTTTTGTATTTTTAGGTTAGGCTCAATTTGAAAACGAAAAAAAAGAGAAAATCAAAGGAACATAAATTTATTAAAATTTTGGGTCTCGAAACGAGTTTCGACAAAGTCAGCTTAAAAAATCAATAAATTCAAACGAATTTATTCAGAACGATACTTTTCAGCGCTAAAAATTAATTCCAGAAATTCACATTTTGTTTTTTGAAAATCAAATTTGAGTCTTGAAACGAATTCAGGTTTTTACAACACCCAAAAATGTACTCAAAAGAAAATCCAAGGGAAAAAATCAGATTCAGAAAAAAAACCAAGAAATCTCCCCCGAAAACAATGAAAATTTGGCGTAACATCAAGTGTTTTGAAGAAAAAAAATTAATAGAAAATTAATTGACTTTTACAACGACACTCCGAAGTTCCGCTTGCCCGCTGTTTAGCGCAACACAAGAATATTTTCATTTTCGCGGTTTTTTTTCGCGGGGTTTTCGGGTTTCCGGGTGAAATCAGTGGATTTCAGTCAAAAATTGAATTTTCAGATGTTCTACAAGGCTGGAATTATCGATTTCGATGGAAAATCCGAGGATTATCGAAGAAAGGTGCGGTTTTTTCTAGAGAAACAATGTTTCGATTGAAATTTTCGAGTTTTTGGGGGCAAAAACGATTTTAAAAGTTGTTGTGAGACCCAGAAAACCTTCAGAAATCTATAGAAACAGAAATGGATTTAGCAGAACTCAATGGTACATGAAAAAATCAAATTTTCTGATTTTCAGCTCGAAAAATTGATGGACAATTGGATTTCAACGTGGAAAACTTGGAGGATTTTGGATTTTTGATTGAAATTTGAGAAATAGAAGCGATTGGTGAGTTTTTTGGGGAGGGATTTCGAAAAAAATGGAAAAATTTGACAAAAAAAACAAAAAACAAGCAGAAAAAGCGAGAGAGTACACAAAAAGAGAGCGCAGACGCAAAACATTTCTTGTCAAAATTATTGGTGATCAAAAAAATATTTAGAGGTCGGAAAAATTTTTTGTGGAAGTTTTTGTTTCCAAAAAAGTTCGATTTGAATACGGTAGGTGGTATTAAAGGAACATTCATTTTGTAATTTCATTGAAAAAAATTTTTGGAAAAAAATATGGTTATTTAATTTTTGAAACCTATTTTTTCAAGGAGTTTTTTTGTCAATTTCAGAAATTATAAATTTTGAAAACAAAAATATCACAGAAAAAAATATTTTCAATAAAAAAATAGAAAAAAGACAAAAAAAATTTCTCAAATGACCCGAAAATTGATTGAAAACACATGTCAAAAATGAAAAAAAAATCAATAAATTTTCAAAAATAAGTACATTTTTCGCGCGCAAATTTTTTATTTTCAAAATTTAACTTTGAATAAAATAGTATAGTGTCGTAATAATTATGAATAAATAGGATATAATATATAGTAGTGAAAATGAAGAGACGCAGAGAATCAGAGATAAAGAGAGAGCGCAGAGAAACCAGACAAAAACTGCATAAAATGGTAGAGAACGCAGAGAAACCAGAGAAGCAAGAGATCGAGAGAAAATTAGAGAGCGCAGAGAAACCAGAAAAGCTAGAGATCGAGAGAAATTGAGAGAACGCAGAGAAATCAGATAAGCTAGAGATCAAGAGAGAATGAGAGAGCGCAGAGAAGCCAGACAAAAAACAATTAAAATATTAGAGACCCAGAGAAACTAGGCAAGCTAGAGATCAAGAGAAAATGAGAGAGCGCAGAGAAGCCAGACAAAAAACAATTAAAATATTAGAGACCCAGAGAAACTAGGCAAGCTAGAGATCAAGAGAAAATGAGAGAGCGCAGAGAAACCAGACAAAAAACAATTGAAATATTGGAGACCCAGAGAAACTAGGCAAGCCAGAGATCAAGAGAAAATGAGAGAGCGCAGAGAAACCAGACAAAAAACAATTGAAATATTTGAGACCCAGAGAAACTAGGCAAGCTAGAGATCAAGAGAAAATGAGAGAGCGCAGAGAAGCCAGACAAAAAACAATTAAAATATTAGAGACCCAGAGAAACTAGGCAAGCTAGAGATCAAGAGAAAATGAGAGAGCGCAGAGAAACCAGACAAAAAACAATTGAAATATTTGAGACCCAGAGAAACTAGGCAAGCTAGAGATCAAGAGAAAATGAGAGAGCGCAGAGAAGCCAGACAAAAAACAATTAAAATATTAGAGACCCAGAGAAACTAGGCAAGCTAGAGATCAAGAGAAAATGAGAGAGCGCAGAGAAACCAGACAAAAAACAATTGAAATATTGGAGACCCAGAGAAACTAGGCAAGCTAGAGATCAAGAGAAAATGAGAGAGCGCAGAGAATTTAGAGAACAAAAAATACTGTGTAAAAATAAGAGAGAGCACAGAGAAAAATACAGAACAGAAACAAAAATTCACCTGGAAGAAATCCTTGATTCCTGGCTCCTCAACCAATTTCAACGCATTTTGATAGTTCTTATAAAACTCGACGTGATTCTCGAAATCCTTTTCCAATCTCACAAAAGTTTGCCCAACTTTTCCCGGATCATCCGAATAATAATTCAGCCCCTTCAACATGACATTCGCATGAAAATTGTAGAGTTCGGGAATGTTGCCGACGATTTGATCGCGATTTTTTTTGACCAGTTCTGGCACATTGGCATCGTCGATCACTTTGATGTAATCATCGACGCACGATCGCAAAGATCCCACAAATTCTTCTTCGGATCGTAGAAGTTCGTGGTAGACTTGGCTGCAAAATTTGGGATTTTTCCTATTTTCAGCGATTTTCAGCTCAAAATTTGGGTCTGGAAAGTTTCAATTTTCTCTGAAACTTTTTTTTGGGATAGTCTTAGTCCAAAAAAGATTCCAGAAGCTCAAAACCTTTTTCTAGGCTAAAATTTTGTGCTGAAAATCATGAGAATATCTTTCAGAACATTTTCAGATTCAATTTTTGTCATCTACCTTCACATTTGAAACCTATTTTTTCAGCGCCAGTTTGCAAATTTATTTTTATTCTACTTCTCTGCGTCTCTAATTTTTGTTTTGAGCTCAAAAATCCCGAAAATCTCCTCTATTACACAACACAACCCCATTCACTTTTCACTTTGAGCAACAAAAAAAACTTTTTTTTTTGGGTTTGTCCAGAAAAAATGGCGGGAGAGCGGCTGTTGGAGAAAGAAGAAGATCACATACATTTTTATTATTTTATTATTATTTCGAGAGCAGAGAGAGAGAGAGAGACGCAGAGAAGCTAGAGAGCATAGACAAGTTGGAGACGCAGAGAGTGCAGAGAAGAAAGGTTAGAAGTTAGAGACGCTAGAGAAAATAAGGAAGTTGGAGACACAGACAAGCTAGATAGGTTAGAAAGGTAGAGTAACCTAGAGACGCAGAGTGGAAATATTGGTTAGAGAAACATATGAATAATTAGCAGAGGATAGAGTTAGATAAGGAGAGTGAGTGAATGGGTTAGAGACGCAGAGACCAGTCATAGAAGAGTCTAGAGACGCAGAGATGTCAGACACCCAGACTCACCAAAACTAAATATTTTTGCTCCAACAGTCAGTCGCACGATCATTTCTAACAATAAGCTTCCAAAAATTTTCAAAAATGATTTTTTCTCTGCCACGTGTTTCACGTAGATCACGTCAAAAAAAAACAAACTCACTCTCTTTTCACAATCGCCGCCTGCTCATCATTCAACTCCTTGTCATTTTCGATTTCGCGAGTTCGACGACGTTGTTTGTAGAATTCGGTGGGAGTTTCGAAATAGGATCCGGGTACCCAACCGGATCGAGGTGGACGAGCCTGCAAAAATGAAAAAACTGAAAATTTGGCTGAAAATTTGGCGTCACATCAAGTGTTTCGATGTGTGCAAACACCGCTCTTCGTTTTTTTTTCAAAAAAAAAAAAAAATTTAAAAAATTAATTGACTTTTACAACGACACTCCGCGCTTTCCCGCTTGCCCGCTGTTTAGCGCAACACAAGAATATTTTCATTTTTCGTTTTTTTTCGCGGGGTTTTCAGGTTTCCGGGGAAAATCAGTGAATTTCAGTCAAAAATTGAATTTTCAGATGTTCTACAAGGCTGAAATTATCGATTCCGATGGAAAATCCGAGGATTATCGAAGAAAGGTGCGGTTTTTTCTAGAGAAACAATGTTTCGATTGAAATTTTTGAGTTTTCAGGGTCAAAAATGATTTTAAAAATTGTTGTGAGACCCAGAAATCTATAGAAACAAAAATGGAGTTAGCAGAACTCAATGGTACATGAAAAAATCGAATTTTCCGATTTTCAGCTCGGAAAATTGATGGAAAATTGGATTCAACGTGGAAAACTTGGAGGATTTTGGATTTTTTGATTGGAATTTTTGAGAAATAGAAGCGATTGGTGAGTTTTTTGGGGAGGGATTTCGGGAAAAATTGAAAATATATGAAAAAATCTTTAAAAATTGAAAAAAGTTAGGCTAACTCATCAAAATCTAGTTTATATAAAGATGCGGAAAGAGAGAGAGAGTTAGACGGCTAGAGTAAATGGTTAGAGAGCCTGGAGAGTGATAGAGACGCAGATAAATGATGTTTAGGAGAGATTTGAGAGAGCGCAGAGATGCAGACTACTGAGGTTAGAGACGCAGGTTAAGAGAAGCCTTGGTTAGAGTCAACTAGAATTTGAGAGACGCAGAGAAACTAGAGTGTAGTTAGAGATAGCAGAGAGAGTCCAGACAACGCGATTGCTCACCTTAGTCCTAACCAACCAGCGCACCGAATTCTTCTTGTCGAGCACTTCGACAATTTGTCCCTGCTCCAACGGAATCGCCTCCACATCCTCCTTATCCGGCTGATAATCTTGAATCGCAATGTAGACCGGGTAGCTTCGAGATTCGGAGCCCTGCAAAACAAAAAAATTGGAGCATTTTGAGCTCAAACACGGCCTATTTTTGGCGCCAAAAGACACGTGGCTTTTTGAGCTCAAAATTTGGAGCATTTTGAGCCCAAACACCATCATATTTGGTGTCAAAATGCTCCAATTTTGGCGCCAAATTCAAATTTTGCAAATTTCCCCACCGCCACAATTTCCGATGACGTCGATCTGCCACGTCCGTCCGATCGTGATGTCACCGATTCGGATCGATACGATGTTCGCGCTGAATGTGTACTGTAGTTCACATCGTCGGTGGCGGTGAATTTTCTGGAAACGTGGATTTTGCGCGGCACGGACAAAGGGGCGTGGCCTGAAATTCGATCCAAAATTCTGCAAATTTCCCGCAGGGCACAGAAAAATGGGCGTGGCCTATATTATTTTCAATTTCCTCCCCCGTGTCGTATTTTCGAACACCTTTTCGTTGTTACACGGCATTTCAACCAAGCAACTGCCTCGTTTTTTGCGATGATTGATTGGAAATGGACATTTTCAGCCAAAATTTCAGATTTTTAGCCCAATTTTCAGCCGGATTTTCCCTGTGAAAGTGCCAAAAGAGTAGCCGGATTTATCATAACTTTTTTCCTCTTTTAGAGCCGCGCAAATATTTGTTTTGGTCTCTTTTTTTTCTGGCTTTAGGCGCTTAGAAGTTTCTAGTTGTTGGAAATTTTTTTGAGTACACTTTGAGTCGGACGAACTAGTGTTCAAAGATTTTTTGGCGGCAAAAAAAAAGTTTGGCGCCAAAATACTACTGTAGGTAGATCAAAATTTTGTGCTTCAAAAAATTCGAAATTCAGAAAGAATACTGTAGCCACAATTTTAGGGGTTCAAAAAGTTCTAGAAATTCACAAAACCCAGGATTACTGTAGCCACAATTTTAGGGTTTAAAAATTTTCAGAAATTCACAAAACCCAGGATTACTGTAGCTCAATTTAAGAGCTCAAAAATTTTTCTGAAAATTTCCAAAAAATTCTGATTCTCGCAAGACTACTGTCACGCACGGAAAAAGTTCAAGTAAAATTACTGTAGATCAAATTTTCGCGCCAAAAACTTCTGGTAAATCAAAATGTTTGACCTCCCAAGCTGCAGGCATACTGTATGCAATGATTTTCGCGCGCCAAAACCCCCCTACAGTACCCCCCACTCCCAAAAACACCCACCGATACGAGCTGTATTTTCGATCAAACTGTTTTTGTCGTCTGCTCGCCATCGCCCGATTTTTCACACAGAAAAATCTGAAATTTCAGATTTTTGGCGCCGAAAAAAGTAGAGTATAGATAGGTAGGATATATATATATATATATTTATATATTTTATTTTTTGTATGTGTTGTGAATGTGAGAAGAATATCCGTCTAACTCTCTGCGTCTCTCAATCTCTCTCTCTGCTCAAAGCGGGCGGGAGCCGGAGCCCACGCAACAAGAGCATCTTACAAACAAATATCTGAGCACAGAAAAAAGTTGAGGGATGAAGAAGAAAAGAGGTGACAATTAAAAACATGGAAAATAAAAAAAGAGTTGCATCGACCGGGAATCGAACCCGGGCCGCCCGCGTGGCAGGCGAGCATTCTACCACTGAACCACCGATGCGCACGAAATCTCTGGGTGAAAATTGTATATTTATTTTCGAGAAAAACACGATAGAATTAGTGTTTGTCGCGAAGCGATTCTGTCCAATTTTTCGTCAAATCCTCCTGATTTCCAACAGTCTTTTTGGGTTTTGGCAACGGGCCAGAGCGATTTTTGTATTTACCATTGTCATCCACGTCATCATAACCCTCAATGTAGGTGTCTGAAAAACTAATGATTTTGTGGCGGGGAATTCAAATTTTTCCCTCACTCACCATTATTCCATGGTGGACGATTATCCAAAGAACTCGCAGCAACTTTTGGACGACTTTTTGATCTTTTCCGCTGGCCGTTGTTTTCCTAAACATTTCGAATATTTATTTTAAGCCAAAAATTCCACTTACAAAATGATCGTAGTTTCCAGAATTTTGAGACATTTTCTTTAAGTTAGGATTGGAAAAAGTAAAGAAAATTTGAAAATAAAAGAATTTTTAGCTGGTTTCCTGGTTTCCAGGTTACAAAAGTTGCTAGGCACCGCGATTTTTGAATTTTGAAATTTAAAAATGCTCATTAGTTGCTCGGATTACGCCGTGGTTAACCGGTTTCAAGGAAAACCCCGGAAAAATAGCGAAAAAAATCAAATTCAAAATTGCCGCCACACAGCGCTGCGAGACCCGTTTGCAATGGAGCGCGTTTGTTATTGTGTAGTTCTCTCGGACAAATTTTATTTTTTTCATTTTTTTTATTTTCCAGCTGAAATTCCAGCTGAAATTTCCAGTTAGCCCATGAGGTGGCAACTTGTAACAACTTCTAGATGTGATTAGAGTTAGCACAAGTCTTGCAGATAAAAAAAAACTGTTGGTTTTTTGAAATTTTAACAAAAAAAAAGTAAAATTATGAAACGTGACCTAAATTATTGCCACATTTTTTCCGAACATTTTTGACACGTCAGTCAGTTTTCAAAAATGTTGAAATCGATCAAGTTCGTAACAATATTCCAAATTTTACTGAACTTTCTATTGGTTCGAGCTGAAATTTATTGCAATGGAGATAATTGGATGGATCAACCAATCTGTAATGTTATTCAAAATTCAGTCATGAATTTCAAATTCAATTCAGTTAAAGGTAAGTTCTGCCACGTCATAACTACATATTTTTTTTCATTTTCAGATCTCAAAAACATCAAGACCGATTTGAGTTCAATCCACCACATTCAAAATGGCATCGAAATTGAGATCCCCGATCTAATTGTCTTCGAATTCTTACCCAATGTAACATCAATCAGAAATAAGGATGGACCCGCAATCAAATTTTCAAATCACCAACATTTCAAACAAATCAAATTCCCAAATTTGCAAAATTTGAGCGGTTATCCTATTCACATTTTTTTCGAAGATGATCAATATTTGAAACTATCATCTAAACGTGGAGAAGATTTGGCAGAAATATATCTTCGCACACAAAAACCAGAAGATCCTCAAAAATGTTCGGAGGTTTTCAATTTTATTGACGTTTGGTATCATGATATTCATGTCAAAATGCCTCTTCCTCAATATTATTTTTATGTTGTTATTGGAATTTGCATTGTTTTGTTTTTGATGTTGGTCGGAATTGGTTATAGAACTTGTGAAGTATATGAACTTTGGCAAGAAGCTATTAAAGAAGCTGCTGCTGCTTCTGATGAAGAAAATTTCGCTAATGTTTTGTCGATTGAAGCTGAAGAAACTGAAGAGAAATGAGCAAAACCTGGAGAGTAATAAATTCTTTTTTGGTTGGAAATTGATGATTTTTTTGTGAGGCAGGAGACTGAAACCTTTTCTCTTTTAAAATTTCGCGCTCGAAACCTCTTGGTGCGAAAAATTCCGATTCAAATTTCCCACATTTTTCTGTTCCAAAATTCAAAATTTTTGTAAAAATTTCAAAAAAATTATGATTTTTGCGGAATTCTGTTGGAATCAAAAAGGGCTGATTCACGAACGAAAAAATTGTTTAAAAATGTTTTTTTAACATTGTAAGATCAATTCACGAAAAGTCAAAAAATGTCGAAAAAACATTGTAGATCAAAATTAGTTTTTCGAGATTTTCAGCCAAAAATGATGACAAATCGATATTTTTTAAGCTTCTGGAGTAATTTCTGATGAAAATTGACCTTGGAATTCATTTTCCAGAAGGTTTTGCTGATTTTTTTCGAAATTCATCAAACATTTTAAATTTTGATGAATTTCGAAAAAATTCATAAAACCTAAAGCAAAATAGGGTTCTCGAAGCTTAATTTTCATCAGAAATTACTCCAGAAGCTTGAAAAATATTGATTTGTCATCATTTTTGGCTGAAAAACTCGAAAAACTAATTTTGATCTACAATGTTTTTTCGACATTTTTTGACTTTTCGTGAATTGATCTTTCAATGTTAAAAAAACATTTTTTTCGTTCGTGAATCAGCTCTTTTATCTCTATTCAAAATTTCGCGCTCGAAACCTCTTGGCGCGAAAAATTCCGATTCAAATTTCCCACATTTTTTGCGCCAAAATTGCATCATTCAAAATGTTTTGTACTTAGAAATCTCAGAAAAATCTGTGATTTTAGCGCAATTTCAGAGCAATTCTATTTGGAAGAGTAAAAATTTCAATTTTTTTCACAAACAATTGATGAGTTTTGTGATTTTCGACAAAAAAATGATAAAATATTCCACGAGAACCCAATTTCAACTAAAAGCAATCAATAATAATACGAAAATAAACTTCATACACTTGCGAATAGAAACATTTCGCTGCAATTCGTTTACAATAGAGATTTTTCAAGTTTTTATGGTTGTGGCGGGGCAATTGGCGGGAAGACATTGAATGAATGAATTAGACACTACGAGCACGTGGGTGTCCAAAAAAATTATTTTCGATTGATGGCAATTTCGCTTTGTTATTGGCGGCTGAAAATTAATTTTTTTTTTGAGAACAAAACCTTTTCAACTCACCTTCCTGCTTTCTCAACTTGTCGGTAAGATTAATAATTCTATTTTGGCCAGAATCTCTTTCCTCCGTCACTTTTTCGAGTTCATCTTCCTTCTTTTGCATTTCCTCCTTTTGCTTTTCCTCGGCTTTAGCAGCTTGTTCCTCTTTTCTTCGGATTTCGTCCGCTTGCTCTTTGGTCTTCTTTTTCTCATCATCCAATTGTTTTTTCAATTGTTCTTTGGCTGCCTGTAGTAAAAATAATCAATAGAAAATCTCCAAAAAACCAACAAACTCACATTACTTTCATCCACTTCGCGAATCATTTTTCTGGAAAAACAATGGAGAAGGATAGAATGAATGAGAAGAATGACATATCCACCAAAAATAATCCAATTGATTAGAGTTATCTTCAACAAATTCTGTTCGTATTCGATGCAAAGCTCTGGAGGTTTCTCAATTTGGCAGCTAATGTCGGTTGATTGAAGTTGGCTCTAAAGTAATTTGTATGTTTTTGTTGAATTTTTGAATTGAAACCACTTACGTTGATCGAATTAACCACGTTTCCAGTCGTATTTCGAAAATCCGCGAATGAATCATCAATCAGCTTATTCGTGCTTGTTGACAAATTGTTGAAGTGAGTTGGAATCTCTTCAACACGCTTTGATATTGTGGCCAAGTTTCCTGTTGCATTTTCCATTTCCCCAATGATAGTACCAACATTGTATTCTAGACTACGATCCAAACAGCCAGTTTTGAATTTCACATACTCATCCCTCTGCTTCAGTATATCGTTCGTTTGATCTCTGACACTAAGTTGCTCAAAATTAAGTTGTGGAAAAGTAGTTGCAAATTCTTTAACAACTTTTTGATAGCTATTCAAATGGCCTCCGATTTTGGCGTTATCCAAATAAGGCGACATTTTCGAATACACCGTTTCTCCTTTTTTGCATTCAGAAGTAATCGATCGAAGGTTTGCAGCTTCTCCGTGGAAATTTTGGAATTTCGAGTTAGTTTTTTGAGTTTCGGCTTGCAATTCACATTGATATGCAAATGGTGACATCCCAATTGATCCGAGAACAGCGAAAATCAAATAAATAAGCACGAAAAATCCACAAATTCCTATCAAAATATTCGAGATTAGCTTATAGGCTTTTGGGGAAATCGATTCTTTTGTGAAACCAACAAATGTCCCAACTTGAATACCATATAAGACAAATCCAATCAAAATTGATACAATAATGAAGATAAGCTGATGGAATATGGAAGAATTTTGCAAATCGATCTGATTATTAAATGATTTGATATAATAATCATCTCTTTTCACAGTTGATGTTTTGTATCCAGTCAGCATCGTTGTCATACTTCCTGAATATCCTTCCATATTTTTCTTCGATAATCTGCCTTTTTGAGTCGATTCATTAGTCGTCAAATTGTCGAACTTCGATTTAGCCTCAACAATTGGTTGAGTGATTTTCTCCTGCTGCTGGTTGTATACTTCAATCGCCTTATTCAGCATTCCAACGTATTGGGTTCTGTCAGTTATGACAAAATCGAAGGGACGACATGTCGCAGTGTTTTTTACACGATTCGCGACCACTTCAAAAAGATCAAAACCAGGTTCATTCACTTGACGTTGATTCATCTGCAAACATATTATGATTATATAATCCCCTTGATAAACCCCCTCCCATCCGAAATTTTCAAAAAAGTCTGCTCTTTCCCTAGTTTTTCTATGTCCAAAGGTACTGTTTGTTTTTCAGCGGAGGAAACGCGCTCCAACTACATACCGTAGTTTGCTTTTTTTGCCGACCCAATTTTTTTCATTTTTTTTCCGTTTTTTCTTGTTTTTTCTCCGTTTTTCAACAAAAAAGAAGCAATTTTGTAATTTTTCTGCTTTCAGGAGTTGGCAAAACTCAAATTATACTTATCTTCCAAGTTTGCCCGAACAAAATGGTTTTTGGTAGCGATTTATGGATTTTTTCGATGAAATTCGATGTTTCGATCAAAAAGGTGTTATAAAATCGATTTTTGGAGTGATTTGGAGTCGCAATTTAATTCAAATCGAATGTGAGTTGTTTAGTTATGTATTTCCTATGACAATGATGCAATTTTCAGGTTGTTGATTGAAAATTGGCGATTTTTGCGGTTTTCATCGCAATTTTGAAATGAATGGCGATATGTGATGGATAATTTGCTCAAAAATGCCCCAAGTCAATCAATTTGCTATTCAAATGATGCAAGTGCACATTAGTGACAAAGAAAACTACTCATCAAGATTCATGCGAAAAAGTCATCGATTCGCTCAGAGTTTTGATAGAAACGATGAGGAAGTTTTTCTATGCCCATTTCTGTCCAAATGCACCAATTTTAAGTGAAAATGGTCAGGTAAAACCTTTTCAACTGTAGTTTCCACAATAACCAATTTCCTCATTTTTCAATTAGTAGAAATGCCTTTTTTCGCATGAAAAACAGTAAACGATTAAAAATTATTGTTTGAACCGCCGCACAAAAATGTGTTGTTTATCAATGGGGCGCGTTTGGCCGCGTTTCCTTCGCTGGCGAACGGACAGTATATCTTTTTCACGTTATTTGCTGAGGTACAAGATTTAGTTTTCGAAAATTCACCTTTTTGATGTCAGCAACATTGAGTTCTTTGGAAACAGTTTCAAACATTTTGTTCGACAAGCCAGAATATGGAACATCGTTCACAAGGTCCGGAAATGTGTGAACAATTCGAATGGCGCTGTCCACCGAATCGATTGTCTCTGAAAAAAACAATCAATAAAATATTGAGAAAAAAATTGATTTTAGGTGGTAAACTAACTGGTTTTGTGCTGCTCGAATACATTTTGTCCATTTTTGTCGATTTTTGTCTGTGAGAAGTGCAAACCAAAAACAGAGGAATATGCGGCAAGACTCATCGCGAGTATAACAATCATCAGGATGATGTGAACTGCTTTCATTCGGGGATGCTCTTTGGGATCCTCATTTTGTGGTGTTTCTTTGATTGGAGATGACGAGGCAGAAACGGGCGTCGCCATCTGATTCTTATGAATTTTTTTGACCACTACTGGTCTTATCCAAATATAATTTAGAAAACTGAAGGAGACTGACGATTTTGCGTCTTAAATAGGTAGACATGCCACGTCATCTAGGCCACGTTATCTAGGCCAAATCTAGGCCACGTTTTTACGGTTTGATTTGAAAAAATTGTTTTTTTTTTTTGAAAATTTTGCCGACGTGTCGAGACCATTTGTTTGTTTGCAATGTTCCTTTAATGATACTGTATAGATGGATTAACTATTTTTCAAGTTGAGAAAAAATTTAAATTTTTAAAAGAAATTTTGTGTTTGCAATAGAGCGTGTTTGGGACAATTTTTATTCTTTCAAGCTGAAATTTAAAGCTTTTCTTTTCCATGTAAACAAAAAATTTCCAATTTTGAACAAAATAAGATTAGAGTTCGCACAAGTCTTGCAAATCAAAAAAACATGTGATAAAGAATGTTTTTTTGATAAGAATACACATGGTTTTTTTTGTGATTTTTGAATGGGATTTTTGGACTTTTTTGAACAACGAAATCAATTTCGAAAAGAAGATAATTTGAAAATTATTTTATCGCGCTAAAAGTTTTCCAGGTAATTGAACAAAAAAAATAATTTTAAAAACAAAATTTCGCGCTCAAAAAACTCCTGGAGCGAAAATCTTTGATTCAAATTTCTCACCTTGAGAAATATTGTTTTTAAATCTCGCGCGCAAAAACATTTCACTACAGTACCCCGCTCAAATTAAAGGCTCATATCCTGATTTCTACAGTACTTCAACCTCAAAACTTGCTGATATTAATTATTTCAATTATCTATCAAGGTCTATCTATTTTTGCCCTATCAATTTCTCACACCTTCCCCCGTTGTCTTCTCATCTCATAACCTCGACACACAACAATCTGTCGGCGACATTTCTCCATCCGTCGCCGACTTCTCTGCACTCTCCACACTCTCTCGTCACCCCTATATAAATAAATATGATCTGAAACCCCCAAAAATTACCTGAAAATGCCTGTGATTTCTGGATTTGCGCTGCGATTTTTGATAACTACACTCTATTTTACACTACTGTCTTTGAGCACCGCTTGGGCTTTTGTTTTCTATTCTGAAACTGTGATCTTCATCTATGTGATATCTACAGTATGCCTTCTTATTCTGTCCTACCCAATTATCAATGCAATTATCAAGAGCAAAACCCATGATTTTGACATATGTGCCTTTAAATGGGTCTCGAATGGAATTGAGAAGATTATTGTGGAGAGTACGGTAGATGAGGAGGAGAAGAAGATTCAACCTTTGGATGTTGCATTCATCTATGCTTATGTGTAGTACTGTAGTTACAGTAGTCACAGAGTACTGTAGTTATAGTATGTAAGGAATTATTTTTTGATCTCGATGGATTTGCTTTCAATGGTTTTTTGTATATATTTTTGATGGTGTAAATAAAATTGTATATACTACTGTGAAGTTTTTGAAATTTTTAATTTCGCGCCGTTTGGTTGCTACAGTAATCCAGAGTTGTTAAAGGGACATACACTCACTTCGCTCGGCGGAATTTTTATCTACACTCGCGCCAGAGGCGCTCGGCAAAAATTTGAATTCAAATGTTTCCCGCCAATTTTTTTTTCGAAACAGTTTTGGCGCGAAAAAAGCTCTTAAAAGCTTGGCGCCACTCAAAAAATATATCAAAATATTTGAATTTTTCAATCTTCGCGCCAAGGTTTTTATGCGGGAAATTGGAATTTTTTGAAAATTTTTTAAATTTTTACGCTAGAAAAAAATTGTTTGGTTCAAATTTGAATTGAAATTTTTCCGGCGCCAAAAATCAACTACAATATAGTTTACCAAATAATTTTTTTTTCAAAACAAAAAAAAATTATTGTTTTCGTCAAACTTGTGTACTACATGGTTTTTGTGTTTTTGCGTAGAAAAATCCGAAAAAAAATACGGTAGAGTACGGTGGATTTTAAAGGAACATGTGAAGAAAAAATTATTTCAAATTTTTGTAATTTTTGACCTGGAATTCCCCACCGGAAATATCTACTATATTCAAAAAAAAATCAGTTTCCCGGTTCTTTTTTTCGCGCCCAAAAAGTGCATTCAAAAAAAAGGGGGGAAGCTTCTGGCAACTCGCCAGAGGCTACTCTTTTTCTCTGCGTCACCCCCAAACACAATTTTTTCTTCTCATTTTTATTTTATCCAAAACCTTTTAATTAAAGATTTTTTTCGATTTTTTTCCAGGGTAAAATGGAAGAAGAAGAAATTGTTCCACCAGAAGAAGAGAAAATCCCACCAATTCTAACTCTTCCGCTTGAAGTACACACGAAAATTTTCGAGAATTTGGAGCAAATTGATACGTGAGTTTATTTTTTTTTTTTTTTTTCAAATTTCCCTCCTCAAAACCTTCCCATTCATTTCCAGGTTGAATTTCCGAGAATGTTCCAAAACATGCCGTGATATTTGGAAGGGCACAAAATGTTTCTACGAGTCTATGAGTTGGGATCAAAATCGGAAACACATCAAACTTTCCTTGAATGATTCGTATCCATTTTCGGGATATTCGAATTTTATAAAATTCAGTAATCGGTATTGTGAAAGTATTAAAACGTGAGTTGCATTTTTTAAAAGAAATAAAAAAAAAGAAAAAAATGTTCGCCGGCAGGCGGGGTCGAACCTGGGTCTTGCGGACGAAAATCCAACGCGTTACCACTCGGCCACGCGCTTGTTTTTCTTCCCACTCAAAATTTTCGTATAAAAATAGCGCCCTTCAAAAAACAAATTACAGAGGACAAACTGATGCTGAAACTGTATTCCGAACACTTCCTGGATTAAAAGTGTATTTTGAAAAAGCGCGAAATTTGTTCGTGAAAAAATTGGTGATAAATCAAACTAGAATCAAAAGTCTGACAATCAATGGATTATGCCCAATAAATCTTCAAAGAATCAAATGTTTTTCAAAACTTCAATATTTGACAATGTCTCATCAAGATGTTATTCGAGAAGTTTTACCAAAAACCGGAAACATGTTGAAATATCTGAAAATCGAGATAAAGGAAAAAGACTCACAATTGTCAGAGGATTATTCAGCACTTCCAGAGTTTCCAGAAATCAACAGAGTTCTCGAATTATATGCAATCGATTTTGAATTGACAGCCGCGCAGATAATGAATCTAACAGCGACGAGATTCGAGATTTCAGCTAAAAAATTGGCGCCTCAAGATGTTTATAATTTTATTCGAACTTGGCAAACTGGAGAGAGGGTTTTAGAAAAATGTGTATGGGATTTGACAGCGTCTGGTTTCAATTCTCGCATATTATTTCACCTTTATGGCTTTGAAGTGCGCGATTATCTTGATCGTTCGTAAGTATTACCGCTGTCGTCAACGCGGAGCCTCGTTGTTTTATTTTTATTTTAAAAAAAGAAAACAACGAGACTCCGCGATGACGCAGCGCATTTGTGCTCTGAAATCTTTCACCAGCTAAATCTAAATTTTCAAACAGAGATCAAATTTGCATCCGAGGAAATGGCGTGAAATCGGGAAGACTTTCACGGCGAATTGCAAAATACGGTTACGATACTTTGCTAATTTTGGAATTTGAAGTTCTGGATGTCAAAGATTTGGCGGATGAAAATGGAATTCTAATCGAGTATCAATAATTTTTTTTTTTTTTTTTTTTTTTTGAATAAATTTTTGAAAATTCTGAACGTGACCCAATTTTCCTTTCCAAAAAAAAATGAAAAAAATTCAGAGGTATTTCTAAATTCCAATATGATATTAACCAAAATATTTCAATTACAAATTCTAAACTATATTCTAGTTATTATAAATTCTCAACAATATTTATCTCAAAAATCATCAAAATGTGCTGAAAATGCGAAAATTGATCATTTTTTGATGTTATCCGAGCTGGCGGAAAAAGAGGAAAAAGTGATTTGTGTGGAATTTTATGAATCTGATTTGGAAAGAGTTTGGAAGGATGTGCAGGGAAGAATAATGGGGAAATTGAGAATCGAGAATCAGGTGAAATTGGAAAAGCCGATTGAGGAGAACAGTGCCATTTATATTGCTTTTAGAATGTGAGTTTGGGTAGAAATCGGGGTACTGTATGCACCTTTAAAATGCACAGTAATCTATAAGTTTTAAAGGAACATACACTGATACTGTAGAGAATTTTCAGAGAATCTACAGTACCAGAGGTCTATAGTAGTTTAAAGGGACATACACTCGCTTCGCTCGGGCCGCGTTCGCGGAACTTTGATCTACACTCGCGCCACAGGCGCTCGGGGTACTGTATGCACCTTTGAAGTTGATCTACAGTATCTTGCTAGATTAATATGTGCCATCAATATTCCTGAATTACTGTATGCACCTTTAAAAAAAGCACAGTAATCTATAAATTTTAAAGGAACATACACTCACTTCGCTCGGCGGAATTTTGATCTACACTCGCGCCAGAGGCGCTCGAGATACTGTAGAGAATTTTCAGAGAATCTACAGTACCAGAGGGCCTACAGTAGTTTAAAGGGACATACACTCGCTTCGCTCGGGCCGCGTTCGCGGAATATTGATCTACACTCGCGCCACAGGCGCTCGGGATACTGTATGCACCTTTGAAGTTGATCTACAGCTAGATTAATATGAGCAATCAATAAATTCCTGAATAACTGTATGCACCTTTAAAATTCATTGATTACTGTGCACTTTAAAGGGACATACAGTAATTGAGGAATATTGATTTCTCAAATTAATTTAGGAAATTACTGTAAATGAAGCTTAAAGGAACATACAGTACCCCGAGCGCCTGTGGCGCGAGTGTAGGCCCGAGCTAAGCGAGTGTATTATGTCCTTTAAACTACTGTAGACCCTCTGGTACTGTAGAGTCTATAAAAATTCTCTACAGTATCCCGAGCGCCTCTGGCGCGAGTGTAGATCAAATTTCCGCGAACGCGGGTCGAGCGAAGCGAGTGTATGTCCCTTTAAACTATGATAGGCCCTCTGGTACTGTAGATTCTCTGACAATTTTCTACAGTATCCCGAACTACAAAAATAGCTCCAAAATTCTCGATTTTTCCAGAAAAGACCCCTCCAAAACATCAACAATCATCATCGGAATTCCCAACACCTTCGACCGCTACTTAGCCAAACTCGAAATCTTCGCCGACTTCAAAATCAAGCTCTCAACTCACATCGATATGATTGTTCAACCGGTTTCAAGTCAAATCGATGCTTCCAACAATTTTCTTCAATTTCAGCTGAGATTTGTTGATGGACGAGTTAAGCTAACTCATATTCATAATGAAAAAGAGCCAGAGTTGATTGCTGAAATATCCGTGTCTTTGAAGTCCAAATTTCAGTCAGATGTTGTGATTTTTGAGAATTTGCTGGTTTTTGATATGGTTTATCATGAGTAAGTTGGATTGGGAGGGTCGTGGCCTAGAATTTTTAACAGTTCGGCCATCGACATCTGCGCTCTAGTGTAGAAAAATCCAGAATTGTTAAAGGGACATACACTCGCTTCGCTCGGAGGAATTTTGATATACACTCGCGCCACAGGCGTTCGGGATACTGTAGAGAATTTTCAGAGAATCTACAGTACCAGAGGGCCTACAGTGGTTTAAAGGGACATAATACACTCGCTTCGCTCGAACCGCATTCGCGGAATTTTGATCTACACTCGCGCCACAGGCGCTCGGGATACTGTAGAGAATTTTCAGAGAATCTACAGTACCAGAGGGCCTACAGTAGTTTAAAGGGACATACACTCGCTTCGCTAGGGCCGCGTTCGCGGAATTTTGATCTACACTCGCGCCACAGGCGCTCGGGGTACTGTATGCTCCTTTAAAGTTGATCTACAGTATCTTTCTAGATTAATATGAGCAATCAATATTTCTGAATAACTGAATGTTCCTTTAAAATTCATAGATTACTGTGCACTTTGAAGGGACATACAGTAATTCGGGAATATTAATTTCTCAAATTAATCTAGCAAGTTACTGTAAATGGCGCTTAAAGTAACATACAGTACCCCGAGCGCCTGTGGCGCGAGTGTAGATCAAAATTCCGCGAACGCGGCCCGAGCGAAGCCATTTTAATCTGAGCAATCAATATTCCCTCAAGTTTTACCAAATTACTGTATGCACCTTTAAAATCTAATAATACAGTAATCCTTCAGAAACTGCGCGCTCAAAAAAACGTTTCAAATCAACAAATCAATCAAACGAGAAACTCCAAAAGCTGCACGGGATTTTGAAAGATCAATAATTGAAAATTTTTCGCCATGGATCGGACAAACATCAGTCAAACATCTGAATTTGACTAAGAAAAATGCTTGGGTTGAAAATTTTATGTTTCATGTTTTTGGACATCTCGATCTAGAAGATCTAGATTTCGAACTTCAATATAAATCTGGCGACCAGATAGCTTTGAGCTATGAACTCAAGAATAATAGTCTAGTTGTAGGAAAGCTCAGCAAATATTGGCACGAATGGAGTAGCTCACCTATAACAATTAATTCACAGACACTTCTGAACTCTTATAAAAACGAGGATCCGATAAAAATTTGGAAATTCACCGGAGGTCTCACTCTCAACTTTTTTCCCAAACCCGAAGACGAATATGTGCAAGCTTCACAACTTGAGATAACTCAGAATCAGCTGGTTTTGAAACATGAAAATTGGGAACCTTGCAGTGGTGTTGAAAGTTGTTGGTATTATACAGATCAAATTGAGATAACTTCCGAGAATTCGTCAATTTCTGGATTCAGATTCATGAATGGTACAGATTATTTGGTGCAATTTTGCTTTCTCATGGCTCCCGAATCGATTTATCAAGAAACCCTTCCATTTATAAAAAACTGCGCGGCTATTGAAAATTCGTGGAATTTCTGCTCTTCTTCACCGGATGTTAGCGCAACTCAAATATCCAAAAATCTCACTAAATCAGCTGAAAATATTCGGGCTAATTCAGCACTTCCCAGAAGTACCACACAGACGCCAAAAAGAGTTGTTCTTTCGAAAAAAGAGCACACAATTTCGGAGATTATTGGAGCCAGTAAGTTTGCTCTACTGATAACTCTAAATCAATATAATTTCCCTACAGATCCTGGAATTATTGGTGTTATGGGTCTATTTTTCATGGGCGGTGCGATTTTATTGATTGGAAATGGAGTGATTGTGATTTTGTTTGATTGGTTGAATAAATGGAACTGATTTTTACACTGAATGGCTCGCATGAAGCTCAAAAACAAAAAAACCGGTTTTCGAAAAACCTCCAGAAAACGTTCTGCATTTGTGCGTCGCCGTGTTTGAACACAAAAGCGCATCGTCACTCGGAGTATCGTTGTTTTACTTTTCTTTTTTTTCTTGTTTTCAACCGTTTTTCCTCGAATAAACGCGTTTTTTGCAGGTTTCATCTTCAGAAAATGGGAATAAAGTCAAAGCCAAGGAAAGTCAATCCGTTTGAGCTCAAATTCAACAAGAGTAAACATGATATTCTTGGGAGAAAGAAAGGTGCACAAGTTGGAGCACCAACACAATCGCGAAAACGCGCCTATGAGCAGCGAGAGAAAACGTTGGGTGTAGAATACGATCGGAAGAATAAGATCAGTAAAATTGTGGATAAACGAGTTGGAGAAAGAGATTCGACGAAAACTGATGAGGAAAAAACGGCGATGCGATTTGTGGAAGAGAGAACGAAGAATTTCAAGCGAGCTGCAAAGTATAATTTGGGAGAAGACGAAGAATTGACATTGACACATGGTGGAAAAGCATTGTCAGATATCGAAAAATATGATAAATCAATGATTTCGGATTCGGAAGATGATGAAGATCAGATCTCATCAAAAATGGTGAAAATCGCACATTTCGGAGGTGGTGATGAGAAATCGACAGAAGATAAAGTTAAGGAAAAAATTAGTAGAGAAGATATGATTTCGAATTTGATTGCAAAGACAAAAATGGCGAGAAATGAGAAACAAAGTCAAAAAGATGAGCTGGAAATGATGACTGAGAATTTGGATGCGAAATTTTCGAATTTGATGCAAAAATTGACTGGTGGATTTAGGCCAACTGGAAGAGAGAAACTGGAAAAGGATGATTTTGATAAATTGGTAAGAGTTTTGAAGGAATTTGATGAAAATCTTAATTTTTGGATGGAAAACTAGAAAAACAGCTAGAAAATCCCGAAAATTGATGGATTTTGGTTAGGAAATCATGAAAATTCAGTTTTTATACCAGAAATAAGATTTTTGGCTTGAAAATTTTGAAATTTGGATAATTTTCAGCTGAAAATCTGTAAATTTTGGAATTTAGCTTCTTTTTTCAGCTAAAATTCGAGAAAACTGATCAAATTCAGGCTGAAAATTTGAAAATTCTGAATTTCCCAGAACTTGGCTCAATTTTGGTTAGGAAATCATGAAAATTCAGTTTTTTTACCAGAAATAATTGAAAGTCATGAAATTTGAATAATTTTCAACGAAGATTTGCTGAAAATCTGTAAATTTTGGAATTTAGCTTCTTTTTCAGCCAAAATTCGAGAAAATTGATCAGTTTCAGGCTAAAAACCTTAGGAATTCATGAAAATTCAGTTTTTATCCCAGAAATACAATTTTTGGCTTGAAAATTATGAAATTTCAATAATTTTCAGCTGAAAATCTGTAAATTTTGGGATCAGGCTTCTTTTTCAGCTAAAATCCTCATTTTCAGCTGAAAATAACCCAAAAATCCCCCCCATTTTTTCCAGGCCTTCACACTCAAAACCGAATCCGATCCCCGTGCAACTCCCGCCAATCGCAAACTCACCGAAGACGAACTCGCACAAGAAGATCGCGCGAATCTCGAGCGACTTGAAGCGGCGCGACTAAATTCGCTCAAAAATTCGCATCAATCAGTCGATATGGATGTGGATGTGAATGCGGGAAAATTGGCAAAAGAGCGAAAAAATCGCGAAAAATCCGAGAGATTTGAGGTGCGATTTAATGAGGATGGAAAAATGATTAGAGAAGAGGATTCTGATGAAGATGAAGCTGAAGGTTCAGATGAAGAAGAAGAAGAAGCTGAAGATTCTGAAGAAGATTTAGACGATTTATTAGAAGAAGATGAGGATGAATTAGAGAGTGAGGGAGAAGAGGAGAGTGCAGAGAAGCAGACAAAGAAGAAAGAAGTTCCGTTTGTTTTTGAGATGCCAAAGAATTATAAGAAGTTTTGCGAATTGCTTGAACAATATTCGGATAATATGAGCGATGTTTTAGAGAGGTGCGTATTTTGAGCTGAAAATCTGTAAATTTTGGAATTTAGCTTCTTTCTAAGCTAAAATTCGAGAAAATTGATTGATTTCAGGCTGAAAACCTGAATTTTCTGAAACTTGGCTCAATTTTGGCTAGGAAATCATGAAAATTCAATTTTTATCCAAGAAATGAGATTTTTCGCTTGAAAATTATGAAGTTTGAATAATTTTCAGTCAAAATTTGCTGAAAATCTGTAAATTTTGGAATTATGCTTGTTTTTCAGCTAAAATTCGAGAGAATTGATCAATTTCCAGCTGAAAACCTGAAAATTCTGATTTTTCCGGAAATTGGCTCAATTTTGGTTGGAAAATGATGAAAATTCAGTTTTTATACCAGAAATAAGATTTTTGGTATGAAAATTATGAAATTTGAATTAATTTCAGCCAAAATTTGCTGAAAATCTAGCTAAAATTCGAATTTTCCGACTCAAAATTTCATGAAAATTCTCATTTTCATTATTAAAAATCGCGATTTCAACCGAAAAATGCCAATTTTTGCAGACTTGTCAAATGTCATCATCCAAGTCTCAAAGAAGGCAACAAGAAATTGTTGAACAAGATGTTTTTGTTGTGTTTGCGATGGTTTGATGATATGTCGAGAGAGGATTTGACAGAACAAGTTATTCAGGAAATGGATTTGGCACAGAAAACCATGTTTGATTTGTTGAAGGTGGGATTTTGAGATTTTCAGACGAAAATGATGGAAAATGAGCTAAAATTTTGGAATTTTGAGCAAAAATTAGCCAAAAACCATGTTTTCAACCCATTTTTGATGAAAAATGCCAATTTTCAGTTCGATATTCAATACGGTGTCCGATGTATTCGAGCTCTGATCAGACAGAATTGGAAAAATCGACAGGAGAAGGACAAATCTACACCGGCATCGTTTTCGATTATTTCATTGCTCAGGTTAGTCGAGAATCGAAATTTGGCTCGAAAATTCGGAAAATTCTGATCAGCAGCTTCAAAGTCATATAAAAATGCTGAAAAATTCAAATTTTTCAGATTTGAGCTGAAAAAACTGAAAATTCCGAATTTTTGAATCCCAGAATTCAAATCTAGCTCAAACTCTTTAAAAATTTTCATTTTAGCTGAAAAAATCTGAAAATTCCGAAATTTCATATATCAGAGTATAGAAATTTCATTTTTCATATGAAAAATTCGAAAAATGATCTCTCAACCCTAAATTTTCCAAAAATTCTGAATTTTTGGGGGCTCACACTCTGAAAAGTCCATTTTTCATGTGAAAATGAGCTCCAAACATCAAAAAATCCTCAAAATTCCGAATTTTTCAGTCCCAAAGCAGAAAAAGGCCATTTTTCATCAGAAAATGAGCTCCCAACTTCAAAAAATTCTCAAAATTCCGAATTTTTCAGTCCCAAAGCTGAAAAAGGCGATTTTTCATCGGAAAATGAGCTCCCAACTTCAAAAAATCCTCAAAATTCCGAATTTTTCAGTCCCAAAGCTGAAAAAGGCGATTTTTCATGTGAAAATGAGCTTCTAACTTCAAAAAATCCTCAAAATTCTGAATTTTTAGGTCCCAAAGCTGAAAAAGGCCATTTTTCATTAGAAAATGAGCTCCCAACTTCAGAAAATCCTCAAAAATTCTGAATTTTTCAGTCCCAAAGCTGAAAAAGGCCATTTTTCATCAGAAAATCTCGAAAAATCCCCAAAAATCCTCATATTTTCCAGACTTGTCGCCGGACTTTTCCCAGTTTCCGACATCTGGCATCCAGTTGTAATTCCCGCCTTTTTCCTCGCCACAAATGTGATTTCAAACGCAAAAATCGCAAATCTTCGAGCACTTTCCCGCCAAATTTGCCTGGCTCACACAATTTTGGATTATGTTAGCGAAACTCGAAAATATGTGCCAGAATTAGTGTCTTTTGTCAAAAGTGCACTTTTGTTGGCGATTTCGGGAGAAAAGGAATTTAGCACAAGTGGATTTCCGATCACGGCACCTTATTCCGAAATGTTGGTGATGCAAAAGGTGAGAGTTTTTGGGGATAATTTTGAGCTAAAATTCGAGAAAAATGGCTGAAATTTTGCTCAAAACCCAATTTTCAGCCTGAAAAATGAGCTCCAGAAGCAAATTTTGATTTCTAGAACTGAAAAATCATCTCCTAGACCGAATTTTAGGTTTCTATAGCTCAAAATCCAGATTTTCAGTTCTGGAAGCTCAAAAATCGCTGAAAATCTGAATTTTCCCGTTTTTTTTATTTTTAACACAGAAAATTGAAATTTAAAAAAAATTCATAAAAATTTATTGTTTCAAGAATATTTTAAAAAAAAAAAATTTTTCCAGCCTCAAAAATGTGCCAAAATTGCTCCAATCTCAATTTCCGCCATTTTCGACGATGAAAAATCGCAAGAAATGTCTGAAGATGAAGAAAATCTGAAATTATCGATTTTAAGATCGATTTGTTCGTTGACACAAAATTTGCGGGTTATGTATTCGAGTCAGAATGAAACGTATAATATTGTGTTTAGGTGAGTTTTTTTTGGGGCTGAAAAATCGGTCTGAAAGTGAGTTTTGAGCTCCAGGAGCCAAAAATTACATCTGGAGCTCAATTTTCAGGCTAAGAATTGGATATGAGCCACAAAAAGTGATTTTTGAGCTCTCAGAACTCAAAAAAATCTGGTTTAAAATTTGATTTTGAGCTCTAAAGACCGGAAATTTGGAGATTTTTCAGTTCTAGAGGTCAAAAATTGCGTCTGGAGCTGAATTTTTAGGCTAAAAATTGGATGAGCGAAATTTCAATCATTTTTCATGAACTTTAAAAAATGTCATGATTATTAGCTCAAAATTCATCATTTTTAGCCAGAAAAACTGGGAAATGGTTCAAATTTGAAGCTTTTAGGAAATTTAAAGTTTTAGCTCAAAATTTATGAATTTTCTGCTTTCTCTTGAATTTTAGCAACAAAAATTGTCTAGATTTTAAGATTTTCAGCTTAAAAATGTAATTCAGAATTTCATCCCAAATTATCCGAAAAAATCCCCTTTTTTCCAGACCATTCCTCGAAATTCTCTCAAAAATCGACTTATCCCAACTTCCCACCGAATTATCCGGAGAAATTGACGAATTGAAATGTGCAATTCGCGCCGAATGCGATCAAAAACGAAAATTGACACAATTATCGCTGAAAAAAACGGAAAAATCGATGCTGAAAATGTTGGAACCGCGATTCGAATGGGATTTCGATCCGGAACGACCAAATAAGGGCAAAAAATGGGATGAGAAGAAGGTGATGCAGAAACAATTGAAAAATGAACAAAGAGGAGCGATTAAGGAATTGAGAAAGGATACTGCATTCTTGGCGAGGTTTGTGAGGCATTTTGAGCCAAAATTCATGAAAAATGGCTGAAAATCATGAAATTCAAGCTAAAAATCATGAAATTTGGAGCATTTTGAGCCAAAATCCAATTTTTTATGTAAAAATTAAGCTCCAGAAGAGATTTCAGGCTCCTAGAGCATAAAAATCATTTCTAATTCAAATTTTCAGCTTCAGGAGCTTGAGAGCACGTTTCCAGCTTCTTGCACTCTGAAACCGGTTTCAGAAGCTCCGGGAGCACAAAAATCACATCTAGACTCAATTTTTGGCTTCTGGGCCTGAAAAATCTCCAAATTTCAGGTCTTCAGAGCTCAAAATCAAATTTTAAACCAGATTTTCAGCTTAAAAATCACTTTTTGTGGCTCATATCCAATTCTTAGTCTGAAATTTGAGCTCCAGAATTAATTTTTTGCTCCTGGAGCACAAGAATTACAGATTTTCAGGTTCTTAAAGTGAAAATTGAGCTCCAGAGAAGAAATCAGGCTCCGAGAGCTCAAAAAAACCACTTTCAGACTCGGAAAATCTTCAAAATTTTGTCAAAAATATGTGTTTTGGCTCAAAATTAGCTCAAAATGCTCCAAAAATCCCCCGCAATTTTTTTGCAGAAAACAAATGTCGAACGTAAAATCGCGTGATCTCCAACGCAAAAATGCCACAAAACGTCTCATGGGCGGTCTTATGCAACAACAAGGCGAATGGAACAAAGAAATGCGCACCAAGGATGTGGAGACGAAAAAAGAGGCGGGAAAAAGTGGCGGGAAAAGGTAGATCAAAATTTAGTTTGGGTGGAAATTCAAATTTTTCGAAAAATTTCATGTTTTCCCACCGTTTTTTTGTTTTTTGTTGAAATTATTGATTTTTTTGTTGATTTTGATGTTGTTAATGAATTTTTTTTTCCGAAAATCTGGAAAAAAATCAATAAATTTATGGCAAGGCACATATTATGTACAGTATACGGTAGGGGAAAAGAAAACAATCAATACATGACCGAATTCGTCTCATCGATTTGGGTTTTTTGAACTGTGGAGGCACGATTACCGTAGGACATTCTGCAACAAAAACAAATTGGGTTACTGTAGGAGTACTGTAGATAAACTTACAGATTCACAGAATGTTGAGGCGACATTTCGGGTGTCAAACTTCGCACCGAATTTTCGCCGCCAATCGATAATTTCATCTTTGATTGTCGACGTTTTTTGTTGGTGATCTGGAAATATTTTGGGTTGGATTACTGTAGAGTAGAGTACTGTAGCTAGCGAATTTTGATAGTAAACAAACAGGTTACTGTAGATTTTTTAAAAAAAAAAGTAAATTCAAGTTTTCCCGCCCAATTTTTTTTGTAGATCAAAGTTTCGCGCCAAAATTCAAAAACCCGCCAAATTTTTAATTTAAAATTTTTTTTGAATTTAAAAAAATTCAAATTTTTGTAGAACAAGGTTACTGTAGATTTTTTGACACCGCGAAAAAAAAATTAATGCCACGTGGCAGTTTTCCCGCCCAAATTTTTTTGTAGATCAAACTTTCGCGCCAAAATTCAAAAGCCCGCCAAATTTAAAATTTAAATTTTTTTTTAAATTTTTTAAATTAAAAAAAATTCAAATTTTTGTAGAACAATGTTACTGTAGATTTTTTGAAAAAAAAGGAAATTCAATTTTTCCCGCCAATTTTTTTTGTAGATCAAAGTTTCGCGCCAAAATTCAAAAACCCGCCAAATTTTTAATTTAAAATTTTTTGAAAAAACAAACAAGGTTACTGTAGATTTTTTGACACCATGGCGAAAAAATTGATACCACGTGGCAGTTTTCCCTCCAATTTTTTTGGTAGATCAAAGTTTCGCGCCAAAATTCAAAAACCCGCCAAATTTTTAATTTAAATTTTTTTTTAAAAATTCAAATTTTTTGGATTTACTGTAGATTTTTTGACACCATTTTTAATGCCACGTGTAAAAATTCAAGTTTTCCCGCCCAAATTTTTTTGGTAGATCAAAAAAAACTCACCAAAATCACACAAAGTGCCACCGAAGTGATAACAATCAACGAAACGGCAATAATCAATAAAATCAGTGAGGAAAGTGAAGTGGCAGCGTCATCGCGGCGCGTCGTAGAAATCGCATCCAAATAGGCTTGCGACGCGACTCCATCGACTTGCAAACTCAACGAATCCACCGTGTATTCGCCCAATTGGGAAGAGTTGCGCGAAATTGCGGCCTCCAGCAGATTCGCAGCCATTTGCGCGTCGCCTAGCGATTTTTTCGTTGCGACTTCGGCGGCGACTATGACGCTTCCACGTGTCAAAGATTTTATGGAGACTGCCACGTCATTGTCGCCGGTGATTGTTGCGATGTAGTCGGAGATCTGGAAAAATGTGGGTTACTGTAGTTTTTGGCGCCAAAATTGTCTCAAAATTTGAAATTGAATTTTTTAAAACGCGAAAAACTTTTGGATTTTTCATTTCAAAAAAACTCGAAAAAAAAATTTAAAAAAAACAAAAAATTTTTTTCCAAATTTTTGACATTTTTTTTCATTTTTGTGTGAAAAAATATAGTTTTTTGACATTTTCTGAATCGAAATTTTTTGTAAAAAAATTTTTATTAATTTCTTTTCAACTTGAAAAAGTCTGGTAGATCAAAATTTGAAAATGAATCTTTGGCGCGAAAAATTTTTGATTAAAAAAAAAACTGTTGGTTAAAAAATTTTGATCTACCAGAAATGTTTGGCGCCAAAAAATTCGATTTTTTCCCGGGCCTACCGTACCTGCGGCACAATATCCCTAATCAATTTCTTGGCGGGACCCGTTTCCAAATTCTCGAAATCCTCCGAAAAATCGAGCGATGTGATTCGGAACGAAATTGGGGTTCGCACCAATTTTTGAGGCAATGCAAAAGTTTTCGGTGGTACTACTGTAGTAGTGGTGGTTGAGGGTACTGTAGTTGAGGGTACTGTAGTCGTGGTTGTTGATGGCTGCTCGGTTACTGTAGTTGTTGGCTCTTCAGTTGTAGTTTCTGGGATTACTGTAGTTGTGGTCTCGACGAGAAGTTTGACATCTTCTTCCGCCATTTTTAGGATCGGAAAAGCTGGAGCTTCTGGAGCTGAAATTGAGCCGTCCGGCTCAAAAAGTCCCTCGAGAGCACTCTGATCAAATGGAGTTTCGTTTTCTGAAAAAAAATTTCAGCTTTTGAGAGCTAGGCTGAAATTTTGCGCTGAAAATCCATATTTTTTTATGCTTCAGCGTGAAATTTTGGATTCTGAGAGTTTCAGATTTTCAGATTAGCATGAAGGGAAAATTTTGGAATTTTGAAAAATGTTTGGAAAAAAAATTCTAGACTGAAATTTTGGGCTGAAACTCGTGGAAATGCTGAAAATCGCTGAAAATCTAAAATTTCTCAAATTTCAGCGCGAAATCTTGTTTTAGAAATTTTCAGATTTTCAAATTAGAATGAGGGGAAAATTTTGGAGTTTCGAAAAATGTTTGGAAAAAATATCTAGACTGAAATTTCGCGCTGAAATTCGTGGAAATGCTGAAAATCGCTGAAAATCCATATTTTCTCGAATTTCAGCGTGAAATTTTTTCCTAGAAAGTTTCAGATTTTCAGATTAGCATGAGGGAAAATTTTGGAATTTTGAAAAATGTTTGGAAAAAAATCTTTAGACTGAAATTTTGCGCTGAAACTCGTGGAAATGCTGAAAACCGCTGAAAATCCAAAATTTCTCAAATTTCAGCGCGAAATCTTGTTCTAGAAAGTTTCAGATTTTCAGACAGGAATGAAGGGAAATTTTTGGAATTTTGAAAAAAGTTTTTTGTTTCAAAAAATTCTAGACTATAATTTTTCACTGAAACTCGTGAAAATGCTGAAAATCGCTGAAAATCCATATTTTCTCGAATTTCAGCGCGAAATCTTGTTTTAGAAAGTTTCAGATCTTCAGACAAGCATGAAGGGAAAATTTTTTGGAATTTTGAAAAAATCTAGAAATTCTGAAAATTATTATTTTCTCAATTTCCAGCACAAAAAGGTCCAAAAAACCAAACGTGGCCTACAGTACCCCGTCAAATTTTTGATCGAATTAGTCTAAACTTTTAGGCCGAAACAAAAAATTCCACCTACAGTAACCCAATAATTTTCTGCAAATTTTTGATTAAATTAGCTTCTGAATCAACATAAAAAGCGTGGCAGAAATCAGACAAAAAATCAAAAAAATCAAAAAATGAAATCATCTTTGCTCATCTCAATTCTGGTTTTGTGCCACGTGGCATTCGCCCAAAAAAAATTCCACGTTTTTTGAGACCAAATATGGTCTGGTTACTGTAGATTTTCTAGAATTGTCTCAAAATGATCTTGAAATTGAAATTTTCATGCTGAAAATCAACATTTTCAGCGTTTTCAGCGCTGAAAATCAAGAAATCATTGATTTTCAGCATTTCTATGAGCTTCAGTGAAAAATTTCAGTCTAGAATTTTTTTCAAAATTTTCCCTTCATGCTAATCTTCAAATCTGAAACTTTCTAGACCAAAATTTTGCGCTGAAACATGAAAAAATTTGGATTTTCAGCAATTTCCCACGAGTTTCAGTAAAAAAGAGTTCCAATGTTTAGGCCGAAAAAAATTCCACGTAGAATATTGCCTACAGTACCCGCAATAAATTTCTGCAAATTTTTCATCGAATTAGTCTAAACCACATAAAAATGCTGCAGAAATCACAGAAAAAATCAGAAAAAATGCAAAAATTCCCCGTTCTCGTCCTAATTTTGGCTAGTTTTTTGTGCCACGTGGCAGAAGCCCAAAAGCGTTGTACAGAATGTCGACAAACGCTTCAACAAAACGGATTTGACGGTTTTGAGACATTTTTGATCTCGGTAAGTTGAAAACTATTGATTTTCAGCGTTTTCAGCACATAATTTGGGTCTAGAACTTTTACTTGAACCTTCTAGACCACAATTTTGTGCTGAAAATCAAGATTTTCAATTTTCAGTCGTGCAAATTCCCCGAAAACGCGGCTCAGCAATGGAAATGTATTACATCGGTAATACCTCGCACCAAAGCTGCCAAAAAACAATTCGCGTTGACACCGAGAGATTATATGAAAGTTTGTCATGCGGCTGGATTTTGTTTGTGATTTTTAAATAAGTAAAAGTAAAACTTGGGCTTTTTTGAAATGAATTATTTTTGGGAGCGAAAATTCTACGTTTTTTGAGACCAAATATGACATGGTTACTGTAGATTTTCTAGAATTGTCTCAAAATGATCTTGAAATTGAAATTGCATGCTGAAAATCAAAATTTTCAGCGTTTTCAGCGCTGAAAATCGCGAAACTATTGATTTTCAGCATTTCTATGAGCTTCAGGGAAAAAAAACATTTTTCAAAATTCTAAAATTTTCCCTTCATGCTAATCTGAAAATCTGAAACTTTCTAGACCAAAATTTTGCGCTGAAACATGAAAAAATATGGATTTCCACGTTTTTTGACACTAAATACACCTTTTTTATAATTTTTTTAAAATAAAACTGAAATTTTTCGCTGAAAAAAACCTCACCATCAATTTCCTCGGTGGCCAATGAAATGGAAGAAGTTGTTGATGGAAAACCAGTTGTGGAAGTGATGTGTTCTTCTGGAAAAATCAAAATTTTCAGGCTGAAAATGCTGAAACTGCTGAAAATCATCATTTCCTCCATTTTCAGCGCAAAATTCTGGTCTAGAAAAATGCTCACCTTTCTCCTTCAAAACTCTCCGATCTTGCACAACTTCTTCAATGGGAATCGTAAAACTTTGGCGATTTTCAGACGTATTTTTGCGCTCCTCCTCCAATTTTTCAGCCGTTTTCAGATGTTCCTCATCTGAATCTTCTGAATCATCCAAATCTTCTTTGGAATCTGGTTCGAAAGTGGCGGTGGAGAAATTTTGGAAGATTACTGTAGTTTCGGGGTCGAGTGGTGTGATTGGTGTGAAGAGATTGGCTGAAAATTTTCATTTTCAGCCTGAAATTTCGGTGCTGAAAATAATCAAAATCAAGAATACCTTTTGCCACGTGTCCAACTTCCAATGACGTGTCATTCAATTCCATGGTCATTTCAGTGCTCGTCGCAAATCCATCGGAGCCCAAATTTTCTGGGGCCGGCTCAATTCCAGAGCTGCTCATTTGAATTTCGAAAACATCTTCCGAATTTTCGTCTTCGAAATTTTCTTCTTGTGCCAGTAAAAATTGGGGTAATATGAGCAATGATATTGTGAAGAAGAGGAATTTCAGCATTTTTGGCTGGAAATTTTACATAAAAAATTACACAAAAGGTGTCAAAACTCAAAAATTCGCCGCAAAAACAATAATGAAAATATTTTTTATTTGAGCAAGTTATTATAACTCGCGCAGAGCTTACAGAAACACAAATAAAAATAAAAATAAAACAAGTGGGAGGGATTAATAATAAAATTTTTGTACAGAAATTTTGAATTTTAAATTTAAATTTTTGGCGGCGCCAAAATTTTCTATACTTAAAAATCATTTCGTAAATCAGTGAAAGTTCTTCTTTTTTGTTGTATAGTTTTCAAGTGCGGTTTTTAATTTAACATAACATAATATGTTATTATTGTATATACATAGTTATAAAGATTTTCAGCATTTTCAGCGCAAAATTTCAGAAACTTCTGGAATTACCAGGAAAAATGGGCCAAAAAAACAATAATCTCTTGGAATTTTTTATTAAATTGGATTATCTATGCGAAAAAAAAAATGAAAAGTGAGAAAAAATGTGGTAGCCTAATTTTTTCAAAGATTTTTCGACAAGATTTTTTTTCGCCTCATTTTTCTTCCTGATAAAATCTCAAAGCAACGGAAAAAAATCGTGTTTTTTCAAGGATAAAAAATTGGAGAAGGAATTTCCGCCGGGCAGAACACTATTCAAAGAAAAAAAAACGGTTTTGGCAAAATGCCAAACAAAAAAATGTGTGAAAGTACTTGTAATTTCGCGCAAAACCATGATTTCATCAATTTCCAGGGTGTAAAATGGAATTGTTCTTCTTTTTCGCCTTTTTGTCTTCTCGTTTATTACACACTTTCGCTTGTTCTATGCGAAAAACCTTTTTTCAAAAAAAAACCTAGTGAAAAAACTACGGTAGATGAAGAAGTGTGCAAACACACGAACATGCACTGAATTGCGGACGACGCGTGCATTTTATTTGACGCGCACTTTTTTTTTATTTTTCGCGTGCGTTTTTGGGTTTTCTGGGGTGAAAATTGTTGAAAACGTGGAAAATGAGGTTTGGAACTTGGAATTCCAGATGAATTCTTGATAAATCTTGAAAATTGAGGAAAAATTTGAAATTTTTGGGGAAAACCTGTGAAAAGTTGGATTTTCACGAGGTTTTCTCACGAAATATTTCCAAGTTTACCTAATTTCCAAAAAAATCCTTTTGCAAAAATAAAAAATAGGTTTTCAAGGTCAAAATTTCGCGAATCTCATAGAAATTTCACATGTTTTTGCTAGGGAAAAGACCAAAAAATCCTAAGTAAAAAGTTTCTTCTTCTGTTTTTGATAACAAGTGAAAATCTTCGGTTGCAAGGTCAAAAATCAGATTTTTTCTAGGAGAAAAAAAAGCGATTTTAGTGAAATTTTTTGTAACAAAAACTATAAGAAAATCTAGAAAAAAGTTACTTTTCTCATCCAGAAACTTTTAATATCAAGAATAAAATGAAATGAATCGAAAAGGGTGTGTAACAGACAGGTTCCAGTCTTTTTTTTTGGCGATTTTCTTGAGAATGAAAATAGATTTGGTAATAAAATACAATAAAGTAACGGTTTCCGCATGACTTCCGCGGAAAAAAAAACTTAATGAAGCCTTTTTTGTGGTTTCTAATGTAAGCCTGTGAAAAAATGAGAAAACAAAGAAAATTTTCGAAATTTTTGGCCACTGGAAATTCTAGGACTGATTCACGAACGAAAAAAATGTTTAAAAATGTTTTTTTAACATCGAAAGATCAATTCACGAAAAGTCAAAAAATGTCGAAAAAACATTGTAGGTCAAAATTAGTTTTTCGAGTTTTTCAGCCAAAAATGATGACAAATCAATATTTTTCAAGCTTCTGGAGTAATTTCTGATGAAAATAAGCTTCGAGAACCCTATTTTGCTTTATTTTATGAATTTTTTCGAAATTCATCCAAATTCTAAAATTTTTTTAACGAAAAATCAGCAAAAACTTCTGGAAAGTGAATTCCAAGGTCAATTTTCATCAGAAATTACTCCAGAAGCTTGAAAAATATCGATTTGTCATCATTTTTGGCTGAAAAACTCGAAAAACTAATTTTGACCCACAATGTTTTTTCGACATTTTTTGACTTTTCGTGAATTGATCTTTCTTTCGATGTTAAAAGGGCTGATTCACAAACGAAAAAATGTTTAAAAATGTATTTTTTACATTGAAAGATCAATTCACGAAAAGTCGAAAAATGTCGAAAAAACATTGTAGGTCAAAATTAGTTTTTCGAGTTTTTCAGCCAAAAATGATGACAAATCGATATTTTTCAAGCTTCTGGATTAATTTCTGATGAAAATTGACCTTGGAATTCAATTTCCAGAAGGTTTTGCTGATTTTTCGTAAAAATTTTGATGAAAATAAGCTTCGAGAAGCCTATTTTGCTTTATTTTATGAATTTTTCGAAATTCATCCAAAAAAAAAAAAAGAAAAAATTCATAAAATAAAGCAAAATAGGCTTCCCGAAGCTTATTTTCATCAAAATTTTTACGAAAAATCAGCAAAACCTTCTGGAAAATGAATTCCAAGGTCAATTTTAATCAGAAATTACTCCAGAAGCTTGAAAAATATCGATTTGTCATCATTTTTGTCTGAAAAACTTGAAAAACTAATTTTGACCTACAATGTTTTTTCGACATTTTTTGACTTTTCGTGAATTGATCTTTCAATGTTAAAAAAAACAATTTTTAATATTTTTTTCGTTCGTGAATCAGCCCTAAAACACGATTTTTCGGGATAACCAAGGATAATTAGAATTTCTACTAAAATTCCCCATTTTTTCTCTGAAAACTCATTTTCCCTAATTTTTTAACGAAAATGGCCTAAGACTAACGACCTTGCGAAAAAAAATTAATAAACACAAAACACAGCGCGAAAAAAACGGAATTTTTGTAAATAAACACTTGTCCCTAATTGATGTTGATGATAAGCATGCGCAAAATGCTCTTGGCTCTATTTGCTTTCGAAAAATTATGGAATTTGCATGTTTTTCTTGTTGTAAAAATCGAAAAATTTGTAGTTTGAAACAAAAAAAACCACATTTTTTACAACAAAAAAAAAGAAAAAATCGAAAAGTACTTGAAAAACTGTGAATAAAATTTACATCAGTGGTGGAACAAATAAACATCGGCTAAATAGATACTATTTTAGCATAAGAATGAGATGAAAATTGCTTTTTACGTAAAATTTAGGAGGTGAGAGACGCAGAGAAGCTAGACAGCTAGAAAATCGGGAAAAGGTTAGAGACGCAGGTTAACTAGAGAGCTAGAAAATAGGGAAAAGGGTTAGAGACGCAGAGAAGCTAGACAGCTAGAAAATCGGGAAAAGGTTAGAGACGCAGAGAAGCTAGACAGCTAGAAAATCGGGAAAAAGGTTAGAGACGCAGAGAAGCTATACAGCTAGAATATAGGGAAAAGGGTTAGAGACGCAGAGAAGCTAGACAGCTAGGAGATAGGGAAAAGAGTTAGAGAAGCTAGACAGCTAGAAAATCGGAAAAAGGTTAGAGACGCAGAGAAGCTAGATAGCTAGAAAATCGGAAAAAGAGTTAGAGAAGCTAGACAGCTAGAAAATCGGAAAAAAGGTTAGAGACGCAGAGAAGCTAGATAGCTAGAAAATCGGAAAAAGGTTAGAGACGCAGAGAAGCTAGACAGCCAGAAAATCGGGAAAAGGTTAGAGACGCAGAGAAGCTAGACAGCTAGAAAATCGGGAAAAGGTTAGAGACGCAGAGAAGCTATACAGCTAGAATATAGGGAAAAGGGTTAGAGACGCAGAGAAGCTAGACAGCTCGAAAGTAGGAAAAATGTTAGAGACGCAGAGAAATTTGACAACCAGGAAACATTGGGAAGATCAGAGAAGCTAGACAGCTAGAAGATAGGGAAAAGGGTTAGAGACGCAGAGAAGCTAGACAGCTAGAAAATAGGAAAAAGGGTTAGAGACGCAGAGAAGCTAGACAGCTAGAAAATAGGGAAAAGGGTTAGAGACGCAGAGAAGCTAGAAAACTAGAAAAATGGTTAGAGACGCAGAGAAGCTAGATAGCTAGAAAATCGGAAAAAGGTTAGAGACGCTGAGAAGCTAGACAGCTAGAAAATAGGGAAAGGTTAGAGACGCAGGACAAAAAATTTCGCGCCAAAATTGTTGGATTTTTTGTGATGAGATTTCATTTTCTTATCTTTTATGACAAAAATTTGAACCATGACTCATATTATCAAGTTTTTAGTGTAAAAATTAGTCATTGAGGGAAAAATTGGAATTTTTAGAGAATTTAAAATTCCAGCCAAGAAAAATGTAAAAATGCCGTGTTCATTTATTTTCTTCTGTGTGGTCAAATCAGTCCATTTTTCCTTTTCAAACTGGTTTTTTGGTTGCAGTGAGTACATTAGGATATATATTATAATAATAAATATGTATTATGTATTATATATGATGAGAATTCCTAATTAAGTAGGTGGTCTTGATTGGAAAATATTGGAAAAATATCGGAATTTCGAATTGGAACATCAAAAATCTCTGAAATTTTGGAAAATCTTGAGAATTTTGAAGAATCCACTATCATTCAGAATTTTTTTAAAGTTAAACTATTTTTCAAAGATTTCTTTAATATGAGCAACTTGCGGGAATTCTGGAAAAGCACAAATTTTCGGTATTTTTTCACAAAAATCCAGCCAAACTTTCTCTGAAAATTGTAACCTAGAAATAGAAAAATCCGTGTATTTCTCTCGGACAAATCAAATTCTAAAATGAGCAATTTATTTGATATAGATAGATAGATTTGTGGGTTTGGCAATAAAAAAAGAAAAACTCTGTGCATAAAAATAATCGAAAAACAAAAATACCAGTTAAAAAACTGACAAATCAAGTTTTGGCGGGAGAAATTTTCAAAAATCCCGCCAAAACTCACCCAATTTCACAAAATTACAGTACATTTTCAACAATTCCAGCCGCAATCGTTTTTCCGCCACTTCGAAATGTCACTCTTCCTAAACTTCGACATTTTGTGAATGGCTCAATTGCAACATCTTGATCGGTTTCAATTTCAACAATCGCTGATGTTCCTTTCGCCAAAAATCTGAAGGAAAATTGGAATTTTCGGGCGATTTTCAGCGCGAAATTTCAGGTTAGAACAATTTGAAAATTAGATTTTCAGCGTAAAATTTCTAAGTCAAATGTTCAAATTTCCCGAAAAAAAAGCCAACCTCGGTTTCAATTTCAAAATCTCTCCATTTGATTTATTGATCGAATGATTCAATTTCGAAAATGTGCATGAGACACAAATTGAATGAGCATATAATTCAGCTGTTGAGCCCTGCAACAAAATTCAAATTTTCCATTTTTGGCGGCAAGATCATCAGATGTACAGTAATCCAAAAATTTAATTTTTTTTTATTTAAAAAAAAATCAACTACAGTAATCTTATTTAAATCCATAAAATCTAGAAAATTTTCCCGCCAAAAAAAAGATTCTCACCTTAATAATCGGTGTCAAAATATCAAACACGACCAATCGAACCAAAAATCTGCGGGCCGGAATCAGCGTATCCGGGCCGGCCCGAACAACAACAGATCCAGTCTGAATCGAATCCGGCTCGAAAGTTCCGGCCAACGTCAAAAGCACATGATCGCCGGCCAAACATTGTTCGGTGTTGGAAATTGTGTTGGAGCAGGCTGGAAAAATTTGAATTTTGGGATTTGGGATTTTTAGGTCCAAAAATTTGTGGACTTTTTTGGGGCTAAACCAAATTTAGGCTTGAAAAAATATATTGAGATTGTGAGATTTTTTTCTAGAAACAAAGCGATTGAATCATTTTTCCGATCTACAATTTTAATACAATAAATTTTTGAAACCTATTTTTTCGGGGTCGAAATTTTGCGAGAAAAATATTTTTTTTGAGAAAAAATCCACGTGGAATTTTAACATCAGGCAAAAAAAAGTAGTTTTTCGGGCTCCGATTGAATTTGAGCTCAAAAAATCACAAATTTCTGAATCTAGGCTCAAAAAACGTGGATTTTTTAGCTTATGCAAATTCAGGTTCAAAAAAATGCAAATTTTCTCTCACCTTTAACAGTCGCAGCCGTCACACTTGGCATAATATAAACCTTATCATCCTTCTCAATTTCTCCCGACTCAATTTTTCCGCTCAAAATCAATTGAGCCGATTGAACCTTCAAAACATCGCTAACAACAATTCGCAATGGTCCGGAAATTGGCAATTTTGCGGCGACAAATGAATCAATCGATTCCAGCAAACAGGGACCATTAAACCATGGGATTTCGGTCGTTTTTTTCGTCAAATTTTCTCCAGATAGGCCAGAAACTGGGATGAATCGAGGATTTGCGAATCCGGCTTGTTTCGTCAGAAAAACACTCAGATTATTTTTGATTTCTTCAAAACGATCACGAGACCAATCTACAGTATCCAATTTGTTGACTGCCACAATTAATTGCGTAACACCTGGAAGAAAATATTGATTTTTACAATCAGAAAGAGGACGAAGGGGAGGTACTGTAGATAAAAAATTCGGGACTTTCAAAGACCACATAGGCCTAAGTCTGAATTTTTTAGGCCGAGCCTCAACTTTGCGGTGAAAAATCACGTTTTTAGACACCAAACAAGCCTAGGATCAGTGTAGGTGTCAAAAATTGTGAAATTTTGCACATTTTTGGTTACTTTTAGATCAAAATGTCAAATTTTTTGATCATTTTCGATGGAAATACGATACTTTTCATCAAAATTCATCAAATTTTCAACAAATTCCCCCCAAAACCACTCACCCAGGCTTCTCAAAAGCAACGCATGTTCTTTGGTTTGTCCGCCATTCTCAAAACCCGTCTCAAATTCGCCACGTGTTCCATTTATCACCAAAATCGCGGCATCGGCTTGCGATGTTCCAGTTATCATATTTGATATGAAATCCTTGTGTCCGGGCGCGTCTAGGAGGCAAATTCGCTTGGTGTCCGTTTCGAAACTCACTCGAGCCACGTCCATTGTTACACCGCGTTCCCTGAACATTTTAATATGAGCAATAGGCAACAGAAAAACATTTTTAAATTGAAAAACACCCACCTTTCCTCTTCAGTCTCATCCAAAACCCAAGCATAGGCAAAAGACGATTTTCCACTTCTTGCAGCTTCATGTTTATATTTTTCCATGGTTCGAGAATCGACAAATTCCATCTGAAAGAAAAAAAATAATTAAAAAACATTTTTTTACAAAAAATTTCGGTTCAAAAATGTCAAAAAACTATATTTTTCCTATTTTTTTTGTCAAAAATCTGCTGTTTCAAAATATTTTCATACTTTTTTTTCCAGCAAATTTGAATTTCAATATTTTTCTGAAAATCTGCAAATTTAGGGAATTTCTGTAATTTATTCACTGAAGTTCACTGCTTCAAAAATGTCATTTTTTTGGTCTATTCAACCCAAAAAAAAAAGAATTTATATAGGATTTTGATTTTTGAGTTTCACCAAAAATGAACCTGAAAAAAGGGTTTTTGGCTTAAAAACCAGAAATTTTGGTCTAGAAACTCTGAAATTCAATTGAGATATTTTAAGCCTAAAATTGTGAGGATTTTAACATCTGAAAATCAGGATTTTTTGGCCCGAAATTCATTGAATTCAAGTTCAATAATGGAAAAAAAAACATTTTTTGACAAAAAATGTTTTTTATTTTTTCAAATTCCCTCCCTTTTTTGTGTGCGTTGTGGCGCGGCGCGGTCTGCGTTGCGTGTTTATTTCGGTGGAGCGCGTGGAGTACCGATGAGATTTTCGATATTAGATATTAGATATCTCTACCTCATACAACAAATGTCCCATCAACGTGGATTTTCCGGCATCCACGTGTCCGACAACAATCAAATTGATCAAATCCTTCACATTTTCCCTCGATTTTTGTGGTTTTCTTGGTTGTGCCGGTGCACGCGATATTGTTTGAAGTTGATTTCGACGAAACGCGGATAAATCGACTTCGGAATTGGGACGAGAAGGTGTTTGAGAGGCTGTGGCTTCGACCAGAAGATTCTGGAAATGCAAAATTGTAAGTTTAAGATGAATTTTTCATATATTTTTGTACAAGAATCCGGATTTCAGACCGAAAATCCTCACATTTTTCGTCAAATTCCTTTTCGGTGTCGAATTATTCGATTTCGCCACAGCCACCGCCTTCACTTTCTCTTTTTCCTTCACAAAATTCGTGGTTAAAGATGGAGCGGTTGAATTTCGAACAATTGAGGTGGAAGGAGTGGGTTTTGGAGCTCCCACAGGAGCATCCGGCTCCGCTGCATACGTGTAATAATTGGCGGATAGATTCGTCTCAGCTTTCCGATTTTTATAACTATATTGAGCACTTGTTCCTTCGTCATCGTCTTCCGAATAATCATCATCGTAATCCTCGTCGTAATCATCGATTTCTGCAAAAAACATTGATTTTTGAGAGCGATTTCGGAATTTTTAATGATTTTTTCAAAAAAAAATTCAAATTTTAATTTCAGCTTTTCAAAAAACTCACCATCCGCATAATTCATATTTCGCACATTTCGATGCCTTGACATTTTCCAGCAAACGCGCCGAAAAATTTGATTTTTGTGCGCGAAAAATAAAAAATGCCAATGTGTGCAATTGTTCGTCGCCGTGTTTGCACACTTTGTCTACCGTACTCCAAAGATTTTTTTCGAAAAAAATCGTTTCAGCAGATTTTCGTTAGTGGCGAAACTGAGAAGTGACGAAAATCCAAAAAAGATTCAAATGAAATGTCACGCGAAAAATGAATATTCCTGAAATTTGACTGAAAAATCCAAAAAGCATGCAAAAATTCATTCAAAAACATATAAATTTATCCGGTTTTTTTGCCCTTTCCATATTTATGATGATAATTTGGCAGAAGATTTCGTAGAAATTCAAGTTGACCATTCAAAATCTGCAAAAAAAAAATAAAAAAATTTTCAAGTCCAGAAGCTATTTTCTGATAATCCTTACCTGATTCTTATTTCCCTCATGATATCCGCGGAAATCTGAAATTTCGGACTTTTCAGACTGAAAATTCCAGATTTTTTGAGCCTGAATTTGGCCTGGATTTTGGGCCGCTACCAAAACTACACTCTAGTCTTATACTTTTCAGACTAGAATCTAGTCAATACTGATAATTTTTGAGCCAAAATTCAGAAAATTCAAGAAATTTGAAAATTTCGAACCTGGCCTAGAAACCCTCCTCTGAATTTCTAGGCCACATTTTTTATTGTCAAAATCCCAGAAAATTTCGATCGTGGCCTAGAAATTTCCACGGCCACGGCCTAACTCCCTGGCCTAGAAAATCGCATCTGAAATTCTAGGCCATTTTCATTTCATTTTCTTCCAGAAAAACATGTCAATCGAAGAGCTCCTCTCAAAATTGCCAGTTTTTGCGCGGCCCGAATTATCGACTTTTGTACCGTATGACATCAATTCGCTAACATCGGAAATGGTTTTGGAAAAACAACGGGATGAGCAACACAAGAAAATCAGGTGAGAAAGGCTGGAAATTGCTGAAAATCTGAAAATTGTTGGGTTCCGGGTTGAAATTTGACTGAAATTCCAAATTTTCAGCCAAAAATCTATGATTTTCAGCCAAAAAAATGTTCCAGAATCATCACCGCCATCTCTTTGTCCTTCATAGCTGTCATCACAATTTGCGTCCTTGCCTTCTTCGTCAACTACACGAAAAAGCAGCGCAAATTCGCCAAAAATCCGCCGGTTTCTTCACGAAATTTGGCAAATCGCCCACTTCCACCAGCTCCAATTTACCATCCGAGGAATTTTTAAAATTAGCAGATTTTTAATTTTTTTTTTTGAACGGGTTCGAATTTTACGGGTTGTGAAAACGAAGTAGGAATTTTTTTGCATAAATTATTGATTTTTTATGGCCTAAAATACCAAAAAGTGAATTTCTAGGCCGCGTCTTCTTCACAAATAATAATTATCACCATCAGAATCAATATCCTCCAAGCTTGGATTTTCGATAACTTCAAATTCCAAGAATTGGTCCTTAATATGAGTAATCGTTGCAAATGTTGAGCGAATTCCTCGAATACTGATTCGTTTGCTGGAAAAAAAGAAAAAAAACAACGAGACTCCGCGTTGACGGCAACGCGCGTGGATTTTTTTTTTGAATTTAAATATTTTTTTTTTCTTTTTTTACATGATTTATGATAACTTACTAGCGATTATTATCATCCACGTGCAAATTAAAAAATCCAAAAAACTTGCAAACATCTCTGAATCCCCCTGTATTAAAATGCCACCTACAACTTTGCAGTTCTCTATTTCCATTTTGCCAACTTCGAATAAATTCCAAAATATCTTCCGCTTTCAAATCTCCAATTCTCATCTCAATTTCTCTCGCTGACAACTTCAACATTTGCTCTCGAGTTAGCCCAAATCCAATCAATAAATATTCACGGACCAGGTAAATTTGCTCAAATTCCGCATAGCTTTTTTTTTCACCATCCCGATTCTCGAGCCATAAATATTTCAGCATTTTTTTTGCAGATCGTGCTAGAAATTCGCGAAAAACCGTGTCATTCGATCCATAAATATGCAAATATTGCAAATTTGGGAAACTCGGAATTGTTTGCAAATTAATTGGAGAACTTCCAAAGATTGTGATGCTTTTCACGGTATTTTGATATTTTTCGAGTTTCGAGACGAATTTCTTTGTGGCAATTTCATAACCATCTTCTCCGATTTCTAGTTGCAGATTTTGAGTTATTTCATCTCCTTGACCTCTGAAAAAATGGTAGATTTTGAGCCCTGGAACTCAATTTGAGTTATGACGTGGCAAAAATCAGAAGGGGATGGAAACTAGCTTCAAAAAGGAAAAATTAACATGAGCAATCTATGAAGAACTAGAAATATTTGGCACAATTTTTGATCCGAAGTTTCGTGGCTCAAAAATAAACATTGCTCATATTAAACCAACAGCTTTGCCACGTGGCTTAGGTATTGCTCAGCTTATGCGTTTCTCATAACATGAGCAATCTAATTGAATTTTGTAGCTCAAAAATAGGCATTGCTCAGGTTATACGGTTTTTTTTTTGGCTATTGCTCATATTAAACTCTAAATTCTAGATTTTTGAATGAGGAGTTGCTCATTTTATATACTTTTTTTCAAAAAAAAATCTTATTGAAAACAATTTTTTTAAAAAAATTTATAGATTGCTCAGGTTATACTGTGTTTTTTTTTTGGCTGTTGCTCATATTAAACTCTAAATTCTAGATTTTTGAATGAGGAGTTGCTCATTTTATTTACTTTTTTCATAAAATGAGCAATCCACAAATTTTGTAGCTCAAAAATTTTATAGATTGCTCAGGTTATACTGTGTTTTCGGTGTGTGAATGAGGAGTTGCTCATTTTATACTTTTTACAAAAAAAAATCTTATTGAAAACAATTTTTAAAAAAAATTTATAGATTGCTCAGGTTATACTGTGTTTTTTTTTTTTGGGTGTTGCTCATATTAAACTCTAAATTCTATATTTTTGAATGAGGAGTTGCTCATTTTATATACTTTTTTCATAAAATGAGCAATCCACAAATTTTGTAGATCAAAAATAGGCATTGCTCAGGTTATACTGTGTTTTTTTTTGGCTGTTGCTCATATTAAACTCTAAATTTCAGAGGAGTTGCTCATATTAAACTCTAAATTCTAGATTTTTGAATGAGGAGTTGCTCATTTTATATAAATTTTTCAACAAAAAATCTTATTGAAAACAATTTTTTAAAAAAATTTTATAGATTGCTCAGGTTATACTGTGTTTTTTTTGGCTGTTGCTCATATTATACTTATGAATAACGCTATTCTATCAGATTTTCAACAAAAAATCATTTTTTTTGCTTTTCCACGTAGGAGTTGAATTCTGATCTGGGCTCAAATAAACTTCAACTTACACCTCAAAATGCGTCGAACCTCGATGAAACTCAATAAAATGCTCATTTCCAGTGAATGGCAATGAGTTATTCAAAGATAGCCGAACATCTTCGCCAAGTGTGTCTTCCCAACAAAATCCATCGTATAAACTGTTGGATTGCTGCCAAATTTGACGGCATTTTCGCGCGCTTTTTCCATAGGATATTCTGGGAGTTGGGGTAAGTTTTCGGGAGGAAGTAGGGAAAAACTTACTTATCAGCCGGCTCCATTCGATCAAAAATCATTATTTGTAGCTCGTTTGGAAGGTTTAGAATATAACATGGCTCTTCGGTTTCTTCAGGCTCCATTTTCTTTGGGAGAAAAATTCTCAGCCAGAAAAAATGATAAAAAATATGTTGCTCTCACCATATTTGTATAGCAAAAACTGATAAGCCTAATCTTCTTATCAAAAAAGAAAAATTCAAAAAAAAGCGGCGGGTGGGGGTCGAACCCTGGTTTTGCAAACGATTGGCAGCCGTGTATACCACTCGGCCACCCGCTGAAAACCCCAAAAGCACACAAAAATTCATTCAAAAACATATAAATTTATCCGGTTTTTTTGCCTTTCCCATATTTATGATGATAATTTGGCAGAAGATTTCGTAGAACTTCAAGTTGACCATTCAAAATCTGCAAAAAAAAAATAAAAAATTTTTCAAGCCCTGAAGCTATTTTCTGAAATCCTTACCTGATTCTTATTTCCCTCATGATATCGTATCACACCATTCTCCACAACCACCGCATTTTGTTCCAAAGTTTGTCGCGATGCCACGTGGCATTGCGGTGTGATGTGGCAGTCGTCGGCGACAAAACAGGCGCGATCAAGTCGCGCGCGACAACCAATCAAATTGCGATTTCCCACGTATTTGGCGAAACATTCGGATTCGACGTGGAACGCGTTTTCGTCGCCAATTATCATTGGCTCACCGTCGCCACTGCAAAAAAAAGAGGTGATTCAAGTCGAAAAAAATTTTTTTTTTTTTTTTTTCGTAGTGGGACCCCAAAAAATCTCAAAACATTCTCTGCGCCTTTAAAAACACAAATTTCCGAGTCAATTTTTGACGCTGAGTCTGAATTTCAACATCTCGAGTCACGAAAATCGGGTCCAGAGAAAAAAGTGACCCCCCCCCCCCTTGTTTAGTCCAGAGTGGGGTCACCAAAAATCTCAAAACATAGCATGCGCCTTTAAAATTCACGTCAGTTTTTCACGCTGAATTCGAATTTTTTTATGGGGTGATTCAAGTTGAAAAAAAAAATAAAAAAACATTTTAAATTTAAAAAAATAAATTTCGATTCAGCAAATGTCAAAAAACGATATTTTTCCTATTTTTGACATTTTTTTTCACACAAAAATTTCAAAAAATAGGAAAAAATATAGTTTTTGACATTTGCTGAATTGAAATTTTTTGTAAAAAAATGTTTTTTTTTAGTTTTTTTCGACCTGAATCGCCCCATAAGAGTGTATGTCAACACCGACTGCCCGCAAACACCAAATCCTACGCGCAATCTTGACGCCAAATACACGACTCTATTTTCTAGACTAAATAGTTTCATTTTTTTTTTTGATGGTCGAAGGAGAAATGTGTGTAAACATCAGACCTTACGCGCAAGCTCTAAAACTTTTCAAAAGTGAGCGACTTAAAGAAATATAATTTAGCGTATCTCGTTCATTTTTTCTCAAAAAAAAAAAACAAGAGAGTAAAAATAATATATTTTTGCGTGAACGTGAAATTTATCGTGGCAAATGTCATTTCAACGATAATTTTTGGGTTATTTCAAATTTTCGGCGAGCAACAAAATGGCAGATGAGTTTTTTTTTGCTCTTGGGTCTCCCTTGAATTCCTTTCCCTCTTCGAATAATTTCCACGTGTCTCTCCTGGAGTAAAGTACAGCTCAACTTAGCCGAACTCTGGATAGTAAAGCTTTTGAGCGTTTTGAGCATTAGCCATTGCAATTGTCAGGAACCTCGATATGAGTTACCTTAACTTGTTGTTTTGGTTATACTCTCGACTTTGTCGACTTGATTTGGTTGGAAAAACTGTGAAGGGAGAGATCGAGGTTCGCTTTGAAAAGAAAACGTGGAATTATTCAAGGAGGAGGGAAATTTCGACTATTATCAGGGAAAATACGATATTTCCTAGGAAAATCAGAATTTTTCTAGTCTTCGCGTCAAGATTGCGCGTAGGATTTGGTGTTTGCGGGCAGGCGGTGTTGACACAAATTTTTATTTTTTTCGTTCTTTCTTGAGGTTTGGGATGGGATTAGATGGAAAATGTAGATTTTTCATTCAAAAAATCCGAATTTTCACCACATTTTCAAATTCCCTTCCCAAAAAACATACCAATTCCGAATCACACAATATTCCTCAAACAAACAATTGTTGCCAATAATAATCGGCCCATTTTTTGCGTCAAAAATCGCAAACGGATGAATGACGCAACCGTCGCCAATCGAAACTTCTCCGGAAATTTGCGCTTCCGCGCAAACCACCGCGCTTTCCGCTATTTGGATTTTATTTTCCGGTTCGGCTGTCATTCTGAAATTTTAGCAACGAACATCCAAAATATACATAGTTATGACGTGGCAAAGGACCTGCTGTAATTAATTTCAGATGCAAAATTTTTAGAATTCTGATTTTATAGAATTGTTCAGCAGGGTCGATTTGATGAATTTCGAAAAAAAAATTTTTTTTTGATCATCCCAAGTTCAGAAGATCGTGAATTCATCAAATCGACCCAGCTGAATAATTCTATAAAATCAGAATTCAAAAATTTTGAATCTGAAATTAATTACAGCACGTCCTTTGCCACGTCATAACTATATTTTGGGTAAATCAGGAATTTTTTTGTGAAAAAAATTAGATAGTGTCATGGTTTTGGACCATTTTACATTAAAAAAAAACTGAAAAAACCGGATTTTAATTTAAATTTAAAAAAAAACAACAACAATAACAAAAAATTCGTGGCGCGCGCCAAATTACACAGTAACCCGTTGAAGTTCGACACCAGCCAAATCGTGTTTATCGGGATAAATCGAAACGAGAGTGTCGGATTCTTGAACTCGAATTTGATCCAGCGAAAGTTCGGGGAATATCAGGCGACTTTGCAAAACCAATTCATCCATCGTTTTTTTGCACGCTTCAAGCGAGATTTTCGAGGTGACTTCGACCCAAACTCGAGTTGTATCAGTGGTTAGCTGCAAAATTTTTTGAATCTATGAATTTTGACGCGAAAATTCGGGATTTTTTGATAGTAAATAAGCTTAGCTTTGGTAAAAAAAAAAGACCAGAATTTTTGGCGGGAGATTTGAATTTTTTGTAGTTCTCGAGAAGAAGCGGGAAATTTAGAAGGGCTGATTCACAAACGAAAAATTTTTTTAAAAATGTTTTTTTAACATCGAAAGATCAATTCACGAAAAGTCAAAAAATGTCGAAAAAACATCAGTTTTTCCGAGTTTTTCAGCCAAAAATGATGACAAATCAATATTTTTCAAGCTTCTGGAGTAATTTCTGATTAAAATAAGCTTCGAGAACCCGATTTTGCTTTATTTTATGATTTTTTTCGAAAAGCCTTTTGCTGACGTAAAAATCGTAGCTACAAAAATCGCGTCAGCACCGGAAATGCGTCAACAAAAAAATGTTGCGAAAAATCAAATTTGAAATTCATATGGGATTCTGATAATTTTGACACCAAATAGGGTTATATTTGGAGGTGCACCGAAAATGCGTCAGCAAGACCTATAGTGCTTGCTGGCGCATTTCTGGTGCAACATCAAAAATGCGTCATGTTCGGTGTCAAACCAACCAGAATTTTATGAAGATCACGAAAATGCCAATTTTGACACTAAACACGGTAGAATTCCGAGAGGTACCAAAATTGCGCCAGCAATAGCTATAGAACTTGCTGGCGCATTTCTAGTGCATCTCAAAAAATAACCGTATTTGGTGTCAAAATGCTCGGAATTCTACGAAAAATCAGCAAAACCTTCTGAAAAGTGAATTCCAAGGTCAATTTTAATCAAAAATTACTGCAGAAGCTTAAAAAATATCGATTTGTCATCATTTTTGGCTGAAAAACTCGAAAAACTAATTTTGACCTTTTTTTCGTTCGTGAATCAGCCCTAAATAAGCCTAGCTTTGAAAAAAAAAAGACCAAAATTTTTGGCGGGAGATTTGAATTTTTTGATAATTTCTAGTTCTCGTGTAGTTCTCGAGGAGAAGCGGGAAATTTAGAAAAAACCCCATTTTTCATGAAATTTAACGTAAAATGATCCGAAAAATGCAAAATTTTCAATTTTTAACACCAAATTCAACGTAAAATTGCAGAATTTTCAATTTTTAACACCAAATTCAACGTAAAATTGCAGATTTTTCAATTTTTAACACCAAATTCAACGTAAAATTGCAGAATTTTCAAAAATTTCCCCCAAAAATCCTCACTTTAGTCGAATCCGAGTTGGTGATTGGCGGCAAACTGATCACCAAACCTTGCGCATCCACGTGGCACGCCAAAATCGGCTCATCTCGAACTATATGCAAATATCTATGAAGCGGATCGATTGTGTTGCGTTTGCTGCGTTTTCGCGCCAATTCCGCGTCGCGCAACAAATTGTCAAGGAGTTCCGCGGCGGAAACACTCGATTTTTTGTTGAGAGCTCGGATCTGCAAAAATTCATTATTTTTCATTATTTTCAGGTCAAAAAATCTGAAAATCTTTGATTTTCACCGAATTTTTGTCGGGCACCGAATTTTTTGAGCCCATGACAGCTAGAAAATTTAAAAAAAAATTCAGAAAATTCAAAAAAATTCAGAAATTTCGAAAAAAAAATTCAGAAATTTCGAAAAAAAAATTCAGAAAATTCAAAACAAATTCAGAAAATTCAAAAAAAATTCAGAAAATTCGAAAAAAATTCAGAAAATTCAAAAAAAATTCAGAAAATTCAAAAAAATTCAGAAAATTCAAAACAAATTCAGAAAATTCAAAAAAAATTCAGAAAATTCAAAAAAAAATTCAGAAAATTCGAAAAAAATTCAGAAAATTCAAAAAAAAATTCAGAAAATTCAAAATTTGCCACGTGGATTCGGGCACAAAATTTAAAATTTTGAAAATTTTTATTTTTGAATTTTGAAAAAAACGCGGAGTTTTTGGAGCGAAATTTAAAAATTCAAAAAAAAATTCAGAAAATTCAAAAAAAAAATTCAGAAAATTCAAAAAAATTCAGAAAATTCGAAAAAATTCAGAAAATTCAAAAAAAAATTCAGAAAATTCAAAATTTGCCACGTGGATTCGGGCACAAAATTTAAAATTTTGAAAATTTTTATTTTTGAATTTTGAAAAAAACGCGGAGTTTTTGAAGCGAAATTTAAAAATTCTGGTTTTTTCCTCGTGGATTTCGGGCACGAAATTTAAAATTTTGAAAATTTTTATTTTTGAATTTTGAAAAAACGCGGAGTTTTTGGAGCGAAATTTAAAAATTCAAAAAAAAATTCAGAAAATTCAAAAAAAAAATTCAGAAAATTCAAAAAAATTCAGAAAATTCACAAAATTCAAAATTTGCCACGTGGATTTCGGGCACGAAATTTAAAACTTTGAAAATTTTTATTTTTGAATTTTGAAAAAAAAACGCGGAGTTTTGGGAGCGAAATTTAGAAATTCAAAAAAAAATTATGATTTTTTCCACGTGGATTTCGGGCACGAAATTTAAAATTTTGAAAATTTTATATTTTTGAATTTTGAAAAAAAAACGCGGAGTTTTTGGAGCGAAATTTAAAAATTCTGATTTTTCCTACGTGGATTTCAGGCTCAATTTTCATGGAATTTTTGACCCACATGCAAATCATCTTTCGGCAATGCCATATAAGTTATCGGAAGTTGAAAAGCGTCCAATTTGTGGGTTCCAATTGCAGTCAAAGCTCGATTTTCACAAAAGGGAGAAGCGTGAAGTTTTGTCTGCAAAATTTCTGGCTGAAAACTTCCAAAATTTCAGCCAAATTCACCTGCAAACTGATAAATTTCCGAAAACCTTCTCCATCCAAATCAATATTATTGAATACGGTAGCCACCAAATACGGTCGAATTCCGCTAACTGACGGATGTCGTTTCACAGTCAATTCATCGATTCCAACTCGAACAATCAGTCGATTTTCAGCCGATTCTGCAAGAATTTTAAAATTTTCAGATTTTTTCAAAAAAATGTCTGTTTTCCCACCTGAAACCCGATCATTTTCATCCAAAATTTCTTGATTTTCAGCCAGATTTTCAGATGTTTTGCGAGTTCCCAAAGCTGGTCCATTTTTGGCAATATAAGCTATCACAGCTGAGACTTTGGCACGTTTATCGTTGGCCAATTTTTTGAGACGGGTATCCTGGAAAAATTGATGATTTTGGGGTGAAAGTGTGCATTTTCGCGTCAAATTTGATGTAAAATTCAAAAAATCTGCAATTTTTCGTAAATTTGATGTAAATTTCAAAAATTCTGAATTTTCCCGTCAAATTTGTTGTAAAATTTAAAAATCCTGCAGTTTTTCGTCAAATTCAGTGTAAAATTCAAAAAAATCTGCAATTTGTCGTCAAATTTGATGTAAAATTCGAAATTTCTGCAGTTTTTCGTAAATTTTGATGTAATTATGCAATTTCCCGTCAAATTTGATGTGAATTTCAAAAAATCTGCAATTTGTCGTCAAATTTGTTGTAAATTTCAAAATTTCTGCAGTTTTTCGTGAATTGTACAATTTTATATCAAAAAACGCAGAATTTTAATGCCACGTCATAACTCAACCCAAAACCCTTACTTTAAACGGATTTTCCGATAAATCGAGTGTCTTCAATTTGGGTAAATGTGCAATAGCAGTTGGAATCGGCCCCAATTTATTCGAATTCAGTCGAAGTTCCTTGATTTGTCGCAAATTCGTCAAATCCTCCGGAATCTCCTGAATTCGATTATTCGACAAATCAATTGTATGAAGTTTTGCTCCAAGATTTTCAGATGTTAGAGTTATGACAACTCGGTCGAATAAATTGAAACTGCCATCAAAAACGTGCAAATTTTCGAGTTCGGATAAATCCGGGAAACCATCTTGACCAAGTTTATTATTGGCCACAATCAGCGATTCCAATTTTTCCAATTTCGAAATCGATTCCGGCAACTTTTCCAGTTGATTATGCGACAAATCGATGAATTTCAATTTCAAAAACGCGCCAAAAATGTCCGGAAGTTCCTTTAAATCATTTCGTGGCAAGACCAGCGACAATAAATTCGAGCAAATCGATAATTTCTGGGAGATTTCACATAATTTTGAGGATGTTATTGAGAGCAAATTGAGATGTTCCAATTGTTCGAAAGCTGGGTTTTGATCAGATTCTGTGGATTTTTCGAGATTCTCGTTTTTTATCACAATTTCGAAACGGGTTGATTTGATGGCTTCTAAGACTTCAGGAAGTTCGTTGAACATCTGGAAACATCTATTGATTTTTGAAGTTTTGCCATTGGAAAATTGAAATTTCACGTATTTAGAGACCGAATACCGAATAGAGACTTAGGGCTGATTCACGAACGAAAAAAATGTTTTTTAATTCACGAAAAGCAAACCTCACCCAACACCTGGAATTCCAGGTGGGCAATTTTTTTCCGAAAAACCTAGGTGGGCAATTTTTTTTCGAAAGACCTAGGTGGGCAAAAAATTTTAGGGTCTTTAAGGCGAGCCTCAGGTGGGCAAAATTTTTTAGGGTCTTTAAGGCGAGCCTCAGGTGGGCAAAAATTTTTTAGGGTCTTTAAGGCGAGCCTCAGGTGGGCAAATTTTTTTTTACTAGGTGGGCAATTTTTAAAATAAACCCAGGTGGGCAATTTTTTCCTACTTCTCCAGGTTCTTGGGTGAGGTTTGCACGAAAAGTCAAAAAATGTCGAAAAAACATTAGTTTTTCGAGTTTTTCAGCCAAAAATGATGACAAATCGATATTTTTCAAGCTTCTGGGGTGATTTTTGATGAAAATAAGCTTCGAGAATCCTATTTTGCTTTATTTTATGAATTTTTTCGAAATTCATCAGTGATATCAGAACCTCACCCAACACCTGGAATTCCAGGTGGGCAATTTTTTTTCGAAAAACCTAGGTGGGCAAATTTTTTTAGGGTCTTTAAGGCGAGCCTCAGCTGGGCAAATTTTTTACTAGGTGGGCAATTTTTGAAAATAAACCCAGGTGGGCAGTTTTTTTCCCACTTCTCCAGGTTCTTGGGTGAGGTTTGATTCATCACGAAAAATCAGCAAAACCTTCTGGAAAGTGAATTCCAAGGTCAATTTTCATCAGAAATCACTCCAGAAGCTCGGAAAATATTGATTTGTCATCATTTTTGGCTGAAAAACTCGAAAAACTAATGTTTTTTCGACATTTTTTGACTTTTTCGTGAAATCTTTCGATGTTGAAAAAACATTTTTAAACATTTTTTTCGTCAAAAATCCTGAAATTCTCCCGATATCACTCGGACAAAACCGATTTCGATTAAAAATTTTTAAAAAAATCCCGAAAAAAACAAAAAACAACTTTATGTACTCTAAAATCTAGCAAAAAACAAAACAAATCTACTTTTCAAGATTATTTTTGAGCGCATCGGTTAATAGAAGATTCAATAGGTTTGGCGATTCCTCATTTTTCGCTGAATTTTCCGACAAAACCGGTGGAAATGGGTTTTTATCGATTTCCAATATTCCAATATCATATCTTTTCCAAAATTCGCGTTTATTCTGAATAAATTGTTGAAGTCGTTTGGGTGGCAATCGATAAAGCGAAGTGTAAGGCGATTGAATCTCAGCGAATCGTGGAACAATAACTTCATGCATTTTCACGATCAAATCGCGTTCCGGCAGCCACCATTCCATCATTTCAGCTGTATACTCATCCAACGGACCTCTTTCAACACCCAATTGTATCAATCGCTCTAAATATGGTCGAGCTTCGACGGCACGATTCCATTTGAGTTCGACACGTTCTTCGCGCACGCAACGCGTCACAATTCGCCGCAACACTTCGAGACGTGCACGACGACTCGGCTCAATTCCACCGGTTTTGAGCTTTTGTGCCACGTGGCCGATGGTGACGCCGATACGTGGCAATGTTGCCGATGACATTTTCTGCAAAATTATATTGGCGTTTGTGCCTAAAGAGAGAAAAACGGGGAAAAAAGTGTGTGGGAAATAAAAAAATATTGTTTTAGGTGGCCTAGAAAATGTTTGGTTTTCTCAGCCAGCAAAGAGTTCGGCCATGAAAATTTCAATTTTTGCGGAGAAAAATTGAAGTTTCACGCGATTGACGACAAGATTTCACAAGAAAAAAGTGCTTAAAAATTTCGGCTCTATCCCAATATAAGGGTCCCACGGATATATAAGGGTCCGAAAAAAAATATAGGGGTCCGAAATATATATGAGGGTCCGAAAAAAAATATGAGGGTCCGCCCAAAATATGAGGGTCCGTGATTTTTTCCATGGGTCCGAAAAAAAAATAGGGGTCCGTAATTTTTTGGACGAAGAAATTTTTTTTTTCAATTTTTTTTTCATTTTTTTTTTATTTTTACTTTCATTTTTTTTCAATTTTTTTGTTCATTTTTCAATTTTTTCTCTGATATATGCTGCGTTTTTAATGTATTTTTGACAATTTGTTTGGCCAAAAGTTGTAAATGTCTCTATTTTTCAGCATAAAAATTGGAGAGAAAAACAGTCGCTATGTTTTCTGAAAGTTAACTAAGCCTAAGCCTAGGTTAATGGAGAATGGAGAAATTTACGTTTGGTTTTGGATGTTGATCTATTAATAATTTTCATTTGAGCTGCAGAAAAAGAAAACATTTGAACAAGAAAAAAGTGAAGTTCATCAAATAATAACATAATGAAGAGGTATACTGTGAAGACAAAAAAAGAACACGTTAACAATTAGGCTTAGGCTTAGTGAACGCCTAGAAAGATGAATGTTGAATATTAAAGATCTTCTTCATCTGGATTATACATTCCCATCTCATATAAAAGGGCGTTGAGACATTTGCCTTTCCATTTTCGTTTGAATATATACTGGTATATATATATGTTTGCACCGATGAATGCGGAATTCCATGGAAGTACCGAGAAGATGCGGCGACACTGCTACCTTTGATTCAACAACACGTGGAGCCCGGAACACTTATAGTCTCTGATGGATGGCGAGCTTTGTGGACCCCACCGACCCCAGAGTTCACACTCAATCAATTGAATCCACTTGGCGAGCGCTGAAAACATCTCTCAAACAATATTATGGAATTCCGCATTCATCGGTGCAAACATATATATATACCAGTATATATTCAAACGAAAATGGAAAGGCAAATGTCTCAACGCCCTTTTATATGAGATGGGAATGTATAATCCAGATGAAGAAGATCTTTAATATTCAACATTCATCTTTCTAGGCGTTCACTAAGCCTAAGCCTAATTGTTAACGTGTTCTTTTTTTTGTCTTCACAGTATACCTCTTCATTATGTTATTATTTGATGAACTTCACTTTTTTTTCTTGTTCAAATGTTTTCTTTTTCTGCAGCTCAAATGAAAATTATTAATAGATCAACATCCAAAACCAAACGTAAATTTCTCCATTCTCCATTAACCTAGGCTTAGGCTTAGTTAACTTTCAGAAAACATAGCGACTGTTTTTCTCTCCAATTTTTATGCTGAAAAATAGAGACATTTACAACTTTTGGCCAAACAAATTGTCAAAAATACATTAAAAACGCAGCATATATCAGAGAAAAAATTGAAAAATGAAAAAAAATTGAAAAATGAACAAAAAAATTGAAAAATGAACAAAAAAATTGAAAAATGAACAAAAAAATTGAAAAAAAATGAAAGTAAAAATGAAAAAAAAAAATGAAAAAAAAAAAATTGAAAAAAAAAATTTCTTCGTCCAAAAAATTACGGACCCCTATTTTTTTTCGGACCCATGAAAAAAATCATGGACCCTCAATTTTTTTTCGGACCCATGAAAAAAATCACGGACCCTCATATTTTTTTTCGGACCATAATTTTTTTTACGGACCCTTGTAATTTTTTCGGACCATAATTTTTTTTTCGTACCCTTATTTTTTTTTCGGACCCTTATATTGGGATAGAGCCAAAATTTCCACGTGGATTTTTATGAAATTAATCTCATTTTAAAAAATAAAATCAAAAAATCGAAAATTTCCAAAAACGGATCTCATTTTGCTCAGAATTTCGAGATCTTCCTGAAATTTCCAAATTTTTTTGCACAGTATTTCAAGATCTTCTGAAACTTTCAGCCAAAAAAAACCCAAAAGCATTGCAATTCAAAATCATTTAACAAAAATAAATCAAAAAAATACGAAAAAAACGGGGATCGGGGCTGAAAAAACCGTATATTGGACAGAAAAAAACGGAAAATTTCACGAGAGACACAAAAATTGAATTTTAGAAAAAAAAATTTTTGAAAAAAACCCGGGGAATTTCAGAGTTAGAATTAAAAAAATAAAAATAGGGTAAGTTATGAGAAATAGAGAGAAAAAGGGGTGGGGTTTAGTCGAACTCCCTTAGGCTTGAATTGTGGTCAAATAGCTGATAATTTCTTGTGGAACACAAGTCAAAACTGCTTGATTATTCGATGGTCCGCGGATTAAAACTGATTGGGCGAAATAGGCTGGAAAAATGAGAGAGAGGTTAGAGAAAAATAGGATTTTCAGGCTCAATTTAGGATTCTTGGAAGCCTAAAAATTCAAATTTTCCGCCAAACCGGAAAATTTGAATTTTTAAAAATGTTTTTTTTAACATTGAAAGATCAATTCACGAAATGTCAAAAAATGTCGAAAAAACATTAGTTTTTCGAGTTTTTCAGCCAAAAATGATGACAAATCGATATTTTTCAAGCTTCTGGAGTAATTTCTGATGAAAATAAGCTGCGAAAACCCTATTTTGCTTTATTTTCTGAATTTTTTCAAAATTCATCAAAAATTAAATTTTTTTATTTTCCGAAAAATCAGCAAAACCTTCTGGAAAGTGAATTCCAAGGTCAATTTTCATCAAAAATTACTCCAGAAACTTAAAAAATATTGATTTGTCATCATTTTTGGCTGAAAAACTCGAAAAACTAATTTTGACCTACAATGTTTTTTCGACATTTTTTGACATTCGCTGAATTGAATTTTTTTGTCAAAAAATGTTTTTTTTTCATTATTTGTTTTCAACGTTAGGATTATTTGAATTCAAATTTATCAGCTAAAAATTCAAATTTCCAACCAAAAATTGAATTTTTGTGTGAAATATTGGGAACAAAATTCGGACATTTTCAGATAAATTTAGAGGCAAATTTCAAACCTCACCCAATACCTGGAATTCCAGGTGGGCAATTTTTTTTTCGAAAAACCTAGGTGGGCAAAAATTTTTTAGGGTCTTTAAGGCCAGCCTCAGGTGGGCAAAATTTTTTTAGGGCCTTTAAGGCGAGCCTCAGCTGGGCAACATTTTTTTAGGGGTTTTAAGGCCAGCCTCAGCTGGGCAAATTTTTTTAGGGTCTTTAAGGCAAGCCTCAGCTGGGCAAAATTTTTTTTTTACTAGGTGGGCAAATTTGGTAAATAAACCCAGGTGGGCAATTTTTACCCACTTCTCCAGGTTCTTGGGTGAGGTTTGGGCAAATTTGAAAGCCGCGTTTGAAAAAAAAAAGATTTTTCGAAAGTTTCTGGGTTCAAAATTTATGGGGTGATTCAAGTCGAAAAAATAATAGAAAAAAACATTTTTTTTTACAAAAAAATTCGATTCAGCAAATGTCAGAAACTATATGTTTTCCTATTTTTTGACATTTTCTGAATCGAAATTTTTTGTAAAAAAAAATGTTTTTTATTTTTTTTTTTCGAGTTGAACCCATTAATTTCAGTTCAAAATTTGCCCTTCCCCCCAAAATCTCACCTTTATGATTCAAAATTCCGGGCGCAATCGGCGCACTTTTCGGCGCATAACTCAATCGACAAAACGGATTCACAAATTCGCCTTCCGCATTATACATTGCTTCTTGTTCTTCGTCCGGCGACAAAACGGCGCGATCCGAAGCCGACGCCGATTCCAACAATGTCGCAACTTCAGCGGCAAGGTTGCCATAATAGCCGGCAACAATGTTGGTGGTGTCTGCGAGGATGTTTGCAGAACCAATTGCGATTATTCGTTTTTCTGGAGCGGTTGTGAGATTTTTGAGAGCCGGAAGTTCGGGAATCACAACTTTTTCCATTATCATTGAGAACATTCCAGGTTGAACTGCGTCGCAAGCCTAGAATATGGTTAATTAATATGAATTATTCCAAATTCTCAATAGAGCGCACTTGCAACATTTTCAAAATTGCTAGAATTTTGAAAAGTTTTGACAGGTTTCAGTCCAAAAATTCAAATTTCCCGCCTTTTGGAGCACGAATTGAAACTTTTCAATCAAAAAATTAAAAAGCCAAATGCGCTCCAATGTGAATCAGGTGATTTTCAGGCGGGAAATTTGAATTTAGGTTAATTTCAGTTCAAAAACCTGTATTTTGCACTAATTTTCATCAATTTTCAGTCAAAAACCTTCATTTTTGATCATTTTTTTGAAAATTTTGAATTTCTCGAATTTCATGAAAAGTTTTGACGGGTTTCAGTCCAAAAATTCAAATTTGCCGCCTAAAAATCTAAAATTCTCATTGGAGCGCTAATTAGATTTTTTCAATCAAAAATTAAAAATCTAAATGCGCTCCAATGTGAATTAGGTGATTTTCAGGCGGGAAATTTGAATTTGGGTTAATTTCAGTTCAAAAACCTGTATTTTGCACTAATTTTCATCAATTTTTGGTCAAAAACCTTCATTTTTGGCCATTTTTTCGAAAAAGTTTAATTTTTTTTTTTAATTTCATGAAAAGTTTTGACGGGTTTCAGTTTAAAAATTCAAATTTCCCGCATTTTTTCTCATTGGAGCGCAAATTTGAATTTTTCAATCAAAAATGAAAACTCTAAATGCGCTCCAATGTGAATCAGGTGATTTTCAGGCGGGAAATTTGAATTTGGGTTAATTTCAGTTCAAAAACCTGTATTTTGCACTATTTTTCATCAATTTTTATCAATTTTTGGCCAAAAACCTGTATTTTGCACTATTTTTCATCAATTTTTATCAATTTCCACCCAAAAAACCACCCACCTTAACCAAATCCATCGCACTTCTCGTAATCGCAAATTTACACAAAAACACAACGAATAATTTCATGAATTTGGGCGTTTTTGCCGATTGTACTCGTCGGAACATTGTATTTAGCATAAATCCCATCGCATCTTTGTGTTGAATATTTTCAATGACTGGAACAATTGCAGAAGCCAATTGGAAACCGTGTTGATCCAAGACTTTTGAGGAAATTAGACGAGACATGTGTTGGAGGATTATCTGAGCAAAAAATTGGATGAAAATGAGAAATTTTGGGTGTTTTCATGAATTTTGGATCAAATTTAATGAAAAAAAAATTTTTTTTTGATTTTTTTGGATCTGGACACATTTAGTGAGGAAAAAATCGAATTTTTCAAGATTTTCCATCCAAAAATTAAAATTTCTTGTAATTTTTCAAGATTTTTTCATCCAAAAATTCAAATTTCTTGTGATTTTTCAAGATTTTTTTCATTCAAAAATTCAAATTTCTTGTAATTTTTCAAGATTTTTCATCCAAAAATTCAAATTTCTTGTAATTTTTCAAGATTTTTTCATCCAAAAATTTCAAATTTCTTGTAATTTTTCAAGATTTTTTTCATGCAAAAATTCAAATTTCTTGTAATTTTTCAAGATTTTTCATCCAAAAATTCAAATTTCTTGTAATTTTTCAAGCTTTTTCATCCAAAAATTCAAATTTCTTGTAATTTTTCATGATTTTTCATCCAAAAATTCAAATTTCTTGTAATTTTTCAAGCTTTTTCATCCAAAAAATTCAAATTTCTTGTAATTTTTCATGATTTTTCATCCAAAAATTCAAATTTCTTGTAATTTTTCAAGCTTTTTCATCCAAAAATTCAAATTTCTTGTAATTTTTCAAGCTTTTTCATCCAAAAAATTCAAATTTCTTGTAATTTTTCATGATTTTTCATCCAAAAATTCAAATTTCTTGTAATTTTTCAAGATTTTTTCATGCAAAAATTCAAATTTCTTGTAATTTTTCAAGCTTTTTCATCCAAAAATTCAAATTTCTTGTAATTTTTCATGATTTTTCATCCAAAAATTCAAATTTCTTGTAATTTTTCAAGATTTTTCATCCAAAAAATTCAAATTTCTTGTATTTTTTCAAGATTTTTCATCCAAAAATTCAAATTTCTTGTAATTTTTCAAGATTTTTCATCCAAAAATTCAAATTTCTTGTAATTTTTCAAGATTTTTCATCCAAAAATTCAAATTTCTTGCAATTTTTCAAGATTTTTTCATCCAAAAATTTCAAATTTCTTGTAATTTTTCAAGATTTTTTCATGCAAAAATTCAAATTTCTTGTAATTTTTCAAGATTTTTTCATGCAAAAATTCAAATTTCTTGTAATTTTTCAAGATTTTCCATCCAAAAATTAAAATTTCTTGTAATTTTTCAAGATTTTTTCATCCAAAAATTCAAATTTCTTGTAATTTTTCAAGATTTTTTCATCCAAAAATTTCAAATTTCTTGTAATTTTTCAAGATTTTTTCATGCAAAAATTCAAATTTCTTGTAATTTTTCAAGATTTTTTCATGCAAAAATTCAAATTTCTTGTAATTTTTCAAGCTTTTTCATCCAAAAATTCAAATTTCTTGTAATTTTTCATGATTTTTCATCCAAAAATTCAAATTTCTTGTAATTTTTCAAGATTTTTCATCCAAAAAATTCAAATTTCTTGTATTTTTTCAAGATTTTTCATCCAAAAATTCAAATTTCTTGTAATTTTTCAAGATTTTTCATCCAAAAATTCAAATTTCTTGTAATTTTTCAAGATTTTTCATCCAAAAATTCAAATTTCTTGTAATTTTTCAAGATTTTTCATCCAAAAATTCAAATTTCTTGCAATTTTTCAAGATTTTTCATCCAAAAATTCAAATTTCTTGTAATTTTTCAAGATTTTTTCATCCAAAAATTCAAATTTCTTGTAATTTTTTCAAGATTTTTCATCCAAAAATTCAAATTTCTTGTAATTTTTTCAAGATTTTTCATCCAAAAATTCAAATTTCTTGTAATTTTTTCAAGATTTTCCCAAGTTTTTGGGGATTTTCAGACCTTTTTTCTTGTTCAAAAATTCATGAATTTTCATCTTTTCAACGCTGAAAATGATTTTTTCTCGATTTCAGAGTGAAAATCATGAATTTTCAGCGTTTTTCAAGCAGATTTTCAGCTAAATTTCAAGATTTTTCCATAATTTACCTCCGAATGTTGCGCAAAAACCGTCTGCGAATTCACACTCAACAAAACTTCCAAAACCGACAAAGCTGCTGGTACATTCGCCGATCTTGCCCACAATCTTTCAGACAATAGGAATGGCAGAAAATTGAAGTAGGAATCGATGGGATTTTGGCGGGAAATACAGGCGGACACCAAGACTCCGGTGATTTGAAGAGCATATGGAATGAGATCTTCGAGATCTTCGGTGAAGATGACTTCGATGAGTGGAAGAAGTTGAGCATCCAGAGATCCGCCGATGGTTTTTGTCTGCAACAAATTTATTTAAAAAAATTTTTAAAGCTCGAAACCTTTAAAATTTTTATGCAAAATCTCTCAAAAAATACATTTTTGAATTAGTTTTTCGAGTTTTTCAGCCAAAAATGATGACAAATCGATATTTTTTAAGCTTCTGGAGTAATTTCAGATTAAAAAAAGCTTCGAGAATCCCAATTTGCTTTATTTTATGCATTTTTTCGAAATTCATCAAAATTTAAAATTTTATTTTCGAAAAATCAGCAAAACCTTCTGGAAAGTGAATTCCAAGGTCAATTTTCATCCGAAATTACTCCAAAAGCTTAAAAATTATCGATTTGTCATCATTTTTGGCTGAAAAACTCGAAAAACTAATTTTGACCTACAATGTTTTTTCGACATTTTTTTGTCAATTTGATCCAAAAATTCAAAAAATCCCGCCCAAAAATCGCTCAATTCTCATTGGAGCGCAATTGAGAATTTTTGTTCGGGAAACAAAAAATAAAATAGTCGAATGCGCTCCAATGAGAATTTGGTGATTTTTAAGCAGAAAAATTGAGGACACATCAATTTTGAGTTAAAAACCTTGATTTTCAACAAATTCCAGTAATTTTCAGGTCAAAATGCGCTCCAATGAGAATTTGGTGATTTTTGAGCAGAAAAATTCAATTTTGAGTTAAAAATCATGAATTTTCATCAATTTCAGATCAAAAACCTTCAATTTCAACAAATTCCAGTCATTTTTAGGTCAAAATGCGCTCCAATGAGAATTTGGTGATTTTTGAGCAGAAAAATTGAGGACACATCAATTTTGAGTTAAAAATCATGAATTTTCATCAATTTCAGGTCAAAAAACCTTCATTTTCAACAAATTTCAGTCATTTTCAGGTCAAAATGCGGTCCAATGAGAATTTTTCAGGGTAATTTCAGGCCGGAAAAAACAATTTTCGCCCTAAAATCATGCTTTCTAGCTCAAAAATCCACAAAAATTTCAATTTTTCACCCCAGAAACCCCCTTACCTTGCTAACCAGCACACAAATCGTCTCAAACAAAAAGTGTGTATGAATCGAGTCGGCCGGATTTTTTGTGGCTCCAGCGACAAGTTGCGCCAACTTGGTTGCAATCGCATCGGCGTGTCGAATCGTATTCTCGTCCAAAATCACAATTATCCGAAGAATCGCCTTGATGAGATATGGCGAGTTTTGAGCTTTTGCATCTTTGTCGAAAGCCGAGACGAGATTTTGAAGAATTGAGGCAACTGGCAGATTTTGTGAGGAGAAAACCTGGAAAATTGGAGGATTTGGGTGAAAATTTTGAATTTTCAGCGATTTTTAGGCTGCAAATCCAAATTTCAATTCAATTTATCAGTGAAAAGTTGAACTTAAATTTGATTTTTCAAGTTTCTGGATCAAAAAATTCAAATTTTTCATTAATTTTTAGAAATTTCAACATCAAAATTAACCAAATTTCAGCAAAAACTTGAAAATTACTATTTTTCCAGTAAAATTTAAGGTTTTTCTCAATATTTTCAATAGAAAATCACCGTTTTCACTGAATTTTGATGAAAATTTCGAATTTTCAGGCTGCAAATCCAAATTTAAATTCATTTTATCGGTTAAAAATTTTTAAAGTTTGATTTTTCAAGTTTCTGAATAAAAAAATTCAAATTCTTCATTAATTTTCAATTTTACATTAACCAAATTTCAGCAAAAACTTGAAAATTATTATTTTCCAGTAAAATTTCAAGGTTTTTCTTCAGATTTTCAATAGAAAATCACCGTTTCCACTGAATTTTGATGAAAATTTCGAATTTTCAGGCTGCAAATCCAAATTTAAATTCATTTTATCGGTTAAAAATTTTTAAAGTTTGATTTTTCAAGTTTCTGAATAAAAAATTCAAATTCTTCATTAATTTTCAATTTTACATTAACCAAATTTCAGCAAAAACTTGAAAATTATTATTTTCCAGTAAAATTTCAAGGTTTTTCTTCAGATTTTCAATAGAAAATCACCGTTTCCACTGAATTTTGATGAAAATTTTTAATTTTCAGGCTGCAAATCCAAATTTAAATTCAATTTATCGGTGAAAAATTTCTAAAATTTTTCAAGTTTCTGAATCAAAAAATTCAAAGTTTTCATTAATTTTCAGTTTTAACCAAAAAACTTGAAAATTATAATTTTCCAGTGAAATTTAAGGTTTTTCTTCAGTATTTCAATAGAAAATCACCGTTTTCACAAAAATTTTGAATAAAAATCCACATTTTTCGAATTCTGAATTTTGCTGAAAATTTTGTTTTCAGGCTGCAAATCCAAATTTAAATTCAATTTATCGGTGAAAAATTTCTAAAATTTTCAAGTTTCTGGATCAAAAATTCATTAATTTTCAATTTTAACATCGAAATTAACCAAATTTCAGCAAAAACTTGGGTTTTCTTCAGAATTTCAATAGAAAATCACCGTTTTCACTGAATTTTGATGAAAATTTTGTTTTCAGGCTGCAAATCCAAATTTCAATTCAATTTTTTTGAAAGTTTCTGGATCAAAAATTCTTCATTAATTTTTGAAAATTTCAACATCAAAATTGACCAAATTTCAGCCTAAATTTGGTTTTCCTTCAGATTTTCAATAGAAAATCATCGTTTTCACAAAAATTTTGGATGAAAATCCACATTTTTCGAATTATCCTAGTCAAAAAAAATCCTCACCTTATTAACATCCTTCAATAAAATCTTATCAATCGCATAAGCCGCATATTTATGCAAAATAGTTGTATTCGAAGACAACAATGCATCAGCAGCTCGAATTGTGCTCAACAAATGCTCGGGTGCCAATTGATTTCTAAAAGTTACAGCAAATTTCAGCGCATCCGCTTTCAGAATCGGCAATTGATTCACATCCGAATTCAAATGTGTCGCGACTTGTCCAATGAAAAAATCATTGATATTTATGAGAGGATTTGTGGCTGTTACACCGCCTTTTGCGGTTTCCGATTTGACAGCAATTGCGGTGATTAATGAATAGACTATGTCGATTTTTATCCAATCATTTGAGGCGAGCAACGTTTGGACAATTTCGCCTGGAAAAAAATTGAAGATAGGTTTTCCCTGCGCGAGAACTCGAAAATTTCAGTCAAAAATCGATTTTTGACTGAAATTTTCAAATTCAGGCATATTTTCGTGTAGATAAAAGGGATAGCAAGGTCCCAAAAATTCAGATTTTGGAAAAAAAATTGACGATAGGTTCCCTTGTGCGAGAACTCGAAAATTTCAGCAAAAACTAGATTTTTTGGCTGAAATTTCCAAGTTCAGGCATATTTTCGTGTATATAAAAAGGATAGCAAGGTCCCAAAACTTCGGATTTTTGAAAAAAAATTGACGATAGGTTCCCCTGCGCGAGAACTCGAAAATTTCAGCCAAAAATCGATTTTTGGCTGAAATTTCCAAATTCAGGCATATTTTCGTGTATATAAAAGGGATAGCAATGTCCCAAAAATTCAGATTTTGCAAAAAAAAAAATTGACGATAGGTTCCCCTGCGCGAGAACTCGAAAATTTCAGCCAAAAATCGATTTTTGGCTGAAATTTCCAAATTCAGGCATATTTTCGTGTATATAAAAGGGATAGCAATGTCCCAAAAATTCAGATTTTGCAAAAAAAAATTGACGATAGGTTCCCCTGCGCGAGAACTCGAAAATTTCAGCCAAAAAACGATTTTTGGCTGAAATTTCCAAATTCAGGCATATTTTCATGTATATCAAGGGATAGCAAGGTCCCAAAAATTCAGATTTTGCAAAAAAAAATTGACGATAGGTTCCCCTGCGCGAGAACTCGAAAATTTCAGCCAAATATCGACTTTTGACTGAAATTTCCAGGTTCAGGCATATTTTTGTGTATATAAAATGGATAGCAAGGTCCCAAAAATTCAGATTTTCGAGAAAAAAAATTGACGATAGGTTCCCCTGCGCGAGAACTCGAAAATTTCAGCTAAAACTCGATTTTTGGCTGAAATTTCCAAATTCAGGCATATTTCTATGTTCTTCAAATATAAGTATTGTCGAAATTGAAAAATGTGGCCGCTGTAAAAAATGAAAACCAGTACAGAGCTGAATGAATGAAAACAACTGGACTTTGTCAGTCGCGTGCGGCTGTGCGGCGCGGTCGGAAAATGTGAATTATTGATTGTTTGACCGCTCCGCACAGCCGCACGCGACTGACGAAGTCCAGTTGTTTTCATTCATTCAGCTCTGCACTGGTTTTCATTTTTTACAGCGGCCACATTTTTCAACGTTTTTTATTCCTGGATATTTTTCCAAAATCAAAAACTGTGCAATTTTCACCTCGAAATCCTCTGATTTCCATAGGAAATCAGACAATTCCGAGCAAAAATTCTCAAAATTTCTACCTAAACACGGCATCATTTGAGCCTCATATCTTCTACAAAGTGCTCTAGCCAAATCAATAGCTCCTCTTCTTCGTGTTCCAACATCAGTTCCTTCAATGTCTCGCTTCATAAAATCAAGCGGCTCATCTTCAAACAATTCCATATCTTCCTGTCGGAGCAACAAATTTTGGACACATACGTTTTCTGGAAATTGGAATTTTGAGGGATTTTATTTCCAAGAAAACTCACCAGCCAATGTTTTGAGCACACCTTCTCCGGTAAAATGACTCTCATAATATTGTCTCTGACTAACCATCGACAAAAATTCAAGCGATGCACAAACCATCGTATCATATCTTGTATCAGCTCCCGTTGTCTCCAATAACCGCCAAACTGATTGAATAATTTGCGGTACAAACGGCGCAATTTCCTCCTCATATCTTTGCGCGTACAACGTGAAGATCTCACAAATCTCCGTCTTCAATTCATCAATTATCGCCGGTTCTCCGGAATTCGAAATCTGTGTTGGACATTCGATGGGCATTAGTGCGAGGAATGAACCCATCCATTGTTGAAGATGATCTTCGAAATATTCGGGAATTTCTTGAGCGCAAAGTGAATGATAGACTTTGGCGATGAGGTTGAGCACTTTGAGCCATTGATTGATTTCGTCGGCGCCGAGTTGATCTTTTCGTCCAACTACTTCCATCATACTTCCGAGAAGAAGGGTTAGCGGTTCTTGAGTCTGGAAAACATATAGGTTTGATATGAGCAATGAAGAAGAATATTGAGTTGTCACAAAAAAATTGACGATAGGTTCCGCTGCGCGAGAACCCAAAAATTTCAGCCAAAATGCAATTTTTGACTGAAATTTTCCGGTTCAGGCATATTTTCATGTATATAAAAAGGATAGCAAGGTCCCAAAAAATCAGATTTTGGAAAAAAAACTGACGATAGGTTCTCCTGTGCGAGAACTCGAAAATTTCAGCCAAAAATCGATTTTTGGCTGAAATTTCCGAATTCAGGCATATTTTTGTGTATATGAAAAGATAGGAAGGTCCCAAAAATTCAGATTTTGAAAAAAAATTGACGATAGGTTTCCCTGCGCGAGAACTCGAAAATTTCAGCCAAAAATCGATTTTTTGACTGAAATTTCCAAATTCAGGCATATTTTCGTGTATAAAAAAGGGAAAGCAAGGTCCCAAAAATTCAGATTTTGGAAAAAATTGACCTGTGCGAGAACTCGAAAATTTCAGTCAAAAATCGATTTTTGACTGAAATTTTCCGGTTCAGGCAAATTTGAAGAAACTTCAGAATTCACATTTTCAGAAAAAAATGCCTTCTTGGTTCTAGAATTAAACGTGATATTTATGAGTCAAAATACGTGAACGTGACCGTAAAAAAATGGGGAGCTCGACCACATTTCTAAATTTTTGGCTTGTGAGGACTCTCGACCTTCTGCTTTAAACTGAGCAATTTTTATTTTTCATCGGGGTCCCTTCTTGTATTTTTCAAAAGCTAATATGAGGTGGATTTTTGTTACCAGCGGCGCTGGCACCGAAACCCCCCTCTAAAATCGATTGAAAAAACTCACACTCAACAAACACTTCAACAATTCTCTCCACAATTCCGTCGACTTTGATTGATATCTAAACTTTCTGAAAATCTGCTCCATCGAACTCAAACTAGCCACCAAATGATTGAAATCGCCGCCCGACAAGAATTTCGATAAATATGGCACCAACTCAGGCCATTTTTCCGGAAAATCACGTTGTCCAATCAAATACAAAGCATTCGAGAGAATTTCTTGAATATTGGCTTTTGTCGAAAACATGGCCTCAAGTAACATTTGTCGAAATTGCTCTTCGTCTTGCTGACTCATCTCAACTTCGGGCGCTGCTCCCCAATTTCGTTTCACAAAATTCTTCAAAGCGACGGCGGCGGCCATTCGAATCTGCGGAGCGCCTTGTTCATTTACAACAAGTTGCAGGATTTGTATAATATAGCCTGGAGTCGATTGTAATTGTCGAAGTCTTTCCTCGCCAGTTTTTCGCACTTTTGCGTCGGCTTCCAAGGTTTCCTGAAGTGCCAAACCAATTTGCTCCATTTTTACTGACTTCTGAAAATTCGATTTTTTCGAGTTAGCTTAAAACCAGCTTGCGCGCGCGAAAAACTTGAAAAAAAAGAAAAAAATAGAAAATTCGAATTGTGTGCAAACACCGTGACGCGCAAAAGTGTAATTCGCGGAGTATCGTTGTTTTATTTTCTTTTTTTTTCGTTTTCTTTTTCCAAGGTTTTCTTACAGGAAAATGGCAGTTGAAGGCGTTGAAAAAAAGCAAAAATGGAATGAAGTTGTGACACCTAACCTAATAACATCTAATCTCGAACGACTTGTACTTTCATCAACCGCTGAAAAAGCGTATAATACAATGGCATCAGAAGGAATTGCGAGCAGTAAAAAGACGCTGGAATTATTGTTAGCAAGAAATGGCCGCTCAACAGCCTCACAGAATGGTGAATCAGCAATGATCAATAATAAAAGCTATACCTTGGACACGAATGGGCGAGTGTGTTTGGTGAAGAACAAGGATGGCGGCACTCGGGTGGAAGAGGTGCGCAATTTGCAAAAAGAGACGCGCGAGTTACGCGAACTCGAAAAAAATCTCGAATTCTCACTGGAACTAATCATGCAGCAGCACAGAAAAATGATGATACAACATTTGAAAGAGCGGAATTTGGCGAAACAGTTGGAAAGGGAACGAGAGAGAAGTGTTGTGCAAAAATGTGTGGAGGATGTCAACTCGAAATTAACCACTGATTTTGTGACGGTCACCAAGATTTTGGATTCGACGATTGCGAAAGAGGAAGAGAGGACGAGAAAGAGTGCGAGGGTGAGGTTTTTTGGGCGGGATTTTACAAGGGAACCTTTTTTACTCAACACTTCAAATCTTGATAAAATTTTGTCCAAAGACAGCTTTTGGGACCATAAGAATACCCTAAAAATTTTAGTCTCCCAATGGACCTCTGAGCCAAGTTCTGGGCTCTCAAAAGTTCGAAAATTGGCTCATAAAACACGTCATAACTCAATTTTCGATAAATTATATGAAAAACTGAGTAGCAGATGATGATCAGCGTGGTCGATTTACCCAAAAAACATAAATAAATCAAATTTTCAGAAAAATTTTTGATATGAATTTTCAGCCGAAAAATGAAAAACTTCAAAATTTTTTGAAAAAATGCTTTTTATTGATGTATTTTTAGTAAATCGACTATGCTGATCAATATCTGAAACTTTATTTCTCATGAAAATTATTTTGAAATGGAGCTATGAGCCAATTAGAGCAATTTTTGAACTTTTTGAGAGCCCAGAACTTGGCTCAGAGGTCCATTGGGTAACTAAAATTTTTAGGGTGTTCTTATCACCCCAAAATCTGTCTATGGACGAAATTTCATCATGATTTGAAGTGTTGAGTAAAAAAGGTTCCCTTGTTAGAGAATTCTTCATTTTGTTGAAAATTTTGGACTATTCTAGGCCATCTAGACTTTCCCCTGACTCCATATTTCAATTTTATCCGATTTCAGGCCTATTCTAAGCCTTTCAGAATCCAATTTTCCTCGCAAAAATCCCATTTTCCAGCTCACAAACATGATAGAAATCGAAACTTTTCTCATGAAATGTCTATTGAACATGGAAGATATACGAGAAGCATCGGTTGAATATTTAATTGAAGAATTTAGGTAAATTTTATTTTTTTCAGCCTTTTTTTCACCTCTTTTTTACAGAAAGTCCTACAAAACGCCGGCTCGACCCTCATCAAAATCCGAATCTGAAAATATCATAATGGCAACTGGTGATAACTAATTTTTAATTTAATTTAATCTAATTTTAATTCTCCTCTCGGCTCCAAAATTTATGTATATGTGCTCATCATATTTTTTCCCCAATATTTCTGCTAAAAAAACCGCTGAAAAACTCGTGAAACAAACTACAGTACCATTGTTCTCCTGCACATCTAACTTATTTTTGAAAATATTTATTTGTTTTTTTTTTTGCGATGATCATGTAAAAATGAAAGATTTTTGTAGTTCTCCTTGTAAGTTCTAGCACAAAAACTGCCCAAAATCATGTGATTTTCACGAAACACGCCCATCTCTCAACAAGTGTCGCAATAAAACACACAAAAATGTCTGCACTCTCTTCAAATTGCGCGCTCTTTTCTCTCGAAAGCGGCAAGCGCGCTCCATGGCTAATCGCGAAAAAACAATTGAAAAGTCCCAAAATTTTTCATTTTCTCTTTTTTTCGGGCCTACTTTTTGGGTTTTCCGAGGAATTTTGAGGATTTTATTGATTTTTTGGGTTGTTTCAAGGTTTAGAAGGTAAAAGTAGGTGAATCGAGGAGTAATTTCGAAATTTTCTAGAAAAATTCATGTTTTTAGGCCGAAGGGAAGAAAAGTTCTTTTTTGTCCGTTTTGTAGCCTTGGAAACGAGAAAAATTCCATTTTTTATTTATTTATTGTGTTTTTTTTGTCTCGTTGCTTTCTAAAGCTCTAAAAGAATCAATTTTCAGCCTAAATTGTTTATGAATTCATTTCTGAAAAAAAACTTGCTTCTCTCTTGCTTATTTCGTAATATATGACTCATCCGAAAACTTGTATTTTTCAGGGTAACAAAATGGATGTCACAGCATTCACAGAATTAATCAAACAGCTTCAATCCTCAGACAACGCTGTCCGAAAGGCCGCCGAAGAACAATATGATCAAATCGATGCTGCCACCAAGATAGCGGCACTCTTCGAGTCATACGCACAAAATCAGAATAGCGCTGAAACTCGCTCGACAGTTCTCGTCTTCCTTCGTCGTGTTATGTCAAGAGATTGGGATGAGGTTTGGGACAAACTTAACGAGGAAAACAGACAACGTATTTTATCCAAAGTTTTGGAGATGATTATTCATGAGCAAGATTTGAGCATAAAGAAGAAGATAGCTGATTTGATCTCTGAGATTGCTGGAAATTTGATCAATGATGAAGGAGAACAATCGTGGAAAGGTGTTTTGGAATTGATGAATCATTGTTTGGCTGGAGATGATATCACAGCAAATTATATTGCTCTTTTGATTCTTCGCGGATGCCCAATCATTTTCGGAAACTCCCTTGAACACTTCTTGCCAATTTTGAAGGTTTGTAATATAAAAAAAAGAGAGAACGTGTAGAACATTTCTAAAAATGTTATTTCTCTGGAAAAAATCCACCCCAAAGCACAACCTGCCAGCTTCAATGTATATCGTTGAAGAGGCGCGCACTTGGGAATATTATGATGGGAATACGTGAACAATGCTTATGTTTGATGGCTATTAGATTTTAAAATTACCTGACATTTTCTAAAGAAATGATTTTTTTTCAGAACGTTCTTCAAAAATGCATGTCTCAACAAGTCGAATTCCAAATCCGCTCAACTGCTGTCAAAGCAGCTGTTGGTTTCGCAGTCGATAATGATGAGGAGAAAGATGTTGTCAAAACTATCTCAACTCTCGCTCCAGCAATGCTCCAAGTTTGCGTCGAAACACCAGAAGACGAGGAAAACGACGGGCCACTCGGAGATTTCGCCGAATTGGCATCGGCTGTCCCAAAAATCGTCACAGCTCACTTGGAGACTGCGCTCAAAGTTTGCCTTCAAATCGGAGCCAACACCGAAAAAGGAGAGATGGCCAGACAAAACGCTGTTGAAGTTATTGTTTCGTACATCGAAAGTGCACCGAAATCATTGAAGAAACACGCACCACAATCGCTTACACATATCGTTGAATTGTGTTTGCAATGTATGGCTGAAATGGATGATGATATGTTGGAAGATTGGTTGAATGATTCGGATGAGGAGGAGGATTTGGAAGAGATGCCAATTATTGGAGAAAGTGCGATTGATAGAATCGCTTGTGCTATGAATGGAAAAACTCTTCTTCCAATGTTTTTGCCAGTTGTTGAGAAATACTTGACTGCTAGTGAGTTTTAACCAATGAAAACTGAAGAGGTTTCACGGAAGGACCTTTTTGTGTAAATTTGGCAGTAAAAGTACACCCCAAAAAACAATTATTTCAAGAATCACAAAGAACAAAACCCGCTCAAAATATAGTTATGACGTGGAAATTGTGTTTTGGGGTATACTTTCAATTGCTAACTTTGCACAAAAATTGATTCGGTGACTCCTTCCCTTCTGACTTGAGAAAAATACCCCTGCTTCTTCGGCTTCTGAAAGTCTGTACTATCAAGGTCTTCCAACATTCTGGACGGGGTTAAACTATAGAGAAAATTGTGCAATATCTTACATGATTAATGTACGAATCAATTAAAAGTTTTCCCACATTTTATAATAATATCTCAATATTTTCAGGCGATTGGAAATTGAAGCACGCCGCACTTCGCGCATTCTCAGCCGTCGGTGAAGGTTGTCAACGTGCCATGGAACCACATATCGAACAATTCATGGCTCACATCACCAAATTCGTCAACGATGAACATCCACGTGTTCGTTTCGCCGCTTGCAATGCCATCGGACAAATGTCCACCGATTTCGCGCCAACTCTCCAAAAGAAGTGTCACGCTCAAGTTCTCCCAGCACTCCTTCAATGCCTCGAAAACACCGATTCACCACGTGTTTGTGGACACGCCGCATCGGCTCTCATCAACTTCTGCGAAGAATGCCCAAAGAATGTTATCGGACAATATTTGCCATACGTTCTTCAAAAATTGGAACAAACTCTCGGCGCCACTTTCAATCGTCTCCAAGACAAGAAATATCAAACCGTTGTCGAGAATGTTGTCACCGCAATTGCATCGGTCGCTGAAGCCGCTGAAGATTTGTTCAAGGAGCATCATTCAAGATTGATCCCGAACTTGGTTCATATCTTGCAAAATGTTGGAGAATTGAAGGAACTTCGCGGAAAAACCATCGAATGTATCTCATTGATCGGATACGCTGTTGGAAAAGAGGAATTCCATCAATCTGCGTGCGAAATCATGAATTTGTTGGGAGGAAGTATGTCCGAATTGGCTATTGATGATCCGCAATACAGCTATATGATCAGCTCGTGGACTCGTTTCTGCGCCGTAAGTTTTTGAATTTTTGGAAAACAGAAAAATGTATACTTTTAAAGCCCCCTTTATTATCCAAAAATCCACGTCATCTGAAAAAATTAAGAATATATTTTTTTTCTAGATTCTTGGAAGTGACTTCGCCCCATATCTTCCAGTCATTATGGATCCAGTTCTTCGTGCTGCTCAATATCGCCCAGATTTCAGCATCATCAATAACGATGAAGCTGATGATGATGAGAACGATCCAGATTATACCTACTCTGCTTTCGGAGATGGTGAAAAATCGCTTGGAATTCGTACTTCAGGACTTGAAGAGAAGGCAACATCTTGCGAAATGATTGTTGCGTTCGCCAAAGAAATGAAGAGCGCTTTCCTTCCATGGGTCCCGCAAGTTTCCGAATTGTGTCTCAAAAATCTCGATTTCTCACTTCACGATGGAGTTCGTCAAGCATCCGCTGAAGCCATGGCTAATTTGATTGTTTGTGTTGAAGAACAAGGAGTCGATGCGAAACGACAATTGTGGATCGAGTTTTTGAAGGCGTTGAACAATTCGATGAACGAGGAGGATGATATCGAGATTTTGGCTGCTTTCATGTCCGCGTTGGCTAGTTGTATTGATGTTATGGGAGGACAAGCGATTGCTCAAGAAGAAGTTGTTGTGGTTGTTTCGATTTTGTTGAAACAAATGGAGGCGTATGGAAAGAGAATGAATAGTAGAGTTGCGGAAGAAGACGATGATGTGAGTTTAGATTTTTTTTTTGCTTAAAACTAGTGGCTGGAAACCTCGAAAAAGGCATGTATCCAAAAATATTCATAAATTACTCCTGGTTGGCGGCTTTTGACTGTGCTAAATACAGATCGAGCCTACCCTTGTGGTAGGAGTTAAATTGAAGAGAAAACCTCCTAGCCTTAGTTCATGATTGATGAACTATTGAACAACAATTTTCTAACATTTCAATAAAACCTTCACATTTTTGCAGGACGATGGTGAAGCCAAAGAAGATCTCGATTATTTCACCGAACTCGAAGCCAGTCTTCTCGGATCGGTCTCCGAATTGTTGCATTCATTGATGAAGGAAATCAAACACGTCGCCTACGAGCCACTTTTGCCAATCTTCCAATGCGCTTTGCAATTGATCAACTCGCAAAAGCACTATTTCGAAAGACAATGGGGAATGTGCATCATTGATGATGCTATCGAATTCAGCAATGCTGTGAGTTTCTGAGATTTTTTGTTATTTTCAAGTCAATCTGTTTTTCAGCACGTTTCATCGCAATTCGACATTGTCCCATTGATGTTGAAATGTTTGCAAGATGAATATCCAGAAGTTCGTCAAGCAGCTGTTTACGGTTTCGGAGCCATGGCTCTTCGTTATCAGGAAATCAATCAATACAGCAATGATATTTTGCAAAGTTTGGAGGGAATTGCTGCGATGGTTGAGAAGTGAGTTTTTCTTTTAGAATTTCTATTTCTAGTCTAACCCAGCTTCTTCGCTAGCTTTAGTTTTTTAGCTAAAGCGGTTCTAAACATTTGGGTTATATTATATAAGAAATGTTACCTTATTTACACATGATTGATGTGTTTAGATCTCCCTTTTCTTAACATTTTCCCTCAAAACTATTTAAATATATTTGTAGATCTGATTCGCGTGCCACTGAAGAAGCAACAGTTGCAACTGAAAATGGTATTTCGGCATTCGCCAAAATCATTCTCAACGTTCCACTTCCACCCGACGCCTATTCGAAATGCGTTGAAATGTTCTTGTCGTGGTTGCCAACACATGCCGATGTCGAAGAATCGCCGTATATCTACACGTGTTTCACCGAATTGTTCAACAAGGCCGAACCGGCGTTGCTCGGACCAAACAATCAGAATTTGGGCAAGATTGTGCTTGTTGGTGAGTGGAGATTTTTTGTTGAGAAACTTTGATTGAAGTAGAAAATCCAGAATTTTAGATTTTCAAAATGAAAGAGCCCTCGAATTTTCTATCTGAAATTAAATAATTCCAAATGTTCTTCCAGGTGTAACCGCAATTGCCAACGACGCTTTCGACGAAGACGACGAGAAGGGCAAAGTCGCCAAACAACGTGTCATTGACGTCATCAAACGCATCCACGCCTCTGTTCCAAACATTGCTGAAGCTGCCGGAGTTGGCCAAGACGAAAACATCCTTCAAATCTACCATAGCATTATTGCTCAACAATAAATTCCCCCCTCTCTTCGTCTTCTCTAGATATTATGGATCAATTCATTTGACTAAAAAATGAATTTCGCGACATTTTTTGTCGCGAAATTGCAATTCGTGAAACGACACGAAATAAACACAAAAATAAAGGAGAAACATTAAAGGGACGCGTAATCGGTGCGAGACCCAACACACGAAAAAAGAATTTCCTCTTTTATTTTATTAATTTCGTGTCGTTTCGCGAATTGCAATTTCGCGACAAAAAATGTCGCGAAATTCATTTTTTCTTCAGATGAATTGATCCATAAAATATTTGTTGTTTTGGTATCCCCCAATGATTCACCGTGTTAACCGTTGCCTGTTTTCCTCCAATTCATTTTTATGCTCTTCTCCTCCATTGTTAAGTTTGTAATCAAAATGTTAAAGGAAAAATCGAATAAATATCGGAGTTATTCAAAATTGACCTTTGATCAGAACAATTGTGAAATATTTCGAAACTCCCCCCGAAAATTATTCATTTGTTCGATTGTCTCCTTTTCTCTCTCTCTCTCTCAAAAATGTTCTCAAATCTCCCGCCTGAAATTCGACTATTGATTATTGATAAACTAGAGCCGGATGACAGAGCTGAGCTCAAAAAATGCTCGAAACAATGTTGGCGAGATGTGCGAAGTTCGAAAAACGAGAAAACATGTTTGGGTCTGGAATGGGAGAGTCGAACGGAAAACGAAATCGAATTGACATTTTATACCGATGGATTTCGAAAAGCGCAAGTTTTGAGAATTTGTCAGGATTTAGAGGATGATCGACGCATTTTTGGAGCTATGTGAGTTTTGATTTTGAAAAATTTGAAAAAAAAATTGAAATTCATTTTTTTAGAACCACCAACTACACCGAAATTCAATCAATACTAGAATTCTCGAAAAATCATCAATCAATAAATCTCGTCGAATTCGCCAAAACGAAATTTCTCAAAAAACTCGAAAAATCACACGAAAACCTACGGAAATTATCGATTTTTCAAGGCGCATGGCACAAAAATATCGATTTTTTCGACGGTTGCAAAATGTTGAGCAAATTAGAAGATCTCAAACTGAGTGGAGCCGCCGACGGAAAAATGCCGCGATTTGGAGCGAATTTGAAAAACTTGATGACGTCTCAATTTTGCTCGCAAATTTTTGAAGTCACTCAAAGTCTCGACATTGATTTTGAATTGGATTTCGAGGAATTCTTGAAGTTATCAGCCACAAAAATCTATATGCCAATCGGAAAATTGAGCGCCGAAAATATTTTCGAATTTTTAAAATTGTGCGAAAATGGACAGAGAAAATTGGAAAAATGTGAATTTTTTGGTTTGCGAAAAGAATTTGAGAGAAAATTTTTGGAACTTTTGCGAAATCGGAAATTGTCTGAAAATGAGAATCATCAAAATTTGGAAATTGCTCCTGAATAAATGTTTTTTGGGAGAGAGACGCAGACACATTTCACACTTTCGCGCCAAAAAAGCCCAAACTTTGTCTGCTTCTCTGCACTCTCCTCGTCTCTCATCGCGTTATCTAATTTTTTTTCGACACACTTTCGGATCGTTTTTTTGTGGCTGGCTGGACAAAATTGATTTTTTTTTGTTTAAATTAATTAATTACTAATTATTATGGTGCAGCAGGAGGAAAGGTAGGTCATATTTTGGCGCCAAAATTGATGAATTCAAATTTTAATTGTAAATTTCGCAGTCAGACGCGAGACGACGAGAGTACTTATTTTGCAAAAATATCTCGAAAATGAATTTCGCTTCGAGATATTTTCAATAAAACATGTTGTGTTCCTTGAAACAAAATACGGTATTTTTTCAAAGGGACACATATTTTTCTCGAAAATATCTCGAAGCGATGTCTTTCTCTGTCTGACGTCATCAGACTCTCGTCGTCTCTCGTCTGACCCGAAAAATGAAAAAATCCTGAATTTTCCAGCAGCACCGCCACAAGTTCCCGTCAACAATATCAAACATTTTCGGACGAAGATGATATTTACGATAACTTGCCTCCCGAATACGGTCCTTTCGATGAAATTGAGCCAATTTTGGAGCCGGAAGCACCGTTGAAAATCAAAACTTTGGTGACGGCAGTTGGCCTAACTATTTTGGTGTTCACTTTGCTCATTTCAACCGTAGCTTTTGCTTCGTTGTATTTTCATTTGGTGGCACAGGTGAGCGAAAAAAGCATGCGGTGAAATTGCAAAAATGGGCGGAGCTTCAAGAATCTCTCTCAAAAAACCATGCGGCAAAATTGCAGAACTCGTCCCATCTGCCAAAATGGCCTCCACCCTCAATTTCACCACTCGGAAAATACTCGAAAGCCTCCGTGGCTGCTGACAACGAAATCTGCTCGGAAATCGGACGCAACATCCTTTTGCAAGGCGGAAATGCGGTCGACGCGGCAATTTCCGCGTTGTTTTGTATCGGTGTGATGGATACGCATTCGGCTGGCATTGGAGGCGGACATTTTATGACGATTTATAATGCGTGGGTGGCTCTTGACACGATTTTTGGAGGGGTTACTGTACTTAGAGCGCGCGGAATTTCGAAATTTTGAAAAATAAGCATTTCAGCTTAAAATCTGAAAAACCTGAATCTTGCCACGATTTTTTCACGGATTACTGTGGTTGAATTTTTGCGCGCGAAATTTCAAATTCAAAAAAAATGAAGCATTGCTCAGGTTATATTTATGATTGAGTTGAAAAATTAGGATTTTCATTATTCATGTCGAAAAAAATAATTTAAAAAAAACTTTTTTTTACAAAAAATTTCGAAAAACTATATTTTTTCCCTATTTTTTGAAATTTTCTGAATCGAAATTTTTTTTTCAAAAAATATTTTTAAATTATTTTTTTTCGACTTGAATCTGATGTGAGTCTTGCCACGATTTTTTGGAGGGGTTACTGTAGCGCGGGAGGAATTTGAATATGAAATTTTGAAAAATGAGCATTGCTCAGGTTAATAGAAAAAATTTAGGTTTTTCAAATTGTTTGGCTCAAAAAAATGAGCATTGCTCAGGTTAATTGAGCTTTTCGGCTGCAAAATCTGAGTCTTGCCACGATTTTTCCACGGATTACTGTGGTTGGATTTTGCGCGCGAAATTTCAAATTCAAAAATTCTACTAACTACAGTAAAAAATCCCGGCGAGACCCAAAAAATTGCTCATGTTAAATTTTTTGCAGCACCACAAAATCGTGTACTGTAGTTGACGCAAGAGAAATTGCACCGCTTGCGGCTACGGAAGAAATGTACAGAGACAAATGGAATCAGAGTCGGATTGGTCAGTTTTTTTTTTAAATTTGATCTTGGGCGAAAAAAGTTCGGTAGATCAAAATTTCCCGCGCAAATTTCGATCTCAAATTCCTGTAATTAGTTTTTCGAGTTTTTCAGCCAAAAATGATGACAAATCGATATTTTTCAAGCTTCTGGAGTAATTTCTGATGAAAATAAGCTTCGAGAACCCTATTTTACCTCATTTTATGAATTTTTTCGAAATTCATCAAAATTTGAAATTTTTTTATTTTACGAAAAATCAGCAAAACCTTCTGGAAAGTGAATTCCAAGGTCAATTTTAATCAGAAATTCCTCCAGAAGCTTGAAAAATATCGATTGGTCATCATTTTTGGCTGAAAAACTCGAAAAACTAATATTTTTTCGACATTTTTTGACTTGGTAGATCAAAATTTCAATGTTTGCCACGTCATAACCATGTTTGGTGTCAAAAAATCGCAAATTTCCTGCAGGCTGGAAAGCGATCGCAGTTCCCGGTGAACTTCACGGTCTCCGAACCGAATTCGACAATTTCGCCAGTCACAAAATCCCATGGCACTCACTAATCGCTCCCACAATTCAACTTCTCAAAGAGGGCTACCCCACATCGCATGCCCTTGCAAAAGCCCTAAAACAAAACGAAAAATGGATAGCCAGCGAAAAAACGATGCGACAATTCATCAATCCCGCGACACAACGTGTTTTCGCACCCGGCGAACAAATCGCAACTCGCCAGAATTTCCTGGAAACCTTTGGACCTTCTCGCCAACTCCAGCGATCCGATCGGCGATTTTTATGCGGGTGGAATTGCGCGGAGTGTTGTTGCGGAATTTGCGGCGAATGGTGGGATATTGACAGCTGAGGATTTCAAAAATTATCGATCGATTATTCATTCCGGAGCGGATGTGATTACGACGAGATTGAGCGGAGGGCGCGCGGTATGCGGACCGCCTCCGCCTTCCGGATCAGCAGTTGCGCAGGCGATTTTGAGCATTTTGGATGGGTAGGTGTTTTTGAAGAATCCAAATAAAATTTTTTAAAGTTTTCTAGATTTTTTCTAGGAGCCTAGATGGACTTTTGTGAGCCAAATCCTGATTTATGGGCCTAAAACGGCCTAAAAACCAAAGATCTTATCAAATTTAGGATAGCCTAAATTAGGGCCTTAGTTTTTAACAAGCCTGAAATCTACACAATTCTAGGCCTATTTTCCAGGCCTAATGGGCCTTTTTATCAGGTTAAAAATTTGGCTTTTACAAATTTTTCCTAAAAATTAGGCTTTAAAAAAGCCTACGGGGCCTGAAGCCTGGAAAAAACCAGAAAATCTGGAAAATTTTTTGAATTTTTCAAATTATCAGCCTGAATTTGGTTGTAAAATTAATTTTTATCTGGAATTTTTGCACGTTTTTCAGAAAATTTGTTAGAAAATTTAAAATAAAAAACATTTTTTTACAAAAAAAATTCTGAAAATCAGAAAATTTGTTAGAAAATTTAGAATAAAAAACATTTTTTTTACAAAAAAAATTCTGAAAATCAGAAAGTTTAGAATAAAAAACATTTTTTTTACAAAAAAAATTCTGAAAATCAGAAAATTTGTTAGAAAATTTAGAATAAAAAACATTTTTTTTACAAAAAAATTCTGGAAATCAGAAAATTTGTTAGAAAATTTAGAATAAAAAAAACATTTTTTTTTACAAAAAAAATTCTGAAAATCAGAAAATTTGTTAGAAAATTTAGAATAAAAAACTTTTTTTACAAAAAAAAATTTTCAAAAAATTTTTTTTTCAAAAAAAAACCGTGCCCTAAAATTGCAAAACTGTTGTGCCAGGGTTGCAGAAAGGGGGCGTGGCTAAATTCCACCTGATTTTATTACAGCTATCCCTACACCAACCTCACCACCTTCGCCAAAATCGCCACCACCCACCACAATTTCATCGAGGCGAGCAAATTCGCGTACGCGGCTCGCAGTTGGTTGGGCGACCCGCGATTCGTCGCCAATGCCACCGAAATCGCGCGCAATATTACGAGCCGCGAATGGGCCGAATGGGTGCGGAAGAGGATAACGGACCGACCGCATGAGGATGCGTATTATGGCGGAGATTTCCGCGCGGTTGCCGAAGATCACGGAACGACGCACGTTTCGGTGATTGATGCCGATGGAAATGCCGTGTCTGTCACATCGACTATTAATTTGTAGTGAGTTGGTTTTGGAGAGGTTAATATGAGCAATACCTGGAAATTTTGAAATTTTTTGAAATATTATTAACCTGAGCAATCTCTTTCAGAGTTGGTTAATATGAGCAATCCCTATGTTGTCATTGAAGGAAGTAATCATATAGTTTAACCTGAGCAATCCCTGGAATTTTGTATTTTTTAAAGATATATTAATCTGAGCAACATCTCACATGAGTAATTCTTCAAATTTCCGAAAAATTGCAAATTCTTTACCTGAGCAATCTCTTTCAGAGTTGGTTAATATGAGCAATCTCTATATTTTTATTAAAGGAAGTAATCATGTAGTTTAACCTGAGCAATCCCTGAAATTTTGAAATATATTTTTTTAGCATGAGCAATTTTTCAAATTTCCGAAAATTCAAAAATTGGTTAACCTGAGCAATCTCTTCCAGAGTTGGTTAACATGAGCAATCCCTATATTTTTATTAGAAGAAGTAATCATCTAGTTTAACCTGAGCAATCCCTGGAAATTTTTGAAATTTCTTGAAATATATTAATCTGAGCAACATCTCACATGAGCAATTCTTCAAATTTCCGAAAATTCAAAAATTTGGTTAACCTGAGCAATCTCTTTCAGAGTTGTTGTTAATATGAGCAATCCCTATCTTTTGATTGTAGGAAATAATAATCTAGTTTAACCTGAGCAATCCCTGAAATTTTGAAATATATTAATCTGAGCAACATCTCACATGAGCAATTCTTCAAATTTCCGAAAATTCAAAAATTTGGTTAACCTGAGCAATCTCTTTCAGAGTTGTTGTTAATATGAGCAATCCCTATATTTTGATTGTAGGAAATAATAATCTAGTTTAACCTGAGCAATCCCTGAAATTTTGAAATATATTAATCTGAGCAACATCTCACATGAGCAATTCTTCAAATTTCCGAAAATTCGAAAATTGGTTAACCTGAGCAATCTCTTTCAGAGTTGGTTAATATGAGCAATCCCTATATTTTCATTAAAGGAAGTAATCATCTAGTTTGACCTGAGCAATCCCTGGAATTTTGAAATTTTTTGAAATATATTAATCTGAGCAATCCCTTTCAGAGTTTTTGTTAATATGAGCAATCCCTATGTTTTTTTTATTAAAGGAAATAATCATCTAGTTTAACCTGAGCAATCCCTGGAATTTTGAAATTTTTTGAAATATATTAATCTGAGCAACATCTCACATGAGCAATTTTTAAAATTTCCAAAAATTCAAAAAATTGGTTAACCTGAGCAATCTCCTTCAGAGTTTTTGTTAATATGAGCAATCCCTATGTTTTCATTAAAGGAAGTAATCATGTAGTTTAACCTGAGTAATCCCTGGAATTTTGAAATATATTAATCTGAGCAATAACACTAGGGATCTTTAGCATGAGCAATTCTTCAAATTTCCGAAAATTCGATAATTTTATTGAGGACTAACCTGAGCAATTCCTGGAATTTTGAAATTTTTTGAAATATATTAATCTGAGCAATATCTCACATGAGCAATTCTTCAAATTTCCGAAAATTCAAAAATTGGTTAACCTGAGCAATCTCTGAACTTTAAATAAATTAAGATTAAAGAAAAGTATACAGTATAACCTGAGCAATGCCCCCCAAAATTGTATTTTTTCAGTCTTGGCGCAATGGTTTCATCAGAATCCACCGGAATTTTGTGGAACAACGAAATGGACGATTTTTCGACACCGGGTCACCCGAATTTTTTCGGTTTTCCACCATCTCCCGCCAATTTTATTCGACCCGCAAAACGACCGATGAGCAGCCAAAGTCCCATTATTATTTATGGTGAAGATGGCGTAAGTCGGGGCGATTTTTTCTGGAAAATTCCCAAATTTTCAGCAACTTGTATCAGTAGGCGGTGCAGGTGGATCGACAATAATCTCAGGCGTCGCCGCCGTTGCTCACCACACAATTTGGCGCCAAAAAAATCCGAAAGAAGCCGTCGATTTGCCACGTCTTCACAATCAATTCCAGCCGAATTACACGAGTTTCGAGCCGACATTTCCCAAAAAATATATTCGAGATTTGCAAGAGCGAGGACATCAAATGCGCCCCGTTAATAATCTGACAGTGGTTACGGTAACTCAAAAAGCCGCCGATGGACAGATTTATGCGAATTCGGATTTTAGAAAAGGAGAGGAATCCGCACCGGCTGGATATTGATTTTTTTTTGTTTTGGAACATTTTTGTTGTGATTTTTCTTCTTGTTGGATTTGATGAAAAGTTTGTTTTTTTTTGGCGGGAAAATGCGCTGTACCGGAATTTTTGAAAAAAAAACAAAACGAAAGGGCTGATTCACGAATTTTTCGAGTTTTTCAGCCAAAAATGATGACAAATCGATATTTTTAAAGCTTCTGGAGTAATTTCTGATGAAAATTGACCTTGGAATTCACTTTCCAGAAGGTTTTGCTGATTTTTCGGAAACTACAAAATTGAATTTTGATGAATTTCAAAAAAATTCATAAAATAAAGCAAAATCACAGAGAGAAAAAATCGACAGCATTTCATTAAATTCCTGTCTACGTTTTTGATTGGCCCACGTGAATAAGCCACGCCCATTTCATTTTTTCATTTTCAAAATTTATTTTATTTTCTTTTTTTGGTCGCCTGGCCTATTTTTTGTTGTTTTTCCTTGAAAATCACGATTTTTCGCTAAAATTTTTTATACAGTTTTTAGAACTCGTATAGATAATTGTTCCTATAGCTTTATAATTTTTAGTTTCGCCATGTTCCGAAAGTTTTAACGATTTTTGTTCAAAAGTTCTCAATAATTGCTATTTTTCCAGTATTTTGGGTACAAATCCTTGTCATAATCCATCAGAAAGCATTCAAAAGTAACGAATAAACTGATTTGATGATTTGGAGTCGATATTGAGGCAGTTTTTGCAACAAAAAACCCACAATTTGATATTTGGAAAAAAACGGAAAAAATAAGAATTTTCACCGATAATTTGTCAAAATTCAATGGTTTTGCATTGTGTAGTTGATATGGTGCTAATTTTTCCATTTTTGATGAGTTATATGGGAAACTTGGTTTCATTTTCAATAAATTTTTATTCTAAATATTTCAAGCATGAAAAAAATCCGAATTTTGTGTCAAATTGAAGACTAGAAGCATCAAAAAACTGGCTTCCATCAACATGTCGAAAAGAAAACTTTAAAAGTTCTAAATTTTCTCAAATTTGACCAAAAATCCGTTCATCTTGTCGTTTTCAACTGTTCACCACATCCACGTCGCATTGCTTCGTAAATTGGGGAAAATCCGTTTCGATTTGCTGGAATATCACTTATATAATACGATTTCATAAGAAAATAAATCGCGAAATAAGTATCGAAGTTGAAAAGATTTCAAACAAAGCAAAAGTTGACCTAATAAACATGTTTTTTCTTATAACTTTGTGAGTTTTTCACAAAATATGAAAATCTACATATGTAAATGATCCTTAGTAGATTCCTAACAATCTGCATAAAAAATATTGTGGAAATTTGTCTTCCCTCGCTGAAAAACTGTAAAAAACTGAAACATACATGTTTTTGGTCCGGAAAAGTATAAAATAGGGTCGTTAACTTTTTTATTTTTCATGAAAAATAGGTCCTTAACTTTTATGAAAAAATTACTATTAATTTCTAAAGTCATCAAAATTACGTCTGCATCAGCTTCTTCTTGCAAAGAGGAGCAGGGTTTCCACAAAAATTTCGCTTTGTTTCATTCTGCATCACGCGAAATATTTCAATATCTCTCATCGCCGACAGTTCGCTGGTAGCGCCACACACCATATCTCTCATTCATACATGGCATCTCCGCTCATAACACCCTAAATGTCATGACCTCCCCCTCTTAGAAATTTTAATTTGTCATGACCCCCCCCCCTAAAAATTTCAAAAAAATCCACGTATGAAAATTTTCAAAAATTTCGAGCCAAAAATCTCTTTCGCTACATTTTTTCAGAAATAACCGTTAATCGCCTTGTATCACTCGATGATTTGGACTAATCATTCGCAAATTAAATTTTTTCTAACACAAAAAAATAGTATTTTTGAAGAAAAGTTAATTTTTTTGAAGTTTTTGGTAGTCTACCATAATGAAACTTTGTGTGTTCCTGATGTCTCATATTATTTTTGAGAGGTTGACCAGTAATATATTTTCAAAATTCGGAAAATTTCCAAAATCTAGTGTTCATATAACTTCAGAGCACGAAAATCACTTATCAGTCATTTCTAGAGGTTCGCAATGCGAAGTACTAGACCTATCACCCCCGCAATATAAGTTTAGAACGTGTTAATCACTTATTAATCATTTCTAGAGGTCCAGAACCCAAAATCCCCGATTTATGACCACCCCCCTAAAATCACGATTTTTGCTCCGAATTATGGGGGTGGTCATAACTCAGTTTATTAGGCTCCAAAACTGAGAATAATAGGTAACATTAGTACTAGACATACTAAAACTAGGTTAGCCAAAGATTCATAACGATAGACCACCGAAAACTCAAAAAAAATTAAAAATTTCTGAAAAATCTGATTTTTTTGTGTGTTAAAAATTTGACCCCAGAATGACCCCCTCCTCAAAACATCGTTTTCATCCAGACTGTCTCTGGAAAACACAACGTGTTTCCAACGGTTCAAATGTGCGAGTGGTACAAGGCGCTTGCATCGCGCAGTAGGGAACGGGTTCGATTCCCGGTGGTAGCACACCTTTTTTTTTTTAATTTTTTGAAAAAATTGGAAATTTTTTAGAGATGCAAGGAACAAAATTTGTTTTCAAATCTTGTTTCATGGATCTCTTTTGAATGATTTTTTTTCAAAATGTCATGACCTCCCCCTCGGAAAAAGACCTGAATTGTCATGACCCCCCTCTCATAATTATGAGAGGGTTTACATATATGCTCTCATTGCACCTGGCTCCGCTCACATCATTTTTTCTTTTTTTTTTTTCGTTTTTTTCACAGACAATTCAAATCAAAAGCAAAACTTAACAACTTAAAAGCAACCAAATGAGCTAAAAATTTTCACAGCTCTACTTCAAGATATTTCGCAGGGTTCGAAAACCTAAAACTTTCAAATAAAGACCGTTTTAAGGGAAATAAAGACCTATCCGGAAAAGTATAGGATGACACTATACTTTTCCGGATAGGTCTTTATTTCCCTTAAAACGGTCTTTATTGGAGGATTTTAGGTTTTCGAACCCTGCGAAATATCTTGAAGTAGAGCTGTGAAAATTTTTAGCTCATTTGGTTGCCGTTAAGCTGTTAAGTTTTGCTTTTGATTTGAATTGTCTGTGAAAAAAACGAAAAAAAAAAGAAAAAAGATGAGTGCGTGTGTTGCATAACAAGGGAAAACAAAGGAGGAGAAAACAACTAGAGCATAGAGCAGTCGGTTAGCCTCGCGCTTTCTGATCCAGCTACAAAGGTTCGGTTCTGGACTAGAGCTTTTACTTTGATTTTTGGCAGTATTTTTGTTCTTCATTTTTCCGGTGGAGGGTCTTTAACTTTTTCATTTTTGACAAAAAGGGGTCTTTAACCCGAAGGGCCTTCCGGATAGAAAAACATGTATGAACTGAAAATTCAAAAAAAATTTCGAAAAATAAAAAAAAGCGTCAGCAAAAACAACAAACGCGTCAGTATTCACGTGACCCATTTCTTGAAACCCCGCCCACAATCGCTGATTGGATGACGTGATTTTTGTCGATTTTTTCTCTCTGTGAAAATAGGGTTCTCAAAGCTTATTTTAATCAGAAATTACTCCAGAAGCTTCAAAAATATCGATTTGTCATCATTTTTTGCTGAAAAACGATCTCAATGTGTTATAAAAAACTGACAAAATCTCCCGACAGCTTCGTTTAAATACCATTTCCAACGGGGCCGCCACATATCACGTTTGAAACGTGGCAATTTTTTTGCTCTAAAAATGTTACGTTTTTAAAATTTTGTATTTAGAAATTCGGATTCGAAAATTAATTCCACGTGGATTTGGATTTGTCTCGTTTTTCCATCTAAAACTTTGTGAAATTTGTCGTGAAATGTATTTTTCAGCAAAAAAAAAACTTGTCCGCGCGAACTACACGAACAAGACGACTTGGAAAACTCTTCCACGGCCATAATCTTTTTATTTTGTTTTTTTTTTGTAAAAAAAACTGCAATTCTGATTTTGGATTTTGGAAGAACCTCTGGAAGTTCAAATTCTCCAAAATTCAAGGCAAAATGCTGAAAAAAGGTAATTAAAACCATTTGATATGCGAACCAGTTTTCTATTTTTATAGAAAAATCCGGAAAAAATTTCCCGAAATTTTGTCATCACTCAAAAATTAAGTCGTTCCAATTGATAATTTTTCGGGCTACATTCTGCATTTTTTTTATCACTTCGAATTTGATTTATTTGAAACCAAAAATTTTTTTTTTTGATAAAAAAATCGAAAATAATTTCAGTTTAAAAGCCTGATTCTTATCAAAAAAGTTTGAATTTCAAATTTTTTTGTCTACAACAAAAAAAACTTTACTTTTTTTCAGCCGGCCTTTTTTTCAAAAATGCATCTAAAAATCGACAAACCCGACACTTTGCAACCGGAACATGTTCATATTTGGGCTGAAAATTTGCGGCCGCAAAAATGCTATCGATTTTCAATGAAATTGAAACATAATTATGGATCACATGCGAGTTTTGCAGTTTTTAAATCGGATGAAAATGGGAGAATCGACTTGAAAACTGACAAACCATTGAGAGGAACCTATTATGGTAGGGGTTTTTTGCTGTGATTTTTCGAATTCCTGGCGATTCCTGGAGTTTTTTGAGTCTAAACATGATATATTTCGAGAAATTTGAAATTTTCACTAAATTCAAAGGTTCTCACTGAGTTTTTTGAATTTCTTGTAAAATTTGGAGCATTTAGAGTATAAACATGATATTTTTCGGATAATTTTACAAGAATTTTCACCGTTTCAAAGTCCGTCGAGTCATAAATTAAACTTGATTTTATTTCGAAACCGGAGAAACATTGACGTCTTATCAGTGAAAATTTTTCGCTGATAAAAATTTGGGTGTCAGATGAACAAACCAGAACAGAAAAGTGCAAAAACAAATCCGGAAAAAAATGTTTTGTTTGCAGATGCTGATCCAATGGGATTATTTCTATCGATGACACCATGTGAAGATTTCGCGTTTGGTGGATATTTGCGATGCACTCCTCCTGTACCATTTATCTATCAATTGAGGTGGGCATTTTTAGGTGCTTCGGGGTTTATTTTTGAGGTCATAAAGAAATTTGGAGCATTTTGAGTATAAACATGATATATTTCGGAGAATTTTGAAAAAAAAAGGTGACCCCCCTGTACTGAAAAATTCGAATTTCTCCGAAATATATCATGTTCATACTCAAAATGCTCTGAATTCCCTCAAATTTCAAAAATCATCATTTTGTCGAAATGTTCATGGGTTTTGAAGAATTTTGAAAAATTTAGCATCCCCCCCCACCTCCCGAGGGGGGGGGGTACCTTTTTCACCAAAATTCTTCAAAATTTATCATGTTTGCACTCAAAATGCTCCAAATCACATGGGAAACTCCAAAAAAGCTCAAAAATTGAGTTTTTGGAGCATTTTAGGTGCTCCGGGGTTTATTTTTGAGCTCATGAAGAAATTTGGAGCATTTTGAGTATAAACATGACATATTTCGGAGAATTTTGAAAAAAAAGGTGACCCCCCTGTATTGAAAAATTCGAATTTTTCCGAAATATATCTTGTTTATACTCAAAATGTTTCGAATTCCCTCAAAAATTCAAAAATCATCATTTTTTCGAAATTTTCATGGATTTTGGAGAATTTTGAAAAATTTAGCATCCCCCCCCCCCTATCTCCCGATGGGAGGAGGGGCACCTTTTTCACCAAAATTCTTCAAAATTTATCATGTTTGCACTCAAAATGCTCCAAATTCCCTCAAAAATTCGAATAGCATCATTAGATTCCAAAAAGTTCTCTAGAAACTCGAAATTCTTCGGATTCAAAAATATAGGATAGGATTCTGATAAAAATAGAGAATTTTAAAGGTTTTCCTTGCTTTTTTCGAACTTTTCATGAAATTTGGAGCATTTTGAGTATAAACATGACATATTTCGGAGAATTTTGAAGAAAAAGGTGACCCCCCTGTACTGAAAAATTCGAATTTCTCCGAAATAAGAAGGGGGGGGGTACCTTTTTCACCAAAATTTTTCAAAATTTATCATTTTTGCACTCAAAATGCTCCAAATCCCTTCGAAAATCCAAATTTTTCAGTCTACTCGATGAATCTTCCACCCAAATCGACGAAATGTTCATCAAAAAACACTGGATGCATCCTCAATTGACTCGTACCGAAATCGAACACGACGGCTTCTACGGGACCCTTTTCAAACCACCCGGCAATGGTCCCTTCCCATGTGTCATGGATATTTCGGGAACTGGCGGCGGTTTACACGAACATAAAGGCGCAATGTTGGCTTCCGAAGGTTTTGTCGTGATTTGTGTCGCTTTTTTTTCAATTCAAAGATTTGCCCAATAAATTGGAGGATGTGGAAATTGCGTATTTTTTGAAACCTATTCAATATTTGTTGGATCTACCGTATACCACGGATATGTTGGGTATTCAGGGTGTTTCGTTTGGGGCGACTATTGTGAATATGTTGGCGACTAGATATCCACAGGTGGGTCTATGGGGTTACTGTAGATTTGGAGCGCGAAAATTTCACAAGTTTGATATATTTGGTTTCATTTTGAAGGCCTTAAAATTCTCTATAAAATGAGCTACAGTAACCCTCAGTTACTGTAGATTTTTAATCTAAATATTTTTCAAAACTTGAAAATATTGGTTGCATTCTGAAGGCCTTAAAATTCTCTTTAAAATGGGCTACAGTAACCCATGATTACTGTAGCGTTTGAATTCAAAACATCCTGAAATTAAGTAATCCAGGAGGTACTGTAGATTTTGAGCTGAAATTTTCCTTGAAGTCTTTCTCTACATTTTCTGCTACAATAACCCTGGAACTATGGCTTACTGTAGATTTAGAGCAGAATTTGGTATCACTTCAAAAAACGTTGAAATTGAGCTACAGTAATCACAAAATAGGTTACAGTATCTCTGGGAGACTGTAAAAATGCTGAGCTACCGTAATCCAGGAGGTACTGTAGATTTTGAGCTGAAAATGTTTGAAGTCCTTCTCACCACTTTATGCTACAGTAACCCAGGATTACTGTAGAAAAATCCACGCAAAATTTGCAGATCAAATCAGTTGTGTCAATAAATGGTCCGCATTGTTTGAGCTCTTACAGTTTGCTCAAAGAAAATGGAAAATTGATGGAATGCGAAGAGTTGGATGATACAAAATATTATTTTTTGAATGGAATTATTGTGACTGCCGAATGCTTCAAAGCAATGACACCATTTTTAAAGGAACATACATCAATTCCATGGCATAAAATACCCAAGGAGACTCGTTTCAGACTTATTGTGAGTTTTTTTTTTTTGGAAAATAAAAAATATCGTGTGGGGACTCGAAATGCTCCAAATTTTCTGGAAAATTCGAAAAAATTTATTCAAAAATCATCAATCTTCCTCGTTCACCAAACAATCATCACACCAAGCTTTCGCCAAACCAAAAATTGTTGTCAGAATTTGAATTAGGATAGCTTGAAGCATTTTTGGGGGAATTCTGGAGCGATTTAGAATTTTATATTGGAGAATTTTTGATTGAATTTTCTTGAAATGCAAACATTTTCCACTAAAATACAAAAAATAAGCTAGAAAAAAAAATTTTTTGAGAAAAAATTTCGATTCAGCAAATGTCAAAAAACTATATTTTTTCCACACAAAAATGAAAAAAAAATGTCAAAAAATAGGAAAAAAATATAGTTTTTTGACATTTGATGAATTTGAAAATTTTTGTCAAAAAATTAAAAAAAAAAAAGTTTTTTTTGGTCAAAAATTACGGACCCTTAAAAAATTCACGGATCCTTATATTTCTGAGGGACCCTTATATGTTTTTACGGACCCATATATTTCCATGGGACCCATATATTTATTGCGAAAGAGGATTTTTTTCCAAAATACACAAAATCAGCTCTCCGAAATTCTTGGAAAATTTGAATTTCAAAAATTCGAGCATTTTGCATACCCACACGGCTAAACTTGATCTCCAGACATTTTAATTCGAAAAAAAAGTAACAAAACTAGCCATGTGAGCATTCAAAATGCTCCAAATTTCACAAAAATTCCAAAAATTCCAGGGCTCAATGGATGATTTATGTGCACCATCAGTTCACGCCAACAAATACATGGAAAAATGTCTGAAAGACACGGGTCATCAAGTGGAACTCGAATTGGTGAATGGCGGACACATCATGGAACCACCATATTTCCCGCATCACGATATTGTATTCGCCAAATTCCAGGGATTCTATTGTGGTTACGGTGGAGAAATTGTTTTGCATGCGAAGAGTCAGGAAACCACGTGGAATAACACGATTTCGTTTTTCAAACGAACTCTTGGCGTTCCGCCAGAAATGCCCGATTGGGAGAGATTGAGGCGAATTGAGAGACCCAGGAAGGAAAATGAGGAGAGAAGTCGATTGTAAATAATTGTTTTGTATTATCGAAAATCTCATCGGTACTCCACGCGCTCCACACGCAACGCAGACCGCGCCGCGCCACAACAAGGGAGGGAATTTGAATCGTTCCCTTGTGTGTTGTGGCGCGACGCGGTCTGCGTTGCGTGTTTATTTCGGTGGGGCGCGTGGAGTACCGATGAGATACAGCTATGTATAAAAATGAATGATTTTGGGATTCGAGTTCCGCGCTCTTCAGAAAATCCGAAGCCATATAATTCTGTCCTTACTATGGAAACCCCTGAAAAAAGCGAAAAAGCAGATGAAAAAAGTGGGCGGAGCCTAGATATATATGGATAATAATAATAATAATCATTTCGACTCCCTTTTTTGCTATGCTATTATAGAATACGTGCTTATTATATGGCCTGGGCTCGCGGAGCAAGATTTTTGCTCACCTTTTTTGTATTTCGTATAGTTTTCTGTTTTTTTTTTGCAAAACATGGCATTTTCGCGCCGAAAACGTATTAATAAATGTTCCTTTAAATTTCACGTGGCCAAAATTCACCTTTTTGCACCCAAATCCTTCTCATGTTCCTTTAAATGCCACGTGGCAACATTCTACGTCACCTCAAATCCCACGTGGCTCTCGATCTATCACAAAACACCAGCATCGCAAAAATTTCCGGCTGATTATCTCTGCGTCTCTTCACTCTCCTCACTCTCTCGCTTCTCCAAAAGTTCAGCTAATTTCCTATTGTTACATATCCATATTTTCGCATAAATTTTTCCATACTAATATATATTTTAGTTAATCCCCTCTGCACTCTCCTCATTTCCCATACTCTCTCTCTCTCATTTTGCAGCTTCAAACTGTCTTCGTCTGCGTCTCCTCTCATCCTTCTATGAGCATAGATCGCGGTGATCGAATCATATCGCAAATGTTACGTTCGTTGTGTTGCGCGAATCGCACGGCGAAAGTCGCAGATGTCGCAGGCGTCGCCGCCGCGGCGAATTCAACAAAGTCGCACGATGAAGTGGGAGCGAAGAGAGTGAGTTTGGGCGCTCCACCGAAATAAACACGCAACGCAGACCGCGCCGCGCCACAACACACACAAAAAAGGGAGGGAATTTGAATCGTTCCCTTATTTGTGTGTGTTGTGGCGCGGCGCGGTCTGCGTTGCGTGTTTATTTCGGTGGAGCGCGTGAGATTTTCGATAATATCTAAAATTTCGGTATGATTCAGGCAATCGTGATGTGTTCGGATGTTGTGTTGCATCGCGGGCTGTTGGGAAAATTTCTGGGTGTTTTGGAGGACAAGTGTTTGGTTTCCAGCGAGTTAAGAATTGAGAAACCGTCGCATGACGCAATTTCGGTGAGTTTTTTGAAGTCTCCATAAAATTTGAGGAATTTTGATACCAAACAAGCCTGGATTTTGGGTCCCTCAGAGCCTAGGCTTGTTTATATTATCGAAAATCTCACCACGCGCTCCACCGAAATAAACACGCAACGCAGACCGCGCCGCGCCACAACACACACAAAAAGGGAGGGAATTTGAATCGTTCCCTTGTGCGACGCGGTCTGCGTTGCGTGTTTATTTCGGTGGAGCGCGCGTGGTTACGCTCCGAATTTTGCAGAAATCCAAACTACTTCCCCGAAATCCTCCCGAAATCCTCGCCATTTCCGAATGGACCGGTGATGACGTGGCACAAAAGATCAGCGATGCCACCAAACATTTCCGCCAGCAATACGCATTGGCGACCAGGGATTTGTGTTTTTGTATTGAGACAAGTATGGCTGAACACAAATTATGGTTCGGTGTGGAAAGTGCTCCTGCTCCTGCTGCTGAAAATGCTCCGGCTCAAGATTCAACAAATTCTTTCAGCACCGGAAATGGACCGGGTATGGAGAATTTGTCGGAAAGCACAACTCAGCCGGAAGAATCGGAACAATCGGAGGCGAAACCAGAGGAGATCGTAAGGTTCGACAAAAACATGATTAGAGACCACGTAAAATTGAGAGAGTCCAGACAAAGATTTTGAAAAAAATTCCAAAAACTTAATTTTTTCTCTGCGCTCTCTCCGTTTTCCTTTGTCTCTGACGTGAAGATCACAAGGTTTAAAAAAAAAAGTTGTTTTTTAAATCAAAAACAGCTGATATTTTTCAGAGAACCTTTGGATAAAGATCAAGTTTCGTCAATCGGCCCAAATCCATCAATAAATTCGGAGATGCCGGAAGTGGAAGTTGTGAGCAACACAGTCGATGCAATTCTTCCCGCCGTCACCATTCCTGAGGAAGCCAAATGAACAACCTTGTCAACAAAATATTTACTCCGCATTGCTCAGTTTAATCACCCGCCAATTAATTATCCGCTAATTACCCCACACATACATATCATTCATTTATAATTAATTAATAAAATTCTTTTCAGTGATTTTTTTTTTGAACTTTTTTGGGGTGATTCAAGATGAAAAAAAAATAATAAAAAAAGTTTTTTTCCACACAAAAATGAAAAAAATGTCAAAATATAGGAAAAAAAATAGTTTTTTGATATTTGCTGAATCGAAATTTTTTGTCAAAAAATGTTTTTTTTTTCAACTTGAATCTGTAGTTTTGGCACCAAAATTCGAAAAGTGTGATTTTCTTCAGGAATTCGTGAAAATTCGAATTCGACGCCAAAACTATATAAAAGTTTTTTGGGTCTAAAACTGACGTTTTCAGAGTTTTTAGAGGTCCAAAACTGAAAAATTCATAGTTTTCATACTGTAAAAAGTTAGCGTATTATCGAAAATCTCATCGGTACTCCACGCGCTCCACCGAAATAAACACGCAACGCAGACCGCGCCGCGCCACAACACACACAAATAAGGGAACGATTCAAATTCCCTCCCTTTTTTGTGTGTGTGTTGTGGCGCGGCGCGGTCTGCGTTGCGTGTTTATTTCAGTGGAGCGCGTGAGATTTTCGATATAACAATTTTTTATTTTGAAAACCACATTTTCCTCCCAATTTCAAATTTTTCATTCAAAAAACAAAACGCTTCAATTCTTCGCGTCCCCACAAAATCCTCGCGTCTTACACATATATTATTATCAATCCTCCACCTCCTCACCGAATTTCATCTTTTCTCGATTCGCATTTTTTCCCCAATAACCAGAAGAAGAAGACACCACATGTCAATACATTCTCTATTCTCTTCGTTGTTGTTGTGTTGTAATATACGCCCGCGTTACACTTTTCGAAGCCACGCCCCTTTTTTGCCGAGCTCCCGAGATGTGCTCTTGCTCTTCATTGACAACAATCGTCAAACAAAATGGTGAGTTCTTCTAACTTTTTTTGAAAAAAACCTGTATTTACTTCTGGGATTTTTAGTGTAAATTCAACCAGTAAGAGTTTTTAGGGACATTAGTTCTTCAACAATATTCCGTGTACTTCTCTCGGAAAAAAAAACACACAGCTGAAAAACTGCTACCGTAATTTTTTTTTACAAAACTGGTTTTTTTCTATTTATGAAGTTTGGTCATTCATAAACTTTTGAAATCTACTTGTCCGCGAGAAGTACACAATCCAATTTTCAGGCTGAGGATATCGAAGAGATTCTTGCTGAAATCGACGGATCACAAATCGAAGGTAACAATAATAATCATATTTTCAAATTTCAACTAGAAAATCTTCAGAATACCAAAAATTCTTCGATGCTTTCGATCGCGGAAAGCAAGGTTACATCATGGCCACCCAAATCGGTCAAATTATGCACGGTATGGAACAAGATTTCGATGAGAAGGTAGGTACACATAGGATTTCCCCTGAGCTATTGTGAAAAAAAATCGATTTGTTTAGACCCTTCGTAAATTGGTCCGTAAATTCGATGCTGACGGTTCGGGAAAATTGGAATTCGACGAATTCTGCGCCTTGGTTTACACCGTCGCCAACACTGTTGACAAGGAGACTTTGGAGAAGGAGTTGAGAGAGGCTTTCCGACTTTTCGATAAGGAGGTGAGCATTTTTTTAAAGAGCCTGGAATAATCAGCAACTCTAACTTCTAGGGAAACGGTTACATCGCTCGTCCAACTCTCAAAGCTTTGCTCAAAGAAATCGCCGACGATTTGACCGATCAACAACTCGATGAAGCTGTAGATGAAATCGATGAGGATGGTTCGGGAAAAATTGAATTCGAAGAATTCTGGGAACTTATGGCTGGAGAATCCGACTAAATTTCAACGTGTTTATACCTTTTTTTGCTCTTTTTTTTAAAGTGAGTTTCTTTCTTGGCTTTAAAAAAAAAATCAATCTGAAAATTTTCAGATTTCTTCCAAAATGTAATATGATCATCACTTTTCGCTTGAATTCAAAGCAATCGTAAACTGCTGATCAAACAATCAAATCATCGACGTTTTTTGTTCTTTTTTGAATCAAATAAACATTTTCTTCATATTTTTCTTTGATTTTTCTTTAACAAGGGAATCTTTTTTACTTAACACTTCAAATCATGATGAAATTTTTTACAGTACATTGATATATGGATAAAAATGAGTCTCTAAAATTTTCAGTCTCCCAATAGACCTGTGAAAAAAGTTTGACGCGATCGAAATCTGGGTCACGTAACTGTGTGTTTCTGAAAAAAAAAAGAAAATCGAAATAATGGAGAAAAATAAACACACATAAAAATGTGACGTGCCTAGCGCAGTGGTAGCGCGCTGGTTTTTGGGGTCACGCTATGCGGGTTCGATATTTTTTACAACATTTTTTTTTTGTTTTTTTTTTTGGGTTATTGTAGATTCAACTTGAAAAAGTATCTAGATAGGGAAAACACAAGAAAAATTAAATACAGCAATGAAAATCTTGAAGTTGAGTAAAAAAGGTTCCCTTGTAAGGCACAATTTTCAGCAGAAAATATTTGAAACAGTCAGCCGGGACCACCCACGAAGCCACAAATCAGAAGATTAACACAAATCCTACTGTACTTATACAAAAGTGTTTGCACACGATCCGCTGTGGAGGAGGAAAATCAAAATTTTAACTTCCATGAATTCCGATGCTTCAGAAAAATATTCGTATCAAAGTTCAAAAAAGTCAATTATATATTTCTGCCCTCCATCAATTTTTGTTTCTAAATCAAAATCATAAACGGAGAAAAATTTTGCGATAGATAACACGGTGTTTTTTGAAGCGAATAAAAACCGAAAACGATTAAAATATTATTTATTCGCATTTTGATAAGAGGCCTCATTTTTGAAACTTTTTTCAACACAAAATGTCGATTATTGTCGATAAACCGGATACGATGCAAAATGAGCCGATAGAAATTGGTGCTCACAAGTTGAAACCCAATGAGGTCTACACTTTCAAGTTGACGTAAGTGAAGAGTTATCAAAAGTTCTTGATATCAAATTTCAGACTCTCACATAACTATGGAACTCATCGATCTAGTGCCACATTTCGATCGGATGATTCGGGCGTAATTAATTTGGCCTATATGAGTCCGCTTCGTGGATCTTATCAGGGAATTGATGCGATGGGGTTGTTTTTATCGATTGCACCATGTGAAGATTTTGCGTTTGGTGGATATTTGAGGTGTACACCGCCTATTCCATTTTATTACTTATTGCAGTAAGTTAGGGCGGATTTGAGGAACCGAAAAGAAGGCTAGAGTTAGAGATTCAGAGAGGCTAGGAAGTTAGAGACACAGAGAAAATAGACAACTAGAGTTAGAGACGCAGATAAGCTAGGATATTGAAGTTAGAGACGCAGAGAAAATAGACAACTAGAGTAAAACATATAGAAAAGATAGATGATTAGAGTTAGAGACGCATAGAATGCAGACAACTAGAGTAAAATATGCTGAAAAGGTAGACAACTAGAGTGAGAGACGCAGAGAAACTAGACAACTAGAGTTAGAGACGTAGAAAAATTAGACAACTAGAGTTAGAGACGCAGAGAAACTAGACGACTAGAACATGTCTTTTTCAAAGTCCAAAGTTTTTCCCGTTCAAAGTGCAACTTCGGTGTCAAAAAGTTTAGGTTTTTATCAAAAAAATTGACATTTTTGATTTATTATCGAAAAATAACGATAACTGATTTTCAACGAAAATGCTTTTTTTTTTGAAAATCCACGTGGCATGCAATTTTCAGACTTCTCGATGCCTCTGAAAATATCATCGACCAAACGTATATCAAAAAACACTGGTGTCACCCGAATCTCGAGCGTACTGAACTTGAAACCAAAGACTTCGGATTCTGCGGAACACTCTTCCGACCGCCAGGCAAAGGACCATTTCCCTGTATCATGGACCTGTCAGGAACTGGAGGAGGAATTCACGAGCATAAAGGAGCGATGTTAGCTTCCGAGGGTTTTGTCGTCCTTTGCTGCGCCTTTTTTCAATACAAAGATTTGCCTTTCAAAATGGAAGACGCCGATTTGAACTACTTCAACGCGCCCATCGATTTTCTACTATCTCGCGACTACACTTCGGACATTTTGGGTATTCAAGGAGTATCGTTTGGCGCGACAATTGTTGATCTACTTGCAACAAGACATGGTGATCGAGTCAAAGCGGTTGTAAGTATTAATGGACCGTGTGTTGTGTCGGATTATGTGCATATGAAGGAGAATGGGAAAACGATGCCGCATTTGAGTCACGGACAAGTTTCGCTCGAAACTATGCGATTCAGAAATGGAATTTTGTTGACGGATAAGAATTTTCAATATTTGACTAAGGAATTGACGGATGAAACGGAAATTCCATGGGGAAGAATACCTACTGATGTGAAGATGAGAGTTATTGTAAGTTGGAAATTTTGCTTTTTTTGCAACAAAGATCTTGAAATTTGAAGAATTTTAGCATTTTTTGTGAAAAAACGAAACAAATTCACAAACCATCGTGTTGTCTGCCGTCTCTCTTACGCATTTCTATCTCTCATTTTCTCCGCTTCTCTCTCCTCGTCTCTTCTAGCCACTCTCTCGTTTATTTTCTTCGTGAAATCAGAAAATTTCACGATTTTCACCGAAAACATATATGAGAGGGTAGAAAAAGACAAGGCAAACGCAGAAAAAATAGGATTTTAAAATAAAATTTGACAGAAATTTCACAAAAATCGATAATTTTTCAATTTTCATACGTGAACTTGATGACGTGGCATTTCATTTTTCATTTTTGCTCACACAAAATTCCCAAAAACTGTCATTTGTGTCAATTTTCGTCAAATTTTCTAGGGTTCCGTGGATGACACGTGTTCACCATCAGTTCACACGACACTTTATCGCCAAAAACGACTGAAAGAAACCGGACACGACGTGGAGGGTTTGTTAGAGACGCAGAGACATTTTTTGAAGTACCCGCTCCGTTTTGTTGCAGGTTGAATTGGTGAATGGTGGACACATCATGGAACCACCATATTTCCCGCATCACGAGCTGGTCTACGCCAAATTCCAGGGATTCTATTGTGGTTATGGTGGAGAGATTGTTTTGCATGCGAAGAGTCAGGAGAAGACGTGGGCGAATACAATTGCATTTTTCAAAAGAGCCTTGGGAGCACCGGCTGAGATTCCTGACTGGAAACGGCTGAAAATTGTGGTGCCACCGAAAAAAGAAAATGAGGCCAAGCTTTGAAATGATTTTTTTTTCGTTGTTGAATATACAATAAACTTTTTGGCGAGGTACTGTAGCGACTCTCTGCAAACACCAACCCCTACAGTAATCCCCCCCCCCCGAGTAATTTGATACATATCTGCTGCCACCAAAAAATATTATTATTTTGTGGTGGTGGTGCACCACATATAATCTGACCCAAAACTTTTGCCCCCAGTTGCCAAATTTGTTTATATTATTTTCTGTCGTCAAATGCGAGTGAAAAGCATCAATTAATATAAACAAAATGGAGCTGGAGCTGCTGGAGCAAAAAAAACGACGAGAGGAGAATTAGCGAAAGTTACCAGAGAGAGATTTATTACTGTGGTGATTTTTGCGCCAAAATTTTTTTTGGAGAAAAATTCAAAAAGAAGATTGTTGTACTTTTGCCACGTCATAACATTTTTTCAAAGATCCTATGGGAAAGTCACTTCCCCTGAACTACTTAGCCTAACTCTGCAGGTTATTTATTTAGGGCTGGAATCACGACCATTTACTCCAATTGCCCCTCGGGTCAGACGAGAGACGACGAGAGTCTGATGACGTCAGACAGAGAAAGACATCGCTTCGAGATATTTTTGAGAAAATATGTGTCCCTTTGAAAAAATACCGTATTTTGTTTCAAGGAACACACATTTTATTGAAAATATCTCGAAGCGAAATTCATTTTAGGGATATTTTTGCAAAATACTCTCGTCGTCTCGTGTCTGACTCAACGGGCGCCTTGTATGGTCGTGTAATTACTGTGAAACCAATATCGGTTTGTTCTTTCGGTTATTTTCAAACTTTGACAATCGCAAAACGTGTGTAATTTGCAACCTCAATTTTTTTCAAAATCCCCCCGAAAAAACTCACATTTCCTCCGGTTTTCCTCCTCGAAATGCAGAATCGTTTGACCAAAATTTTGCTCCGATATTTCGACCATTTCTCTGTCGATTTTCCTGTAATTAGCAAAATCTATATAATAAAGTAAACCAAAAGTAAGAAAAGTACATTTTTCCATAAAAAACCAGTTTTTGTATCAAAAATCAACTAAAATCATGTTACTTATACTAGGAAAAGAGGTAAAAATGAAATTAACAACAAATTTCATTCAAATTCATGAAAAAACAACAAAAAATAGGCGAATCAAACATTTTCGAAAAACAAAAAAACAAGAAAATAAAAGTAGAAATGGAAGTGCGCCCCATTGATAAAAACATGAATGTCGCGCGCTCTTTCAAAAATGTGTGTGTTTTGTCGTTGTTTTTTTTATTTTTTTTTTTCAGAAATCAATCTGTTATTTAAAAATTTCGCACTGTAATTAATTAATTTCAGGTTTTTTTCTGATTGTGTGTAAGTATCCCGTTCCGATTTCCCAATTGTTTTCCCATTGTTTCTCCTTCGTCAAGTATATAATTCTTTTCTGTTAATGTAATCGGATATCCGATTGACAGTAGTAGTAGAGAGCCCCCCAATAAAAATGTAGTGACAAGAGTTGCGCAATTTTTTTTTGGGTGAGGGTGGGGGAAGGGTGAAACGAGACAGCAGCAGAAAGAAATTCAGGTGTCAATTACCATCTCTGATATTTGATATGGGAATTTGGTTATGATGGAATGGGGAGTAGAGCAGAGGAATTTGGGAAACCGGGAATTAATTTTTTTTTTTGCTCGCGGTGCTTTTGAAGTTTGGCCGATGTTGTGGGATTTTGTGAGGCTGGAAATTTTTTTTAAATTTTTTAGAATTCTCAAGCTTCATCGCAAGAAAATTTAAAATATTGCTAATTTTCAGCAAGATCTAAATTTCTAGCCAGAATCTGAATATTTTCTGGAATTTTGAATTGTCCGCGAGAACTACACACATCCCAAAATTTGGATTTCTAGGCCCCGGCCAAATTTTTTTACTCTTTTTAGGAAAAATTTCGAATTTTCACGATCTTTTGCTAAAAATCATGCGCTTCCAATATTTTTATCTAGCTGAAAATTCGAAATTCTCCGAGAGAACTACACACATACTATGTATATTTGGATTTCTAGGCCACGGCCATATTTTGCTCTATCCTCCATTTCCATTAAAACCTAGTAACTACAGTACCCCTGCTCAAATTTCATATTTTGTTTATATTATTATTATTGCACATTAGTTCGTCACACAAGCCACGCCCCTTTTCCATCTCTACCTACAGTACTCCCATCCTATTCGAGAAAAAAAGTGGGCGGAGTTTTTGGAGACGGGGGGAACTTGTTGGTTTTAGCTTCATTTCTCTATATATATTTTTGCTGCTCAATACTTTGATGAATTGGTGAGTGAGGGTTCGAAATTTATAAAAATCTTGATTCAACAAAAAATTGTCGAAATCCAAAGTGAAGCTGACGCAAATTTTGAAGCTACCACATTTGCGTCAAGATAAAAAATTCAAAAATGTTTCCAGCACCGCTACATATTCTTTGGCCGGTTCTCTGGTGCCTCTTCAAGTTCCAAAAATTTTCGAAGACGATTTCGAGGATTCAGAAGAAGATGAGGATGAATTCGAGTTGACCGCAGTTGCCAATGATGACAATTTGAATTCGAATTCAAATTCAAATTTGGCGCCAAAAGAGTTGCGTCAAAAATTGTTGCACCACGGAAAAGGTGGATCGAAGAAACGACAGGAAAAACCACCGTATTCCTATATTGCGTTGATTGCGATGGCGATTTCGGTAAGAATTTTTCTCAAATTCAAAAATCATGAATATTTTGAGCTTAAAATTCCAGAAACGCCCCGACAAAAAAGCGACACTGGCCGAAATCTACAGCTACCTTCAGGAGAATTTCGATTTTTTCCGCGGCGAATATGCGGGTTGGCGAAATTCGATTCGACACAATTTGAGTTTGAATGAGTGTTTTGTGAAATTGCCCAAAGATACTGGAGAAAGGTGAGATTCTGATTGAAATACCGTGTTTTTGCTTGTTCGTTGAATTCAAATTCGCCATTTTCATAGGCAATCAAGGAAAAAAACCTATAATCATATTTTTTCGGTTTTTCGTGAAAAATTCTCGAGGTTTTTCTATTTTTTGCAACAAAGATCTTGAAATTTGAAGGATTTTAGCATTTTTGTGAAAAAACGAAAAAAATTCACAAACCGTCGTGTTGTCTGCCGTCTCTCTTACGCATTTCTATCTCTCATTTTCTCTCCTTCTCTCTCCTCGTCTCTTCTAGCCGCAACACTCTCTCGTTTATTTTTTTATTTTTTTTTTCGTGAAATCAGGCAATTTCATGATTTTCACCGAAAACATCATATTTGAATGTAAAACCTATTTTTTTGTCTTCTTCAAAAAACCTCAATTTTGCAGTTATCGCGGACGAAAAGGCCACAAATGGACCATCTCCGATTCCTGTGAATTCATGTTGGAAGAAAATGGTTTCCGGCGGCGGCCACGTGGATATAAAGCCCGAAAAACTCGCACCTCTTCCTCATCAAACTCTTCTTCGGCCGTCGCACAAAATTCGACGACTTTGTCTAACTCGGCCACATTATCGCTGGCCGCTGCTTCTCAACACCAACAAATGGTAAGATTTATTGAGGTTTTTTGAAAAAAAACACCGATTGTTGGTTTTGCCGGTGATTTATTATTGGGTAATTAATTAATTAGTGTATGCAGCGGATGGGATTTAATTTTTCTAACAAAAAAATATCAGAAAAGTATTTTTTTTTTTTGCAGTTTGATTACGGTCTTGGCTCGGAGCTTGGAGAACATTTGAAAGCGGATTCAGGTATGTTTTTTCGAATTCCGAATTTTTATAAAGTGAAAATGTTTCAGTTGCCAATTTGCCATCAATACATCAAGCCTATGCATCGCATTACTTCGGTTATAATTCGACTGATATTTCGGGAGCACCTTGGAGTCCACAGTGAGTTTTTTTTTGATTTTCATTCAAAAAAAACTTCTCGATTTCTAATTTCACTGTTGTAGCTACGATCCTCCAACCTGCTGGTATTATCCATCCCCTCGTTCTTCCACCAACGAATTCAACAATCCAACACCATCCACGTCATCATCATCACCACAAATTTCGCCATATTTCTATCCACCAATCGCTCCGCCACCCGTACACAATTTAGCAGCACCACATCACGATTTTCTTCAACAAAGTTTCGCCACCGGAATCATTCCCGACACCAATAATTTGTTTTTGTGAGCTTTTGTTTTTTCTAGAACTCATTTACAATCGATTTACTTATAGTCAAACGTTTTTCTTTAAATTCAATTTTTCTCGAATTTTGTGCCTTTTTCTCTGTAAAGTGTGATAAATTATTGATTTTCTGAAAAAATACTGTAGCTCCGTTTGTGTGCAAACACGGTTGATTTGTTCAGATTTTCATTTTCAGCCTCTAACTATTTTGAGAGTGCGTGTCAGAAACAAATGACATACTTTGTCTAACTCAACTCGTTGAGACGAATCAGATGGTATATTCAGTTTTTCCTAAAAATGTCTCTAACGTGCTGAAAATGCGCTGAAACACCTTTCCAATGTGTAAACACCGCGACGCACAAATGCACACTTTTTTCGAAATTTCGAAAAAGCTGGTGATTTGGTCAATTCGCATGGAAAACTATTCTACTCAGATGTAAGTTTGAAAAGATCTATTTATTTTCTCAAAAATCTCCTAAATTTCAGGAAATCTCGACAATTTGACCTCAAAAATGAGTTTTTATCAATTTATAATGAGAAATTCCCGAAATATGATGTAACTTGATAGTTTCAGTCTTCACAAATGGGGGTTTCTTAGGAATTTTGGCTGGAAATTGAGAGAAAAACCGAAACCGAAGCGAAAAAAAGAAGAAAACGAAAACGAAAAAAAAAATAATCGAACGTGACGTGAACTAGAAATGATGACGTTGCGCGGCCCCAAAAAATCGCTATTTAAGAAGGCAGATCGTCAGTCGTGTTCAGTTTTGTACTATTTCGTCAGTGAAGAAAACTGATATCGGATTTAATCGAAAATAGAAAAGGAATTGATGACGAATCAAGTTACGGCATCTCCGTCTCCGAGCAACGAAGATCAGAACATCGATGAGATTGACAAGCCGAAATTGACAAAAATACAAATTGCCACGATTTTTGGGATTTTTGTCATTTTCATTCTGGCTGCTGCAGCTGTTTTTGTCTTGTCAATTTCTGAAACATATGTTTCAGATGATGACAAGAATGTGATCGTGGAACATAAAACAAGTAAGTTGACATCTGAAAATGTATAATCTTCGAAATATTATTGATTTTTCTTTTCAGAAACAATCGACTCTGTGACGAAAGCAACTCAATTTGCCAAAACATTGCCCGATTTTGTGGACCAGACGAAATTCGACGGTTTATCAAACAAATTATTCGATCGTGTCTACAAAGAACTCAACATCAAGAACTTGACGAGCGTGAGTTGATTTCGCTTTCTGGCAAGCCAACTTTTGCTTCGATCTGGCGGAAAACTCGATGGAGCTTCCAAACAGTGAAAATAATCAAAATTTAAAGCTGTCCAAAGGATTTTTCGCTGTTTGTACGCTCCATCGTCGATTTGTGAGCTGGCTGGTCAAAAAATGGTTATTTTCCTGAACAATAATCTATATCTATAAATATATTTTTTCATTTCAGACAAAAATGATCGAATTTACTGAAAAGGATTATGGTGGTTACAAATTTATGTTGGAGGAAGCTGGAAAGTGTGCTACAGCAACTAATTTGATAACGGAAAAGGAAAAAGTTATGGAATTGTTGAATGGTCCATTCACTCTGCATAATCAAGAACTCGCAAAGATCGAACAACCATTCATTGCTGCTCAATCCGAATTGAATGCCACGATGGATGAAGAATCAGCGAAAAAAGGGAGATTATCGAAGAGCAATGTTGTTATATTCGCCAATAATATTACAACTATGTTAATTGATTATCAAACTTCAATTGTGACCAGAGCTGATTCTTTCATCCAAGCATACGATAAACAAAAAGCATTGAAGGATTCATCGAAACAGAGCAACCTCATAGCCATTATTGTCATTTTCGTGATTGGTTTCGTGATTATTATCATTCTTGCTGCTTCATTTATTTGTTTCCAAAAAGGAAAAATGGCTGCGAATTCTTTCAAGCGATTTATTAACATTATGGTTGGAATTTGTGGATTTCTCACTGCAGTTTTTCTTATATTCGCTCTACTTGTATCAATTGGAAAATCACCATTCTCATATGATTGTCAATTGAAAACTCAATCTTCGGATTCGGACGGAAAATTCTACTCGTTTGATGGCGGATCAACTAACATTAGATTGATAACAAATGCTTGTGAAGATGGGCAAAAGGTGTTTTCGAAAATGAATCTCAATTTGAATACAGACAAAATTATTGGATATTGGGATGGTTTTAAATCTATTGTTGAATCTGTTGCTTCAAATATTCTTAACATCGACATTGATTTGGATGTCACAACAATTTCAAATGTCGTAGGAGGTTTAGACTCACAACATCAAAAGTTTAAAAATCAGAAATGCCTGACTGGAACATTGCCTGGCATTCTTGGCTTATTTTTGGACGATATTGATAAGTGTAGAAAAGCATTGAATGCTTTAAAAGATGCTGCTGAAAAAATCGATGATAACGTGAAACTGTTGTCACAAACAATAAATGGATTGATCCAAACGTATATTGTTGAATTGAAAATGCTTCTCGAATTGCAGTTGATTCAATTAATGTAAGTTATTTGAAAACAAAAATTGATTGAGAATAAACAATACAATTTTTCAGCAAAAATTGTCATCTGTTGATTTTGGCTGCCACATGCGAATTCCCACGGGTTTAGCTGAACAATGCGCGAACTATCATCAAAAATTGTCGATTTCATATTGGGTTATCTTTGTGGCGTATTTGATGCTCTTTCTGTTTGTCATGTTGCTTCGTCAGTTTGGGATTAAAGAGAAGAAACGCCGTGTGAGTTTATTTTGAAGGTTTTTAAAAGAATATAATAATATTTTTTAGGATCTTGTCGAGGAGCTGAGAAACCGAAACAATCGCCAGCAAGTGGAGTTGGAACGACAAGGCCAAATAATCCACGATGGTGAGCGCGCAAGGAATGCATTGGCCGATGATCTTCGTGACAGAGATGAACAGATGGGCAATTTGGTTGATCGAAATGAAGATTTGGACAATCGACTTAACGATCTTCAAAATCGTAACGCGGCTCAAGATGCCCAAATCCAACAGCTCCGAAACAACGCGAGAAACCGTAAGTTGAATTGTTGTTTGTTTTTCCAATATAAATAAATTTTTCAGAAGCCCCGAGAAGAAATAATCGTCCGTCTTCGATTGCAAGAATCCACCCCAACAATCTTTGAATCCTGATCTCTCAACTCGTGTCTACTCGATGAATGAATGACTTTTTGAAATGTGTGTTTAGGGCTGATTCACGAACGAAAAAAAATGTTTTTCAAAATTAGTTTTTCGAGTTTTTCAGCCAAAAATGATGACAAATCAATATTTTCAAGCTTCTGGAGTAATTTCTGATGAAAATAAGCTTCGAGAACCCTAGTTTGCTTTATTTTATGAATTTTTTCGAAATTAATCAAAATTTAATTGTTTATTTTCCGAAAAATTAGCAAAACCTTCTGGAAAGTGTCAATTTTCATCAGAAATTACTCCAGAAGCTTGAAAAATATTGATTTGTCATCATTTTTGGCTGAAAAACTCGAAAAACTAATTTTGACCTACAATGTTTTTTCGACATTTTTTGACTTTTCGTGAATCAGCCCTTTTGTTTTAGGGCTGATTCACGAACGAAAAAAATGTTTAAGAGAGGTTATTTGTAAGAAAGGAAATTTTAATCAAAGGCTGCGGCCAAAAAAAAAAAGTCATAGTCTCGGATTCGGCTCAAATTTTTTCTTTGAAAGCCCTATGGGTGAGGATGACTCTCCACAAAAAATTTTGACCGAAATGTGCTTCTCCCCTTTCACGCGATCACGTGAAAAATTCGTGCGTGGTCTCCAGTAAAATTTGAGGAACTTTCTTCAAAGTCAAGCTTTTTTCACAAACTCAACGCGGTTTTGATTCATTAATGATGGACTTTCATCGACAACATCCGCCCCAATATGATGCAGCTCCCTAAGGGTTGCACCAAAATTTTTGGAAAAATTTTTTTTTGAAATTTTTTCTAAAAATCGATTTTTTCTTCTTTTAAACCAAAAATGCACGCGCTGTAACTGCTTTTATAATGTTCCTCATCCCTTTTTACCCACAGGAGCGAAGTATGAAAAAATTAATCGATACTCTTTTTTAGTTATTTCAGATTGAAGAAGCTCACCTAGAGCGCGCGCTGCACACAAACACACAAAATTGTAATTATTTTTTATTTATTTCTTGTTTTTGTGTGTGTTTGTGTTTTGAAAAAGTATTACAGTACCCATAACTGTTTCTTCAATTTATTTATGGGAAAAAAATATGGATTGTGAGATCTATTCCGATGTTTTCAGTGAGAACATCTAGAAAAATTGACATGGCTCAATAAATCGATTTTTATGACATATTATCTTCGGATATTCGATTAAATACTTCAATTTGATCATTTACATTCCTAAGCATCATTTTTCAATCAAAATCCGATGTTTTCTATGATTCTGACATTGATGGAATTCCGATGTTTGTCTAGAATTTTGATTCTAGACCACCAGGACATCAAACTTTGATTTTACTGCTGAATTTTATGCTCGAAGTGTTCAGGAATACGTTTGACGAAGAATTGCACCTCTGCAAATAGGAGTTGAAAACAAAACTGAATTTTTTTGTAAAGAAAACCTATAGAAAACACTATGAATCAGGAAACTTTAATTAATGAATCAAAACCGCGTTGAGTTTGTGAAAAAAGCTTGACTTTGAAGAAAGTTCCTCAAATTTTACTGGAGACCACCCACGAATTTTTCACGTGATCACGTGAAAGGGGGGGGGGGAAGCACATAATAATATATCTTTGGGTCAAAATTTTTTGTGGAGAGTCATCCTCACCCATAGGGCTTTCAAAGAAAAAAATTTGAGCCGAATCCGAGACTATGACTTTTTTCTTGGCCGCACGAATTTCCGTTTTTAGAAATAACGTCTCTTAAGTCGATCCAATTGATAATTTTTTCGGCTACACAAAAATAATGAAATGTTTCCTTTTAGTGTAATCAAACAGTTTGGGATCAAAAACTGAATTTATTGAGGATAACACGTTTTTTAGACTTTTCCAAAAAGTATACCCAACGTGTAAAAAATATACTTCATGTATAAAATATACATACAAAAATGTACTTTCAAGTATAGGAGGGCGAAGTGTGTGTTCTAACTTTTCGTGCAGGAATTGTGTAAAGCAATTTTGACAACAAACCAATCAAAAAATACACACCAGCCATAATATACCAAACAATATTGGTGTTGGAGAAATAGTTGTCTCGATTTTCACACAATCCAGTTGGAATCAGGCCTGTGCCGGAAATTTTCCGAATTTTCCGAATTTCCGGATTTTCCGGTTTTTTCACGGAAAAATCAATTTTCCGGTTTTCCGGAAAATGTGCTCGGAAAATCCGGAAATGATCTCTAGTAGTAATATTTTCAAAATTGCCTAAATTTTGGAAAATTTTCTCAGTTTATGATAGAAAAAATGAAATTTTCGGAAATTTTTTTTTTCAATTTTTCAAATTTCATTATTTTTTGAACGTAAGACGTCTCAAATAGTTACTAAATTACCTGTGAATTGAAGAATTGTAGATAAAAATAAGTTTTAGTGCCAACTTAAGGCTGGAAATCGAAATTTCAGACTTTGAAAAATTTTCCGAATTTTCCGGATTTCCGGTTTAAAAAATCCGGAAATTTTCCGATTTTCCGTTTTCCGGGTTTTGATTTTCCGGCACAGGCCTGGTTGGAATATTAAGATGACATGAAATATCCGATGAATCAAGTTGATTCTGAAATTAAACATTGTTTTTTTTTTCAATTAAAGATAAACAAATTACTTACATTTATAGTATCAACAGTTTTCAAAGTAATATTTTTCAATTCCTTGAAAGATGTTTGGATAAACTGATTTGTGTTTGATGGCAAAATACCCAACTTCGTCGAAATATCGAGTCCCAGTCGATCGAATTCTTCCAAATCAGTTGTACGGTTGGTCAATAGTGTTATGATATATTGAATATTATTCAATACCAGACCATCCATATTTTTACAATTTTTTATCTGATGATTCTTAAACAAAGTATATTGACCTTTTAAATTTGATATATGACTGCCGATTGCTTGAGGATTCATTCTAATATCAAGTGAAGTGAGACCAGTAGAGAAATGTTGAACATCAGATTGATAATTCTCTAAATATCCAGAAATTGTCTTCTTATTCAAATGTGCCGACATTTTTGAATAAACCGATTCATCTTTTTTGCATTCATCAGTGATTGAGCTGAAAATATAATTCTCATAAGATTTTTGAGCGAAAAATTAGCACAACATGTCGAATCGGCAAGAGTGATGTTCAGGTGAAAATATCTTCCAGAAAAAAACAAACCGAAGATTAGCCACTTGTCCATCAAAATTCAAAAACTTTCCGTCTGAACTTTGGGAATCGCCGATCAATTCACAATCATATCGAAATGGCGAAATACGAAATGTCCCAAGAATTGCATAAACCGATAGGCCAACTGCAAATATCAAACAAATGAGCATAAAAATATTTGAATATTTTTTCAGAGTTGTCAGTGTTATCTTTCGTGCTTGAAAAACTATGAAAAACGCGGTGTCGGCTCCGAAAATGATCATAGCGATTGAATACAATATGATTGTGAGCAAAAATTGAGCAAGATCAGCAATGTTTCGCGAAGAAACCTGATTTTCGTATGATTCAATGAATGAATCAGCGCGAGTCACAGTTCTTGCTTGATAATTATGAAGCATTGTTGTCATACTAGCCGAATATCCAACAAGGTTTTGCTTAGACAATCGTCCAGTTTTTGCTGATTCCTTGTCCGATAATTGTTTGAAGTTGTCTTGAGATTTATCAACAGGTTTTTCGATGTTTTCCATCTCTTTGTTCTGCGCTTCGATTGGATCATTTAACATTGCCATAAATTCAGTTTTTTCCGTTATTGGCGGATGCGATAGAGAACATTGTTTCAATATTTTAATAGTGTGGGCCAAATTGTCGAAAATCGAGTTCGGAAGTCTCTCGAGAATTTTCTGTAACAGCAACGACGATTTTATAACTTGTAAACAAAAAAACATATTTTTTCTTTATAAATCTAAAACTAACCGTTCTCAAATCAACAATATTGAGTTCCTTTCGGATCCATTCAAACAATTTTGGCGACATGTCTTCAAGTGAAAAATCTTTCACAAGATTCGCGAAAGTTTGAACAACTTTAACCGAATTTCGAACAGATTCAATTGTTACTGAAAAAAAAGATGATTAAAATTTGAACTATTTTCCAGAATCATACCTGTTTTGTGTTGTTCAAAAACTTTCTTGGGAGACTCGTCGATTTTTTCTTGAGTCAGAATGATCCAAAACATAACACCGCCTGCTGCAAGAATCAGAATCAAAAAAATAATTCCAACAAATATCGAGAGTTTCCTTCCAGGCGGTTTTTTATCTGGATCCTTTTCTCACAACGTTTTAAGCCTGAACAAAAATGACACAGGTGAGAGTTTTTCGTTTTTGGAGGGCGCAGAGAAAAAAAGGAAGAAAGTGCGCTCTATCGAACTGTTCGCACCAGTTTTTTTCATTTTCGAAATTCATTTTTTTGTTTTTTTTCGTTTTTGTTCTCCTTTCCAGCTGATTATCGATGATTTCTCGATTAATAAGTTATATTTTCAACTGTAGATCATTTTTCAGCATGTTGGGTTGGTACGGAACGTCGATTTTGTCATCTACACACGAAAAACAGGTCAGTTTTCTTGTTATTTTCAGAATTCGGCAATTTTTTGTTTATTTCAGAGTTTTTTGTATAAGATGGATCGAAAATAGGATTGTTATGATGTATAGCCAATTGGGCAACCATCAAACCGAAAGTTTCGCACCAGCAATCTCGACAAAACTGCCAGCAAATCAATCATGATCTGGGAACCGAATTGATGTTATTTTATTCAAAGCTGAGGAAATGCCGAGTCTCATTTGAGTTGTTGATGATCTCCGACTTGCTCAATTTATCAAATATGAAACAACTGCTGGAAATGGCATGTGATATTTGAATGCTGGTGCTCAGGCGGTGAATCTGTTCAAGCGACGGTTGATGATGCAAAAAAGGAGAATTCAACAAAAAGAAATTATGAATGGCTATTTTCTTGTTGACTTGTTGATTGATCATTGAAAATATGATGCTGTTGAGGACGAATTCAATTGGATGTCTCGAAAAACTTGATGAAAATCGCCGATTTTGCTTTTTGAGTGTTAGCAATTGCCGAAAACCTTTGATGACGATCACCAATTTTGCTCTTCGCTTTCGAAAATCACGGAGAACATCGAGAATAATTAAAATCCCATTTAATTATAGATGTTTTATAGTATTGTATCTTGTTTATTTTCTTCATTGTGTATTTTCTGGCATCTTGAGCTAAATGTGTTGTTTTACGCTGTAAAACAGTGTTTTTCGAATGAAATGTTCTGTCTTCTCCTAAAAAATTTCAGATTCATGTCTTTAAAATCAATGCCGGTAGGTTTTTATTCTGGAAAACCCGCTTCAAACTGAAAAAAACAGGTTTGAAACAGAAAAACGTTTTGTGTTCGGTAGAGCGCACTTCAATGTTCTCTGCGTCTCCTCGGGTGTTTCTCTCTCGCCTGTGTCACCGTAAAACGTTGTGTTCTTGTTTCGGTTTTGGGGTTGTTTTCGTTTCTGTCGTCGTTTTCGTTGCTGTGGTGGATGTTGCCGTTTTTTGATTCTTTGGTGTTTTTTCTCTTATTTGAGGATCCATCACGATCTCAATGTGTTATAAAAAACTGGCAAAATCTCCCGACAGCTTCGTTTAAATACCATTTCCAACGGGGCCGCCACATATCACGTTTGAAACGTGGCAATTTTTTGCTCTGAAAATGTCACGTTTTTAAACTTTTGTAGAAATTCGGATTCGAAAATTAATTCCACGTCGATTTGAATTTTTCTCGCTTTTCCCTCTAATTCTTTGTGGAATTGGTCGGCCAATTAATTTCCGAATTTTCAGCTTTTTTCAAAAAAAAAAATAAAATTATGGCCGTGGAAGAGTTTTCCAAGTCGTCTTGTTCGTGTAGTTCGCGCGGACAAGTTTTATTTTTGCTGAAAAATAAATTTCCCGACCAATTTACAAAGTTTTAGAGGGAAAAACGAGACAAATTCAAATCCACGTGGAATTAATTTTCAAATCCGAGTTTCTACCAAATAATTGAAAACGTGACATTTTTAGAGCGACACGTTTCAAACGTGATATGTGGCGGCCTCGTTGGAAATGGTATTTAAACGAAGCTGTCGGGAGATTTTGTCAGTTTTTTATAACAAATTGAGATCGTGATGGACCCTCAAATAGGAGGAAAAACACCAACTAATCAAACAACGACAACATCCACCACAGCAACGAAAACGACGACAGAAACGAAAACAACCCCAAAACCAAAACAAGAAAAGGATCCAGATAAAAAACCGCCTGGAAGAACTATCTCGATTATCATTGGAATTCTGGTTTTAGTGATAATTCTCATAGCAGGCGGTGCTATGTTTGGACTTATCCTAACTCAATCCAAAATCGATGAGTCTCCCAAGAAATTGTTCGAACAACACAAAGAAGGTATGATTATTTATTCTGGAAAATAGCACCAATTCGAATGATTTATTTTTTCAGATACAATCGAATCTGTCGACAAAGCTGTTCAAGTTGTTCAAACCTTTCCGGATTTATTGGGTGATTTTTCACTCGAAGATTTGTCGCCAGAATTATTCGAATTGATTCGCAAAGAACTCAACATTGCAGATTTGGTATGTTTTTCGATAGTTTCTACTGAAACAAGTGATTATATTCAATAATTACAGAAGGAATTGGCCATTTACAAGAAATCTCAACATCTCTCATATGAATCTGTTTATACTGAAATTGCATCGGCCTGTCCACCCCTACCTTCTATATCCAAACTAGATGATTTTCTCTACTTGTTGAATAACGGAACACAGACGCAAAGAGAGCAACTGAAAAAGATTATCGATCCAATTATCACTTATGAAACCTCGTTCAATGCCACTTTAAAAAGCGAATCAGAAAAACCGGGAAGATTTTCGAAAAACAGAATTTTGGTGTATTCTGAAGATATTATAACAATGCTTCATGATTACAAAAAGACAACTGTAACTCGAGATGATTCATTCATTAAATCATACGAAGATCAAGTTGCTTCTCGAAATTTCGCCGATTTTGCACATTTGATAATGACCATCATATTGTATTCGATTGATTTGATCATTTTTATCGCCATCGTCACTTTTTTCATCTTGTATCAAAAAGGCAAAATAACAATTGAAACTTTGAAAAAATATTCATTGATTATTTTAATTATTTCTTTGGTATTTGCCTTCGGTTTTTTGATTTATTCGATTTTGGGAGCAGTTAATTTATCACCATTTGGTTATGAATGTAAATTGTCCAGCGATTCTCAAAATGCGGACAAGACATTCACTAACTTCGATGGAAAAGTGACTACTGTTGGGTTTGATAGCTGTGAAAAAGACGCGTCGATTTTCTCGAAAACTGCTCCACATTTGAATGTCGACAACATCAAAACTAGTTTGGATGGTTTCGAAAAGGATGTCACCAATTTTGCTGCAAATCTTCAATTCAAACACGGAGTGAATATTGACGAAATATCCGATAAAACTAGAGAATTGAAAAAGCAAAGTCAAGAACTGTCAATATATGCAAACAATAAAAACTGTTTGGGGAGTAATGGGAAGACGAATATTGGTTTGATGATTGGAGCTTGTAACAATATCACAATTGAATTGGACACCTTGGAAAAACGCTCGGAACAATTACCCAACATTGATTTGAAGCCAAAACTATCTGTCCTCATTCAAAACTCCTTCGACAAATTGAGAAGTGTTGCGAAAACCGCAGTGGATTCAATGAATGTAAGTGATTTATCTAGTATAAAGAAATTGAATGTAAATTTGATTTGATTTCAGTCAAAACTCGATTCAAACGACATTCCATGTCATCAAGAAGTTCCGACCGAAACATGCGATGACTATTGGATTTATTCATTGAAAATTAACATTGTTGGTTGGATCATGTTCATTGTGTTTGTTTTGAATGCGCTACTCGCAAAGTTGCTCTACTGGATTCCTGCAAAACAAATTCGGCGTGAGAAAGAAATTCATGATCAAGTGGAAGACGAGAAAAACCGCTGCATTAGGAACCAAAACATTGAAATTGGTGTCTTAAGGAAGGACGCAAGAGTACGTTTGTAGAGAATTTTCACAAAACGGTTTAACCGTAATTTTTTATGGATATTCATTTTTTCAGAATTTTCTTGATGGAATAGAGCAACTCGAAACAGAGGCGGATAAACTCAAAAGACAATTGAATGTGAGACTTTTTATTGGATTTTTTTTCAAAATCGAAATTTTATTTTTATAGGAGGAGAAAGAGGAAAGGGAAGCTGAAAAAGTCAAAAGAGAGAATGCGGAAGAACGAGCTCGAAAGGCTGAGGAAATTAATAAAGTAAGCATATTCGGGATTTTTCTGGCAATTTTAAGATTTGAATGGGGAAAAATTTTAGAAATTTTTTTTGAAAGTTTTTGAACATTGTTTTTTTTCAGAATCTCAGAAAAAAAGGAAAACGTGGAGAGAAAGCAGAAAGAGGTGGAGCTCGACGACCAAAAAGAGACAAAAAAGAAAAAGGAAAAATTCGACGAGTTCAAAGAGGTAGAAATTCAAGGAGAGTGGAAATTCAACAATTGGCTCCACAAGTTGCTGTTGATGCTGAAGTTGGCTCTAATGACCAAAATTCCGGTCCAATTCAAGAAGGAAACGACGAAAATCCGGAGGTGAATGCAGTGGATACACCATTAATGCATTTTTGATCTTGAGTCGAACTCGTGAAAAATATTACTGTGAATGAAGATTTTTGAAAACTTGTGCTAAATTTTTTGCTTCCTCCTTTTTTTTGGAAAAAGCTGGAAATTGAATTGAATTTTCGAGCCTTCTTGATTTTCTAATAAAATATTCTCAGGAAAAACTTCATTTTCAATGATTATTCGATTCTTCGAGCGATTTTTCGGCTTCCAACTTCTTCCATTTTGTTCGCCGATTTTGAAACCAAATTTTGACTTGGGTTTCGGTGACTGATAATCGACGAGCTAATTCACTTCGATCCGAACTTGATAGATATTTTTTGGCTTCGAATCTGGAAGAAAAATGGATTTTAGAGGGGCGTAGGGTTTAGCTTGGCTAGAAATTGGATTTTTTTAAAGAGGGGTTTTTTTAATTGAAAAAAATGTATAGCTCTGATTTCGAAGGTGAGAATCCTATTTTTAGTTCTGGAATTCTGAAAAATCTTAATCTTTTCAAATTTTATTTTGAGAATTTCCCGAATAATTTCAATTTTCATTTTTTTTTTCATGAAAAATTCAAATCTTTCGCTGAATTTTTCAAATATTAAATTTTATCTTAAAAATGTTTGGATTTCCGAAACCTTTTGAAAAAAATTTCAGATTTTTCACTAAAAAAGATAATTTTCAGAATTTTTTTTGAAAAATTCCAATTTTTCCCTGAATCCACGTGGATTTTCCAAATTCCCCTTCCAAAAAAACTCACTGTTTTTCCAGCTCAAAAACCTGCATTCCCGAAAACGTGGTCCTCGCCTTCTTCTTCTTTTTCGACGTGGATTTTGTGGAAATTTTGAGCGGAACTGCAAAAATTCAAATTTTTCATAGATTTTCATAGATTTCAACGAACTCACCAAATCTTCCAAAATCATCAACTTTTCCATCTTCTTCATTATTATTACTGTTCAAATCCAAAATATCTCGAATAAAATAGGATTTTTTGCGAATTCGCTCAGTTTCAGCAAATTTTTGGAGAAAAAACGCGAACCAATCCATTTTCAGGTTTTCAGAAATAAATAGAAAATGCGCTGATTTTTATAGTCACTTTTTTCGTCTTGGAAATTGAATTGAGATGAGATGAAATGAAATGGAAAGTGACTATAAAAAATAAGAAGAAGAAGATACACACAATTGCTCAGATTAGGACTCAATTTGACAAAGTGGTTTTGGTGAAGAAAAAGAAGGGGAGAAGACACTTTTGATTGCGCAAGAAGAAGATGGGGGAAAACTAACTCATGAGGGGATCAACAAAGTGTGCATGATTTAATTTACACCCAAATTTTCTCACAAGGGAACTGTTTGCTCAAAATTTTTTATAAAATGTTTCCTACTAGCTTTGAGCTCTGGAGGAGCCAAAATATTTTTCAAACTAAATCACCCACGAGTTCTTGAATAGAAATTGAAACACCTTTCGTCACTCATTCATTCAATATATTTCGAAACTATGGTACATGCGAAAAAGAAACTCAAACGGGTTAGAAATCAACATTGTGCAAGAAGGTGTGAATCGATGCATTGTCCGTGGGAGCTCGAGAAAACAGCGCCCGGTTGAGCACACGAGAAATTGATCGATTGTCCGTTGGAGCATTGTTGATAGGTTGAAGAGCACAACGATGGTGAGAAATATCCGTTGGAGAGTGGTGAGCAGGTTGGTGCAACTGGGCTTGGAACGACTGGAATCGATTCTTGGAGCAAGCATTGAAGTGTAGTTTGTGGGTAGTCGCAAATCATGTTCCATTCGTTGAAGACCAAACCGGCTGGGCATTCGTAAACCGCTTGGAATCCGTCGCGACACGCAAAGAGTGCTGACGAACATCCGAGCGAATAGAATCCATTGTCCAATCCTTCGCATTGTCCAACTGCTGAACCTTCTCCCGAAGATTCACCGCTGGACTCTCCTGAAGCTTCGCCTGATGCTTCGCCACTGGCTTCTCCCGAATTTTCACCCGATGATTCTCCTTCTTCTTGACATTCTGGCACATTTTCCGGATAATCGCACATTTGTGTGGATTGCGAGAAGCTCAAACCGGCTGGACAGAACATGATGATTGGGCGAGAGTTGGTGCAAGCGGTGAATTGAGAAGAGCATTGACCGAATGAGAAGTATCCGTCTGCCTGGAATAATATTGAGTTTTTAAAAAATTCAAAAACTCTAGTTTTTCATCAAAATTCTGTTTTAAAAAGAAATATCGATTTCAACACCAAAACTCACCCCACAAACACCTTGTTGAGCATCACATCCAACGGCATGTGGATAATCGCAAACCAACAATTTTGGATTGAAGACAAGAGTGGCTGGGCAATCCATAACTCTAGCGATTCCACCGGAACATGTCAAATAGTTGGTCGAGCATTCGCCATTCGGATGAATTCCGTCGACAAGACCCTCGCATGTTGGTGTTTCTCCAGATCCCTCTTCTCCCGAGGCCTCGCCTGATCCTTCTCCAGATTGTTCTCCCGAGGCTTCTCCAGATTGTTCTCCCGAAGCTTCACCAGATCCTTCTTCGCGAGAAGCTTCACCGGATCCTCCAACTTGACACTCTTCGATGAGATATTGCCAGGTGCAGTTTTGGTTTGGCGCGTCGTAGAAGAGTGGAGTTGGGCATGTGAGAAGATGAGCGTTTGATGAGACGCAGAAGAAGTAGAAGTTGGTGCAACCACCGAAGTGATAGGCGCCATCAGACAAACCAACGCAGACTGAAAAAACAGGATTAGAAAATTTTTATGAAGAATTTAAGGGGGGGGGAGGGTTCTTACTTTCTGATTCGATTCCAGATCCTTCACCGGAAGCTTCCCCTGATCCTTCACCGCTAGATTCTCCACTGGCTTCGGCCGATCCTTCTCCAGAAGCTTCGCCCGAGCTTTCTCCTGAAGCCTCTCCAGATCCTTCACCGCTAGCTTCTCCAGATCCTTCACCGCTGGCTTCTCCCGAAGCCTCTCCTGAACCTTCACCAGAAGCCTCTCCACTAGCTTCACCAGATCCTTCACAAGCGGCAATGTTGTGTGGATAGTCGCAATATTCGCCATTTGGATTGTAGATCAAATTCGACGGGCAATCCATAATTCGAGCGATTCCACCGGAACATGTTAAAAATTGATCGACACATCCGCCAAGCGAATAAAGACCGTCCAAACGGTTGGCACAATCTGCAAAGAAAAGAAATATTAATTTGGGTTAAAAGTTTTCATCAGAAATCCAGACGAGACTACGAAATCTCTGCCTAAAACGCTGAAAATCGGTTTTGAGTGGAAAAACCTTGAATTTTCATGAAAATTCCACAATAACTTCGTAAAACGTACTTTTTTACACATGTTCCCTACTTTTAGAATGAATTATCCCTCCAAAAAACCTAGAAAACCCTGAAAACCCCGTCGAAAAAAAAAAAGAAAATGAAAAAAATTGGCCTAAAATGTGACGCCCATCTGAATCGCGTCGAGACCCAACACACACAAATCCTCACGCGCCTTTCGAAAAATACAGTAATCTTCAGCCATTTTTTGAGCTTTACCTAGGAAATTGAAGCGTAAATGTGGTGGATGATGACTATATCGCTCAAAAAGATGCCTAATTTTCCAATGGCGGCTATGGTGACGTCTTGGAAACCAATCTACAAAGAAAAATCCCAGATTTCCCTAAGAAAATGACAAAAGAATATTTTTTTTCGAATTTCAAATCAAATCAAAACATACCCTCATTTTGACTTGCAGCAAGTCCGATGAGTAGAAAAACTGTTAGTTTGGCAATTAGTTGATGCATGTGAAGGTGCCACTTGGTTAGAAAGTGACGAAATCATGCTAGAATCGGTCTTTTATAGGCAAACTAGAATATAGTTTTGGGGGAATTTGTTGTTTCGCGCGGTAGATCAAAAATTTTTTTTTCAAAAAAATTATTCGAAATTTTTTTTTTTGGTGTTTAGAAGATAAATTAGACATATGAAACAACTTTCTCAAGATCCCGCACAGTGTTTTTGCCTTGTGGGTACTATAGTACCCCTATAGGGGTACTACAAAGTTTTTGACTTGTGGGTGTAATGAGTACACCTGTAGTGGCACTATGCAAACTTTTTTCAGTACCCCTATAGGGGTGTCAAAGTGGTTTTGTAGTAGTGCAGTAGGGGTCAATCAAAATAAGACTTAAGTTTGACAATTTATTTTCAAGAAAACAAACAGAACAAGAGAATTTAGAATTAGAGTCGAATTGTTGATCATAGATTTTTGGAGGAGATCCATCAGTCCGGCAGAGAAGTAGTTTCCAATTCATCTTGAGTTGATTTGATGTCGAAAAGATGAGTGTTGGTGGAGCATGTAGGTTTGAGTTCTGGAAATAAAGCAAATTAGACAAAGTATTTTGCTATTGGAATTATTTGTTGTCTAGTAAAGTCGAGTCGATGGGTTTTCAAAGACTCGACTTCGATGGTCGATTATCTCATGGTGGAAATGAGTTTTCAAAAAATTTATTGTGTTTGTTGAAATTCTTAACGACTTGACTCAAATTCGAGTAGGTTTCTAACTACAGCACATCTACGTATTTTTATCGAGAAAATCACTCACCATGTACTGACCAGCACCAAGAAGACACTTCTAACTTGGATTTTCTTCTCTGGGAGCTCGCCAGTCCAGTCGACCTTTGAGCGATGGTTCCTCTGTTGATTTGGATTTCGACCAAGTTCACTTTCTATTAACATCGGTTGACGGTTTTCATCTAAAAATAATAAACCATTCTAATCCGACTTTCTTATTCAAATTAACAAACCTGAGTGTGTGCGATAACACAGATCGATGAGCAGTACTTCTTGAGCTTTTTGTAGTCGGATTTGATGTTTTTCTTTCTATCCTCATCTTTCCATTTCTTCACGCACATGCTGAAGGCCTCCTTTTTGGAAGAAGCTCTGAAAAATCATATTACGAGTAAATTATAACGTATGAGAAACACGAGAATGAAGAAATGAGAAAAATGTATTTCAATTTTCAACTCTAAGAAGGAATTTTCAATCGAAACCCATTCAAATGTTGATTTCCTTGAATGAAACTGAAAATAGCCTTGTTTTGCTATCTAACATTTGAAAACTCAGAAATTATTAATTTTTGGCCTAAAATCATGTTTAATGGGTGAATTTCAGAGTTACGATGGAATTTTTCTACTTGCTCCTAGGCGGAGAACATGTTTTATGAACATTTCGCAGCTTTGAACACTCGATTTCTCGATAAAACGTGGAACAAACAAAACAAAGGAAAAAAAACGAAAAAAATATTTGACGCCACTCGTCCGTGAGAAGTACACACAAACAAACACGCTGCGAGACCAATGTGTTGAATTCCTTGCGCCTTTACTTTTTGTTTTCGCGCATTAAAATATCATTTTTTGGAGGAAATGACATACACCATTCAATTCAAAATGTCAAGACGAACAAAATGATTATAAATTTAATATACATTGTCTCACTTTTAGTGGACTGCTCTTGGAGTGAAAAAATGCACATTTTTGACCGGCATTGATTGTTCTTAGTTAATAAATGCTCTCCGTAGCATTATGTGTGTTTATAGCGCAAGGAATGTGCATTTTCACTGTTTTAGAGATGCAAAAATTTTCCCAGAGTCGGGACCACTACTCAACCCCTACACGGCCCCTACACTTGAAAAATAAAAGTTGATAACTTTCTCAAATGAACGTTTTTCTAAATGAAATTTTTTAGAGAACAATTTCAGAACCTTTAGATTAGTTTGTACTTTTTAGTTTTTCTCACATGAACACCACTAAATAACCCCTTTTGAATCCCTGCCAATTAGTGGTGCAATAGGGGTGCAATAGGGGTAAAAATAACCCCTATTGCACCCCTAAATCACAGTAGGGGTACTATAGTACCCACAAGGCAAAAACACTGTGCCGTGTAGCTCAGCTGGTTAGACGTTCGACTTTCAATCCGCCCCGTTTTGGTTCAATTCCGTATGCCCGCCAACATTTTTTTTTCCAATTTTTTCCTCGATTTCTGATCTTTTTTGTCAATAAACCCGATTTTTTGCTGATAAAACGTTTTTTTTTATTTTCGTGCATGCATAAAAAGCGACGGCACGTGGTGATAACGCACATTTTTTCATAAGTATGCTCAAACTACATTCGATTACAGTAATCTTGTTGTGTTATCAATTATTTGGCTCGAGTTCCGGGAGTTTGCAAGATCTTGGTTATCCTGGTTGGACTTGTGATGCTTCCTTGTATCAAAAGTGAGCGTGTAATTGGAGCATTTTATGTGCTCACAAGCCTGATTTTCATCGGAAATATGGCTTGTGAGCACTCAAAATGCTCCAAAACATGTGAAAAATCCTATTTAGAAGTGCAAAAGTTCCCACGTCTGCTCACGCTGTCAAATTCTCTGATATCAAGATTATCGGAGCTTTGGGTGACTCGCTGACCGCTGCAAATGGTGCCGGAGCACCAAAAGGCGACCCGTTGGCGGTGATTTTGCAGTACAGAGGTTTGGCGTTTCAATGTGGTGGCGATTCGAGTTTGGATGAACATGTTACGATTGCTAGTGAGTTTTGCGGGGGTGAATTTTGGGAAAATTGGAAAAATTGTGTAATTTGGAGCATTTTGAGTGTAAATACATCCAGGTTTGATGAAAAATCCGAAAAAATCACCTTTTTGGGCTTCTGCAAGGTTTTTCATGGTGATTTTTTGAATCAGCGTGAAATTCGGAGCATTTTGAGGGTAAACATGATATATTTTGCAGAATTTTCAGAAAAAAGTGACCCCCCTGGATATATTTTTACAATTTTTCCAAAGTATATCATATTTACACTCAAACTGCTCAAAATTTCATGAAAAATCCGAAAAAACAACCTTTTTGGGCTTCTGCAAGGTTTTTCATGGTGATTTTTTGAATCAGCGTGAAATTCGGAGCATTTTGAGGGTAAACATGATATATTTTGCAGAATTTTCAGAAAAAAGTGACCCCCCTGGATATATTTTTACAATTTTTCCAAAGTATATCATATTTACACTCAAACTGCTCAAAATTTCATGAAAAATCCGAAAAAACAACCTTTTTGGGCTTCTGCAAGGTTTTTCATGGTGATTTTTTGAATCAGCGTGAAATTCGGAGCATTTTGAGGGTAAACATGATATATTTTGCAAAATTTTTAGAAAAAAGTGACCCCCCTGGATATATTTTTGCAATTCTTCCAAACTATATCATATTTATACTCAAACTGTTCAAAATTTCATGAAAAATCCAAAAAAACCACCCAAAATGTTTGAAATTCCCCAAAATATATCATGTTTACACTCAAAATGCTCCAAATCCCCCAAAAAATCACATTTTTTGTCCAGATGTGCTCAAAAAATTCAACCCAAACATTTTTCGGATATTCGACCGGTATCGGAAGTTCCAATGTTTGGGAAGTCTCAAAATTGAATCAAGCAGTTCCCGGAGCCGAAGCAATCGATATCATAACTCAAGCAAGAGCTCTTGTTCATCTCGTTCAATCTCACAAAGATGTACGCAGGCATGAGGAATCGAACCAGCACCTTTAGATTGGGAAAAAAAATTATTTGAAAAAAAATGATGTTTTTGCAGATCGACAATGCGAATGACTGGAAACTGATCAATATTTTCATCGGAGCCAATGATATGTGTGCATATTGCTCACAAGGCGAAGCGGGACCACACTCTAAACAAGCCTATAAGAATAATATTATTCAAGCTGTGCAGATTTTGAAGGATAATTTGCCAAGGTAAGGGAATTTGGAGCAATTTGAGTGTAAATATGATATATTTAGGATAAATTTGAAAATTTTCTCTACAGGGGGGTCACTTAATTTTTCAAAATTATCCGAAATATGTCATGTTTACACTCAAAATGCTCCAAATTCCACGCTGATTCTGAAAATCCCCATGAAAAACCTGTCAGATTTCTAGAAACTCAGAAATGTACAAGATTTTCAACAAAAAAAAACCGAATATCACAAAACTCTGATTTTCATTGCAATTTGGGGGATTTGAATGGTTTTTCGGGTTTTTCATAGAATTTGGAGCAGTTTGAGTGTAAACATGATATATTTAGGATAACTTTGAAAATTTTCTCTACAGGGGGTCACTTAATTTTTCAAAATTATCCGAAATATGTCATGTTTACACTCAAAATGCTTCAAATTTCACGCTGATTCTGAAAATCATTATGAACAACCTGTCAGATTTCTAGAAACTCAGAAACGTACAAGATTTTCGAAAAAAATTTCAAATATCACAAAACTCTTTATTTTCATAGCAATTTAGGGTTTTGAATGATTTTTTCCGGGTTTTTCATAGAATTTGGAGCGGTTTGAGTGTAAATATGATATATTTAGGATAATTTTGAAAATTTTCTCTACAGGGGGGTCACTTAGTTTTTGAAACTTATCCGAAATATATCATGTCTATACTCAAAATGCTCCAAATTTCACGCTGATTCTGAAAATCACTATGAAAAACCTGTCAGATTTCTAGAAACTCAGAAACGTACATGGTTTTCAAACGAAAATTTTTTTCAAATATCACGAAACTGCTTATTTTCATAGCAATTTAGGGTTTTGAATAGTTTTTTCAGGCTTTTCATGGAATTTGGAGCAGTTTGAGTGTAAATATGGTATATTCAGGATGATTTTGAAATTTAGCCAGGGGGGTCACATAATTTTTCAAAATTATCCGAAATATGTCATGTTTGTACTCAAAATGCTCCAAATTTCACGCTGATTCTGGGAACCACAAAGAACAACCTCTCAGATTTCTAAAAACTCAGAAACGTACAAGATTTCCAACAAAAAAAATTCACATATCACAAAACTCTTTATTTTCATAGCAATTCAGGGTTTTGAATGGTTTTTTCGGGCTTTTTATAGAATTTGGAGCAGTTTGAGTGTAAATATGACATACTTTCGATAAATTTGAAAATTTTCTCTACAGGGGGGTCACATAATTTTTCAAAGTTATCCGAAATATATCATGTTTACACTCAAAATGCTCCAAATTTCACGCTGATTCTGAAAATTCCAGAACAATCGTCTCTCTAACCGGTATGTTCGACATGGAAATGTTGCGTCAAATCGATCATGACAAATATTTTTGCGACGGTCTTCATACCTTTGAGTGCGGTTGTGAGAAGAACAAAACGTTCACAAATGCCGATGTCAAACGAGCTTGTCAATATTATATGGAGGCTCAAAAGGAGATTGAGGATTCGGGAATTTTCGACACTTCTGATGATTTTACTTATGTTGTTCAACCGTTTTTCAATGGAATTGTGGTTCCACCATTGGTAAGCCTAAGTTTGGGGATAAGCCTTAAGTTTAGGCCTTAAATCTATGTTTTTGGCTTGACAAAGTCTTAGAGTAGCTCTGCCTTAGCCTTTAGCTAAGCCTAAGATCTTGGCTGAGCCTATATTTTTGACCAGCCTAAAATCTGGGCTAAGCCTAAGCCTTTGCTTAGAAAATCAGATTCTAGGGTAAAAAATCCTGAAAAATCCACTTTTCCCGCTCAAAAATCCCCGAATTTTCCTCGCAGAACCCGGATGGCTCACCAAACCTCAACTGGTTTGCGCCAGACTGTTTCCACTTCTCCAAATTGGGTCACGCCAACGTCGCCAAACATCTCTGGAACAATATTGTGCAACCGGTCGGCTCGAAAGACACTCAAGTCAATCTCAGCGATCCGTCGATTCCACTCAGATGTCCCGATGTTTCGTGCCCATTCTTCCGAACCACCAAAAATAGTGCGGATTGCTCGAAATATTTGTAAAATGTGTTTTTTATGTATAAATTCTTGATATTTGAAGCATTTTTCAGAATCAGTGTGAAATTTGGAGCATTTTAAGTATAAACATGAGATATTTCCGATAATTTTGAAAAATTATGTGACCTCCCCCCTGGCTAAATTTCAAAATCATCCTGAATATACCATATTTACACTCAAACCGCTCCAAATTTCATGAAAAACCCGAAAAAACCATTCAAACCCTCAAATTGCTATGAAAATAAGGAGTTTTGTGATATTAGAATTTTTTTTGTTAAAAATCTTGTATGTTTCTGAGTTTCTAGAAATCTGACAGGTTGTTCATAGTGATTTTCAGAATCAGCGTGGAATTTGGAGCATTTTAAGTATAAACATGAGATATTTCGGATAACTTTGAAAAAATATGTGACCCCCCTGGCTAAATTTCAAAATCATCCTGAATATACCATATTTACACTCAAACCGCTCCAAATTCCATGAAAAGCCCAAAAAAATCATTGAAAACCCCAAATTGCTACGAAAATAGGGAGTTTTGTGATATTTGAACTTTTTTTTTGAAAATCTTGTATGTTTCAGAGTTACTAGAAATCAGACAGGTTGTTCATTGTGATTTTTAGAATCAGTGTGAAATTTGGAGCATTTTGAGTATAAAAATGAGATATTTAGGTTGATTGTGGTGAAAAAGGTGACCCCTCTGTAGAGAAAATTTTCAAAATTATCCAAAATACATCATATTTACACTCAAACTGCTCCAAATTCCATGAAAATCCCGAAAAAACCATTAAAACCCCCTAAATTGCTATGAAAATTAGAGTTTTGTGATATTTAAAAAAAAATTTTCGTTCGAAAACCATGTACGTTTCTGAGTTTCTAGAAATCTGACAGGTTTTTCATAAGGATTTTCAGAATCAGCGTGAAATTTAGAGCATTTTGAGAATAGACATGACATATTTCGGATAATTTTGAAAAATTATGTGACCCCCCTGGCTAAATTTCAAAATCATCCTGAATATACCATATTTACACTCAAACTGCTCCAAATTTCATGAAAAACCCGAAAAAACCATTGAAATTTAGTGGTTTGTGCCCAAAAATTCATCAGACCCTTCTCAATAGAGCGCATTTTCCCCCCTTTTCCAAAAAGAGTGAAAAGTAGGTCAAACGTTCGTTCTTTCTTCCCAATTCATTCTGGTCAAGGACAACAGTTTTTGCAATATGAAAATTTTGATTTTATTATTTTTTTGCTATGCGATTGATGCAAGTAAGTTGGAAAATCACAGATTTTCAAATCAAAATTTTGAGATTTTTCAGTCGGTCAAACTGTAGTTCGACCATTTGTGAACGCGATTCCGATTCCAGGCCGAAATGTGCCGATTTTGAGGCTTTTCGAAAATTATGCCGCTTCTTGCAGGCCGAAAAATAAAAAGGATTTCAGTATCGATCAATTGGCTACGGTAGGGGGGTTTGCGGGATTTTTTAACCCTAAAAATCCCAAATTTTATGTTTGCAGCTTTTACAATCGCTTCAAATGGACGAAGTCGCCTCAAAAGTCTACAATTCTCTATTTTTCTCAATGTCTGACATGCAAATCGATCGATTTATGGGAAGATGGTATACTGTAGTGGATTCGAAAAAATTCATCCTGAATCTTGCTCGATTTTGTATTGTGAGTTTGAAGGGGGGGGGGGGACTGGCTAATATGAGCAATTATTTTGAATGAATATAGGAATTGCTCATGTTAGTATGGAACTCTAGAAATTCAGATCATTCAAACTAAAAACCTGAAATTACGAAACTTCAAATTTTTGACCTTCAAAATAGTCAATTATATAGCTGATTCACGAACAAAAAAAATGTTGAACATTTTTTTTTTAACATTGAAAGATCAATTCACGAAAAGTCGAAAAATGTCGAAAAAACATTGTAGGTCAAAATTAGTTTTTCGAGTTTTTCAGCCAAAAATGATGACAAATTGATATTTTTTAAGCTTCTGGAGTAATTTCTGATGAAAAAGCTTCGAGAACCCTATTTTGCTTTATTTTATGATTTTTTTCGAAATTCATCAAAATTTAAAAATTTTTATTTTACGAAAAATCAGCAAAACCTTCTGGAAAGTAAATTCCAACGTAAATTTCGATCAGAAATTACTTCAGAAGCTTGAAAAATATCGATTTGTCATCATTTTTGGCTGAAAAACTCGAAAAACTAATTTTGACCTACAATGTTTTTCCGACATTTTTTGACTTTTCGTGAATTGATCTTTCAATGTTAAAAAAACATTTTTAAACATTTTTTCGTTCGTGAATCAGCCCTATTGCTCATGTTAGTCTTGGAAATTCAAATTTTGGAACCAATTTTTGAATTCAGATCTCTCAGAGCAAAAAAAATGACCTGAAATCAGAAAAATCCAATTTTTTTCCAGTCAATATGCTAACCCAAACCGAATTCACCTCAACTTTCACAATTCGCCAATATTCCCTCTCTTCTGGCGAAAATAAAAACATAATAACAAATGAGGGATTCGGAAGACAAACCGGAACAGAACCCGGAGAAATTCTCATCAATTTCGGACATCCCAATGATCAATGCCCATATTTCCCAGTGAAATTGGGCGGTTTGGATTCGACTGGAAACTATGAATATATCATACTGTCTACCCCGCTCAAATATCCAACTATGGTTTTGACGCGAAATTTGACAAAGTTTGATGAGAAATATCGTGGCGAAGTGTATGATTTTGTGGAGAAATATGGATTTATGAGTCCGTTGGCCGCGTTGGATACGAGATTGGATTTTGAGAATTTGAAAATGTGTATGAAGATTAATGCGTTGTATGAGAATGGTGAAATTCATTGAATAAATTTTGAAATTTGGAGCAGTTTGAGTATAAACATGATATACTTTGGCAAAAAAAAAACAATTAATATGAGCAATATTTTTTGAAATTTCTTTTTTCTAGATGCTGTTTAACATGAGCAATCACGATTTCTCAAAACCTCAAAGAGCAAATTTCTGTAATTTTTTTTCCGCTACGCGGAAGCTTGCGGAAGACTTCGCAGAGTTCGCTTAGGATTTAGCCTAACATATACCCATAGGCATGGCCGCTACGCGGAAGATTGTGCCGCTTCGCGGAAGCTTGCGGAAGACTTCGCAGAGATCGCTTAGGATTTAGCCTAACATATACCCATAGGCATGGCCGCTACGCGGAAGATTGTGCCGCTTCGCGGAAGCTTGCGGAAGACTTCGCAGAGATCGCTTAGGATTTAGCCTAACATATACCCATAGGCATGGCCGCTACGCGGAAGATTGTGCCGCTTCGCGGAAGCTTGCGGAAGACTTCGCAGAGATCGCTTAGGATTTAGCCTAACATATACCCATAGGCATGGCCGCTACGCGGAAGATTGTGCCGCTACGCGGAAGCTTGCGGAAGACTTCGCAGAGATCGCTTAGGATTTAGCCTAACATATACCCATAGGCATGGCCGCTACGCGGAAGATTGTGCCGCTTCGCGGAAGCTTGCGGAAGACTTCGCAGAGATCGCTTAGGATTTAGCCTAACATATACCCATAGGCATGGCCGCTACGCGGAAGATTGTGCCGCTTCGCGGAAGCTTGCGGAAGACTTCGCAGAGATCGCTTAGGATTTAGCCTAACATATACCCATAGGCATGGCCGCTACGCGGAAGATTGTGCCGCTACGCGGAAGCTTGCGGAAGACTTCGCAGAGATCGCTTAGGATTTAGCCTAACATATACCCATAGGCATGGCCGCTACGCGGAAGATTGTGCCGCTACGCGGAAGCTTGCGGAAGACTTCGCAGAGATCGCTTAGGATTTAGCCTAACATATACCCATAGGCATGGCCGCTACGCGGAAGATTGTGCCGCTACGCGGAAGCTTGCGGAAGACTTCGCAGAGATCGCTTAGGATTTAGCCTAACATATACCCATAGGCATGGCCGCTACGCGGAAGATTGTGCCGCTTCGCGGAAGCTTGCGGAAGACTTCGCAGAGATCGCTTAGGATTTAGCCTAACATATACCCATAGGCATGGCCGCTACGCGGAAGATTGTGCCGCTTCGCGGAAGACTTCGCAGAGATCGCTTGGGATTTAGCCTAACATATACTCATAGGCATGGCCGCTACGCGGAAGATTGTGCCGCTTCGCGGAAGCTTGCGGAAGACTTCGCAGAGATCGTTTAGGATTTAGCCTAACATATACTAATAGGCATGGCCGCTACGCGGAAGATTGTGCCGCTTCGCGGAAGCTTGCGGTTTACACTCGCGCCTCTGGCGCTCGGCATTTTTCCCACTATTATAGGCTTAAAATAGGGCCTGGATTACTGTAGATTTCAGGCCTAAAAAGCCCAAAAACACCCCATTTTCCGAAAATTACTATAACCTGAGCAATATGTATGTCATTAAAAAGCAAATTTCACGTAGATTCCAAAAAACCACATAGAAATTCTTAAAAAACTCCCACTTTTCTTTAACATGAGCAACACCATTTGAAAATCTCTATTTTTTTCGAATATCCCTTTTTTCTTGACTCATCCTCCTCCCACTCACTCAATTTTTATGTGTTATTTTTTTTGTGTCCCGCTCAAAAAGCACTGCTGTTTCCAGGAACAAATGTGCCAAAAATCACCGCATTTTTTGTGATTTTCTGAAGATTTCGTAACTTTTTTTTTGTTTTATGTAAAAAAAGTTAGTAGATCTCCACGAAAAAAACCGGTTTTTTCTGCGACAGAGGACAGTAATTTTCTCCAATTTTCTCTCCAAGGTTAGATACAACAAATGTTGTTTTATTCCACGTCTCCCAGAAAAATCAATCAATCAATAATTCCAAAAAAAATTTTTTTTTTTTAATCACCGATTTTTCCGGCATTTATTTATTCAGGTTTCTCTTCTTTCCGATAGCGAAATAGTGTGGAGAAATGAGAGAGTGAGAGAGACAAAAAACGGAATGCCAAAGGCCATTTGGTTTAGTTTTTTCCCTATTTACTTGTGATGATGATCGCCCACCTCTCTTTTTTGACACATTGCTCATGTTAGCCTATTTTCTCGTGGGAGAATTTGTGGATTTTTGAGAAGAGCTTGAAATTCTACGTCGAATGATACCTATATTGCTCATATTAGAAGCATTTTGATTTTTGGTATTCTTAAAGGACCCACCCACCTTAGGAATTTTTTTTTTCGAAAATTCTACTTTCAAAGTAGAATTTCCTGCTGATCATTGCTCATTCTAGTTGAAAATCCAGCGGAAACCCCGCACACTAACCTGAGCAATCTTTGCTCACTCGAAAATTGTGTATGTTTTTTGGCGGTTTCCAGGCAACCACTCTTTTTTTCCTCATTTTTTTTCCTTCTTTTTTTCACATCGATTTTCATGTTCATAAAAAAAGTGGGGGTGGAAGAAGAAGAAGGATTAACTACTTTTCTCATATTTTTTTTTTTGAAAAATATTTTCTTATGAAATTTTCTGGTATTTCAGAATTTTTCTTTAATCTGACATGAGCAATGTATTCTTGAACAGCATAAAATTCTGAATAGAATAATTTATTAGCGTCCAAAATTTATAATTTTTATCTAATCTGAGCAATGTCATGGGAATTTTAGTAATTTAGACGTAAATAGCTGACATGTAGGGTGAACGGGTCCTTTAAGAACACAAAACTCTTAACATGAGCAATATGGGTGTCTGAAATTTCACGGGGAATCTGAAATTCACTTATTTCCGAGTAACATGAGCAATTCCCAAATTTTAAATTTAAGAGCCAAGTGTATGAAAAATTGTATGTCCCTTTAAAAATCATGTTGTATGTCCTTTTAAAAATCATGTTTTATGTCCCTTTAAAAATTGTATGTCCCTTTAAAAATCATGTTGTATGTCCCTTTAAAAATCAATAGTATGTCCCTTTAAATGTCCTTGTATGTCCCTTTAAAAATCAATTGTATGTCCCTTTAAAAATCATGTTGTATGTCCCTTTAAAAATCAATTGTATGTCCCTTTAAAAATCATGACTCATATTAGTTCGATAATAATACAAACCATTATTTTCATTTTTCGTTTTTGATGATGATAAAAATAATGTCACGATGGCCAGTTCTTCTTATCAGTTAAAAAATTTGTTTTATTTTTTTTGCATTTTTTTCGTTCCGCCCATATTTTTAATTTTTAATTTTTTCATTAGTGATCAAATTTTCAGAAAAAAATAATGGAAAACAACTTGGAGAAACCGACAAAACCAGCAGGTTTGTATGTACTTATAAAATGAGCAATCTGAGAATTTTCATTTTTCATCCTAACATAAGGTGGCCGGGGTCCTTTAAGAACCCAAAATTCTTAACCTGAGCAATATGGGTGTCTATCGAACCGGAATTTCACGGGGAATCTGAAAATCAACTTCATGTTCTTTGAAATTCACTTATTTCCAAGTAATATGAGCAATCCCCCCGAATTTTCTATGAGAAATTTGACCACACAAAAAGCTAGAGAAAAAGGAAAGGCAAAAAAAAAAAACAATTTCGAGCCAACCTAATTAACTCTTGATGACGTCAGAGAAACGAGAGACGCAGAGTCGCAGACAGAGAAAAAAAAACGTGATTTTTGGAATCCACGTGGATTGACATATTGCTCAGGTTATATGGTTTTGCACTTCTTAAAGGACCCCCCACCCTGGAAATTTGGAATTTATACCATTCAATGCAGAATTTCATTTTAATCAAGAATACATTGCTCATATTAATCAAAAATCCAAAAATTCCCATACTTTACCCTCGAAAACCCATCAATCTTGTAACTTCAGCTCAATTCTGAGTCATTTCTAGCTCAGCTCGCGCACTCTCGTCGTTTTTTTCTCCTCATTTTCCCCCAGGGACAAGCGAGAGAGCATGCGTAGATGAGAGAGTGCAGACATCGAGAGACAAACGAAATTACGAAATAGTTTTTTGTTTGTTTGTCCTCCGCGTTTTTTGCTGGCGAGCCGCCACGCGTCACAATTTATTATCTAGTAGCCTCAACTTAACCTAAACCTATTTATATATATTTTTTGAAAAAAAATAATTATCGATTAATCTGAGCAATGTCGAAAAAATGTGTGATGGTCAATTGTAAGTGTGTCATCTTTTTTATCGATTTTCGGGCGCCCCTTTTTTCTCTAGTTAGTTTTTTCCGCATTTTTCCAACAAGATGATGAGAAATTCGATAGTTGAATTCAAATTAAGTGAGTTATGACGTGGCATTTTTTTTAGGGTAAAACAATTACAGATTGCTAAGGTCCGTTAAGGTTTTCACCTAATATGAGCAATACTTCCAAAAAATTCTAGGATTTTTCCTAACATGGTGGGGTCCTTTAAGAAGTCAAATTCTTATAACCTGAGCAATATGGGTGTCCGAAAATGATTCTCGAGTAATATGAGCAATCCCCTAATTTCAGATGACCCGGACGGCACATTCTCTACAGTAATCCTCTCCTCCACCGATGCCACGTCATCGCCACAACAACAACAAATTTGCATCACCCAAAGTGCACCCAACACACCGATTCAACATCGCGAAATGGCGGCGGCCGAGTTTCCCGGCACAAATCTCGGCCCCCAGCCAGAAACGGCGACAATTTTGGCGAATAAGCCGAATTTGGGCATCGGAAATTTGCGAGATGGAATTTTTGCGTGTTTTCGACCGGTTTGGGGATATTTTGGAAGAGGAATGCAGGAGATGTGAGTTTTTTACCTAAATATGAGCAATGTAAATAGGGTGGTGGGGTCCTTTAAGAAATTTGAAAATTTTTACATAACCTGAGCAATATGGGTGTCTATCGAACCAGAATTTCACCGGGAATCTCATAAGCCTAACCTATGTTTTGCAGAACAAAACCACCGCCAGTCGACACGTGGGAAGTGCCATTTGAGGAAATTGGTGAGCTCGAATGGTTGGGCTCCGGATCGCAAGGCGCCGTTTTTCGTGGACAATATCGAGACAAACTTGTGGCTGTGAAGAAGGTCAATCATTTGAAGGACACTGATATTAAGCATTTACGACATTTGAGACATAAGAATATTATCGAGTTTATGTGAGTTTTCAAAATCTGAGAAGCTCCTGTTCCTTTAAATATAGGCTAACAAGGAAAACAAGAGCTACCAAACAAGACCAAACAAGACTATGTTCCTTTAAATATAGTTAAATATGCAAGCTTTCAAACGAGACCAAACAAGACTATGTTCCTTTAAATATAGTTAGATATGCGAACTTCCAAACGAGATCAAACAATACTATGTTCCTTAAATATAGTTAGATATGCGAGCTTCCAAACGAGACCAAACAAGACTATGTTCCTTTAAATATAGTTAGATATGCGAGCTTCCAAACGAGACCAAACAAGACTATGCTCCTTTAAATATAGTTAGATATGCAAGCTTCCAAACGAGACCAAACAAGACTATGTTCTTTTGAGTTTAAAGGAACATCTATAGTCATTCTGAAATGCTTTCAAACAAGCCTATGCACCTTTAAAATGATCTATAATTTTCCAGCGGTGTTTGCTCAAAATCCCCGTGCTACTGCATAATCATGGAATATTGCTCAAAAGGACAACTCTGTCAAGTGCTCAAAAAATACACAATCGATCGATTGAATTGGTCGAAATGGATTCGCGAGATTGCCGATGGAATGCACTATTTGCATGATAATAAAGTGATTCATCGAGATTTGAAAAGTCCGAAGTGAGTTGGATTAACATTAGCAATCTTGATATCTGAATTTGACACAAAACACCTTAACATGAGTAATCCTTTATATTTTCTAGCATCCTGATCAGCGACGACGATTCAATAAAAATCTGCGACTTCGGAACATCGCACCTCCAATGCAAATCCGACAGCACAATGATGTCATTTTGTGGAACAGTCAGTTGGATGGCTCCAGAAATGCTCAAAAAAGAGCCGTGCAGTGAGAAAGTTGATGTCTATTCGTTTGGTGTTGTTCTGTGGGAAATGTTGACCAGAGAACAACCATATGCGAATATCGATCAAATGGCTGTGATTTATGGTGTTGGAACGAAGTGAGTTCTAGGACTTTGCGTGAGATACAACAATTTTTCAGCATTTTATCCCTTCCACTTCCCGAAACCGCTCCAAAGGGAATCATCTTGCTCATCAAACAATGTTTATCACTAAAAGGACGAAACCGCCCATCTTTCAGTCATATTCGTCAACATTTAGAGATTTTCAAGTCCGAATTACTCAACATTTCCGACGCGGAATGGCAACAAAAATGTCAGGAATGGAACGATTTCGCAAAACGCATTCAATATCCATCGACGATCAAGAAAAAGCACGGAGAGAATGGAGGAGGAGGCGAAGAAGAGCATCATCGGAAGAGGATTGAGCAATTAAGTCATATTCGGGATATTCGAATGATGTATGAGCAGAAATTGAAGAGAGCTAATAAGATGTATGATAAATTGCAAGGATGTTTTAATGAGTTGAAGTTGAAGGAGAATGTGAGTTAGGATAAGTCTTGATTTTTTCTTATAAAATCTATTTAGGAACTCGATGAACGTGAGCGTGATCTTGAAGAACGAGAATTACACCACACCTTCACAACCTCTCCGCGCAGTTCCGCACATCGCATGCGTTCCGGATCTTGCGGATTCCGCCCCTACGACAATCCAATTGATTTCGATAACGATCCAAATCAATATTCATCGGATGACGAGAGACTTGAATATTGTCGAAATTCGCCCTATCGATGCAGCCAAGGAAGTTCGTCGTCGGGAGTTCAGTTTTCGAGACAATCTTCGTGTCGAAGCTCGGCTGGAGCGCAAACTAGACGATCGGAAGGATATCATCCGCAGAGTGAGTTGATTTTTTGGAACGTGTTATTTTTTATGAAAAAAATTTTTTTTCTAAAAATACATTTTATGATGTCTGTGAGAAAATAATGTATTTTGTATAAAAACTGATTGCGAATTAATAACTTCAAAATTGAAAATGCGATCACTTATTCTGATATTCCTGATTATCCACTCAGTTTTGACTAGTCTAGCTTTGGGAAGACCAGGATATCGTCCAGGTGGTACTGTAGAACTAGAAGAAAAAGAATCTGGGACTTTTCAAATTTACTTGTAATAAAAATATTTTCGTATTGTTAATATGCCACGTGGCACCTTAGAAAAATTCCTGAACACACTTTTATGATGTCTGTGAGAGATTTTAGCCCCTCCCTATGTATATAAAAGAGCGCCTAGGAAAACATGAACATAAGAAATATGCGATTCTATGTTCTGATGTTTTTAATGCTTCAATTGACTTGGGCTCGAAGTAGATCTGGGTTCCGGCCAGGAGTACAGGGAGATTGGGATACCGCCCAGGTGGTACTGTAGAGCTGTATTCACTGATCTAACTATGGGAAAGATAGCTTTGGATTCTGTAAAACAGAAAAATGAGCAAAATACATTGCCACGTGGCATTGAACACAGAACCTTCATTAATTCTCAATAGTTCCTACACGTTATTGTTGACTTTGATATTGATTATCATCTCTGACAATTCCTCCTGGACCCATACCATCAGAAATACTAGTTCCTAGAACCAATTGAATGATCAACAAGATCAGAATTAGAATCTTCATTTTTTTCTCGAATTTTTTTCTCGAAGCCTTTTATGAGGTTTCAGAATTTTCCCACAAATTAATGATGTCTAGGACTAATAATCTAATTACAGAACTCTTCCCCAACGACAATCGACAATCCGCCGGATATTGGGAATCTGTCCGCAACAGTCCAGCACGTGTCAGTGGACTATCGCAGGACAGTGGAATTGGCGGAGGATCGTGCACCGGTCTCAACAATGGACAACCCGCCACCTATTCGCAAACAATCTATCGAAATTGCGACGGACGTTGGTCGGATGGACGAATTGCGTCAAGACGTCGCACACCGGCTGCGAGTTCTTCGGCGTCGCGTGTCGCCACGACGACATTCCAACGCGACAGTCCAATGCGACAACCACATGGTGCGGTGCTTTTCTATACTCGTATGTGCATGTTTTCTATCCTTTTTTGAGTTGGGGGAATGCTCACATTTTCCTTAGTACACTGCATGAATTCGTATACCACAGACTAATTTTGAGTTCAAAACATTGGAAAAAAAAATTTACAGTACAGCTTTCGTACAATTTCGTACAGCTTTTCAGTCAATTTTCAAAATCCCCCGTAAGAAATTTAGATGTCTTTGAAGCTGAATCGTTTGAAACTAGTTCTGAATCAAAAAATTCTAGATTTTCTTAAAATCAAGAAGTCTCTTCACAAAGTTCAACAACAACAATTAACCAAGAAGCCAAGACTAACAAAAATTTCCCGAATTCCCAAAGAAAATCCCCGAAATTTTCAGCTCGTTCCTCCTCAAACCGCCATCCGAATCGTGCCTCCTATCCATCGCGCATCTCAGCCGAAGATTGTTGTCAAAACGCGTGTTGTCGGCAAGCTCGCGCTAAATCAATCGCCGCGCCGTCAACCCGTCCCATGGCTCGTTCACCAACTCCATATGACAATCCAGCTGAACAGCCATATTTGCCAGAATTCACGTCATACGATGAGGCATTGAAGGCACAAATGGAAACCGAAGGAAGTCCTATGAGATTTGTTGAAAATCCGATTTATACCTCGCCTGTCACAACTTATAGTAATCCATTGAGAGAAGTTTCGACTACAAAATCAGAACAAAATCATCAAGATGAAGAAGAGGAAGAGGAAAATGCGAATGATATTGATTTGACATCATCGATGGATTCAAGAAGAAGTCGCGCAGATGATGCTGATATTGAAAGTAGTGAAGAAGAAGAGCAAAATGGTAATATGTTAAATGAATCTATTAATTCGAGAAGTTCGGAAATGTATTCAATGAACACATCAACTATGATGTCGTCGTTGGAAAGATCGTTGGAATTGGGAGCAACAAGATCGGATGGATTGAGTGATAATGAGAGAAGAGTTCAAGCGGTTAAGAAATCCATCAAAGGACATAGAAGAACTCATTCGGTGAGTAAAAAAATTTGGGCATAGCTTCCGCATCTCTGCCAAATCCAAAACTGAAAAATTGTCTGAAAATCACAAGATTCCAGGGGCAATTTTGGGATTTTCAGCTTTTGCAAATTTTCAGCAAAGGAAATGACAATGAAAATTGAAAATTTGGGCATAGCTTCCGCATCTCCGCCATTTCCAAAACTGAAAAATTGTCTGAAAATCACAAGTTTCCAGGGGGAATTTTGGGATTTTCAGCTTTTGCAAATTTTCAGCAAAGGAAATGACAATGAAAATTGAAAATTTGGGCATAGCTTCCGCATCTCTGCCAAATCCAAAACTGAAAAATTGTCTGAAAATCACAAGATTCCAGGGGGAATTTTGGGATTTTCAGCTTTTGCAAATTTTCAGCAAAGGAAATGACAATGAAAATTGAAAATTTGGGCATAGCTTCCGCATCTCCGCCATTTCCAAAACTGAAAAATTGTCTGAAAATCACAAGATTCCAGGGGGAATTTCGGGATTTTCAGATTTTGCAAATTTTCAGTCAAGGAAATGACAATGAAAAGTGAAAATTTGGGCATAGCTTCCGCATCTCTGCCAAATCCAAAACTGAAAAATTGTCTGAAAATCACAAGATTCCGCGGGGGAATTTTGGGATTTTCAGCTTTTGCAAATTTTCAGCCAAGGAAATGACAATTTCAAGGATTATTGAGGAAACTTTCAGTTTTTCAGTGAAAACTTTTGTGAATAAATCAGTTTTAGGAGGAAAACTGATAGAAAAACCATAATTTTTTGAAAATTTATCCCAGTTTTTCAGATAAAACCGAGGAAAATCCCTATTGACTACTATTCGAGTTTTTAGGTGGGAAACCTCGGTATTTTCATATACAAAAACAAAACAAAAAAAAATTCAAATAAGTTCCAATAAGCGAAGCATAATGCTCAACTTACTAGTATCCTTCAATTCGTGAAATTGAACAGTAGATTGATATTTCTTCAAATCTTCGCAAGTTTTGACAAAAGTCAAGCATTTATCCATAAGCTCCTTATAATCATAAACATCAGCGTATTTGATTCGATCATAAAGTTCCATTTTGAAACAATTAACAATCAATGCTTTTTCGCAAACCAAATGAAGCGAAGATGACCCGAAAAAATTCGCGGTTTCAAGAATATTCTCCAGTTTTTCTTTATCTGGGTCAGAATTTTGGAATGTTGAGTAACAGGAGACCAAGAGAAGACAGAAATTGATCGATTTCATGTCATGGATTGTTAATTCTTTCTCCTTGATGTTTTGCTTTGCGAAAAGATCGAAAAAGTAGTCGGATTTTGAGGAGAGCAACTGAAATACGATCGATTTTTGAATTTTCTTTTACTTAAAATATAACTCACTCCTTTGTTCACAAAAAACGCAGAATCTTCCACTTGAACCTTGAAATCAGTATAATTCTCGATTTTTTTCGAAAAATCATAATATTTTTGCGAGAACTCAATCTCAATAATAATCGATAAATCTTGAATATAACCATTTGTCAGCGGTGCAATAACAGTCCAATTTTGAGTGCTTCCCTGAATTTTCCAATCTTTCGAAAAGCAAACATCCAACTCATTTGCCAGCGGAGCACCTTTTGCCATTTTGACGCAGAATTTTGGTCTTCATCGCCACTTCGCAGAACCAATTTGAGGCATCTTGATTTTCTGAGCAGTATTGGAGCGAATAGCAGAGCTCTTTGGCCGCGTCCAAACCTTTTGCGCACACGAAAATCATCCAATCCACGCCGCAAATTTGGAATTTTTTGCTGCACATTCCATTGCTGTTCAAATCTTGAATTTGGTCGAATTTCCAGCGAAGTTTGTTGTTTTTACTGATCACTGGATTCATTGTCAAGTTCTGGAAATAGTTATTATTAGCTGGAAGAATTTGAAAAAAATAAAGACGAAATAGAGAAAATTGAAAATTTGGGCATAGCTTCCGCATCTCCGCCATTTCCAAAACTGAAAAATTGTCTGAAAATCACAAGACTCCAAGGGAATTTTGGGATTTTCAGCTTTTGCAAATTTTCAGCCAAGGAAATGACAATGAAAATTGAAAATTTGGGCATAGCTTCCGCATCTCTGCCAAATCCAAAACTGAAAAATTGTCTGAAAATCACAAGATTCCGGAGGAATTTTGGGATTTTCAGCTTTTGCAAATTTTCAGCCAAGGAAATGACAATGAAAATTCAAAATTTGGGCATAGCTTCCGCATCTCTGCCAAATCCAAAACTGAAAAATTGTCTGAAAATCACAAGATTCCAGGGGGAATTTTGGGATTTTCAGACTTTGCAAATTTTCAGCTAAGGGAATGACAATTTTATTGAAAATTCACTAAAAATTCAAATTTCCCCCGTTACCAAAAATAATTTTAAAATTTTCAGAACCCCCAAGCCATCATTCATCAAATCATCGACGAATCTCTATCCTCTTCAATGGGCGAAGACAGCGATGAAGCGGCAGCTGTGGAAATTTGAAAATTTTCAGCAAAAATTTACAACCAACATTCCATGTACTTATTATTTGTTTTTGCACCTTCTACTTTAGAGAAATAGATTCATCTTAAAATATTTTGCAACTCTAAACTTATTATATTTTGCCCTTACTTAATATATCAACTATTTTGAGAAAACATGTATTTTTGTTTCTGTAACCGGTGGCTATCTATTTTGTATACTTTTTCTCTCATATTTTGATTTTGAATTGGCAACGAATGAATATTTTGATAGATTTGTGTACTACTGAATCATTTTTAACCTTGAAACATCACTCAACCTCCAAATAAACCAGGTTAACCCCAAAAAACCACGAAAAAAGAAAAATTTCCGTTTTTTTTTTTCAAAAATATGTGTGCAATTGCGCGTCAACTTGGGTGTTTACACACAAAAAAATTCGATTTTTTCTTTTTTTTTTTCTTTTTTTCCAGTTTTCCACCGAGAAAAATCAAAATTTTCAGATGAAAAAATGCGTTCTATAGCAAATGTTCGAAATGGATCACAAGATGATCGAAAATCGGTGGTTTCTGGCAATTCCAGCACCGCCTCAACACTTATTGCAGATAGTTTGGCTTCTGGAAAAACTTCCACCTCGCAATTGAGAAAGTAGGGGTTTCCGGGGAACTTTATTCAATGATTAAAACATTTTCAGGTTTACGGCTGGTGTTGGAAGACCTGGTTTGGCGCGAGAAGCACGGGAAGCTGTTCGAAATGTTCTTATCGCTCAAAACCCTTTGGTAAGGGAATTTTTGTTTATTTTTCATTTTTTGTTATGAAAAATTAGATTTTTATATAAACAAACTATTTGGTTTGATTTATTTTGCACTAAAAATTATCAGTTTTTACGAAATTTTTTGGTTTTTTCAGCGAAAAGCCCCAATAAGTGAGCCCGTGGACTACGAAAAATTTATAAATGAGCGAAGTATCCAATTGGAAAATGATGCGCAGAGGGAAATTGTGCTTTTTCCGCGCGATGACATTGAAGAAGTTCAGACCGGCCAAGAAGACGAAACTTCGATTCCAATGATTAAAAATAATGATATAATTCATGCAAAATGGCTTTTGACACGGGAAGCATTGCGATTTTATACATCACCGTATACTTCGATTAATTTTAATTATTCGAAATATTCGGGAGATTATTCGGCTAATAATACGTGGGTTTTTCTTTTTTTTTTTTGCAAAAATGACTTGAATTTGTACTAAAAACGTGTCCTATTTTTTTGTATGAATAAAAAAAAATTTTCAGCTCATCCGCAATCGAAAATGAAACGCTCTCCTCTCTTGTTTTCGAATCTGACATGGCTTTGGAAGATGAAAAATCAGAAAATTACAACAATTTGAATGGAGCTGTTGGAATTGTTAAGGAAGGTTTTCTATTGGTTGTGAAATCAGATCCGACACTTTTCAACAATCTAAAACCATCCAAAAAACGATTTTGTTGTTTGAAAAGATTGGAAGGCGGTGAAATAATATTTGAAGTTCGAAAAACACAAAATGAAATGGGAAAAGATGCGCCGATTAAGGTTGGGGGAGCACAAATCAAATCGACGAAAAAGGGAAAGACTGTGTTGGAGGTAAGGGGGTTTTATGGTGGAAAATAGAGGGAAAATGAGAGATTTTCTAGTTTTTTAGGTGAAAATTGACCGAAAATTCAGATCTTTGGGCTAAAAGAAGTGAAAAATGATGGATTTTTCAGTTTTCCAGGTGAAAATTGACCTAAAAATAGGATTTCTAGACAAAAAAATTCGAAAAATGATGATTTTCAGCCCGAAAACATAGCAAAACTGAATGTTTTTCCAAAAAAAAAATTTTTTTTTATAAAATTAAAAAATTTTTATACCATTTTTTATTGATTTTTTCAAAAAAAAGATTTGTGACTCATTTTCCCCCAAAAAACACTAAAATTTCAATTTTCAGATCGAACCGCGCAATGAAACGCCACAATCCGAAAGCAAAAGTCTACTTTTGGAATGTGAAGATACTTCTCAATTGGAAGAATGGCTTGTTGCGCTGCAAACTGCAATTGCTTTTTCGAATAAAGGTCAGCCAGAAATCGTGATTTTTGATGAGTTTTGAGCCGGAAATCGTGATTTTTGATGAATTTTCAGCTAAAATTCATGGTTTTTTATGAATTTTGAGCCAGAAATCGTGATTTTTTTTGAATTTTGAGCCAGAAATCGTGATTTTTGATGAATTTTGAGCCAGAAAATCGTGATTTTTGATGAATTTTGAGCCAGAAATTGTGATTTTTGATGGATTTTCAGCCAGAAATTGTGATTTTTGATGAATTTTGAGCCGGAAAATCGTGATTTTTGATGAATTTTGAGCCAGAAATTGTGATTTTTGATGAATTTTCAGCCAGAAATCGTGATTTTTGATGAATTTCCACCTAAAATCCCCCAATTTTTCCAGAAGACGCATTATCAACTTGCTCAGAATTGGATAAATCAGCGAAATCGAATGAGGCGAACAATTCGATTGGACCTGGAAAACAAATTGCACCGGATACTGAAAGTATTGGAAGTGAAGATAGCTCGAATTGTCAGTTTTCCTCTGCGTCTCTCACTAACTCTCCCTCTCTAACCCTAATTCTCTTCCAGCTCGTAACAGTGATATGCAACCATGGAGAGGCCGAAATTCGGCGGCGCGAGCTCTCCAACCTCCAATTGTCGACCGTCGTAACATGTTCTCCCTATTCTATCGCCTTCAACCCCTCCCAACATCGAATTTCGAAACGTCAACACTGATTCCGACGAAAATACGTGGCACAACAAGTGCCACGTCATCCGACTCGTCGTTGTTGGATTTGGCGATTTCGCCGTCGAAAATGAGAAAAAGTGGATCGCTGAAAAGGTTTGCAGCGGTTTTTTAATCAGTTTTTCCCGAAAAAACTGAGAATTTTGATTTTTCTATCAGTTTTTGTCTGAAAACTGAATTAATTTCGAAGTATTTGTGAGGAAAATTCGATGAAAAATGAAAAATCAAGGTTTTTTCTTAGTTTTTACCTGAAAAAAACTGAAATTTCACAAGGTTTTTTGATCAGTTTTCCCAGCGAACAAACTGAATATTTCACAATTAACTTCTAAAATTGTCATTTCCTTGGCTGAAAATTTGCAAAATCTGAAAATACCAAAATTCCCACGGAATCTTGTGATTTTCAGACAATTTTTCAGTTTTGGAAATGGCGGAGATGCGGAAGCTATGCCCAAATTTTCAATTTTCATTGTCATTTCCTTGACTGAAAATTTGCAAAATCTGAAAATACCAAAATTCCCACGGAATCTTGTGATTTTCAGACAATTTTTCAGTTTTGGAAATGGCGGAGATGCGGAAGCTATGCTCAAATTTTTAATTTTCATTGTCATTTCCTTGACTGAAAATTTGCAAAATCTGAAAATACCAAAATTCCCACGGAATCTTGTGATTTTCAGACAATTTTTCAGTTTTGGAAATGGCGGAGATGCGGAAGCTATGCCCAAATTTTCAATTTTTCAGACATCAAAACTCGAATCGAAACAGTGTGACAATCTCAACCCAATTTCTCCAACCTTGCTGTATTTCAATCGATTTTCAATCTCTCTGCATAAAATTGGCCACTTCACCCACTTCCACTCAACAAATCGAGCCATTTTTTGTGCATTTCTTCATCTTTGATTCTCATGAATGTCGACGAATTTGCGAAGAATTTCAGATTCTGGTAAATGGCGAAGAATTGCACATTTCTGAACCGGTTTTCGACGAAACTTGCAAAGTTAATGGAATTCGACGAAGTTTGTTGGTTGATCGAAAAAGTTCGAAAGCGATTGTTCATTTGCCGGGAGCTCATAAGGATTTGTGGATGATTTGTAGAGTTGATCGCATTTTGTCGGCCGATACTTCAGCCGAATTGTATTTGAAGTTGGTTTTTGTGAAACCTGAACAAAAATTACTTGGGTTTTTCCTCAGTTTTACCTGCAAAACTGGGATTTTCCTGTGAAAATTATGGTTTTTCTATCAGTTTTTCCACCGAAAACTGAATTTTTTACTGAAAAACTGAAAGTTTTCTTGAAATTGTCATTTCCTTGGCTGAAAATTTGCAAAAGCTGAAAATCCCAAAATTCCTCCTGGAATCTTGTGATTTTCAGACAATTTTTCAGTTTTGGAAATGGCGGAGATGCGGAAGCTATGCCCAAATTTTGAATTTTCATCTGAAAACTTGAATTTTTCAGTCAATCCACGAAATTTTTGACTAATATGAGCAATGCTTTGAAATAAATAGAAATATTCAAAATTAGAAAAAATCTGAATTTTTAGTTCAGAAGGTTTTTTGTCAGTTTTTACCTGAAAAACTGGAAAATCGATATTTTTCCAAAAGGTTTTCAATCAGTTTTACTTTTGAAAAACTGAGTTTCCCACGCAAAAAATGTTGAAATTGTCATCTCCTTGGCTGAAAATTTGCAAAATCTAAAAATCTCAAAATTCCCCCTGGAATCTTGTGATTTTCAGACAATTTTTCAGTTTTGGAAATGGCAGAGATGCGGAAGCTATGCCCAAATTTTGAATTTTCATTGTCATTTCCTTGGCTGAAAATTTGCAAAATCTGAAAAACCCAAAATTCCCCCTGGAATCTTGTGATTTTCAGACAATTTTTCAGTTTCGGAAATGGCGGAGATGCGGTAGCTATGCCCAAATTTTCAATTTTTATTGTCATTTCCTTGGCTGAAAATTTGCAAAAGCTGAAAATCCCTAAATTCCCTCGGAATCTTGTGATTTTCAGACAATTTTTCAGTTTTGGAAATGGCGGAGATGCGGAAGCTATGCCCAAATTTTGAATTTTGCAGAACCATCGGAGATCCCAAATCCACTGCAAAACTTCAAAAAACAATAGCAATGGCGATCACAAGATTAGCCGGACATCGACAAAGATTTGCATGGACTGCTAAGTAAGATCCCCCCTTGGTTTTTTTTCAGAAATTTTTAATTCTTAGACCACTTTTCCCGGAACTTCGAAACGATGGACCACCTTCTGCTCCTCAAAATATAGCAATGACTAATTCATCATCTGGAATAAGTTGGTCGAAATCTGGAGATTGTTTACAATTGTATAGATGTGAAGCGAATCGATTTGCTGATTCGGATTTGCAAAGATATTTGAGCGATTTTAGCAAGTTTGTTGAATTTTAGACTTCCGATTTGCTAAATTTATGTTTCAGAATCGAAAAAACCAACAAACTCATCATTCCAAACGCCAATGTTACTGTAAATATCAACACCAACGCACATTTAACCGATTTTCTAAGTGAGTTAGCCTAGATTTTCTTATTTTCCCAGTCCAGACTAGAGATTTTTAGCCCGAGTTAATCCATCTCTCTACCCGCTCAATCCTTGGAATCCCACTGAAAATCCAACGGACGGAAACGGAAAACCCGTTTTTCAATTGCAAACTTTTGGCGAGCAGCCAACTCAACCACATCGAACTCTCACGAATTTGATGTATATTTATCCGCTTGGATTGAAGTGAGTTTGCGGCATGGTTTTGGGGGCGGGGCTTGAGATTTTGCTTAACATGAGCAATCCTAAAATTTCAAGATTTTTTGTTAGTTTCTGGGTATCACACCCACACACTCAGAAACTAACAAAAAATCTTGAAAATTAGGGATTGCTCATATTTAAGCACACCAAGAAAAGCAAAAATTCAGTGATTTTTTGACCTCAAAATGTTCAAATTTTCATAACATGAGCAATCTACCGAAATTCCATGCAATTTATATTTTTGTTAAACCTGAGCAACATGGAAAAATCCACGAAATTTTTGACTAATATGAGCAATGATTTGAAATAAATAGAAATATTCAAATTAAAAAAAAACTGAATTATAGAAGGTTTTTTGTCAGTTTTTACCTGAAAAACTGAAAAATCGATATTTTTCCAAAAGGTTTTCCATCAGTTTTACTTTTGAAAAACTGAGTTTCCCACCCAAAAAATCTTCTAAAAATTGTCATTTCCTTGGCTGAAAATTTGCAAAATCTGAAAATCCCAAAATTCCCCCGGAATCTTGTGATTTTCAGACAATTTTTCAGTTTTGGAAATGGCGGAGATGCGGAAGCTATGCCCAAATTTTGAATTTTTAACAATTCTGGATCTGAACCTGGTTTCTAATGAAGCCCCGCCCACAAAACTGTGCCTTCACAAAATCTTTCACCATTTCAGATATGACAATCAAAAAGCCTTCTCAAAAGCGCGAAACATTGCATGTACCGTGCGATTTGTTCGCGGAGAAGAAGCGATTCCGGAAAAAGCGATGGTAAATCGAATGTCAGCCTCCGGACCATATACAATTTCATCGATTTGCGCTGTTCAACACCATCAACAATGTCCAACATTTGGTGATGAAATAAAAGCACAACTACCACTCAATCTAACAACTTCCGATCATTTGCTCTTCTCGTTTTCGCATATTTCGGTGGCTGGAAATAGTAGTGTGAAAACGCCGGAGGTTTGTTTAATTTTATGAAGGTTTTTTTGTCAGTTTTTACCAAAAAAAACTGTCCTTGTTGTATTTTTCAAGGCTTTTACCAGCTTTTTCCTAATAAAACTGGATTATGAGATTTTTATGGTTTTTACCGAATAAAACTACAGACTTTGCACCAGAAAAATTTGTAGTTAACATGAGCAATCCGTTCAAAAATTATCTACCAAATGAAAATGAAAAAAAAAAATTTTTGAAACGAGAAAAATCCACGAAATTTCTGGCTAATATGAGCAATGATTTGAAATAAATAGGAATATTCAAAATTTGAAGGATTTTTGTCAGTTTTTACCTGAAAAACTGAAAAATCGATATTTTCGAATTCCAAAAGGTTTTCCATCAGTTTTACTTTTGAAAAACTGAGTTTCCCATAGGGCTGTCATGTGGGTCGCCCGTTTCACCCTGTTGTTTCGGTGGTGTCTCGCCCGCCTGCCTCTTATTTTTCCCAAAACGACGCCCGCCCGCCCGCCCGCTTTATTTTCAACTAGCCGCCCGCCCGATCTGTCATTCATCCTTCTCTCTAACGCACCCATCGCCTACCTTTTTTCACACCTTGTAAAATCATGTCAAAAATGGCACGAAAAGTGACAGGTTCAATCAAAAAGTAATCGGAACCCTTTCATCTTTCAAATAATATTGTCGATTGAGCGAGCGGACGTCAGAAAAAGGGAAGACGGGCGGGCGGGTGTGAGCTACAGGCGGTAGGGCGAGCGGGTGAGAGGGCCTTGAGTTGAAAAAGGGCGGGTGTGTGGGCATGGTTAGTTTACGACCATAGGGCGTCAAGGCGAGCGGGCGAGACAGTTCTCTTCTCTTCTTACGCCCGCCCGCCCCGGGCTCCATTTTGACAGCCCTAGTTTCCCACCAAAAAAAATCCTGAAATTGTCATTTCCTTGGCTGAAAACTTGCAAAAGCTGAAAATCCCAAAAATTCCCTCGCGGAATCTTGTGATTTTCAGACAATTTTTCAGTTTTGGAAATGGCGGAGATGCGGAAGCTATGCCCAAATTTTGAATTTTCATTGTCATTTCCTTTGCTGAAAATTTGCAAAAGCTGAAAATCCCAAAATTCCCCCGGAATCTTGTGATTTTCAGACAATTTTCAGTTTTGGAAATGGCGGAGATGCGGAAGCTATGCCCAAATTTTGAATTTTATAGAAATTTTCGTTATAAAAATTTTCATATAGATTTTTCTGGCGCCAAACTCAAAATTTTTGATGGAAATTCTTTTTCAGCTGTGAATTTTCGAAGTTTATTTGGAAAAATTTAGAATTGAAACCAAAAACCTGAAAAGTTTGAGATTTTACAAACAGAAAAAGGTTCATAAGTCTTATCCGAAAAAAATGAAAATTACACTCAAAAAAATCCAGAATTGTCATTTCCTTTGCTGAAAATTTGCAAAATCTGAAAATCCCAAAATTCCCCCCGGAATCTTGTGATTTTCAGACAATTTTTCAGTTTTGGAAATGGCGGAGATGTGGAAGCTATGCCCAAATTTTCAATTTTCACCCAAAAACTTAGAATTTTTGCAGTCAACCGAAACACCAATCGGATATTCCTGGCTGCCGCTGGTTTGGAAAAAAGATCGCCTGGTTTTGGAGTCGGATGAACAAGAATTTGCACTTCCTGTCGCCACAGATCTACCCCCAAATTATTATCGATCAAAACCGCAACTTGGAGGCGCCAAAAGTGTAGGATTTTTTTTCAATTTTCGAAACAAAATTGATTTTATTGATTTTTTGATTCCAGGAAGATGCGGAAATCAAATGGGTTGATCAAAAACCGCTTTTCCGCGTCAAACTTCGATTGATTTCGTCGGTTTTTACGACGGATTCGAATCTTCAAGCGTTTTTTCAAGCTTGCGATCGGATTTCGTCGATTAGTTCAAATGAATCACTTAGGGTAAGTTCAAAAAAAATTGTGAAGTCTGCTTTTTTACCCTTTAACCTTTGCAGCGCGCTAAAAAATCGACACCGCCACCCGAAGAATTGAGATCTTGCTCTCCGATTGCTGAACATCGAAGTCCGATGATGGAATCGTCGGATCCACACCTTAAACAACTTCTTAGCACGATTAATGTATGTATTAACCCTATGTTTCCCCTTTCCCTTTGAATTCGAAATTTTGAAGAGGTTTTTAAGACCTGAAATTAGTTTCAAACGATTCAGCGATGAATTTTACATCGTTTGAATATAGATTTCAAAAATTTTGAATAAGCCCCGCCCACAAAACCATGCCGCACACAAATCGTTCCCTTTGTAGCTTCTCTCCAGTGTACCATTCGATCGTCTTTTTGTCTATTTCCCAATTGTTCTCGGTCGTCTTTTCGCCATTCTTCCACACGCGCCAAATGATCAATTGGCCCTAGCCACTCTCAGGTACGGTACCTGCGTATCTAACTATGCTTTGGTCCGTCTTTCAAAACCTTAGCCTTTTGTTTAGATCAATAATATCGATTTGCGACACGTGCTATCAGAATGGAAAATCGAAAATTGTGAGGAAATTCATGAAATTGCACTTTTCGGATGCGGCTAGAGAGAGATTTACGACGCACGAGAATACGGTTTATGCGGTGATTTGTCGATTTTTGCCGGTTTTGGTGGGTTTTAATGGAGCAATATTTTAGAAAATGAGAAATTTTTTGAATTTTAAAAGGTTTTTTGTCAGTTTTTACCTGAAAAACTGAAACTTCCATCAAAAATTGTCCCACAAAAAACCTCATGTTTCTATCTATCAGTTCTATTTAATATGAGCAATCTAACATCAATTGAACAAAATTTATACTAATATGAGCAATGATTTTAAAAGAATAGAAATTAAGGATTTGTTTCAAGTTCAGAAGGTTTTTTTTGTCAGTTTTACCTGAAAAAAACTGAAAAATCGATATTTTCGAATTCCAAAAGGTTTTCCATCAGTTTTACTTTTGAAAAACTGAGTTTCCCACCTAAAAAAATCTCGAATAGTCAATAGGGTTTTTCCTCGGTTTTACCTGAAAAACTGGGATAAATTTTCAAAAAATTATGGTTTTTCTATCAGTTTTCCTCCTAAAACTGATTTATTCACAAAAAAGTTTTTAAAATTTTTTTGCTTGTTTTTCTCTGAAAAACTGAAAGTTTCCTCAGAGCTCCTTGAAATTGTCATTTTGTTAGCTGAAAATTTGCAAAATCTGAAAATCCCAAAATTCCCCCTGGAATCTTGTGATTTTCAGACAATTTTTCAGTTTTGGAAATGGCGGAGATGCGGAAGCTATGCTCAAATTTTAATTTTTCACCAAAAAACTTGAATTTTTGAAAAAAGTTTTGCAGATGCGAGAAATGCAAAGTGATATAGATGAAATAACTCAATTATATCGACAATTATGGGTTCTGACAGATGCGATCATTAAAAGTATGGCACAAATTCTATGCTCGGAACAATTGAATAAAATATCGCAAAAGGATCGATTCCCGGCTGAAATTGTTGAACAAATGGGGCAAATTGTTGAGATTGCGGTGCCACAAATTATTGCAAAACATCGTGAAATTCCCGATGAAAGTCGATGTGCTAATATGGCATTGGCGTATTTTGTTAGGGTACGACGGTTTTTACCAGTTTTTTACTTGAAAAACTGGAAAATTCTTGAAATAAAAATTTATTTCGCAACAATATTCAGAAAATAGAATATGTTACCCAAGACTTGAAATTGTCATTTCCTTTGCTGAAAATTTGCAAAATCTGAAAATCCCAAAATTCCCCCGGAATCTTGTGATTTTCAGACAATTTTTCAGTTTTGGAAATGGCGGAGATGCGGAAGCTATGCCCAAATTTTGAATTTTCATTGTCATTTCCTTGGCTGAAAATTTGCAAAAGCTGAAAATCCCAAAATTCCCCCGCGGAATCTTGTGATTTTCAGACAATTTTTCAGTTTTGGAAATGGCGGAGATGCGGAAGCTATGCCCAAATTTTGAATTTTCATTGTCATTTCCTTGGCTGAAAATTTGCAAAAGCTGAAAATCCCAAAATTCCCCCCGGAATCTTGTGATTTTCAGACAATTTTTCAGTTTTGGAAATGGCGGAGATGCGGAAGCTAAATATGCCCAAATTTTTTTGAATTTTTCCAGTTTTCGCTCAGTTTTGTCGATCGAGGTGTTGTTTTTCGATGGATTCATTTCTATGTGTCGAGATTAGATGACACAGATTATCGGGTAAAAATCTGGAATTTCTCACTCACCTCTGCAAAAAATCAGATTTTCAGGCACTTCGTGATTATAAGACTGATTTATTGGAAATTTTGGCCCAACACGAACATCATGTTCCAATGAATTTGCCAGTTTTGATAAATCCGATGAATCAAATTCAACGATTGAATTATTCGGCTGGAATTGTTGAGACTAATTTGCATACTACAAATGGTATGGGTTTTGAGTGGAGATTCGGAAAAATCTCGTTTTTCTAACATGAGCAATGATTTTAAAAGAATAGAAAATAAGGTTTTTTTGTCAGTTTTCACCTGAAAAAACTGAAAAATCGACATTTTCAAATTCCAAAAGGTTTTCCATCAGTTTTACTTTTGAAAAACTGAGTTTTCCACGCAAAAAATCTCGAATAGGGTTTTCCCCGGTTTTACCTGAAAAACTGGGATAAATTTTCAAAAAAATTATGGTTTTTCTATCAGTTTTTCCACATAAAACTGAATTATTCATAAAAAAGTTTTGAAATTTTTTTTACTGAAAAACTGAAAGTTTCCTTGAAATTGTCATTTCCTTGGCTGAAAATTTGCAAAAGCTGAAAATCCCAAAATTCCCACGGAATCTTGTGATTTTCAGACAATTTTCAGTTTTGGAAATGGCGGAGATGCGGAAGCTATGCCCGAATTTTGAATTTTCATATGAAAACTTGGTTTTTTTTTTTTTGAAAATCATTCAAGAAATCTCAAAAAATCTCGAATTTTTCCAGTTAATTCCAATTCTTTACCTGAAAAACTGAACAAATAATCAAACTGAAATTAAAAATTGAATTTGAAGGCATTTTTATCTGTTTTATCTTACAAAACTGAGAATTCCCTCAAAAATCTCTTGAAAATTGTCATTTCCTTTGCTGAAAATTTGCAAAAGCTGAAAATCCCAAAATTCCCCCCGGAATCTTGTGATTTTCAGACAATTTTTCAGTTTCGGAAGTGGCGGAGATGCGGAAGCTATGCTCAAATTTTCAATTTTAGTCTGAAAACTTGAATTTTCAAGCTTGAACTCGAAAAAAGTCAAATTTTTTATAGAAACATCTGAGATTCCTTTTAGAAAATTCTGAATTTTTAGTTCAGAAGGTTTTTTGTCAGTTTTTACCTAAAAAACTGAGAATTTTTTTCAAAAATCTCTTGAAAATTGTCATTTCCTTGGCTGAAAATTTGCAAAAGCTGAAAATCTCAAAATTCTCGCGGAATCTTGTGATTTTCAGACAATTTTTCAGTTTTGGAAATGGCGGAGATGCGGAAGCTATGCCCAAATTTTGAATTTTTGCAGCCAGCGGAACCAACTTCCTCTCGCGATTCTTCAACCAAATTTTCAACACACCAACCCTGGAAAACAATGATTCTGATAGATGTAAGACCCAATATTTTCAGCTAGAATTTCAGCTCTGAATTTCAGACGCTTCTTGTTCGGGAGAATGGCATTTGTCCGGACAATTTTCGGCCAATCATTTCACTGTCGGATTATTGTTGCAAGAAATTGTGGCGAGTTTGCGGGAAACCAAAGAATATCGGAAAAGACCGATTGCGTTGATGCGGAATTTGATGGCGAAACATTCGTTTGATAGAAGATATACGGATCAGGTATGAAGATTGTGGAAAATGCGAAAATTTTGAGGCTAAACTCAGGGTTTTTGCCAGTTTTTACCCGAAAAACTGAGATTTTACGACCAGAAAAATTTATAAGACTGGGATTTTCATCAGTTTTACCGTACAAAACTGAAAAGTTGTCAAAATTGGAGGTTTTAGCAGTTTTTCCCCAAAAAACTGGAAGTTTTCACCAAATTTGAACCCAAAAGGTTTTTCCGTCAGTTTTTACCTGAAAAAAACTGAAAATTACACCCAAAAAATCCAGAATTGTCATTTCCTTTGCTGAAAATTTGCAAAAGCTGAAAATCCCAAAATTCCCCCCGGAATCTTGTGATTTTCAGACAATTTTTCAGTTTTGGAAATGGCGGAGATGCGGAAGCTATGCCCAAATTTTGAATTTTCACCCAAAAACTTGAATTTTCGAGCAAATTTTCTATAGAAACACCTTACCAGTTCGAAAAAAATCTGAAATTCCAGACAATCCAGCGTCGAATTTCGCTTCTCTACGCCCCTCTTCTCACATTTGCTTTGGATCATTTACAAGAACTCGACAACACTGATGAATTTGATGATGTTGATGCAACTCCAACTGGTTTCAAAAGTATTTTGCATAATTCTGCAAATCGCTCCGCTGGAGGAGGAACATCGAGACCTTGTCAAATGCCGCCACCTCCACCAACACTGAAGGAGAATCAACAGAAATTGCAGCAGAATTTGACGCCGTTGGCTGAAAAATTGACGGAGGTATGGGAATTTTGAGGAAAATGATGAATTTCGAGCTGAAAAACTAGAAAAATTCGGAAAAATTGAAGAAAAATGGGTATTTTTTAACCTGAGCCTCTGAGCAATGTTCAAAAATATTATATTTGAAAATTTTTGTTTTTCATAAATTAAGAAATCCAACTAATTTTGGACTAATATGAGCAATGATTAAAAATTCAGTGATTTTTTCACCAAAAAATGTTTGATTTTCAAAATACCACGAAAAATTCTGAAATTCATATCTGATAATTTTTGTTTAATATGAGCAATCTCACATGAAATGAACACATGTTTGACTAATATGAGCAATGATTTTAAAAGAATAGAAATATTCAAAATTAAAAAAAAATTCTGAATTTTTAGTTCAGAAGGTTTTTTGTCAGTTTTTACATGAAAAATTGGAAATTCATACATAATTTGACCCAAGAAGGTTTTTCTATCAGTTTTACTTTAAAAAAACTGAGTTTTCCACCTAAAGAAACTTGAAGTTGTCATTTCCTTAGCTGAAAATTTGCAAAATCTGAAAATCCCAAAATTCCCCCCGGAATCTTGTGATTTTCAGACAATTTTTCAGTTTTAGAAATGGCAGAGATGCGGAAGCTATGCCCAAATTTTGAATTTTCATCTGAAAACTTGTTTTTTTTTCTGAAAAAAGCAAAGATCATCTCAAATTCGAAGAAATCTCGAATTTTTCTAGTCAATTCCAATTCTTTACTTGAAAAACTGAACAATTAATCAAACTGAAATTGAAAATTGAATTTGAAGGAATTTTTTATCAAAAAACTTAAAATTACACTCAAAAAAATCAGAATTGTCATTTCCTTTGCTGAAAATTTGCAAAAGCTGAAAATCCCAAAATTCCCCCGGAATCTTGTGATTTTCAGACAATTTTTCAGTTTTGGAAATGGCAGAGATGCGGAAGCTATGCCCAAATTTTCAATTTCCACCCAAAACCTTAGAATTTTTTCAGGATGAAGTTCAAGACATTCTCATCTGCTGTGTTTTCATTCTCGAACGCCTTCCAAAACGAATTTTGGCTGCAATTTGGACTGAAAATGATGGTGGAAACGCTGAAAAACTGCTGAAATTGATGGATTTGATCATTGAGATTTTCAAGTATCGGGTAAATTTTGCTGGAATTTTAAAAATTTCAGAATAATTTTAACGTATTTTCTATAGGGAAAAGAACATGCTTTGCGAAGAACGGCGGCGAATTCGAAGACTCGACAATTTCAATTGAATTTGCCGAAATCGGGCAGGATTTTCATGCAAACTGAGAAAACAGGTTATTTTTTGGGATTTTCAACCCTGAAATCTTGAAATTTCGCTTAAAATCTCAAATTTTTATTCAGAAATCGATGATGAGCCAACAAATTCGGTGCCTTTTCGTGTACTTCAATTGGTCAATTTGTCGCAAGAGGTTGCGTTGATTATTCTGGATGTTGCGCAAACTTTTGCCCGCCAACTTGCGGTAAGTTAGGCTCCGCCCCTTTTTCTGCAAACCTGGCATGGTTTTTTCTTGAAATTTTGAATCAAAATGTAAGATTCTAAGCTCCGCCCCTTTTTCTGCAAGGCTGGCATGGTTTTTTTCTTGAAATTTTGAATCAAAATGTAAGATTCTAAGCTCCTCCCCTTTTTCTGCAAACCAGGCATGGTTTTTTCTTGAAATTTTGAATCGAAATGTAGGATTTTAAGCTCCGCCCCTTTTTCTGCAAGGCTGGCATGGTTTTTTCTTGAAATTTTGAATTAAAATGTAAGATTTTAAGCTCCGCCCCTTTTCTGCAAACCTGGCACCTTTTTTCTCCGAAAAAAATCGTGCCAGACTTGCAAGAAAGTGGGCGGAGCCTAAATTTTGTGATTTATTTTCAAAATCCCAAAAAACTGTGCCAAACTTGCAGAAAAATTAGCCCCGCCCACATTTCACCCCCATTTTTTTTGCAGAGTCAACGAAATCGCTGGGCTCCACAAAACGAACGATTGTTTGTTGGAATTCTATCGCTACATCTTCGTCTTATCGATGATAATTGGAGTGAAAGTGTTCGATTACATGTTATAGCAGCGCTTGCGCTTTTTGTCAACTTGGTAGGCTTTTTTTTGGATGAAAATTGGCCAAAAATGATGAATTTTGACCCAAAAATCATGATTTTTCACCCAAAAATCATCAATTTTTCACCCAGAAATCATCAATTTTTTCGTTCCAGTTCCGAGCTCGTTTATTCGAAGGTGGACCCCTTGAACCGCTCTATATGTTGATTGAAAAAGTGCTGATACAAATGTCGAGTCGACTTCCAAATGTTCAACAAGCCGCCGCTGCTCTTTTACAGCTCATTTTGAGAAATGGCTATGAAGTTGCGCAGGGATTTTTTGGTAAGACTTTGGGGTTTTTTCTAGTTTTCCCCGCTGAAAACTGGACATTTTGAGTGTTTTTTGGTCAGTTTTTACCCAAAAAACTGCGAATTTATACGAAATTTGACCCAAGAAGGTTTTTCTATCAGTTTTCACCAGAAAAACTGAAATTTCCTTGAAAAATTGTGAAAAACTGAGATTTTTATCAGTTTTACCGTACAAAACTGAAAAGTTGTCAAAAATGAAGCTTTTATAAGTTTTTTCCTCAAAAAACTGGAAGTTTTCACAAAATTTGAACCCAAAAGGTTTTTCCGTCAGTTTTTACCTGAAAAAACTGAACAATGAAATTAAAAATTGGAAAAATGAAAATTACACCCAAAAAATCCAGAATTGTCATTTCCTTGGCTGAAAATTTGCAAAAGCTGAAAATCCCAAAATTCCCCCTGGAATCTTGTGATTTTCAGACAATTTTTCAGTTTTGGAAATGGCGCAGATGCGGAAGCTATGCCCAAATTTTGAATTTTATAGAAATTTTCGGTATAAAAATTTTCAAACTGATTTTTTTGGCGCCAAACTCAAAATTTTGATGAATTGAAATTCTTTTTCAGCTATAAATTTTGAAGTTTATTTGGAAAAGTTTTGAAATTACAATTTTAAACCTAATTGTAAAGAAAAAAGTAAAAAGGTTCCTCAGATTTATCCGAAAAAATTGAAAAGTTTATCAAAAATCCTGAAATTGTCATTTCCTTTGCTGAAAATTTGCAAAAGCTGAAAATCCCAAAGTTCCCCGCGGAATCTTGTGATTTTCAGACAATTTTTCAGTTTTGGATTTGGCGGAGATGCGGAAGCTATGCCCAAATTTTGAATTTTACCCCAAAAATCTTTTAATTTTCGCAGCCAACCAAGCAATGGCTCAAAGTGTCTCCCCAGCCGCTTCCAAACATCAAAACCAACGAAAATTGGCGACGAGCGAGCGATTGGGCCGGCCTGGAGCCCAAACTGGAGTGGCCTTGGCTAGGCTTTTGGGTTTTCAATCAGTTTTGTCGATGAGCACGAATTTTGAGCGGGGATTGAGTGCGGTGGAAGCATTGGTGGATCAGAGAAAAGCGACGAGTTTTGATTTGGCTGTGCTGGTAAGGGGGGAGTTTTGGCTGCGTACTTTGTTTAGTTGACTGAGTATCTAATGTTGATCAAGAGCTTCAAAATGAGACTACACATGATATAGGAACATTTTTTCGATCCACCAAATTTGACTGCGTACTTTGCTTTGACTGAGTATCTAATGTTTTGATCTACCAAACGTTTTTTTTTAAATTGCCTGCGTACTTGACTGAGTATCAAATGTAAGTCATAGAAAATAATTTGGCTGCGTACCTGAGTCTTCACTCTGATGTTTTGATCTACCAGGGAATTTAATTTGGCTGCGTACTTGACTGAGTATCTAATGTTCTGCATAATTTCTCTAACTGAGTATCTAATGTTAAGAAGCAAATCCTATGTTTCTTAGTACCAAATTTGGCTGCGTACCTTCACTGAGTATCTAATGTGAATTCATGTATCTCCTAAATTGGCTGCGTACTCACACGGTTAACTGAGTATCTAATCTGTTCGCACAGGATCTTCTCCGTCAACTTCGCGGCGTCATGTCGGCTACAGTAGCCCTGAAAGATGCGGCAAATGATCCGATTCGCTTGGCTGAATTGCACATTCAATTGGCTGACAGTTATCGAGGATCGGCCGCGTTGAGAAGTGCCTGGTTTGACACGTTGGCTGAATTGTATGAGCAAGGTTGGGCATTTTTTTTGGGTGGGAAATGACCATTTTTGAGCCACACCTGACGAGACGTGTCCAAAATGGACACTGTACATTTTTTTCAAAAGTCACACTGCATTTTTTTTCAAAAAATAACCTTGTTTCCTTTTCACCAACATTTAACCTGGGGAAATAAATGCGCATTTAGTTCAGTGGTAGGCCATTTTGCTAGTGTTCAGAAGGCCCAGGTTCGAATCTTCATTCGAACTAAACTTTTTTTTTATTTTTGCTCAACTTCAAAAACAACTTCAGCTTGCTAATTTTTCGAAGTTTCTCGGTGAAAATCAACTCAGCAGACTTCGTTTTAGTGTAGTAACACAATGTGCAGTGTGGAATTTACGTGACTGCTTAGCAAACCATAGTGTCACTGAAATTTCGAAAAAATTGACTTTCTATGGAAAAACTTCAAATTCCACACTGCACATGGGTAAATTCGAAAACTACGCTTAAAAATACACCAACTTTCTGAATATACCAACCCTTGATATGTGCTCGGAAAAAAATGCCGTCCGATTCTTTGTAATGTCCATATTTACCATTGAAATGGACACTCCAAAATAACAGCGAAATAGGGCATTTCCACACTGCACTCATGGTGTTCCACACTGTCTATGACCATAGCAATCTATCATAAAAAATTCAACCATATCCGTTAAGCCTAAGCTTAGTTATCCTAACTTCAAAATTTGAGCAACGTTGCAACGCATTCGTTTAAAAACAGTTTCCTTTCCACCAACATTTTCCCATTGGGAGAAAAGAGAGATGTGGCCGAGAGGTTAGCATTTTAGACTGGCGAGCATGAGACCAGGGTTCGAATCCTCCTGCCGGCGGAGTTTTTTTTCGAAAAACTTAAAAATTTCACGCTGCACGTTTTTTTTTTGAAAAAAATTTTCACACTGCACAAAAAATTTGGGACACTCTCTCGTCAGGTGTGTTTTGAGCCAAAATTTGAGAAAAAATGACCATTTTTGAGCCAAAATTTGAGAAAAAATGACCATTTTAAGCCAAAAATTGAGAAAAAATGACCATTTTTGAGCCAAAATTTGAGAAAAAATGACCATTTTAAGCCAAAATTTGAGCAAATTGTGATTTTTTCGCAGTTTTGCGCTCAAAATTCCGATAATTTTGAGGGAAAACATGTGATATTTGCAAGAAACTACAAAATTAGACAGTTACAGTAACCCAGACTGCAAAAATATTCCAAATTTTTCAGATCGCTGGTTTGCTGAAGCGTCAGTTTGTCACGCGCATTCAGTCGCGATTATTGCACGAGAACTCGAGGAGAATAGTGAGTTGTTGTCTCTAATTCTCTCACTCTCTCATCCGGGGACTAGAATTTCAATTATGGATTACTAGTCCCCGATTTTGAAAAAAAAATTTTGAAAACGGAAACATATGGGGTGATTCAGGTTGAAAAAAAAATTTAAAAAATTTTTTTTGACAGAAAAAAAAATCGATTCAGCAAATTTCAAAAAACTATATTTTTTTCGTATTTTTTGACATTTTTTTCCACACAAAAATGAAAAAAATGTCAAAAAATAGGAAAAAAATATAGTTTTTTGACATTTGCTGAATCGAAATTAAAAAAAAAAAAATTTTTTACATTTTCAAAAGGTGGACTAGAATCTCCTTTTTTTTCAAAATGAAAAACTAGTCCCCGACTCCAAAATTCATTTTTTTTTGCAGAAGAAATCGAAGTGGATTGGCGAATTTTCGAGTGGATCAACTCGAAAATTAGCGAAATCGAAAATTCGAGCAAAGATGCGGGAAATGTGCAATCCGCCGGATTCACCGCCGAAAATTTGAGCACAAAAATCGATAAAACCGCCGCGGCCTTAATGTTGGCCGAAAGATTCGAAGCTGTCGGACCGCTCTATCGATTGATTGTGCCGGTTTTGGAGAAGAATATGAATTTTACGGTGAGTTTTCTGTTTTTTGATAAACTAGAGTCTAGTTTGATCCCAAATTTTTTCTAGTCACTTGTCAGCATTTATGCCGAATTGCAACAAACCTATAGTCGAGCCGCTGAAGTTCGAACAAGTGGAAAACGACATTTGGGAACGTATTTTAGAGTTCGATTTTATGGTGAAAATCATTTTAGGTTGGTGAACTCAATTTCAGCCGATTTTCAGCCAGTATTTTTCCAGATCCGAACACAACACTGATTGGATTTATCGTGATGTTGGCCTAACTTCTCTAGCCGCATTCGCCCTGGAAATGAAGGAAAAATGTCAACGATTAGTTGGACATGATCGAGTTCAAATTGAGGCGAATGAATTGGATTTGACGAGAATTGATCCGACTATTGCATATGTTCAAGTGACGCATGTTGAACCGATTGAGAATTCGAAAGAAGGTGGATTTGGAGCACTGAAAATGAGCGATTTTACACAACATACTAATGTTTGGTAAGGGAAAAATTGGAAATTGAGGTTTTTTCATCAGTTTTTACCTGAAAAACTGAAACTAAAAAAGATTTTTGTAGCAGTTTTTACCTAAAAACTGAAACTAAAAAGATTTTTTGTTAGTTTTTTCTCAGAAAAATTAACTGAAAATGGTTTTTCCATCAGTTTTTACCTAAAAAACTGAACAATTAATCAACAATGAAATTGAAAATTGAAAAACTGAGAATTCCCTCAAAAATCTCTTGAAAATTGTCATTTCCTTGGCTGAAAATTTGCAAAAGCTGAAAATCCCAAAATTCCCACGGAATCTTGTGATTTTCAGACAATTTTTCAGTTTTGGAAATGGCGGAGATGCGGAAGCTATGCCCAAATTTTCAATTTTCGTCTGAAAACTTGGTTTTTTAAGCTTGAACTCGAAAAAAGTCAAATTTTTTATAGAAACATCTGACATTCCTTTTAGAAAAATCTGAATTTTCAGTTCAAAAGGTTTTGTCAGTTTTTAGCTGAAAACTGAGAATTCTCTCAAAAATCTCTTGAAAAGTGTCATTTCCTTTGCTGAAAATTTGCAAAATCTGAAAATCCCAAAATTCCCCCAAGAATCTTGTGATTTTCAGACAATTTTTCAGTTTTGGAAATGGCGGAGATGCGGAAGCTATGCCCAAATTTTAAGTTTTCATCTGAAAACTTGGTTTTCTGGAAATCATTCCAGAAATTTCTTAAAATCTCGAATTTTTCCAGTCAATTCCAATTCTTTACTTGAAACATTGAGCAATTAATCAAACCGAAATAAAAAATTGGAAAACTGAAAATTACACCCAAAAAAATCCAGAATTGTCATTTCCTTGGCTGAAAATTTGCAAAAGCTGAAAATCCCGAAATTCCCCACGGAATCTTGTGATTTTCAGACAATTTCAGTTTTGGAAATGGCGGAGATGCGGAAGCTATGCCCAAATTTTGAATTTTCATCTGAAAACTTGGTTTTTTTCTGGAAAAAGCAAAGATCATCTCAAATTCGAAGAAATCTCGAATTTTTCCAGTCAATTCCAATTCTTTACTTGAAAAATTGAGAAATTAATCAAATTGATATTGAAAATTGGAAAACTGAAAATTACACCCAAAAAATCCAGAATTGTCATTTCCTTAGCTGAAAATTTGCAAAAGCTGAAAATCCCAAAATTCCCCCCTGGAATCTTGTGATTTTCAGACAATTTTTCAGTTTTGGAAATGGCGGAGATGCGGAAGCTATGCCCAAATTTTCAATTTTCATCTGAAAACTTGGTTTTTCAAGCTTGAACTCGAAAAAAGTCAAATTTTTTATAGAATCATCTGACATTCCTTTTAGAAAAATCTGAATTTTTAGTTTAGAAGGTTTTTTGTCAGTTTTTACCTGAAAAACTGAGAATTCCCTCAAAAAATCCAGAATTGTCATTTCCTTGGCTGAAAATTTGCAAAAAGCTGAAAATCTCAAAATTCCCCCTGGAATCTTGTGATTTTCAGACAATTTTCAGTTTTGGAAATGGCGGAGATGCGGAAGCTATGCCCAAATTTTGAATTTTCATCTGAAAACTTGGTTTTTTTCTGGAAATCATTCAAGAAATCTCTTAAAATCTCAAAATTTTCCAGTCAATTCCAATTTTTTACTTGAAAAACTGAACAATTATCAACAATGAAATTAAATATTGGAAAACTGAAATTTTTCTTTAAAAAAACCATCAGATTTGTCATTTCCTTTGCTGAAAATTTGCAAAAGCTGAAAATCCCGAAATTCCCCTCGGAATCTTGTGATTTTCAGACAATTTTTCAGTTTTGGAAATGGCAGAGATGCGGAAGCCATGCCCAAATTTTGAATTTTCATCTGAAAACTTGGTTTTTCTTGAAAATTACTATTTGAGCACTGAAAAACGTTTTGAATATTGTACCAAAGATCATCTAGAAATCATAAAAATGCTGAAAAATCTCAAAATTTTCCAGTCAATTCCAATTCGAATCAACAATCGTCGAAAATGCTCGAAAACTCTCAAAAGAGCCCTCAATCTCCGAGCAATTTCTCCAAAAAACCCTCCTAAAAGTGGCCGGTGTCTTCCCGGCCACTCAACGTCGTCTGCCAGTCATCGAAATCTCCCGCCAACAATTTTCGCCCATCGAATTCGCCTGTCAAAAACTCAACACAAAAGCCGAGCAAATTCGAAAAACTCTGAATTGCGCTCAAAATGGGCGGAGCCTAGATGTGAAAGGTTTGCAATTATTGCTCCAAGGTGCCGTGCTACCTACTGTAAATGCTGGACCATTGGCCTATGCGGAAGTATTTACGAAAGAGGAACAGAAAAAAAAATATGGAGATGGTCCGGTTGGAGAGCTCAAAATCGCGTTTAAGTGAGTGTTTTCTGGCTCATTTTCACCCCAATTTTGACTGCGTACTTGACTGAGTATCTAATGTGTCGTTTGCAGAAATCTCATGTCTGCCTGCCAATTGGCAATCGAGGCCAACGAGTCGGCAATCGGAGCCGATCAACAAACCTATCATGAAGTTTTGGTTTCATCGTTTGACGCGATGCACGAGAGATTACAAGCGTTTTTTGGACAATCTGTGAGTTTTGGCTGCGTATTTGAGTTGACTGAGTATCTAATGTTGATTAAGAGCTTCAAAATGAGACTAGACATGATATAGGAACATTTATCGATCCATCAAATTTGACTGCGTACTTTGTGCTTTGACTGAGTATCTAATGTTTTGATCTACCAAACTTATGTTTTTAATTGGCTGCGTACTTGACTGAGTATCAAATGTAAATCATAGAAAATAATTTGGCTGCGTATGTTTCTTAGTTCCAATTTTGATCTACCAAATTTGGCTGCGTACCTTCAAGTTGGCTGAGTATCTAATGTCGAAAAAATGCAGTAAAATGAGCCAAAAATTGATGAAAAAATTGGCTGCGTACCTGATTTTTTGATCTACCAAACGTTTTTTTCAAAAAATTGCCTGCGTACTTGACTGAGTATCAAATGTAAATCATAGAAAATAATTTGGCTGCGTACCTGAGTCTTCACTGAGTATCTGATGTTTTGATCTACCAGGGAATTTAAATTGGCTGCGTACTTGGCTGAGTATCTAATGTTCTGCATAATTTCTCTAACTGAGTATCTAATGTTATGAAGCAAATCCTAAGTTTCTTAGTACCAAATTTGGCTGCGTACTTTCAAGTTGGCTGAGTATCTAACGTCGAAAAAATGCTGTAAAATAAGCCTAAAATTGATGAAAAATTGGCTGCGTACCTGATGTTTTGATCTACCAAACGTTTTTTTTAAATTGGCTGCGTACTTGACTGAGTATCAAATGTGTATCATACGCTTCAGAATCACGAAAATAATTTGGCTGCGTACCTGAGTCTTCACTGAGTATCTGATTCTACCAGGGAATTTAAATTGGCTGCGTACTTGACTGAGTATCTAATGTAAAACAAGAGAATTTGACTGCGTTTTCCTAACTGAGTATCTAATGTAATGAAGCAAATCCTAAGTTTCTTAGTTCCAATTTTGATCTACCAAATTTGGCTGCGTACCTTCAAGTTGGCTGAGTATCTAACGTCGAAAAAATGCTGTAAAATAAGCCTAAAATTGATGAAAAAATTGGCTGCGTACCTGATGTTTTGATCTACCAAACATTTTTTTTTTAATTTGGCTGCGTACTTGACTGAGTATCTAATGTTCTGAATAATTTCTCTAACTGAGTATCTAATGCTATGAAGCAAATCCTAAGTTTCTTGATCTACCAAATTTGGCTGCGTACCTTCACTGAGTATCTAATGTGATTTCAGCTTCGTCCAAATCTCGAAACTCCTCAACAACTTCCACGAAGTGCAATGCACGTTTTGGATTCGATAGGAGGTGTCAAAAATTGATCTACCTACAGTAATAGATTACTGTAGGTACAGTAATCCACCGCTTTTTTTCTGATTTTTTTTCTTGAGCTGCTAAATATTATGGGTATTTCAATTTTTTTCGCTTGTTTTTTTATAAATTTTTAAAAAATTCTGAGAAATTATTGATTTTTCGACTGTTTCTACAGTAATCCGATATATTTTTGGCGCCAAATTTTGAAATTTTAATCGTTTTGTTTCAGATGTCCAAACCGGACTATACACAATTGATTAGGGAACAGTATACGGTATTGCAGGTACAGTAATCTTTGGGCGGGAAAATTTGAGGGAACTACAGTAACCCTGATCTACAGTACTTTTTGGAAAATTTTAAGAAAAAAAAAATAAAAATTCGGAAGTCTACAGTAACCCAGATCTACAGTAAGAAAAATTGAAATTTTTGTACGTTAAAAATTCGAGAAAAAAAGTTTATTACAGTAATCGAGAGCTACAGTAGTCTTTAGATAAAAAAATTGAATAAGCAAAATACTACAGTACCTCTATTTTTCCCGCCAAAATCTACAGTAATCCAAATTTTTCTGACCAAAAAATCGGAATATAAAGTTTACTACTGTCTCATTTTGATTATCTCATTTTGATTTTTGGAAAATCGAGAGCTACAGTAATCCTGAACTACAGTAATCTTTTCAAACTTTGAAATCTACAGTAACCCCAATATTTTCTAGCTTTAAAATCTGGAAAAAAGTCTATTACAGTAATCCAATTTTTTAAATAAAAAATTGAATGAAGAAAATAACTACAGTACCTCTATTTTTCCCGCCAAAATCTACAGTAACCCAGGCCCCCAATTTTTCCAGGCCGAACATCTCGAACTTCGCCGTCAACACGATCTACTGTTGGCCTCATCCGGCGGCCCGTCAGGCTCAAATTCCACGTCATTTCCAGCCCGTCTTCTAGAACTCGCAAAATCCCTCCAAAACAACGCGAAATTCGCCGATTGTCAATTTGCGACTCGCGGAAGCGGAAGCGGAAGCGACGCGGAAAAATCACTTCCCGCACATCGATTCGTGTTGGCGACTCGCTCGCGACTTTGGCAAAATCTGGAAATGTCCGCGGTTTTGGAGGTGGCCCCAGAGGATTTCCAGATTTTTGAGACGAAAATCTATCGATGGATCTATGAGGATCGCATTGAATTGGGCGCGGATGCGGAAAATGAAGAGGGATTGATGAGGATTTGTGAGATGGCGGCCAAAATGAAATTGGAACAGTTGATGGATTGGTGAGTGCAGAGAGAAAGGGGCGGGGCTTGCGATTGCAATTTTAGGGCATAGTTTTTCTGGGGCATTTTTTTTGAAACCAAATTTGTTGATTAGAAATTAAGAATCTGAAAAAAAATTGAAAAAAAACTAGAAAACTATGCCTCAAAAATGCAAAAAGGGGCGTGGCTTGAATTATTGCAATTTTAGAGCACAGTTTTTTCCAGGGAACCAAATTTGTAAATTGAAAAATTTAAGAGCATCTTCTCCAGAAAAAAAACTGTGCCGCAAAATTGCAGAAAGGGGCGGGGCTTGCAAAATTTGTTTTTTTTTTTTGCAATTTTAGGGCACAGTTTTTCTGGGGAATTTTTAAAGTTTGTTAATAAAAAATTACGAATCTAAAAAAAATTAAAAACAACTAAAAGACTGTGCCTCAAAATTGCAAAAAGGGGAGTGGCTTGTTTAATTTGTTTTTGCAAATTCAGGGCACAGTTTTTCTGGGGATTTTTTTTTGTGAAACCAAATTTGTTAATTGAAAAATTTGGGAGCATCTTCCCCAGAAAAAAACTATGCCGCGAAATTGCAGAAAGGGGCGTGGCTTGTTTAATGTGTTTTTTTGCAATTTTAGGGCACAGTTTTTCTGGGGAATTTTTTTTGAAACCAAATTTGTTAATTGAAAAATTACGAATCTTAAAAAAAATTAAAAAATTTAAGAGCATCTTCTCCAGAAAAAAAAACTATGCCGCAAAATTGCAGAAAGGGGCGTGGCTTGAATAATTTGTTTTTTTTTTGCAGTTTTAGGGCATAGTTTTTCTGGGGAATTTTTTTTTGAAATCAAATTTGTTAATTAGAAATTACGAATCTAAAAAAATTAAAAACAACTAGAATACTGTGCCTCAAAATTGCAAAAAGGGGCGTGGCTTGTTTTTTTGTTTTTGTTTTTGCAATTTTGGGGCACAGTTTTTCTGCGGAATTTTTTTTGTGAAACCAAATTTGCAAATTGAAAAATTTAAGAGCTTCTTAACCAGAAAAAAAACTATGCCTCAAAATTGCAGAAAGGGGCGGAGCTTGAATTGCAATTTTAGGGCACAGTTTTTCTGGGGATTTTTTTTTTTGGAACCGAATTTCAGTGCGAAAAATGGGCGGAGCTTAAAATATAATTTTTTAAATTAAAAAAAATTCGCAAGAAAAATGGGCGGAGCTTCAGATTTGCAATTTTGCCGCACAGACTTTCTGAGTTCAATATTTTTATGAGAAGACCCCCCCCCACGAAAAAAAAAACTGTGCCGCAAAATTGCAAAAAGGGGGCGTGGCTTGTATAATTTGTTTTTGTTTTTGCAATTTCAGCGCACAGTTTTTCTGGGGAACCAAATTTGTTAATTAAAAAATTTGGGAGCACCTTCCCCAGAAAAAAAAACTATGCCTCAAAATTGCAGAAAGGGGGCGTGGCTTGCAATTGCAATTTTTAGGGCACAGAATTTTTGAGTTCAATATTTTTATGAAAAAAAAACTGTGCCGCAAAATCGCAAAAAAAAATCCCCAAATCATTTTTTTCCAGCACAATTGCTCAACTCTCCTCTCGTCTCAATCCATCAAATTGCATCCGTATTTTCGAGTTCGCCGAAGTCGCCAAATTCGAAAAACTCGCTGAAATCTGCACTCAAATGGTCTCAGCCAATTGGCCACATTTTAGCCCCGCCCATTTTGCCCAACTCTCCGCCCCAATAATTTATCGATTGATTTCGAAGAACACCGAAAATGTGCTGAAAAATGTGTGCGATATCGGTCGCGAAGATGTGCTCTTCCTGTTTTTCATACAAAATTCTGAGAATCTTCGAGAGCTTCTGAATGCCACGTGGCACGATTCTTCGTCATGCGCTTTGGAGACGTGTCTACGCGATTTGCCACGTTTGATTGGCATTGGAGCGCAATTGATCGAAAAAGGTGCTGATGTGGATTTGGTGATTGGAGAAGATGACGCGGAGAATTTGTTGATGAGAGCGATTCGCAGGGATTCTCTTGAAGCTGTACGGTTCTTAAAGGAACACGGCGCGAATTTGATGTATCAGGTGGGTTGCTCAGGTTAAGAGCTTCATTTTGATACCAAACACGGCATTGCTCAGGTTAGGCACTTCATTTTGACACTAAATAATATCAACTTTTTTTACTTAGTTAGTACTAAGTAAGTACTAACTAAGTAAGTAAGGGATTGCTCATGTTAAGTTGAGCCAAAATTAGGATTGCTCAGGTTAGGATTATTATTTTGATACCAAACACCACCGAAATTGAGCCAAAATTATGATTTTGGTATTGCTCATGTTAAAATTCCAATTTTTCCAAATTGCTCATATTTAAATTGAGCCAAAATTAGGGAGTTTCTGAAGAAGAAAACGGGCATTGCTCAGATTAGAAGATTTATTATTATGCCCAAAAATGTAGCATTGCTCATGTTAAAGAGAAGTTACATAATTTTACTAGATTGCTCAGGTTAGACGCATTATTTTGACACTAAATAATATCAAAGTTTGGGGTTGCTCATGTTAAAGAGAAGTTACTTAATTTTACTAGATTGCTCAGGTTAGGCACATTATTTTGAAACCAAACACCACTGAAATTGAGGTAAAATTCGGCATTGCTCAGGTTAGGATTATTATTGTTCTGAAATCGAAAATCCCCGATTTTTCCAAAAAAAAAGGATTGCTCATATTAAGAGCAAAAATTTTGTACATTGCTCATGTTAATCCGAAAAAAAATCAATTTTTTCTCGCAGAAACCCATCTCAAAATCGACAGCCGCTCACATTCTCGCCCAAACTTCGGCTAACTTCAAAAACACGGCCGAAATTCTGGAAATCCTCAAATCTTCCGAAGTCCAACCCGATTCCCAAGATCGTACTCCCCTTCAAATTGCAGTGTTATCCCAAAATTTCGAATTTTGTCGCGCAATTTTGCGAGCGCCGAAATTTGCGGCCGCGAATTTCGCGTCACGCGACGAACACACCGCGTTGAGTTTAGCCGTGTTGGAGGCGAAGAATTTGCGAATCGCCGAATTGCTCATATTAAACGGAGCGGATTTAAAGGCGCTTAGGATTCAAGGAACACCGATTTTGAATATTCTTCTACTCGAGGAGGAAAATTTGGAACTCATCAAACTTTTATTGGATTCTGGAGTGGATTTTGAAGATTATGATCGGAAATCTGGAAAATCAGCGATTCATTTGGCTGTGCAAAATGGACTGACTCAAATTTTGACGCATATTTTTGGAGCCACTAAAAAGAGCAGAAATTACACGTGGCGGAGGGATTCGGAAGGAAAAACTGCGTTGGATTTGGCTGTGGAGAAGAGAGATTTGAAGGCGGTGCAGATTTTGATTGAGGGTAGGTCGGGCCTGAAATTCCGTGTTTTTGATACCGAATAAGCCTAGGCTTAGGCTTAGGCTCAAAATTAGGCCTTTTAGAATCAAATCTGAGTCTAGATTTGGGCTAAAGCCTAATTTTAGACCTGAAAATAAAATTCACTGAATTTCTCAGTTGAAAAAATTCGAATTCAAAATTTTGCCGCTAAAATTTCACAAAAATTCTGATTGTGAAAGGAAAATTTTTGAAAAATTATTTTTTTGGAAAATTTTTTTTGAAATTTTCAAAAATTCTTTTTTTTTGAAAATTCAAAAAAAATTTGAATTTTCAAAAAATTAAGCCACATGGATTTTTTCAATTTTTTTTCAATTTTTTGAACAAAAAATTCAAATTCAAAATTTTCAAAAAAAAATCCTGAAAGGAAAAAAAATTTTGAAATTTTTTAAAATTCAAAAAAAATTGAATTTTCAAAAATTACGCCACGTGGATTCTTTCAAGGTTTTTTTTCAATTTTTTGAACAAAAAATTCAAATTCAGAATTTTGGCGCCGAAATTCCAAAAAAAAAAACCTGAAAAAAAAATTTGAAATTTTTAAAAATTCTTTTTTTTGAAATTTTTAAAAATTGAAAAAAAAATTTGAATTTTCAAAAATTGCGCCACGTGGATTTTTTCACACGAAAATTGGATTTTCAAAATTTTCCCCCGCTCAAAAATTTGAATTTTTGCAGCCGGCGCTCCAATCAACGAACCCGACTCTGAAAATCTGACACTTTTGGCCAAATCCATTCTGGCGAAAGACGATGAGATGGCCGTGTTTTTAATCGATCATGGAGCAAAAGCTCAGGAGCAAAATGGGTAGGTTTGGGGGGATTTTTGGGTGAAAATGGTCCTGAAAAGCTCCAATTTCACGGTCCAAATCCCTTTGTTTTTCCAGGAATCTCGAAAAATCATATCTAGAGCTCAGCTGTGAATCAGGACTTTTGGAAACTGTTCGATCTTTAATCTCAACTGGACTTCAAATAACTCCAAATCTTCTCGAACTCGCACTTTTGGGACAATATTTTGAAGTTGCTAATTTATTGGTTCAATTTGGATGTCCCTTAGATTCCACGATTCTTCACAAATTCCTTGATGCCAATGATCAACCAGCTGCGATCTTCCTAATCCGCGCAGGTTGCGATGTTTCATCATCGACACAATCTACTGATGTTGAACCAGCGATTCATATAGCTGTTGGTTGGTCGATGTTGGATGTTTTGCGAGAATTGGTTGCGCGGGACCCGACGCAACTTGTGGCGCAAGATGCGAATGGCAGAACTGCGGCGCATCTTGCGGTGAGGGAGCAGAATTTGGAGGCGATGCAGATTTTGTTGGAATCGCCGGATTGTGATTTTATTGCGATTCGAGATAGATTTGGGCAGACGATTTTGTCGCAAGCGATGATTGCGAGGGATCATAAAATTGCGGCGAAAATTGTTGAGAGACAACCGCATGCCGCTGCACAAACTAATGGAAATGGTGAGGATTTTGAGAGCCTAGATGAAGTTTTGAGCCAAATCCTGATTTTGAAAAAAAAAAAGAATCTCTTGTGAGCCTGAAATCTAGAAAAACAGCTGAGAATGGGCCCAAAATAGCCTAAAAAACCAGAGAATCTTATCAAATTTTGGATGAATTTTGTTAAGCCTAAATTAGGGCCTTAGTTTTTAACAAGCCTGAAATCTACAAAATTCTAGGCCTATTTTCCAGCCTAATGTGAAAGCCCGGGCCTTTTTAAGAGGTCAAAAATTTGGCCTTTACAAATATCGCGTCTTTTTTTATCTAAAAAAACCTTAAGTCTGGAATTCCTAAAAATTAGGCTCGTCTAAATTAAGCCTAAGCCTCTTTGGAGCCTGGAAAAACCAGAAAATCTGGAATTTTTTGAAGTCTTCAATTTTCAGCCTGAATTTGGTTGTAAAACTAATTTTTATCTGGAATTTGTGCACGTTTTTAATTCTGAAAATCTGAAAATTTTATGTAAAAAAATGTTTTTTAATTATAAATTTTCTAACAAATTCTCTGATTTCCAGAATTGAAAAATTAAAAAAAATTTTTTAACAAAAAAATTTTAACAAAAAATTTTCTAAAAAAATTTCAGATATTCAGAATGAAAAACGTGCACAAATTCCAGATAAAAATTAGTTTTACAACCAAATTCAGGCTGAAATTTGAAGACTTCAAAAAATTTTGCGGAAATTTTCCGGATTTTTTTTTCCGGAGGCTTTAGGACCCGTAGGCTTTTTTAAGCCTAATTTTTAGAAATTCCAGACTCAAGGTTTTCTTAATTTCTTAAAAAAAAGGCCAAACTTTTGACCTGTTAAAAAGGCCCGGGCTTTTACATTAGCGGTCTGGAAATTAGGCCTAGATAAGCCTAGATAGTTCTGCGGTCTGGAAAATAGGCCTAGAATTTTGTAGATTTCAGGCTTGTGAAAAAATAAGGCCCTAATTTAGGCTTCAACAAAATTTATCCTAAATTTTATAAGGTTCTCTGGTTTTTCAGGCTATTTTAGGGCCATTCTCAGCTTTTTTCTAGATTTCAGGCTCACAGGAAATTCTTTGGAAAATTTGAGCTTCTAGATTTTTTTTTCAAAATCAGGATTTGGCTCAAAAGTTCATCTAGGCTCCTAGAAAAACCCCAAGGCTTCTAAAAAACTAAATTTTCACAGGCGAAAACCTCCTACACTCTGCAATTCGTCAAAACGATTTCGAAGCCGTGCTCTTTTTATTAGCAGTTGCTCGAATTGATGTCGGAAGAGCAGTTCAGGATGGAACCGGCAAAACACCATTACATTTGGCGGCTGTTGTGCAAAATGAGATGATTATTCGGAATTTGGTAGGCTTTCCGGGCTTTTCGGGCTTTCCGGACTTTTGAAAATCAAGTTTTTGCAGATTTTGGCCGCTGAAAATGTGAATTCACAATCTACAGATGGTTGCACACCATTACACGACGCTTTGAAAGCCCGGAAAACAGCGCAGGCTCGGATTTTGCTCGAAAACCGGGCCGATCCCGCAATCCGTGATGAATACGGTGAAAATGGTTGGTTTTTATTCATTTTTAGGCTTGCCACGTGGCAGATCGGAAAACTTTTTGAAAATTTCCCGAATTTAAATTTCAGCATTTTTGTGTGCGGTGAGAAGTGGCGATTTGGAATGTGTGAAATTGATTGATCAGGCTGAAGAAATTTGCGGAAATCTCAAATTTGAACGCAATAAAATGTGGGTTTTCAGGCCAAACTGGGCTTCAGGACCCAAAAATTTGGTGATTTTCAGAGGTATGACGTGTCTACATTTGTGTGCACTTTTGACGCCCGAAAAAGGAGCGAATAAGTGGGTTTTTTTTGGAGGAGGGAAAAGGGATTTGAAGAAATTTGAAAAAAAATAAAAAATTTTAGGTTTTTATGTGCATTTTTGAATTCTTGGTGAAATTTGGGTTCGAAAGACATCTCACAAGACATATTTTGGTGAAAAATTATTTTCAGACTTCTCATTTTCAGCTCTGAGTTTTGAAATTCTGAAAAATTAAAAAAAAAAAAAAATTTTAATTTTAATAAGGCCTAAAAAAGGGTCCTGTATCTCTAACCTTCTCCAATTTTTCTTTTAAAATTTCAAATTTTTTTTAAAAATTTAAAAATTAAAAAAAAATTTAGGCTTTAATAAGACCTAAAAAAGAGTCCTGTATTTCTAAAAAACCTTCTCCAATTTTTCTTTTAAAATTTCAAATTTTTTTTTAAATTTAAAAAATTTTGAAATTTTTTTTTAAAATTTTATTAGGTCCTGAAAAAGGGCCCTATATTTCTAAGCTTCTCCAATTTTTCTTTTAAAGGGTTGGTGCTCCGCCAAGGAATCTTGCTTGGTTTAGATAAGAATAAGGTGCTCCTGGAGGGTTCCAGTTTTAGAAAAAATTCTAGTATCAATTCAGCCCATGTTTTTCCTCAAAAACACAAGCGAGTTAAAACCTACGAAATAAAGCATGTAAATGCGCTCTAGCGCACAACTTGTTTTTGAATTTTTGTGTGTGTGTTTGCACACAACTTTGAAAATAACACGGTGACGCCTTTTTGCAGACGATTTTTTCACCAGGAAAGCACCAACCCTTTAAAATTTCAATTTTTTTTTAAATTTAAAAATTTGAAAAAATTTTTAGGATTTAATAAGGCCTTAAAAAGAGTCCTGTATTTCTAAACTTCTCCAATTTTCCTTTTAAAATTTCAAAAATTTTTTTTAATTTTAAAATTTAAAAAAAAATTAGGCTTTAATAAGGCCTTAAAAAAAGGCCTTTGATTTGAGCGGGAAAGAATTTTTTATTAAAAAAATTTTTTTTTGTAAATTTTGAATTCCCGCCCAAATCCAAATTTTGATTTGAGCGGGAAAGAATTTTTTGAAAAAAAATTTTTTTATCAAAAATTCTTTATCGCCTGAATCAAATTTTTGAAAATTTTGAATTCCCGCCTGAAAATATTTTTTTCTTCTCTAAATTAAAATTTTCTGATCCTAGGATTGTGAGGTGTCCCAAAACTCAAATTTTCATGAAAAATTCGATTTCGGGCTCCAAAATTATAGCTTTTTCTCAAAAAACCTGAAATTAAGGCTCAAATTCATCAATTTTTCAAAAAATTCCCAAGATGTTTCCATTTTTTGCTCACAGAAACGCCTCAATGGAAATATGTGAGCTGCTACTGCGCAACTTCGCAGAAATCGACAAAAATGTTGCGGGATTTATAGATGCGCAAGATGCGGATGGAAATACAGGTAGGCCTGGCCTATTTTCAGCCTAAAAAAGCCTGAAAATGGCCTATTTTCAGCCCTAAAAAAGCCTGAAAATGGCCTATTTTCAGCCTAAGAAAGCCCCTTTTTTTCAGCCCTAATGATTGCGTACTCTTTGGGAAACGCGGCGGTTTGTCGAAGTTTGTTGCGTCGAAAAGCATCGATGGGAATCAAAAATAATGGAGATGTCAATGTATTCACCTACGAAACTGCCACCAAACAATTGTTGTTGGGATTGTTGGGTGAGTTGGAAAAAGTGTGCGGTGAAATTGCAAAAAATTAGGCCACGCCCACTCTATTCAAGTCGAAAAAATGACTAAAAAAAACAATTTTTTACAAAAAAATACAGTTTTTTCCTATTTTTTGACATTTTTCTACACACAAAATGAAAAAAATGTCAAAAATTTGGAAAAAAAAAATAATTTTTAGACAAAAATGTTTAAACCTTGCAAAATTCAAAAAAAAAAACATCCTGAAAACTGTGCCCTAAAATTGCAATGAAAAATCCAAGCTCCGCCCATTTTGAAACCGAAATTTCCCCATTTCAGAATCTCTAGAATGCGAGCCTCGCTGGTCCGACTCAGACACTTGCGATTGTGGCTTGCGATTTAGCCTAACTCAACGAAAACATCATTGTCGTCATTGTGGTCGACACGTGTGTGCAAAATGCTCCGAAACAACAATGCCGATAGCGAAATACGGAGAGGAGAAACGTGTTCGCGTGTGTGACGTGTGTAGCCACGTCATTTCGGGTAAACGATGAATTATCGATTGATTTTCGAGGTGCCTAATTATAAATAGTGTGATAATTAATTAATTAATTAGTACATATCTTATATATTGCATAATTTTTGTATAAATTGAATTGAAAATTTTTTATGCGCGAGCTTGATAAATTAAAAGGGGAATGTTTTTTGATTTTCGGGAAGCGAACAAAAAATCAATATCAAATACCGTACTCGTAAAAAGAGACAAAAAAGAATTATGAATAGGGGAAATAAGGGGATTTAGAGTAAAGCTGCAAAAAAAACTTAATTTTCAGTGTGGCCGCGGCGATAAAATTAATAACCGGCTTGAAGGAGATATCCGCCAACATTTTCGACGGCGTGACGAACTTGCGCCGAAATCTCGTTTGGACCCTCGTAGATTGCGATGAGAATGGCTGAAAATTTGAAAATTTAGAGAATTTCGATTGAAAATTTTTCAGATTTTGGGTGAAATTTTGCCAAGTTTCTTCGGACCACTGGATTTTTCAAATAAAATTTTTTAAAAAATCGATGATTTTTCAGATTTTCCACCAATTTCAGGCCAAAAACTCACCACTCTTGGTTTTGACAGCAAAGAATCCAGTTTTGTCGCGTTTTCCAAAAATCAAATTCTCCTCGGTTCTCGGAACAACATAGTGCAAATTCTCGATATCGGCTCCTTTCGATGGAACACTTGAAATGTCGTCGAAAAGAGCGGCAAAGGCTTTGAGCTCCGATTCGGTGGCCTGAAATTAAATTTGGGTTTTGAGAAAGAGAGAGAGAGGGATTCTAGAGTCTTGAAGCTTCAAAATTCAAGATTTTTAACATAAAGATTTTGAATTTTTTCAAATTTTCAGCTCTTAATTGTAAGGACTGATTCACGAAAAGTCAAAAAATGTCGAAAAAACATTGTAGATCAAAATTAGTTTTTCGAGTTTTTCAGCCAAAAATGATGACAAATCGATATTTTTCAAGCTTCTGGAGTAATTTCTGATTAAAATTGACCTTGGAATTCATTTTCCAGAAGGTTTTGCTGATTTTTCGAAATTCATAAAAATTTAAAATTTTTTTATTTTTCGAAAAATCAGCAAAACCTTCTGGAAAATGAATTCCAAGGTCAATTTTCATCAAAAATTACTCCAGAAGCTTGAAAAATTATTGATTTGGTATCATTTTTGGCTGAAAAACTCGAAAAACTAATGTTTTTTCGACATTTTTTGACTTTTCGTGAATTGATCTTTCAATGTTAAAAAAAACATTTTTTCTTCGTGAATCAGCCCTTTAAAAAAAATTGTTGGCTTTTCAATGAAAAATCTTAGAAATTCCCTAAAATTTTCAATTTTCAACCCCGAAATCATGAATTTTAACAAGAAAAACCCCGAAAATGCTCTCACCTTGAAAACATTTTCGCCATTCTCAGTTCTCGCCCAAACCGATCCATCGGTTCCCAAAATGGCGGCTCTTTTGATGGCGGCCGAGGCTCCGGTCATTGAAGTGATATAAGCATCCCATCCAGACATTTTTGTTGTTGTGAGAAAACGGTTTTTTGAGAGGCAGAAAAACTGAAAAATTTGGGGATTTTTGAGGGGAAAATTGACAAATTAGAGGAAAATCGAAAAATAATGAAACCAAGCTTGTGAAATCGCCAATTTATAGACAAAATTTCAAAAGTGGGCGGAGCCGAAGAAAAAAAACAACAGCAAAATGGATGAATCACACGACATTTTTTGATAGCTGATAAGAGGTCAAAACAATTTTTTTGAGAGAAACAGACAAAAATAATTATGTTTTGAGAAAATCGCTTGGAAAACAACAAAAAACTGTTCAGTTTTTTGTTGTTTTTTTGTTTGTTTTGTTGTTTACCAAATCGTGGATTTGCCCTACTGATAACACAATTTTTTGGGAGGGAAAACATGAAATTTCGAAAGTTTGAATGAAAATAGGGCTGATTCACGAACGAAAAAATGTTTTTAACATCGAAAGATCAATTCACGAAAAGTCAAAAAATGTCGAAAAAACGTTGTAGGTAAAAATTAGTTCTTCGAGTTTTTCAGCCAAAAATGATGACAAATCGATATTTTTTAAGCTTCTGGAGTAATTTCTGATGAAAATAAGGTTCGAGAACCCGATTTTGCTTTATTTTATGATTTTTTTTCGAAATTCATCAAAATTAAAAATTTTTTTTAACGAAAAATCAGCGAACCCTTCTGGAAAGTGAATTCCAAAGTCAATTTTCATCAGAAATTACTCCAGAAGCTTTAAAAATATCGATTTGTCATCATTTTTGGCTGAAAAACTCGAAAAACTAATTTTTGACCTACAATGTTTTTTCGACATTTTTGACTTTTCGTGAATTGATCTTTCGATATTAAACTTTTTAAAACATTTTTTTCGTTCGTGAATCAGCCCTAAAGCTTTCTCATACGAAACTATTCGAAAAAGTTCTAATTTTCAGCTCAGAGACTTTGAAAATCTACTTTTCTGTTTGAAAATCTTCAATTTTCAGCTTCAGCTCATTCAATTGATTAAAATTATCTAATCAACCAAAAGTTCCCAATTATTCAGTCGACCGAATCGAACTTTGTGAAAATCTGAACTTTTCGGCCAGAAATTGCGGAAACCTCGAAAAATTCATCAAAAAGTGAATTTCCTAAGGAAAACAAGATTTTCAGGTTGAAATTCAGACTAGGCGGAATTCGAGATAACAAAACCTAGCAAAAATCTCGGGCCAGAATGAGAGAGAAATCGGAAAACCCAATTTTTCGGCGAAAAGCATGGAAAATCAAAAATTTTGCGAAATTTTCATCAAATCTATGAGCACGCACATCTGGCCAGTCAAAATGACTCCGGCGCGTCGAATAAATTAACACAATAACGAGGAAAAGCGACTAAGAAGAAGAAGAAGAAGAAGCGAAGACACAACAAAATGAAATAAAAACCCGAGGAGAGAAAAAAGGACAAACAAAGAGAGAGAGAAAACCGAACAGATGGTCTTTATTTCGTGTCTTAATTCAACCGGCCAATCTAGTTTCGTCTCTTTTTTTTTGTCTTTTCTGGGTTAAGGCACAAAGTGCTGCTGAATTGAATTGATTTTGATTTGTTAGTGGCTCATTTAGAAAGATCGGAAGTTCAAGTTTGGAAATTAATTAGTTTAGGAGTTTAGCTTACTTGAAAATCCGAAGTTCGGTTATTTTTAATATAGAACACCTATTCCTAAACTCGAAAAAACACGCTGTGGACGAAAACGCTACGAATCTTCAGATATCACTGAAATTTTAGGTTAAAACATCAGTTTTTCCGAATTTCGAGCCTAAATCAGCAAAAAATCGTTTACTCGGTTGAAATTAGTCAAAATCATCATGCTCTATTCTGAATTCAAAACTATTATCGAAAATCTCATCGGTACCACGCGCTCCACCGAAACAAACACGCAACGCAGACCGCGTCGCGCCACAACACACACGAAAAAGGGAGGGAATTTGAATCGTTCCCTTATTTGTGTGTGTTGTGGCGCGACGCGGTCTGCGTTGCGTGTTTATTTCGGTGGAGCGCGTGGTACCGATGAGATTTTCGATAATAGTTTCTCTAAAATTAAAACTAAAAATGGCTTGAATCAGACATTTTAAGATTTCCACGATTCTCAGCTCCAAAAAACGTTTGAAATGAATTTAGTCAAGTCTGCCACGACAAGTTCACGTTTAAAAAATCAATAATTTTGCGACGTGGCAAAACGAGAAAATTTCGCTGAAACCCAACGAAAACATATCCATTTTATCCGTTTCCCCATGCTCCGCCCATTTTTTCTCTCGCGCTCTGAGAAACAATTGCGAAATGAGCAGAAATGATGAAATATTTGGATGAATCACCCAATTTGGTGACTTTTTCGAGGCGAAAAAGCGGGGAAAACAAAACGAAAAGACATTTCAAATGCATGTGCTCGCTCGCACAAAAAAAATCAGAAAAGAATTTTAAAAAAAAAGAAAAATTTTCGGCGGGTAGATCAAATATCAAAAAACCGATGTTGGTCTCGGAAAACTTTTGTAACACACACACACACAAAAAAATCGATTTTTTTTTCTTCAAGCAAAAAACACACACTTCATTTGTTTAAAAAAAAGAAAAACATGAATTTTAGTATGAAAACAGCGAGATTTTCATGCTTCGGGAGAGATGCGATAAGGATTATTGATTGATTTACTTGGTGTTGATGAGTTCGACGTCGAAGACCAAAGTCGAGTTTCCTGGGATGGTTGGTGGAACTCCGCGTGGTCCGTAGCCCAAATCTGGCGAGATTGTGAGTTTGGCGCGTTGTCCAACGGACATCTGAAAGAATTTTGATGTATTTTCTAACTGTAAAGGGAACTTTTTGAGCTTGGCTTCTAGACATGTGAAATCCAATCAAATTTCAAAATAATCACCTTGGCAACTCCTTCATCCCATCCCTTGATGACTTCTCCTTTTCCAATTTTGAATTGGAATGGAGTTCCACGATCGCGCGACGAATCAACCTTCTTTCCATTTTGCAAAGTCAAAACGTAGTGACAGGTGACGGTTTGACCCTTTTGTGGGAAAGTCGAACCATCTCCCTCTTTGATTGTATCGATTTCGACTGGCATGGCTTCCTGGAAACATATTTATGAAATGGTTTCAATTATAACTTGAGAGAGATACATCGAAAAGAACGCTGTTATGAAATCAAAAAAAATCACAAACAAAAAACAGATAACGAACAATGTTGTTCTTGATAAGCGTTGCCATAACAACTTTTTTTTGGTCGTTCCCAAAAATGGGCGGTTCAACGAAAAAATGAAAATATAGTCGAGCAGAAGAGAAGATTTGGCTAATTTTGCGGAAAATCGATAAAACTTGTTTTCCTTCTAAAGACATCTCAAGAGTCGTTCGAAATAGAGTTTGATTATTTATATTTCAAAAGAAAAGGAAAAAAGTAGAACCAACAAAAAATCCTAAAATTTCGCAATTTTGCAAAACCAAAAAGTCGTCTCTTCTTTTTCATGAAATAAAGAACCTAGATATTTTCTATTTGAAAAATACAATAAATAAACTAAAAACCAGCTCCTTTTACAACAACAACAACAAACAAAATTGTTTTGGTGGGGCGAAAAAGCGGAAAGAAGAAAAACAAAAAGAAAAATTTGAAATGTCTTTTTTTCTCTGCGTCTCTCGTTCGCTGCAAGATATCGGCGTTTCATCGAGAGCCTGCGCCTTTGAACCGAGCGGCAATTCAAACACAATTTTTCTTCTTGTTTTTTTCCAAACACTGTTTCACCCAACTTGAAAAAAAGAAAACAATTGCAAAACCAAATGTTTATGCCAAAAAAAAATCGAGTATTTCATATTCACAAGTACACAAATCTAAATTTCAATCATGCCTTCTGGCTTTACCCCACCCTCCATCGAGTACAAATACTTTTGTGTTGGGGTTTTTTCAGACTCTTCGGGGGCGACTTCTGAAAATAAAATTTCATTGAAAATAAAAAATCCCATATTTTATGATAGATTTTGATGAGCTGTTCTGAATGGATCCGTCCATTTCGTTCAGCGCATCAAAATTGTTTCCTTTTCAAAAACTCACCCTTCTTTTTCTTCTCCTTGCCCTTCACTTTATCTTTAAGCGATTTGATCTTGTCTTGATGATGCAAATATCGACGACCATACCAAATCTCGTTCTTGTTCTTGCGAATGATTTCTTTATTCTGTTGTCCGACTCGTCCTTTGAGGTAATCAATTTCTTCCTGAAAACACATATGCTATTTAATTTCGTAAAAACGCGCATAAATACATTACCTCTGGCTTGATACCGGAATGCATTCGTTTGAACGGAAGAACATACAGCAGCTTTGCCAAGATTGCCAATAAAACATAAACTCCAAACAAAATCCAATTCACAATGATAACATTGCGCGAGTAGATTGCTTTCTCGTCACATAATCCATGTGGCATCTCTTGATAGCATTTGATGTCGGTTTTTGTCAACTGGCTCTGTAATAAAATACATTTAGATTTTTGTTCGAAATTAAAAATGAGTAACTTACATTGATCGAACCAACAAGTTTCACCGAATCATTTTTCATTGATTCAAACGAATGTTGAACCATCTTTTTGGCTTCTGGTCGCATATCTTTATTTACATTTCTCTCATCAATTTTTTGGAATTTTTCGAAATCAGATTTAAGAGTTTCAAAAAGTGAGATAGTTTCATTGAGAGTGGTCTTATCCTGTTTTATCAAACATGTCGCAGTCGGTATTTGTGAAAAAACAAAAATTTGAGTTTGTAGTTCTGCATATTTAGCCATAATATCGGTACGGTTCAAATTCGCAGACATATGATGAAGAGTGGAGGTGAGATTCTCAACATTATTTTGATAATCATCCAATGACTTGACAATGATATTTCTATTCAAATTTGCATCCATTTTTGTATAAATAGATGAACCTTTCTCACATCCACCCGTGATTTTCCCAATATTGACAGCTTTTCCATCAAAAGTGTAGAAATTTTTGTCAGAATTTTGAGATGGTGTTTTCATTTCACAATCATATGAAAATAAAGATATACCAATTAATGAAAGTATTGCTATGATCAACAAAGCAAAAGCAATGAAAATGGCAATTCCCATCAAAATATTCGAATATAGTTTGAGGCTATACAACTTAATCTTTCGTTTTTGATAAAAAGAAGGCCAAAACAGCAATCACAACAAGAAATATCAAAGCAACAGAGAATAATCCGATTGTTGTTATAAAATGTCCAAGTTTCGCAGAATCTCGAGATTTCATTTGATCTTGGGTTGATTTTATGAAGGTATCATCTCTTGTCACAGTTTCTGTTTGATAATCAGTCAGCATTGTTGTCACATTACCTCCATATCCAACGATGTTTCCATTTGACAATCTGCCAGGTTTGTTAGACTCTTCTGTTATAATCACATTTAGCTTAGATTGAGCTTTATTAACTGGTCTTCCGAGGTTGTTCAGCTCTCTAATATGCGTGTTGATTGAACCATTCAACAATTTCAAGAATTTGGTTTTGTCTATTATCACATTTGCAGTTGGAGTACAGTTGGTGGTATTGAATGCATCTAAAAGCTGTTCAATATCGTGATATGTTCTTTTCGACGGATGCTCTTGTTTTGTCTGTAAAAAAAGTTGATATATGATTATGGGACTATTCAGATTGTTTCCCAGCCAAAATAAGAGAAGCCTACAACTAGATACATACCAATTTGTCGAGTTCAAGTTCATGGCGAACATATGTGAACAAATTGGTTGATAAGCCGTCAAGATTGATACCATTGCCAAGATTCGAAAATGTCTGAACAACTTTGATCGCTTTGTCGACAGATTCACTGGTCTCTGGAAAATATATAATTGAAAATGAATTATACATTGCAATAAACATACGTGTCTTGTGATCTTCAAAAACTTTTATCTGACTCGAATCATCTTTTGATTCCGACAAAATTAGACCAAATGAAGCAACTCCAGCGACAACAATCAATGCCAAAACAATTATGGCAACAATAATAAACCACTTTCCAACAGCAGGTTTTCTGCTTTCGTATATTGCAGCCGCAATATCATGCTCTCTATCAGGCTCAGTTCGTGTTGAAGCATTTACCTTGGCCAATGCTTCCATAACTGATTGACTAGGCATCCCGGGTGTTTTGGAGGCATCGTTTTTGGCAGCGACTGGTGTTGTTGACGCAGCTCCTTTACTTGCCACTGATGTCGTTGACGCAGCTCCCTTAGTCACCACTGATGTTGTTGATTGATCGTTCTTAGTCACCACTGATGTCGTTGACTCAGCTCCCTTTGTCGCCACTGATGTTGTTGACGCATCTTTTTTAGGAACATCTGATGTTGTTGATCCTTTTTTCTTAACCATTTTCGAATATTAAGATGAATTATTTTGTCTGCGAAAAAATGGCAAAACCTCCGGTGGCGCCCGTTTAAATAGCATTTTCCAAGGGGCCGCCACGTATCACGTCTAATCCAGGTTTACGTTTTGGATATTTGGGCATTTCTGAAGTTCTTTTATTTTTTGAATTTTGACATCCCAACCTTCAAAGAAAACAATATATTTATACGCCTTGAAAAAATCTGCAAACAACAAACATCACGCGCAAACCCTACAGTACCTCCTGATCTCAAAAATTTACTCGAAAAAATCTGGCAAAAGCCACAATGCAGTTTGGAGGATTTCAGCCAAAATTTCATTTTTCGAGATTGTTTCGGTCATCAGCAAAATACGCAGACTTTTATTGATGTTTTTGTGAGAAGAAAAGAGGAAATCAAAAAAATTTACTATGTTGAGCAAGTTTTTTAGCATAAAGTTTATTTAAAAAATATATTTTTCAGAAAATTTGAGCAAAAATCTGGAAGACAATAGGTTCCAAGGGGTTTTCAAGGCGGATTATTTCGAATTTAACTTATTTTACAATTTGGAAACCAAAAAATTAGAAAAAGGAGATGCTTTTAATTGCGATCAATCGATTTATTATCGAGTTTCTGGACCTTAAATCTCTCCCTTATAAAAAGCGAAATCACTGAAAATTTGGCGTCACATTAAATGTTTCTTTTTGTGCAAACACCGCTTCGTTTTTTGAAAAATCAACGCGCGTTGCGAGACACGGGAGAAAAATTGTGTGCGCCTTTGATGAGGGGTACGGTAGAAGTATTCGTGAATTTTTATTTATTTTTTCTGTTTTTGAGGGTTTGAGCGCTGCAATTTTTGGAACATATAACACGCCTATTGTAACTTCAGGGGATTATTTTCAAAATGGGAACCCCCCCCCCTTTCTGACTTTGAAAATAGATTACATCAAAATTATAACAGTTGGGAACCCTGAGATTCTCTCCAACTACACTTCACGAAGAGTATACTAGTTTAAAAAAAATGAAATTGCCGGTTTTTCAAAGTTTTGAATAGTGCCTTTTTCTACTCCCCCAAAAACATTTTTCCGTAAAATCCAAAAAAAATCACTAAAGATTCATTTTTATAATAAAATTATTCAAAAAATTTTCTTGCCAGCTTCAAAGCTTTGAAAATGAATACTGTTGTAGTTGAAACTTCAAATAATATTGTCTTGAAGCTGAATGGATAATATTAATAAGATTGATGAATAATTGAATGAATGAACGATAATTGATTAATTGATGATGATAATCCTCTAGTAAAATTTACAAAATCTCTCTTTCCGATCTCTTTCTTCTTCTTTTTTCTTTGGCTCTTAATCTTCTAATGATTTCATCCTTTTTCCCAAGCTCGTCCAAATGAATAAGATAAACAGCCTAACAATAAAATAACAAAATAATTTAAAAAAAAACAACAAAAATCTCACCTTTTCTTTTTTTCGGCTTCTTCCTTCTTCTTTGCCTCTTCTAACTTCCTTTCGGCGCTTTTATCAGCTGATATCACGAGTTGAGGGATTAGGAAGAGCAACTTTGCCAAGATTGCCAACAAAACATAGACGCCAAACAAAATCCAATTCACAATTATAACATTGCGCGAGTAGATTGTTTTCTCGTCACATAATCCATGTGGCATCTCTTGATAGCATTTGATGTCGGTTTTTGTCAACTGGCTCTGTAATAAAATACATTTAGATTTTTGTTTGAAATTAAAAATGAACTTACATTGATCGAATCAACAAGTTTCAGAGAATCATTTCTCAATGATTTGAAAGAATCTTGTACCATTGTTTTGGCTTTTGAACGCATATCTTTTTGGAGAATATTTTCAGCTATTTTTTGTAAATTTTCCAAGCCATCTCTGCAATTTCTAAAAATTGATATAATATCATTGAGAGTGTTCCTATCGGGTTTTTGCAAACATGTGTCTGTCGGCATCTTCCCAAAATCAAGAAGTTGTGTAGTCAATGATGCGGATACATCTGAGAGATCGTCAAAATTCAAATCCCCAGAAAAATGATGAAGAGTAGAAGCAAAGTTTTCGACATTAGATTGAAATTCATCCAAATACTTCTCGACACTTTTCCCATTAAAATTTGCATCCATTTTCGTATAGATTGATGAGCCCTTTTCACATCCACCCGTGATTTTCCCGATATTGACAGCTTTTCCATCAAAAGTGTAGAAATTTTTGTCCGAATTTTGAGATGGTGTTTTCATTTCACAATCATATGAAAATAAAGATATACCAATTAATGAAAGTATTGCTATGATCAACAAAGCAAAAGCAATGAAAATGGCAATTCCCATCAAAATATTCGAATATAGTTTGAGGCTATACAACTTAATCTTTCGTTTTTGATAAAAGAAGGCCAAAACAGCAATCACAACAAGAAAAATCAAAGAAACAGAGAATAATCCGATTGTTGTTATAAAATGTCCAAGTTTCGCAGAATCTCGAGATTTCATTTGATCTTGGGTTGATTTTATGAAGGCATCATTTCGAGTCACAGTTGATGTATTATAATCAGAAATCATTGTTGTAATATTTCCGCCATATCCAACAATATTTCGATTCGTCAATCTTCCCGGTTTGTTAGACTCTTCTGTGATAATCCTATTCAAATTGGCTTGAGACTCATCAACTGGTTTCCCGAGGGTTTTCAGCTCTCTGTTATAAGTGTCGATTGAACCATTTACCAATTCCATGAATTGGGTTTTATTCATGATCAGAGTTTTCGGCGGATTACAATCGGTGGTGTTGAATGACTCCACCATCTCCTCAGCCGATTTGATTTCTCTTTGTGACAAGTGTTCTGTTTTATTCTGTAAAAAGTTGATATAGAATTGATTTTCGGAAGCCATGCAAATGCTCCGAGGCTCATATGAATGATCATTTTTATCTACATCTATTTTTGTGTCTCTGGAAACACTTGAACATACCAATTTGTCGAGTTCCAGTTCATGGCGAATATACTTGAACAATTTGGTTGATAAATCGTCAAGATTGATATCATTGCCAAGATCCGAAAATGTTCGAACAACTTTGATTGCTTTCTCGACAGATTCACTGGTCTCTGAAAAATATATAATTGAAAATGAATTATACATTGCTATAAACATACGTGTCTTGTGATCTTCAAAGACTTTTATCTGACTCGAATCATCTTTTGATTCCGACAAAATTAGACCAAATGAAGCAACTCCAGCGACAACAATCAATGCCAAAACAATGATGGCAACAACAATAAACCACTTTCCAACAGCAGGTTTTCTGCTCTCGTATATTGCAGCCGCAATATCATGCTCTCTATCAGGTTCAGTTCTTGTTGAAGCATTTACCTTGGCCAATGCTTCCATAACTGATTGACTAGGCGCCCCGGGTGTTGTGGGTGTACCGTTTTTGGCAGCGATTGGTGTTGTTGACGCAGCTCCCTTAGTCACCACTGATGTCGTTGACTCAGCTCCCTTTGTCGCCACTGATGTTGTTGACGCATCTTTTTTAGGAACATCTGATGTTGTTGATCCTTTTTTCTTAACCATTTTCGAATATTAAGATGAATTATTTTGTCTGCGAAAAAATGGCAAAACCTCCGGTGGCGCCCGTTTAAATAGCATTTCCAAGGGGCCGCCACGTATCACGTCTAATCCAGGTTTACGTTTTGAATATTTCGGCATTTCTGAAGTTCTTTTTTTTTGAACTACTCACAATCAGCAGCTTTTCCACGATTTCCTCCATGATTTATCTATGAATCGATTTTTGTTAGGAGAATTTTTGGCGAGAAAATTTTTTTTTGAAAAATTACTATCAACGTCTCAAGACCCCTGTTTGTTTGCAATGTTCCTTTAATGATACCGTATCTTCATTATGTTTTTATTTTTCTTTTTTCGCTCACTCATCGATTTTCCCCCTTTGTTTCCACCTGGAAGGCAGGTTAGATCTCTAATTACATCTTTTTCCAACAAGGCATAACATATTTGGGGTTGGCTGCCAGCCAAGCGAAAAAATAGTGCGAGGAGAGAAGAGAGCGGCGAGAGAAAAAGAGCAGGACGCACTTTCACTGTCTAATCCCTCATTTTTCCGTCTTCTAGATTCGATGTGCTAGAAAAACGCGAGATTTATTGGCAAAATGGCGACTTCGGCGATCTATATTTTGGATCTCAAGGGAAAGGTGAGCAAATTTCACTGGTAAATATATATCGGGAAAATTGAATTTTCAGACAATTATCGCGCGAAATTATCGTGGAGATATCGATTCGAGTGCAATTGACAAATTTATTGGACTTTTGATGGAGAAAGAGGAGGAGGGACAAAGTTCGCCGGTTTTAACATATCATGAGACGAATTTTGTGTTCATTAAGCACACTAATATTTATTGTGAGTTCAAAAATGCGTTTTCAAGGGGAAAGTGTTTTTTTAGTGAATTTTGAGCTCAAATTTGAATGACAAAATGTGGTTCTGCAAAAAAACTTGAATTTTTTGAATTAGAAAATACGTGAACGTGAACTTTTCCACTAGCCAGCTTCATTTCGAAATTTTTCATTTGTGGAAACTGCCACGTCATAACTCAATCAGCTAAAAATTATTTTTTCTTCCAGTGGTCTCCGCATGCCGTGCCAACGTAAACGTCACAATGATTTTGTCATTTTTGTACAAATGTGTCGAAGTGTTCACCGAATATTTCAAAGATGTTGAAGAGGAGTCGATTCGTGATAATTTTGTGGTGATTTATGAGTTGTTGGATGAGATGATGGATTTCGGGTTTCCGCAAACCACTGAGAGCCGCATTTTGCAAGAGTAGGCGATTTTTGGGGGATTTTCGATCGAAAAATCTGCATTTTTGCGTCATTTTGAATGTAAACACTGAATTCGACGAGAAAATGCAGAAAACACTAGATTTGACGGGAAATCACAGAATTTTCATAAAAATCTGCATTTTTGCGTCATTTTGAGTGTAAACACTGAATTTGACGAGAAAATGCGGAGTTTTCAAAATCCAAACACTACAAACTACGCAAAAATGCAGCATTTCTATGAAAATCTGCATTTTTGCGTCATTTTGAGTGTAAACACTGAATTTGACGAGAAAATGCGGAGTTCTACCTAATTTTCAGTGTAAAAACACTAGATTTGACGGGAAATCACAGAATTTTCGAAAAAATCTGCATTTTCGCGTCATTTTGAGTGTAAACACTGAATTCGACGAGAAAATGCGGAGTTTTCAAAATCCAAACACTACAAACTACGCAAAAATGCAGAATTTTTGAAATTTTCTTCAGATACATCACCCAAGAAGGTCAAAAATTGGTGTCTGCACCACGTCCACCAATGGCAGTCACCAACGCCGTTTCCTGGCGTTCCGAAGGCATAAAATATCGAAAAAACGAGGTAAACCCCGCCGCATTTTCAGCCAAAAATCGCCAAATTTTGCAGGTTTTCTTGGATGTCATCGAAAGTGTCAACATGTTGGCCAGCGCCAATGGCACCATTTTACAATCGGAAATTGTGGGAAGTGTTAAGATGCGCGTCTATTTGACCGGAATGCCGGAGCTTCGTTTGGGATTGAATGATAAAGTGCTGTTTGAGGGAAATGGACGTGAGTTTCTTGTGGCCTAGAAAACCAACGTTTTTCTAGGCCATCAATTTTTTCTTTTTTTCTTCGTTTTGTGGGGTTTTTTAGCTCAAATTTTCATGTTTTAGGAGCAAAATCGAAATCTGTTGAACTCGAAGATGTCAAATTTCATCAATGTGTTCGATTATCGCGTTTTGACACAGATAGAACGATTTCTTTCATTCCACCTGACGGAGCTTTTGAATTAATGAGTTATAGGTGAGATTTTCACCCTAGAATTTTTCCCCCTCAAAAACCTCCCCGCATTGCTCAGATTAACAACACTGGTGAAACCGTTGCTCTGGGTTGATACAAGTATCGAAAGACACAGTCATTCGCGTGTCTCCTTCATCATCAAAGCCAAATCGCAATTCAAACGGCGCTCCACTGCGAACAATGTCGAGATTATTATTCCAGTGCCAAGTGATGCGGATTCGCCAAAGTTTAAGGTTGGTTTTCTAGGTCATGGCCTAGAAATCCGCAATTTTTCTTGCAGACCTCAATCGGCTCGGTCAAATATATGCCCGAACAATCGGCCATTGTTTGGACCATCAAAAGTTTTCCGGGCGGAAAAGAATATCTGCTCACCGCCCATCTTTCATTGCCTTCTGTGATGAGCGAGGATGCTGAGGGAAGACCGCCGATTAAGCTGAAATTCGAAATTCCCTATTTTACCACTAGTGGAATTCAGGTGGGAAAAAGCAAGTGCGCTCTATTGAAAATGTGGTTTTCTTCTGAAAAATTCGAGTTTTTCATTGAAAATTCATGTTTTCTTGGAGAAAATCAAGTGCGCTCTATTGAAAATGTGGTTTTCTTCAAGAAAATTTGAAAAAATTCACCAGAAAATACAAATTTGCTCTATTGCAATTTTCAGTTTTTCAATAGACAATTCAAATTTTCTGGGATAAAATAGCAAGTGCGCTCTATTTAAAATGTGGTTTTCTTCAAGAAAATTTGAAAAAAAGTTTTTCACCAGAAAATACAAATTCGCTCTATTGAAATACCAAATTTTAAATTAGAAATTCAAATTTTCTGTGATAAAATAGCAAGTGCGCTCTATTGAAAATCTGGTTTTCTTCAAGAAAATTTGAAAAAATAAGTTTTTCACCAAAAATTACAATTTCGCTCTATTGAAATACCAGATTTTGAATTAGAAATTCAAATTTTCTGTGAGAAAAAGCAAGTGCGCTCCATTGGACTCTTGCATTTCTCTTGGAAATTTTGAATATTTGTTGAAAACCCTGGTTTTTTCAAATGCGCTCCACCGAAATCTTAAAATTTCCTCCTAAAAATTCAAAATTTTTTTGCAGGTTCGCTACTTGAAAATCATTGAGAAAAGCGGTTATCAAGCATTGCCCTGGGTTAGATATATTACACAAAATGGAGAATATGAGCTAAGGATGAATTAGGCCTGGCCTAATTTTCGGCCTAAATTTAGGCCCCCCACATTTTTGTATTTAAGCCACGCCAACTTTTTTCGCATAATTTTTCGCAATTTTCTGATCTTCTTCCCAGTTTCCACGTGTTTTTCTTCGTTTTTTTCGCATAATTTTTTTTACAGTACTCTGAAGTACTGTAGCTCTTTCTTTTCTTTCTTTCCCCCAGATAAATTATTGATTTTTTACTCTTTTTTTTGTGAATATGAAATTTTGAACGTGATTTTTCAACGTTTTTCATATATAAAACCCCGATTTTGCAGAAAATTTGGAGAATTTTCAGATATGTTTCGAATTGTTAGGAGTTTGCTGACATTTCAGGTATTTTTTTGTTTGAATTTTGAGAAAATCTGGGATTTTAGGCCTATTTTCCAGGCTCAAAATCAACAGTTTCGACACTTTTCGTCGCCCAAAAATCGCTCAAAATTCGCGCGAAAATCACGGAATTTCGAGCCGAAAATTGTGCCAAATTTGGAGCCAAAATTGGAAGAAATTGAGGTTTTTTATCCGCCCGATGATTTGGATCCGAAAAAATCAATGTTGCCGAGGATTTGTGAGGAGTTGAAGGTTTGTGCGGCGAAATTGCAGAAGGGGCGGGGCTTGGGGGAAAAACGTGCGGCAGAATGGCAACTGAAACTTTTTTCTTTTGAAAAACCTAATTCAAATTGCCACGTGGATGTGAAATTTCAAAAAAAAATTTTTTTGCCGCTCAAAAATGCCACGTGTTTTTTCTATTGAAAAAATCTTAGAATTTTTTCACGCTTCAGAATCAGATTTTTTTTGTCAAATCAAAAAATTCAAAAAAATTTTGGCGCTCAAAAATGCCACGTGTCATTTTTTGTTAAAAATTCTGGCGCCAAAACTACAATTTCAAAAAATATTCAAATTTTGGCGCCAAAAAAATCCCCCAATACTTTTTTACAGCAAAAAAGTTCGCATAACTTCATTCTTCCCGCCTCGAATTCTTATCTTTTCGATCAAATCGTCGTCAATTTAGAAGAACTCATCAATAAACACGGTATCTTCTTTTTTTTTGGCTGAAATTTTTGCGTCTGGAAATGTTGTTCAAGGCGAAAAAATGATTGATTGATTGATAACTAGTGATTTCCAGGCGTTCGCCCCGAATTCGTTCTCGACGCCTTCCTTAAAAATCCGCGTCTTTTCCGATGTTTTATCGATTTTCCGGAAGAAAGTCTGAAAATTTGCCGAGTTTTGGTCGAATTTGCCAATTTTTCCATGGAGGATTCGATGAGGATTTTGGCATTGTGAGTTTTTTTTGAGATGAAAAAAAATGAAAATTCAAGATTTTTGGGCCTAAAAACATGAAATTCTACATAGAAATTCAAATTTCCCAGTTTTCCCGCTCAAAAATTCCACGTGTCATTTTTTAGCTAATTGTAAAAATTTTGGCGCCAAAACTACAATTTCAAATATTCAAATTCTGGCGCCAAAAAAAATCCCCAATATATTTTAAAAATTCTGGAAAAATTTGCCGAGTTTTGGTCGAATTTGCCAATTTTTCCGTGGATGATTCAATGAGGATTTTGGCATTGTGAGTTTTTGAAATGAAAAAAAAAATGAAAATTCAAGATTTTTGGGTCCAAAAACATGAAATTCTACATAGAAATTCAAATTTCCCAGTTTTCCCGCTTTATTCTCAATAGAGCGCATTTCCAATTTTTTCCCAAATATGCGAAAATTTCAATTTTTCACCTCAAAATTTTCGAAGTTTCTCATTTTCCCGCCAATTTTTCTCAATAGAGCGCATTTTCAATTTTCCCCCAAATATGTGAAAAATTTCAATTTTTCACCTCAAAATTTTTGAATTCTCTCATTTTCCCGCCTATTTTCTCCCGAAAAAATCGATTTTTCATTCATTTTTCCTTGTCTGAAAGAAGGTGTCAATCAAAATTTCATTATCAATTTTTGTTTCTGCCACCGTCTCCAACATTTTTGCCCCCTTTTTTTCCCGAAAAAATTTTAATCCATTTTTTTTGGCTGAAAATTATAGTATATTATTTTTATTATCATTATGATGACTGCTGATAAGAAAGAATTATCTTTATTTTATTTTTTCTACTGATTAATCCGTATACATTTTTTTCCTGAAGCCCTTTTTTGTGACGTAGTTTTTCTAGGGATTTAACATTTCGATGTCCAAAAATTTCCACGTGGCAACATTTTTGAGCACCAAAATTTAGTTCTTTTGAATTCAATTTTTCGGCGTCTGAAAATTGCCAAGTGTTATTTTTTCAAAATTCAAAAAATCCTGCCACGTGGCAAATTTCGCTCTATTGAAATGTGTATTCAAAAAAAATCCCATAAATTCTCGCTTGCGCAACACACACAGAAACAAATTGGACACCTGGCCCAAAACAAAAAAAGTTTTGGCGCCCAAAAAAAAATTTCGCAATCTTTTTGGGTTTTTTATGGGTTTAGCTATGATTTCTCTTGAAAATCCCGATTTTTTTTGCATTTTTCATGATTTTAAATAGTTTTTCTATAATTTTAATGAAATTCCGCATTTTTGAGCCTAGAATTGCTCATTTTCACTCATTTCCTCCCCGAAATTTTTTTTAATTTTAGGCCTAGAGCACAACAAGTTGTTGTTGTTGTTTCTCCATCGGCTCTTTTCTCTTTTGAGCCAGTCACCGCGCGGCTGTGCTCTTTTCCCCCTCTTCAGCCATTTTCAGCGTTTTCTTTTGGTTTAGTTGGTCAGACGGAAAAGTTCGTGTTCTTCTTCATGTTCTTGTATATACTACTACGACTACATTTATTTTCTCTTTTTCCTTTTTTTCGTTGAAACGAACAGCTGCGAGTTTTATTAGCCCAATTTTGGCGGGTTTTTGAGGAGTTGGAGGTCCTTTTTCTCTCGATTGAGCTTAAAATTAGGATTTTCCGAGCTTGAACTTCATCTTTTGGTTCTAGATTGTGGATCTTTAGCTCCAGAAGCTATTTAGATAGCTTTGGAGTGGAAATTTTGATTTTTCATCGATTTTCGTCTGAAATTATAGTTTAGAACTCTAAAATCAACATTTTCTGAAGAATTTTCAGCCCTAGGAATTTGAATATTCGAAGTTACGTTAAGTCCGAGGATTTTCGAACCGAGAAGCTGAAATTTCAGATTTTATGCTGAAAACCAAGCTTTTCCATCCTTGGAACTGGAATTTTGAAATGTTCCTCAAGCGTTACGTCAATTTCGAACCCTGGAACTTGAAATTTTAGTCTTAGCTCGTTTTTCAGCGGTTCTAAGTCTGAAATTCGGGCTGTTCACTGTCAGAAGTGAAATTTCAGTCAAATTTTCGAGAAAAATCGATTCTGATAGAAATTTTCGTGATTTTCTTCCAAAAATCATGTATTTCCGCTCATTTTCATCCAATTTTCAGACCAGAAAATCAATCTGAAAATGATGTGAACGTGTTCTTTTTTCATTAATAATAATCATCCAAAAGAAAAGGAAAGGTGATAAGAACAACACACTTTTTATTTACCAATGATTTTTTTGTGGTTTGCCGTCTGAAAGTCTCATTGGAGACCTGGATTTTCGAGTTTTTCGTGGATTTTTGGCCTAGAAAAGTGATTTTTGGTGGATTCTAGGCCATTCTGAGTCTGGTGGCCTAGAAACCAAATTCTGTCGGATCTTAGGCCATGGTTTTGGTTTCTGTGTCCGGTGGCCTAGAAAATATATTTTTGGTTTTCTAGGCCAGCGTTTAAATTATTCTGAAAAATCTTAGTTTTCATGAAGTTTATTAATTGCTTGGTTTCTGAGTCCGGTGGCCTAGAAAATTTTTTTTTTTTTGGATTTCTAGGCCATCGTCTAAATTCTCTTATAATTAGTTTTCATGTGAATTTTATCAATTTTTTTTTCAGATTCCCCGATGATTTGCTCAAACACGGCGCCACAAACTGCGCGGAAAACATTCAATCAATATCCGCTTGCGGTCTTTCCGCGCCTCGCCAAATCCATTCGATGATCAAACGATGTCCGCCGCTGATTTTTGCGCGAGATCCGCAAGAGATGCGCAAGGTTGCGCATGAGTTGGGAGCATTTTTCAGCCGGAAACAGGTGGGGTTTTGAGGGAAGAGAAATTTTCAGTTGAAAATTCAAAAAATCAACAAAATCCTACTGTAGATCGCTATGGGACCCAAAAAATTTAGGAGTACTGTAGTGCCACGTCAAACACGTGATCTTCGGGTTTTTCCGAACTTTTATATCGTCTTTCGAAGGCTTTTCGTTTTGATGGTTTGATTCGCTCGAATTTTCGTTCCTGAAATTGAATTTAGGTCAAATTTTGGTGCCAAATTTGAATTTCGCGCCAAAAATCAACCTTGGGGGCTATTTTTAACGCTAAACTCGAATTTCGCACGTAAAAAGCTATTAGGTCAATTTCTGGAGCTCAAAACTCACCTTATGCTCATTTTCCTCCAATTTTCCCATCAATGACTTTTGCGACCTGAAAAATAGGGGATTTTTGGAGGAAAATTTGAAGTTTTGGGTTAAAACTTGGAAATCTTACTGTAAAATTTGAAAATTCGAAATTTACGTCAAAAATTGATCCAGAAAATGATGATTTTCAGAAATTCTGGAATTTTTTGAGTCCCCGAAGTTCCCGGGTCGAAATTCCACATAGATTTCAAATTTTCAGGTTTCAGAGCTCAAAATTTGGCTCTAAAACTAGAAAATTTGAATTTTACGTGAAAAATTGAGTCCAGAACTTCAGATTCAACTAAATTTTCAAAAAATTAAAATCCAGAAGTTCCTAACTAAAATTTGATGTAAATTTCGAATTTTAAGGTCCTGGAGCTCAAAATTCGGCTCCAAAACTAGAAAATTTGAATTTTAGGTGATTTTAAAATTGAGCCTAAAACTTGTGATTTAACTAAATTTCCAAAATGTTGAAAAAATTCAAATCCAGAAGTTCCTAGGTCAAAATTCCACGTAGATTTCAAATTTTCAGGTTTCAGAGCTCAAAATTCGGCTCTAAAACTAGAAAATTCCAGCCAAAAATAGTTTTTTTTCAGTCATCTCAATTGATTCTAAAATGCCCCGAAGTTTTGCTGAAACCCATCGAAGAAATCGAGGAAAAATATGAATATGTATTCTATCAGGTAACCTTTTTGTCATTTCTGAAATTTTGCTGAAAATCCCACGAATTTTCAGATGGGAGCCGAACCCGATGAATTATCCGAATGCAAATCGTGGATCGAAGAATTGAGCTGGGAAAATCTGAAAAATCGCCACACATTTTTGCAAAAAACTGGAAAATATTCGATGCCTGATCCAAAACGACCACAAATTCGACTCGAAAATCCGAAAATGTTTAGAATTATTGACTCGAGTGATGAGGATTTCTCGCAAAATGTGGGATTTTGGGAGAATTTTTGAACTCTGAAACCTGAAAATTCGAAATCTACGTGGAATATTGATCTAGGAACTTCAGGGACTCAAAAAATTCCAGAATTTCTGAAAATCATCATTTTCTGGATCAATTTTTTACGTAAATTTCGAATTTTCAAATTTTAGAGCCGAATTTTGAGCTCTGAAACCTGAAAATTTGGATTCTAGGGAAAATTTCGACCCGGGAACATCAGGGACTCAAAAACTTCCAGAATTTCTGAAAATCATCATTTTCTGGACCATTTTTTCACGTAAATTTCGAATTTCTTAGTTTTAGAGGCGAATTTTGAGCTCTAGGACCTGAAAATTTGAAATCTACGTGGAATTTTGACCTAGGAATTTTGAGTGTTGGATTTTTTTCAACATTTTGGAAATTTAGTTGAATCTCAAGTTCTTGGCTCAATTTTTCACGTAAAATTCAAATTTTCTAGTTTTACAGTCAGATTTCCAAGTTTTAACCCCAAACTTTAAATTTTCCTCCAAAAATCCCATTTTTTCAGGTCGCCAAAGTTAGTTTGGAAGAATGGATGGTTTATCAAACATTGATGGGAAAATTGGAGGAAAATGAGCATAAGGTGAGAAGTTTTGAGCGCCAGAAATTCATCTAGGAGCTTTTTAGGTGCGAAATTCGAGTTTAGCGTCAAAAATAGCCCCCAGGGTTGATTTTTGGCGCGAAATTCAAATTTGGCGCCAAAATTTGACCTAAATTTAATTTCAGGAACGAAAATTCGAGCGAATCAAACCATCAAAACGAAAAGCTTTCGAAAGACGATATAAAAGTTCGGAAAAACCCGAAGATCACGTGTTTGACGTGGCACTACAGTACTCTTAGATTTTTAGGGTCTCATAGCGATCTACAGTAGGATTTTGTTGATTTTTTGTTATAAAAATTTTTTTTTCAATTTTTTTGTGGAATTTTTTTTCTATGGTTTTTAGCCAATTTTGTAATTAATTATCTCTATCGATTTTTTTCCGCCAAAATTAATTTTTTTGCAGATTTTTGAATGTCCAATGTATTCTTATGAAAGTCAACAGCAACACTGGACTTATGATCAACATGTGAGTTTTTTGACTGAAAATTTGAAAAGAGCTGAAAATTTCGGATTTTTTGAGACTAAATTTGATGGGAAAAATCGATTTCGAGCTGAAAACTTCGGGAAATCTGGAATTTTTGACTGAAAATTTGAAAATAGCTGAACATTTTGGATTTTTAAGCCTAAAAATGTTTTTCTGAAAATTTTCAATGAAGCCGAAATTTTTTTTAGAAATTACAGAATTCTTGGCTGAAATTCTACAAATTTGAAAAAGGCTGAAAATTCCAGATTTTTTGAGACCAAATTTGATGGGAAAAGTTAATTTTGACTGAAAACTTCGGGAAATCTGAAAATTCTGGAATTTTTTGAGCCTAAAAATGGTTTTCTGAAAATTTGGGGGAAATCTGGAATTTATGACTGAAAATTTGAAAAGAGCTGGAATTTCCGGAAAAAAATTCTGTAATTTTTTGAGTTTCAAGCTGATTTTCAGCTTTACTGAAACATTGAAAAAATCTGAAAGTTTTGGATTTTGTTTTTCTAAAAATTTTAAATGAAGTCAAAAACATTTAGAAATTACAGAATTCTTGGCTGAAATTCTATAAATTTGAAAAAGGCTGAAAATTCCAGACATTTTGAGACCAAATTTGATTTGGGAAAAATTGATTTTGAGCTGAAAACTTCTGGAAATCTGGAATTTGTGACTGAAACTTTGAGAAAAGCTGAAATTTCCGGAAAAAATTCTGGAATTTTCTGAGTTTCAAGCTGATTTTCAGCTTTACTGAAACATTGAGAAACCTGAAAATTTTGGATTTTTTTAGCCTAAAAATGGTTTTCTGAAAATTTGGGGGAAATCTGGAATTTATGACTGAAAATTTTGAAAAAGCTGAAAATTTCGGATTTTTTGAGCTCAGAAATGTTTTTTTTGGAAATTTTCAATAAATTGAAAATTAAAAAATTTGTGAAAAAATTTTAAAATTACAGAATTCTTGGCTGAAATTTTATAAGTTTGAATTTTTGACTGAAAATTTGAAAAGAGCTGAAAATTCTGCATTTTTTTGAGCCTAAAAATGTTTTTCTGAAAATTTTGAAAATTTCGAAAAATCAATTTTTGAAAAAAAAATGTTTGAAAAAAATTTGAAAACGAAAATTCCCAAAATCGTTCTCCATAATAATTAAAATTGATTTTTTTAATTGAATGTGTTCCATTTTTTTTTTCGAACACAAAATTTGTCCTTGAGAGTTTTTTCGTGTTTTTTTCTCTTCAAAAAAAATAAACGAAATTATCCGTTCAAGGAGAAAAATTTTTGGCGCGAAATTCAAAAAAAAAAAAAAATTTCCCGCGAATTTCAAATCAAAAAATCTTTTAAACAAATAAAAAATCAAATAATAATTTGTTGTGTCTCTGGTCTCTCTCATTTCCCCATACTCTCTCTCTCTCCCTCTCTCGCCTCCTCTTTTTTCTCTGCACTCTCTCTAATCTCTCGTCTTCGCCACTTTTTTTTTTTGCGACGATTTTTCCAAAGTGTAAACTTTTCAAAATGCGGGACGACGAGAGAGTGTGGAGAGTGTAGAGAGAAGCAGACGGCGAGAGAGTGTGGAGAGTGCAGAGAGTGGGCAGAGAAACAGGGAGACGAAATTTTTTCTTTTTTTTCGCATTTTTTTTGCTGTGCCCCCTTTTCGTTTTTTTTTTCGACGTCGCGTTTTTTTCCACAATTTTTTTTTTGAAAAAATGCACGGATATGGGTTTTTTGAAACAAAATTTGAAATTTTTTGGTCAAAAATTTTCGAGTTTCAGATCTCTCTGAAATTCTGAATTCTAGAATTCGGGGATTTTTTGACCTGAAATTTGAAATTCTTAAAATTTCTTTGAAAAATCAGAATTTTGAAAAATATTAGCTTCTGAAAATTGAAGAAATTTCAAAAATTAATTTTACAAAAAATTTTTTTGATTAATTAAAAATTAATAAAAAATTAATATGTTAGGTCACAAAAGATCCCTTTTCTTTAACCTGAGCAATGCTAATAAATCCAGAAAATTTTTTGAAAAAATAAATGTTTCGGTAGAGCGAATTTGATATTTTTCCTAAAATTTTATTCAAAAATTCCGAAAACAACTTTTTTTTCCGAAAAAAAACGTGTCCACGTCATTTTCTGCTTCTTATCATCTCATTTTCCAATTTTTTCCCAATTTTTTTCGCACTTTTTTCTTTTCTCATCATAAAATTCGGCCATTTTCCCATAATTTTTCCCGATTTTTTTTCTGATTTTTTTTTGAGAGAGAAAATGAGAGAGAAAGAGAAAACGGCACCGAAAATCGATTTTTCGATGATTTTTTTGTGTTTGTGTGTGTTTTGTGTGGAAATATGAATGACGAGTAATTTCCGGGAATTTTTTTTTGTTGGGGGAAATTGGATTTTTCAAATTGAAAACCTTTTGAATTTCTATGGGAATTCTGAAAATCCCTATTTTTTTTCACCCAAAAATATTGATGAAAAATAGCGAATGCGCTCTATTGAACTATTGATTTTCTCTGAAAATTTTTGAATTTTTCTTATCCAGGCATTGCTCAGATTAGTTGAACTCTCTGAAAATTATGAAAACTATAAAATTTTGACCTCGAAAATTCAGGAATTTTGATTTTCTGAAGATTTTTGGATTCAAAATTTCCACATCTTCCAATAATTGCTCAGGTTAAACTTTTGAATTTTCGAAAAATCCAGGCATTGCTCAGATTAGTCGAATTCTCAGAAAATCATAAAAGCTACAAAGTTTTGACCTGAAATTCCTCGAAAATTCAGGAATTTTGATTTTCTGAAGATTTTTCAAATTCAAAATTTGTATATTTTCCAAGAATTGCTCAGGTTAAACTTCTGAAAATTGTCTAAAAATCATGAAAGCCATGAAATTGTGATCTGAAATTTCCCAAAAAGTTGGATTTTTTTTTCAAAATTTCTGGATTTTTCAAGCATTGCTCAGGTTAAACTTTTGAATTTTTGGAAAATCCAGGCATTGCTCAGGTTAAAAACTCTCGAAAATTCACTAAAATATTTGTTCTAATACCAAATTTTACCAAAAATCCAAATTTCGCCACCAAAATCCTCGATTTTTGCAGCCTCCTCCCTCACATCATCATCAAATAGTCGATTCGTCGACAACACAGCAAATGCTGGCCACAAATACCGGCCAAATTCACCCACAAGAGACCAAACTACTCGCCACCAACAACAAAATCGAGGATTCGCCCAACGCCGCGTCTGCCGCCGGCGGCCAAAATTCCTCGTCTTCTTGTTCGCCGGCGACGCCGCAGCAACAACACAACGATATGAATCCGCAGCAAGCTATGCAACAGGCTATGAATATTCCGAGACACGGTGAGTTGTTTTTGGGGGGATCCTTGTGAAATTTGGAGCAAAATGAGCCCGAATTCGACTAAAAATAGCAAATGTGCTCTATTGAACTATTGATTTTTCTCAAAAATCCGGTTTCGCATGCATTGCTCATATTAATAGGAACATTTTTTTTTGGAAAATAATTAGCATTGCTCATGTTAAACTCCAAAATTTCACTCAAAAATCTGGTTTTCAAAGCATTGCTCATGTTAAACTCCAAATTCCCCGAAAAAACTGTTTCCTTCGAAATTTTCAGCATTGCTCATATTATACCAAATGTTTTAATGGAAATTTTACTTAAAAATATGGTTTTCAAAGCATTGCTCATGTTAAACTCCAAAATTTCACTCAAAAATCAGTTTTTCAAAGCATTGCTCATGTTAACCCCCAATTTTCCTTCGAAATTTCGAGCATTGCTCATCTTATACTCATCTAGATTTTTTCACTCGTATTTCATTTGAAAAATAACACATTTTTGCTCAAAAACTTGCCTACCCAAGCGAAAAAAAATGTTTTTTTTCTCATTTTTTTTCGCGAAAAAAAAATTGGCCACGCCCATTTTCGCCTCCCTGCTTCTTCGTTTTTTTTTCTTCGGACCTCCTCGCTCGCAATTTTTTTTCTGCGCGAAAAAAACGAAGAATTTTTTTTCTGCTTTGCACTTGTGACACTTCTTGTCAAGGCGAAAAACGAGAAGCTTTTGGACGTTTTTTTTCTTTTTTTTTTATCGATTTTTTTCTGGCCAGCCAGAAAAAAGGGATGTTTGAAATGAAAAAAATTGGGAGGGCACAGAAAAATGGGCGGAGCCTAAAAAATCTTAATCTTCTGATTAGAACGAACCCCAATTTGATATAGAGCAAAATTTGGTTTAAATGCCGCACAGAAAAATGGGCGTGGCCTAAATTTTGCAAGATTTTTGAATGCTTTTTGATCTTCTGAACATAATTTGATATAGGGCATGGAAAAATGGGCGGAGCTTGTTAAGAAAACTGCAAGATTTCGATTTGCCGCACAGAAAAATGGGCGGAGCCTAAAAATCGCTGGAATTCCCAATTGAAAATAGTCATGTTTATACTCATTCTGATCCTCTCTTCCCGCACAGAAAAATGGGCGTGGCCTAAATTTCGCAAGCTCTTCGAATAGAACTTATTCTTCTGAACATAATGATACCTACTGTGATATAGGGCATGGAAAAATGGGCGGAGCTTAGGAAAACTGCAATATTTCGATTTGCCGCACAGAAAAATGGGCGGAGCCTAGAAGGTCTTGATCTTCTGATTAGAATGATCCCTAATTTGATATAGAGCAAATAAAATTGGTTTCGTTGCCGCACAGAAAAATGGGCGTGGCCTAAATTTTGCAAGATTTTTGAATAGAACTTTTTCTTCTGAACATTATGATACCTAATTTGATAGGGCATGGAAAAATGGGCGGAGCTTAGGAAAACTGCAATATTTCGATTTGCCGCACTGAAAAATGGGCGTGGCCTAAAAATCCCATTTTCTCAATTGAAAATAGCCATGTTTATACTCATTGTGATCCTCTCTTCCCGCACAGAAAAATGGGCGTGGCCTAAATAATTTTTTTGTTTGCAGATGAGCTAACACCAGCCGATTTCGATCGAGTTGTTGGAATAATGAACACGCACACGGCTCAAAAATTGGAACAGCAACCGCTGGATTTGGAATATATGCACATGATGCAGACGCGACTCGTTGAAGCACATCAACAACATCAACAGCATTTATGTGGGTTTTGGGGGGTTTTTTGGAGCATTGCTCATGTTATTTTTCTTAAAAATCTGATTTTTCGATATATTGCTCATGTTAAACCCGAAATTTTTCATATTTTTGATCAAAATAACAATGATTTTTCAAATTTTGTGTTTTTTATTTCAAAATTTTTTGATTTTTCTCAAAAATCTCAATTTTCCAAGCATTGCTCAGGTTAAACTCCTGAATTTTCGAAAAAAATCCCGAAATGGCTCAGATTAGTCGAACTCTCAGAAAATCATAAAAACTATAAAATTTTGACCTGAAATTCCTCGAAAATTCAGGAATTTTGATTTTCTGAAGATTTTTTTAATTTAAAATTTGTAGATTTTCCAAGCATTGCTCAGGTTAAACTCCTGAATTTTTGGAGAATTCAGGCATTGCTCAGACTAATCAAACTTCTCTGAAAATTGTCTAAAAATCATGAAAACTATGAAATTTTGATCTAAAATTTCTTTTTTCTGAGATCAATTCTTAAGATTTTTGTAAAATTTCTAGATTTTCTAAGCATTGCTCAGGTTAGTTTTTTTACGAGAAGCTTTTGGACGTTGTTTCTTCTTTTTATCGCCAGAAAAAAGGAATTAGCATTGCTCATGTTAGCGATTTTTCCTTTAAAAAATCTCAATTTTCATCACATTGCTCATGTTAAACTCGCAATTTTTCTTCACATTTCAGTTCAAGGATTTGGACGTCCCGCTCAACTTATTGATCGACATCAATCGACAAATCTGCCGCCGATTGTGGGCGCAAATTCGAGTTCGACAAGCAGCGGGCAGCAGCAGAATGGCGGCGGGAATTCGGGAACGGGAGGACCCGCACCCACGAGGAGATCGAGGTAAGAGACGCAGAGTGGCTAGAGAGAGCGAGAGAGAGAGGTTAGACAACCAGAGAAAATTGTGATGTTAGAGACGAATAGGATAGATAGTCAGAGAGCGAGTATAGACGCTTGAGAGAGATTAGAGAAGACATAGACATTAGAGAACAAGAGGAATTGAGAGAGGCCAGACGGTTAGAGATAGAAAAGTGGGTTAGAGACGCAGAGAAAATATAAAGGGTTAGAGAACATAGAGTAATGAGAGATGAAAATAGTTAGAGACTCAGAGGATAGCTAGAGAGTATAGACGCTTGAGAGAGATTAGAGAAGACAGAGACATTAGAGAACAAGAGGAATTGTGAGAGCCTAGACGGTTAGATATTTAAAAAAGTGGGTTAGAGACGCAGAGAGAATAGAAGGGTTAGAGAACATAGAGTAATGAGAGATCTAGAGATGAAGAGAGCAAAAATAGTCAGAGACGCAGAGGAAAGCTAGAGAGTACAGGAAATTGAGAGATGTTAGAGAAGCAGAAAATGAGAGAGAGAGAGGCTAGACGGTTAGAGATAAAAAAAAGTGGGTTAGAGACGCAGAGAAACTAGAAGGGTTAGAGAACATAGAGTAATGAGAGATCTAGAGATGAAGAGAGCAAAAATAGTCAGAGACGCAGAGGAAAGATGGAGAGTACAGGAAATTGAGAGAGAGAGAGTAGGAGGCTAGACGGTTAGAGATAGAGAGGCTAGACGGTTAGAGATAGACAAGATTCAGACAGTGGGTTAGAGACGCAGAGAAAAAAATTGTTTGCAGATCTGTCAACGATGGAATGCTAAAATGTCAATTCTGTCCGAAGAAATGGGTAAACGAGCGAAGTCTGCACGTTCACATGACAGAATGTCGACTTAGTCGAACTCACGAATGTCCGCATTGCGGAAAACGATTCAAAGCACGCGGCGGACTACAACAACATTCGAGAATACACGCAAATGACCGCGCCTATACTTGCCAATTTTGTCAGAAAACATTCACGCAAAAAAGTCATTTGGATCAACACGAGAGAATACATACTGGTGAGGATTGCTCATGTTGAATTTGAAATTTTCGGGTTCAGCTGGAAATTTGGAGCCAAATGATATCTCATTTGATATAGTTTTGAGGCATTGCTCATGTTAATCTTTTTTTTCAAAATTTTAATAGATTGCTCATGTTAAGCAACTTGCTTTTCAAAGGAATTTTGAGCAAATTTCACTTTCTTGATAGATTTTGAGGCATTGCTCATATTAAACTATTTTTTTCGAAAATTTAATAGATTGCTCATGTTAAAATAGGAAATTTGACGCTGAAAATCCATATTTTTAAAAATTTTGAGATTTTTCTAGGATTGCTCATGTTAACTTTGAAATTTTCTGATTCAGCTGGAAATTTGGAGCCAAATGATACCTCATTTCATATAATTTGAGACATTGCTCATATTAATCTATTTTTTTCAAAATTGTATTAGATTGCTCATGTTAAGTAATCTTATTGATTTTAGAAAAAATTCACCTTTTTAATGAATTTTGAGGCATTGCTCATATTAATCTATTTTTTCAAAATTTTATTAGATTGCTCATGTTAAAATAGAAAATTAGAAGCTGGAAATCCATATTTAAATAATTTTGAGATTTTTCTAGGATTGCTCATGTTAAACTCGAAATTTTTTCTGATTCAACTGGAAATTTGGAGCCAAATGATACCTCATTTCATATAATTTGAGACATTGCTCATATTAATCTATTTTTTTCAAAATTGTATTAGATTGCTCATGTTAAAAAAAAAGTTCAAATCGAAAAAAAAAATTTAAAAAATTTTTTGACAAAAAATTTTCAATGTCAAAAAACTTTATTTTTACCACACAAAAAATGAAAAAAAGAAAATTTTTCAATGAAAAAAAAAGTTTTTTTCGCCCCCTAAATCATTGCTCATATTAATATTTCCCCCCGATTTTCTAGGAGCAAAACCATTTGTTTGTCAACATTGCGGTCGTCAATTTCGACAAAGATCTCAACAAATCGGACACGAAGCCACACATTCATCAGGTTCAAATCGACATTCGCAATCAACATCGGCTTCCGGCTCAAACCCGGCTCAAAACGGCGCCGGCGGCGGCTCGGGCTCCTCTTCATCCGGCGGCTCATCGGGACAACGAAGCGAAGGCGCCACTCCGTCGCCGGTGACTGCCGCAGCGGCAGCCGCAGCCGCGAATCATGTCGCTGCGGCGAATTCGATTGCCGCCGCCGCCGCAATGATGCACGCTCATCATCATCATCAACAATTGGTTGGAACTAGCGATTTGTTGGGACATTTGGATGTTAGCGCCTATTTCGCGTAGATCAGTTCTGGTGAGTTGATGAGGCACGGTTTTGTGGGCGTGGCTTAGGATTTGGAGCATTTTGATACCAAATATGACGTGGAAAATGTTTGCGGCACGGTTTTTTGGGCGTGGCTTAGGATTTGGAGCATTTTGAGACCGAATATGATGTGGAAATTGTTGCGGCGCGGTTTTTTGGGCGTGGCCTAGGATTTGGAGCATTTTGATACCAAATATGAGGTGGAAAATGATTGCGGCGCGGTTTTGTGGGCGTGGCTTAGGATTTGGAGCATTTTGATACCGAATATGACGTGGAAAATGCTTGCGGCACGGTTTTGTGGGCGTGGCTTAGCATTTGGAGCATTTTGATATCAAATATGACGTGGAAAATGCTTGCGGCGCGGTTTTTTGGGCGTGGCTTGAGATTTGGAGCATTTTGATATCAAATATGACGTGGAAAATGCTTGCGGCACGGTTTTTTGGGCGTGGCTTGAGATTTGGAGCATTTTGAGACCGAATATGACGTGGAAAATGATTGCGGCGCGGTTTTGTGGGCGTGGCCTAAAATATTTATATATTTCAGCTTCTTCTCTTCAAATTCGTCAGCAAAGTATTTATTGATTGTTTTGTTTAACCCACGGTAAGCCACGCCCACAAAACCACGCCGCAAAATTGCAATTTTTGCAGATTTCTCTTCTTGCCGTGCATCACCACACTTTTTTTCTAGGCATCAATTTTTTTGTCTTCTCAAAATTCTGTCAGCAAAGTATTTAATTGATTGTTTTGTTTAAGTAATTTCGGTCAAGCCACGCCCACAAAACCACGCCGCAGAAAATTGCAATTTTCTTGCAGATTTCTCTTTTGCCGTGCATCACCACACTTTCTAGGCATCAATTTTTTTCGTCTTCTTCTCAGGCTCTGTGAGCTATTTTCAATTAATTATACATTTTTTTTGTCTATGTGATATTTTTATTGATTTTTCTTTGATTACAGTACCCCCCAACCAACCAACATAAAAATCTAGCATTTTCAAGTTTATTTTCAAAAAAGTTTTCCCCCCACCCGGTGTGATTTGACGTGTAGTTCTAATTTTTAATGAAAAAAAAGTATAAGAGTTTTTTTTGACTGAAATTAAAGTGTTTTCTTGCGTTCAACGTATTTTTTTATTGATTTTCGAGAATAAAATTATTTTTCAAAGACCCATTTCATTGTTTCAGTCACATTTTCAATCAAAAATAAAATAAAAATAAAATCACATGCAAAAGACGAATATTACACAACCTCCCTTTAAATCAATCAATAAATATGCTACGGTATGTTCCTTTAAGAATGCGAGATAATCATCCAACTGACGACAAAATAGAATAAAAATACGGGGTAGATCACAAGGAGACGCTTTTTTCGGGTTGGCAACCGGCCAAAAATCCCATTGAGGCTGAAAATTGAGAATTTGGATAAAAAGGGGCCCAACGAAACTTACCATAAGTCGACCAAACAAATCCGATGGAAGTTATCAAAAAGTCGAATGGGGAATACCATTCCGTGGAGGAAAATTGAACAAAGAACTGCGGATACGAATGGAGGAAGAAGGCAATAACCAATTACGCAGAGAGATTGGAAAAATGAGCTGGAAATTTGAGATTTTCAGACAAATTTGGCTGAAAATACAGAATTTTTGGGGAAATTTCTTGAAAAAATGATGTTTTTCAGTAAATTTTAATAAAAAATTTAGAATTTTTAAAAGATTTTTCAGATTTTCAGAGATTTAAAGCTCAATTTGGTTGAAAAGTATTATAAGAAAATTCAAGATTTTCAGGATTTCTAGAAAAATGCGCTGCAAATTTGAGATTTTCAGACAAATTTGGCTGGAAATACAGACATTTTGGGGTGAAAATTCTGCTTTTCACTGAATTTTCAATCAAAAATTCAGATTTTTTCCAGATTTTCAGCTTAAAATTTGGTTGAAAAGTAGTAAGATTTCCAGAATTTCTAGAAAAATGAGCTGGAAATTTGGGATTTTCAGTAAAAAATGTAGCTAAAATTTGTTTAAAAATGTCAAATTTTCTCAAAAAACTCACATATTTCCACCAAGTAACTTAATATTTGCCGTAACTACAACAGATCCAAAAAATGTGATTGTGAAGACTTGGGTGAATTGGGGAGCCGCTTCTGTACCACCATTGTATTGAAGAAGTCTGAAACATGGAGATTAGTACTGTAATTTTTGGCGCCAAAAAATCCACGTGGAATTAGGGCTTTCATTTTCATTTTGAACAAGTTTTTGGCGCTAAAATTGAGAAAATACTGTAATTTTTGGCGCCAAAAAATGCCACGTGGCAATTTCTGAATATTGATGCAAATTTAAATAGGGTTTTCGCGCCGAAAAATCAAAAGTTACTGTAATTTTTGGCGCCAAAAAAGCCACGTAGAATTAGGGCTTTCATTTTCATTTTGAACATGTTTTTAGCGCTAAAATTGAGAAAATACTGTAATTTTTGGCGCCGAAAACTCCACGTGGCAATTTCTGAATTGAGCTTTCTTTTTAAGCAAACTTTGAAGCCAAATCTCAGAAAATACGGTAGGTTTTGGCGCCAAATTCTTTGATTTCCCACCCCTCACAACAACAAAAAACCTACAAGGCCAATCCAACACAAATAAAAAGTGGTCCCCACAAATCCCAATCTCTCAACAATTGTTGCTTGTCGCCATGTGGCAAAATGACGTGTCCGAATTTCGCGCCAACAGTTTGCATATCTCGTTTCACCGTATCCCAGACTGGCTCTTCCAAAGTGTCGAATTCGGAATCGAGGCGAATCTCCTGCATTGGACCACGACGATTTGAAGATGAAGAGGAGAAGGCTGCGAAAAAAATTATATTTTAGATTTTTTTAGGCTTGGGCTTGGGCCGGCCTGAAAAAGCCTACCTGAAGAGGTTTTTGGTGCTGACATTCCAGCTATATTTCCAGATAAATCTGCATTTCGACGGGTTGAATCTTGAGCGGCTTCTGCTGACATTTCACGTTCAAGCTGCAAATTTTTGGGGCTCGGATTTAGGCTAAGTCTAGGTTTGGGCCGAAGCCTAGTTTCTAGATAATCAAAATTCAAGCCTGGACAATGCTTTTTTGAAGATTTTCAATATTTTTTAGTCTAGCTAAGAATATAGGTCTAAAAATACTGTTTTTAGGCTTTTCAGATTAAAAAATCAGAAAATTCCAGATTTCCAGCGTTTGCTAGTCGAAAACCCTACAGGGCGCGCTGCGCAAGCCCTGTTTATCTAGTTTTCGCCTAAAAATATTGATTTTCCCGCTCAAAACTCACAATTTGCTCTTCAACAACGCTAAAAACGCCAGTTTTCACCTGATTTTGTTTAGAAGAATCAGTCATGAATATTTGCGATGGCTCCATTTTTCAGAAATGACATGCATTTGCAAAAAAATCGGGGTTCACGCGATTTTTCCACGTATTTTTAGTTTTCCCTCATTTTTGCCACAAAAAATCAATAAAACTCACCATATCAATATCAACCGATGCATTTCCAAAAGAATTCATCGTTTCAGTTTGATGGATTTCAGGAAAATGGATAATTTTGACGAATTTCGCAAGAGCCACTCAACCAAACAAAAAAATGAAAAAGAAAACAACGATACTCCGCTTGATGACGCGACGTGGCAGCGCGCCAACTTCAAAATTGTTTGTTTTTCTTTTCTTTTCGTTTTTTTTGTTCTGTTTCACCTAATTTTCGAGCATTTGCAGCTGAACAATGATTATTGGCGGTCGTGACAATCGTGTGATTCGCAGCAAAATCACGGAGAATCGGCGAAGCATCAAAATCGATGCGAGAAAATCGATAAATGTCAACGAATTGCCGGGATATTTGAAATTGTATCAAACGCCGCCAGGAGACGATATTTCGTTGATGGAATTTGATGAAATTGCGATGGAACGATTGAAATTGTTGAAGAGTTTCGAGAATTGTAAAGATAGTTATCGATTTAATGATCAGGAGTTTGTGAATCGATTCAGGAAACAATATGTGGAGTTGAAGAAGTTGATTGGTGAGATTTTTGAATAACAAGTGGAGAAAATCATAGAAATTGCTGGATTTCATGAAAAATTGCAGATTTTCCTTAAAATTTCATGAAAAACATCATATTTCATAAGAAATTGCAGATTTTCCTTAAAATTTCTCGGAAAAACGTTGGATTTCACGAAAAAATGTAGATTTTTTAAAATTTCATGAAAAACGTTGGATTTCACGAAAAAATGCAGATTTTTCTTAAAATTTCATGAAAAACACTAGATTTCACGTAAAAATGCTGATTTTCCTTGGGAAAAATTGAATTTTTCGCCAAAAGTTCATCAGAAACATCAAAACTGACGAGAAATTGCAGATTTTTCGTAGAAAATCTGAAATTGTTTCTGTTAAACACTAGATTTCACGTAAAATTGCACAGAATTGTGGAAAAACATCAAAACTGACGAGAAAATGCAGATTTTTCATAGAAAATCTGAAATTGTTACTGTTAAACACTAGATTTCACGTAAAATTGCAGATTTTCCTTGGGAAATTTGAATTTTTCGCCAAAATTCATCAGAAACATCATATATGACGAGAAATTGCAGAAAATCTTTGAAATTTCTCGAAAAAATCAGTTGAAACACCATATTTGACGAAAACATGTAGATTTTTTGGAAAAACATCAGAACTGACGAGAAAATGCAGATTTTTCATAGAAAATCTGAAATTGTTACTGTTAAACACTAGATTTCACGTAAAATTGCACAGAATTGTTAGAAAATTATGGAAAAACATCAGAACTGACGAGAAAATGCAGATTTTCAACCGTTTTTCTTGCAGTTCTTCCAAAAGAAGTGACATTCGACAAATCGCGCGAAGAAATCGCCGAATGTTGGCGACGCGACACAATTGGTCATTTCATCTTGCGACTCGCGTTTTGTCGCACTCCCGAATCACAAAAATGGTTGACAAATCTGGAGACCGATCTTTTCCGCTTTCGATTTTTGCACGAATCGCCCAAAAATGTCACAGCCGCTTTTGAGGAAATGAATTTGAATATTCAAAAAATCACCAAAGAACAAAAGATGGAAATGTTGGAAGATTTGGTGGATGGTTGTCAAATCGGAGCAGATCAGGTTGAGATTTGCGATTTTTATCGCGTTGAATTCACCGAAGCTTTGGAGTTGATTCGAAGAGGAAATGTGCATTTGGATAAAGGTTTCGCCTATTTTCCCTATGATGATTTGGTTTCGATTGTTGCGGCGAGATTTAGGAATATTATGATGGCTGCGATGGCGGTAAGGGCTTTTTTCTGATCAAAATTGGACTTTTCAGACTGTTTTTAGACCTAAAAAGCCCAAAATAGGTCTAAAAACGGCCCGAAAAGCCCCAAAAAGCCTTATTCCCTTCCTTTCTTCAGAGATCCTACAAACATTTGGCAATTCTGGAAGAAGAAGGTCGACTTCTCCCACGTTTATCTCGTCTCGCAAACAATGTTTATGATGGAAAAGCGTATAATGGAGGAGATGTTGGACAAAATGATCAGATTACTAGATTTATGATTGATAAGGTACGTTTTTAGTCGAATCCATCATTTTCAGCACAAAAATTTGGATCTAGAACAGTTTTTTGATGAAAAAACAACGGGGGACTAGTTTTTCTCAAAATGCAAATTCTAGTCCCTCGGCTAAAAATTCAGATTTTCTAGACTCAAAAAATTATGATTTTCAGATTTTCTAGCATTTCTAGCACAAAATATTGGATCTAGATCAGTTAAAAAAACGGGAGGGGGACTAGTTTTTCTCAAAATGCAAATTCTAGTCCCTCCGCTAAAAAATATATTTTTTAGACTCAAAAATTGCGCTGAAAATTATGATTTTCAGCATTTCCAGCACAAAAATTGGATCTAGAACAGTTAAAAAAAACAACGGGGGACTAGTTTTTCTCAAAATGCAAATTCTAGTCCCTTCGCAAAAAAACTAATTTTCTAGACTCAAAATTTGCGCTGAAAATTATGATTTTCTAGCATTTCCAGCACAAAAATTGGATCTAGAACAGTTAAAAAACTAGTTTTTTTCTCAAAATGCAAATTCTAGTCCCTCTGCTAAAAAAAAATATATTTTCTAGACTCAAAATTTGCGCTAAAATTATGATTTTCAGATTTTCTAGCATTTTCAGAACAAAATTATGATCTAGAACAGTTGGGGGGGACTAGTTTTTCTTAAAATGCAAATTCTAGTCCCTCGGCTAAAAATATGCAAAAATTATGATTTTCTAGCATTTTCAGCACAAAATTTTGACCGAGAACAGTTCAACGGGAGGACTAGTTTTTCTCAAAAATGCAAATTCTAGTCCCTCGGCTAAAAATTCACATTTTTTAGACACTTTTTGAGCCCGAAAATCAAGGAAAACTTTGGATTTTCAGCTAAAATTCATCTGAAAATCCACAAATTCCTCATTTTCCAGCTCTCCACCAAATCCTTCCCACCGTGCATGAAAAATTGCCACGTAAATCTACGCCGTGAGCATCATTTGAAATTTGGCGCCCGTCGACAATACGGCCTATTTTTGAAAGCCATCGGATTGTCGCTCGATGAAGCGATGTCGATGATGAGAGATGAATTTACCAAGAAAATTCCGAGTGATAAGGTGAGGTCTAATATGAGCAATATATTATTGATCCGCGCGAGAAATTTGGAAAAGAATGGTGTATTTATTTTTTTTGAACCCATCGGGTTCCTTTAAGAATTTTTTCCAAACATGAGCAATGTTTGGTATCATTCTGCTCTAAATTTTATAATCTGAGCAATCCAATTTTCTGATTTTCAGTTCGACAAAGAATACGCCTACAATATTCGCTATATGTATGGAAAAGAAGGCCGTCGGGTGGCCGAAAATGGAATGTCGTGTTCATCGATTATTTTGAGAAATCCACCGTCTGCTATGGATTGTCATGGATGTCCCTTTAGGTAGGGAGGGCTTTTCCGGGCTGAAAATGGGCTTTTCTGGGCTTTTTTTGGCCAAAAACAGGCCCAATTTTCAAATTTTTCAGACACACTGAAAAACACGTGTTGGCTCAACGTCTTCAGAAGGAAAATTTCAATAAGGAGCAAATTGAGAAGGTGATTTTTTATTTTGAAAAAATTTTAAATTTGGCGCCAGAAATTGAAATTTTTAATTTTCCCGCCAAAAATCCCCAATTTTTTGCAGATCATAAATTTCTCGGAAAACAATGGCTACGACAAGGCGTGCACTCGTTTCTTCGAATTTTCCCATAAATTAGAAGAGGGTGCACTTGGCTGTCTCATTACTCATCCTAATCAATTTTTTGAGGAATCTCAGAAAATTTTGAACCCAAAAGTTGCTAGTTCGCAGTGAATTTCCTTTTTTTTGATATTTTTGTATAACTTTTTTTTGTCAAATAAAAATTTCACTTTTTTCTTGCAAGCCTGGCACGGTTTTTTCCTCAAAATTTGAAATTTTCAAGCACCGCCTACTTTTTCTGCAAGCCTGGCACGGTTTTTTCCTCAAAATTTTAAAATTTTAGGCTCCGCCTTTTTTCTTGCAAGCCTGGCACGGTTTTCTCCTGAAAATTTGAAATTTTTAAGCAACGCCTTTTTTCTTGCAAGCCTGGCACGGTTTTTTCCTCAAAATTTGAAAATTTTAAGCACCGCCTACTTTTTCTTGCAAGCCTGGCACGGTTTTTTCCTCAAAATTTGAAAGTTTTAAGCACCGCCTACTTTTTCTTGCAAGCCTGGCACGGTTTTTTTCCTCGAAATTTGAAATTTTCAAGCACCGCCTTTTTTCTTGCAAGCCTGGCACGGTTTTCTCTTCAAAATTTTAAATTTTCAAGCACCGCCTTTTTTCTTGCAAGTCTGGCACGGTTTTTTTCTCAAAATTTGAAAATTTTAGACTCCGCCCACTTTTCAAAATTCTGTGTCGCTGAAAATCTTGAAAATTTCATCTCTATGTAGCCCAATTTTCAGTAAAAAATTCGAATTTCCAACTAAAAACCCAATTTGTTCAAAAACCCAATTTGTCCCCTGCTTCTAGGTCTCACCACGAAATTCGAGAATTTTCAAATCTGCCAAAGTTTCGCGCCAAAACCCACCATTCATCGCAAAAAACGAGTAATACTCTCTCGCCAGCAAGAGACGCAGACAGGCTAGAAAAACAAGCGAGACGACGAGAGAGTGTGCGAAACGAAGAGAGCGCGCCAGAGAAAAAGGCGTTTCTTCTACTTTTTTTTCTTTTTTCGTCCCGTTTTGCTTCTTTATTATTGTCCACTTTTCCTAATTTTGGATTTTTGTGGTTTTTTCGAGACGAGATGACAAATCGCGAGATTAAAGGTGGGTGTTGGGAGCGGGAATTTGGGGAAGTTGCGAGATTTTTGGGCGGAAAATTTGAATTTTTTGGAAAATTTCGATCTAGAAGGTTTTCGTTTTGGAATGGGATTCGAGAATTTTCAGGTTTTTTGGGAAAATTGTTGGGTTTCTAAAAATTTCCAAGATGTTTTGATTTTCAATTTTTCACAAAAATGTTTTTTTTATTCAAAATCTACCTGGTAGCCTAGGAAACCTGGATTTCTTGACCACAAGGATTTTGAAAATCTAATTTTTCGCTGGCCTAGAAAACCAAATGAATTCTAGGCCACCAGCCACACAAAAAGACGATTTTCTACTTTAAAATGAAAATTATTTTGTCTAATTCTCTCTGTTTGCCATTATATTTCGCATCGCTACGGTATTAAAGGAACATGATGTTTTTCACAAAAGATATCTCGAAGCGGCGGCTTATATTATTGAAAATCTCATCGGTACCACGAGCTCCATCGAAATAAACACGCAACGCAGACCGCGTCGCGCCACAACACACACAAATAAGGGAAAGATTCAAATTCCCTCCCTTATTTGTGTGTGTTGTGGCGCGGCGCGGTCTGCGTTGCGTATTTATTTCGGTGGAGCACGTGGTACCGATGAGATTTTCGATAATATCTAATCAGTTTTTAATATTGTTTTCTCGCAGAGCGAAGATATTGAAAATGAGGAGGATGAAGAGGAAGAAATGGAAATTCTGACCAAAGAGGAACCTGTGGAAAAACGAGAAGAAAATGAAAATGAGGGTAGTTCTTCGACAGGAAGTCCACCAAAATTGACACCAGAGCCACAAGAAATGATGACGTCATCGATGGTCAAAAATGGCGAGGAAGAAACACCATCAGCTTCACCAACACCAAAGAGGAAATATAAGGAGCGAGAGAAGAAAACGACGAGAGAATATCGAGTGAAGAAAAATCGATTGATAGATCATAATGCGCCAAAACGATATAAAAGTCCTTATGTTCAGTTTATGATGTGAGTCAGCTGGAAATTTGACGCATTTTGATACCGAATTTGCCGAAAATTGAGAAAACCGCGACGCAGAGATCAGTGCGTCGCGGTTTTTTCTAAAATATTGGAAAACCGCGACGCAGAGTACAATGCGTCGCGGTTTTTTGCCGAAAATTGGAAAACCGCGATCAGTGCGTCGCGGTTTTTCCCAAAAATTGGAAAACCGCGACGCAGAGATCAGTGCGTCGTGGTTTTTTGCCGAAAATAGGAAAGCCGCGACGCAGAGATCAGTGCGTCGCGGTTTTTTCCCAAAAATTGGAAAACCGCGACGCAGATGAGATACAATGCGTCGCGGTTTTTTGCCGAAAATAGGAAAACCGCGACGCAGAGATCAGTGCGTCGCGGTTTTTTCCCAAATATTGGAAATCCGCGACGCAGAGATCAGTGCGTCGCGGTTTTTTTCCGAAAATTGGAAAACCGCGACGCAGAGTAAGGACAACGCGTCGCGGTTTTTCACAAATTGGTCGAATTCGGTATCAAAATGCGTGGATTTTTCCAAATTTCAAATTTTCAGGCAACGCCGCGCGTCCTACCGTAATCAGAAAATGACGCAAGGTGAAATCAACGTTGCGATTGCGAATGCGTGGCAAGAATTGAGTGCGGAAGAGCGTAAGGTAAATTTTGGGCAGGAAATTTAAATTTAGAGATTTTGACGGCAAAAATTCAATCCGCGCTCCACCGAAATAAACACGCAACGCAGACCGCGCCGCGCCACAACACACACAAAAAGGGAGGGAATTCGAATCGTTCCCTTATTTGTATGTGTTGTGGCGCGACGCGGTCTGCGTTGCGTGTTTATTTCGGAAATTTTGAAAATTCAAATTTCTTTCAGCCTTTCGAAATTCTGGCTGCGAAAGACAAGGAAAAATCGAAAAAAGCATGGAAAGCCTACGAAAAAACGGCGGAATTTGCCGAATTTCAAAAAAGCGAAACGAAATTTCGCGGCGAAAAATGGAAGAAAACGAAAAGCTAAGGATTCAGATGATGAAGAAGAGCAAAAAGAAGAAGATGAAGAGCAAAATATGGATAAACCTTTTCCGGGAAATGCTCAATTTTGTCCAATGTTGAATTCGAGAAATTCGGAAGGACCTTCGACTTCAACAAATTATGAGGGTCCCATTTTTAGTCAGCAATTTGTTAATTATAATAAAGGTGAGATTGACAGATTTTTGATTTTTCGCGTGGAAGTTTGAATATTTTTGTGTTAAAAATTCAGAAATTTTCAAATCTCAACACTTTGGCGCCAATTTTCATAAATTCAAAATTTTCAGATTTCGCGCCAAAATTTTGAAATTCAAAAATACAGTTTCCCGCAAAAATTTTGAATTTTCAAATCTCAACACTTTGGCGCCAATTTTCATAAATTAAAAAATTAAATTTTCGCGCCAAAAATTTTAAAAAATTCAAAAATGCAGTTTCCCGCAAAAATTTTGAATTTTGGCGCCAATATTTTCAATTTTCAAATCTCAACATTTTGGCGCCAATTTTCATGAATTCAAAATTTTCAGATTTCGCGCCAAAATTTTGAAATTCAAAAATGCAGTTTGCCGCGAAAATAAAAAAATTCAAATTTCACGCCATAATTTTTGAAATTGAAAAATTACAATTTCCCGCAAAATTTTGAATTTTCAAATCTCAACATTTTGGCGCCAATTTTCATAAATTCAAAAATTTAAATTTTCGTGCCAAAAGTTTAAAACAAAATTCAAAAATACAGTTTCCCGCAAAAATTCAAATTGAATTTTTGAAATTCAAATCTCAACATTTTGGCGCCAAATTTTGAATTTTGGCGCCAATATTTTCAATTTTCAAATCTCAACATTTTGGCGCCAATTTTCATAAATTCAAAAATTTAAATTTTAAAAATTCAAAAATGCAGTTTCCCGCGAAAATAAAAAAATTCAAATTTCACGCCATAATTTTTGAAATTGAAAAATTTCAATTTCCCGCTAAATTTTGAATTTTGGCGCCAATATATTTAATTTTTCACATGAAAAAAAAATAATGCAGTTTTCGCGCCAAAATTTTCAAAATTCAAATCTCAACATTTTGGCGCCTTTCTCGAATTATTCAAATTCCTAGTCCCCCATTTGGTTTTCTAGGCCATCATTGTTTTTGCAGCTCGTGATTCATATCGTCGCCAACTTCAAATGGAACGAGCAAATCTCGATTATGAGCTCGAAACTCTTCACGAACACGATCTCGAATTCAAAATTGAAGAGCAAGAAAAACAGAAGAAATCGCTGGACAGCAAACTCGCTCTAATGCTAAAAACCATGAAAGAAACACTTGGAAGTGTGCCAAGTTCAAATGGTTTGTTTGTTTTTTTGTTTGGGATTCTAGGCCACGGCCGAATTGTGCTTTTTCCAGGCCATCTAGAAAGTGTTGAATCGCTCACCGAATGGTTGAAAACAGTGCAAGTGAAGCCAAATGTTCGAAAATCGATTAGAGAAGCGATTTTGAGCAAGAAAAAATGTTAGAATTTTCAATTTTCCAATTTTTTGTCGGGTTTTTTGTCTTTTTTTTTGTTGAAAACTTATTTTTGATGTTTTATTTTACGGTTGCATGTTAAATGTGTTTTTTGAACAACTTCATTTTCCGCGCGGCTTTCAAATTTCGAAAAAAAAGTTGCTCAATCTTCTTCAGTTTTTCCACCACTGATATATTTCTCATATTCAATTCTTCGTCTTTCTTCATCCTCTTCGCTTTCCTTGATTTTATATTTGGTTTTTCCGTCCCAAAGTTCAGCGGTAAGTCTGGAAAAACAATGGGGTTTGGGTAACTGTTTCTCTAGATTTTTTAAGGGCTGATTCACGAACGTAAAAAATGCTTAAAAATGTTTTTTTAACATCGAAAGATCAATTCACGAAAAGTCGAAAAATGTCGAAAAAACATTGTAGGTCAAAATTAGTTTTTCGAGTTTTTCAGCCAAAAATGATGACAAATCGATATTTTTCAAGCTTCTGGAGTAATTTCTGATGAAAATAAGCTTCGAGAACCCTATTTTGCTTTATTTTATGAATTTTTTCGAAATTCATCAAAATTTAAAAATTTTTTATTTTACGAAAAATCAGCAAAACCTTCTGGAAAGTGATTTCGAAGGTCAATTTTCATCAGAAATTACTCCAGAAGCTTCAAAAATATCGATTTGTCATCATTTTTGGCTGAAAAACTCGAAAAACTAATTTTGACCTACAATATTTTCTCGACATTTTTTGACTTTTCGTGAATTGATCTTTCGATGTTAAAAAAACATTTTTTAACATTTTTTTCGTTCGTGAATCAGCCCTAACGCAAAAATGAGAGATTGTTAGAGAAAAATTAATTTTGATCTACCAAAAAAATTATTGAAAGATTTGAGGTCTAGCGATTTGGTAGTAAATTACACAGTGTGTTTTCTAGTAGTTTTCGACCCGCTGATCATGTCAAAAAAACAAAAATTGCAAAACTCAACACTTAACATGAGCTATGACGTGTAAAATTTCGTAAAATCGCGATTTCAGAATCTTGCAGCTGTTTTGAGCTCCTGAAATCCCGATTTTTCGAAATTTGCCACGTCATAACTCATGTAGTTGAGTTTTGCAATTTTAGACAACGAAAACTACTAGAAAACTTTTTTTTAACTCTAAAAATCAAAAAATAAGACCAACTTTCTGCCATCAACAATTCTTCCATTCATATATTTTACAGCCATATCTGATTCGTCGGTGGTTGAAAATGAGACTGAAACCACACCTTCGGGATGATTCTGAAATAAAATTGATTTTTTCTGAAAAAAAATTGGCGATAGATTTGCCTGCGCGAGAAGAACCCGAAAATTTCACTCAAAAATTTAAATTTTTGGGTGAAATTTCAAGATTCAGGCATGATTTTCTTTTGAATTTAGATTCTTCTTGTCAAAAATTGCAAAACTCAACTTCTAATATGAGTTATGACGTGGCAAAGTTTGAATTTCAGTATTATTTTCATAAAAATCTGCTAGCGCTATTGGATTTTGATGAAAAATAATTACTGAAATTCAAACTTTGCCACGTCATAACTCATATTAGAAGTTGAGTTTTGCAATTTTCGAAAAGAGCAACATTTTCAGCCGAAATCCCCTTTTCTTACATCATAAACCACAACTTTCTTAACTTGTCCATATTTCTGACAACTCTGCTCCATTTCCTCTTTCAAATCCAGCAAAAGCGCCGCGTTTTTCTGTGAAAAATTGGTATTTTCTGGGCTGAAATTGAAAAAATCACGAGCTGAAACTTACAGCCATTTGTTCCAGGGTGAATAGATTTTTGATGATCACACAACAATCGGACGGTGGTCGATAGTTTCGCGGTTTTTCGGGTTGCCATTCGAAAATTCTGAAGGAAAAAGTGGGATTTTTTGTTGGAAAAAAAAAGAGCGCGAAAAATCCACGTGGCAAAAAATTGTTATAGAACCAAGTTTATGCCACGTGGAGTTTTTGAATTTTGAATTTTTTCGCCGAAAATCCAGAATTTAGAATTTTGTATAGAATTTTGGATTTTTTTTTGGAATTTTTCGAAAGCTACAGTACTTCTTCAAAATTTTGGCGCCAAAAACCAGGATTTGAAATTTTGAAAATCTGAATTTGAATTTCGGAGAGTTATACGCCACGGGGATTTTTCAAATCTAGAGATTTGGCGCCAAAAATTCTGAATGTGAAATTTCAAACACTTGAATTTGAAATTTCAGTGTCACGTGGATTTTTCAAACGCTACAGTACTCCTCTAGAATTTTGGCGCCAAAATTTTGAATTCAAATTTTAAACATCTGCATTTGGAAATTTTCAAATTTCGATTCCACGTGGATTTTTCGAAATCTAGAGATTTGGCGCCAAAATTCTGAATTTCAAATTACAGTGACACGTGGATTTTTCAAAGGCTACAGTACTCCTCTAGAATTTTGGCGCCAAAAACCATGATTTGAAATTTTGAAAATCTGAATTTGAATTTCGGAGATTTATACGCCACGTGGATTTTTCGAAATCTAGAATTTTGGCGCCAAAAATTTTGAATTTCAAATTACAGTGGCACGTGGATTTTTCGAAGTCTACAGTACTTCTCTAAAATTTTAGCACCAAAAACCAGGATTTGAAATTTTGAAAATCTGAATTTGAAAATTTTCAAATTTCAATTCCACGTGGATTTTTCGAAATCTAGAATTTTGGCGCCAAAACTTTTCATCTGAAAACTCAAAAAGTTCAATGCCACGTGGATTTCGCCCTCCCGAACCATTTTCTGTCCTCACTTATTCTGCGATTCCATATATCGTTTCTTTTGCGCCGCCGTCAATTTTCGCTTCTTTTTCGTCGGATCAAAATCGCCTTTTTGCTCGAAATGCGCCTCTTCGACAATCACCTCGTGTCCCTTTAAATTCGCGCCATCCAAAATCGAGCAGGCCAGAGCTATGGATTCCTGAAAAATGGAAAAGGAGAATTGCCACGTCATAGCTAGTTAGTTAGCTCAACTAACCTTCTTAATATAACAACATCTGGCATCGCCTTTCAGATTTCCCTCCTCGTCTCGATATAGTTTGATTTTTGGTTTATTGGTTCGAGCGTCCGGTTGAATTACACCGCATTTTGACATGAAATCCTGGAAAATTTGGTTTTGTGAGGAGACGCAGAGAATTTGAAAATTGGTTTTTGGCGCCAAAAAATTCCACGTTTTATCTCTAACCATAGGTTTTTTCTGAGAGACGCAGAGAAACAGAGAATTTTTGCCATGTGGCAATCTTGAATTTTTATAGCTTCCGAAATTTATAGGAAAATTGCCCCGCTTCGAGATATTTTTGAGAAAATATGTGTCCCTTTGAAAAAATACCGTATTTTGTTTCAAGGAACACAACATGTTTTATTGAAAATATCTCGAAGCGAAATTCATTTTCGGGATATTTTTGCAAAGTACTCTCGTCGTCTCGCGTCTGACTCAACGGGCGCCTTGTATGGTCGCAGAGAAAACTAGCATTTTTCAAATTTGAAAATTGGTTTTTAGCGCGAAAAATTCAGAATTTTGCCACGTGGCAAGTCACGTTGAATCACCCACAATAAACTCTTGTTCCGTAATATCGGTGGGCAAATTTTGCACATAGACCGCGTGAACTTTATCGCCCAAATCAATCCAAGCATCTTTTTTCTCCGCTTCTTCTCCCGCCTTCTTTTTCCGCTTTTTCTCCTTTTTCTCCTCGTGTTCCTCCAAAGCTTTTTGGGTTTTTTGGAGGATTTCTTCGTCCATTTTTTCTGCAAAAAAAAAATTCATTTTTTGAGCCAGACTTGCAGAAAAATCATCACTATTCACTCACTGTACAAATCATCATACTGTACACCGTAATTCGCCTGATATTGCGCAATAAAATCCTCATTCACCTGGGGCTCCTCGGTGGCTCCGCCCACTTTTGGCTCTTTCGGAATCCACTCTTGTTTCTCCTCATCCCATGTGTAGTTTTTCTTGCGCCTAAATTTATATTTTTTCCAGCTTAACCCGAAAATTCTCACTTTTCGCTCTTGTTCCTCTTGCTCGAACCACAATTGGCTCAGAAATTCGGCCTCATCTTTGTCCTCGATCACCACCCAATTCTCATCGACAAATCTGAGCAATTCGCCATCCGCTCCGTATTTTCCATACCATTTTTCGTTCAAAAATCGACGCGAAAACGGTTCCTCAGCTTGTTCTTGTTGTTTTTCTTCAGATTTCACTGGAATTTCCTCGTCTTCTTCGACTTCCGGCACAAAATCTGACATTTTACAATAATTCTTTGAATTCTGAAATTTTTGGTTTATTAAATTTCGCTGAAAACAGGCTGAAAACCACGAAAAAAAAACAAAAAAAATATTTTTTTTTCAAAATTTCGAAAACAAATTTCTGCATTTGTGCGTCGCCGTGTTGACACACTTTTTATCTGTGTAGTTCTCTCGGACAATTTTCCATTTTTTTTTTCATTTTTCCCTCTTCTCTTGCAAATGACGCCAGGATTGCTGGTTTTAGGCGCAAAAAATGTGGATAAACTTAAGAAGTTTCTAACCGAAGCCGCCACTGTCACCAAAAAGTTGTACATAAGGTGAAAAATGCTCTTTTTTCCTGGAAAACCCAATTTTTCTATAGGTTCAACCCGTCTGTTCCAAAAACCGATGATATTATCTCAAAAATCTATCTTCAATCGTCAGTCGTTTGTCCCAAGGTTGATGTACGGATATTGATTAGAAATGAGAATCCACAAGGTTTTTTTTGTGACTTTTTTGTTGAGAATTTCAAGAATTTCAAGAAATCTTCTGGTTTTTCAGATTATCGATTGATTGGCGACGAAAAACCGCAAGAAATGTCGGGTGAATCATCGAAAAAATTCAAAAAAGTCGTTTTGGGCGGCACATTTGATCGACTTCACAACGGTCACAAAGTTCTGCTAACTAAAGCCGCGCAAATTTCGACAGAGCAAGTTGTGATTGGAGTTACCGAGAAAAATATGATTGAAAGTGAGTTTGTGCTTATCATAAGAATTCTAGAACAACCTTTTTTTATTAAGAAAAATCACTGTTTGAATTAATCGAGCCGGTCTCGTATAGAATGGAAAAAGTGCGCGAATTTGTCGAAGACATTGGCGAAAAAGGCCTAAAATGTCTCACCGAACCGATCATCGATCCTTTCGGTCCATCAACTCGAATCGCTGATTTGGAAGCGATTATTGTGTCGCGCGAAACAATTCGCGGAGCCGACGCGGTAAATCGAAAACGCATCGAAAACGGGATGAGTGAACTGGAAGTTGTTGTGATTGAACTCGTAGAAATGTCGAAAATTGATGAGATTTTGAATGAGACCAAGATTAGCTCAAGTTGCAGAAGAAGAGCGGATTTGGGAGAGCTTTTAAGGCCTGTTAGGGATATTCCTAGAAATCCTGCGAATTCTCCCTATGTGATTGGATTATGCGGAGGAATTGCGAGTGGAAAAAGTCATATTGGAAAATATTTGGTTGAGAAACATGGCTTTGAGGTATTATCGAAAATCTCATCGCTCCACCGAAATAAACACGCGACGCAGACCGCGCCGCGCCACAACACACAAATAAGGGAACGATTCGAATTCCCTCCCTTTTTGTGTGTGTTGTGACGCGACGCGGTCTGCGTTGCGTGTTTATTTCGGTGGAGCGCGATATCAAGATTTCCTAAATTAAATTTTCCATTTTCTAGGTAATCGATTGCGATAAACTCGCCCACACTTGCTACGAACCCGGAACTCCTCTCATTTCAAAAATCGCCGAAACTTTTGGCGCGGAAATTGTCGAAAATGGCCAAGTTAATCGAAAAAAGCTGGGTGCAATTGTGTTTTCGGATGCCGCCAAATTACGAGAATTGAGCGAATTGGTTTGGCCGGTTGTGAGAGAAAAAGCTGAGGAACTTGTGAAGAAATCGAAGGCGAAAGTTGTTGGTGAGGAAACATGGCCTAGGTGGCCTAGAAAACCAAAAAAAATCATTTTGCAGTCATCGAAGCGGCGGCGCTCGTCGAAGCTGGTTGGCACAAAAATCTGGCCGAAGTGTGGACAGTCTTCGTCCCTCAAGAGGAGACAATTCAACGAGTCATGAATCGCGACAAAATCAGCGAAGAACAAGCTCGCGCGAGAATGTCCGCGCAAATTTCGAATAAAGAGCGAATCGATGCGAGTCAAATTGTGTTTTGCTCAATTTGGAGCTACGAGACAACGCGAGAACAAGTCGATCGAGCTGTGAAAGCGCTTTTGAAAAGAATTTAATGGGTATTTGTATTTGGAAGAATATAATGTGATGTGATTTTTAACAAAAAATGATAAAAATATTTACTGGACACTCGATTCTACTAAAAAAAACATACACTAAATCGCAATAGAAAAATAAAATGAACAATTGGAGAGATTTTTTATTCATTTTCCGAATAATTTGTTGCAATTGATCTATGCGAGTAAAAAAAATGCAATTCGAGTAAAATGTCCTTGATATTTAAATGCGCAATAAATCTTGAGCCTTGTTATTGGTTGCTCGTGGAGTTTGGCGATTTCGGCGACCACGAATTTCTGAATATTTATGAAATTTTTCACAATTTCAGCAAAAAACAGTGCAACCTACCTCTTTGGCGACGTTCTTCTTCTTTATTTCTGAAAATATTATTTTCATACTGAAGCTGGCCGATATCAACATCATTGTTCTGAATAATTCGATTTTGATCAGCATTGATCACCTGCAACTCCTGCTTATCCTCGTCATCTTCCTTGGCCTTCGCTCTAAAATTGCCCATATCCTCCACCAAAGTTTCGTTTTCACGCGTTTAAATTCTTTTCATATTGTTTTTGCAATTTTTCAAATGCCGACTATAAAAATAATAATTTCATTTCAGAAATTCTTCAAACAGAAAACAATAAACAAACTCACCACTTCACGAGTCAACTTTTTGGCAAAAATACGGAAAAGAATAGCCTGAATGAGGAGAACGACAAACTCGGAGAATATTATCCAATTGGCAAGAGTTGTTTTGGTCCAATTCAGATCATATTCGATGCACATGTCCAATGGTTTTTCGACAACGCATGAAAAATCGGTTGATTTGAGTTCGGCCTGAAATAATTTGTCATTTTTTTTTTGAAATTCTTGTTTTGAAATATCACGGCCTTTCAAAAATAGAGAAAATTGCAAATTGAGAGAGACGCAGAGAGAAAAAAACCACCTTCAAATAGAAATACGAAACACCAATTCCATTTGCAGTTCGACTCCTCGTTTCGAGACCAAGCGCGGGAAACATGTTTTTCAAATATTTTCGAATTCAATACTTTCCCGCGCTTGGTTTCGAAACGATATATCAAATTATTTGTGAATTTCGTGTTTTGGATTTCTTTTTGAAGAAGTTTTCTCGTTTTCTCTGTGTCTCTCTCGATTTACCCTGTAAAAGGCCGTGAAATCACTTACATTGATGTTTCCAACCACGATTCCAGTTAAATTTCTAAAACCAGCAAACGACTCATCAATCACTGGATTTATTTTTGATGACAAATCGGCTAAGAGAGGTAAAATGTTTTCTAGGCGATTTGTTAAATTTTGTAATGAATCATGGAGATTTTTAATATCTCCAGCAATATTCACAACAGCTCTTCTCGCAGCAGAATTCAAACAAGTGTCTTTTTGGTATTTCAGATACCCTCCACGTTGTTCCATCAAACTCGCCATGTGACGTCTGATAACCGAAGAATTATCAACAAATTCGAGGGTTGGAAGAATGGTTGCAAATTGTGTGACATCACTTTGATAGCTATTCAAATTTGCACCGATTCTAGCGTTGTCCAAATATGGCGACATTTTCGAATAAATCGTTTTGCCCTTTTCACAGCCACCAGTAATCGATCGAAGATTCGCTGCTTCGCCATTAAAATTGTAGAATTTCGCATCGGAATTTTGAGATTCGTCTTTCAATTCACATTGATAAGCAAATGGTGAAAGGCCAACGGAACCGAGAAGAGCAACAATGAAATATATCGCAACCAAAAATCCACAGATCCCAATCAAAATATTTGAAATGATCGTATGGGTGTCCGGCGATATCTTTTCTTTCACAAATGCAACAAATGTGCCAACTTGAATACCATATACGACAAAAGCGATCAGAATTGATACAATAATGAAGATGAGCAGACGAAATTTGACCGAATCTTGTAAACCAATCTGATTATTGAATGATTCAATGAAATAATCATATTTTGCAATAATCGATGTTTGATAGGATTTGAGCATTGATATCAAAGTTTCAGAATATGCAAAAATATTCGACTTTGATAATCTGCCACGTGTTTTCGATTCAACCATGGTCAAATTCTCGAAATTTGATTTCGCCTCATCAATCGGTTTGCCAAGATTCTTAAGTTGTTGATTATGTACTTCGGTTGCATTGTTACACATTTCCAAATACTTCATCTTGTCGGTTATCACGTTCTCCCATTGACTACAGTTCGCCTTAATCACAGGCAAAACTGCGCCATCTCCAATCAAATTCAGCTTCCGTCAATATTGGTTTTTCCTTCTGTAAACAAATTGATATGGTTACAGCTATTTTTACAATTCCATGTCGATTTTCGAAAATCTACCTGTTTGATATCGGCAACCTTGAGCTCAGCGGAAACGCGATCAAACAATTTGGTGGGCAAATCAGTGTATGGAGCATCATTGACAAGATTCGGCAACTTTTTGACAACACGAGTCGCTTTGGCCACCGAATCAGCTGTCTCTGGAAAAAAAACAAAATATATTAGATTGAAAATATGAATTTTGAGCTGCAAACTTACTTGTCTTTTGTTGCTCGAAAACATCTTTTCCTTTCTTGTCAATCGTCGATTGCGAGAAATATGCACCAAGAGCAGCCGCCGATAGAATAACAATGAATACAAATCCAACAATGATTGCAACAATGTAAATCGCTTTCATTCGTGGAAGCTCTTTCACATCTGCCGTTGACGCTTCCAAGCTTGGAGATGGGGAGGCTGATATTGCCGACGGTGCAGTCATTTTTTTACAACTTCCAATGGTCGATTTGTTCTCTCCTTCTTTTTCGGGAAAAAATTGTAGAAACTGAAAAAGACTGGCGATTTCGCGGCTTAAATAGGCGGCCTTGCCACGTCATATAATCTACTCAGAGAAAATTTTGCCCCGGGGCTGCCCGTAGGAATCTGGTTTGCCCCTATTTTCGAGGTGTTGCCCTTCGGACCAGCACGAAGGGCAAATTTTCTAATGGGAAAATTAAATCGAAGGGTATTTTTCGAGCACGTGACCTAGTTTTGTGACCTAGTTACGTTTTCGATCACAAAAAATAATAATTTTCTTTCATTTCACACATTTCGGTGTTCTAGAAAATAGTCGGGAAATATTTTCCTAATCATGTTATTCGAATTGCAATGCTACAAATCTTTAAAAAGTACAAAGTGAGAAGCAGGAACAGTTTTGGAAACAGCAATGAATTGAGATTATTCGTATTGCTATTTGGAATATTTGTGAATTCGAAAGATGTTATCTCACATTATTTATACCCGATATTGCAGTACTCAAAAAATTAACTGTGAAGAGAAAGTGATATTAGACTTCAATAATATTCTTTTGTGTTTCCTAGTATTCGATAGGAGTTTGCCATGGCCGAATTTGCTAAAATGAGAATGATGAGATCGAGCTTCAGTTTTTTTTTTGAATAAAAGTTCTAGCTTTAGAAATATTTTCTGATTTACAATACATTTTGATCGTAAAATAGACTAGTTTTCCGACGGTAATCACCATTGTGAAAGTAGTGCACGGTTTTTTTCTAAATTTTTCCATGCTGGAAATTAAAAATTGAAACAGAAATGATTTTTTCCACGTCAAAATTTTTAAAATTTAAAAACGTCATACCCTAGTTTTTCTGAATTGCCCTTAGGCCGCCCCTTGAATGCACTAGTGTTGCCCTTAGGACCAGCCCTCGGGGCACTTCAAGGGGCTGCCCATGGACCACCTTTTCTCTGAGTAGACCACGTTTCATGAATATTTAGGACACGTTTCATAAATATCATGTTTCGTCCTTTTTTTCCGTCGATGCGTCGCGGTTCCGGCTCATTTCTATTTTTCGAACCAAATTTCAAGTGAAGACGAAGATGATTTGAAGTTTTGGCAAATTTGGTGAAACATTAATGATGAATTCAGGATCGCAAACAGCAAATCCTACGCGCAATTTTGTAAAAATAAAATAACGACACTCCGCTCAAACAGACAACAGGCAAGCCGAATGTCGTTTTTTTCAATTTATTTATTGTTTCCTTTTTTGTTTTGTAAGCGACTAGTTTGCAAAAAAATATTATTTTTTTTTGCAAAAAAATCATTTTTTCAAAAAGAAACATTTACGAGGCAAGGGTCTCGTAGCGAAGAGGCGCAATTCATTGTGCGCCTTTAGTTTTAAAACTACGGTGTTTGTTTTTTTTTCGAAAATTTCGAGAATTCAACCGATTTTCGTAAATGAAGGGTTATCGAAGCTGGAAAAGTGATTATTTAAAATCTGTTGTGAGAAAACATGTTTATCGAGATGTAAGTTATTCTAAATTATTCGAAAAATAACAAGAAAATTGCAGAAAATCTCGGCGAAATTCGAAAATTCCAAATCTCAAAGTATCTCCAAGTCAATGCAAATATTATTCGAAGAAGACGAAATGTATGAGACTTACCCGCGCTCTGAAAAACTTCTGGAATCGCTTGAAGCTCTTCAAACTTTCTCAAATAGCTCACAATATTTTGAAGGCGGATTGAATTATGAAAGAAGACATTTTCGATGGGTTAAAGATCAGAAAGGCATCGAATTTATCACAAAATATGATGCACTTGGCTGGTTTTATCAAAAAAAAATGAGCGAATTTCTGGATAATTATGCGAAAAACGGCAAAATCTACGTGAAACGTAAAATTTTGTCAAAAAGTTTGTCCGAAATCATCAACAATGTTGTGATGTCGGATAAGAAGTTTATGAAATTGTGCGCGAATTTGGAAGGCTCGAAGTTTAGTGAGAAAAATATTGGAGAATTTGGAGTGTGAAAGATTGGAGGAGATGAAGAAAGAGGGAAGAAATGAGCGGGAAAATGAGGCGATTGAGGAGATTTTGGGGAATTTGAGAGGTATCGATTTGAATTACTGGTATCCTGAGTGATTCAAGTCGAAAAAATAATAAAAAAACGACATTTTTTGACAAAAAACTATATTTTTTCCTATTTTTTGACATTTTTTTCATTTTTGTGTGGAAAAAAATGGTTTTTTTTTCAAAAATTCAAAATATTGAACCTGGTCCGAAGGCCTAAAAAATCCTAAACTTGAATTGTTCACCCTAGGCTTAGCTTAGGCCCAGACCCTCCAGGCTCTCCCCAAGAATCTGTATGTTTCCTGAACACCCGAACAACCATGCAAAACTGTCTAGAAGATTGAAATCTGTCACGTTCATTCGAATTTCAAATAAAAGATCTCGATCTAGTTCGAGTTCTGTTGGATCTTCTAAGCCGAAAATCTGGTTGCAAAATCTAGATTAGAGATGTTATAAAATACAGTGCAAAGGTACAGTATACCAAAAAAAAAGAAGATGTTGTATTCTCAATTCGATTCGCCGAACTCAAAAATGAATTCATCGTATTATTTTTCGAAAATCTATGTGCTAATATTTGCCCTCTGTATTTTTTTCATTTTTATAAATTTTCCAAAAAATGAAAATCCACCGGCTCAATCAAGTTTTCCTGAATCCACATCTGGAAATAAAATAATTTCGGCCCTCGAAAAATTCCAAGATTGCTACAACTCCAAAGTGTTCACCTTCTCAAATAATTCGAAAGATATTTGGAGCAATATTGAAATCATTGCTCATATTTGTGATGGTTTTGGTGGGAATTTGGATTTGAGGCCGTTGAGAAATCGAGATGAGACAAAATGGTTGGCTTTTCCGAAAAAAACGAATTTGGATAGGAATTTTACGATGGTTACGTTGGGAATTGCGAATGATATTACTGCGGAGATCAAGTTGAGAGATGTGAGTTTTTTTGAAAATTTCAGCTTCTCAGATTTTAGAATTCGAAAGATTCTGAAAACTTCAAGTTCCTCTAACTCTAAGAACTATATATTTTCTTAAAAAGCCTTATGAAATCCAAAAAACTTTTAATTTTTGAAAAAAATTTTCGAGTTTTGAAAAATTGACTCTGAAGCTTGAGGGCTCAAAACATTTTCGAAAATCAAGTTTAATTCCAAGGTCAATTTTCATCAGAAATCACTTCAGAAGCTTCAAAAATCTCGATTTGTCATCATTTTTGGCTGAAAATCTTTAAAAAAAATCTAGAAAGTTAGGATAACTCTGCCGCTGCGCGGAAGATAGTGCCGCTTACGCGGAAACTTGCGGTCTACACTGGCTTCGCTCGAAAAAAATCCAATCAAAATCATATTTTGTTCGAGCGGAGCGAGTGTAGACCGCAAGCTTCCGCGTCAGCGGCACTATCTACCGCGCAGCGGCTACGTTACCACAACTTACTCAATTAACCGAAGAAGTTACCTTAACTTGGCCGCTGCGCGGAAGCTTGCGGTCTACACTCGCTCCGCAAGCTTCCGCGTAGCGGCCACGTGGATTACTATAATGTGTAGTAATCCGCGTGGCCGCTTCGCGGAAGATAGTGCCGCTTACGCGGATTCTAGACTTCCAAAATCCACGTGGCAAGCTTTCCAGATCCTCCCCCAAACCGATTTCTTCGGAGCCGATCCCACCAACATGTCCCAAATCTACACCCAACTCGGCCAACACTTCCAATTCGGAGTATCCGGAAAAACCGGTCTGAAAAACACGAGAATCTACAAAAACCCGAAAATGGCTTTGGAAGATGATGTGAAAAATGTGAATTTTGTGGAGTTTATTGACGAATATGTGCAAAGGAAATTGGTGCATTTTTTGTGGATTGATATTGAAGGAGGGGAATTTGAAATATTTGAAATGTTGTATAGAAATGGAGACATCGATACAAATCACATTGATATTTGTCAAATTAATTTTGAGGTGGGGGAATTTTTCAGAAGATGATTTAGATAGAAGAAGTTCAGAGATCTCCTGAATTTTTTTGGAAACTTTTGAAGTATTTTAGAAGATCTAGAGGGACTTGAAGATAAAAAATCTAAAAGTTATCGAAGCTCTGAAGATCTAGAAGTTACCTGAACTTCTGAGATTTTCTTCTAGTTTTTTTTCGAGAAATTTTGATATATTTTCTGCAATTTCTCGTCGAATATGATGTTTCCAATAAAATTTCGGTGAAAAATTCAAAAATTCTGCAATTTTTCGTGAAATCCAGCGTTTTTCATGGAATTTTAAGCATTTTTGTGTCACAAATAAATTCTTAAAAATTCCACAAATTGTTTCAAAAGCCTGGGAAAGTTACCTGAACTCCAGAGTGATTCTGAAGAAATTCTAGGCAATCTGGGAAACCCAGAATCTTGTGAACTTCTGATAAGTTCCAAAAATCCCCCATTTTTTTTCAGATCCATCAAAAAACCCTTGAAGAAATCACAAATGAGGCCGAGAGATTTCAAAATTTCATCCGAAAAATCGTCACCGACGGAAAATATGCAATTGTGAAGGCGTTCAATGTGCGAAAGCAGAATTTTGTGCGAATTTTTCTGGTCAACATTGAAAATGCGGAGTGTCGTAGGCTATTTATTGATTGATTTTTGTTTTTTTTTTGTTTTTTTTTTTGATATTAGTGTCTGTAAATAAGTTTTTAGCAGGTTTTTTTTTTTGAAAAATGAAATTTTTTTCGGTCAAAAATCCACGTGGAAATTTAGGCGCCAATTGTTTTCAAATTTTTTTTTAGAATTTTCTACGTGGAGCTTTTGAAGCCGAAAATGTATATATACAGTAACCCAGATTTTTCGCTAGAAACATTTGATCTACAAAATTATTTTGAACTGCAAGGAGTACTGTAATTCGGCTTCTTTAACTTGAAAAACTGTTAGAACTACAAATCTTAATGTATCTCAAAACTCTCCAAACTGCAAAGACTACTGTATTATCTGCACAAGTTATCGTGAGCTGTAATAACTGTTAGAACTACAAATCTTACTGTATCTTAAAACTCCAAACTGCAAAGTGTACTGTATTTTTTTCGACCTTCGAAAATTTGATTGAATTTCTTCCCAAAAGAATTTTTTTTGTTGGATTTTGAACAGATAAAATCTAGCCGTACACGGTCTCAAAACGTGCCAAAATGCATGTATTTCGGACGCAAAACAGTTTTTTATCGCTCATTTTACATCTGGCGTTGTTCTGAACGTTGTCTGAACATTTTGCGGAACTAAATGCGATTCGGACAAAAAAAAATGCGAAAATGAAATAGTGGGTTACAGTATCACTTGCAGTTCGGAAAATTATTTTAGATTACACACAAAATGCCACGTGGCGAAACATCTACAGTAATCCGAATATTTCAGGAAGCTGTAGATTATTTTTTTTTTGAGAAAAACTGGATTACTGTAGTTTTTGCCACGTGGAAATGTGTGGTAATTTGAAATTTTTCTCACACAAAAAATGCCACGTGGCAAAACATCTACAGTAATCCAAACGCTCTAGAAAGCTTCAGAAAATGAATGCCACGTGGCATTCTCAGGCCAAAAGCATACTGTATTCAAAAATGTTCCGGTTTTAGCAAGTTTTGTGTGTTTTGAAATGAGAAAAAATGTGGGTTGACACCAACAAAAAAAAAGAGTGATCGTACAGATTTTTTGGATGAACGTGCGTATTTTACACACAGAGAAAAAGTTTTGTCGGGGATCCACGCTATCGCGATTTCAAATCTCTCTTCAGACCCAAATAAATACATTTCGGGAAAATTTCTGAGAGAATTTCTATTTTGAAAAAAGTTTGGGAATAGGGTTCAGTACTTTTTGCAGTTTGCCAACACCTCAACGCTTTGTGGTTAAGACTACAGTAATATTTGCAGTTTGAAGAAATTCATGAGCTACAGTAATCCTTGTAGTTCGAAGAAATTATAAGGCTACAGTAATATTTGCAGTTCGAAGAAATTATAAGGCTACAGTAATCCTTCTCCTTTGTAATGAAGCCAGGATCTCATCTACAGTAATATTTGCAGTTTGAAGAAATTCATGAGCTACAGTAATCCTTGTAGTGTGAAGAAATTCAGGAGCTACAGTAATCCTTGTAGTTTGAAGAAATTCATGAGCTACAGTAATCCTTGTAGTTTGAAGAAAGCTCAAAAGCTACAGTACTTTTTGCAGTTCAAAGAATTTTGAAGGGTACAGTAATCCTTCTACTTTGTAATGAAGCCAGGATCTAATATACAGTAATATTTGCAGTTCGACAAAATTCAGGAGCTACAGTAGTTATTGCAAATTGAAAAATAGTTTTTAAAAAATTTTCGGACTGCAAAAACTACTGTAGCCTTTGAATTTTTCGCAAAGAGTACTGTAGATTTTTGATCAACAGAACTGTAGATTTTTGATCAACAGAAAATTGTCGCCAAAAACATAGCAGAAATTTCATGATTTTGGGAGATACTGTATGTCCCTTTAAGAACCTCAAAAATAATCCAAAACTATTTATCAATCAATCAATAAACAGCCTACGACACTCCGCATTTTCAACATTCACCAGAAAAATTCTCAAAAAATTACGATGTCTAATATTGGAAGCCTTCAGAATCACATATCTCCCATCGGCGACGAGTTTTTGAAGAAAATTTGCGAATTTTTCGGGTTCTTGTTTTTTCAGCGATTCCTCCATAACTCCTTGATGAATCTGGAAAAAAAAAGTTTGGAATTCCAAATTTTTTTCTAGGAAAATTCATGGGATTTCATCAAAAATTGCAGATTTTCTTTTGGAAATTTGAATTTTTCGCCGAAATTTTATTGGAAACATCATATTCGACGTGAAATTGCAGAAAATATATCAAAATTTCTCAAAAAAAAAAAAACTAGAAGAAAATCTCAGAAGTTCAGGTAACTTCTAGATTTGTTCCTGAATCTCTTAGATATTCTAGAACAATTTTTAGATCTTCTAAAATACTTCAAAAGTTTCCAAAAAAATTCAGGAGATCTCTGAACTTCTTCTAAATCATCTTCGAAAAATTCCCCCACCTCAAAATTAATTTGACAAATATCAATGTGATTTGTATCGATGTCTCCATTTCTATACAACATTTCAAATATTTCAAATTCCCCTCCTTCAATATCAATCCACAAAAAATGCACCAATTTCCTTTGCACATATTCGTCGATAAACTCCACAAAATTCACATTTTTCACACGAGTTTCCATAATTCCATCTGAAGATGTTTTCTTTTTTTTTTTTTTAAATTTTTTTTAAAAAGCAACTAACTATTCGCATAAATTCTGGTGCTTTTGAGCCCAGTTTTGGCGGAGACTCCGAATTGAAAATGCTGTCCGATTTTTGTGTAGATTTGTGAGATGTTTGCAGGATCGGCGCCGAAAAATTGAGTTTGGGGGAGAAGCTGCAAAAAATATTCTGGATTTTTTTTTTGGATTTCACAAAATGTTGATTTTCATAACTCAAAAAAAAAATTCCAAGCTCAAAAATCCACGTGGCCAATTTTTTTTTCAAAAAAAAATGATCTACAAAATTTTGAATTACAGTATTTTTTTTTTGATTACTGTAGATATTCTGCAACGTGGTATTTTTGTCGAAAAAAAAATTTGATCTACAAAAATTTTGTGTCTACAGTAATTTGAAATATTTTGATTACTGTAGCGCTTTTTCAAAAAGCCTTTTTGACGAAACAAATTTCGGCAGAATTTTTTCCACGTGGAATTTAGTTCGAAATTGCAGAAATTAAATTACTGTAGATATTCTGCCACGTGGCATTTTTTTTTTCGAAAAAAAAAAATGATCTACAAAATTTTATTCATTCAAAAATTTTGAATTACAGTATACTTTGATTACTGTAGATATTCTGCCACGTGGTATTTTTTTCGAAACAAAAAAAATTGATCTACAAAAATTTTGTGTCTACAGTAATTTGAAATATTTTGATTACTGTAGCGCTTTTTCAAAAAGCCTTTTTTACGAAACGAATTTCGGCACAATTTTTTCCACGTGGAATTTAGTTCGAAATTGCAAAAACTAAATTACTGTAGATATTCTGCCACGTGGCATTTTTAAAAAAAATATTTGATCTACAGAATAATCCAGAACTCAAATCTTTGCCACGTCATAACTCAGATGAGTTTTTGAAGCCCAAAAAAATTTAGGCTAACTCACATTTTTCAATTTCGTCTCTGCAGTGATATCTTTAGCAATTCCCAACGTAACCATCGTCAAATTCTCCTCCGATCTCAAATTTCTGGGATAAATTATCCATTTCACCTCATCCCGATTTTCCAGCGGCCTCAAATCCAAAATCTCTCCAAAAACATCACAAAAATGCACAATAAACTCGAAATTATTCCAAATATCTTCAGGATTTTCGGAAAAATTGAACACTTTTGAATTGTAGCAATTTTGGGATTTTTGAATGCGATCAGAAGTGAAAAAAATTGGTTTTTGAATTTTAATTTCAGTAGCTGAATACTTAAAGATTGAAAAAATGAGAAAAGCTAGCAATATAAGAGGATAGACAATTTTGCAATTCATTTTTCGATTTTTTTTGTGGAGACTAATTAAATTAAGCACATTTTATAATGAACTTTTTATCTGTTTTTTAAAATCAGAAAAAAAACTTTTTAACCAAATTAAGGTTGAAAATCAAAATCAAAATCAGAATCAGAATCAGACAATAAAAAATTTTTTGAAAACAAAAAATTCCAGAATTTTCTTCATATCCGCGTGTAATCGCGGAGCATCGTTTGAACTCACTGATTCCTCCACAATTCAGAATTTGACCTAAAATTTCGTGATTCGCTTCAATGAACCTATCAAAAGGTTAATTAATTAATTAGCATGTGTGATTTTTAAAAAGATAATGAATCTAGGTTGATCCTATGGGTGATTTTCATCTGATCTTTCAAGTCCGTGACCTAGAAAACCAAGAAAAACTAGTCCGTGACCTAGAAAACCAAGAAAAACTAGTCCGTGACCTAAAAATTTGCATTGGAAAATTTCTGCAAATTTTGAAGATTTAAAAATTAACAAAAAAAATTTTTAAATTTCCGCGTGACCCAATTTTTTTATCGATTTTTTTGTCGAAAAAAAAACGTCATCAAAAATGAGACACAGCCATTTTTTACACCAAATTCGACTGGAAAACCTCGAGCCTCAAATTTTCCGGACCAAGTGAGTTTCAGCAATTCACATTTTCAGCCAAATTTGTATTTACAGACAAGAGAAAAATCTCTGGAAGCCGAAAATCGAGGAGTTATCAAATTTGATTCTGGATACCAATTACATGCATTTGAAATAAGACGAATGATAATCGCATTTTGAATTTTTTTTTAATAAATAAACATTTTGTGGCTTTTTTAAAGGGACATACAGTACCTGGAAGGATTTTCAAACACGCAGCGCTTGACCGCAACGCACCCAAAGACATTGGCAAAAAATATATTTATTCATCTTGATTTCGGACAATTTGTACAGACATGAGGGGATAATTTAATTTGGGAGCAGAACAAAAAACACTAACTTTCAAGTTGCAAAAAAGAACTACATACGAATCAAATAAGTTAACACAGTTCGCGAATTTAATCTTCCCAGGTGAGCGAATGTCTATTCTCGTATCTCAATTGGCAGTTTCTCTTACCGTACCAGTTGACGTAGGCGAATTCGGCGTCGGAGACGATTGCGTTGAAACGACCGCCGAATTTGGCCGAGGCGTCGCCTTCGATTTTTCGCGCCGCTTCCAAGTTATCCTGAATTTTGACAATTGATTGAAGTTATCAAGTGCGCTCTATAGAACTATAGAACTATTGCATTTGCATTTAATCTAGAAAAACATCAAGTGCGCTCTATAGAACTATAGCATTTTCTTTGAAAATTCGAAACTTCAGTCATAGATAATGCAAATGCGCTCTATGGAACAATTTTTTTCGAAAATGCAAGATTTTCCAAAGAAAAAATCAAGTGTGCTCTATCGAACAAATAAATTTCCATCAAGAAATTCAAATTCAGCCTAGAAATGAGCAGATGCGCTACATAGAAATATTTAACTTTCTATTAAAAATTCAAATTTCAAACATGCAAACGCGCTCTGTCGAAAAATTTAAAATTTGTTTTAGAAAACATCAAGTGTGCTCTATTGAACAATTGCATTTTTTCTAGAAAATTCAAAATTTCTGTCATAGATAATGCAACAGCGCTCTATGGAACAATTTATTTATTTTTCGAAAATTTGAAATTTTTCAAAGAAAACAGCAAACGCGCTCTATCGAACGAATGAATTTTCATCAAAAAATTCAAATTCAACCTAGAAATGAGCAATTGCGCTCTATTAAACTATTGCATTTTTTCTAGAAAATTCAAATTTCAAACATAGACAATAAAAAATAAGACGAGCAAACGCGCTCTGTCGAAAAATTAAAAATTTGTTTTAGAAAATATCAAGTGTGCTCTATTGAACAATTGCATTTTCTCTAAAAAATTCAAAATTTCTCCCATAGATAATGCAAACGCGCTCTATTGCACAAAATAATTTCATCTAAAATTTTCAAATATTTTTTATCTATTTCTTTTTTCGTTGAAAATTCAACTTTTTTTTAAAAAGTCCCACAAATTCCAAGAAAATCCCAATTTTTCCCGAAAAAAAACCCATAAACCTTCCTCCCTCGCCCACCCAATTTAGCCTAACATAAAAATAGCCAGGTATGTAAATTAGACAACATCTTTTACATAACCGGGCCTCTGGTTTTTCTCATAATGTGTCATTTCAATTTAATCACCTTTCATTTCAGGAAAAGGGAACCTGTTTTTGAATGGTTGGATGCAGATTTTTTCTTTTTTCCCCCGTTATCAAGTTTGGATGCATTTTAATTGGTTTTCGATTGTGGGAAGCAGAGAAAAGTTTGAGGAGGAAAATTTTGAACTTTCTGGATTTCTGGCGGAAAAAAATTGAATTTGAAAATTTGGACACAAGAGTTTTTGATGCAAAAATTTAGAGTTTGAAATTTCCCAGTGTTCTGAACTTGAAAACCATACTGAATGCTCGCTATGTCCCTTTAAATCCCCGCGACGCACCTTTTCTCCCTTCAAAGCGGCCTCAACAATGGCACGAAGTTCCGGATCGTCGCAATTTCCCTCGTCGCTTTCCTCATCCGCATATTCGACGGCCTCGTTGGTCTCCTAGAACATTTTTGATCATTCAAAAAAAATCTTATTCAGTTTTTTTTGGCTGTTGTGTAATGCGGAAGGGGATTTTTATCAGATATTGCGCAAGGCAGCAAGAAAATCTGGTTGGTTTCAAGAAAAAAAGAAGAAGATATGGGGAAATTATCAGATTATTAAACTAAAACTTAAAAACAGCCGGTTTCGGCTGAAAATTGGAAGAAAATTCCCTTTCATATCTCGACCATGCGCGCTTTGATTTCTACCTGTATCTTTAGAGCAGGCGGGTAGACGATAGATTGTGGATCAGAGGGGGTCGTTTTGGTGGGTTCGAGTCCCACTGCGAACTAATTTTTTTTTTCTAGATTTTTTGAAAAATTCAAAAAAGTGTAATTCTCGAGGAGAAGCGGAAAAAAACAAAAACTCACCTCAATTTGATCAACCGATTCAGCAGCTTCAACAACAGCAGGTTCAGTGGCAGCAGCAACTTCAGGTTGTTCCTCAACAATATCATCATAGGTGCTTTCCTCCTTGGCGGCAACATTTGGAGCGGCTTCAGTCACAACTTCTTCAACAACTTCTGGAATCGCTTCGACGGTAGTTGTGGCAACTTCTTCGACGATGACTTCTTCGACAGCTGGAGCGGCTGGTGCTTCAGTTACGATAACTTCTGGAAGTGGTTCGGGTTGAGGTTGTTCGACAATGACTTCTTCAACTGCTGGTGCGATTGGTGCTGGTGTTTCGTCGACAATCACGACTGGTGTTGGAACTGGTCCTTGGGTGTAAGTGGCGATGACTGGTGCTTGTGGTGCGATTGGTTCTTCGACGATTACTGAATGTGTGAAATGCTGTGGTGTGGTGTAACTGGTTAGGGTCTAGATTTATGAGTGAGAGGTGAGAGGTTCAATTCCGCATGCCTCCTAATATTTTTTTTTCAAAAATTGTTTCGAATCTGGCTCAACTGGTTTCAAGGAAGTTTCTAAATTTTAAACATGAGGTCAAGGTTTCTGCCTTATTCCTCACGACCATTTACTCCAATTGCCCCTCGGGTCAGACGAGAGACGACGGGAGTCTGATGACGTCATCTAAGACATCGCTTCGAGATATTTTTGAGAAAATATGTGTCCCTTTGAAAAAATACCGTATTTTGTTTCAAGGAACACATCATGTTTTATTGAAAATATCTCGAAGCGAAATTCATTTTCGAGATATTTTTGCAAAATACTCTCGTCGTCTCGCGTCTGACTCAACGGACGCCTTGTATGGTCGTGTCCTGTGCTCAAAGTGCGAAAAACGGCATGCAGTGCATCGCTCACCTTGTGGTGCAACTGGTGGCGCATTGTAGGCTCCGCCGGCTCCGACTTGAGTCACCGAGATCGAGCTGATTGGTCCTGGTCCGGCTTGATAGGCTTCACCGGCTGGTGCAACTGGAATAGCTGGTCCTGGTCCGGCTTGATATCCTCCAGCTCCTGCGGCTCCGCCATCAATTCCGACTGCTCCTGGTCCGGTTGCGATTGGTCCAGCTTGATAGGCTCCACCTCCAAGAACTGGGGCTGGTGCAAGTGGCGCTGGGTTATAGGCGGCAATTGGTGCTGGTCCTGGGATTGGTCCTGGTCCAGCTTGATAAGCACCACCTCCGATTGGACCTGGTCCTGGGATTGGACCTGGTCCGGCTTGATAGGCTCCTCCGATTGGTGCTGGTGGAGGAGGTGGGGGTGGGGGTGGAGCATAGGCTCCTCCGGCAATTGGTCCAGTTGCGTATGCTGCTGGTGGTGGTGGTGGAGGTGGAGGTGGTGGGGGTGGAAGAGGAGGTGCGGCATATGCACCAGCTCCGCCATAGCTGAAAATATATTAATTTTAAAAATTCCCAGCGTTCTCTTATAGATTTTTATGAAACCCGTTTAAAAAAATGAAGAGCTGTGCCTTTTTGCGTGAAAGTGTTTGCACACAAGCGCGCGAACGATTTATTTTCAAAATTTATTCATTTTTTTTATAATTAATACCAGCATTCCCCAATGCTTAGCTTCAACAGAGTTGAGTGTACAGTGCAGTATTGCGTGAAAGTGTTCGCACATAAGCGCGCGAACGATTTATTTTCAAATTTCATTTATATTTTTTTTGAAAATTCCCAGCATTCCCCTATAGCTTAGCTTTTTAGCCTAAGCTAAGTGTACTTCTTTTTTTGTCATCCCATCATTTCATTGTTATCCCTATCCTTTTTAACATGTTTCTTTTCAAAATAAAAACTGAAGTGGCGTCACACACACACACATTTCAATTCAAAATGCGAAAGTTTTTTTTGTAGTCGGCCAAAAAAAAATTCTGTCTTCATTCATGATAATGCGGAAATTCCATTCTATTCTATTCTGTTTTATTGACTTTCAAGAAGTCCGGATTTTGATCTTTGTGTGTGTGTGAAGGCAAAATTGAACTTTGGAAATTGAAAAAGAGTTTGGTTGGTTGCCACGTGGATTTCGGGCCGGCTACGGAATAAAAGGACCCATGAGATTAAAAGTTTTTTTTTAAGAGTATGGTGACTACGAAACTCCGAGTATGGTGACTACGAAACTTTTCAGATAACACAAAACCTTTTGACTACGACACTCCGCAATTACGGCTCATAAATATACAATTTTTAAAATACAAATATTCAAAACTAGAATACAGTTTTAGACTACCAAAATTATAGTTTTTTTTAAATTTTAAACTACGATAGTCCACCCAAACGGGATTTTATTAAAAAGGTAGATTACTGACTACAAAGCTCTAGGATCGGCTGCTTGACAACTAGGATTTCTAGGCTCCTCTGCTTGAAAATCAGAATATCTATACAAAAACTATTCCCCTGCCCCTCGCACTCACCTTGAGCTGGAACATGGTGGAGTGGCTGGTCCACAAGATGGTTGCGACGGTGGACAACATCCACCACCGCCACCTCCGCCACCCAACAAACCACCGATACACGCCAAAGTCGGCTGTGCGGCAAATATCAAAGCACCCAACACAAGAAAACGCATACTTCTGTTGAACAACAAAATCGAATCTAACTGTCCACGAATGGCAACCTGGCCGCGCCTTTTCTACCTTGCCGTACAGTCCGACTCCGCCCCCGTCGAAAGCTTCATCTTCTTTTTTTTTTTTTGATTGTTGCATTGGCTAAGGAGAAGAGATTTAGAGATATTGAGAAAGGGAAGATGAGAAAGCCAAAGTTTGGACAATTTTGTGGATAATATGGGGAAGCGTGGATCATGATGTCATAAAGACAAAAAAGGTCTTGTAGCGATAATTAGTAAGGAGACCTTGAGAGTCTGAAAGTGTATGTCTAGACATACAGAAATCCTATGAACTCTGCGTCTCTAATATGTCTCGTTTTTCTCTAGGTGTCTGGGCTCTTCAGGTGTGCTCTAGTTGTCTGCAACTTTCTGGTTGTCTAACCATCTTGGTTTCTAACATACTTAAACTGTTCTCTATAGAGTTCTTGAGTTATCATTAATCCTCTGCGTCTCTAACAACAGCCTCTGCTTCTCTGAGCTCTCACAAAATATGTGTTCTCTAGTTATCAAATATCGTTTGACAACACATTTAGTCACTTCTCTAGTTGTCTGGCTATGATTCACTCTGGCTGTCTTGTCTCTCGCATTCTCTTCGGCACTCGAATCCTCTGCGTCTCTAACTATCTGCATTTCTCATACTGAACTGTAACTAGAGTGTAGTCAACACGTTTCCTCAAAACATTTTTATTTATGTTTGCCGTGATGATGATGATGCGGTGTTTTCGAAGGCGTCTGAAAATTTTCAAATATTTTTTTCAACCTAGAATCTAACTTACCCCAACTGATGGACTTAGCGCAGTTTTGGTCTTGGCCATGGATTGCCTGCGAAAAAAAGTGTGTCAGGGTTGCTTTAAAAAAAAACAGGGGCACTCACCCTCGTATAGCCGTCCGTATTCCGGAAGCGCGTCTCGGTTCCGCACTGCTATCCGCTTGCGTCATTTGCACATCCGACTCATCCGCTTGCGTTTGCGTTTGCTCCGTATCCGTATAATTAATCGATTTTTTCGCACCATTTTGGCTGCTCTTCTTTTTGTCGCCCGCTTTTTCCTTCGGCTTCTTCTGCTTGCTCTTTTTCTTCTTCTGCGCGTGCTGCTTGCTCACTTTCGATTTCTTGCGCGATTTTGCCGTCTTTGTGCTATCATCTTCGGATTTGTAGCTCTTGTCGAGCACCGATGTTCCGACTTTTCGAACCGGACATTTTTGCGACACGTTTTTCTTTGTGTTACATGTGACAATCAAAAATAACTGAAAATCACTGGGATTTTCTCCTAAATTTAAATTCAGCAAATAACTTACTGATATAATAGCGCTATTGATACAAATGTGCACAAATGCTAACATTTTCCTATCGAAAAATATTTAAAAACTGATTTTGTCAAATTTTTTGTTGGCACGTCAACTTTTTCCAGGTCACGCCGGAAAATTGAGTTAAGCTAACTAGATTTTTATATCGGTATAGAGATCAACTTGTCAAAAACTCAATTTTTCCACGTCATAACTCATCTCTTCTAGCTTCCCGTGTCTCTCAAAACCACATACTATATCTATTCCTGTCCTGCAGGATTCAATAAATCTTCCGATGCTTCCAGATTATATATATCTGACATTATATCTACCTTAATATGATAACAAAGTGTTTTCAATGTTTCGAGCGAGAGATAAACGATTTTGTCTCTGCGTCTCTAACTCTCTCTCCTAATTTTTAAGTGCATAACAACAATAATAAGAATAATTTCATGCATTCATTCAATTCACGGTCATTTCCGAATCTATCCATTTTTTGCGGGCTTCCTTTTTTTGATGGATTTGAATAGCAAAGGAGGCAAGTGAAAGTTCCATTTTTCCGAATTATTATTATTATGTAACTAATTATTTTTGCTGCCTTGCCAGCATTTTCTTGTTAGACCCGAAGAAGAAGAAAAAAACTTTTCATTTTTTAAATCTGACATTGTGTAATAGATCGAGGGGTCAGTGATTTATTGTCTGGAACTTGTAGACTGGCTAAGCTGATGGTCATTGGAAGGAATAAGAATAATGAGGAATGTTTACGCAAGCGCAGATGTTATCTGAAAATTTTTGGAAGGTGCGATTTGCCACGTCATAGACATAGGAACTCTATCAAGGTAGAAGCTAATTCGATTTTCAGAAGTACGATTCCTAGAGAGCCTGATTACAATAGTGCTTGCCACGTCATAGCTCACTTTGTTCAGTTAAGAAATTTTTTTGGCAGAAAAAGTCGAAAATGTCTACTTGCCACGTCACATCAATGTTAAGGAAACTAGAAAACTCAGATAACTTTAATTCTGTCACGTCTAGCTTCCTGCGACTCTATAAACTACTTAATCTCTAATCTTAAACGTCATACCTCGCACCAAAGGAAACCTTAAGGTACTAACAAATGCCTAAACTATCTACATACATACTTAAATTCAAATTCCTCTTCCTTGTGTACTTCTCTTGGAAGATACCATCAGCATCTTTATAGAGAAAACCTGATCGAATACTTGATATGCTCGAAAAGTGAAAATCTTATGTTATATTGCGCAAGCAAAAGGTGGCAAAAGCTTAAGCCTGATCTGATCTTATCTTTTTACGGGTAAACAGTTTTTATGATGTTTTGTTTTGTGTTGACGGAGATTTCAGGGATTTTATTTTATTTCATTTTCAAATCAAACCATAAAACAACAACGTTTATTTCCTTCCTTGGCCGCAAAAATCATATAAAAAATCATTTTACACTGAATATCCTTCGAATATTTTTCGTTTGTAGTAATATTACAGAGCGACGAGGGATCTGATAAAGTTTAATAAACTGATTTTTTTCTCGAAACGAAAAGTGAAAGCGCGTGTAATCAGGTGGAAATTGTTTATTATTTTCTTCTGAATGTGATGAGTGATTGATATACATATTTACAAACATTTGAGGGAAACCCTGAAAAAAATGATTATAAAAAACCACGTGTCGTCATCGCGTAGTGTCGTAAGGTGAAATAATTTTTATTTTTCGATTCCAAAGGCACATACCGTACTCAAACATAAAACTCTTTTCCAGTCGAGACCATATTCATATTCTGAGCCGAAAGTTCATACGAATCCGAAAACTTGGGGGACAATTTGTAATATAGATATATGAAGAGAATAATTAGGGCGAGGCCTGAAAGCCCCAAAAAGGGCCATAGCATGAGCAATCTGCAAAAAGTTTTTGAGTAAAAAAAAAAATACGGAAAAATTCGGCGGAGAGGAAAATGAATAGAGGAAAAATGATGAATTAAATATAATTTTTAGCTTCGGGAAAAATAATTACTTTTTTGTTACACAAGCGAAGAAAAAAACAAAACAAAAAAATGGGCGCGAAAAAAATTGCACATAGAAAACCTCTTGAGAATGGTGTTCATTGGGAGGCTCACACACACACACAAAAAAACTTTTTCAGTTTTGTCGACTGAAAAGTGTCTCAGAGGGTTCGAAGCGAAAAAAAACGGCGAAAAAATATTGAATTCGTTGTTGGATAGATGGATATATAAAAAAAAGTGCAACGGAAACATGGAATTTTATTTGCCGCACACTCTTTTTCTCTGCGTCTCTTCTCTCTATTTATATAATTTTTTTGAATGGCAAAAAAAAACTTATGAGAACATTTTGTGGGAATTTTTTTTCTCATTTGATAGATTTTTGGTAGAGAATTTTGGAGATTTTAGAACTTTTTAAGAAATTCGAAAAAAAATCAATTTTTCCTGAAAAAAATTTTGAAAATCCGAAAATTTTTTAAAAATGAAAAAAAAGCTTATATTTCGCCCAAAAATCCAAAATTTTGAAAAAACCTGAAATTAAGGGTCGAAATCTGATTTTCAGACAAAAATAGGAATTTTTCTAAACTATTGAAGTTTTTCAGCAAATTCAGAATTCTAAAACCAAAATTTTTAAACCTTACAGCTTTTTGAAAAGTGAATTTCATAATTTTTTTCAAAAAAAAATTCAAAAATCGAATTTTTTCTTCCAAAATTTTATTCAACAGATTTTTGTGCTCAAAACGAAAACAGTGTAAGCTCATATAATAAATAAAAAAATTACCAAAATATAAAAAAACCTTCTCAAATCTCCAATTTTCCCATCATTTCAACCAAATTCTCCGAAACATTTTCCAATTTTGTGCAATTGATTTGCCTCAAATTCGCCACTTTTTCCATTCCCTGATTCTCCAAAAAATCCAAAATCATCGAACTTTTCGAGATAAACATATTGAACACGGCATCATGATACATTTTATAGATTGTTGTGCAATGTGTGTAAATCCATTCATTTTTCATTTTTACCTGAAAATAAAAAATTTGAGAACACGCATCGCATGACCGCAACGCGTCCAAAAAACCGATACCTCAAGTTGAATTGCAATTTGTGCTCGTAACTCTGTTGTATTCCAATTTTTCGAGATTCTATCCAATTCTTGTAAAACCTCATAATCGTTGAAATATTCGCGATATCTTGGAATTTCATAAATTGGCTCGGTTATGTATTTTTGAAGTGATCCATGAGCCCAATTTTTGAGCTCTTCGATTTTCCAAGTTTCAATCATATAGCGATATTTCTGGAAAATATTATGGGCCTATGCAGAATAATATTTTGTAATAAAAAAACATTAAAAAACATATTTTTCCTATGCAGAAAAACGTCGAAAAAACAAAATATGCAGTTGTATATTTTTGAATAGAGACAATGTGAAATAGAGAGAGTGCAGACAGACAAATTGATTTTTCGCACAAAAAATACAAAAAACCGTCTGCACTCTCTCAATTTCACATTATCTCTACTCAAACATAGTAAACTGTATATTTTGTTTTTTCGACGTTTCTCTGCACAGGAAAAATATGTTTTTATTACAAAATATTATTCTAGGGCTGATTCACGAACAAAAAAAATGTTAAAAAATGTTTTTTTAACATTGAAAGATCAATTCACGAAAAGGTCTAAAAAACATTAGTTTTTCAAGTTTTTGAGCCAAAAATGATGACAAATCGGGATTTTTTAAACTTCTGGAGTAATTTCTGATGAAAATAAGCTTCGAGAACCCTATTTTACCTCATTTTATGAATTTTTTCGAAATTCATCAAAATTTGAAATTTTTTTATTTTACGAAAAATCAGCAAAAACTTCTGGAAAGTGAATTCCAAGGTCAATTTTAATCAGAAATTACTCCAGAAGCTTAAAAAATATCGATTTGACATCATTTTTGGCTGAAAAACTCGAAAAACTAATTTTGACCTACCCTTTTTTTTTTTTTTTTTATGTTTTTCGACATTTTTCGACTTTTCGTGAATTGAATTTTCGATGTTAAAAAAACATTTTTAAACATTTTTTTTCGTTCGTGAATCAGCCCTTTTCAAAACTCACTCGATCCGCTCCAAAAACCTCATCCTCATCACAATGTTCCTCAAACCAATCAATCAAATCCGGCAAATTCGCCGGTTTTGTGCCTCGAAACAATCTCATTCCAATATTCAATTCATCAAAAACCTCCTCAAAAGCATGTCGTGCACTCTTACAAAACGTTCCATAAGGAGAATTGATAGGTGGTGAGATATTCAAAGATGTCTCAATGTGTTCACGATCATAGTAATTGAGTTCATCAGTCGATAATTTGAGAATCTTCAAGATTTTCAGAAAAGTATCATAGTTGACGGTCCTCAAAATGCCAATCTCCAAATCCTCTTCAGTTTCAATAGTTATCAGACCTTTCGGAAATTCTCGATAATATTTGACACGCATCACAGCTTCCAACGCGTTTTCCAACTCTTTTGCAATAAAATATTTTTGACCGTCTTCCTCCAAAATTTGCACACAAGGATATTTAAAATAAAACCACTGGTCAGCACTTTTATCCAAAAACAACTTTTCCAAATCCGCTTTCCAGAAATGCATATCAAGATAGTTTTTGGGACAAATCTCATTTGGCGGTGCTTGTTTCAAATATTCAATGATTTCCGCATCATATTTCTCATCAAATAACCCGAAAAACCTGTCAACCGTGAATTCCGGAGGGAAATTCGAGATTTTTCTTTTAACTCTTGTATTCCTGAGTTGCGCATATTTATGATCGAAGATTATGAGAGGAATCATATCGAAATGCATGTTTTGTTGCTTGAGTTTTCGCAAAACTTTATCGATTATTGAATAAGTTATCAATCTCACAAATGGATTTGGCTCATAATGTTTTGATAGCCACGTCATAGCATCACCTTTTGAAAGCAAAGGTCTTCCTTTTTTATCAAATGCTTGTTCAATTCTTCCATTAAATCTTCCCTCTTGAAAACCGAAAAATTGTGAAATATTCGAAAATCTTAAATAATTATTGATCTCAAACATCATTTCGTGCGCATTTCCATAGATTTGCAGCATCTCATTTTTGTCATCTTCGAATAATAAATTCAATCTATCAATAATTGCGGTTTCATTCGTCAAATCGCCAGGTTCTAGATTTTTGAAACTTTCCGGGATTTTCTGCAAAAAAGCACATTTTCAAAGGTTTTCGATGGTCAAAAATACTCACATTTCGATGAATCAACTTTCCCACAACTGCTTGCAATAATTCCACCGACCAATCTTCGAAAATATCGCCCATTTTGGGGTTTTACGTTGGGAAATGAAGTGAAATGCGAAAAATCAATAAAACAAAAATAAATACGTCGAAGGGTCTTGTAGCGAAGAGACAGATTTCGTTGTGTGCCTTTAATAAAACTACGATCTTCAAAAATATTTTTTTTAAAATTTAATTAAATTAATAAATTCATTTTTTCAAAAATGGCGATTATTCGAGCGTGAACTAAGTGAAACCAAATCACGTGTAATTTCTAAAATTATTTTTCTAACGAATTTGAGAAGCTCACAGGCGAAAAAACCAAAAAAAAAGGAAAATTTGCAAATTTCAAGAGAAACAGAGAAAAAAAGACGGACAAAAAAGTGAAAATGAAAAGAAAAACAACAAAATAATTTTTTCGCGCACTGATTTTAAGGTAGATCAAATTAAAATCTGGATAGTCCGCAATGAAGAAAATTTTTTGATTTTTTCGGCCGTGAAGCCAGACTCAAAGTAAACTCAAAATTGAGCAAAAAAAGGGGAATTCCAGATTTTTCTTATCTGAAAAATTGCCTAAAGAAAAACCGAAAAAATCGGATTTTTCCGCGATTCCAGATTCATATCTCATCTCATTTCAGTCTCAAAAATTTAGCAGCCCAAAATGTTTCTATTCCATCTATTTTTCCTATTTTCCGCAAGTTTCCAAGACAATTGTCCATTTGAAGAATGGAATCAAGTAAATCAGAAGACCTATCGAAATCAATCGATATATTCAGGTAAATATTGAGCGCGCACAAGCAATTTTGAAGAGACAATTGATTAAGCCCCGCCCCTTTCGCACAAAAACAATAGCAGTACGCACAACCCGTCAACCGTCTGCACATCAGAAATTTATATATTCGCGTGTGTTGTGTATTTATCGCTTTCAGGCGGTGGCGAAGCTATCGCCAAAAATTTTTTGAATTGAAAAAATATATTTTTTTTCTCTTTGACTCTTCAAATGTGCATTGCAGAATGGTCAAAAACTCGGCGACTTCAAATGCAAGAAGGTGTCCCACCAAACAGTCTTCAACTCGTCTCAGCTTTCGTTTATTCCGATTTCATAGCAATCACCACCACCTATGTTGGCTATAAAAATGTGGGCAGCCCCGTTCGCTGTCGCTACTTCGATTGTCATCGCAAAGAGCTCCGCGGCTCCACATTCGCCACCACAATTTTCCCGATAGCTGTGGCGCATTGCGCGAGAAGAGCCAACGCCAAATTCGTCACGCTCAGTTTCGAAAATTCGACTTCTGCTGAAGATCCGGAGCCGATCCCACTGATTTTCCGCGCGTTTTCGAATCCACCTCATGAGTTGGCAGTTTGTTCGGGACAATTTTTTGGCAGGGAGCCAAAGTGGATTGAGGTTATCGAGCACGTCGAACATCATATCATGTTGGTGGGTTTTTGCTTGAGAATTTGCTACCTTACATTTTTCTCCAGGGTGCCACACAATTCTACTTCACAATTCTTGATGTTTCCAAGTACGACAATCGGATTTTCATCTACTACGATCGTCACGGTATTTCAGAAACCACCACTTATTTACTGGATTATAATGCAACTTTTCAATTTCATGAACTTCAGCAAAATGTAAGGCCTTTCTTTAACATGAGCAATCCTTGAAAAATTTGATTTTAGGATTGTTTTTATCGCAGTCGTCAACACGCCAAATGGGTAATCAATATCGATATTGATGAGCGCTTCTTCTTCACCCCAAAAAACATCAAATTTATCGATTTCCTTCGACGAATTCCTGAAAACTATGGAGAATTGAGTTTCGCAGTTGCTAGAATTGTGAAAAATGAAATGAATATTGAGAAAAATCCGGAGAATCCAGAAGAATTGGAGGAAAATTTACTGTTTTTAAAATATAAAAATATCACAAATCCAGAATGGTATGGAATCAAGGGAATTTTCAAACCGCTCAAAATTCATCTGCTATTTTATCATTTTGCTTATGGCAGAGATGAGGGTTCGAAAATTTATACGATTTTACCGGAAATCGGATATGCTCATCATTATCGAAGTTCTGTACCAAATATGGTTGCATCAAATTGGATCAATAATTATAAGGAATTCAAGAAAATCGAGTTTGATGATGATTATTTGAGGATTTTGAAGAAGAGAGTTATGAATACGATTCAACGAGTTTATACGCTGAAAACTATGAGATGTGAAGATGTTTCTTATCCAAAGATTTATGATATGATTTATGAAGGTTCTTGTGTTTGGAAAAATGGGACGAGGATTAATAAATGATCGGAATTTTTGTGAAGATGAAGCTTGCACTCCACTTTCCCCCTAAAAGTCCGCAGTGAAAAAAGTGTGCTTTTTTTCTGGATTTTTCGCTTGTGATGTAGTATTTGCATGGATTTTTTTTTGCACAGGTTCTTCCATTTTTGTAGGACAAAAAATAATATGAGTGTGGCGTGGGTGAAGGTGTGAGAGAGTGTGGCAAGCGGGGAGGGTAGAAAGATAACAGGTACTGTACGTTGCCAACGCGACACCCAGGTCATTATTTTTTTTGCCACAAATAAAATTGTGTGCAAAACATGGAAGAGTCACCATGCTATCTGCTAAACCTGCCGAATGAGCTGCAAAAGATGATTTTTGATAAAATTGAGCCGCAATATAAGTGAGTTTGATTTTTCTTTTACGGGAACCAGACCTGGGAAATTTTTACGTGACACCGTAAAACGTAAAATAGGAATTTTACGGTTTTAAAAATCGTAAAATTCGTAAAATTTTTTTTACTCAATCATTTCACTGAAAAACAGCAAAAATTTATTCAAAAATTGGGAGTAACTTATTTTAACTCCAACATGATTTTGACAATAATATTCTCCATATCCTTCAACAAATTAATTAATTAGGATTCAGTCAAAATTTCTTTAAAAATGTTGTTTTTTTTGAAGTTTCAATTTTATTCTGTCAAAATTCACTATATTATAATTGTAAGTGATTTTTTTACGAATTATTCTACGATTTTTTGAGCCGTAAAACCGTAAAATAGGAATTTTACGGTGAAATCCCGTAAAAACGGTAAAACGGGGAACACCCACAAAGAGATATTCGAGTTAAAATTCTACTCACGACCATACAAGGCGCCCGTTGAGTCAGACGCGAGACGACGAGAGTATTTTGCGAAAATATCCCAAAAATGAAATTTCGCTTCGAGATATTTTCAATAAAACATGTGTTCCTTGAAACAAAATACGGTATTTTTTCAAAGGGACACATATTTTCTAAAAAATATCTCGAAGCGATGTCTTTCTCTGTCTTATTGCCCCCACGTCCAGCGGATGTGTGTGTGTGTGCAAACACCGCGACACACTTTTGTACAGGAAGATTTGAAGTTTCATATTTTCACAATATTTAATCTCTATCTTTTGTTTGGTTCAAGTTTAGCCCGGTTAAAGTCAGAGGCATCGTGGGTGGTCTCCGTCAACCGGAATAGCTGTCTGACCGCCTTTAACAACCTTAAAATGAGCCAATTTCAGGGGTAGCTTTGGAAGATGTTCACGAAAGTGTCGTAAAATTTGGCAAGATTCCAAAAGTGCATTCGATGCAATTTGCTGGGAGAAAACCTCGTTGCAACTTGTGCTATCTTTGAGTGCTTCATATCCATTTGTTGGAGGAAAAATGGAATTCAATCTAGTATCTAACAAATATAGAATGTAAGTTTTGCCACGTCATAGCATGTCTTAGGCTTCACAGCGAAATAAAAACAGTTTTTTTTCGAGAGAGAAGAGACGCGAGACGAAAAAGGGATATGGAAAACTCCTCTTTTTTCAATTTACGTACCTAAAAAAATAAAATAATTTTTTTTGCAGGGTCCCAAACGATAAGCAATTCAAAAAATGTAAAAATAGCTATGAATTGGCGCAAAAAAAGTTTGCCGCAAAACTCGAAAAATATCAAAAAACTGTGAAAAGTATCACAATCTATGGAGAATGTCCAATAACTTTACGAAAAGTTCGAAATTTTCCCGATTTACAATATCTTCATTTATCCGGCGATTATTGTCAGTTTTACGGCGAACTTCTAACAAAAATTGGAACAAAATTGAAATATTTGAAGATTTGTTCCAGTGTCGATTATTCGATGTTTGATGCAATTTATGAAGCTCGAGATTTTTTGTGGATCTATTTCGAGCTGAATCGTGAGCAATTGCTCAGATTATCCGCAAAAGATATCGAAATGCCGATGGGGAATTTGAAAGCCGAAGATATTTTTGATTTCATTCAAGGATGGCTGGATGGAACAAGAGTTCTAGATTATTGTAAATGGAATAATATTGAGTATTTTGATGCTCGAAAATTGTTTTGGTTATTCAATGCTCGATTGAATCATGCGGGATAGTGAGTTACCCTAACTTTTCCAAAAGTTATCACAAATCACAATTTTTTTTCCAGCAAACGAATCAGTATTCGAGGACCTGGTTTAAAAGCAGCAATTCTGACTTACAATAGCAATTTTCGATTGTCGTTTAAGACAATTAAGGATAAAAATTTTGATTGGAATTATGATTCGGATGGTGAAACATATTATAGAGCTAGAGCTGGTTCGGGTTATAAATTTGCGGAAGAACTTGATGAATAGGAGATTCTTAAATCTTGAAGTTTAATATTTTTGATTTTAATTGCTATTTTGATTTTTTTAATGAATAAACCTTATCGATTTTGAAAAAAATTTTCTCGCTACAGATGTTTTTCACAGACGCAGAGAAGCAGAGTGTTTTGAGATTGCTCATTGTTTATTTTCATCTTTGACCTGAACTCATCTAATATGAGCAATGCTACAAAATGTCCCAGCCTTCAAAACATCAAGAAAATTCAAAGTGGCCTAGAAATCCAAACAACTAATTCCTAGTCCCCCAACGAACCCATTGCCTAAAAACTCCATACCTTTTTCTAATAGGATAATAAATTTATAGTTTTTACGGCTGAAAACCCAATAAAATCACTGATTTTCATTGAAGATAAGAGTTTCTAATAAAAACATTTTCTTCAAGATCAAAACTGTATTTCATTTTCATTTCAAATAAATTATGATGACTCTTCTAATTTCTTCCAAGATTTATAATCTAAATGTCATATTTTTTGTTATTTTGAACTTCATTTGTCTTCGCGAACCGGAAAATCTTCTTGAAAAATTCGAAATTTGCTATGAATCGAAGGTCCTGCGGTTTTCGAATCCTCCAGAAAATATTTGGAATAATTTAGCTTATAATGTGAAATTTTGTGATTTCGAGAAAAATTTGAATTTGGTTCCTTTGGACAATTGGGATGAGACAAAATGGATTGTTTTTCCGAAAAATTCGAATTTCGAAAATAATTTTACATTGGTAACTTTGGGAATTGCAAATGATATATCTGCTGAGGAGAAATTGAGAGATGTGAGTTTGACTGAAATTAATTTCAGGTCTGAAAATTTCAGAATTAAAAATTTGAGTTTCTCTAACTTAAACGTTTTAGCGCTAAAAATCAGATTACTGTAAAACATCAAAAAGGAGCTCGAAATGTATCTCAAAATTTTTCAGATGCCACGTGGATTTGTCTGAAGTTCTTCTAACTCTGACCACATTTTCCAGCTTCTCCCCCAAACTCAATTTTTCGGAGCCGACCCCACAAATATGTCGAAAATCTACACAAAAATCGGAGAGCATTTTCAATTCGGAGTCTCCGCTGAAACTGGGCTCAAGAGCACCAGAATATTCTCGGAAACTCGAAACAATTCTCGATTTTCCACAACTTCTTTCGAGACGCCGGAGAGAAATGTGAATTTTGTGGAGTTTATTGACGATTATGTGCAACGGAAATTGGTGCATTTTTTGTGGATTGATATTGAAGGAGGGGAATTTGAGCTGTTTGAAATGTTGTATAGAAATGGAGACATCGATACAAATCACATTGATATTTGTCAAATTAATCTTGAGGTCAAATCCCTTAAAATCTCTGTTCCTGAATTTAATTTTTTTTCAAAAATTTCAGATCCATCAAAAACTTCTAGCCAACATCACAAACGAGGCTGAAAAATTCGCGAATTTTCTTCGAAAAATCGTTGAAGATGGGAAATATATCATTGCCAAGCCTTTTAATTTCAGTGTTTTGAACTTCATAAGACTTTTTCTGGTGAATGTGGAAGATCCGGAGTGTCGTAGGCTTTTTATTGATTGATTTGAATCCAGTACATCTTTATACATATTTTTTTTGTAAAAATAAATATTTTCCAATTAATTTTTTTCAATCTTCCAGTCACATTTCAGTCTCTTTTTGAGTCGGTAAATTTGGTGGATGTGAATGTTCAGGTTTGCTAGACATCAATCTCGAACTTGAACATCTTCGGAGGCTTAGGCTTGAAAATAGGGGAGTGCATTTAAGCATATCTTTCAGCTGAATCGATTCATAGTTCTCAATTGATTCTTGGAATTTTTCGATCCAAAGTTCCTGCAAAATCAGGATTTTGAAGGATTTTTCAAGGAAAATTACCTTATCTGCTTTATCCGTGGCTTGAAGTGTGTAAATTCCGACAACTTGATAATATCTGGTTAGGTGGATTATGACAAATGCGAATTTGAGAGACACTGGAAATAGGGGTTGCTCAAGCTTGATATATTTGTTAGAATACGAATATCGTTGAGCGCGTTGCGGTCAAGCGCTGCGTGTTCAAAAATTAAACACGCAGTTTATTTGTTTAATTTTTGAAGACGCAACGCATGACCGCAACGCGTTCAACGACATTTGTAATTTAAAAAAGAGTAGTTTCCCTCTCTATTTTTGTCCCTGGACGCGTCGCGGTCAAGCGCTGCGTGTTTAATTTGTTAACACGCAACGCATGACCGCAACGCTTCCAACGACATTTGTAATTTAAAAAAAGAGTAGTTTCCCTCTCTATTTTTCACACCACAAATGTCCATGGATGCGTTGCGGTCATGCGACGCGTGTCTAATTTCAATGAGGAAATTTGCAAAATACGCAGCGCTTGACCGCAACGCTCCCAACGACATTTGTGTTCTTACTAGGCGTCGAATGATCGTTCGAATCAGCATCGCAAAAAACACACGAATCCAACGGCACCGGCTGTCGCTGAACAACAAAATGCTCGGATTTTCCGATCGGCACACCTTTCTGCAACAAAAAAACATCAATTTCAGCGTTTTTTTCAAAAAAAACCCACAACTTTCAGCTTCGACGCGCACTTCTTGGCCTTACTCAACACAAACATATCATTGAAGAGGAATGCGTAGACATCTGTGGTCCGACCATTTTCCACCAGTTCCAATGGTCCCTCGTGAATCAGTTTACGTCGTGGGTGGGCGAGAAGATTTTCGCAAAATTGCCGAGAAAGTGCCACGCGCAGGAACTGAAATTATTTGAAAATCAAGAATTTCGCTGCAAAAAATTAGGATTACATCTGGGATATAGGATTTTGGTTCAAGTTCATTGATGTTTGGCCAAATGACTTGGGTTTGAAGTTGTTGAAGTCGCTCGAAATTGTGAAGCCATTGAACACTGTCATCAATTGATCCTAGAAAATTTCATATACAGTGAAAACTATACTCTAGTCTACAGCAAAACTCACTCAAGCTCTCCGTCATAGTTTCGATAACTTTCTCAACTCTCAATTTATTCTCCTCATCAGCCGTATACTTATAAATCTCTCTCAACAAAATCGGAAGTCTTGTGATTCGTTGCAACGGTGCAATCAACAAATCCTCGAGTTGTAATCGAAAACATCGCTCATCGGCCAGACAGATTCGCTCGAATTCGGTGAATCGCTCCTCTTTTTGTCGAATCGATCCCAAATATTCCATGGTCGCTTTGTAATTGATGCAATAGGCTTGATAGGCGGAAATTGTTGAGGGGCCTTTGGAAAACTGCAAGAAGCGGGTTTCTAGAGGTTCTGCGGGTTGGAAATTCGAGTTCAGCATGATTTTTTAGGTCGGAAAGCGTGTGATTTAAAAATTTTTGCAAAAAAAAAACAAAAAGAAAATCTGTGGCCGTGGCCGAACTTTTTCAAATTGTGTAGTTCTCTCGGATTTCAATTTTATTTTTTTATTTTTCCGTTTTTCTTGTTTTTTCAAAGTTTCTAGACCAAAAAATCACGGTGAGCTCGAATTTTTCACCGAAAATCCTAGAAAATGCCTGGAAAATTCCAGAAACCAACCCTCTCAAATAAATCGACAACCAATTGTGTGCAATCCCAATTCTCCTTATCAACAATAGCCAGAAGTGACAGGAATGATTGGCAAAAACTGCGAGAAATTCGGCAGAGTTGCTCCAAGTTGCCGAAGAGCAAATCGGGCTCGACGAGCAACAGGCAACCTTCGACTTGACAACGTTTTAGCGGCTCTTTGTAGACATCTCTGCGCAAAATTTATGTGACGATGGATTTTGGCGCCAAAAATTACACTTTCAAAATCAAGAAATGAAAAAATGTTTGCCACGTGGAATTTTCGACGTCAAAAATGTGTTTTTTTTTTCAAATTTTCATTTTTCCCGCCAAAACTTACCGTAAAACAAACAACTGTCTGTACAAAAACACCAATTCCGTATGAAAAAGTTCCCAAACCGCTTGAAGATATTTGATTTTTGTGGCCGGAATTTGAATGGTGTCATCACCGGTGAACATTTCTTCATAGGAAACTGGCTGAAAAAATTTCTAGCCTTATTTACTATCAAAAAATTCCAAATTTTCGCGCCAAAAAGGCTTACCAATAGCTTTTCCAACTCATCATCCTCGATTTCATGATCTTTCGAAGTTTCCAACGCCGCCTGAACATGTTTTATGATCTCTCTTCGTTTTGCACGCCCACTCCACTCATAAAGTCGCTTCAGAATCCAAGGTGAACGATTTTTTTGAGGCTCAGAAGCTTCGGCATAGAAAGCTTGAGATGCGATTGTGGCACGTTGGAGATCTGGACAAAGTCATAGGATTTTTGGTTGAAAATTGAGAATTTTTGAGCAAATGCGCTCTATTGAGAATTCGGCGGTTTTTCGAGAAATTCAAATTTTTAAATTGGATGATTTTTGGTCAAAAATAAGCCCTGGGAGTTGAAAAATTCGAATTTTTGAGCAAATGCGCTCAATTGAGATTTTTCCGGGTTTTCGTGAAATTTAAATTTTTAATCTAGAGAATTGGATGATTTTTGGTCAAAAAATCGAATTATTGAGCAAATGCGCTCTATTGAAAAAAGGGTATATTTCTATAGGTCAAAAAACATTCCAAAAAAAATTTCGGGGAAAAAAATCTACAAAATTTGTTTTAGCCTAACTCACTCGGATATTTTTGAGAACCTGAAACAAATTTTTGAATTTTTTTTTAGCTCAGAATTTTGGCGCCAAAAAAAATCGAAAATTCTCTTACCAGCCAAAAGTCCACCTCCCGAACTGATAGCTCGATTGAACAAGTGACTTTCGTTGGGCGAAATTTGCACGTGTGGCACAATTATCACATTATCCGAACTGCAGCAACCTTGCGATGAGCTGAAATTCAAATTTTCAGCAAAAAATGCTCAAAAATGAGCCCGAATTCATCGATTTCGGGCGAAAATGACGCTCATTAGAGCAAACGCGCTCTATTGAGAATTAGCCGAATTTTAACGATTTTTGAATCGTTTTTTGTTGAGAAATATGATTTCTGGGTCAGAAAATCGCGTTTTTCACGATTTTTTCACTCAGAAATTCCGAAAACCTCAAATTTTGCCCTTAAAACTCACGATTCCTGATTTTGATCATTGGGATTATCGGGAATAATTGCATGTCTTCGACTCAATTGCTCTTTATTTGGATGAATTGTCTGCGGCTCTCCCTCTTCAGGCTGCAAAAAAAAATTATCGATTTTGGAGCTCTGGCTCAAAATTATTATAGCCCTAGCCCCAGCCCCATTCCAAACCTCGGACACTCGCAAAACCGGTGTGAAAAGTTGCAAATCGACCATTTTTCGACTAGAAAATGTGATTTTTGATCAGAAAATGAGATTTTCAAGGAATAAAACCTTGAAAATCGTGATCTACGTGAAAAACTGGACTAGAAAACTTTTTTGAAAAAAAATTGATAGTATTATTCGGTAGCGGGATTGATCCCCGCACCCTTCACCTACTAAACTTTCAAAACGCTAACCGGCTGCGCCATGAGTCAAAAGGTCGCGGGTTCGATCCCCGCTGCCCGCGGAAAATGGTTTGTGCTCATTTTTCGACGTAGATCACGAATTTCTAGGTTTTGAGACAAGGAAATGTGATTTTTGATCAGAAAATGAGATTTTCAAGGAATAAAATTTCGAAAATCGTGATCTACGTGAAAAACTAGGCCGGGAAACTTTTTTGAAAAAAAATGTTCAGTAACGGGATTGATCCCCACACCCTTCACCTACTAAACTTTCAAAACGCTAACCGGCTGCGCCATGAGTCAAAAGGTTGCGGGTTCGATCCCCGCTGCCCGCGGAAAAAGGTTTTCGCTTATTTTTCGACGTAGATCACGAATTTCTAAGTTTTGAGACAAGGAAATGTGATTTTTGAACGGAATATGAGATTTTCAAGGAATAAAACTTGGAAAATCGTGATCTACGTGAAAAACTAGGCCGGGGAACTTTTTTGAAAAAAATTGATAGTAATATTCGGTAGCGGGATTGATCCCCGCACCCTTCACCTACTAAACTTTCAAAACGCTAACCGGCTGCGCCATGAGTCAAAAGGTCGCGGGTTCGATCCCCGCTGCCCGCGGAAAATGGTTTTCGTTCATTTTTCGACGTAGATCACGAATTTCGAAGTTTTGAGACTAGAAAATGTGATTTTTGATCGGAAAAATGAGAAAAACACATATTTTTGATGTGTTTTACACCGGAAATCGTCGATTTCTCAACGAAAGAAAAAAGGAACTCAAAGAAAAAAAAAACATAGGAATCTTCATGAATATATAATTTGCACTTTTTTCTATTTTTTCTTGTTAGCTCTATTTTTAGCCGCGAAAAAATCCGAGAAAATTGATATTTTTTTTTTTGCGAACAAAAAAATCCAATAAAATGGGGGACACGAGACAAAATGATGAAGAAGAAAATTGTTATTTTCATCACAAAAAATTGTATTCTCTTGAGGGGTACTGTAGTCGGGGAAACGAAAAATAGAAGAAAAAAATCTATTCATTTTTATATTATATGAAAAAAAATAGAAAAGGGAATAAAAATTTATGTGAGAGATTTTTATGCGAATTTTACGAATCGAGACTGAGAAAATCGTGATCTACGTGGAAAATTGGACCAGGGAACTTATTTTCTAAAAAAAAAATAAAAGTTCACTAGCGGGATCGAACCCCACACCCTTCACTTGCTAGTTTCTCGAAACACTAACCGACTGCGCCACATATCCTATGAGTCAAAAGGTCGCGGGTTCGATTCCCGCTGCCTGCGGAACATCTTTTCTGATCAATTTTTCACGTAGATCATGAATTTCTAGGTCTCGAGGTGATAAACTGCGTTTTTATCTACAATAATTCATTTTCAAGCTAGGAGACCTCAAAAATCGTGATCTACGTGAAAAATTGGACCAGGAAACATATTCAAAAAAAAAATAAAAATAAAAGTTCACTAGCGGGATCGAACTTGCGACCCTGCGCGCAACAATTTTCCAAATTACTAACCGACTGCACCGCATATCCTACGAGTCAAAAGGTCGCGGGTTCGATTCCCGCTGCCTGCGGAACATCTTTTCTGATCAATTTTTCACGTAGATCACAAATTTCTAGGTCTCAAGGCAGGAAAATTCTTAGAACTCGAGAAAAAATCGCAAAAACATAAAAAAAAATTCATAATGAGAGCAAGAAAAATATGAAATTTGAGAGTTTCTGAGATTTTCCCCAATCCCCTAATTAAATAGCCAAAAAAATCGATTTTTTCGCGCCGAAAAAAACTACAGTAATCTATCTAGATTCAGGAAGAAAAGTGCAATTTCTAAATGAAAAAAAAGTGGAGAAAAGAAACGTTTTTTCCGCTGAATAATAAACTTCCAATTATTTTTTCGCCTACTTTTTTTTGCTCTCGACGAGACTACAAATTGGCCGTTTTCTAATTGGCGAGTTTTTTTTTGCTCAAAAAAATCACATGCTCTTTTTTCATACTAAAAAGTTTTTTTTTAGAAAAAAAAAACACAAGTTTTCAGCTGCGGTTTTTCTGGAAAAAAGTGTGATGTAAGACAGAAAAAATTAGATTTTAGACAAGAAAACTCAATTTTCTGCACTCAGCCTTGATTTTTGGACAGGGAGATCTTGAAAATCGTGAAAATTAAAAAAAAAAGTTTAGTAGCGGGATTGATCCCCGCACCTTGCGCTTGCTAGAATTTCAAAGCGCTAACCGACTGCGCCACATTTCCCACTAGTCCAAAAGTCGCGGGTTCGACTCCCGCTGCCTGCGCAACATTTTTCCCGCCTAATTTTTCACGTAGATCACGAATTTTTAGGTTAAATCTCTGAAAAAACAGCGGCTTTCGTGTTTTTTCGCACACTGAAAAGTGTCAAATTACACACTCGCACATAAAAGGAAACAATTAGGCGAATTCTCTCAAATTTCCCCCCTTCACAGTGTTTTTTTCCGAATTTTTTTCCAGAAAAAAACACAAAAAATTTTTTTTTTTTTCGAGGGAAATCAACACAAAAACAATTAAAATAATGGAAAATCTGAATCACACACGGCGAGGAACAAAAAAAGTGGAGAAAAAGGCGGAGCTGAAATTTTCAGCGAAAAAATTCTGGAATTTTTTTGATGATTTTAAAGAGAGGGGATGATCTTTGGAAATTTTTGAAAAATTGAAAAAAAAAATCAGAAAAAAAAACTTGGGATTGCTCATATTAGAAGAAGCTAGAAAAATTTGGGATTGCTCATGTTAGCCTAGCATTGTTCAGGTTAAATTTTCAAGTTTTTCGAAAAATTTGGATTGCTCAGGTAAAATCAAAATTGCTCTAAATGTTTCGAAAGTCTTAGCATTGCTCATATTAGAGTAGTTCTTAGAAAAATTGCTCATGTTAGTCTTTAATTCAAGATTTCAAAATCTATTGCTCATATTAAAGAAATTGCTCATGTTAAATTTCTAAAAAATCACAAGATTTTCTGACAAAAAAAATAATTAAAGATCAGAAAATTTTCTCAAAAAATTGTTTTTCCAATTATGAAAGTCTAGGTCAGCAAAAATTATGAAAAATTTATTTTTAGCCTCAAAAATTATCGAATGACGTCGACTTATTTTCTAGAAACTTTTAAAAATTTAAAATTTTCATGAAGAAACAACTTTTGATTTTTGTCAAAACCCCCTAATTATTTTTTTTGACGCGGAAAATTAATTATTTTTTTGTGAGAAAAAAATTTTTTGGCTATTTTTAGAAGGAAATTGAAGAAAATACAAAAAATTGGACTACATTTTTGAAAAATGACGAGCAATTTTTCAAAAAAAAAATGTTCAGTAGGGGGATCGAACCCGCCACCTTGCGCTTACTGGATTTTCCTAGCTCTAACCGACTGCGCCACATTTCCCCTGTCAATCTAGAGACGCTGGTTCGATCCCGGCCCAAATAATTTTTCACGTAGATCACGATTTTCTTGGTCTCGAGGCGAAAAAATTATCTAGAATTGATTTTTTCGCTTCGAGACCTAGAAAATCATGATCTACTCTGAAAACTGAATTGGGAGAAGTGTTTTTTCAAAAAATTCAAAAATTGTTCACTAGCGGGATCGAACCCGCCACCTTGCGCTTGCGAGATTCTCTAAGCGCTAACCGACTGCGCCACATTTCCCCTGTCAATCTAAAGACGCTGGTTCGATCCCCACTGCCTGCGAACATGTTTTTTCGCCCCCAAAAAATGTGCCCAGACCAACTTTTCACAAGGATTTCGATACAAACAGTGCCGAGGTCTGAAAACGGCCCCCAAAACTTGGACCTACCGGTTTAATCAGCTGATTTCCACGAATATGATGAAAAAGCGTTAAAGCGGGCGCATCGCTTGCCATTTTCCTGGAAAAAAAAATGATTTGGACAAAAAAAATGAGGACATCTCGAAAATTGAGAGAACTTTTTGACGAAGGCAATTTTCGGGAAAAAAAAATTTGGGCAATTTTTGTTGGGGGGGGGGGATACTGTAGGTGTAACTAACTAACTAACTAACTAACTATTTTAGGCTGTGTGGAATGAGAAAAATGGAAAAATCGAATAAAAAATGCATGTGTGTCGCGGGTTGTTTTGTCTCATCTGTTTGAGCGCATTTTTCAATTTGTCGTAAAATTTTTTTTTTTTTTGAAATTTTTTTTTCAGCGAAAAAAAATTCTGGGAGTAGGGAGTATGGGGACTTGAACCTGAGACCTTGTGATCGGAAATCAAAGCTCTAACCAGCTGAGCCACACAAAAACAAGTCGCAGGCGTGCGGGTTCGAACCGCTGACCTTCTGACTGGAATTAACAGCTCTAACCAGCTGAATCACACAAAAACCAGTCGCAGGCGTGCGGATTCGAACCCCTGACTTTGTGACTGGAAATCAAAGCTCTAACCAGCTGAGCTAAACTTGAAAGAATAGGAGGTACTGGGATTCGAACCCCTGACCTTGTGACTGGAATTTACAGCTCTAACCAGCTGAGCTACACAAAAACAGGTCGCAGGCGTGCGGATTCGAACCCCTGACCTAGTGACTGGAAAATAAAGCTCTAACCAGCTGAGCTACTCCACTATTAAAAAAAAACTTTGCAGGCGTGCGGATTCGAACCCCTGACCTTGTGACTGGAATTTACAGCTCTAACCAGCTGAGCTATACTTGAAAAAATAAGAGGTATGGGGACTTGAACCTGCGACCTTGTGACTGGAAATCAAAGCTCTAACCAGCTGAGCTACACCGAGAAAAAAAAATTCGCCGCCACGCGGACTCGAACCCTCGACCTCTCACTCCCTATTCAACCCCCTAACCACCTGAGCCGAATTTTCGCAAAAAATCAATGAAATGTCAATTTAAATGAGTGAAATTTGAGACTTTTTCTGTCTCTCTCAAAAAAAAAAAAAAACTTTTTTTTTTCCCCAAAAAAATGTCTGAAAAGGCTAGGCTAGGCTAAAAATAACAGCAGCGAAAAAAAAATCGAGAAAACGTCAAACGCACATCTTTTTGCGCGCCAAAATGAAAATTAATTAAATACCTAAAAAACACAGAGCGAGAGCTCGGCGAGCACACAAAAAAAACAACAGCAAAATTATAAATGTATAGAGAAATTTTAGGCCACGCCCACAAAACTGTGCCGGATTTTTTGTTGGAGCAAAAATTTTCAAGAAAAATTTCTCCATGACTACACAATTTTTGGGGGCGCGCTAATAAATTAGCGAAAATAATTGCATAGTTTTTGATTTTTTGAGAATTTTTAAAATTTTTGCAACAAAAAAAAAATTTTCACTAGCGGGATCGAACCCCGCACCTCGCGCTTGCTAGATTTCCTAAGCGCTAACCGCCTGCGCCACATTTCCTACTAATCTAAAGACGCTGGTTCGACTCCCAATGCCCGCGGAACATTTTTCCCGCCTGGTTTTTCACGTAGATCACGATTTTTGAGGTCTCAAATCGTAAATGTGAGTTTTAAACGTGGAAATTTATCTAAAACGCTTCAGAACCTCAAAAAACGTGATCTACGCTGAAAACTAAACCGGGAGAAGTGTTTTCAAAAAATTCAAAAAATTGTTCGCTAGCGGGATCGAACCCCGCACCTCGCGCTTGCTAGATCTCCTAAACGCTAACCGCCTGCGCCACATTTCCTACTAATCTAAAGACGCTGGTTCGACCCCCGCTGCCCGCGAAACATTTTTCCCGCCTAATTTTTCACGTAGATCACGTGGAATTTCATGAAAACTTTGGGCTACAAATAAACCAAAGTACATGGCATAAAAAAAAGTTAGTAGAGAATCTCAATAAAAATTACTCGTAAATAAATAAAAAGTTGAGTTGAGTTGAGTTGAGCAAGAAGATGTGCTCTTTTTTTCATTAATTGAGCACACGAGAAATAAAAAAGAAGAAAGATACTACAACACAAAAAGGATATATATTCATTCTGAAAAAAAATATATAGGGAAAAAAAGACTACGAAAATAGAAAAAGAAAGAAGAAGAAGAGAAAGAGAAATGTGGAAATATTATATTTTTGTGACTTGATGAGAATTGGCACATTTCCAATTAACAAGCAAAGGAAGGGGAAAAAAATTAGAGAGTTAGAGACGCAGAGAAATTAAAGGGACATACAGTAATCATACCATAGTTACGACCATTTACTCCAATTGCCCTTCGGGTCAGACGACGAGAGTCTGATGACGTCATCGTGAGACAGAGAAAGACATCGCTTCGAGATATTTTTGAGAAAATATGTGTCCCTTTGAAAAAATACCGTATTTTGTTTCAAGGAACACAACATGTTTTATTGAAAATATCTCGAAGCGAAATTCATTTTAGAGATATTTTTGCAAAATACTCTCGTCGTCTCGCGTCTGACTCAACGGGCGCCTTGTATGGTTGTGTAGTTTTCTATAGAGAGAGTTGGAGACGCAGAGGAACTGTTAACGTAAATTTTGTAGCATTGCTCAGATTAAACAATAAATAATTAGTTAGTTTCTTCATATTGTTTTCAGCATATATGCGAAAACAGAAATTCAGAAAAAAATTTTGAAGCAAAAAAAAAATAAAAATAAAAAAATGGCGCGGTGTGAGCGCAGCGTCGTCACGCGGAGTCTCGTTGTTTTACTTTTATTTTTTTGTTTTTTTCCGGGTTCGTCACGTTTCCTATTTTTGCCCAAATTTTCTGGAAAACCCCAATAAAGTCTAGACAAATCTCATCAAAATAATGATTTCAATAAAAAATTACGAATTTCTTTTTTTTCAAATAATTTTTTTTGACTAAAGTCATACATAATTCAAAACGACGACATTTTTTTTTTGAAAAGGCGCGCGCCAAAAAATTTCAAACTTTTTGAATTCGACAAAAAAATTGCCGGAAGTTTGGGGGGAGAGAATTTGAATTGAATGCAACAGGGATCGAAAACTGAGAGCCGAAAAAAAATAATGGACATTTTCGGTGCGAGACCCATCTTTGACTTTGTTTCTCTGGGTCTCGAGTGTTAGTGACGCAGAGGAAATTTTTGCAAAATCCGGATTTCTTGGGCGCAAAAAAAGGAAATGACGCGCAATTGCGGACAAACAAAACGTGGATTTTTTAAAAAATATTTATTCATTTTTGCATTGGGCCTTGAATACAATGAGTATTATCGAAAATCTCATCGATACTCCACGCGCTCCACCGAAATAAACACGCAACGCAGACCGCGCCGCGCCACAACACACAAAAAAGGGAGGGAATTTGAATCGTTCCCTCATTTGTGTGTGTGTTGTGGCGCGACGCGGTCTGCGTTGCGTGTTTATTTCGGTGGAGCGCGTGGTACCGATAAGATTTTCGATAATAGTTGTTGGTTCTTTTGCTTCTCTCGGCGTAGGAATTCAATTCAAGATTTTTTTAGTTTCGATCATAATCGCTCGGAGATTTCGAAGTGGAAATGGTAAAATAATAAACCACAATCGATAATCACAAAATATGGGATGACGAAGAATACTATATTGATCTCTATTAAAAAAATTTGTAAATTTGATATCTAAGTAAATTATTTTCTTACCCATTAGCTTGAACGGGTGCATTGAGAATCTCTGCTTTGTCCAACTTTTGAAAACATTGTTCACTTAGCAAAAATGTTCTTTCACCAATATACAACTCGTTTTCCTCACATTTTTCCTTCCAATTTGTGATAATTTTTTGAAAATCCTCAATTGATTTGTTTCGATAAAAAAATCCAATTTCCAGTTCAAAACATCTTCGAAATCGTAGCCAATTTTTTGTTTTTTTCAATAAATTTTGATCTTAATAGGAATTCTCGAAGATTTTTGAACATTTTCGGATGAATTGTTTGATAATCAAAATCATCCCATGTGACTGACAAGGAATGATCGCACAAGTGACCCCCTGAAATTTTGATCTACTATGTGGAAGTTGATGTATATGGCGAGATATGAAAAACCCCAAACGGATTTTGTAGGAGAAAAATCATTGGGGAAGTTCCAGGGTCTAAAATTTTGGTTACAATAAATTTCGAAAATGACATATATTTTCAAAAATTCGTATCCCAGCTCAAACTTCATGAAAATTAACAAACTTTGCGTCATTCTGCAGCTAATGTGAAGTACTTTTAACGGTACTTACGACCATATTTATCAGATTTTTTTCAAGATTTGGAAACATGAGGGAAAAAAATGAAAAAATTTTTTTTTACATTTTCATATAAAATCGTAGTTTTAGAAGCCTGGGCGGGTTGTGGGACCCGTTCCATCGGATTCAGCGTCAAAAAATACGTCCGAAAACATACTTGAATATTGTTAGAGTCAGCCATTTTTGATATGTTAATATCCGATTTTTATTGTCGACCCATAAATTTTGACAGAAAAATGTCATTTTTTTGTTTTTTTGAAACAGTAAAATTTTCCTATGTAATTTTTCATGGTAAAAATGATTAAATATCGTTTTCAAAACAGTTTTTGTGACTATCAGACGTTGTTTCATAATTATCAGATTTCAAAAAATTTTCGAAGCATTCAAAACTGAAAAAAAAACTTTTTTTGCAGTGTAAGAGTCCGAATCCAAAAAGGTTGTTTGCGAAAAATTGCGTACTCTTTTCCACGCAAAAATGGGCCATAAGGTGCTCCATGAAAGTAACAGTCTCAAGAGTTGGCTGCTTGGAAAAAAAATTCACAAGGCTCGGCTCCTTGAAACAAACAGTCTCAAGGGTTGGCTGCGTGGAAAGAAAATACACAAGGCTCGGCTGCTTGAAACAAACAGTCTCAAGGGTTGGCTGCTTGGAAAAAAAATTCACAAGGCTCGGCTCCTTGAAACAAACAGTCTCAAGGGTTCCGAGCCTTGTGAATTTTTGTTTCAAGCAGCCAACCCTTGAGACTGTTTGTTTCAAGCAGCCAACCCTTGAGACTGTTTGTTTCAAGCAGCCGAGCCTTGTGAATTTTTGTTTCAAGCAGCCAACTCTTGAGACTGTTACTTTCATGGAGCACCTTATGGCCCATTTTTGCGTGGAAAAGAGTACGCAATTTTTCGCAAACAACCTTTTTGGATTCGGACTCTTACAATGCAAAAAAAGTTTTTTTTTTCAGTTTTGAATGCTTCGAAAATTTTTTGAAATCTGATAATTATGAAACAACGTCTGATAGTCACAAAAACTGTTTTGAAAACGATATTTAATCATTTTTACCATGAAAAATTACATAGGAAAATTTTACTGTTTCAAAAAAACAAAAAAATGACATTTTTCTGTCAAAATTTATGGGTCGACAATAAAAATCGGATATTAACATATCAAAAATGGCTGACTCTAACAATATTCAAGTATGTTTTCGGACGTATTTTTTGACGCTGAATCCGATGGAACGGGTCCCACAACCCGCCCAGGCTTCTAAAACTACGATTTTATATGAAAATGTAAAAAAAAAAATTTTCATTTTTTTCCCTCATGTTTCCAAATCTTGAAAAAAATCTGATAAATATGGTCGTAAGTACCGTTAAAAGTACTTCACATTAGCTGCAGAATGACGCAAAGTTTGTTAATTTTCATGAAGTTTGAGCTGGGATACGAATTTTTGAAAATATATGTCATTTTCGAAATTTATTGTAACCAAAATTTTAGACCCTCTGGAACTTCCCCAATGATTTTTCTCCTACAAAATCCGTTTGGGGTTTTTCATATCTCGCCATATACATCAACTTCCACATAGTAGATCAAAATTTCAGGGGGTCACTTGTGCGATCATTCCTTGTGAGAGTTCTTGAATTGTATCGCGCGAAAGATTGAGATATTTCCAAAATTCGACGAGTGACAATTCAATGTAATTTTTATTGCTCAAATATGTTTGCTTGTCAGATGTTGTATTTGAATGTTTTATTATCCTGCAAAAACAAAGTTTTCGTCTAAAAAACCACGGTAAACTGCACGACCATAGAAGGCGCCCGTAGAGTCAGACGCGAGAGTATTTTGCAAAAATTAATTTCGCTTCGAGATATTTTCAATAAAACATGTTGTGTTCCTTGAAACAAAATACGGTATTTTTTTCAAAGGGACACATATTTTCTCAAAAATATCTCGAAGCGATGTCTTTCTCTGTGTTAGATGACGTCATCAGACTCTAGTCGTCTCTCGTCTGACCCGACGGGCAATTTTCTATTGGATCCAATAGAATTGGAGTATTGTCCGTTTGGAAATGAGATTCACCCCGCGAAAAAATAAATTTGAATTTGCTGCAGGAGACGCAGACAGCGAGACAGTGCACTGGCAAACAGCCAACGGGGGTTTTGTATGGGAAAGCGACCGCAACGCACACGCATCGCGGGGGTAGGGGGAAATTTTGAATTCAAATGTATTTTTTCGCGGGGTGAATCTCGGACAATAAATGATCGTGAACTCACCACTTAATTTGAGTTCCATTCTCCACATTTTCAAAAGATCCTTCTATCTTAACTGCATTTAAGGGATCCGGTGTTTTTATAAAAACAATCAACAATTGAACGAGGTTTTCTTCGATCGAATTGCACAAAGTAATCTTTTTGATATATTTGGCGGGAAGCCAATCATTCAAATTCACCGCACAATATCCCATATTTTCCATATTTTTCTTCTCGCATTTCTTCAAAACTGTTTCGAATAAATTGTCTGGCAATTTCATTTTAGATTCATTTGAAGGCTGAAAAAATATTTAATGATTTTCATTGAAAAAATTTAAAAATTGTCTCACCTGCTCATTGCTCATAACGAAAATCAATACGCTAATCTACCAGCCTTTAGAAGGCGGTGAATAATTGGAAAGGTGCTAATAATTAGGTGGTGTGTAGTGGGGATAGAAAATTTTTCTGGTTCAAAAATTTCGAGGGGACTTCGAATTTCAGCTCATTTTCATTTTTGATTGAGTTTTTTTTTACAATTTTTAGGAAACTCGAGTAATCTTCTCATTATTCAATAACCTGAGACCCAAAAAAAAACAATTAAAATTTAATTCAGTTTGAAAAAATAAAAAATAAAAATTATTTTTGCAAACGACACTCCGCGCAGCACACAACCTTTTCAAACATATGTTTGTTGTTTTTCAAAACATTTCCTAAGAAAAATGCAAGAAGAACCGCCATGCTATATTCTGAGTCTTCCCAATGAGCTACAAAAGATGATTTTTGATAGAATGCAGCCGGCAGATAAGTAAGTAAGCTTCATCTTTTCTTTCTCTCAAATCTGAAACCTTTTCTAGAATTTCCTTTGGCAAAACCTCGCATTTTTGTCGTAAACTTTGGAGAAATTCAAAAAGTTTGTATGATGGAATTGGTTGGCAAGAAGTTGGTGACAAAGTTACGCTAACTCTAAATAATTCTTATCCATTTGTTGGAAATCGGCAATTTATGGAATTTAATGAATATTCGAGGTATTATGTCATGTAAGTTTTGTTTAAAATTGAATGAATACACTGAAATATGTCAGAATTCTGATGTTTCATGATTTTCAGCACAAAATTTCAACCAAAAACACTAAATTTTGTCTGAAAATCATAAATTTTATGATTTTTAGCTTAAAACCTCAATTTTCTCTTCGAAACACTTTGCTGGCTGAAATTTTGCGCTGAATACGCTAAAAACCATCAATTTCCTCATTTTCAGCACGAAATTTCAGCCAAAAACGCAAAAAAATCCCGAAAAAAAGGTTTGCACGTCAAATAAAATGCAAAGTACGCAATGAGTGTGCAAACACCGCTGTCAACTACAGTAGTCTTTTTTTTTGTTTCCCGGGCTGAAAATCGTGGAATTGATGCTTTTCAGCGAAAAATTTGGCAAATAAAGTAAAAAATGAATTTTTTCAGCGGTCAAAACGATGAAATAACCCGAACTGGAAAAATAGAAATCGGCGAAAATGGTTTGGAAATCGCAAAGAGGAAGTTTCTGAAAAAACTCGAAACCCATCAAAACACCGTGAAAAGCATCACAATCTATGGAAAATGTCCGATAAATTTGCAAAACATTCGAAATTTTCGCAATTTGCAATATTTGCATCACTCTGGATTCGATGAAAGCGAAAGTTTTCAAGAATTCTTATCAAAATCTGGAAATCGCTTGAAATGTTTAGAAATTGGCAATTCTTTGAGTGGAAGTTACGCGGAATTTCAGCAAATTTATCGAGTTCGCGAATATTTGTCGATTGGATTTGGGCTAACTCGCGAGCAATTTTTGAGACTGTCCGCAACAAAAATCGAAATGGAAATCGGACATTTGAAAGCTGCAGATATTTTTGAATTTATTCGAAGTTGGCAAAATGGAACAAGAAGACTGCAGAGTTGCAAATGGAAATCTTGTAAATATTTTGATGCTCAAACATTTTTCGGTTTCTTCAATGCTCCATTGATAAATTCTGATTAGTAAGTTAGCACAAATCATTTTTTTTTAAATTTGATTTGTTTTCAGCAAACAAATTAGCATCCGAGGAATTGATTCAAGAGCAGCAATGATTACTTATAAGAAGTATGAAGATTTGTTGTTTGAAGTGATTGAAGATCCGAATTTTGAAGATTTTTTTGAAATTTAAATTAAATTGTACATTTTTTTGCATGATAAGGTTGAATATTTTATTATTTATGAAGAATCAATCAATAATCATCATTTAAAAAATCCCAATCTTCTTCTTCTTCTTCTAAATCCTCCAATTGCTCTCCTAAATTCCAAGAATCGTCGTCTTCTTCCAAATCCAATAGCTCTCCTAAATTCCCAAAATTTCAAAATAAATTTTCCAAAATGAGTAAACTCACTTTCAAATTCATAATACTCAGGAAGAACTTCAGCTAACTCATGATCCGAATTCAAATCATCCAAAAACAAGTTGTGATTCTGCATAACTTCGAAGGTTAGACAATCTCTCCGCTTGAATGTTATCATTGCTGATGTTAGCCCATCTCCTTGAATGCTGATTTGTTTGCTGGAAGGAACAATTTCAGTGGGTTTTGTAGATCTCTTTTGGGCTGAAAATCAAAGCTGAAAGTGAATAAATTCAACTTACTAACGATGATTAACCAATTGAGTATTGAAAAATCCAAAAAACTCGCGAGCATCAAAATCATACAATTTCAAATGCCATGTACAATTCTCTAGCACTCGATTTCCATTTTGCCAAGTTCGAATAAATTCAAAAATATCCCCAGCTTTCAATTCTCCCATTTCCATTTCGATGTTCCTTGCGGACAAATTAAAGAATTGCTCGCGAGTTAGCCAAAATCCAATCGACAAATATTCGCGAACTCGATAAATTTGTTGAAATTCCGAATAATCTTCTCCATAATCTCCAAAAATTCTCAAATTCTTCAACATATTCCCGCCAGTTTTTGATAAAATTTCTTGGAAAATTTCGCGATTTTCCGAACCAGATAGGTACAAATATTGTAAATTGGGAAAGCTTTGAACGTTTTGCAAAGTGATTTCACATGTTCCTTTAATTGTGAGGCTTTTCACGGTGTTTTGATATTTTTCGAGTTTTTTGATGAACATTGTTTGGGCGATTTCGAAGCTGTTTTCTTGGATTCCGATTTTTCCAGTTCGAGTTATTTCATCGTTTTGACCGCTGAAAAATGTTTTTTACTTTATTTGCCAAATTTTGCCTTGAGAAACATACATTCCACGATTTTCAGCTCAAAATTTCAGTCGGGAAACAAAAAAACGAAAAAAAAAACAGACTACTGTAGTTGACAACGGTGTTTGCACACTCTTTGCGTACTTTGCATTTTATTTGACGCGCAAACTTTTTTTTTGGGTTTTTTTGCTTCGAATCGAATTTTTGCGTTTTCGGCTGAAATTTTGTGCTGAAAATGAGGAAATTGATGATTATCAGCTTTTTTCAGCGTAAAATTTCAACCAGGAAAGTTTTTTCCATGAGAAAACTGAGGTTTTAAGCTGAAAATCATGAAATTTCTGATTTTCAGGCAAAATTTGGTGTTTTTGGCTGAAATTTTGTGCAGAAAATCATGAAACATCAGGATTCTGACGAATTTCAGCGTTTTCATTCAAAACTCACACTTCATAATCCCTTAAATCCCGATGAAAATCAATAAAATGCTGATTTCCAACAAATGGATAAGAGTTATTCAAAGATAGCCTAACTCTATATCCCTCTTCGTTATCCCAACAAATCCCATCATACAAACTCTTTGAATGTTCCCAAAGTTTACGACATTGAAGCGAGCTTTTGCCAAAGGAAATTCTGAAAAGGGTTTCAGATTTGAGAAAAAAAAAAGATGAAGCTTAAATACTTACTTATCTGCCGGCTGCATTCTATCAAAAATCATCTCTTGTAGCTCATTTGGAAGACTCAGAATATAGCATGGTGGTTCTTCCATGTTTTTTTAGGAAAAATGAAAAATTATGCAAAAATAAACCGGATGTTGTGTGCTGCGCGGAGTGTCGTTAGAAGAAGAAGAAGAAGAAGAAGAAGAAGAAGAATAAATCAAATGAGAACAAAGAGAATGCACATTTTTCGAAAAAAAAAAATTTTTAAGTCAAATTTTGTCTTTGCCACGAGGATTCAAATCAGAAAAAAAACATTGCTCAGATTAAGCGGGTAAATCATTTATTCAATAAATCGTCGTGAACAATACGATCCCATTTTCGCATGTAATTGAGATATAAAATAAAAACTATGCTATACATATTTCGATTCTGAATATTCACAAGCATTCAATCTGAAAAAATCTCAAAAATAATACTGTCAAAAAATCTTGAGAAATCTCACTAATTGGCGCCAACTAACTAGAATACAGTAGGAGAAATAGAGGAGATCCCATTTTCCAGTCGAATTTGGAGTCGGGAATGTCTGGGGGATTTTTGGATGGCCTTGTTTTTTTTTTTTTTTTTTTTTGAGAAAAAAAAATTAGGTTAGGTCACGTGGAATTTAAAAAAATCAAAAATTTATTTTTTTTTCAAAATTTCAAACATTTTATCAAGCAATTCCAATTTGACAGCTTCGCTCAATTTTTCGTAGTCTTCAGTTTCACGAAGTGCCGTGAGTTGCTCAATTTGCACGAGATTTTGCAAAACATAGTCCTGCAAAAAAAAAAAAATAATCCGAGTTATGACGTGGCGTTTTTCTCACCTGCAGTTTAGCCAAACCCAAATCATCCGAGATAATCAATTTGCGAACAACCCCCACCTTTTGCGACTCAATCAAAAACCTCTCACACTCCAACATAACCTGAGCAATGCGATATTTATCGGCCAATCGTATCAAACTCTCCACATTCTCTTCGGTTATCGATTTTCGTGTGGGATAGATGACGTGGAGCAATTCGTGGAATTCGTCGAAATTGTCGGCGAGCACAATTTGCTCGGCATTTTGTTCGGTGAAATTGGAGGAGAACATTGCGCGGAAGACTGGAGAATGGAGGGCAAGGTAGGTTTTGTTGGCGTAGAGTTTTTGAGTGACTTCGTTTTCTTTGAAGATGAATGTTATATTGCTCAGATGATCATCGGAAAAGTAGTTCTGCAAAAATAGATTTCAAATTTTTGCAGTGATGTCCACACAGCTCCACATGAGTTATGACGTGGAAAAGTTTCTAATTTGCCACGTCATGTTAGAAACTGATTTTTAAAAATTTTTCACAACGGAATCGTGTCTGCTGACGTCATCTAAGACAGAGAAAGACATCGCTTCGAGATATTTTTGAGAAAATATGTGTCCCTTTGAAAAAATACCGTATTTTGTTTCAAGGAACACATGTTTTATTGTTAATATCTCGAAGCGAAATTAATTTTAGGGATAGTTTTGCAAAATACTCTCGTCGTCTCGCGTCTGACTCAACGGGCGCCTTGTATGGTCGTGCCCCCCCCCCCCCCTCCCCAAACCCACATGCTCCCCCTGATCTTCCGAAAAATCAATCGACTGAACATTCAAAACTCCTCGAACATTACTCAGAACAATCGAGACCTCAATCGTATGCGTTTCATAAGTTCCAGACGACACCACCATTGGCTGCAACTCGCTTTTCGCCACAAACTGCCGAAAACCGTAGCCCTTCAATTTCGCATTGTAAACGTGTTCGAATGTTTTGACCAAACCCGGTTTTTGCTCGCGTGGAAGAAGGCGAATCTCAACTTGAGCATTGCAGGACCAAAGGTGACTTGAATTCTTGCAAGATAGATAAATTGACAAATAATCTTGGCCAGATATGGTTTGGAAGTTATGGGAAATATACCTGCAAAGATCTGGGTTTCAAAAAAAAAAAATATTTAACTTACCATGGTAAATTTCCAATCATTTTGGTTTCCGAAACATTTTTGGATTTGTATGGATAAACAAAATTCATCGAGATGATTCCTCTGATTTTTTGCGGCATTTTTTTGTCGTAAAATGAATGTGTAGGCTAACAAAAAAGTGAGGCAGAGAGGAATGATAGTGTAATACCATACCATTGCTCATGTTAACTTATAAGAAGATAGGGCTGTACGAAACAAAAAGAGACGCAGACATTTAACACAGTCAGAGGAGAAATTTTGACTCAGCGGGTGACCATACGACCATACAAGGCGCCCGTTGAGTCAGACGCGATACGACGAGAGTATTTTGCAAAAATATCCCGAAAATTAATTTCGCTTCGAGATATTTTCAATAAAACATGTTGTGTTCCTTGAAACAAAATACGGTATTTTTTCAAAGGGACACATATTTTCTCGAAAATATCTCGAAGCGATGTCTTTCTCTGTCTTAGATGACGTCATCAGACTCCCGTCGTCTCTCGTCTGACCCGAGGGGCAATTTTCTATTGGAGCAAATGGTCGTGTACGAAACAAAGAGAGACGCAGACATTTAACACAGTCAGAGGAGAAATTTTGACTCAGCGGGTGACCATACGACCATACAAGGCGCCCGTTGAGTCAGACGCGATACGACGAGAGTATTTTGCAAAAATATCCCGAAAATTAATTTCGCTTCGAGATATTTTCAATAAAACATGTTGTGTTCCTTGAAACAAAATACGGTATTTTTTCAAAGGGACACATATTTTCTCGAAAATATCTCGAAGCGATGTCTTTCTCTGTCTTAGATGACGTCATCAGACTCCCGTCGTCTCTCGTCTGACCCGAGGGGCAATTTTCTATTGGAGCAAATGGTCGTGTACGAAACAAAGAGAGACGCAGACATTTAACACAGTCAGAGGAGAAATTTTGACTCAGCGGGTGACCATACGACCATACAAGGCGCCCGTTGAGTCAGACGCGATACGACGAGAGTATTTTGCAAAAATATCCCGAAAATTAATTTCGCTTCGAGATATTTTCAATAAAACATGTTGTGTTCCTTGAAACAAAATACGGTATTTTTTCAAAGGGACACATATTTTCTCGAAAATATCTCGAAGCGATGTCTTTCTCTGTCTTAGATGACGTCATCAGACTCCCGTCGTCTCTCGTCTGACCCGAGGGGCAATTTTCTATTGGAGCAAATGGTCGTGTACGAAACAAAGAGAGACGCAGACATTTAACACAGTCAGAGGAGAAATTTTGACTCAGCGGGTGACCCATACAAGGCGCCCGTTGAGTCAGACGCGAGACGACGAGAGTATTTTGCAAAAATATCGCGAAAATTAATTTCGCTTCGAGATATTTTCAATAAAACATGTTGTGTTCCTTGAAACAAAATACGGTATTTTTTCAAAGGGACACATATTTTCTCAAAAATATCTCGAAGCGATCTGTCTTAGATGACGTCATCAGACTCTCGTCGTCTCTCGTCTGACCCGAGGGGCAATTTTCTATTGGAGTAAATGGTCGTGAGTTTAACATATGTTAGAGACGCAGAGAAATTTGTGAAATTTATTGAAAACCCGTCAAACTTGGCAAAAATGAGGACAATATATACAAAAAAAACTCCACTACTTAATTATTTTTTGATGAAAATCACAACTACTTCTTGCCATTATGTGAAATGCCCAAAAGTGTAGCCAATCCATATTCACTAACAATACTCGCAATACTTTCCAATGGTCGACTTGGATCACGAATTTTGGGAAAAGCTTGCAAGATAAATTTCTCGATGGTTCCGCCAGTATTTTCGACTCCTCTAAATGGTCTGTTCTCTTTTCCGGGTGTCCAAGTTGAGGCGGGTTTTGCTGGTGGAAGGGGTTTGCCGTTGTCTTGGATGTATTGCATACGGAATGAGACTTCGTAGTCGACGATGTTGGCGTTGGAGATTACGACTGCTTCGGATGTTGTTGAGATTACGTCGTAGGTTTTGTCGAAGCAGCTGGAAAAGTTTTTTGGTTTGAAAATAGCGCTGTTTAAAGGGACATGCTTTAATTTTCCACCAAAATCTCAAGAACGGCTGCATCAAATCAAAATCTGAGTACACCATCTTTATCGCCGTGAAAAACTGCATGGAAATAAGCTTTGGTGGAGCGGACGTTCGTGGCGAGACCGATTTCGAAAAATAGCGCGCAAAATGGAGAGACGCGAGACAATTTTGTGCAATTGTGCGTCACCGTGTTTGCACAAGTCAATACAGTATACCAACCCGAGGGCCAAAAAATACGTGAAAAATGCAAAAATAAATTGGTCACGCCCATTTTGCAAGTTGCGGCGGGATTTATTGCAAAGCGCACATGGTTTTTATTTTTAATTTTTTTCAAGACTGAAATTTTTTCTCCCGAAAAATGTTTAACTCTAGAAAACCAAGACCTTTCATCGAAATACCCTTGAAAATTTAATTTCAGGCTGAAAAATCTTTTTAAAAAAACCCACCAAACTCTAAATCCAGTCTGCTGAAAATCATTATTGTGCTTAACTTCGATGTAAGCTTTACAAGAAGACGCGCACTGATAACGAATTTCCGTAATAACCAATCTTACACGACCTTTTGGGCTCTAAACAAAATTATTATTAATTGTGAGGCTTCAGAGACCCCAATTTACCTTAACTCTCCAATTACACGTCCTCTTCCCCTTATAAGTAATCTCCTGCCATTCGGAAGTTGCAGTCAGAATTCCACCGCATTTCGCGTGATCGGTTCCCGGTGCAACTCCATTGCAATTCGGACCACCTAAACCATCAGGACATTTACATTTTGAGCAATTATTGGGGTCCGCGTAGCCTCCGTGTTGACAAGAAAGTGGATTTGGGCAAACCGCTGAAAATATTCTTGGTGAGGATTTTAGCGGCAAGTTAGGACAACTCACAATTACAATACAACCTGTTAACTTGCTTCACATCAATAAAAGACAATTTCGTCCTTTGCCCAATTGTTCCCTGATATCTCGGATCTTTCGTTTGAATCGTAATCTCATTCCAATCCTTGGTAAACGCCTGAAATGTCTCTTCTAGAGTTACCCTAACTTCTTGAAAACAACTCACATTAGATCCATAATGCATAACACTTCCAACATCATACGGCACTCCCATATCCTCAATTTCTTCCCAAGACCTTTTCTCAAAGTTTCCATCTGTGCCTTTAATCAGCCATTCTTTGCGAAGGTTTATGTATTGATCGCGATCCGGGCGGGATTGCTCATGCCAAAAGCCTAGACTGTGTCCGACTTCGTGAGCGACGATTCCTTTCTGGAATACAAAATTGGAGGCTTGGATCTATAGAGAGCCTAAACCTAAGCTTAGGCCTAGAGGGGGCCTAACTGTGAGCCTAGCCTAATCCTAGTCTCTACCCAACCCCTTAAAAAACCTACATCCTCACATCCATAACCAATCGAAATCAATTGCGAGCCTCCAGTCCGTCCCACCGACGAATAGCAACCCGAACCACGGAAAAAGACAACATGATCCTTGCCCGGCGCATTCTCGCTCCACCGAACACACGTCTCCCTCTCCCAAAGATTCAAACCTTCGCGAACCAATTGCTTCCACTTCGCTGCAAAATGTTTGTGGTTTTCAGCAAAAAAAACATTTTCAGACAAAAACTCACCATCTCCACCTTTGAATTTATACGGAATGACACCTTTCCATCTATAAACCGAGCCGGTGATGACCTTTCGCTTCCGACGACTTCTGAATGGTCGACGAGCTTCTTGGGAGGCTAAGACTATGCTGAAACATCGAGATTTTTCGGGGAAAATGTGAAAAAATGAATGAAAATCTCATTTTTTCCGATAATTTTAACTAAACATTCTGAAAATCTGAAAATTAAAGAAATAACCTGAGCAATGTTCGAAAAACATTGCTCAGATATAAAATATTTGCACAAAAATACCTAGAAAATTAATGAATTTATACATTCATTTTTACAACGATACAACGACAATCCCGCTTGCCCGCTGTTTAGCGCAACACAAAAATATTTTCATTTTTCGTTTTTTTTCGCGGGGTTTTCAGGTTTCCGGGGAAAATCAGTGGATTTCAGACAAAAATTGCATTTTCAGATGTTCTACAGGGCTGGAATTATCGATTTCGATGGAAAATCCGAGGATTATCGAAGAAAGGTGCGGTTTTTTCTAGAGAAACACTGTTTCGATTGAAATTTTTGAGTTTTCAGGGTCAAAAATGATAAAACAATTGGATTTCAATGTCAATAACGTGGGAAAATTGGAAGATTTCGAATTTTGCAATGATTTTGATTGGGATTTGAGAAATAGAAGCGATTGGTGAGTTTTTTGGGAAGGGATTTCGGAAAAATTTTAAAAAATTCGAAAAAACTGTTCACGTTATTAAAAAAAATAGAAAAAAATTCACGCTAGATCTCTATTTTTCAGGTCGGACGCTCATTTCTGGAAATATTTTACTTTTTATTCGGTCTGTCAAAATGATTTTGAGGATTTGGTTCTGATACAACTGCAACTCATGTCTCAGGTTAGTTTAATGGGTTTTGGGTGAAATTATATCAGGTAATTTAAATTTAAAAGAAACAATATAGAGTGTGTGAGAGAAGGAGGGGGAAAAGAAAAAAAATAAATTGTATAACTCAGAAAGTGTCCTGACAGCCGTCGGCGAGAAAATCTCGCCAGCTAGCACGCGAGCCGGCAGACGGCCGTCCATTTCTCGCATTTTTCTGGCGAGACCTCGCCAGTTCTCGCTGCTAGCTAGCGCTTGCCTGTTGTTTTTGCAGTTCATAGAGCTTGTTTCAAAAGAATTTATTAAACAAAAAACACTTCATTTATCAGAATCCTGTGGAGTGATGTGTTGTGGTTTCCAGGCTGTGAAGATTTGGCTGATGATTGTAGAATCTGAAATTTTGAATCGTGTTGAAAACTTCGCTTAAAAATATGGGGCATTGGGAAATGAGAAATAACCTAGTCATTTTTGAAGTTTTCATCTGTAAAACAATGAAAACAACACTGCGATGCAGCGTTCAATGTTTAGAAAACACAACGAGCCAAATTTATAATGAGACAATTCGCGAAGAAAAAAAGTGTTTAGACGTGTTTTTTTCTTCGCGAATTGTCCCATAAGGTTTGCGTAGAAAGTGAGTCAGATCTGACAAGCGATTTAGGAGTTTAAATACGACTTGTCAATGACATAGAAATTACTTTTATTCCTATAACTAATTTTCTAGAAGTAATAGTTCTCTAATTTTTAAAGCACTGATGGAAAAATACAATCAAATTCATTTCTAGATGAATATGAGTAACAAACATGCATATAGAATTTTCCATTCGAATTTTTGATAGAATGAGTTCTTTTCTCACGAAATTGATTTGTTTCTACAGTAGAGAATGATATTTAAACTACTGGGACTCAGGAACCAAAGCTTTCATTCAAAACACCTTACCTTATAAATTTCATCAAAAATATTGATGTGTTGCTCGTCCATTCTACCATTTTAATCGAAATCGTCGCTTCAAACATCGAGAGCCCTGAAAAATAGGTTTACACTGATTTACTGAATTAAAATCATCTGCACTCACCAAAAACCCATTTTTATATCATGAAGGTGCCTGGCGATGTGCACCTTCTCCATCCCAACACTTTGCATCGTCGATTGCGTGTTTTCTGTGAACATTTTCGATGAAAAAAAGCATAAAAAGATTTTAGGCCAAAAATTTCGGAAAAAAATGTAAAAGGAAATAGACGAGCAAATCTGCTCCAGTCGCAATTTTTCTGTCCGCTAGCTGGCGGCGAGGAAGGTGCGCTCGCTCCTCCCCTTTTTTGAGAATGCGAGCTGGCGGACAGCCTCTGCTAGCTTTCGACGGCTCGCAACCTCGCGGACGGCTGTCAGGACATTTTCTGAGAAACAACGGGCATGCGGAGTGTTGTAGTTTTATTTTTATTTTGTTTTTTGAAAAACATTTTTTTTAAATTTTTTTTCTAACTATTTTCTAACCTAACCTGAGAAATTTGCCCATTTTTTAAAACGTGAGCATGTTTTGCCACGTCATAACTATTTCGAAAATCGCAAAAAAACTCACGCTTTCATCTGTGGAACCGTCAAAACCATATCACTCTCAAATAACTTGTTAGTAAATTCTCGATTCGCGCCCATTTCCGTACCATCAGGATGTGCGCGTAATACCGGAGCATCGTTCGCAACTCCTCCTCCCCCAGTCCCACCATTCATCGGACTCGCCATCGATTCGAAAAACGCTTGCATCAACGTCTGAACCGCGCCGAAGTCTTGATCTCTCGATTTGCCGCCGTCGGAAAACGAGGCAATCTCTCGAATCATTCTCGCCGTGTTGTGAGCGAGTAACTTCGGACTGGCTGTTGTTGGTTGAAATGGTGCCAGAGTGGGACCGGGTGGTTGGGAAGTTGGGAGGGTGAAGGGGGCAAAGGTGAATGGTGCGATTGTGGTGGCGGGAGCGAATTGGAATTGTTGAGATTGGGGTTGAGGAGTCCAGAAGTTGAAGATTGATGGGGCTGGTGTGTCAGATTGGATGTTTTTGGTGTTGGGAGGATCCCTGGAACGTCTTATTTATATTCAAAATAACCAATTTTCTCTTAATTTCCTCTCAAGACCTAAATTTAAAGGAGCATAGCCTTATTTATATTCAAAATAACCCATTTTCCCTCTGAATTCCTTTCAAGACCCAAATTTAAAGGAACACCATCTTATCTAGACTCTAAATAACCGATTTCTCTCTCTGAATTCATCTCAAGACCCAAATTTAAAGGAACATAGTCTTATTTATATTCAAAATAACCCTTTTTCCTATTGGATTCCTCTCAAGACCACTTTAAAGGAACATAGCCGTATTTATGTTCAAAAAAACCAAGTTCTCTTTCTGAATTCCTCTCAAGACCCAACTTTAAAGGAACACTAGCCTATCTAGACTCTAAATAACCGATTTCTCTTTCTGAATTCCTCTCAAGACCACTTTAAAGGAACATAGCCTTATTTATATTCAAAATAACCCCCTTTACTCTTGGACTCCTCTCAAGACCATTTTAAAGGAACATAGCCGTATTTATATTCAAAATTATCCCCTTTTCTCTTAAATTCCTCTCAAGACCCAAATTTAAAGGAACATCCCACTTACTCCCAAACAAACGGCGAAAATGTTTTGGCAATATTCCGGAATCGCTGAACCTTTTGCTCTTTGGCAGACATTGGACGACTTGGAACATCGGACATTACTAAAATCATTTTTTTTTTTGAAATTCAGAAAGCAAAAATGAGAAAATCCAACATTTTATTCGAAATCACACAAAAATGTTCACAAAATAGAAAAAAATTGAAAATTAATTAGGGAAAAAACTGCAAACTATATGTGATTTCGAACAAAATATGAATTTTGTTAATTAGGAGATGTTAATTAGGTTAATTAGCCGAGATTAGTTAGTGACATGTCAATTGAATCGTATTCATCTTCACCTTGTGGTCTTGGTGCTGATTGAGCTTTTGGCTTGCGTGGTGGTGGTGGCTTGGGTTTTGGTGCTGGTTTGGGCTTTAGGTCGTCCTGAAAAACATTAGGGTTTTATAGTAATTCTGTACTGAAAATCTGAAATTCTAGCTGAAAATTGGCCTGATTTCCAGCCAAAATTCAGAATTTTCAGCCAAAAAGTTGCCCTAACTCTCACCAAATCAGTATTATAATCCTCATTTGTTGGAACAGGTGCTGGTGCTCGATTATGACCTCCTCCACCTCGATTTGGTGCAGCTGGTGGCGGTTTTGGCGCGAATAAATTGGCGAAATTTCCAGCGCCTCCACCGGCGAATTGTTGGAAAAGACCCTGCAAAAAAACAGGATTTTTCTGAGGTTTCCAACTGTGTTTGAGGAAAAGTTTGCGTAACTTTGGAATAACATTTGATTGGATTTAAATTATATGTACATACGTTTTATGGGATGGCAAGATTGGCAAGATTGAAATTTGTGAAAAAAAGTTTTTGAAAAAAATTTTGGCTATTATCGAAAATCTCATCGGTACCACGCGCTACACCGAAATAAACACGCAACGCAGACCGCGCCGCGCCACAACACACACAAAAAAGGGCGGGAATTTGAATCGTTCCCTTATTTGTGTGTGTTGTGGCGCGGAGCGGTCTGCGTTGCGTGTTTATTTCGGTGGAGCGCGTGGAGTACCGATGCGATTTTCGATAATACCTTAGGAAACCCAGAGTTAAATTTAGGTTCGTTTTGTAGCTCTTAGGTTGATTTTTGACTGAATTTTAAGAATTCCTGCTGAAAATCCAAATCAAAACTGAATTTTTCGCTATCTACAACAACCAAAAACCAAAGTTTTCTCGTTTTTTTTCTCGAAACTTACCAAAACTTATATGACCTTGAAGTCTATAAGCTTTTCCTCGTAAACCGATTTCAATCTGCCCTTCAAAACATACTTTTTTGTTGAATTATTACAAAAGATTTGTATGTTTTCGAGTATGCAAATAAATAAACATTGCGTAACCAAAAAAACTTTCACTGTTTTATTGTTTTTTTGTATATCTCATTGTCAAATTGTATGAAAACCACTTACACCAATTGCCTGAGGATTTCCAAATGGATTTCCACCGCCTCCACCACCGGCGGCACCCAAAAATGGTTGAATTAGTGATAGGAAATCTTGAGTCTGCAAACATTTTCATTGAAAAAATCGCTCCAGGTCAAGTATCTCTCGACAAAAAGCAGACGCTCTCTCGTGTGGTGAGATGGCCGAGCGGTCTAAGGCGCTGGTTTAAGGCACCAGTCCCTTCGGGGGCGTGGGTTCGAATCCCACTCTCATCAGCTATTTTTTTTTTTTTTTTTTGAAAAAAAAACAAAAACATTTCCTCACCTGCACATAGCTAATAAGAACTAGGAAAACCAATATATTATTCATTTAGTGTATTATATCGTCAGGTATTATTCTACTAAAGTAAATGCTTTTCGTTTCGTTTCACTTCAAATTGTTGAAAGAGGGGGAGGAGATGAAAAAAAAGGGGCGGGAAGGATTTTTACAACAAAAAGTTTTGTTAGGTTTTTTTTTGGGAAAGTGACCTTTGAGGGAGATGCAAAAAAGACAATAGATGTTACAAATTTGGATGATATTTGATGATTTTATTGATAATGAGGAAAAAAATATTTGAAATAGTGGATTTTTTTCGGAAAAAAAGTTCAAAATAGAAAAATTAATGCTGAAAAATCCACGTGGCAAGAGTTTAAAAAAATTTCTAGAAAAAAAGTTTCACAAATTCCACGTGGCTAAATTTCCAGTATCCTGAAAATTCTGAATTTAGAAAATCCAATTTAGAATTTCAAAAAATTAATTTTCAATTTTGGCGCCAAAAGATCCACGTGGCAAGATTTCCAGTATCCTGAAAATTCTGAATTTAGAAAATCCACGTGGCAAAAATACTGCTAAAATTTAGAAAAAATTGATTTTCAATTTTGGCGCCAAAAAATCCACGTGGCAATAGTTCAAAAAATATTTCCGAAAAAAATTTCACAAAAATTCCACGTGGCAAGAATTTTACCGAATAAAATCCACGTGAAATGAAATTTTTCGCGCCAAAAATTCCACGTGGCAAAAATACTGCTAAATTTTAGAATTAAAAAAAATTCATTTTTAATTTTGGCGCTAAGAAATCCACGTGGCAAGAGTTTTGAAAAATTTCTAGAAAAAAAAAGTTTCACAAATTCCACGGGGCTGAATTTCCAGTATCCTAAAAATTCTGAAAATCCACGTGGCAAGAATACTGCTAAAATTTAAAAAAAAATTGATTTTCAATTTTGGCGCCAAAAAATCCACGTGGCAATAGTTCAAAAAATATTTCCAAAAAAAAATTTCACAAAAAATCCACGTGGCAAGAATTTTACCGAATAAAATCCACGTGAAATGAAATTTTTCGCGCCAAAAAATCCACGTGGCAAAAAATCCAGTTTTTTTGTTTTGTTATCTCTGCTGACTCATATTTTATGCGTTTTTTACAACTTCATCTTTTTTTTTCTCACGCATTTTTCCAGCAGCAGTAACTACAAAAAAAACGTGACTCATATTAGAGTGTCTAGAAATATTACACCGCACACACGGTGTGTACATTTTCAAGAGAACCACTTTTTTTTTTGGTTGGTTGGTTGACGAATGAGAGAATATCTGTGTAATTTCATTTTCTGTAATTTTTTTTATCAAAAAAAAAAACTAGTGTAAATAAAAAGTAGAGGAGAAAAGAAAGAATGCCAAGTAGGAATGTCTCTAGCTGTCTAGCTTCTCTGCGTCTCTAACCATTCGTAATAGTTGCACTTTTCACCGAAATAATAATACGAGCTTTTAATTTTTTCTCGATTTTCACAAAACTCTTCACAATGTCTCGATATTGAGTTGATAATTTATAGCAGATCAAAAAATGACAGGCCGTGTTGAAGACGTAGATCAAAAAGCAGAACTTGACAAAACTCTCGCTGATTATTCTGAAAAAGGATAACATGAGCAATGTTTCGCATTGCTCATATTAGAACTTACACCCATCCAATAGTTTGCTCATTAATACTCCGAAAAACATACAAAATCCCCACTGGAATTTCAGCAAAACCCACAGAAATCGTTGTGAATAGCACGAGTTTCGATGTTTTATCCGATTTTTGCTGATCTTTTGAGCCTTTCCGAATTGCGCTAATCAACAAAATTGTCATCAAAATGAATAGAAAAACTGGAAAATATTTGGCTAAAACCGCATCCAACATTGTGTCCACCGAAAAACTGTTAAAAATGATGAGAGGTTGAGAATCGTGGAAAAAATTGGGTTTTGTGTAGTTTTCCGGATATGCACAATCTTCTGACGGAAACCATGGAGAAGAATTGATTTGGTAGGTGAAAAATGAGGGAATTGTGAGAAGGGCACAGATGATTGAATTGATGAGAATTGAAGTGTAGCCGGTTTGGGGATGCGTGAGAAAATGGAATTTTGGGTTGAGTGATTGTGATATTGCAAATGCTCGGATTGAGACGAGAGACAGCGAGAGATATGTGGAAAAACGACGGGAAAATTCGAGAAATTTGAAGGATAATTGGGAAAGTTGGAATTGCAAGTAGGATGGAGGTTCCAAGCTGAAAATTTGGAGATCAAACTTGATTCTTGGCGCACAATTTTCCATCCAAAATGCAGTCTAATATGAGCAATATTTCTCTGCGTCTCTAACATTTTTTGGAATATTGCTCATATTAAACGGAAGCTTCCGATGCGCATAAACAAATTTCAAACTAACATGAGCAATCTACCTCTCTAACATCCTTCTCTACTAAATAGCAATTTGCAATTTTCCCCGAAGCCCCACAAAATTTAGACTAACATGAGCAATGTTTCTCTGCGTCTCTAACTTCTCAAAACAGAGCAACATTGTTCTTGTCCCTCGGGTCAGACGAGAGACGACGAGAGTCTGATGACGTCATCGTGAGACAGATCGCTTCGAGATATTTTTGAGAAAATATGTGTCCCTTTGAAAAAATACCGTATTTTGTTTCAAGGAACACAACATGTTTTATTGAAAATATCTCGAAGCGAAATTCATTTTCGAGATATTTTTGCAAAATAAGTACTCTCGTCGTCTCGCGTCTGACGGTCGTGTAACATGAGCAATATTCCTCTGCGTCTCTAACTTCTCAAAACAAGCTCATATTACACCTGATTTCACTCACCAAACATCCGTCAACTCCTGATAGTGAAACAAAAGTTGATAGTTAGCATAAGTCCTCAAACCCATAGTTAAAACATCCACCAAAGCCATTCCCAACAAAATCACATTTGTTGAAGAAGTTTTTCTCATCGATTTCTGGGATAAAATAAAACCATGAAACAGATTCATAAAAATCGCCGAAACGCACAAAACGAATTCAATTTTCGCATAATAAAGTTGATCAAAAAAGGCGAGTTGATCTATGAAATTATACAATTTCTTCTGGATGGACTTTGAATAAGTCGGAAAATAGGCATCGCCTAGAATTTCAGCGATTTCTTCGGCGGATGGATCCATAAATGAGAAAAATTTTCTCAGAAAATGCACGTTTTTTGAAGAGCAGGTGAAAAATTTTTGGGAATTTCAAAGAGCAAATTTATATTTTTTTATTTTCGCGTGGCCTAATTTTTTTTTTTTTTTTTTTTTTGAAAAAAAAACAAGGCCATCAAAAAATCCCAGCCATTCCTGAATTCACAATCAAATTCGACTAGGGGCTGTTAGCCCCCAGGCGTAACAGTCTTCTCATTTATTTCCGTTTCACTTTTTTCTGTGATTATTGTCCACAGAACATTGACTCACAATCAAATTTATAGAAAATTTCAAGTTTTTTGATCAAAAAATGATTCGTGGCAAAATCAGGAAGGCTTCCTAATTTTGCCATGGATAAAGTCATCGATAAATTTTTCGAAAAAAAACTTCTTCAATCTTTTTTTTCGTTCTGTAACTTTTTTTTTGAAAAAACTCGGGCCGATTTTTTTTTGAAAAAACTCGGGCCGATTTTTTTTTACATTTTTGGATTATTCCAAATCTGTAACTTTTCTTTTTGAAAAATCTCGGGCCGATTTTTTTTTTAAAAAAACTCGGGCCGATTTTTTTTTTGAAAAATCTCGGGCCGATTTTTTTTTGAAAAAACTCGGGCCGATTTTTTTTTGAAAAAACTCGGGCCGATTTTTTTTTGAAAAAACTTTCGAAAAAAAACTTATTTAATTATTTTTTTGTATTAAATGTACTCGTAAGAGGTAAATCACACGAATTACAATCAAATTTATATAAAATTTCAAATTTTTTGATCAAAAAATGATTCGTGGCAAAATCAGGAAGGCTTCCTAATTTTGCCATGGATAAAGTCATCGATAAATTTTTCGAAAAAAACTTCTTCAATCTTTTTTTCGTATTATCAAAGTAAAAAAAATTGGCAAAAAAACGGAGCCTGGAAATTCAAATGTCATTCTTCCCGAGTACGGTGTTTCTGCTAGTCGCTGCGAGACCCATATGTGCGTCTTTGACTTTGTTTCTCTGCCCAATGGGGTGGTCTCGAAACGGTGTTAGTGACGCAGAGGAATACCGTACTTGGGGAAATTGGGATTTGAATTTCTGGCCCCTCTTTTTTGCCATTTTTTTTTACTTTGATAATATTGAAGACTTGAATAACATTCTTGGCCCGTTAGGAATTAGGAATTCTTGAACAATGCCAATAGCATCTGAAGAATCAGGCTTTTTCATTCATGGGTCACGCAGGATATTTTCTTGATTTTCTCTTTTTATTAAGCTCTTTTTATTCCATCTTCTTTTTTTCTTTTTTGTCGCGTTGGAATGTCGAATTTTCGCAATTTTGGGGAGAAAGGAACAAAATTTCCGAAAATCTGCATTACTCGATATAGGGAAAAATTTTTTCCGAGTGGGGCTCGAACCCACAAAATGAGGAGGGTTGCCTGATTGGAAAGCATCGCTTTCCCCGCCTACACCACACGTGTAGGTAAGAAATGAAGCATTTTTGATAAATATATATTTATCAGAATTTCACGTGACCGGGAGAAATGAACATTTCTAAATAAATTTCACCTTACGGGATTTTAATGAGAGGGCGACTCGTGAGTTAAAAAAAATCGAAAATTAAAAAAAAAAATTTTTTTTTAGGAAACAAATGTGACTTCCCGTGCTATTTTTTCTGGAAGAAGTTATTTTAAATCTCAATTACATGCAAAAATGGGAACGTTGTTTATCGCAAAATTTTTTTTTAGAAAATAAAACGTTTTTTTACTGATATGAGCAATGTTTTGGAAATAATATGAGCAATCTCTTGAAAAAAAACCTGGAAAAATATTTTTCGCGTGACATTTTTTTTGCGTCGCAATTTTTCACAACTCCCTTTTTATTTCTGAAAATAGATTCGAATAAAAATGGAAGTGAGTTTTTTCACAGCGCTAGAGACGCAGAGGAACTAGACGGAGAGAGACGGGAATTCACGACCATACAATGCGCCCGTTGAGTCAAACGCGAGACGACGAGAGTATTTTGCAAAAATATCCCGAAAATGAATTTCGCTTCGAGATATTTTCAATAAAACATGTTGTGTTCCTTGAAACAAAATACGGTATTTTTTCAAAGGGACACATATTTTCTCAAAAATATCTCGAAGCGATGTCTTTCTCTGTCTTAGATGACGTCATCAGACTCTCGTCGTCTCTCGTCTGACCCGACGGGCAATTGGAGTAAATGGTCGTGGGATGAGACTCTGAGAGAAAAAGAACATATGGCTAGAGACGCAGAGAGCATTGCTCATGTTAGCCCAAATTTTTCAGCCAGAAAAAGAGACCAAATTAGACGAATCAAATGAATCCTTGATGTTTCTCATCGAAAATTCGACGACAAAAGATGCGAATGTTCAAAAAGAGTTTGCGAAACATTTGCAAATTCTGAACGATCAAATTGGCGCCTATCAATGGGCGCTGAAAAAACGATTCGGTTTTGATGAGAGCAGTTGGAGACATATGTCGAGAAGGTGAGGGCGAAGATTGGGAATTTTTGATAGTAAACAAGGCTAGGGTTACTGTAGGGTATTCAAGGTTACTGTAATTGGAAGATGATTTTTGTTTTGTAGAATGACATTTCTGAAAATCGAAGGTTTCGATGTTCGAACAAATACTCGAAAAGCAAAGGAGAAAAAAGCGACGCCGCAAGAAAACAAAGAAACAAAACTCGAACAAATACTTTTGAAAAAGAAGGCGAAGACTAAGAAAAAGAAGGGGCCAGGTGCTGATTAATATGAGCAATCAATCAATTTTTCTTGAAAATTCCTTCTCTGAATGTATCTTCTGCACGACCATTTACTCCAATTGCCCCTCGGGTCAGACGAGAGACGACGAGAGTTTGATGACGTCATCTAAGAGATATTTTTGAGAAAATATGTGTCCCTTTGAAAAAATACCGTATTTTGTTTCAAGGAACACAACATGTTTTATTGAAAATATCTCGAAGCGAAATTCATTTTAGGGATATTTTTGCAAAATACTCTCGTCGTCTCGCGTCTGACTCAACGGGCGTCTTGTATGGTCGTGTCTGAAAATGACAGAAAAACATTGCTCATGTCAGAGACGCAGAGAAGCTAGACAGCTAGAGGAAAAATATTTATTCTACAACTAGTACCCATAAATTAGCAAAAATATTTCACTTTTCAAAATCCAAGAGCTCTCGTCTCATTGGCGCTGAAATTTCCAGGACGATACTGTAGATCGATGGGTTTGCGGTCGTCGAAAAGTGTGGGAGCCTGAAATTAATTTTGAGTAATTTTTTAGCGCGCCAAAACCGTACCCTCATCAAAATAATAATAGTTCCAATGAAGCAGGTCATCGAAAAAATGAGCAAAAACAGGCGATCCAAAACCATCGCCACATACTTCCAATCCTCGTCGATTTTATCGTCTCGATCTTTTTTCTTCAACAATTCGGCGATGAAACAAATGTTCTCGAAAGCCTTGACGACTTGTGGCGAATAGTACAATTTTTGAATCGAGTCATCGATTGTCGCGTTTTTCAGCTTGTGTCCGACGTCTTTTGAGACACGGTGAGCGTGTACGTTTAGAGCGATTTTGCCGTCTGAAATTCAACAATTTTCTTCGAATTCCTTTGGGTCTAGACACTGGTTTTCCGGGTCAATTTTGAGACCGTGGCCTAGGATCCGACAAAAATTGGTTTTCTAGGCCACCCAGTCATTTAAGAGTTCGTAATTGATGATTCTTGTGAAAGTCTGGTCTAGGAAAATCGTCTCCCGGTTTTCTAGCTCAACTGTGGCCTAGGATCCGACAAAAATTGGTTTTCTAGGCCACCCAGTCATTTAAGAGCTCGTAATTGATGATTCTTGTGAAATTTGGATCTAGACACTAATTTTCCCGGGTTTTCTAGCTCAATTTTGAGACCGTGGCCTAGAATCCGACAAACATTGGTTTTCTAGGCCACCCAGTCATTTAAGAGCTCGTAATTGATGATTCTTGTGAAATTTGGGTCTAGACACTGGTTTTCCGGGTTTTCTAGCTCAATTTTGAGACCGTGGCCTAGGATCCGACAAAAATTGGTTTTCTAGGCCAGCCAGTCATTTACGAGCTCGTAATTGATGATTCTTGTGAAATTTGAGTCTAGACACTGGGTTTCTGGATTTTCTAGCTCAACCGTGGCCTAGGATTCGACAAAAATTGGTTTTCTAGGCCACCCAGTCATTTACGAGCTCGTAATTGATGATTCTTGCGAAATTTGGGTCTAGACGCTGAGTTTTCCGGGTTTTCTAGCTCAATTTTGAGCCCGTGGCCTAGGATCCGACAAAAATTGGTTTTCTAGGCCACACTATAATTCAACATCTTGAAATTCATGATCCTTGCAAAAATCTGGTCTAGGAAAATCGTCTCCCGGTTCTCTGGCTCAACCGTGGCCTAGGATCCGACAAAAATTGGTTTTCTAGGCCATCCAGTCATTTACGAGCTCGTAATTGATGATTCTTGCGAAATTTGGGTCTAGACACTGGTTTTCCGGGTTTTCTAGCTCAATTTTGAGACCGTGGCCTAGGATCCGACAAAAATTGATTTTCTAGGCCATGAACTCAAAATTGACCCACAGTTTTCGGACAACTTGATTTCCCCTCAAAATTTTGCGAGCAAACTCAAAAATCTCACCTTTTCCCTTGGATTTCTTCTTCTTCTCATCAAATTTCTCCTGATATTCATCTAAAGGTCGGCGCATGAACAACATCTTTGGCAGCCATTTCAGAAACACATTTTTCACCCAATTCGGCATCAAATGAGTGGTTGGCGTGCGGAAATGGAGGTTGAGAGCTGAAAATTTGAAATCAGCGTCGGAAATTGACCCAGGGGACGAGGTTTTGGGATAGTGGCCTAGAAAACCAAATTTTTGGATTTCTAGGCCACATCTCCAAAAATGACGGGACAACTTCTATCCAGCCTAAAATTCCACGTAGATCACGATTTTGGCACTTACAAACTACAGTAACCACCACAGACAGTGTTACCATAACCATAGTGAATAGCAGATATTTTCCAATAAGTGGCAAAGTGATTGAAGTGGCCGGAATGATTTCAGTCTAAAATTTTCGGATTTTTAAAGGCACATAAAGGTGTACTGTAGTGCTTACCAGTAGAAGGAAAAAGATGGTTAAGGCGACCAAAATCGAAATACACAATGTGACTTTTTCTCCAGAATCCGATGGCAAATAAAATACCAAAATTGTTAAAAACGAGATTCCGACACAGGGAAACACCAGATTCACCGTGTAGAAGAGCGGCTTGCGACGGAGCAGCAGGTAGTACTGTATCAAATTATTTTTTTTCAGAATTAAAGGGGGACTTACAGTAACATCGATATAGGCGCTTTGTGGACAGCAACTCGGATAATTTTTTGCACGGCGTTTTGCGATTCTTGACATGATATCCCATTCAACTGATGGATAATAATCGGAGAGATCTGCAAAAAAATTTTTTCACTGAATTTACTTGCAAAATATTCATTTTAAGCTTGAAAAACTGGAAAAAATGCACTGGTTACTGTAGCTCGCATTAAATGTGTGCAAACACACACACACGCACACACTCAACATTTTATTTGACGCGCACGTATTTTTATTTTTTTTCGTTTTTTCTCGCTTTTTTCTTGTTTCTTCCACGTTTTACATGATTTTTTCAGGTTTATCACGGGAAACAAATAGTTTACCAATTGGCCATCACAGGAAACTTGGAGATTTTTGGAAAAAATGTGAGAAAATCATGAAAATAGGGGGAAAATAAAGAAAATCGATTTTTCAGGGTTGAAGCGCCGGTTAGTGGTTTTCTTGGATCGCTCGAATGAATTGAAGTTTTGGTAAGTAGTTTTTGAGAGAGTAAATTTCATATTCAACATTCTGGGCTGTTGTGAAGGACGTTTAGCCAATTTTCAACCCAAAATTTGTAGAAAATTGAATTTCTACCGAAAAAAATCTCACCAATTCCATCCTCAGCAATCGTAACATTATCAACAATACCATTCGAATCAACCTCTTTCTCATATTTCAAATTCGGCTCATTGACTTCAACACTCAACAATTCATCGGAAAATGTCCAACTTCCAAACTTCAAATGACATTGTTGTTCATCAAAGGGAAACCATTTCACATCAATTTGACACATACTTTTGAAAATGGCTGGCGGTTCCCAGGTGACTTCTCCGCTATGGTGAAGTGTGGCTTTGGTGGAGATTGTGATGTTGTAATTGCTGTCGGCGCTGCGAAACAATTGGAATTAGCAGAGAATTAAAGGAACATACAGTCTCTACACGACTATACAAGGCGCCCGTTGAGTCAGACGCCAGACGACGAGAGTACTTATTGCAAAAAAATTCCGAAAATTTATTTCGCTTCGAGATATTTTCAATAAAACATGTTGTGTTCCTTGAAACAAAATACGGTATTTTTTCAAAGGGACACATATTTTCTCAAAAATATCTCGAAGCGATCTGTCTCAGATGACGTCATCAGACTCTCGTCGTCTCTCGTCTGACCCGAGGGGCAATTGGAGTAAATGGTCGTGTCTAGAAACCAGTTAGTTAGAGACGCAGAGAAACAAAACAGCTAGAGAAAATTGATGGTACATACAGGTACATACAATTGTGTAGATCAATTTGTTTACACAAAAACATGTTGCCACGTGGATTTTTTCCCTTAAAAAACTCACTTATTATAAAGCACAATATCGGGCACCCAAATCATTTCATACGGCACATACAAAACATTAACACCTCCATAATGCACTGGATCCCATTTCAATTTCGGATCAATCCACGTCTGTTTCAGCCACACTGAACAAGTCATTATTTGATCGATTTCGTGCTGAAAATTGGGAAATTTTGAACTAGAATACATGATTTTTGGCTGAATATCCATATTGGTTTTCTAGGCGCGGCTCCTAGACAGTCAAGATCTCTAGGCGCGGCTTCTAGACAGTCAAAATCTCTAGGATGCGCTACTTGGTATTGAAAATCTCTAGGCTCGATTCCTTGACTGATCGAAATTTTTGGTTGTTCATGTTAAGAGCGTCATCTTAACATGAGCAATGCTATATTTTGACTGTGAGAAACATAATATTTCCCCCTCAAAAAACCTACCACATCAATAATCTGACTTAGCCTAAGTTTCAGCTTAATAGTCAACGGTTTTCCAGGCGCAGTGGACGGTTTTCGATGTCGATTATAATTCACCATCAAATCATCGAACAATCGCTTCGCATCCTCGTTGGCTTTCACTAATATGAGCAATGCGATGAAAATGGTGAGCAATTTTAGAATTCCGTGCATAGCTATTATTTTTTGGGTGGGTTTGAAATAAAAAAATGAAGTAAGAAGGAGAAAAGAAGAAACAGAATCAATATAGAGAGAGTGTGGAGAAATGAGAGACGCAGAGAATTATGGGGAGCAGGAAGAAGAAGAAAAATAGAAAAGGGTCCCATTTGGAAAACAATTTTTTTTTGAAATTTTTTTGGCGCCAGGAAATTACAGTATACCAACCCGTGGCGAGACATTTTTCCAGATTTTTTTTCAAAATGAAAAATTTCTGAAAATATTGAAAAATAATTCTGAAATTTTAAAATTGAGTTTACAAAAAAAATCATTTGAAAAATGAATTTTTTGAATTTCAATTTTTGGCGCCAGAAATTACAGTATACCAAGATTTTTGGCGCCAGAAATTACAGTATACCAAGATTTTTTGGCGCCAGAAATTACAGTATACCAAGATTTTTGGCGCCAGAAATTACAGTATACCAAAATTACTGTAAATCCTTCGAAGTTCTCTCACGACCATTTACTCCAATAGAAAATTGCCCCTCGGGTCAGACGAGAGACGACGAGAGTCTGATGACGTCATCTGAGACAGAGAAAGACATCGCTTCGAGATATTTTTGAGAAAAATATGTGTCCCTTTGAAAAAATACCGTATTTTGTTTCAAGGAACACAACATGTTTTATTGAAAATATCTCGAAGCGAAATTCATTTTCGAGATATTTTTGCAAAATACTCTCGTCGTCTCGCGTCTGACTCAACGGGCGCCTTTTATGGTCGTAATTAGAAAATTCTTTCAATATTACTGTATGTCCCTTTGAATTTCTCTGCGTCTCTAACTCTCCCTGAAACGTACAGAATAACCTTGTTTTTCTGATGTTTGGTGTCAAAAAAAATCAGTTCCACTTAAAAATTTTTTATTTTTTTTTCCCGATTTCTTTCTTAAAATTGATAAGAATCACATTTTCTCAAAATGGTGTTTTTGTACAATTTTTTGTACACCTACAATTATTTTTTGGCACATTTGGAGCCGGTGAGTCAAGCTGGCCTAGGAATCCAAAACTAGTCCCCCCATGTTTTTAGGCCAAATTTTTGTCCATTTTTTGAGGAAGAAAAATCCAATTTCCGGGGGAAAACTGGAAATTCCGAGAATTTATCTCTGCGTCTCTCACTCTCTCGCCGCTTTTCCAGCTGCGCAATATCGATTTTTTTTCGCCCCTCATTTTTTTCTTCGCTCAGCTCAAAAAGGCGTGGCTCTCAAAAAAAAAAAAAAGCGAAGAAAAAATCCCCATCGTCATTCATTTTGAGCCTGCTATGCGTGGCTCTTTTTCCCTAATTTTCTTATTTATCACATGGTGCGCGGCGATTCCGGTCGACTATTTGTTGAGCTCAGCTGAAAATGAGCCCGAGGTGCCTGTTGAAGAGGTGAGATTTGAAAAAAGCGCGAAATTTTGAGCCAGAGATCATGTTTTTTGAGTGGAAATGACGTGGGGGACTAGTTTTCCGCTTGGGGACTAGTTTTGGTTTTCTAGGCCATGAAGTTTATTCTTTGATAGATTACATTCTCAACTCCTTGATCTACTCATGGCCTAGAAATGCAGAGGGACGAGTTTTTCCTCGTCCCCCGCGACTTCTAGGCCCCAAAAATATGTCTATCCTCTCATAACCTGAAAATTTTCGAGTCACAAGGTCAGGGGATCGAGTCCACCCCGACGCAAACAATTTTTGTCTTCCAGATCGATCTTTTCAAAACCGAACGTCCACTAGGCCACGTCAGCGGCTTGGCAATCAATAAAGACGGAAATCTGGTCGCTTTTCATCGTGGCGATCGAGTTTGGGATGAGAAGTGAGTTAGGCCGCGGCCGAGAAAACCAAATTTATTTTCAAAATCTGATGTAAGGCGATGGGTCCACGTTTTTTCCATTATATTTGTAGGGTTTAGCAGAAGAAGTTAATATGAGCAATATGTATAATATGAGCAATGCTAGTTTTTTCATTTTTTTTGCTGATCTACATATTTTTGAAGACTCTTTTTATAGGATTTTTAAAATATTTCCAGACACATTAATTTCTTGATTTTCTGTGGGAACAGGGAAGGAGAATGGCCTAGAAATCTAAATTTTGGATTTCTAGGCCATTTCTCGCCTAGGAAGCCTGAGAAAGCTTGAGATAATTTCAATATTCAAAATCGGGGACTAGAAATCCAGATTTGGATTTCTCGTCCCTCTGATTTCTAATAGAAATTTCAAAATTCAAAATCGGGGACTAGAAATCTAGATGTGGATTTCTCGTCCCTCTCGATTTCTAGTCCTCCAGTAGACCAGGAAACCTGAGATTTTTGCTGATAATATGGGAGCTTGAGAATTCAGAATTTAAAAATTCGAAATCGGGGACTAGAAATCCAGCCTTAGAAACCTCGTCCACCTTAGTTCTAGTAGAAATTTCAAAATTCAAAAGCGGGGACTAGAAATCCAGAAACGGAATCCTCGGCCCTCCGGATTTCTAGTCCTCCAGTAGACTAGAAAGAATGAGATTTCTGCTGCTGATATCGGAGCTTCAAAATTCAAAAGCGGGGACTAGGAGTCCAGAAACGGAATCCTCGTCCCTCCGGATTTCTAGTCCTCAAGTAGGCTATCAAGCATGGGATTTCTGCTGAAACTTCAAAATTCAAAATCGGGGACTAGAATTCATAATTTGGAATCCTCGTCCCTCACACAAAATCCCGAATTTTTCAGCAGTTTCAACGATGCCGAAATCTTCAACAAAGCTCTCCTCCCAATCACCAACTCAACCCTCGTAACTCTCGATTCCAAAACCGGAAAAATCATCGACGAATTCGGCGCGGATCTCTTCTACATGCCGCACGGTCTCACAATCGACAAATCCGGCAACTATTGGGTGACCGACGTCGGTTCACATCAAATTCACAAAATCGACGGAGCCACCAAAAAAATCACCATGTCTTTGGGCGAAAAAATGGTGCCGGGAGATGATGAGAAGCATTTTTGTAAACCCACCGATGTGGCGGTCGCCTCGAATGGACACTTTTTCGTCGCCGATGGTTATTGTAATAGTCGAGTGATGAAGTTTGATAAGGATGGCAATTTGTTGGCGGTTATTGAGGCTGCGCTGGGTGAGAATCGTGATCTACGCAAAATTTCACCCTAGAGCCAAGTTGTCCCGAATCTCTAACTCAATTTTCATCCTATGGCCTAGGATCCGACATAGGCTTTTTTGTCGGATCCTAGGTCATCAACCTTATTTTGAAATCAAAATTCGTGATCTACGCAAAATTTCACCCTAGAACCAAGTTGTCCCAAATCTTTAGCTCAATTTTCATCCTATGGCCTAGGATCCGACATACGTTTTTTCTGTCGGATTCTAGGCCATCAACCTTATTTTGAAATCAAAATTCGTGATCTACGTGAAAAATGAGCCTGAAACCAAGTTGTCCCAAGTCTCTAGCTCAATTTTCATCCTATGGCCTAGGATCCGACATACGCTTTTTTGTCGGATTCTAGGCCATCAACCTTATTTTGAAATCAAAATTCGTGATCTACGTGAAAAATGAGCCTGCAACCAAGTTGTCCCAAATCTCTAGCTCAATTTTCATCATATGGCCTAGGATCCGACATACGCTTTTTTGTCGGATTCTAGGCCATCAACCTTATTTTGAAATCAAAATTCGTGATCTACGCAAAAAATGAGCCTGCAACCAAGTTGTCCCAAATCTCTAGCTCAATTTTCATCATATGGCCTAGGATCCGACATACGCTTTTTTGTCGGATCCTAGGCCATGCGAGCTAGAGACTTCGGGAAACTTGCTTCTAGGCTGAAATTTTGCGTAGATCACGAATATCGAGGTCTAGAAGCCTAGAAATGAAAAATATATTTTCCAGAACCCAATCAACCCACCGAATTCCTCATTCCTCACTCAATTGCGCTTATTGAAGATTTGAATATTATCTGCGTCGCTGATCGGTTAGTTTTCAAGGATTACCAATTGGAAATTTGAAATCTACACGAAATTCTGGTCTAGGAACAAGTTATCGCAAGTCTCTAGCTCAAAATTGAGGTGGTGGCCTAGGATCCGACATACTGTGTTTTGTCGGATCCTAGGCCATGCGAGCTAGAGACTTGGGATAACTTTTGTCTAGACTGAAATTTTGCGTAGATCTCGAATTTTCAGGTTTTGAGTAGCCTAGGGATCCAGAAACCGGATTTCCAGACTTAAAAATCTTGAAAATAGGATTTTTTCCAGTGAAAACGAACGTGTTCAATGTTTCTCAGCTGGTTTATCCGAGGGAAGCCGAAAAGTCCCGTCTGGAATCCCAATCACCACAGCCAATGATATTGGACGAGTTTTTGCCATTAGAGAGAAAGGTTTGTCAGAAAAATTCGGATTTGAGGGTCTAGAAGTTTTCTAGGCCGCGCAAGACCCGGAAAATCGAATTCCTCGCGAAATTCTAGTCTAGAAACAAGTTCCCCGAAGTCCCTACCTCAAAATTTACATGGTGGCCTAGGATCCGACAAAAACTTATATTTGGTTTTCTAGGCCACCCGGTGATTCAAAAGCTCGTAATTCATGATTCTTGTGCAATTTGGGTCTAGACACTGGTTTTCCGGGTTTTCTAGCTCAATTTTGAGACCGTGGCCTAGGATCCGACAAAAACTTATATTTGGTTTTCTAGGCCACCAGGTCAATTTTCAGCTAATTACTTGAAATTAGGCTAGTTTTCAAAGTAGATAATGAATTTCTGAGTGGCCTAGAAAACCGAAAAGCACTTTTCTAGGCCAGGTTTGGTTTTCTAGGCCATATAGGTCAAAAGTTCCAGAAAAAACTTTTCCAGGGCAGAATTTTGCGTGGAATTCGAATTTTCAGGTGGATTTCAAGGATTTCTTATTTCAGAACACTTTTTGATGGGTGTGACGGGTAGTAGTGCGGACGTCGAAGCGCAAATGTTCACAATCGCCGTTCAAACCGGCGAAACACACACTTTTGCCAAGGTGAGTTCATGAAAGTCCCCAGAAATTCTTGGAAAATTCGAAAATCCCAAATCTTCTCATTATAATCCTCTTTTCGGATGAGAGTTTCCATAGAAACCGCGTGTTCAAATAAATTATTCATTTTTAAGCCAGCTGCATTGGAAATATGTGAAAAATAGGGAATTTCATGACGCAAACAGCAATCTGTGACTAAAAATTCGTGATCTATGTGAAAAATGAGCCTGCAACCAAGTTATCCCAAGTGTCTAGCTCAAAATCGATGTGATGGCCTAGAAATCCAAATATCAGTTTTTGTCGGATCCTAGGCCATCAGCCTTATTTTGAAATCGAAAATTCGTGATCTACGCAAAAAATGAGCCTGGAACCAAGTTGTCCCAAATCCCTAGCTCAATTTTCATCTCATGGCCTAGAAATCCAAATATATGCTTATTGTCGGATCCTAGGCCATCATCCCAATTTTGAGCAAAATACATGTTTCCGGGCTGATTTTTCACGTAGATCACGATTTTGGGGGTCCCAAGTCCACCCGAAACCTTCGAAATCACATTTTTTTGCAGGGAATCGAAAATGCGCATGCTTTGGCAATTTCCGCCGATGGAAGTGTCTACGTGTCACAATTGGCGCCAAATCGAATTTTGAAAATCTCACCTTTCTAAATCACGGTCTACTACTGAAATCGAACCAAATCATCATGTAATAAATAAAGATTTATCAAGTTTTTCGGCGGGAAATTCAAATTTTCAGGCCGAAAATTCATGAAAAATTGAATTCAGCGCAAAATTTGAGCCAGAAACCAAGTTTCTAGGCCCAAATCCACGTGGTGGCCTAGAAATCCAAGTTGTCGGATTCTAGGCCAGATGAAATTTACAGCATCGTGATCTCCGTTCAATTCTAGCCCTGATTCAGGTTGTCCGGCGTCTCTAGCTCTCATGGCCTAGGATCCGATAAAACACAGTATGTCGGATCCTAGGCCACCACCTCAATTTTGAGCTAGAGACTTGGGATAACTTGTGTCTAGGCTGAAATTTTGCGTAGATTTCGAATTTTCATATAAAATTCTTCATTGGTCGCAAAAATACACACAAAAATACAAATATATATAGAAAAAGCTCAGCAAAAACCGGTTTCAAGGATTTTTTTGAAATTTTTTTTGAAATTATTATGTTATATACACCCTGTGTTAGTTGAATTATTAGAAATCTCGGTGAAAATTTTTTTGATTTTTTTTGTACCTAAAATGGCTCGAATCGCGGGAAATGATACAAAGTGGGGGTGGGGAGTACTGTAGGTACCGTACTATCGATTGAAAGTTGGCAATTTGTCAAAAGAGTAGCCGGGTCGACCGCAAATTGTGCACAAAACGTAGTGCACGTGATATGAGCCGGGAATGAAGCAAACCAAGCCGGCGAAGAAGAAAACCCAGTGTTGCATTCCTGAAATTATTGATTTTTTGATTTTGGTGGCCTAGAAATCCAAGATAATATTCATTGCATCGAAACCCCCGTGAAATTTCAGCTAGAAATCAAGTTGTCCCAAGTCTCTAGCTCTCATGGCCTAGGATCCGACAAAAAAGGGTATGTCGGATCCTAGGCCATGGGATGAAAATTGAGCTAGTGAATTGGGACAACTTGGTTGCAGGCTCATTTTTCACGTAGATCACGAATTTTGGTTTCAAAATAAGGTTGATGGCCTAGAATCCGACAAAAAAGCGTATGTCGGATCCTAGGCCATATGATGAAAATTGAGCTAGAGATTTGGGACAACTTGGTTGCAGGCTCATTTTTTGCGTAGATCACAAATTTTGATTTCGAAATGAGGTTGATGGCCTAGAATCCGACAAAAAGCTTATATTTGGATTTCTAGGCCACCACATCTCAATTTTAAGCTAGAGGCCTAATTTTTCACGTAGATCACGAATTTCGTGGTCTAAAACCTTGGAAAGCAAAGATTTTTTGAGAAAAAACTCACCGTCATCCGGATTCAAGAACGTGAAAATGCCAACAATGAATATCACTGCAATTTTTTTTTGTTTTTTGGCTGAAAATTTCAGACAGAAACTCACCAATTCCAACGGCCGTCAAAACAATCGAACCCAATATCACTTTAACATTGGAGCGAATTTGTGGACTGCATAAACCGCTGCAAAATTCAACATTTTCATCATTTTTCACCCCAGAAACCAAATATGGCCTAGAAATTGCGTCTCTGGTTTTCTAGGCCACGAGAAAATTCCGAATTCATCATCTCCGTTCAATTCTAGCCATGATTCAGGTTGCCCGGAGTCTCTAGCTCGCATGGCCTAGGATCCGACAAAACACAGTATGTCGGATCCTAGGCCACCACCTCAATTTTGAGCTAGAGACTTGGGATAACTTGAGTATAGGGTGAAATTTTGCGTAGATCACGAATTCAGAGTCAAAAATGACCTAGAAATCCGTTTCCGGGTCAAAAAATGGCAAATTTTTCGAAAAATCCCACCTCTGACTATTATCCTGCGGTCGACTCGGTGTATACGGTGGACTTGAGCCCGGAAACACACCGCCTGTCCCATAAACCGGCTCATTATCCTGGTCCATTTGAATTGAAGTTTCGTGTCCTTGTTGTTGTTGTGACGTGGCAGCGTGTTTTTTGTCCGCATTCAGCATCTCGTCGTCGTCCGATTCGGTTCGATCGAGGATAAGCTGCAAAAAATGACCTAGAATTCCAAAATCTTGAAATCTAGTCCGCGAATTTGTGATCTACGCAAAAAATGAGCCTACAACCAAGTTGTCCCAAATCTCTAGCTCAAAATTGAGCTGGTGGCCTAGAAATCCAAATATAAGTTTTTTGTCGGATCCTAGGCCATCAACCTTATTTTGAAATCAAAATTCGTGATCTACGCAAAAAATGAGGCTGCAACCATGTTGTCCCAAATCTCTAGCTCAATTTTCATCTCATGGCCTAGGATCCGACATACGCTTTTTTGTCGGATCCTAGGCCATGAGGTGAAAATTGAGCTATTTGAGATGATTATAGGGTAAAATTTTAGGCAGATCAAGATTTTCAACGTCTATTATCGACTCAATTCACACCTCATGGCCTAGGATCCGACAAAAAACCTATATTTGCTTTTCTAGTCCATGCTAGGTAACGACTTCGGGTAACTTGCTCCTAGCCTAAATTTTTACGAGGATTACGAATTTGCTGGCCTAGAAATCCAAAAACGTGGATTTCGTAGCCTACAGCCACAAATTTTCCAGCGAAAAAAATAGGAAAAAACGCCGGCCGAAAAAAAAAACGAAAAAGAAAAACATATTTTTTGTATTTTTCTGATTAATCATAGGAAAAATACAAAAAAACTTCAATTTTTTCGTTGGAAAATGTAGTTTTTCGGCCCGAAAAGCCTGGTTTTGGGCCCGGAAAGCCTAGTTTTGGGCCGCCGCAAAACTCACGTGTTGTCCTTGCGAAACATTGCGTTGATGTCCGGAAATTGTGGGCATTTTTCTGGAGCTGGAGCTGCAAAATTAGGAGAAAAATTAATTAAAATTGGCCAAAATTTGTGTTTTTTGGAGAGAAATGCGATTGAAATCGATAAAATTGAAAAGAAAACATGTTTTTTTTTTGTTGAGAAAATGAAATTTTTTTGGGGACGCGCGATCGAAATGAAGATTTCAAGTTGTGATAAGTCGAGGTGAATTTGGGGCACGGAAATTGAGGTTTTCTAGGTTTTGGCAGAGTTCCAACTCGATTTTCGTGCGAAAATTTGACTTGGAACCCTGCCAGAAGGATTTGGCAGGGTAATTGGGAGAAATTGAGGTTTTTCTAGGTTTTGGCAGAGTTCCAGGAATAAAATTAGACTTGGAGAGATGCCAAAATCCAGAAAATCTGATTTGGCACAGTTCCAACTCGATTTTTTACGAGAATTTGACTTGGAACCCTGCCAGAAGTATTTGGCAGGCTTCCAAACCTAAATTTCAGCCTGGAAACTTGCCAGAATCTTTAAAAATCTGTTTTGGAACTTTGCCAAAGGAAAAAATCTGCAATTTATTGATAAAAAAATGACCAAAAACGAGAAGATAAGAAAAAAAAGGGGAAAAAATGAGAAATAATGACTAGAGATAAGGAAAATTGCATGAAAACCTATGAAAAATGGCAGGAAAAATCAAAAATTCATGAAAAATTTGACATTTACGACAGGAAAATTGGATTTTTCCCAGGAAAAATAGAAAGAAAAACCAATATGAGTCATACAACAGAAAAAAAAAGAAAAAAATTCGAAAATGTGACGAAATATCTTCTGTTGCGAGTTGAGTTAAATGAGAACAAAAATAGAAAATGTGTAAATAAGTCAGTCAGCTTTTTCCCAACATTTTCTCTGCGCTCTCTCCTCTCGCGCACTCTCTCGCCCCTCGCCTCTTTCCCTTCGCTTGGCAACCACCCAAAAATTGAGGCAGGCGACGCGCGCACGCGTCGCACCCAACGACACCAATTCGACACCCGCTGGCATGAATAATAGATGGATTTTTGATGAAAAATCAGAGTTTTCAGTGAGAATTCGGGGGTTTTTGGTCAAAAATCACTGAAAATGCCGAATTTTGAGTGGTTTTTTGAGTCGAATTTATTTGCTTTGGGGTTTTGAGGGCGTTTTTTGTCGTTTGAAAAATGTGAAGTGGGGGTTTTGGGGAATTTTGAAGGTTTTTGTGAATTTTTCAGGAAATTCTTGGAATTTTCAATGATTTCTAGCTAGAATTAGGAATTTTTCAAGAGATTTTGTGAAATTCTAGCCAAATCCGATGTTTTCTGCATTTTTTTGAAGATTTTAGTCATTTTTCGAAATTTTCAAGCTTATAATCCGAGTTTTCTGAGATTTTTAGCTTAAACCGGGAATTTTCAGGCTATTTAGCCAATTTTCATGAAATTCCAGCTAAATCTGATGTTTTTAGCATAATTTTTCAGAATTTTCAGCTATTTTTCACAATTTCAGTCAGTTTTTGGGATTTTTGAGCTTATAATCCGAGCTTTCTAAGATTTCTAGCTTAAACCGGGAATTTTCAGACTTTTTAGCCAATTTTCATTAGGTTCTAGCCAAATCCGATGTTTTTAGCATATTTTTGAAGACTTTCAGCTATTTTTCACCAGTTTTCTGGAGTTCAAAGGTTTCTTTTGAATATTTTGAAAAATTCTCAATCTCTAGCCAATTTTCCAGCTTCTCCATCGAATTTTCCAATCATTTCCTTCTCTTATCACTTTCTCCCCATTTCCTCGCCCAAACAAAAGAAATACCTGATTTTTCATCGATTCTTCAATCGATTCACAATTTTCTTCATTTCAAAACAAGCTTTCTCATGCAAAATCCTCGATTTTCCTCGATTTCAAAAAAAAAAACAATTTTCTAGGGTCGTGGCCTAGCGACCGACACACACAGTCACGCGGCCACGTAATTTTCATTCGATCGATCGATAATTTGTTTCCTCCGAATTTCAGACTTGTTTTTTGCATGTTTTTTGAGTTAGGCTAAACCAGTAGCTTCAAAATTATCGATTTTACTCGCGGCTGACGAAAAATTTCGCAATTTTTCTCAGTTTCTCTCCCTCTCTCTCCCGAAAAACACAAAAACTCGTGAATTTTTAATATGATTATCGATTTTCACCCCATTTAAATACGGCGTAAACAAAATATCATCATTTTTTCGCTTCTTTTTCTGTCCACTAATTAGACACACACGTCCTTTGTGTTTCATAGTTTTGTAACATTTTTTTGTCACAAAAACCTTCTTGCTTGCTGAAAAATTCGCGTGTTTTCCCACAAAAATAATTACTTTTCCACTATATTTTCCGGTTAAAAACTAATAAGTTTGGTTGTTTTCTCTAACCGCTCTCCAACTTTCGCCCACTCTCTCGCTAGGCGCTTTGAAGAGCTCTGATGTCATTTATTCAGTGTGGAAATCCCCATTTTTGAACAAAAAACACGTGTTTTTGCAGATGTTCAATAAAAATTCCATTTTTATCAAATAAAATAATGGGGTAAGAAACAGCAGGTGGCCTTAATAGTACAAAATGGCTCCTCTGACCTAGAAGTGATCTGGTTCTCTAACACACTCTCGCTGTCTGCCTCTTACTGTCTATAGTGGTTTCCTCGTCTGCGTCTCTAACCCTGAAGTATTCTCTAACATCTCTCGCCGTCTGCGTCTTTAGAAATGTTGAAATGCTCTCGTTCTCATAAAATTTTTTCGAGTTCACGTGGAAGATTTTACTCCGGCATTTCTGATTTTCATAAAAATCGCAATCAGGGACCTCTAAAAATGTGAGTTCGGGTTGGTTTTCGTCTCTCTCTCTCTACGTCCCTAACATCTCTCGTTGTCTAATCCCTCTATATTTCTGTGCATCTAAGCTCATTCGAAGCCTGTAACTCCCGGAGCCGGTTTTCCAGAAGCCCTTTTCCTCGTTACTTGTACATAGCCTATAGGTGTCACCCAAAAAGTAGAAGTTTGGGTAACTTCAAAGCTTCTGGCACCGCGCAAGTCGTAAAAGCACGCGGTGAGCCTCTCTATGCCTCACCCTTAACATTTTTCGCCACTTTCCCAGACCTTCTCGTGACACAACCTAAGGTTATTCATTCACTAAACCTTTATGCTTCATTGTCCGCCAAAAGGTGTCTGCCCCTCCGTCCCTATCCCTTCTGGCGCTATGCCAAACCACCTATCTATAGTGCGGAGGGGCGGAGTCTGTGTCCAGATGTGTTCCACTCCCTCACAAACTTCTCTTCATTTTTCGTCCGCCCGCCCCTCCATATGACCATTTTCTGAAAACTGGTTTTTTTGCCTTAGTGTCGAGATTGATTTTTGGCAACACTTTGGGACTTCCGGGAAATCGGTCTTTTTTTGGGTCTGTGTAGTTCTCTCGGACATCGACTAAATGAAATTTTCATGTTTTCTTTAGCAAGTGAGTTGAAATATTGGGTTCTAATGTTATTCATATGATAGAATGGTCTAAGACGAACAGAATGATATAAATTTTGATGACTTTACCTTTTCCATAAGTGATTTAGCGGCTTATCGACTAAATATCGACTTAAGGTCGCTAAATCACTTACGAATAACGTAAATTCATCAAAATTTATATCAATTCTGTTCGTCTTAGACCATTCTATCATATGAATAACATTAGAACCCAATATTTCAACTCATTTGCTTAAAAAACCTGAAAAAGTCATTTAGTCGATGTCCAACTATGATCCTGTGTATCTAGTTCGATCGATTTTTTGCGTCTTTTTTGCTGGATCTGTGTAGTTCTCTCGGACTCCACAGGATTTCCTAGATACAAAGCTGTCTCGTCTGCGCGCCTCTCGTTCTCCAACCATCTCTCGTCGTCTAGCTCCCCAAAATGTTCTTGTGAAGCACAAAAATATCCTCCTCATCATCGTTTTTCCTTCCTATTTGTTCGCTATTATTTACCTTGGCAAATAATAGATAAGAAGAAGGAGAAGAGCATCCTGATTTCGCTCACACTCATTTTTCCCTCCAACATTTCGTTTGTTTTGTGTTTTTTCTTGGTTACGGTAGGATGGATTTGTGGTTTTTGAACTTGGAACTATTGATTTTTTGAAAATTATTGATCAAAATCCGAGTGTTCCTTGTACTACAATGAATTTACTTGGCTAAATCCTCACAAAAATCCAATTTTCCAATTTTTGGTCACGCCCCTGTTACTATAGAGACCGGAAATTTTGAATTTTCGCGAGAAATTGATTTATTTTCGGCGGCAGCCAGAAAAAGGAACGGCGTTTTGCTTTTTTCTTTTGACTCTTTTGAAAAAATATGCAGTGTACATATTTTTATGAAAAGAAAAGAAAACTCCGCCGAGAAATACGTTTATAGTTTTTTTGTGAAAAAAAGCATGGTGACGTCATTTTTTGACGCGCGAAAATTTCGGATTTTCGACTAAAAATGTTGGTTTTCGTCCATTTTAGTGGAAAAAAATGGATTTCCCTATTTTTCTGTACAAAAACATAGCTTTTCGTCCATTTTCTTTGAAAAAAATGGATTTTCCTCATTTTTCCTCACAAAAACAAGGTTTTCGTCCGTTTTTTATCAAAATAATGGATTTTCCTAAATTTTTCTGTACAAAAACAAGGTTTTTGTCCATTTTTATATCAAAAAAATGGATTTTCTGATTTTTCTTCACAAAAACATAGTTTTTTGCTCATTTTTTTAATTAAAAAAAATGGATTTTTCTGATTTTTCTGTACAAAAACATAGTTTTTTGTCCATTTTTATACAAAAAAAATGAATTTTACCCATTTTTCCGTACAAAAAAAAGGTTTTCGTGCATTTTTCTTTGAAAAAAAATGGATTTTCCTAATATTTCTGTACAAAATATAGTTTTTGTCCATTTTCTCCCGAAATTCCGATTTCCCGCCATTTTTCCATTTCCATCCCCAAAAAAGTTTAGTTGAAACCCGAAACTTTTTCATTTCGCTTTTTTTCCGTGTAGTTCTCTCGGATTACACATTTCCAAAAACACTCTAAATACAGTATCCTCTCTCCCACGATTTATTGTCGTGCACTTTGTTTTTATCATGTGATTTTGATTTTTTTTCTACATAGACAAAAAGACATTCAAAAATTTGTTAGTCCGAGAGAAATACACAGCGAAAATTTGAAAAGTGTCGGGTTTCTGAAGAGAAATTATTGATCGGTGGCCTAGAATCCGACTAATTTTGTATTTCTAGGCCAAAAATCAGGAAACTTCCCTCAAAAGTGACAGAAAACGACACTTTTCTCCTTCTTCCTCCTCTTTTTGTTGTTGGTTGTAAAAGTTTGATAAATGACACCGCGCACACGGCAAAAATGCCATTTTTCACTCGTCTTTGTCCCTTTTCCCTTTTTTCTTGGAAAAACTTATGGATTTTTGTTTTTTTTTCATCTATGGCCTAGAAAACCAAGTAGTGATTTTCTAGGCCATCCGAGACTTGATTATTTTAGTTTTTTTCCCTCTTCTCCCGAAAAATATGGATTTTCTCTCAAATTTCCAAATTTTTGCAGATTTCTCGAATGAAAACCTTCCAAAACAAGGCCTATTCCAACATGGAAAACAACAATCAGGCGAACAAATTTCGCGTCGACGCAATTTGGGATTGTAACGCCACAAAATACCGTGTCGGATGCCATACTTTGCATGTTACCCAGGTAGAATAATTTGGGGGGTTTTGGGGGAGAATTTTGGTCCAGGGGCCGCGAAAATTGAATTTTTCATGAAAATTTGACCCTGGGACCGCCAAAAATAAATTTTTTGACCTCAGGACCTCAAAAACCGAAATATTGGAAATTGAATTTTCAATGAGGTTTTCTATGAAATTCGACAGTAGGACCTTGAAAATTAGATTTTCTCACTCCGAGACCCTAAAAATCTGAAATTTCGACCTCGGGACCATTAAATCTGGATTTTAAGCAAAATTCTGATCTCAGGAATGCAAAAATTTAATTTTTCATGAAATTTTGTATCCAGGAACGTTGAAAAATGAATTTTTTGGTCTCAGGACCTCAAAAACCGAAATTTTGCCTTCAAATTGGATTTTCCATGAGAATTTGATCCCGGGACTCTGAAAATCGGATGTTTCATGAAAATTGCGACTTTATGACCTTAAAAATTTGATTTTCTATGAAATTCCAACAGTAGGACCTTGAAAAATGGATTTTTTCATCCTGAGACACTAAAAATCTGAAATTTCGACCTCGGGACCATTAAATCTGGATTTTAAGCAAAATTCTGATATCAGGAATGCAAAAATTGAATTTTTCATGAAAATTTTACCCAGGGACCTCAAATGTGGATTTGTCCACAGAATTTCAACACAATTCTCAATCCATGGCCTAGAAAACTAAATAGTAGGATTTCTAGGCCACCAACTCCGGAATTGAATCAAAAACGAATTTTTTGGTTCAAAATTCATCAAAATTAATCAGATTTTCAAAAATTTTCCCCATTTTCAGGCAACAAAATACATTGGCTACACTCAATTATTCGTAATTGCCATCTTTTCGCTTTCTCTTCTCTATGCTTACACTTCGCAAATCAGCTATGAAGAAAAAGAGAATGGAGAATTGAATTGGAGCATCAATGTATATATGGCCAGATACATTTCGTCGCTTTTGAGCGCGTTGACTTTGCAATTGGGATTGGTGAGTTGTTTTTTTTTGGTCTTGGCACGCTGAAAATTGAATTTCTTGTGAAAATTCGTTCTCGGGACCTTTTAGGCCCTAAAATTTCACTCCAGGACGCTGAAAATTGAATTTTTCATTAAATTTGACTTCAAAACCTTCAAAATTGCATTTTTCTGTGAAAATTCGGTCCCGGGACCTTTAAAATCTCAAATTTCCATTCCAGCATCTTTGAAATTGGAATTTTTTGTTAAAATCTGGTTTTGGGACCTTTGAAATCTCAAAATTCCACTCCAGATCCCTGGAAATCAAATTTCTCATACAAATTTGACTTCAGAACCTTCAAAATCTGAAAATTTCACTCTAAAACGCGCGTTTCTCTTGAAATTTTCAATTTTCAATAAAAATTCCACAAAATTTTCTTTTTTCTAAAAAAAATATGCAAATTTCACAATTTTTCTCATCAAAAAATTTAAATTTCCTCATTTTGAGAAAAATTTTGGAAATTTATCAATTAAAAGTGAAATTTTAGATTTGCAAGTGCCCTGGATCAAAATTTCATCAAAATTTTCAATTTTTGAGTTCCTGGAGCGAAATTTTCAAATTTTTATGGTCCCAAGGATCGAAAATCTAGGGAAATCCGCATTTTTAAAGTCCTGAAGTAGAATTCTGAAATTTTGATGGTCCCTGGGTAAAAAATCCGATTTTCATGGTCCCACAGTAGAAATTTCATGAAAAATCCAATTTTGAAGATCCTAAAGTGAAAATTTCAAATTTTTATGGTCCCAAGGATCGAAAATCTAGGGATATCCTGATTTTCAAAGTCCTAAAATAACATTTCAAGATTTGTGAGGTCCAGGGGGTAAAAAATCCGATTTTCATGGTCCCAGAGTCAAATTTTCATGAAAAATCCAATTTTGAAGATCCTAAAGTGAAAATTTCAAATTTTCATGGTCAGAAAAATTCAAATTTTAAGCTTCGAGGATCAAAAATCTAGGGATATCCTCATTTTGAAAATCCTGAAGTAGAATTCTGAAATTTTGATGGTCCCTGGGTAAAAAAATCCGATTTTCATGGTCCCACAGTCGAAATTTCCAGAAAATTCCGATTTTTAAGGTCCTGGAGTGAAAATTTCAAATTTTTATGGTCCCAAAGATCGAAAATCTAGGGAAATCCTCATTTTCAAAGTCCTAAACTAACATTTCAAGATTTGTGAGGTCCAGGGGGTAAAAAATCCGATTTTCATGGTCCCAGAGTCAAATTTTCATGAAAATTCCGATTTTTAAGGTCCTGGAGTGAAAATTTCAAATTTTCATGGTCAGAAAATTCAAATTTGAAGCTCTGAGGATCGAAAATTCTTAGATTATGATGGTCCCTGGGTAAAAAACCTTTTCGATTTTTTCTAGGTATTGATGATGCTTCACGGAGTTCGCACATCTCGTCGTTGCCTTCTGATTCCCTACATCTCATTCGCCGCCATCGCACTTTTCCTGGCAATTTTCCAACTCTCCAAAGATGTGCTCACTTTCATCGATTCGCAAACCTACACAACAGCCGCCCAAAACACCGCCTCCTACATTTTGATTCATTTCATCGGAATTTTGGTGCATGTTTGGTGCATGAAAGTCGTCTGCAAGTGCTATTCCTTCTTTGGCGATAAGAATGTGAGTTTGAGATGTGCGATTTTTGAAATCACCGCAAAATTTCGAGTTTTTTTGGTGGATTTTGGAAATTTGCACCGGAAAGACGCCAGCACTTGAAATGCGTCAACAAGCGGTTCCCAAGTTTTGAAAATATCAAATTATTATCCAGAATGTCTCCCTCACCTTTTTGCACCCAAAAATGACCCATTTTCACCTTGCACCACAAATGCGCCAGCAAGGGCTTACTGACGCGTTTGTGGTGCAGTTCCAAAATGTGTGATTTTTGAGCGCAAACTGATTCATGAGACTTGTAGAACACGATAAAAACGCTTGAAAATTTTGTTGACGTGTTTTCGGTGCTGGCGCATATTTGGTGCACTTTAGAGTTCACGAATCTGGCAACTCGTGTTTTCGAGGCTTTGAAAATATCAAATTATTATCCAGATTGTCTCCCTCATCATTTTGCACCCAAAAATGACCCATTTTCACCTTGCACCACAAATGCGCCAGCAAGGGCTTACTGACGCGTTTGTGGTGCAGTTCCAAAATGTGTGATTTTTGAGCGCAAACTGATTCATGAGACTTGTAGAACACGATAAAAACGCTTGAAAATTTTGTTGACGTGTTTTCGGTGCTGGCGCATATTTGGTGCACTTTAGAGTTCACGAATCTGGCAACTCGTGTTTTCGAGGCTTTGAAAATATCAAATTATTATCCAGATTGTCTCCCTCATCATTTTGCACCCAAAAATGACCCATTTTCACCTTGCACCACAAATGCGCCAGCAAGGGCTTGCTGACGCGTTTGTGGTGCAGTTCCGAAATGTGTGATTTTTGAGCGCAAACTGATCGGTGAGACTTGTAGAACACGATGAAAAAGTTTACAACGCTTGAAAATTTTGTTGACGCGTTTTCGGTGCTGGCGCATTTTTGATGAATTTTTGGAATTTGCACCGAAAATGCGTCAACAAGCGGTTCCCAAGCAGTGTAAATATTGAATTATTATCCAGAATGTCTCCCTCACCTTTTTGCACCCAAAAATGACCCATTTTCACCTTGCACCACAAATGCGCCAGCAAAGGCTTGCTGACGCGTTTGTGGTGCAGTTCCAAAATTAGTGGTTTTTGAGCTCAAACTGATCGGTGAGACTTGTAGAACACGATGAAAACGCTTGAAAATGTTGTTGACGCGTTTTCGGTGCTGGCGCATATTTTGTAGCTCGAAAAAAAAAACCAAAATTTTTACAGGTCGCTGAATCGATCGGTCAACAACTCCAAACAACATCAGTCGCATTCGCCGTCGACTTTTCCCGTCCACCACCGTACTCGAGACTTCCAACCGACGCCGCAGCCGCGCAACCTCTTACCCAAGCCTAAGCCTAAGGCCTAAGGCCTAAGGCCTAATCCTAAGCCTAAGATTTTGAATTTAGGCCATCTCCCCTTTTTTTTAATTATTGCAACACTTATTAATATAATATAATATACCATGACTTGAACGAGTAGATTTCCTTCTTTTTTTGTGTTTGAAAAAAAAATCGATTTTCCTACAGTACCCCGGGTGAAATGTTGTTTTTTTCTGACACACCCCAGAAGTTTTTGAACCCTATGTTTTTACCAAATATGTGTTTTTTCCTGTTTTTTTTTGATGTGTTTACATGAATTTATTGGATTTTTCAGCATTGCTCATGTTAAACAAAAAAAATCCTAATTTTTCGATTTATTTTTGCTGATCCACGTGGCATAGAACTCCTCAAAAGTGATATGAATTCCAGAAACATCGGCCAAAACCATAAAGCCCGCCAGAAACGTCAACGACACTCCGTAATTCCGCCATTTTTCCCGGATTTCTTGCGCCGCCCATGGTTTCGGATGGAAGATCCAATAGAAGCCCAACAAGAATCCGATGAGCATGCCGCTAATCTGAGCAATCTGGCGATTTACGATTCGACGCCAATAGCCGTGGATGGCCGCGTAGATCAAATAGTGCAGTTCGGCGGGAAAAATGAGGAGCGAGAGTGTGAGGAGACGCAGAGAGAGGCGAGGGAAGTTGGAGGGATTCTGGAATGAAGAGGGCGGATTTTTTGAGACCCAACAAGCCTAGGGTTACTGTAGAGGTTTTGGCGCGAAAATTATGAATTTTTTGATTACTGTAGATCACATTTTCGCGCGAAAATTCTTTTTCCGCGAAATTTTAGGTTTCAAAAATAAAAAAAGATTACTGTAGATCAATTATTGCTCAAAAATTCTACAGTAACCCGGATGATTACAAAATTAAGAATGAGATAATTTTGGGTACTGTAGTTCACAAGATTACTTGGGTACTGTAGTTCACAAGATTTGTAGCTATTTAGAAATTCCCAAAAACTGTGTAGATCAAATTTTCGAGCCAAAAACATCTACAGTACCGTGTTTGGTGTCAAAAAATTCCAAATTTTCGGGCCAAAAACATCTACAGTACCCCTAGGCGTGTTTGGTAACAAAAAATTTCAAATTTTCGCGCCAAAAACATCTACAGTACCCCATAGGCGTGTTTGGTGTCAAAAAATTCCAAATTTTTGCCCGCACTCACCCTCAAAACCTGTGCCAAATGCAACGCAACCCACGGAAAAGTCGATCGATCGCCATAATTCAACAAAATCATATCAACAACCAATCGCGTCACCAAATGCGGATAAATCCATGAAATCACATAGAATATGGCGATTTTCCAACTTCCTACAGTAATTTCCATCGGAATTCCGATGAATAAATTGGAAAAATAGGAGGAGAGCAGGTAGATCAAATTTATCATTACCGTATTCATGTTGGTACTGTATGACGTCATAAACATGGCTCGAAAATTGACGTAGGTGAAATAGGAACTCTGGAGCACAAAGATCAGCGGCACAAAAATCGGGGTTTTCGGATTTTCCGGTGATTTTCCGATCAATAATTGACATAGCCAGGTTTTTAAGCGAAATCCCAAATTTTCTGTCATTTTTTTAAATTGAAAATGAAAATGAAAATGAGAAAATTTTGGGAAAAAATGACCGATTTTGCTTTTTTTTATAAACATTTTTGAAAAAGATATCAAATTTCATTTGATTTTTTTTTCTGATCTACAGTAATCTGTGAATTTTTATAAATTTCGGAGAAGTTCTCAATCATGGGTTACTGTAGCAGATAAGGTATCTACTGTACGGTTGAAAAATTGATGTACAGTACCCCTAGGCATTTTTGGTGTCAAAAAATTCCAAATTTTCGCGCGCAAAAATTGATCTACAGTAACCTGAAACCTAAAATGAGATTACTGTAGCTATTTAGAAGTTCCCAAAAAATGTGTAGATCAAATTTTCGCGCCTAAAACATCTACAGTACCCCTAGGCATATTTGGTGTCAAAAATGCCAAATTTTTGCGCGCGCGAAACCATTTTTGGGAACTTCTAAATCGCTACAGTAATCTTCTGAACTACAGTACCCAAAATTATCTCATTCTTAACTTTGTAAAAGTCAATTCTTGCTCAAAAATTCTACAGTAACCCGGATTTTTAGGAAATTAGGAATGAGATAATTTTGGGTACTGTAGTTCAGAAGATTACTGTAAAATGTTCTGAGTCCCAAAAAAATGTGTAGATCAAATTTTCTGGCCAAAAACATCTACAGTACCCCCAGGCGTGTTTGGTATCAAAAAATTTCAAATTTTCGTGCCAAAACCATCTACAGTACCCCTAGGCGTGTTTGGTGTCAAAAAATTCCAAATTTTCGGGCCAAAACCATCTACAGTACCCCTAGGCGTGTTTGGTGTCAAAAAATTCCAAATTTTCGGGCCAAAAACATCTACAGTACCCCCAGGCGTGTTTGGTATCAAAAAATTTCAAATTTTCGTGCCAAAACCATCTACAGTACCCCTAGGCGTGTTTGGTATCAAAAAATTTCAAATTTTCGTGCCAAAACCATCTACAGTACCCCTAGGCGTGTTTGGTGTCAAAAAATTCCAAATTTTCGGGCCAAAAACATCTACAGTACCCCTAGGCGTGTTTGGTATCAAAAAATTTCAAATTTTCGTGCCAAAACCATCTACAGTACCCCTAGGCGTGTTTGGTATCAAAAAATTTCAAATTTTCGTGCCAAAACCATCTACAGTACCCCTAGGCGTGTTTGGTGTCAAAAAATTCCAAATTTTCGGGCCAAAAACATCTACAGTACCCCCAGGCGTGTTTGGTATCAAAAAATTTCAAATTTTCGTGCCAAAACCATCTACAGTACCCCTAGGCGTGTTTGGTATCAAAAAATTTCAAATTTTCGTGCCAAAACCATCTACAGTACCCCTAGGCGTGTTTGGTGTCAAAAAATTCCAAATTTTCGGGCCAAAAACATCTACAGTACCCCCAGGCGTGTTTGGTATCAAAAAATTTCAAATTTTCGTGCCAAAACCATCTACAGTACCCCTAGGCGTGTTTGGTATCAAAAAATTTCAAATTTTCGTGCCAAAACCATCTACAGTACCCCTAGGCGTGTTTGGTGTCAAAAAATTCCAAATTTTCGGGCCAAAAACATCTACAGTACCCCCAGGCGTGTTTGGTATCAAAAAATTTCAAATTTTCGTGCCAAAACCATCTACAGTACCCCTAGGCGTGTTTGGTGTCAAAAAATTCCAAATTTTCTGGCCAAAAACATCTACAGTACCCCCAGGCGTGTTTGGTATCAAAAAATTTCAAATTTTCGTGCCAAAACCATCTACAGTACCCCTAGGCGTGTTTGGTGTCAAAAAATTCCAAATTTTCGGGCCAAAAACATCTACAGTACCCCCAGGCGTGTTTGGTATCAAAAAATTTCAAATTTTCGTGCCAAAACCATCTACAGTACCCCTAGGCGTGTTTGGTATCAAAAAATTTCAAATTTTCGTGCCAAAACCATCTACAGTACCCCTAGGCGTGTTTGGTGTCAAAAAATTCCAAATTTTCTGGCCAAAAACATCTACAGTACCCCCAGGCGTGTTTGGTATCAAAAAATTTCAAATTTTCGTGCCAAAACCATCTACAGTACCCCTAGGCGTGTTTGGTATCAAAAAATTTCAAATTTTCGTGCCAAAACCATCTACAGTACCCCTAGGCGTGTTTGGTGTCAAAAAATTCCAAATTTTCGGGCCAAAAACATCTACAGTACCCCCAGGCGTGTTTGGTATCAAAAAATTTCAAATTTTCGTGCCAAAACCATCTACAGTACCCCTAGGCGTGTTTGGTGTCAAAAAATTCCAAATTTTCTGGCCAAAAACATCTACAGTACCCCCAGGCGTGTTTGGTATCAAAAAATTTCAAATTTTCGTGCCAAAACCATCTACAGTACCCCTAGGCATATTTGGTGTCAAAAAATTCCAAATTTTCGCGCGCAAAAATTGATCTACAGTAACCTCATAGGCGATCATTTATCAAAAAAGTGGTCAAATTATTCGCAAAATCCAAAATCTGAAAAGAATCGCTGGAAATGGCTGAAATTGCACGGCACTCCAACGCATCATCAAAAACAATCGATTGATTCGCCAGGCTCCAAATCAAAATGCGTCGAAAATCGGAGAATACAAAATATTTGCCGCATTTCACCGCAATTTGTGAACAAGTTAGCGGAAGTTGATCGATGATATTGGAAGTTTTTGTGGAGAACAACACGGTGTTTTGAGTGTGATATGAGATGGCGAGAAATGGAGCCGCGTATAGTATTGACTTGATGCAACTTGAGGTGGAAATTGGGAGCGATTTGAAATTGAGGTCGGGTAGAGAGAGCAGATAGATTCCGCCGGTTTCTGTAGCCAGACAAGCTTCATCTCCGGATCTGAAATGAGAAATTTGGGATTTTTTGAGACCAAATATGATTGGGGTTACTGTAGATCAAAAATTTTGGATTTTTTGATAGTAAACAAGCCTTGGGTTACTGTAGATCAAAAATTTGGGATTTTTTGATAGTAAACAAGCCTTGGGTTACTGTAGATCAAAAATTTGGAATTTTTTGATAGTAAACAAGCCTTGGGTTACTGTAGATCAAAAATTTGGGATTCTTTGATAGTAAACAAGCCTTGGGTTACTGTAGATCAAAAATTTCGGATTTTTTGATAGTAAACAAGCCTTGGGTTACTGTAGATCAAAAATTTCGGATTTTTTGATAGTAAACAAGCCTTGGGTTACTGTAGATAAAAAATTTGGGATTTTCTAGAATTAGATCTGATTTTGTTCTCTATAAAATAATCAAAATTTTCAAACGTAAAAATTCCTCACATCAAGGAATTCCTCATTTTCCCACCCTCAAAAAAATGCAGGAATTTTTGAAATTCTTTTTCTTATTTTTCTGTATAAAACGGGAGCCGAAAAAATCATATCAACAATCATGAAATTCTTTATTGTTTGTGCACTTTTGGTGGCTGTTTCAAATGTTTTGGCGCAGACTCTTGCAGACAAGTTTGAGCCCGTTGTTCGGCCAGAGTGGTTCCAGTATCGCAGACAATTCGGATTGTCTCGAAAATCACAATTTGTTAATCCGTTTGGTAAGTTTGTGGCCCCAAAATTCAAAAAAGTTCTTTTTTTTTTTTTTAGGAAAATCACCAATTGAATAGTGTGTGCAATTTTTCAAAAAGTTTATAATTTTTGGGATTTGGGGTTTTTTTTTTTAAAATAAAATATGCATCTATTCATTTGCGAAAAAATGTATTTTTTAAAATTCTTAAGGTCTTTCAACTCTAAAATCTAGCCAAAAATTCAATTTCAATGAACTTTAAGCTGAATTTTTTAATTTTTCATGATTTCTAGTTCAAAAATTGTGATGAAAGGTAGATCACAAAATTTTCCGTAAAATTATTATGGCAATTCTACAGTATACTAGTTTACTGTAGAATTTGTTTGAGGTTACTGTACCTTCAGATTACTGTAGCTAAGGCACATTTGGTGTCGAAAAAATTCCAAATTTTCACGTTAAAATCCATTTACAGTAACCCTAAGCATGTTTGGTCTCAAAAAATTCCAAATTTTCGCGCCAAAACCATCTACAGTACCCCATAGGCGTGTTTGAACTCAAAAAATTCCAAATTTTCGCGCCAAAATCATCTACAGTACCCCTAAGCATGTTTGGTCTCAAAAAATTCCAAATTTTCGCGCCAAAATCATCTACAGTACCCCTAAGCATGTTTGGTCTCAAAAAATTCCAAATTTTCGCGCCAAAATCATCTACAGTACCCCTAAGCATGTTTGGTCTCAAAAAATTCCAAATTTTCGCGCCAAAATCATCTACAGTAACCCTAAGCATGTTTGGTCTCAAAAAATTCCAAATTTTCGCGCCAAAATCATCTACAGTACCCCTAGGCGTGTTTGGTTTCAAAAAACTCCAAATTTTCACGTTAAAATCCATCTACAGTAACCCTGGGCTCAAAACTTACACCATCATACTGACAATCGCCAACGGCCGCCCACTCGTCGATGATTTTCGAATTGTGCGCGGCAAATCGGCCACCACCAATTTGACTCCGCCCACTTTTTCCACGTCACCACCACCCGGCTTCACCAATTTGGCGGCATTCAACAATTGCACACTTCCCTCATCACCGGCCACCAAAACACCGTGTCGCGGCGACCAAGCGAGACACGTCACCGCACCATCTTGCACCATTTTGGCGCCAATTTTCAGCTCACCGCTACTACTGTAGACACTGATTTGGCCCGAAATATCGCCGAGCACAAATTGAGTGGAGGAGCTGCTTGTTGTGATGGCGGTGGTGGCGCAGACGGCGAGAGGTAGCGAGAGATTCGAGGCGGAGGCAGAGGCAGAGGCAGACGACGAGAGGAAGGCGCGTGGTTGGTGAGTGCAGAAGGTTTGGTGTTGAGAGCCGCCGAAGAGGAGTAGGGTTTTGCGGGAGGCGGGGAAGGAGAGCATGTGGATGAGGTTCTCGTTGCGAGTCTGTAAGGCAGAGATTGTTAGAGACGCAGAGTATCCAGACGGCTAGAGAAAAATTGAGGGTAAGAGACGCAGAGAAGCTAGACGACTAGAGATTAAAAAAAAAGAAGGAAGAGACGCAGAGGAGCTAGATTGTTAGAGATATGAGCAACGGTGAGGAGACGCAGAGTAGGCAGACAACTAGAGATATACTTAGGTAGTGAGAGACGCAGAGATGCTAGGTGTGCGCGGTTACACTCTCTAGAGACGCAGAGTATCCAGACGGCTAGAGAAAAATTGAGGGTAAGAGACGTAGAGAAGCTAGACGACTAGAGATGAATGATAAGTGGGAGACTCATTGGATAGTTATAGACGCAGAGAAGCTAGAAGACTAGAGATACTTAGGTAGTTAGAGACGCAGAGAAGCTAGACAGATATTGAAAAATGAAGGCTTCTTGCAAAATCCCGTGAAATTAGGCCACGCCCCTTTCTGCAAGTCACGCACACAGTTTTCGAGCTCTCACCTCAATTTTATAACTATGCACAGTCTCAATGGCAACCTTGTCGAACTTGTGAAATTCGAGCAATCGATCATAATTCACTTCTGACGAATCATTAATGAAATCCAGAATCAGAGCCAGAACCTGCAAGTGCAAAAATTAAAAAATTCGAAAAAAAAAGCGAAAACTCACGCTCTCACTTATCCTCAAATGCTCTTTTTCAGCAGCAGAGCTCTTCTCCACGTCATTCTCGGTTTGCGACGCGGATTCCGCTTGGAATTTGGCCATGGTTTCAGCGTGCCGCGTCACGATTGTGTCGGTCTGCTGCGATTTTTGCGCTTTTGAAATTGGTGCCAACATTTCGGCAGCCATTCTTCTACGCCATGCAAATGATTGCAACGTTACGTCGTCCATTTTTGAAAGGGGGGAAATTTTTTCGGGTCTCCGCAAAAAAATGTAATGTTGTCATAGCAACCAACAACCTTGCGCAATTTGAAAATTCTAGGCCACTCCATATTTTTCCTATGCAGAAAAACGTCGAAAAAACAAAATATAAATACAGTTTATTATTTTTGAGTAGAGACAATGTGAAATTGAGAGAGTGCAGACAGACCAATTGATTTTTCGCACAAAAAATACAAAAAAAAACCGTCTGCACTCTCTCACTTTCACAATTTTATTTTTCGAAAACAACGACATTCCGCTTGCCCGCTGTTTAGCGCAAAAGAGGATTTGGTTTTGAGTTTTTCACTGTGTTTTTTTCTATTTAATAGAAAAATGCAATTTCGATGAGACGCAGACACAATTTCTGGAAAATCTCGGGCCGATTTTTTTTTGGAAAAAACTCGAGCCGATTTTTTTTTTTGGAAAATCTCGGCCCGATTTAAAAAAAAAAACTCAGGCCGATTTTTTTTTTGGAAAAAACTCGAGCCGATTTTTTTTTTGGAAAAAACTCGAGCCGATTTTTTTTTTGGAAAAAACTCGAGCCGATTTTTTTTTTGAAAAAACTCGAGTCGATTTTTTTTTTGGAAAATCTCGGCCCGATTTTTTTGGAAAATCTCGGCCCGATTTTTTTTTTTGAAAAATCTCGGCCCGATTTTTTTTAGAAAATCTCGGCCCGATTTTTTTTTAGAAAATCTCGGCCCGATTTTTTTTTTTGAAAAATCTCGGCCCGATTTTTTTTTTGAAAAATCTCGGCCCGATTTTTTTTTTTGAAAAATCTCGGCCCGATTTTTTTTTTTGAAAAATCTCGGCCCGATTTTTTTTTAGAAAATCTCGGCCCGATTTTTTGAAAAAACTCGGGCCGATTTTTTTGAAAATCTCGGCCCGATTTTTAAAAAAAAAACTCAGGCCGATTTTTTTTTTGAAAAAACTCGGGCCGATTTTTTTTTGAAAAAACTAGGGCCGATTTTTTTTTGAAAAAACTCGGGCCGATTTTTTGAAAAAACTCGGGCCGATTTTTTTTTTTGGAAAATCTCGGCCCGATTTTTTTTTTGGAAAATCTCGGCCCGATTTTTTTTTGAAAAAACTCGGGCCGCACAAAAAAAAACAAAAATTTTGAGAAAAACCGACTATTTTCAAGCACGATGTCTTCTTGTTTTTACAATTTCGTTTCTTTTTTGATAACTTTCACTATATTAATGTGAAAACACGATGTTTATAGGATTTTTTTGAAAATCCCCTAAAAAACTCACATTTCCTCCGGTTTTCTTCGAAAATTATAAAAAATTGAGAACTTCTGAAAAATCTTGAAAGAAAAACTTATTTTTTGTTTTGCAAATTTTATGAGAATTCTGAATTTCCGATGAAAAAAGTGCATATCAAAATTATTGCTCGACGAGCCTGGCTGGAGTTTTTCTAGGTCTTCCAGCTCTCGATTCACCGGCTCCCAAATTCATCTGCGGCGGCTGCTCCTCGACCTCAAAATCCACGTGTTCCACCTCTTCTTCTTCTGCAATTTGCTGCTGCTGCTCAATTTCAGGTTGTTCTGGAATTTCAGCAGCTTCTTCCAGATGTTGTTCCTCATCCTCCTCCAAATGTTCTTCTAAGCGTGATTTTTTGGCTGCGGCGGTGCCCTCTTCAACTTCAATCTCTTCTTCTTCACCCAAATGTTTCTCATCTTCGCCGCGTTTTTTGGGCGGGCGCCCACGAATCGGCCGAGCAATTACCCACGATTTTTCGACGTCGCCTGCAAAATTCTAGCTTTACACGGTAATCCTGACGTGGTTACGGTCATTTTAAGACCAAACACGGTATATTTTCGTGGCGGGACTCCTACAGTAGTACCCAAACTGCAAATTTTGTCAGAAATATGTCATGTTTGGTGTCAAACTGCCGAGCGTATTGTGTAGATCACAAAAATCGTCAACTTGGTCCCGCCACGAAAACCTACAGTACCCCCCAAACTGCTCACCTTCTGTAGCCGCCACATTCAACGCGTCATCCTGATTGGCTTTTCTCAAAATACTCGTAATTTTCTCCTTGTATCCAACGGCCACTCGACTATGCTGACAAGTTTGAAGTCTTTGAATAAGCGCCTGCAAAAATGTGCACGTGGAATTGCGGAGTGTCATAGTTTTTTGAAAATAAACTTTAAAAAAAATCGAATTTTCAAATTTCGCGCTAAAATTTGGTTTTCGGAATTGTGGAGTGTTGTAGTTTTTTGAAATTAAATTTTAAAAAATTCGAATTTTCAAATTTCGCGCTAAAATTTGGTTTTCGGAATCGCGGAGTGTCGTAGTTTTTATTAAATTTTTTTTTTAAATTCGAATTTTCAAAATTCGCGCACAAATTTGGTTTTAGGAATCGAGGAGTATCGTAGTTTTTATTAAATTAAATTTTTTTTAATTCGAATTTTCAAAATTCGCGCGCAAATTTGTTTTTCGGAACTACGGAGTGTCGTAGTTTTATTTTCAAAAACTCAATTTTCGTGCCAAAAAATCCACGTGGAACTGCGGAGTGTTGTAGTTTTCGATTTTTCCACGTGGCATTTGTTTTCAGAAATGTTTTAAAACTTTAAATTTTCAATTTTTGGCGCCAAAAAATTTCCGTGAAATCGCGGAGTGTTGTAGTTTTATTCAAATTTCCTACAGTACCCTCCCGTCTGACCTACCGTACACGCATCCTCCACTTTCACCACCGCATTATACGTATAAATATCGCGAAAATTGCACCGCTCCGTAATTCTCGATCTCGAGTTGAAATTGATCGGTTGCGGCGCAATTTCGACGGGGATTTCAGCCAAATTCGCAATTTCAGCCGATTTTTTGAGGGGACTTCCAGAACTTGTTGATGGTAGATTTGAAGAAGAGGAAGTGGATGACAGAACTGTTGGCATTCGAATCGGCACTTTGTAGCGTTTTCGATGATCGGAGGTCTCGTCTGGAAAATTTGTGGGTACTGTAGGGAGGGAATTTCGGATTTTTTGAGAGTAAACAAGCCTTGGGTTACTGTAGATCGAAAATTTCGGATTTTTTGATAGAAAACAAGCCTTGGGTTACTGTAGATCAAAAATTTCGGATTTTTTGATAGTAAACAAGGGTTGGGTTACTGTAGATCGAAAATTTCGGATTTTTTGATAGTAAACAAGCCTTGGGTTACTGTAGATCAAAAATTTCGGATTTTTTGATACTAAACAAGCCTTGGGTTACTGTAGATCAAAAATTTCGGATTTTTTGATAGTAAACAAGCCTTGGGTTACTGTAGATCAAAAATTTCGGATTTTTTGATAGTAAACAAGCCTTGGGTTACTGTATATCGAAAATTTCGGATTTTTTGATAGTAAACAAGCCTTGGGTTACTGTAGATCGAAAATTTCGGATTTTTTGATAGTAAACAAGCCTTGGGTTACTGTAGATCGAAAATTTCGGATTTTTTGATAGTAAACAAGCCTTGGGTTACTGTAGATCAAAACTACAGTAACCCTAAAAAAAACTCACCACTAAAATACGTGTCAACGAAGGGATTTGCATTTCCGCCAGCGAGTTGCGCGGCGATAGGCGGCGCCAACGCGCGAGTTCCAAACGAGGGGCGAACACGCGCAAGCGGCGCAACACTGCGCACTTCCAGCGGTCGCTTGATTCGCTGCAAACTGTTGTCTTCGAGAAGTTTCTGAGTTCGAAGACGTCGATCTTCGATTTCTCGAACGAACACTTCGGGTGAATAGACGTCGAAAAGATCGTCACGGGCTCCTGGGTTTTCTGGAAAAAAATTTAGTGTTTTTTTTTTCGAAATGTTCGTGAGATTTGATGATTTTTGACACCAAACACGGTGTGTTTTGGACAATTTTGAGAATTTTCGTGGCGGGACCCCTACAGTAATCCAAAATGAATCATGTGGGGTGTCTAAGTAACCAGAAAAGCTTGAAGAATCACGAGGTGATATTCAAAATCTACCATAACCTTTCTAAGGCTCATATTTCCCGGATTTTGTGAAAAACTTAGGTTTTTAATTTGAATTTCGTGTTCTACATGTTTTTCCGATAATTTTGACACCCAACACGGTGTGTTTTGGACAATTTTGAGAATTTTCGTGGCGGGACCCCTACAGTAATCCAAAATGAATCATGTGGGGTGTCTAAGTAACCAGAAAAGCTTGAAGAATCACGAGGTGATATTCAAAATCTACCATAACCTTTCTAAGGCTCATATTTCCCGGATTTTGTGAAAAACTTAGGTTTTTAATTTGAATTTCGTGTTCTACATGTTTTTCCGATAATTTTGACACCCAACACGGTGTGTTTTGGACAATTTTGAGAATTTTCGTGGCGGGATCCCTACAGTAACCCAAAACTCCAAAATGTCTACAGGTTTTTGTTCTATAATTCGTGTTCTACATGTTTTTCTGATAATTTTGACACCCAACACGGTGTGTTTCGGAAACTTTTGAAATTTCGGGTTACTGTAGGGTCCCGCAGCGAAAATTCAAAAATTAGGTCATGTGGGGTGTCAAACTGACCGTAACCACCTGGAGAATCTGAAACTCGTGTCTAGAATTCATCTGAAGCTTTCTGGGGCTCAAAACGAAAATTTTGAGGACTCGAGTTTTGTAGATTTCAAGAATTTTATGAAAATTATTCATTTCTATGAATTTTCCCGAGTTCTTGAGACAAATCCGTTAATTTTAACACCAAACACAGTGTGTTTTGGACAATTTTAAAATTTCGGGTTACTGTAGGGTCCCGCAGCGAAAATTAGGTCATGTGGGGTGTCAAACTGACCGCAACCACCTGAAGAATCTGAAACCACTCACCATGTTGATGAACATGCTCCAAATGATCCATACAGTAGTCAATAGTGACAGGAGTGGCTTCTCGTTTACTAATATGCCGCCAATCGAAAACCCGGATAAACGCCGTGCAATGCATATTTTGCTCCTGCAAAAATGAATTTGAAATATGAAAAAAACATTTTTTTTCAAATTTTCTGGCGCTCCTACAGTACCCTACAGTACCTGTTGTCTGCCAGCTCTACCATTTCCACTTTTATTCAATCGATCATCACATTGACACAAATAATACATATTTTCATCGGCTAGACCCATTCTTCGCATTTTGAATCGACTATAAATATTAAGCTCTCGAATATATTGTTCGAACATGCTGAGATCTTTGAATTCGAAACGTTCGATCATTAATTGTTTGTGATGACTGTAGAGAAGATGAGCGATTAATTGATCTTGTGAGGGTAGGGTTCCGGTGGTCAATTGCTCGCCACAATCATAGCAAATTGACTGGAAAATTGGGTTTTTGTTGAGTTTTATGTGATTCTGAGCATTTTGAGCCCAAATATGATATGGTTCGAATTTAAAAAAATTAGACCTAGTAGGGTCCCGTGGCGAAAATTTTGAAAATAATTTATTTTCATGTTTTTTCCCTAGTTCCTAAGGTTATTCCGGTCAATTTGACACCAAACACGGTATATTTTAGATGATTTTCATAATTTTCGCTACGGGACCCATACAGTAACCCAAACTACAAAATTCATCGAAAATACGTCATGTGGGGTGTCAAACTGACCAGAATCCTCTGAAAAGTCTGAAAATCGAGACTTGAGGACTAGATTTTTGTAGATTTCACGAATTTTATGAAAATCAATCATTTTGATGTGTTTTCTCGAGTTCCTGAGGTTATTCCGGTCAATTTGACACCAAACACGGTATATTTTAGATGCTTTTCAGAATTTTCGCTACGGGACCCATACAGTAACCCGAACTGCAAAATTCATCAGAAATACGTCATGTGGGGTGTCAAACTGATCAGAATTCTTTGAAAAGTCTGAAAATCGAGCCTAGAACCCATCTAAAGCTTTCTTGGGCTTAAACCAAAAATTTTGAGGACTCTATTTTTGTGGTTTATGAAAATAATTTATTTTGATGTGTTTTCCAGAGTTCCTGAGATTATTCCGGTCAATTTGACACCAAACACGGTATATTTTAGATGATTTTTAGAATTTTCGCTACGAGACCCATACAGTAACCAGAACTGCAAAATTTATCAAAAATAGGTCATGTGGGGTGTCAAACTGACCGGAATCATCTGAAAAGTCTGAAAATCGAGTCTGGGACTCAAAACCAAAATTTTGAGGACTCGATTTTTGTAGATTTCGAGAATTTTATGAAAATTATTTGTTTCTATGAGTTTTCCCGAGTTCCTAAGATTATTCCGTTCATTTTGACACCAAACACGATATATTTTGAAGGATTTTTAGAATTATAATTTTCGCTTCGCTACGGGACCCATACAGTAACCCGAACTGCAAAATTCATCAAAAATACGTCATGTGGGGTTTCAAACTGACCGGAATCATCTGGAAAACTCGAAAATCCCCGAAAAACTCACCGGTGGAAATGGTTTGGTGCGTTTAAATCTGACTAATCCCGAAGTACTTTCAGCAAAAAACCACCTCATCCGGTGTCATGTTCATCTTCTTCTGTTTGTCTTTGAGTGCTTGCATTTCGAAGCGTTTTCGGTAAATCTGAAAAAATAGCCAATTTTGGGGTTGAAAATTGGGAATTTCAGCCAAAAAAAGACCAACTAACTTTATTGATTCGATGATCTTCCAACGTGTTTTTAAGAGCCTCAAAACTTGGAAATTGTATGTCTGGATTGTCGGTTTTCATTCGAGATTCTGCAAAAAAATTCGGGTGATTTTAGGTCGGATTTTTGAATTTCAGGTCAATTTTAGGTCGAAAATTGGTAATTTTATTGAGAAATCACACTTTCCAGGGTGAATTTTGATGAAAATTTCAGATTTTCGAGTGGAAAATCTTCAAAATTCCATTTTCCTCACCAAATCCCGCGTGCAAAACATCCAAACTCAAATCCGTAAACTCAGCCATCAATCTCAAATCATAAACCGCAACTCTTAGGCGAATCTGCATCTCGTCTTGTAAACAATCTGATGTATGATCGGTTCGAACTCGAAGTTCTTGAAAACTTGGCGAAGATCGGATGGAACCATCACAAAGGGGATTTACGCACGTCCACACGTTCCACATTGATTCGGAGACCTGGAATCGAGATTTTTGGTTGAAAATATGCTGGAAATTCGGATTTTCCAGTTGAAAATCAAACTTTTTCATGACAACAAGCTTCTGGAGCTGAAAATCCACGTTTTTTCAGCTAAATAAACCAATATTTTCATAGAAACTTGGTTTTGAACTTAGAAATCGACAATTTTCGGTTCAAAAACTAGTTTTTGATATAAAATAACTTTTACGAGCTGAAAATTCACGTTTTTAAGCTGGAAATTCGGATTTTCCGATTGAAAATCAAACTTTCCCATGAAAACAAGCTTCTGGAGCTGAAAACCCACGTTTTTCAGCTAGAAAATCGATATTTTCATGAAAATCTAGGTTTTTCAGCTCAAAAATCGAACTTTCATACGGAAATGAGCTTTAGGGACGTGAATTTGAGATTTTTCAACTTCCCGAGCTAAAACATCACGTTTTTCAGCTGGAAAATCGAAGTTTTTCAATTAAAAATCAAACTTTCTCATGAAAACAAGCTTCTGGGGCTTGAAATTCAGGTTTTTCAGCCTGAAAATCTAGATTTTTCAGCTAATTCTCAGTTCAAAAACTAGTTTTTGATATAAAACAAGCTTCTGGAGCTGAAAATTCACAATTTTAAGCTAGAAAATCGATTTTTTCATGAAAATCTAGGTTTTTCAGCTCAAAAATTTCAAATTGTCGAGCAAAAAAAGCTGAAAATTCACGTTTCGCAGCTCAAAATTCAATATTTTCAGGTTTTCGAGCACTTTTCCCCAAATTTCAACAAAAAACTCACATATCCCACAATCGTATACAAAAATCCCTCAAAAGCCACTTGTCTCTGACATCTTTTATTAAAACACAGGCTCATCTTCTCGCCATTCGTAAAACTGATCGTTTTGCTCATCAAATCCGGCAAATTCAGTGTCAAAAGTGGAATTCCGTCTCTGACAGGCAACAATGATGGATAACTATCGATTTCCTCGTATTCCATTGGGAGATGTTGCATGTCAATGTCCACATATTCTTGATCTTGATGTCCGTCTTGAGTTATCACAACTTCTTCAATCGGATGCTCATCGAGCCATTCATGCTCCACTTCTTCATCATCTTCTTCACCAATTATTTGACCTTGAACATTAGCCATCTGAAAATTTGTTGAAAACGCGGTGAAAAACGGAAAAAAAATAAAAATATTTTTTGTTGGGGACTAGCTTTTGTGTCGGCTGTTCGGCCACGCGTTGTTCGGCCATCTCCTTTTTTTATTTTTGGCTAGGAATTTTGGACCTGGTAGGCCTAGCCTATAGGCTAAGGCTTGATTTTATTTTTGCGCCTGAAGTTAGGTCCAAAGCTAGGATTAAGCCCAAAATATAAATGGGCTTATTTACCATCAAATTTCGCGCAAAAAATCATCAAAAACTTCATTCTCAAAAAATTTTCAGTATATACACAAAACTATCAAAAAAAAAATGCAGAAAAAACATGAAAACTAAAAAAAACCCGGTAAAATTTGGGGGGGAAAAATTGAATTTTCAAAAATAATTTTAAAGGCACACAGGTCATGATGTTTAAACTTCAGGCCGATCTGTAACCGACGATTTTTCGGGTTGAATTTTCGAGTTTTTCGCCTTTTGTCGTGAGCCGCCCGATTTTTGTGCGGGTTTCGGACGTTGAGCGGCGGCCCCTTTTGGCCTACAGGCCCAGCGAATCGAGTCGAGAAGAATGAGAATAGCGGGAAGAAAGACGAGACCGTGCAAGTTGCAAAGAACAACACACAGAACCATGGTTTTGACGAAAACCTGAAGAAAATTGGAGATTTGGGGAGAATTTTTTTGAATTTTCAAATGCCACGTGGCAATTTTGCTCACCTCCGCCATATACAAATTGACAAAGAGCAAACTACAAACACACAAAATTGTCGAAACTGCGGCTTGCAGGGCGGGAAAAGCCACCGATGAAAGACAATTGGCCAATCGAGAAGATGGTGGAGACATTGGTCCTTCTTGAATTGCTGCAAATTTCGGGATTTTGAGATTTTGGGGTTACTGTAGGCGCGTCGGGACCCAAAAATTCGAGAATTTCCGGAAATTTTGAGTCTAAACATGATATGCTTTGCCACGTGGCATTATTTCTGAGCTTCAGATTTACAACTTAAGATATTTGATCATCTAGGGTTACTGTAGGCGCGTCGGGACCCAAAAATTTACAATTTTCTGAAAATTTGGTAGAAAATGACCTACAGTAATCTGTGGTACTGTAGTTCTATGTGCCTTTGAATTCTACACACTTTGAGATCATTTTTTATTTAGAAAAAATTTTGAAACGTATTTCTCGCGGCAAAAAATGATCTACAGTAACCCGGCTTATTTGGTATCAAAAAATTCCAAATTGTTGACACGTGGCAGCTACAGTAACCCGCCAAAAAACCCTACAGTAATCTTGAGCCTAGGCATGTTTGGTCTCAAAAAATTCCAAATTGTTGACACGTGGCAGCTACAGTAACCCTAAAAATCCAGAATTTTCGCGCCAAAAATTCCTACAGTAATCCTAAGCCTAGGCATGTTTGGTATCAAAAAATTCCAAATTGTTGACACGTGGCAGCTACAGTAACCCGAGGTTTCAAAAAAAAATTTAGCGCCACAAACCCTACAGTAACCCTAAGCCTAGTCATATTTGGTATCAAAAAATTCCAAATTGTTGACACGTGGCAGCTACAGTAACCCGAAAAATCCAGAATTTTCGCACCACAAACCCTACAGTAACCCTAAGCCTAGTCATATTTGGTATCAAAAAATTCCAAATTGTTGACACGTGGCAGCTACAGTAACCCGAAAAATCCAGAATTTTCGCACCACAAACCCTACAGTAACCCTAAGTCTAAGCTTATTTGGTCTCAAAAGATTCCAAATTGTTGACACGTGGCAGCTACAGTAACCCGAAAAATCCAGAATTTTCGCGCCAAAAAATTCCTACAGTAATCGTTCGATCTACAGTAACCCGGCTTATTTGATCTCAAAAGATTCCAAATTTTCGAATCAGGCCAAAACTCTACAGTACCCTAAGCCTAGTCATATTTGGTCTCAAAAAATTCCCCCTCGAAAAAACTGACAAGCCTGATAATAATGATAGCTAACATGTGCCGGAATATCCACCGAAAATCCAATAGAAATAATCATAGCAGCCATGGTGATCGGGTCCAAATCCACTCCCCACCACGATAAAATTCCCAAAATTCCCGCGCAAATCGATAGAACCGACATTGAGGCAATTGCCACAGTGAACAGATTATTGAGAAAAACAAAACACACAAAAGCCATACAGACAAGAGTTCCCAGAACTGATTGCATTGTATCGAATGGCATATTATCGATCAAATCCAGATAGATTCCATCTTCGTGGAAAACTGATGCGCCAAAATCTCTGGAATATTTGATTTTGGATTACTGTAAGCGCTTCGGGACCCAAAAATTCGAAAGATCTACAGTACTCACTTATATTCATCAACCACACTTCTCCATTTTTTCAACATCAATCCACGTTGCGTCCAAACCGACAGATTCTGACCGTGATAGCCGGTGGTGAAGAAGAATTTGTCCAAAACTTGAGCGCTGCAGAAAATTTGGGGGTTTTTTGGGGAGTTAAGGGGCGGCTCCTTGAGAATAGAGAGCCTAAAGACGCGGCTCCTTGACAGAAAGTTTGAGAAGGCGCGGCTCCTTGACAAGATCAACTCTCAAGGAGCGGATCCTTGACAAATCTAATGACAAGGCGCGGCTCCTTGGGGAAATAAAACCTCAAGAAGCGGCTTCTTGACAGGATAAACCCTCAAGGGGCGGTTTCTTGACAGAAAGTTTGAGAAGGCGCGGCTTCTTGACAAGACAAACTCTCAAGGCGCGGCTCCTTAAAAGAAAGGTTGAGAAGGGGCGGCTTCTTGAGAATAGAGAGCCTGAAGGCGCGGCTCCTTGACAAGATGAACTCTCAAGGCGCGGTTCCTTGGGGAAATAAAACCTCAAGGAGCGACTCCTTGACAAGATAAACCCTCAAGGGGCGGCTCCTTAAAAGAAAGGTTGAGAAGGCGCGTCTTCTTGAGAATAGAGAGCCTAAAGGCGCGTCTCCTTGACAAGACAAACTCTCAAGGCGCAGCTCCTTGACAGAAAGTTTGAGAAGGTGCGGCTCCTTGGAGAAATAAAACCTCAAGGATCTACTCCTTGACAAGACAAACTCTCAAGGAGCGGATCCTTGACAAGATAATCTCTCAAGGCGTGGCTCCTTGAGAACAAATTGCCCAAAGGCGCGGCTCCTTGACAAAAAAAAACTCACTCAGGATCCGTGGTATTCGTGGCATTTTTGGTTTTCACAAAACCCTGCCAAAAATCGTATTCGGGCCAATTCAGAAAGTATTTCAGCTCATCTTCACGGTATGTCATTTTATCATCCGAATGTACAGTAACCTCTTTCTCACTCTCAAAATCCTCTTCCTCCTCTTCTTCATCTTCGCTTCCGAATGCTGGAGGAAAAAAATTTGATCTACAGTAACCCTGGGCATGTTTGGTGTCAAAAAATGGCAAATTTTTGAGCCTAGGCTTCTACAGTAACCCATCACCTACACTGTTGGAAGACATCATAATCTCTGCAAAAATATTTGGTTCCAACTTCGCCCCACGATTTTCCCCAACTTCCATTCAACGCCTCCATTTCTCGAATAAATCTGGAATAAATTTCAGATTTTTTTGGCGCCACGTGGATTTTTTGGCGCCAAAAAAACCCACTTATTCAATCTCATCAATCTTTGTGGATCTTCCAAATTTCCGGGATTATTCACAAATACCGTAGCCATTGAGAAATGCGGCACCTGATACTGTACTCGCAAATCATCGAGTTCCAAAAGTGGCGAATCCAACGCGAATAGTTTTTGAGCCGTCAGATTTATGTTGACTTGAGTTATGCCCTGCGCAAAAAACAAATCGGATTACGGTAAATACGTCTGGGGTTACTGTAGGCGAAAAATTTCGAAATTTTTGATAGTAAACAAGCCTAGGATTACTGTAGATTTTGAAAGTTTGAATCTTGCATTTTTCTACAGTAATCGTAAGTCAAAAAATTTCGATTTTTGGCATCTACAGTACCCCTAGTCATATTTGGTCCAAAAAATCAGAATCTACAGTAACCCAAGGCTTGTTTACTATCAAAAAATCCGAAATTTTTGATCTACAGTAACCCAAGGCTTGTTTACTATCAAAAAATCCAAAATTTGTGATCTACAGTACCCCTAGGCTTTTTTACTATCGAAAAATCCGAAATTTTTGATCTACAGTAACCCAAGGCCATCTACTCAGGACTACTGTATGTGCCTTTAAAAATTCCACAAAACTTCGCATGTTCCTTTAAACCTCCTACAGTAACCCTGAGCTTGTTTGGTATCAGAATGCGTGGACTTTTCTTGGGACTACTGTATGCGCCTTTGAAAATTTGAAAAAAACGCTTTCATTTTTTGCAAGGCTTTTTAAAGTTCCTGAAAAATTTACATGTCCCTTGAAACTTCCTACAGTAACCCAAGGCTTGTTTACTATCAAAAAATCCGAAATTTTTGATCTACAGTACCCCTAAGCATGTTTGGTATCAAAAAATCCCAAATTTTCGCGCCAAAATCACTCACATAAATACTGAAAGCCAGATAGGCAATGTAGAGCACACAAATTCCGACAAAAACCAGGGGGGTCGTCATCAAATGCGTGTATTTTTGTAGGCTTTCACTGATGATCGGCTGAGTTGCTTCGTGGAATTTGGAAGGTTGGCGCTGCAGAGAAAAAAATGATGACACGTGGATTACTGTAGTCCTACCGTATACCTACCGTAAGCGGTCGATGATGTCTGGCAATGTTGACGCGATTTTCGGCAATGTTGATTTCCATGCGATTTTTGTCGACCTCGTCGGTGCCGAACTCGAATTTTCCAACAATGGACATCAGGCCCGCGTAGAAGGTCATCTGGCAAAAATCATTTAGGGTTACTGTAGGCGCGTCGGGACCCAAAAATTCAAAAATTCCCGGAAATTTTGAGTCCAAACATGATATGCTTTGCCATTTTTTCTGAGCTTCAGATTTTCTTCTTACTGTAGGCGCGTCGGGACCCGAAAATTCAAATTTTACTAAAAATGTTTATTCTGAAAATAATCTACAGTAATCTGGGGTACTGTAGTTCTATGTGCCTTTAAATTCTAGGCTTGGGTACTGTAGATTTTTTTATTTTGAAAAAATTTTGAAACGTATTTTTTTCGCGGCAAAAATTGATCTACAGTAACCCGGCTTATTTGGTCTCAAAAAATTCCAAATTTTTGACACGTGGCAACTACAGTAATCCTAAGCCTAGGCATGTTTGGTCTCAAAAAATTCCAAATTTTTGACACGTGGCAGCTACAGTAACCCAAGGTTTCAAAAAAAAATTTCGCGGCAAAAATTGATCTACAGTAACCCGGCTTATTTGGTCTCAAAAAATTCCGAATTGTTGACACGTGGCAGCTACAGTAACCCTAAGCCTAGGCATGTTTGGTCTCAAAAAATTCCAAATTTTTGACACGTGGCACCTACAGTAACCCTAAGTCTAGGCATGTTTGGTCTCAAAAAATTCCAAATTTTCGCGCCAAAAAAAACCCTACAGTAACCCTAAGCTTAGGCTTATTGGTACTAAAAAAAATACCTGATAAATGAACGCAAACCACATCGACAACATATTTCCGGCACAAAGCAGCGTGATTTCGGGCGACGACGTGAACGCGCCGACAAAATCGGCAAACATGTTGGTGAGGCAGGAAATGAGGATGGCGGGTCCGACTTCGGCCATCACTTCGCTCATTCGATGTCCGACACTGTCTTTTTTTCTCGGCGTCTCTCGCATATGCTTGGTGACTCGCTGCCATTCGTGAATCATTAGGTAGGAGGAATCGACGCCGATTGACAAGACGAGAAATGGAATGACGCAGAGGATGGAGGCGAAACGGATTCCGCAGAGGAACATTACGGCGAGTGCGGTTGAACAGGCGAGAAGTGGAGTTAGGCATGCCATGATGGCAAGAATTATCTGCAAGATATTATTGGGGATTTTCTCTGCGTCTCTAGCTGTCTCTTTTTCTCTAGCTGTCTAGCTTCTCTGCGTCTCTAACTTCCTAGATGTTTTATACTGCGTCTCTAATTGTCTCTTTTTCTCTAGCTGTCTAGCTTCTCTGCGTCTCTGACTATGGCAAAAATCTCTAGCTGTCTAGCCTCTCTCTCTCTCCTTCTCATTTTCCAATTCTCTCTAGCTGTCTAGCTTCTCTGCGTCTCTAACTTGCTAGCAGTTTTTCTCTGCATCTCTCATCTTCTCTCTATCTCTAGTTGTCTAGCTTCTCTGCGTCTCTAACTTTCCTACGCTGTCTAGATTCCCTGCATCTCTCACATTCTCTATATCTCTAGCTGTTTAGCTACTCTGCGTCTCTCACTATAACAAATATCTCTAGCTGTCTAGATTCTCTGCGTCTCTAACTTCCAAGCAGTTTTTATCTGCGTCTCTCACCTCCTCCTTATCTCTAGCTGTCTAGCTACTCTGCGTCTCTCACTTCCTCTTCATCTCTAGCTGTCTAGCTTCTCTCTCTCTCTCTCCTTCACATTTTCCAATGATCTCTAGCTGCCTGGCTTCTCTGCGTCTCTAATTTTCTCTCTGTCTCTAGCTGCCTGGCTTCTCAGCGTCTCTCACTTTCCCACGCTGTCTAGATTCTCTGTATCTCTCACCTTCTCTCTATCTCTAGCTGCCTGGCTTCTCTGCGTCTCTCTCTTTCCCACGTTGCCTAATTTCTCTGCATCTCTCACCTTCTCTCTATCTCTAGCTGTCTAGCTTCTCTGCGTCTCTCAATTTCCCACGCTATCTAGATTCTCTACGTCTCTCACTATAGCAAAAATCTGTAGCTGTCTAGCCTCTCTCACCTTCTCTCTATCTCTAGCTGTCTCATTTCTCTGCGTCTCTCACCTTCTCTCTATCTCTAGCTGTCTAGCTTCTCTGCGTCTCTAACCAGCTCTCTTATCGTATATCAAAATGCTCCAAATCGCGTGCGCGCACTTCAAAACTCTACAGTACCCCGAACTACAAAACTACCGTACCTTATAAAAATTCTCCTGATGCATATAAAGTGCACGAGTCATCACCAGAATACAACTACAAACACACATAATCGAGAAGCCGACGACGAGGTACGGTATCATTATAATACCACCGCGCACCATTTCCTCTTCCACGTACGTTTGAGAATATGAGTAGATTTTCAGGCGTTTTGAGTTGTAGTTTCTGGAAAAATTTTGGATTTAAAGGCGCATACAGTATTCTCTAGAAAATTCTGATTGTTTTGAGACCAAATAACCCCAGGATTACTGTAGGAGGTTTCAAGGGACATGTCAGGAATTTTAAAAAGCCTTGCAAAACATGAAAGCGTTTTTTTTCTAATTTTCAAAAGCGCATACAGTAATCCCAAAAAAAATCCACGCATTTTGAGACCAAATAAGCTCGGGGTTACTGTAGCAGGTTTCAAGGAACATACAAAGTTTTGTGGAATTTTAAAGGGACATACAGTAGTCTTAAGAAAATTCTGATTGTTTTGAGACCAAATAAGCCCAGGGTTACTGTAGAAGGTTTCAAGGGACATACAGTATTCCCTAGAAAATTCTGAATGTTTTGAGACCAAATAAGCCTAGGGTTACTGTAGCAGGTTTCAAGGCGCATACAGTAGTCCCAAGAAAATTCTAAGCATTTTGATACCAAATAAGCTCAGGGTTACTGTAGCAGGTTTCAAGGAACATGTCAGTTTTTCAGAAATTAAAAAAAATGAAAGCGTTTTTTTCCAAATTTTCAAAGGCGCATACAGTAATCCCGCGCATTTTGACACCAAATAATCCCAGGGTTACTGTAGGAGGTTTAAAGGAACATGCGAAGGAATTTTTATAGGCGCATACAGTAGTCCTGAAAGAAAACATTCCACGTGTAAATTTGCTGCCACTGCCACGTGGCTAAAAAAATCTATTTACAGTAACCCTAGTCATATTTGGTCTCAAAAAATCGCAAATTTTCAAAATCTACAGTACCCCAGGCTCTACCGTATTCACTAACTTCTCAAAAATCTCCACCAATTGCATTTCCCATTTTTTGATCTCCTCATCTTTCCATCCCGCCTTGTGTTCGGCTCGAAATTGCAACGTGATCATTTTGACACTTTTCACATTTGTGATCTTCGAAACTGCCATAGGTTCTGCTGTAGAATTTGAAGTTTCAGCAGCAACATCGAGATTTTCATCATCATTTCCAGCCAAAATCTTCGCAGCTTGATCCGAATTTTCAAAAGTTTCGACGCCGAAAAAATTGGGCTGAAGTGAGAATTGACGGCCGAACATTTCCGAAATCGGATAATTCATTTTGATTCGAGAATTGTCGCCACCGTCGTTCAGAATTTTGTAGCCATTCTGGAAGAAACGGGAAAAATTGAGTGAGGATTTTTAAAGGGACATAGAAGGTGGTACTGTAGGTGGGGGGTTTTTGGCGCGAAAAAAAATAAATTGATTTGAATTTTTGAAATTAGCTCAAAATATTTTTTAAAGGGACATAGAAGGAGTACTGTAGGTGAGGGGTTTTTGGCGCGAAAAAAACAAATTGATTTGAATTTTTTTAAATTTGCTTGTTAAAATATTTTTAAAGGGACATAGAGTACTGTAAGTGGGTTTTTTGGCGCAAAATTCGAATTTTTCGATAGAATTTGTCGGGTACTGTAGGGCTGAGTTTCGGCGCCAAAAACGTAGATTTGAATTTTTTTGAAAAAATTGGATTTCAAAGGGACACAGAGTACTGTAGTTGAATTTTCTGAATTTACAGTACCCTAAGCATGTTTGGCATCAAAAAACTCGAATTTTTCGCGCCAAAACCATCTACAGTACCCCTAAGCATGTTTGGTATCACAAGACTCGGAATTTTCGCGCCAAAATCATCTACAGTACCCCTAAGCATGTTTGGTATCAAAAAACTCCAAATTTTCGCGCCAAAACCATCTACAGTACCCCTAAGCATGTTTGGTCTCAAAAAATCCGGAATTTTCGCGCCAAAATCATCTACAGTACCCCTAGGCATATTTGGTCTCAAAAAACTCCAAATTTTCGCGCCAAAACCATCTACAGTACCCTAAATTCATAAAAACTCACATAAAACTGTCGAACCGGCTCATTAATCTGACAAAAATTCTGACAAAACTGATTAAAAGTCTCATTTTTGTTGGATGTCGCATCAAACATTGTGATATTATTCATGGCAAAATTCAAAACTTGAATAGTTTCCTCCAAATAATCGGGTCTCGTCATACTTCCGTTATCTTTTGCTATGATGAAAAGATAGGCGGCGACAGCAAGACCTTCGGATGAGAAAAATCGAGAATATTCTGTGTATTCGGTGAGAGCTCGTGCACCATATGGAGAATATCCGGTTATATCGTTTTTTTGTCTGCAAAAATTTGGAGCATTTTGATATGAAATGAGCCTAGGGTTACTCTGCGTCTCTAACCATCTATTTTTGTATAGCTGTCTAGCTTCTCTGCGTCTCTAACCATATATTTTTCTCTAGATGTCTAGCCCCTCTGCGTCTCTAACCATATATATTTTTCTCTAGATGTCTAGCCCCTCTGCATCTCTAACTTCCTAGTGATTTCTAGCCGTCTGGCTTCTCTGTGTCTCTAACCATATTTTGGGTTCAAAAATTAATTTTTCTAGGATAAAATTTAACGTAGAATCCGAATTTCAGGTCAAAAAATTTAAAAACATTCCAAAAATCTAGCCGCTCTGCGTCTCTAACCATCTATTTTTCTCTAGCTTCTCTGCGTCTCTCACTATATCAATAATCTCTAGCTGTCTGGCCGCTCTGCTTCTCTAGCATCCTCACTATATCAAATAATTCTAGCTGTCTGGCCTCTCTGCGTCCCTCGCCATCTGGTTGTCTAGTTTCTCTACCTCTCCAATTATCTCTAGCTGTCTAACTTCCCCCTCTGCGTCTCTAACCATCTCATTTTCTCTAGCTTACCTATGTCTCTCACTCTCTAAATTTCTCTAGCTGTCTAGCCGCTCTGTGTCTCTCACTCTCTAATTATCTCTAGCTGTCTAGCCTCTCTGCGTCTCTAATCATCTCATTTTCTCTGGCTTATCTGTGTCTCTCATTTCCTAGTTATCTCTAGCTGTCTAGCCGCTCTGTGTCTCTCACTCTCTAATTATCTCTAGCTGTCTAGCCGCTCTGCGTCTCTAACCATCTCATTTTCTCTGGCTTATCTGTGTCTCTCACTCTCTAATTATCTCTAGCTGTCTAGCCGCTCTGTGTCTCTCACTCTCTAATTATCTCTAGCTGTCTAGCCGCTCTGCGTCTCTAACCATCTCATTTTCTCTGGCTTATCTGTGTCTCTCACTCTCTAATTATCTCTAGCTGTCTAGTAATCTCTATCTAGTTGTCTAGTTTCTCTACGTCTCTAACCATCTAGCTATCTCTAGTTGTCTAGCATCTCTATGTGTCTAATCATCCATTTTTCTCTAGCTTACCTGTGTCTCTCACTCTCTAATTATCTCTAGCTGTCTAGTTATCTCTATCTAGTTGTCTAGTTTCTCTACGTCTCTAATTATCTCTAGCTGTCAAGCCGCTCTGCGTCTCTAACCATCTATTTTTCTCCAGATTACCTGTGTCTCTCACTCTCTAATTATCTCTAGCTGTCTAGCCGCTCTGAGTCTCTAACCATCTATTTTTCTCTAGCTCACCTGTGTCTCTCGCTCTCTAATTATCTCTAGCTTTCTAGTTATCTCTATCTAGTTGTCTAGTTTCTCTCACTCTCTAATTATCTCTAGCTGTCTATCTAGCCCCCGTCTGCGTCTCTAACTCACTTCGTCGTCACAATCTTCAACACCGACAACGCCGAAACAATCAAACAAATCACAATGGCAATCCACGCGTGTTTCGCAATCAAAAATCCCCACGATCTGAACTTCTCAATAATCCATCGCACAAATTTCGGACCCTGATCCACCTCATTATAAACATCCAAACTGCGTTGGCCGATGAGCAGCGATTGTCGACGGGGGCGTTGCGCCAGCGATGTGCCGCCGCCACCCGGCAAACTCGAGCTGAGCTGCGGTTGCACCACTTGAACACCGCCGACGCCGCCCACTTCCATTGATTGCGTTTTGGAGAGCGCGAGATGCGGTGGAGGGGCGGAAGAGGAGGCGGAAGAAGCGGTTGGTGGGGGAGGAGCTGGTGACGGAGCCACTGCTGATTCTGGAAATTTATATTATTTTGAGGGTAGAGACGCAGAGAAGCTTTAGAAATAGAGATAATTGGGAAGCTAGAGACATAGAGAAGCTATAGAACTAGAGATCATTGGAATGTGAGAGACAGAGAGAAGCTAGACAGCTAGAGACGCAGAGAAACTAGACAGCTAGAGATGATTGGGAAGCTAGAGACAGAGAGAAGCTAGACAGCTAGAGATACTTGGAAAGCTAGAGACGCAGAGTAGCTAGACAGCTAGAGAAAATATATGGTTAGAGAGGCAGAGAAGCTAGACAGCTAGAGATAATTGGGAAGCTAGAGACGCAGAGAAGCTATAGAACTAGAGATGAGAAACAAGCTAGAGACGCAGAGAAGCTAGACAGCTAGAGATAGTTGGGATGTGAGAGACGCAGAGAAGCTATAGAACTAGAGATAATTGGGATGTGAGAGACATAGAGAAGCTAGACAGCTAGAGATGATTGGAATGTGAGAGACGCAGAGAAGGTAGAGCTAGAGATGAGAAACAAGATAGAGACGCAGAGAAGCTAGACAGCTAGAGAAAATATATGGTTAGAGACGCAGAGAAGTCAGAGGCAAAAATTAAAATAAAATAAAAAATTTAAAATTCAGAATTTTCAGAAGGAATTTATCCCTAAAAAATTTTTTTTACGAAAATTTCCAGAATTTTAGATTTTCAGCACTAAAATTTTGCGCTAAATTCAAAAAACTGCACGGTGATTCATGTAAAAAAAATGAGAGGTTATTATAAACTTAGGAACACTTGAAAATTAGTTGAGATTTTTGGTCATTTGACGAATTTCTTTTCGCGTCAAAAAAATTTCGATTTTGCAAAGATCAAGTTTTTTTTTTGAAATTTCAAGTGTTTTTTTTTGGGCGCAAAAATCAGAAATGTGCACTTTTTTTGATCTACAGTAATTTCGAAAATTCAAAAATTCAAATCAAAATTTTTGGCGCCTCAAAAAAATCGAAAAAAAATCAGTACAAACAAAAATAAATATCTTTCTAATCACGATTTTTCGCCGATTTTTTAGTGTAAAAATCTAAACAGTCAGATAAATGAAGATGCAGCCAAAAAAAAAAAAAAGACACATTTTTGGGAACAAATTGCGAGAGAGAGAGAGAGAGAGAGAGAGAGAGAGAGAGAGAGAGAGAGAGAGAGAGAGAGAGAGAGAGAGAGAGAGAGAGAGAGAGAGAGAGAGAGAGAGAGAGAGAGAGAGAGAGAGAGAGAGAGAGAGAGAGAGAGAGAGAGAGAGAAACCAAAACTATTACTACCACAAAAAATATTTACACAAATAAAATTATGCCGTTTTTTTCTCGACAGAGAGGCTTTGGCGCCAACATTTTCTGGATTACTGTAGAATCAAATTTTTTTTTTTAATTTTTGAATTTCGGCGCCTTGCGAAAAAATTCAAGTTTAAAAATGTTTTTTTAACATCGAAAGATCAATTCACGAAAATTCAAAAAATTTCGAAAAAACATTGTAGGTCAAAATTAGTTTTTCAAGTTTTTCAGCCAAAAATGATGACAAATCAATATTTTTTAAGCTTCTCGAGTAATTTCTGATGAAAATAAGCTTCGAGAACCCTATTTTGCTTTATTTTATGAATTTTTTCGAAATTCATCAAAATTTAAAATTTTTTTATTTTACGAAAAATCAGCAAAACCTTCTGGAAAGTGAATTCAGGTCAATTTTCATCAGAAATTACTCCAGAAGCTTCAAAAATATTGATTTGTCATCATTTTTGGCTGAAAAACTCGAAAAACTAAGACATTTTTTGACTTTTCGTGAATTGATCTTTCGAAGTTAAAAATGCATTTTTTAACATTTTTTCGTTCGTGAATCAGCCCTGAAAAATTCAAATTTTCAAAAATAAATTGGAAATTCAAAAAAAAATCGCCAAAAAAGTTGTCTCAGGTGATATTTGATAATGATCAACACAAAAAACTGTGTTGATGATAATTATTATGTTTTTAGTACACACACAAAACATCTCTACCGGTTTTTTTTCAAAAAAAAAAAAAGACAAGTGAAAACAATTAGATGATCAAGAAGATTAGCAAAGTAACATTTTTTTCAGAAAAAAAAGTTTTCAGAAAAATTTGGAAAAGGGTACTGTATGATCCTTTAAGTTTAAAACCCAGTAAATAAATTACAGTATGTTCCTTTGAAAAAAGCATACGGTATTTCACTTTAAAAATAATTTACAGTATGTTCCTTTAAAAATAGCATACAGTATTTCCCTTTAAAAATAATCTACAGTCTGTTCCTTTGAAAATAGCATACGGTATTTCCCTCTAAAAATAATTTACAGTATGTTCCTTTGAATTTGAACTACTGTATGTTCCTTTAAAAATAATTTACAGTATGTTCCTTTAAAAATAGCATACTGTATTTCCCTTTAAAAATAATTTACAGTATTTCCTTTAAAAATAATTTACAGTATGTCCCTTTAAAAATAGCATACTGTATTTCCATTTAAAAATAATTTACAGTATGTCCCTTTAAAAATAACCTACAGTATGCATGTTCCTTTAATTAAAAAACCCCAGAAAATAATAAAATTTACAAGAAATAGTGGAAAAAATATGGTTTCACCTTACTGTTTATTTTTTTTTGGTATTGTTCAAAGAAAAAAGTGTCGTCGTCCAAAAACTGGTTCAAAAAACATACAACTTTTTGCCCTGGGACAATGAAATTAAAGCAAACGAAAATTAATTGGGAAACTGGAAATTTCGGGTTTTTATTTTTAGGCAAAGATTTTTAACTTTTCTAGCTCGAAACTAAATTTTGGCGCCAAAAAAAAATCTCAAAATGAAGGTCAAAACTTTGCGAGGAAAAAAAGAGAATTAGAGAAAAGTGTGGTTGAAGAAGAAAAAGAAAAAACCTGACAGAATATTTGTGAGAAAAGTTGTTTCTGTATTGATCTCTTCTTCTTTACTACTGAAACAAATTTGAAGCGTACAAAAACGAGGCAAAAAAAAAATCGAAAGTGAGGAGAAGCCTTGTCAGACACAAATTATTATACAATTTTTTCTCTCTCACAAGTTTTTGTGTGTGTGTGTAAATAGAATTGACAAATTATATGGGGGAAAAATAGAGATTACTGTATTTTTTGGCGCGAAAATCTGATAGTAAATGAAGTACTGTAGGCGCCAAAACTTCCTCATTCAAAAAAAAATTCTGCACTTTCAAGCATCCTTCATCTTTTGAAAAAATCAGAAAAAAATACAGTACCCCCCAGGATTACTGTAGTTTTTTTTTGAAAAAAACCCAAGGTCAAAAAAGATTTCTTATTTTATGCTAATTTTTCTGCTGTCACATCGAAAAAAAAAATTGTGTTTGAAGGTCAAAATTACACCTCAAAAAATGGGTGTTCCGATTTTCTCTTTGATTTGTTCAAATTGGGGAAAAAACTCACGGGATCATCGATTTTTCCATGCATTTTCGGGATGATTTTTGATGATTTGAAGCTGAAAACACAGGAATACTGTATATTTTGGCGCAAAAACTCACTTTCTCTTTTAAATTTTCTAGAAATACCACATTTTCCAACTGCAAAACGCGAACAACACGTTTGCAAAAAAAAATCGAAAAAAAAAAAACATTTTTTTTTGAAGAAAATATTTCGCGGGATGTTTGCAAATATCACTTCGAGACCCAACACAATTTCTCAATGTTCCTTTAACATCTCCACCGTAATTCAATAATTTTCCGAGTCCTCTTTTTCAACGACATTTGACGCTGGTCGCAGAGAGTGCGTGCATAGTTCAGTGGCAGCGCGTTTTGCCAGCAATCCGAAGACCAAAGTTCGAGTTTTGCTTCCAGCGAAGTTTTTTGTTTTTATTTTTATTTTCGAAAAAAACTGTCTAGACAGTTTTGTTTCGTTATAAAATTCCACGAGACAGCCATATTCTTGTGAAAAATGTTGATTTTATTCTCAATTTTCGTAATTTTCCCAATTGTTTTCGCGGATTTCGAACCCTCAATTGAATCGTGTTTGGCGTGTCAGGACAAAAATCTGACATTGGCTCAAGACATCGTGGGAAAGGTACTACTAAAATTATTTTTAAATTTTGGAAAAATCTGAATTTACTTCAGGAATGCAAAGATCGATTTGATAACGAGGCGTTGATTGCTCATTGTAAGGAGCCGATTGGGGATAAAATAAAAGCGGTGAAAAAATGGACGCATGTCGGACATTTTTATGATATGAAAAGTTGCATTCAGGCGGAATTGTGTCCGAAAATGGAGCAGTGTAAATATTGATTGAATTTTTGACACAATAAAGTGTGTTGGGTCTTGCCGCGATTGGTATGCGCCTTTAAGAAAATTTCCACGTAAAAGAAGTGTTTTAAAAAGTTCTGGACTGTCTAGATTTCATATTTTATGCGTTAAATCATGTGAAAACTGTCTGAAAATCATAAGAAATCTGAAATTTCGAAATTCCCCTCCCTGCTTCGAGGGACTAGTTTTTGTGGCCTAGAAAACGCGTGTAGTTCTCCCGGACAATTTTTTTTTCGAAATTTTTTTTTCTGTTTTTCGCCTCGCGTCATCATTTACTAAGAAAATTTCTCAATAAAACGAGTTTTTTTTTACAATTCCTCAACTTTTACTTGTTCTCCACTAAACCTTTTGTCATTTATTTTTGGTTCGGTCGAAAATATGACGGAAAAATCGCAAAATAATGAAGTTTATCCGAAATTGACGGAAAATGGTGAGTTTTTGGTGGGGAAAACGGGGTTTTGCTGATTTTTTTTTCAAATTTTCAGATTCAGAAAAGGGTGCGGGAGTGGATGAGAAGCCGCCAGCGTACGAAAAAACGCACGGAAAACTGTTTGGCGAGGTGGCCGATTGGAATTTGGTGATGAAGGCGGCGGATTTTGCGGCGCGCCGCCATCGACATCAGAAACGCAAGGATAATGTTACACCGTATATCAATCATCCGCTTGGTGGGTGCAATTTTGGCGGGAAATTTGAATTTTAGCTCAAAAAATCGCAAATTTTCACCCAAAAATCAATTTCAGGAGTCGCCTACATTCTGACAAGCGAAGCCAACGTTTTCGATCCGGTAACCCTGGCCTCCGCTGTTTTACACGATGTCGTCGAAGACACAAAGACGACGTTGGAAGAGATTTTAGCGGAATTCGGCCAGGAGGTTCACGATGTTGTTAAAGAATGCTCAGATGATAAAACATTGCCGAAAGCTGAGAGAAAACAATTGCAGATTCAGAATTCGGGAAAACATTCGCATCGTGTAAGTATTTTGAGGGTTTTGGCGCGAAAATGCGATTTTTTTATAGTAAATAAGCTTGGGCTACTGTAGTAGATCAATTTTGGCGCGAAGCTACAGTAACCCTTATTGTTAAGCCTAGGCTTATTATCGAAAATCTCATCGGTACCACGCGCTCCACCGATATAAACACGCAACACAGACCGCGTCGCGCCACAACACACACAAAAAAGGGAGGGAATTTGAATCGTTCCCTTATTTGTGTGTGTGTTGTGGCGCGACGCGGTCTGCGTTGCGTGTGGAGCGCGTGGTACCAATAAAATTTTCTATAATAAGCCTAGACTTATTTACTATCAAAATATTCGAAATTTTGGCGCCAATTTCATCCTACAGTAACCCCAGTCATATTTACTATCAAAAAATTCCGAATTTCCAGGCAAAATTGGTGCATCTGGCTGACAAATTGTACAATCTTCGAGATTTGGAGCGAAAAACACCGATTGGCTGGGATAAGAAACGTGTCAACGAGTATTTTCAATGGAGTCGTCTTGTGATCGGAGAAATGAAGGGAACAAACAGTGCGCTGGAATGTGCACTGGATGATGTGATAAATCGAAGAAATTTGTGAAAAATTCGTGAAATTTGCCACATTTCAACATCAAATTTGGGTATTTTTTCAGTGAAATTTCAGGAAAAATACAAAAAACTCAAGTACATCTTCATTCTAAATTGATTTATCTTCAACTCTCTCTTCTTCAATCTCTGTTACAATTGCACCTTCTCCATGATAAGTTATTATTGGAATCCCTTTTTCAGCCTTCTCTTCATTTTCCAACATCTTTTCCGCCTCATATCGTTCACCATTTGCATCAATTATATCTACCACCACTCCTTCATACTCTTCTGCATTTTTTTCATCAGCAATCTCTGCATTTCGAATTTTAACATCGAGATCTTTATCATAATTCTCCATTTTTTTCTGTTTATTCTTCTCTTCTTCTATCGCTTTCTCCTCCGCAATTCTTTTTTCCTCTTCCATTTTTAGTTTTGCATTGAATAACTTTTTCAATCCAAGAATTACAAAATTGAAGAATATGACAATTGTATTTGATGAGAGTTGAATAATGACATAAAAAACAAAATCATCCAAAACAAATCCATTCAATCGGCAATTTGCATAAATCAATTCATAGATTGTTGTGCATTTGAAATTTGCAGCCTGAAATTGAATGAGGTTATTTAAGAATTTTTTCAGCAACTCTAGCTGGAGATTTCAAGCTTCTGGGTTCTGAAAAAGCAACAAAGAAAAACTCACAAGAATTGGTGCAACAGCAATTCTTGTTCCTTGTCGAATTTCATCAAATGGATCTGTTACAAACATGTCTTTGTATGTTTTGCTCTTCATTATTTTCTCATTAAATTTCACAACTGACGAGTTCAGATTGAGCAATGATGTATGAAGATTATAATAATTTGTAGATGCGGTAGCAAATATTGTATTCTTGCAATTCGTTAGCCCCAAATTGTGAAACTCTACATCAAAATAGTTCATCTTTCGAACTTCTGCACCAAAATCTGCTCTCAAATCCAATTTCGTATAACCCAATGATTTTTTAGCCTTTTCATTGAAGATTTTCCTATGTTCAACAAATTTCAAGCTTTTCTCAATGCTTTCTTCTGAAAAACTACTTCCAAATGGTAGAATCGAGAAGAATTCGGAATTTGGTGTTGGACAAATTGAAATCAATGATCTGAAATTGTTTCAATATTTTAAAATTAATTTTGAAAAATGCTTACATGCTATCATTATTCTTCTTAAATGCACAATTATTTGTTGGTTCCAAAACTTCCAAATAAATGACAAGATATGTGAAAGAACTGATGAATAACAACAAAATTGATCCATACAATGAATAATTCACAAAATTTTGCATTTTCGATTGTTTAGGTTGCGGGATTGCAGTTTTGATCTTTGTATTTTTGCCTGCTGTTTTCGCGATTGGACTTTCAGTTTTCGATTTAGATAATGTTGCAGGTTTGTTGGAATTCGGTTTTTGAACAGCTTCGGATGGATTTGAAGGTTTTCGGAACAAAGTGAAATATCCAAGAACAGCCACAATGATTAGAACGATTAGAATCATTGAATAAATGACGAAAAATAAGAAAAACACGATGGAAAGTGTTCTCATTTCCATGGTTATTGATTGATTCATCAATTCATCGCAGATCTTCTGAAAATAAGATTTTGAAATGTGTTTTTACGAAAAATAACCAACCAGAAGTGACTTTATATCGTTTTTGAATTGCTCCAGGAGCAAATTTATGTCAGGTTGGAATATATTCTTGAAGTCCGCAAGTTTGGGTTTAACACTGTTTTCTAAAAAAAAATTGATAGCACTCAATCTTTGTCCGATCGCAGTTATATGTTTGTCGGTGTCTTTTAGTTTGTTTTTGACATCAGCAGTACATGATGAAGAACGTACAGTATTTTTAACATTCGAATTCTGCGCTTCTATTTTTTTGTGATCCTCTTCACATTTTTCCTTTTTCTGTTTAAAAAAACAATCTGTATTTCATCGATTATTTCGTAACTAACCTTGGAAACATCAGTAAAGAATGAGATGTTACTCAATTTGTCATAAAAAAAATCAGCTGAAACTAAATCTTCAATTTCAGCAGAACTTTTTTCCGCAGTCTTATCAACTTGAGCTTTTGTCAAAGTCTCGTTCGATTTGCCGATGATTTTGCTTGGTTCTGAAAAAATAAATAATAACTTCCAATATATTACAATCCAAGATATTCTTACCATTTTCCAATTCATCAATTCTATTCTGATTTTTCAATCTTTCAATCAAAAAAACACCGAGATTCGAGTAAATCAATAATCCAAAAGCGAGTAGAAAAGCAGCCAAACAAATCCAACCAAAATATTGCTTATAATATTTGCCTATTTCATTATTCTGCTTCTTCTTCTTCTTCTTCTGCTCCTCTTTCTTCTTCTGTTCCTCTTTCTTCTCCTCTTTCTTTTCCTCTTTCTTCTCCTCTTTCTTTTCCTCTTTCTTTTCCTCTTTCTTTTCCTCTTTCTTTTCCTCTTTCTTTTCCTCTTTCTTTTCCTCTTTCTTCTTCTTTTTCTGCTTCTTATTTTTAACATCTCGAATAATTCGCCAAATTGAAAAACATCCAACTGTAATTGAGAAGAATAGAAATGCAACAATTATTGAAACCGTCAGATAATTCATAGCTTCTCGGACTAGATTTGTTAAAAATATAAAACAAAAACTGATTCAAATCTCGATTTCATCCATTTTTATGGGCGAAAATATGTGGGACACGGGGATTTTCAGAAAAAAATAGAACACGTTTTTTTGTTGGTTCTTTTTAAATTTAAATTTTTTTAGTAACCTGAACATTTTGGACTAAATTATTACCAAATCTACGTTTTCATTCGGCAAAAAAAAAGAAATTTCAAAAATTAATTTTACGCGTGACCTACTTTATCAAAACGTGTTCCACATTTCTGGCTATAAAATGCTCAGGTAATCGTGGAAAAATCAGTTTTATAACAGTCATCATCAATAAGAGAACGAGTAAATCCACAATTTCCGAAAATGACATCAATTATTAATTGCACAGTATTCGGAATATTGGCAATTATCTCAATTATTCTCGCAATTTTCAATATCATCAGAATCAAGAAAAAAATTGGATTTGCTGCAAAATGTTATCGATCATGGGTTTTATATTTTTGCTTTTTCATATTGATACTTGCTATTTTGGTTGTTATTTGTTCGGTGGCAATGATAGTTTTTCAACCTTTGAATGCCAAAACCAATGTGGATAAATATAAAGAAGGTAAGAGAATGGTCCCAAAAAAATCAAGAATTTTTCGAATTTTGGGTGTATCAAAAGAGTGTGGATCTCTTAAGCTTTCATGGAATCCCAACCAAAAAAATGTTGATAATTTCAGAGACTACAACTATTCTCAAAAATTCGAATAAAACAATCTCGGATATACTTGGTGGAAATAGTGTTCAAACTTGTATGGGAAATATTGCAAATGTTATTAAACCCGAGGTTCCAATCGACAAAATGGAGAAAAAATTTGGTTTTGCTGATGTCAGAGATGTAAATTTGAAAATTGATATGATTCATTTAGAAAATTATTATTGATTTCAGAATGTCGATGGGGTTCAACAAAAATTGAAGAATTTCAAAGGCTGGATTACCAAATTTCTTGAGATGCTCAAAGGTGTAAGCTGTCAACAATTGAAGATAGAAACAAAAAAAAAACTGAAAAAAATTGGAGAAATTTTTCATCCAACGGCTGAAAATGGAATGAATGGAATGATCAAAGAAGTGAAAGCTATAAGTCATTTGATTGACACTATCGATTCAGCATTGGCAGATGTGATAACCAAACTAGAAAAATATGTTAGCTCGGAAATAATGAACAGTTTGGCTGATCGTATTTCAGAAGATTTGGGAAATCTCGAGGTATGTTTATAAGAGAACCTTTTCTATGAACCGACTAACAGATTGACTAATCGGTTCGGAGAAATTGTGTCATTTTTAGACAACTTTCAAAATTATTTACAGGTTATAATCAATCAATTGCTAGAATTCGATGAGAAACCAACGCGAATAATGTTTATCATATTCTTGGTTGTTTATGGTATCTATTCATCTGCTTCGATTATTACAACTTCAATTGCAATTGTTGGATGTTTTAAGTGGTTTCGAAAACGATCCGAACCAACAAAACTTATGACTTATCCAGTTTATGCAATGATTCTTTTGCTTTTCCTCACATCAATCACATTCCTTTTCTTTTATTTGGAAATTATTGAAGATTTGAATATTTGTGGTGTTCAACAGAATGATCAAATGTTAGTTTGAACCTTAACAATTGAAAAATCTCTTCCAATATTTGATTTTTCAGATTCTTTGATTCTGTATGTCCATCTTCAAATGCTAAATTCTTCTCAATTCTCAAATCAAACAATAGTTTATCGATCGAAACAATTGGTGAAATATTGAAATTGAAAGAATATGAAAAAGATTTTGGTTCGGAACTCAAGAAATCCTTCAAATCTATTGTTATTCCGGATGCTATGAAAACAGAAGCGAAAACAATCAAAGAATTTTCTGAAATTTTGCTAAGCCACGACAGAGATTGCAATATCGACAGGGAATATTCAAGCGTTTTGGGAGAACTCTATGCTTTGTTGGAAAAGATGTTTGTAGGCGCAACGATTTATGGAAATCAAATTCAAAAGTTTGACACAAGTGCTCCATTCGCAGAATTTCCAGTTGCTATTGAAAAATCGCTTGTGGATATCAATGTGAGCAATTTTTTCTCGAAAATCCCATTTTTATCGATTTTCCCCAAAATTTCGCTTTCAAATCAATGCCACGTGGCAAAAAAATCTTGCAAAACACTTACTTCAAACCAGAAATGCCAAAAAACTATAAAAACACCGACTTACAAGCGTGAAACCAGACAACAGCAGAAATTTCGAGAAAAAAATTAAAAAATACTCCGGGAGAACTACACGAAATGCATTTCGTGGCGGGACACACGTGTCGATTTACGGCGCCTCCCTTGATTTTATTTTTTTGTTTTTCCCGAAAAATGTCGAAAAAGGGGGAAAAAGGGAAATGTGCCACTTATAAATTATCGATTTTTCAGAAGGCCAACTTTGTTTGCAACCACATCTATGAATATAGTCAAGGAATTTGTATTTTGGCTGGAGAAATCTTGGATATTTATACAATTTCTGTATATTTATTGCTGATTGCACAATTGTTCTCAATTCTTGCTAATAATTTGTTTTGTATGATGGCTGAATGCTGGAAAAAACATGACGATATAATGAAGGAAAATGAACGAAAAGAGAAGAAAAGAATTGACGAGAAAAATAAGAAGGAGCAAGAAGAAGCAGCTAAAAGGGCCGAAAAGGAAGAACTGGCAAAACCGAAATTCGATATTGCTGCTGCGAAATTGAAATTGGAAAATGTGTATCGTCAAACAGAGGAACTGAAAGAAAAAGTGGAAGAGAAACTTGACAGAAGATTGTCTAGAGGATTGGATAACATTCCAAATGCACCTGGTGTAGAAACTGAAGCATCCACTTCCATCAATGAATAAAGTTTTTTACTTGGTGGGTCTGGAAATCGCTCTGAAAATTTGGAATTTTCGGGTCTTGCGACGCCTGATTTTGAAAAATTGTGAATTTTTGGGTCCTGAAACGAATGTGGTTTTGGCGCCAAAAATCTACGTGGAACTATTCAATGGTTATACTCAAAAAATCCCGAATTTTCTGAAAATTCCGAAATTTTGGGTCCCGACACGCCTACAGTGTCCTATTTTCAAATGTTGGCGCCAAAATTGCCACGTGGAGATTTTCTCTCAAAACATGACGTGTTTATACTCGAAAAATACAAAATTTCCAGATTTTCGGGTCTCGCAGCGTCTACAGTACTCCGTGACTGTGATTTTGGCGCCAATGGCAATTTTTGCAAAACATATGGTTTTCATACTCGAAAATTCCCGAATTTTCTGAAAATTCCGAAATTTTGGGTCCCGACACGCCTACAGTACCCCTAAATTTGCCACGTAGAAATTTTTTTGAAAATTTAACGTTCTACAGATTCCCAAATGTTCCACGTGGCAAAATTTTCAAAAATATACGCGATGTTTATACTCAAAAAATCCGGAATTTTCTGAAAATTCCGAAATTTTGGGTCCCGACACGCCTACAGTACCTCACATATTTTCCACGTGGCAAATACCCGCCTCGGAAAAAAAATCAATTTCTCCCATCTTATTTTTTTTGTCCAGCGACCAACAATATTAACGAAATAAAAGGAAGAAGAAGAAGAAGAAAGTGTTTTTCGACCGGTTTTCTCTGCTTCTCTACCCACTCTCTCCATTTCGCGCACTCTCTTCTCTCCTCCTTTTCTCTGCGCACTCTGCAAGTTTCGCGCTCTCTCGTCGATTTTTTGGTGATTTTACATCATTTTTCGGTGTTTCTGTTTTGGCTGCTGCTACTTGCGCGAAATTTTCATGTTTGATTTTTTGCGGGGCGAGATTTTGGCGCCAAAAAATACAGTACTTTAAGAAATTTTGAGATTCGTTTTGGTATATTTTTTTGAATCGATTGTTTTGGCGCGAAAATTCAAATACTTTTTTAAAAATAGTACTGTAGTTTTTGGCGCGAAAATTTACATTTTTATCCATTTTTGAAATTTAAGTTTTGGCGCCAAACTACAGTAGTTCAAAATTCAAAAAAAAAATAATTTTCGCGCCGAAATGTAGTACTGTAGTTTTTAGCGCTAAAAATGTATTCAAAAATACGTCATTTTTGCGTCACAAAATGTAAAGATCAAATTTTTTTCGATTCCCCCAAAAAAAATCAAAAATTAATCCTTTGATTTTCACTTTTTCCCCAAATTTTTCCCCAAAAACTGAAATTTTTTAAAATTTTCAGCCTAGGAATTTGATGGAATCGGATCAGCCGCCGAATTTCGGCGAATCTGAGGCGAATCCGCACGTCGTTTTGAGGTACGGTGGATGTCGAGAGACTGTTGGATTGATGAGAAATGAGCAGGTGAGTTAGGGGAGTACTGTAAAAAAAAACTACAGTAACCCGTGGGATTACTGTAGATCTATGCACCTTTAAATTCTGAACATTTTGAGACCAAATTCAACTTGGGTACTGTAGGGTTACTGTAGAAAATCTGGAGAAATTTTCTTCTGTAGTTTTTTGGGTTACTGTAGATATACAGTAATCCTAGGAGTACTGTAGAATGTCTAGTCTAGACTAGAAAATTCTACGTCAAAATTTTTTTTTTCGAAAAAAAATCCCAGATTAAAAAATTGTGATCATTGGAACAAAAAGTTTGAATTTTCAAAATTTTGCCGCCGAAAATTCGCCACGTGGCAAAAAAATTTTTTTTTTGGCGCCAAAAAACTTTTTTTTTTTTTTTTTTTTTTTTAATTTTTTTTGGCGCCAAAAAACTACAGTACTTTTTTGGCCTACCGTAATCCTCTTTTTTTCAGATGCTCGATGTGCTCCTTCAATTGGCTCGACAAATTGTGGAAAAACTGGAAAACAGTCTGGAAAATCGGCAAATGTACCTGTTTCGACACGACTATAATTCACCAACACTTTTACATCCGCTAACTTCGCCAAGTCAAATTGTGAGTTACGGGAAGTCGCGCTGAAATTTTGAGATTTTTGAGCTGAAATTCGTGAATTTTGGACAATTTTAAGCTGAAAATCAAGAATTTTGGACAATTTTAAGCTAAAAATCAAGAATTTTGGACAATTTTAAGCTAAAAATCAAGAATTTTGGACAATTTTAAGCTAAAAATCAAGAATTTTGGACAATTTTAAGCTGGAAATCAAGAATTTTGGACAATTTTAAGCTGGAAATCAAGAATTTTGGACAATTTCAAGCTGAAATCTTGAAAATTTATGAAAAATCTGAAATTTTGACCTGAAATTCAAGAATTCTGAACAATTTTAAGCTAATTTTTGATTAATTTTCAAAAAATCCTATGATTTTAACATGAGCAATGCAAAATTAAGTGTTGAAGAGACGCGTCGCGTGTGCGTAGCGGTTGGAATACTGTATGATCAGAACCCTGTGATGTTTGGTCTCAAAAAATCCCAAATTTCATGAAAAATTCAAATTTTGAGCTCTCGGAGCCCTGAAAATGCTCCTAGACTTGTGAGGTCTCAAAAAACTCCTCCGAATTTCTTGCAGAACAACGGCTGCATCATCGAAATCATCACTGTGGAGCGAGCGGAGCCGGCGCCGGCTCCGCACCTCGTCGAACCCGAAACCTATATGCGTCCGACGTTTTGCGATTTTTGCGGCGAAATGTTGACCGGTTTCATCAGGCAGGGTGTGAAGTGCAAAAATTGTGGGTGAGTGAGATGACACGTGGCAAAAATGCCACGTTTTTTGATAGTAAATATGACTGGGTTTGGGGGTACTGTAGACTACAGTACCCCAGATCAAAATTAGGAACTTTTTGATACCAAATAAGCTCAGGTTACCGTAGAAAATCCACGTGGCAAATGAAATTTTTTCAAAAAAAAAAAATTAAATTCCAAAATGTTTGATCTACAGTACCCCTAAGCATGTTTGGTATCAAAAAATGCCAAATTTTCGCGCCAAAAAACCCTACAGTAATCCGACTTTTTCAGCGGAAACTTCCACAAGCGCTGCAGCAACGCGGCGCGCAACAATTGCTCTTCCGCACCGTCCGCTTCCGGATCCTCCGCAGAACCTTTCCAGTCAAGACCTCAGAATTTGAATTTTGCCGCGCAAAATTCCCCACAAACCACCACCACCACCACACAATTCCCAATTGCCGCACTATCGACGCCTTCAGGTGAGTACTGTAGGACCAAAAAACTACAGTAATCCACAGGGGTACTGTGGTTCTATGCGTCTTTAAATTCTGCACATTTTGAGACCAAATATGACGAGTCTACAGTAGTCTACAATCAAAATTTGCAGAACTTAAAGGCGCTACAGTACTCTTGAAAATTGTCTTAAGGGTTACTGTAGTTTTAGTACAGTAATCCAAATAAATTTTTCATTTTTCATTTCACGAATTTTTGAAACGTATTTTTCCCGCCAAAATCTACAGTAACCCCCTACAGTAACCCATGTTGTGTTTGAGCTCAAAATGTTCGGAATTTCAAGGCGCATACATCTACAGTACTCTTGACAATATCCTTAAGGGTTACTGTAGTTTTGGTACAGTAATCCAAATTAATTTTTGATTTCACAGTCCGAAAATAAACCGTTAATCAATTTTCCAAATCTCAATTTTTTATTTCACAAATTTTTGAAACGTATTTTTTCCGCCAAAATCTACAGTAACCCCCTACAGTAACCCTGTGCATGTTTGGACTCAAAATGTTCGGAATTTCAAGGCGCACACATCTACAGTACTGTTCCAGGTCTTCCTCACACGCTCATCGAGCACAGCTATCGTCAATTCACCGTGTGCAAAGTTTGCGATCATTTATTGGTGGGATTGGTGAAGCAGGGGCTGAAGTGTCGTGATTGTGGCGTGAGTTTTGAGCATTTTCAGGGCTCCGAGAGCTCAAAATTTGAATTTCTCATGAAATTTGCGATTTTTTGACACCCCACAAGCCTAGGTTTGGCTGAAAACCTCTAGAATTTCAGCGCAATTTTCAGCCAGAAAATCCTTTCAGGTAAACGTGCATCGAAAATGCGCCATCGAACTCGCCTCGAATTGTGTGCTGTCAGAGAACGCGATAGCTCGTGTGAATTTCAACGACACTCCGGTTGACGCGTCCGGAAGTCTGGACAACATTCCGCTTTTCCGGCTGCCCGGACAAGTTGGCGGGACACGTGGCACTGAGAAGAAGAATTTGGAGGGATGGATGATGCACTTTTTGTTGAGCGATCCGGAGAGGTTTGTTAGAATGAGCAATGCTTAGAAATTTCAAAATTTAGAGGTTAACATGAGCAATGATTTTGAGATACTAGATTAATATGAGCAATGCTTAGAAATTTCAAAATTTAGAGGTTAACATGAGCAATGATTTTGAGATACTAGATTAATATGAGCAATGCTTAGAAATTTCAAAATTTAGAGGTTAACATGAGCAATGATTTTGAGATACTAGATTAATATGAGCAATGCTTAGAAATTTCAAAATTTAGAGGTTAACATGAGCAATGCCTTTGTGAAGCTAGAATAATATGAGCAATGCTTTTAGAAATATGATTTTAAGCTGAGCAATGTCTTCAAGAAGCTTAATCTGAGCAATGACTTTCAAATTATGAAATTAACCTGAGCAATGTCTCCAATAAGCTTAATATGAGCGATGATTCAAAAAAAATTAGTCTGAGCAATGTAATCCGAAAAAAAATCCCTAGGATAATTTTGCTTAACATGAGCAATAAAACGTCCCAAACATTGAGCTCAGAAAAGTGTTAACATGAGCAATGCTCTGAAAATCTCTTAACATGAGCAATCCCTATCTTCAGACGTCTCAAACACTACTGGATGCTGATGAATAACGCGATTCACATGTACAATGAATATACCGAAGGAATCGGAGTGAATCCGAATCGAGTTTATCGACAAATTCCGCTCGCCGAAATTGTTTCAGTCGTCCAAAATAATGGGAAAAGTGTGCTGGCTAAGTGGGTTCCTTTTTTTGGGTTAACATGAGCAATGTCACTCTTTCAGACATCCCCCACATTGTTTCGAAATTCGGACCACAAATAACACGGTGTTTTGTATAGGCGAAGATTATCACGCGTTTTCCGGCGGACCGCCCAAAAAAATTCCGAGGTCGATGAGTGTCAGACCCACGTCGAATACTACTATGTGGTTTCAGGTTGGTGGCGAGCGCCGGAAGACTCTGCGTCTCTAACTTGCTAGTTATCTCTAGCTGTCTAGCCTCTAGCTCTCTGCAAGCTCAAAAAATCAACATTTTTTTTCAAAAATTCAAAAAATTCCTAGACTAGACCCCATAAAATCCCCATTTTCCCAATTTCCCACACTTTTCTAACTATAAAACCCCGTGCCTCAAACCTTCTCCTCAAAAAAAAAATGCAAATCTTCCGCAATCTCTTCGCCTTCGCTTCCATGATTTTTTTGGCGCAAAAAATCGATTGTGCTAATGTGCTGGCTGGAGCGGCTGAAATTCAGCAAGCTGAAATTGCTGAAGCTGGTAAAGAGATCAATAATTTGTAATGTGAAAATGAATAAAGGTTTTGCTTGTGGGGAGAGAGAAGCTAGACAGCTAGAGGAAGTTAGAGACGCAGAGCAGACAGGCAGCTAGAGATAATTGGAGAGTTAGAGACGCAGAGAAACCGGAGAGCTAGAGAGCATGTGAAAATAAGAAATATGAAGCAACGCTGAGTCTCCCACCTTAAGTTAGAGACGCAGACAGCCAGAGAAAACTAGATAGTTAGAGAGATAGAGATATATAGAAGGTAGTCAGTTAGAGACGCAGAGTAGACAGGCAGCTAGATTTAATTGGAGAGTTAGAGACGCAGAGAAATCAGACAGCTAGAGAGCATGTAAAAGCAGGAGAAAAATCAATAGTCACGTGTTTTCTGATGACGTGGCATTTCATTTTATTTTTGTGATCTCTAGCTGTCGAGCCACTCTGCGTCTCTCATCTGTCTCTTACATCCTCTGCGTCTCTAGTTTCTTATTGCCCTCTATCCGTCTAGCTCCTCTACGTCTCTCACTACCTCCACTCTCTATAACTCGAGCGCCTGTGGCGCGAGTGTAGACCGCAAGCTAGCGCAGAGCGCCGGAAGCTTCCGCGTAGCGGCAACGCCAAGTCTCCCACCATAAGTTAGAGACGCAGAGTAGACAAGCAGCTAGAGATACTTGAAGCGTTAGAAACGCAGAGAAATCAGACAGGTAGAGAGCATGTGAAAGCAGGAGAAAAATCAATAGCCACGTGTTTTCTAATGACGTGGAATTTGTTTTTAGAAATGTGATCTCTAGCTGCCAAGCTCCTCTGGGTCTCTCTTCTTTCTCTTACATCCTCTGCGTCTCTAGTTTCTTATTGCCCTCTAGTCGTCTAGCTCCTCTACGTCTCTCACCCTCCTGCCCGCCGTCTGACCTCTCTAACTCGAGCGCCTGTGGCGCGAGTGTAGACCGCAATCTAGCGCACAGCGCCAGAAGCTTCCGCGTAGCGGCAACGCTGAGTCTCCCACCATAAGACGCAGACAGCCAGAGAAAACTAGATAGTTAGAGACGCAGAGACAGCTAGACAACCAGAAACCGCCCCCAATTTTGTTTTGCAGTTCATCAAAGAATCCCTGCAACCACCATCTCGAACCGAAGACAACACCGAACAAGCGCTCGAATTCGCCAACTTGTATCAAGTGCTCAGCGACAAAACCCTGGGCTCCGGACAATTTGGCACCGTCTACTCCGCAATCCAACGACATTCCGGAAAAGAAGTCGCGGTCAAAGTCATCAGCAAAGAGCGATTCTCGAAGAAGAGCAGCTCGGCGGAATCGATGCGTGCCGAAGTGGCGATTCTGCAGCAGACATGTCACCCGGGAATTGTGCGGCTCGAGTTTATGTGCGAGACGAAGGACAAGATTTTTGTGGTGATGGAGAAGATGAATGGCGATATGTTGGAGATGATTTTGAGTCAGGAGTTGGGCCGGTTGAATTCGCGGGCCACCAAGTTTTTGTTGGTGCAGATTTTGTGCGCGTTGAAGTATTTGCATGATCAGGTGAGAGCTTAGACATCTAGATTGGTGGGGTTAGAGACGTAGAGGAGAGAGAGAGCTAGAGATAAGTTGTTAGTGAGAGACGCAGAGAGGGTAGACAGCTAGAGATAAGAGACGCAGAGAGGGTGTACAGCTAGAGACAATAAAGTGTTTAGAGAAGCAGACACTCTACTCGAATCCCATGGGAAGGTTAGAGACACAGAGGAGCTAGAGAGCTAGAGAATACTAGATGGTGAGAGATGTAGAGAAGATAGACAGCTAGAGATAACTAGTTAGTGAGAGACGCAGAGAGGGTAGACAGCTAGAGACAATAAATTGATTAGAGAAGCAGACACTACTCAAATCCCATGGGAAGGTTAGAGACGCAGAGGAGCTAGACAGCTACAGACAACTAGATTTTGAAGGTTAGAGACAAAGAGATGCTAAACAGCTAAACGGGGAATAGAGAGGTTAGAGATGCAGTGTGGATAAATGTCTAGAGAGCACTAGAGGCGAAGAGAAACTAGACAGTGTGAGAAGGTTAGAGACGCAGAGAGGCTAGACAGATAGAGATAACTAGTTAGTGAGAGAGGGTAGACAGCTAGAGACAATAAGGTGATTAGATAAGCAGGCACTCTACTCAAACTAAATCGGAAGGTTAGAGACGCAGAGACGCTAGACAGCAGAGGGCATGGGACAAGAAAGCAGGCTTGCCGCTACGCGGAAGCTTCCGGCGCTCCGCGCAAGCTTGCGATCACCCCGCAAAAATCCAAAATTTAAATTCAGGGCATAGCACATTGCGATCTGAAACCCGAAAACGTGCTGCTCTCCGACATGGGCTCCAACTTCCCGCAAACCAAAATCTGCGATTTCGGCTACGCGCGTTTCATTCCCGAATCGCAATTCCGCAAAACGGTCGTCGGCACTCCCGCCTATCTACCGCCCGAGGTCCTGCAACGAAAAGGCTATAATAAATCGCTGGATATGTGGTCGGTTGGTGTCATTATTTATGTCACGTTGTCCGGAACTTTTCCGTTTAATGAGGGTGAAGAGGTTGGTTTTTTCAAATTTTCCATAAATTTTTACGTTTTTTGATACCTTCCAAGTTCCCCTAACTTCCAAATATCAATTCCAGGTCGCTGAGCAAATCCAGAATGCCTCATTCATGTTCCCTTCTGATCCGTGGTCCGAAGTCGAACCGCTGGCTGTGGATCTCATCCAACAATTGCTCAGAGTAGAGGTAAAAAAAAAAAGTTTGCATGCACTGTGGTTCGAACCCTCGAAGTTGCGCGCAATAGCAAAACGGCGACGCTAACCGCCTGAGCTACGCGTGGTATTGAGAAAGCGGGGTGGTTTTTTATAGAGGAGACAGCGAAATTTTTTTTTTAATTTTTTTGGCGGGAATTTGAAAATGTTTTCAGATCGAGGCCCGAATATCGATTGAAAAATGTTTGGACCACGAATGGTTGAAAGGCGAACAATTGTATCGGGACCTGCGAGACCTCGAAATTCGCCTCTGCGGACCTCGATATCTGACAAGTGAACAAGACGATCATATCTATGGAAATCATGTGTAGAAATCTGCAATTTTTGCCTATAATTAATTTATTTTTCACTTTTTCTTCAGTTTTTCAGTTTTCAAAAAGAACCCAGCTGTGTGTCAAACTGGTTTCATTTTTGGTATAAAAAATAATTTTTTCAGACAAAAATTTCAGATTTCCCAATGAAATTTCTGCTATTTCTACTGTTGCCCGCGACTTTTGGAGTGATTTTGGGTGTATTTTGGATGACTCGCGAAATTTGGGAGTTTGAGAAGTTGGCGATGGAAGATTTGGAAGAGTGGGAGGTTAGTGAGGTCAGGGCTAACATGAGCAATATGCAAATTTTGCAGATCTACTCTCAAAAAGCCTGGACCCTCCTCCAATCCACCACTCGAAATCTCACCAAACGAGCCGTCTACCGTATTCAACTACCATCCAGGAATCCCGGAGGCTTACCGTATTCTCAAGCACCAAGATACGTCACCATCCCACCAATGTACACCAACCCGAGACCAGAATTTCAGTCAGGTATGGCCACGTCATAACTCGTATCACCAGAATTCTCCAATTTTCCAGCACCGCCTCTTGAATGTCCTCGAGGTCCACCTGGTCGTCCGGGTCATTCGGGATTACCTGGGGATGATGGGTATGCGGGAACTCCGGGAAGTCCTGGAGCTACTGGCCCGGTTCTTCAGATGCAGCTACCCTATAATGGTTGTATCCGGTGTCCGATGGGACCTATGGGAAGACCGGGTGGTCCGGGTAGAGAAGGCCTCCCGGGAGATGATGGGCTACCCGGCAACCAGGGTGCGCAAGGTGAACGTGGATATCCAGGCCCGTCAGGTCCGATGGGTGATGATGGACAGCCTGGTCGAGATGGCTCGCAAGGTCTTGGTGGGCCGCCTGGCCGCGGGGGAACTCGGTCTTCCGGACGACCTGGTCCGCCGGGTCAACGTGGAAGACCCGGGCCCCTTGGCTACCCTGGAGATGATGGGGGCTACCCAGTTGCTGGGGAGCCGGGAGCTCCCGGAGCCCCCGGAACTCCGGGCAACCGCGGACAACCTGGAATCGATGGACATGCTGGGGTGGTAGGTTTGAAAAAGGGTTGCCCAGAGTTTTTCATGATGATTATTGTAGGCTGGTGTGATGGGAGGACCCGGGCCGGATTCTGGATATTGTCCGTGCCCGAAACGCGGGAAATCGAATGATTGGGGAACTGGTGGAGGTGGAGAACTTCATGTTCCTCACAATCGCAAGAAAATGGTGGTTGTTAGACGGAAAGTTGTATAGTTATGACGTGGCGAATAAAGTGTTTAATACAATTCATGGGAGAAAATGCGTTTGGAGCCCCCACCTATATTCAGGGTTTGAAAGACCCACCCATGTCCCCACCAATAGTAGGTAACAGCATTGGGGACTTGAAAAAGGTTGGGGGGTTTTCAAAGTGGTGGGGACATAAAAGAAGATATGTGGGGAGTCTGTTGTAATGTGAGGAATGTAAAAATTAGTACAGAAATAAATGTCAGAAATGTTTTGAGCATTTTTGAGTGAGGGGCCTGTAAAGCTTTATGGTGGGGTATCAAAACACGTCATGTCTGTGGGGGCATGTATTTCTTATGGTGGGGGGGGGGGGCGCACGATCATTTACTCTAATAGAAAATTGGCCCTCGGGTCAGACGAGAGACGACGAGAGTCTGATGACGTCATCTAAGACAGAGAAAGACATCGCTTCGAGATATTTTTGAGAAAATATGTGTCCCTTTGAAAAATTACCGTATTTTGTTTCAAGGAACACAACATGTTTTATTTAAAATATCTCGAAGCGAAATTCTTTTTCGGGATATTTTTGCAAAATACTCTCGTCGTCCCGCGTCTGACTCAACGGGCGCCTTGTATGGTCGTGTGGAGGGGGGGTTAAAATGCAATTAACCCCAAAAATGTAAATTCACTAAACTGCAGGCAATAGCGGAGTGTCGTTTGAAAAAACGCCAAAAGTTTCAATGTTTTATTATGGAAAAATGTTTTCAAAAAAAAATTCAAGAAACCACGCGAGAAGCCCCCACAACCGATCGCTTCCTACAATTGAATATCTCCAATTTTCTGTAGTTCGCCAAAGTATAGGTGATTGGTGATAAATGAAGTAGACCAAAGTCTTCCTGACAAATAATATCAATCAACCAAGAAGCTTGAAAAATGTTCAAAGTGTAACAAATGTTAACGGCTAATTTTAACGAGACAATCATAAGGATTGGTATATTTTGACGAATTATTGAGAGCTCTGCGTTTCTTCTTGTTGACGAAAGTATGTTCTTATTTGTGATAACTTTGTATAAAATAACAAAGTGAAGCGTTAAGGAGATAATAACGACCAAGTGATCATAACATTTAATCGTGGATTTGAGTTTTGACATAAGTTCCAGATTAAAGGAACATGGTTGAGTATCGCCATCACGGATTGTACACGTTTGCAAGTTGCATCGAGATATCTGATATACTCAAAGCTTAGTTCATAACAACATTCAAAAAATAACTTACATTTTGAAAAACCGTCCAACTTAGAACACCAAATGTTGTAATCCGAAGTATCCGAGCCAAGTTTTTCCCCTCAAAAAACCTCGCCAAATCCCCGAAATTCATCATAAACGCAAATCTCTGAATTGCAATAATGAGAATATAAGTGTTCCCCGCATTCCCATTGGAAATGGTGATGAAAGACAGTGCAAACAGAATAACTGAAATCAGGTTGGCTTGAAAATGAATTAGTAATATAATGTTTATTCTGGTGATTAGTGAAAGGATATTGAACATAAACATATGCCAATAGATTTGATATATCGGAGTTTTTGTGTCATCTTTATCAGTTTTTAAAAATAAATATATATAGGGAATGTTGAACCAGACACTTATATAGGTTATCGGAAGGTCTAGATGCATTTTTCTTCGGTGAAAAAGGGCTAAATCAATATTTTATATAGATAGATATATAAAACATATATGAAATAAACCTATAATTATCAATATCAAATATAATTCACACTTACAATTAGGCTTTTTTGTTTTGAAAAATTATAAAACACTTTATTTTCCATTAAGTTAAGCTAAGTTGAAGATTTGTGAAATTGATTTGCTGGGGAATTTATAGCTATGACGTGGAAAAAGTGCACTCTCACTCCAGAGGTAATGAAGTTGTTTGTTCGTTTTCTTTTTGTTCTGGAGATGTTGTATCTTCCTGTGGATCCCCTGATCCTGAAGTCCCAATTGAACTCTCCTGGCCTCCATTGCCTCCCACAGTAGTTCCAGATCCACCCTGGTTTGCAGAATCTCCGGAAGATCCTCTTCTCGCCTCTTCATGATCTGAAGAATCAGAAGATGCAGAAGATTCAGATGAGGAGGAAGATGAAGAAGAAGATGAGGATGAGGAACGTTTTATCCGGATTTTCAACGCTTCTGAGGGAATTCTTGTGAGCGGTGATGAGATTTGAGAACTTTCGGTGAGATCTCTGAAATTGGGAAATTACTGTTTAGCTGGAATTCACTAACTGTGATTTTTACTCACCCAAAATCACACCAAACTCCCACCAAAAATATCAATAAAATTAGATTTTTCATAGTTTTCCTCGAATGTTTTTTTCTTTTTCAATATAAAAAAAACAAACTGCGAGTACTAAAAAAAATATAGAAAAAAAAAATTTTATATGGAGAAATAATAATAATAAAGTTATTGTTTCAAAATTCTTTTGTCAAAAAAAAAACAAAGTTAACTCAAGTTGTAACATCAATAACCATAACATCGACTTTTTTGTTCGCAGATATTTTTGGTAGCCAATCTCGAATCCTTGTCCAATTAGCCAAAGTGAACGTGGCGGGGATTATTCTGTGCACACCAAAAATTTCAAGCTCACAAATAGTTGTATGAATCGACGACGGACCATTCAAAATATTGAAATAATTGCAGATGATTCCAAGAAGATATGGCTGAAAACAAAAAAGAACTTTTTGGTAAATAATGAATGGGACCCCAAATGGGACCCCGAATGACTGAATGGGACCCCGATGTTTAAAAATCGTCGTGATGAATGGGACCCCAAAATAATAAAATGGGACCACAGCATTTTCTTAAATTGTCTGAATGGGTACCCCGCAAAAATGGGACCCCATTGGAATTTTTTCAGAATGGGACCACATGTAGGCTTAAACGTAGACGTATCCTCAGCACTGGGGTTAGGCATAGGCTTGGGCTTATTTAGGGTTTTAGGTCTTTGTTAGGATTTCAGGCTTAGGCTTAGTCACGATTTTAGGATTAGGCTTAGTCAGGGTTTTAGGTCTTTGTTAGGATTTCAGGCTTAGGCTTAGTTAGGCCTTTAGGCTTAGGCTTACTCAGGGTTTTAGGTCTTTGTTAGGATTTCAGGCTTAGGCTTAGTTAGGCCTTTAGGCTTAGGCTTAGTTAGGATTTTAGGATTAGGCTTAGTTAGGATTTTTAGCCTAGGCTTAGGCTTCAAATTTTGTATCCCTTTCAGTATAAAATTCCAGTGGGGTCCCATTCGTACTAATACAAAAATTCAACGGGGTCCCTTTTTTGCGGGGTCCCATTCAGACAATTCAAAAAAATGCTGTGGTCCCTTTTATTATTTTGGGGTCCCATTCATGATTTGCCCTTTTTTTCAGTTACCAAATAAGTAAGTGCAACAGGTATAGTTTGAAAAATAATCGATAATTCAGAATTGCGTCTTGTCTTTGACAAAATATGCCGGATTTTATGAATTTTGTATAAAACAATTGAATGTAAAATAATGGTTACAGAATTTGTTAGATTATTGAAAACAAAAACTGATGAGCGGAAAAAATTGGAAGATTTTGACAGAAAACACAATTCAGAATCGGGTAAAAAAATGTTGGCAAAAAAATTTGTCATGTACATTAGACAAGTGATGAAACGCAGTTGGTTGATCAAATATTTTCCCTCGAAAAATTTGACAAATTCTTGAAGTTTATCGGATAAAAATACTAATCTTTGAATAGCAATTAAAGAGCTTCCCGAAGTTGTACTTGGTAAAAATAGTGAAATCATCCAAAATAATATAAATGCGGACCAATGTTGAAATTGAAAAACGGCAAGAATGATTACAAGTGTGAATAAAATATAACTGAACATAATATGCCAAAAAATAAATCGATAAATTTGATGGATTGGTGTTTTTTTGGTGTCTTTTGGTGTAGTGAGATATAGAATTGGGTAGGAAATTGTGAAAATTAGGCGAAAGTTAGCAAGTAATTGGAAAACAAACCCCATTATATTCATATTCTAAAGTTTACCAAAAAAAATAAAAAAATAATGATAGGCTTTTCAATTGTTCAGAAAGTCAAACAATTGGACGAAATTCGTATAGCTTTAGAAAAATTGAACAATTGTTTTTGGAATTTTGGAATTTGAATTTGAATATGGAACATTTTGTGTATAAAAGAGGATGCATGGAGAAGTTTTAAAGTGTACAGAAAATATTCTGTAATTTTTTTTCGACAAAAAAAAGAAAATGAGAATTTCGATTTTGATTGGGCTGTTGTGGTGTGTTGGAATTTGTTGGGCATCAGGTGCTCCGTGAGTTTGACAGAGCTTCAGATGTTATAAAAATAATTTTTGTTTCAGGAGTGTAGGAATTCCCGGCGGAATACAAATGTAAGTTTTTTTGTTGAAATTCGAAATTTAAATTTAAATTTTTTATTGATTTTTCATTTTTTATGAAAGTAAGTTTCAGTAATTCATGAGAAGAAAAAGATAAAATTGCAGAAAATTTTATGTGTTTCATACTGAAAATCCATTTTCAGGCCTACTGGACTTCCAGGCCTCCCTGGTGACTCATCTCCAGCAGGTGGCGCCCCTTCTGCTCCCCCTGGCGGAAATGCTACCAAAAAGAAAGGCTCCTCATCATCCGGTTCATCCTCAAACTCCCACTCAAATTCTCGAAGCTCATCCGAAGAAAAATCTTCGAAAGGATCGCTAATTGGACAAAACGTTGGGGGGACTACCAAAACTTCCAGGAAATGCAGCTATAAAGCCAAAATCAGCTGTAGCGCCTAAGTTTCAGATGCTCCTCCAACAGAACAACCTGAAGGATCCGGATAACTGTTGTTCTTCTGGATTTTTTGGTTTGGAAAATAAATTTTAAAAAATACAAATTTGATCTAAGTAAAAACTTAATTTAAATTCACATTAGATTATTTCCTAAACAAAATTAAGGTATTAAAAATCACCAAGTAAAAAAAGTTTTTTTTTTCAAAAAACAAAAAAAATAAAACTACAACACTCCGCATGCGTGTTGTTTATACAATTTCTTTTTTTTCTTTTCCCCCTCCTTCTCTCGCACACTCTTTTTTTTATTTTGGCGTCCTCTTTTTTACCCTTTTCTCTTCCATAATTTCCCTTTGCGCCTAGAAAAAACCCACGAAATTTGAAATTTTGATTTTAAAAACATTTTTTTGTTCAAAACGTGTCCCAATTTTTTCCCCAATGCCACGTCACAACCAAAAAAAATCCCCAAAATCCCCCAAAAACCCAAAAATCAGTTCCAATTTTTGTCCACTTCACAAAATGCACATAGGCTTTTCGTCATGTCTACTTCTTCTTCTTCTATTTGCCACGTGTTTTTTGGTTTCGCCGGTTGCGGCAAATGTTGCCATCATTAAAATGATTGTTGTGGGACAACAGAGTGATGGTTGGTTGAGGGGATCGATTAATGAGGTGAGGCCAGAGAGTACTGTAGAGAGTACTGTAGATTTTTTCGCGCGAAAATTTGACGAATTTTGATAGTAAATAAGCCTAGACTTTTGGTTACTGTAGGTCTAACTAGGAATATTGTAGTTCCGATTTTTCTGAACTACAGTATTCCTAGTTTTGCAAAAAATTTCAAAGTACTGTAGTTTCTAGTGATCATTAGATTACTGTAGAATCAGAAGAATACAGTAACCTTCTAGCCTAAGCTTCTAATCCACGTGGTTTCTGGGGTACTGTAGATGATCTTTTTCCCAAAACAAAATCAATAACTTTCAGAGTAGAGGTACTGTAGTTTTGCACATAAATTCCAGGGTTACTGTAATTTAACAATCCACGTGGAATATTTAAGGACCCTAAGGGTACTGTAGGTTTAATTACTGTAGTGTTCAAAATTCTGATTTTTTAATTTTTTCTACAGTAAAGCTTTTGGAGTACTGTAGCTTTTCATTAGAGGTACTGTAGATCAAACCTACAGTAACCCTAGGCTTATTTGATCTCAAAAAAAAAATCGAAAGTTCAAATTTCGCTTTAAAATTATCTACAGTAACCCAAACCTAGCCTTATTCACTATCAAAATGCGTCAAATTTCTTCGCGCCAAAATCTACAGTACCCCTTTTGATTTGCAGTTCTCCAAACTCGTCTCACTCGACAACGATTTGGCTCCGCAAATTTTCGAAACCTACAATTTGACGGACCCCGTCGCCATTTGCGACTACATTGGAAATGTGGATCGCGAAAAATCGCAAAGCGATTTTATTTTGGTCGTTAAAAAGTGAGTTTGCTCCCCTAATTTTTTGAATTTCAAAATTTACGCGCCTAAAAAATATTGCGGGAAATTGAAAAATTCAAATTTTTTCCTTTCAGAAAAGCCGACATGAGTTTGGAATGCGATCCCGAGTGGGGAAAATCGAATTTCGCAATTCTCAACATCAAATCTGAGCCCGGCCAAATTGGAGACATCATTTTCAAATCGACTGAAAATCTGAAATTTAATCTCCAGCCTGAAAATATCCAAGATCCTGCTCAACTTTTGACAAAAATCAAGGAAAAACAAAAGGTTGTGCAAACTTCGCAGATTCCGGATGAATATCCGTTTAAGGCGGTGAGTTTTGGGGCGGGATTACTGTAGTTTCCAGATTTACCAAACTACAGTATAGTTTTTCTACAGTACTCTCTTTGATTTTTAAAAGATTGCAGTAGTTTCACAAAAGTTTCAGAACAATCCCAAAATTTAATAAACTACAGTAATCCAGATCAAAATTAGATCTTTTTGAGACCAAATGAGCTCAGAGTACTGTAGAAAATCCACGTGGCAAATGAAAATTGAAAATTCAATTTTTCGCGCCAAAAATTTCACGTGGTAATTCAAATTTTTCAAAAAATAATTAAATAAATTCCAAAATTTTTGATCTACAGTAACCCTAAGCACATTTGGTATCAAAAAATGCCAAATTTTCGTGCCTAAATCATCTACAGTACCCCCAAGCATGTTTGGTATCAAAAAATTCGAAAATGTTGTGCCTAAATCATCTACAGTACCCCCAAGCACATTTGGTATCAAAAAATGCCAAATTTCCGTGCCAAAATCATCTACAGTACCCCTAGGCATATTTAGTATCAAACAATGCCGAATTTTCGTGCCAAAATCATCTACAGTACCCCTAAGCATGTTTGGTATCAAAAAATGCCAAATTTTCGTGCGAAAATCATCTACAGTACCCCTAGGCGTGTTTGGTATCAAAAATTGCCAAATTTTTACAGGAACGCGACCGCCGCATTCAACAACGCATCTACATGGCGTGCATCTCGATTCTCGTCCTCTCAGTCGTCGCCCTTTTGGTCATTATGTTTATGACAAGTTTGTCCAGATACAATTTGCGAAAATCGGAACGTGTCAAGGCGAAAAAAGCGGAAAAAGAGGCGGCAGCAAAACCGCACATTGAGCCGAAAAAGGTGCGGTTTTTTTGACACCAAATTCGTCTAGGGTTACTGTAAAAACCCTCCATTTTTGCAGCCAATCCAAAAAAAATCAGCGGAAAGTTCGGAATTTTCAAAATCCAAAGAAAACGCGGCGGCTCTTCTCGCCAAATCCCCAAAGGCTCCACAAATTTCGGCACCAACTCCACCGGTCGAGAAAATTCCGCCACCTGGCGGAACCCGCGAAAACTGTCGCCGCTCCAACTTCTGAGAAATCTGACAAGGCTATTCAATCGGCGTCGGAAAAGGGATCGGACAAGGCGTCGGACAAGCAAAGTGATAGCGAGGTGGGGCGGGGTTTTGGGGGCGTGGCTTGCAATTTTGCGGCACGGTTTTTTGGGAGGATTTTGATCTACACTTTATGTTTGGGGAAATTTGAGCCACGCCCTTTTCTGCAATTTTGCGGCATAGTTTTTCAAGGGATTTTTTAACATTAAAATTAGGTCAAAAGGTTTTTGCCGAAAATAAGGCCACGCCCCTTTTCTGCAAAATTGCGGCTTGGTTTTTCTAGGGATTTTTTAACATTAAAATTAGATCAAAAGGTTTTTTGCCGAAAATTAGGCCACGCCCCTTTTTTGCAATTTTGCGGCAGGGTTTCTGGAGGTTTTTGAAAAATTTCAGATCAAAAGGGAAATAAGGTATCTAGGCTTTCAAAAATTTTAAGCTCCGCCCATTTTCTGCAATTTTGCGGCTTGGTTTTTCTAGGGATTTTTTAACATTAAAATTAGGTCAAAAGGTTTTTGCCAAAAATTAAGCCACGCCCCTTTTTTGCAAAATTGCGGCATGGTTTCTGGAGAATTTTTATCTACAATTTATGTTTGGGAAATTTGAGCCACACCCCTTTTTTGCAAAATTGCGGCATGGTCTTTCTGGTAGGTTTAGATCTACAATTTTTGTTTGGGAAAATTGGAGCCACGCCCCTTTTTTGCAATTTTGCGGCATGGTTTTTCTAGGGATTTTTTTACATCAAAATTAGGTCAAAAGGTTTTTGCCGAAAATTAAGCTCCGCCCCTTTTCTGCAATTTTGCGGCATGGTTTTTCAAGGGATTTTTAACATCAAAATTATGTCGAGAGGTTTTTTCCGAAAATTAAGCCACGCCCCTTTTTCTGCAATTTCGCCGCACACTTTTTTTTTCAGAACAAATCGACACTTTCAACCAGAAAATCGGACGCAGATCTTTTCAAACCATGAAAAAAAATCGATCGATATTTTTTTCCTCAATCAATAAAAAAATTTTTTACTCGCAAAAAAAAATTTTATTTTAACAAAAATTATCGATTTTTCTCTGCTCTCTCATTCAATTTCCATAGAAGTTGGCTGAAACAAAAAAAAATCGATATTTTTTGGCGCCAAAAAAATTACTGTAGATCAAAAACCTACCGTAATCCATTCCATCTCTCGTCGCTGCACTATTGTATTTTGCCCATTTTTTGTGGGTCCTGGCACGATCTGTGAGGATTGAGGCGAGACGAGAGCGATCGAGACCGGCGAAGACGGAACTGCAAATGGTAGGGGTACTGTAGGTAGGGGTACTGTAGGAATTTTGGCCGCATTTTGATGGTGAATATGGCTAGGTACTGTAGGAGTACTGTGGATTAGTATTAGCGCGAAAAGTTGGAATTTGAATTTTTCAAATTCCCGCTCATTTTGAAGCCACGTGGATTTTTTTCAAACTTCCCGCGCGATCAAATTTTGGCGCCAATTTAAAAAATTCAAATTCAAAAAAAACTCACCTTCCCATACTTCGCTTCAGCATTTGGGCCTCACCCAATTTCGCGCCAAAAATGGCGCAAAAAATTAGCGCGAAAAAGAAGCCCAAATTTTTGGCGCCAAAAATGATGGCCATGATTTTTCCTGCAACAAAAAAAATTTTTTGAAAAAAAAGTTTTGCGGAAAAAAACAAAACAATTTTTGAGGAGAACACTTGAGAAAATAATGGAGAAAACATTTTTTTTTTAAAAAAAAAATTTGCGGATTTTTGGAAAACACTAAAAATAATCGAATTAGTGTGAAGACATATGCGCAAAAAAAATTCTAGAAAAAATTTTTTCATAAAAAAATTTCTCGATTCATTTTTTATGAAACAATGGGGTGACATCTTCATGCATTAGTTAATCTCAACAAAATTTTTTTTTCTTGATGATGAGGATTTTTTTCCGAATGTCACAGTACCCTAATCCAATCGGGACCTTAAAATAGCACTAAGTGCAAGTAAGTGGCGCGAAAAATCCAATTTTTGTTCTCCTGGCCAAAAAAAAGGAAAATGTTTTTTTGCTCCAAAACGCCCAAAAAAAAGAAGAAAAAAAAAACATAGACATTTTTTTTTTAATTTAACAAAATAAAAAATAGATGAAAATGTATTTTCCTGTTTTTTTTCGTGACTAGAAAAATTGCATTTTCTCCTTCTTTTCTTTCTTCAAATCCGATTACACTTATTCTTAATAATAACAATGAAAAAGCTGGAAAAAAGAAAAAACAATCAGAAAACGCCTACGGTTCAAAGGAACACAGAAAATAAGCACCCGCGGGTCTCGTCACGCCCGTGTACTTCTCTCGGACAACAATTGTTTTTTTTTGTTTTCGGACGGTTTCAAGCGTTTTCCAAGGATAAAACAAGAGTCTAGTGTTGAGAAATGATTCCAATTGCAAAAAACGATAATAAAATTTGCTGGCAAGTCGTAAATGTCGAAACATTGGATGAAAACGGAAGAATAAGCCCCGAATTCATCACGGATGATTTAAAATGGTAAATTTGTCTTAAATTCTACGTTTTCAAACAAAATGTGTGTTTTTCTAGGCATATAAACATTGAGAAGAATACCAAGAATAATGTGGAGTATTTGGGGATATATCTGGTGCCAGTGGATATGAAAACCACGTGGATCTACGAAGTTTGGCTGAAATTCGCGATTTTTGATGAAAATGGAGGGGAATTGATGAATTGTGACATCTCTGACAATAACGAACCCGTTCTATTCATGAAAAATTGCGGTGGATGGGGAAATAAGGAATTTATGAAATTTGACACTAAAATTCACACAATTCAAGGAGAATTCAACTACAAATTCTACGATTTTTCGAAAAACCCGGCAATTTTCGCTGATACGAGTTTGCGAGTGAAAAATGAGCTTTTTCATGTTAATAAGGGCGTGAGTTGCTTATTTTGAGAAAGGGGGAGCAAAAATAATGAACAACAACTTTTTTGGGCAGGCCGTTTAGGAGGGAAACTTCAAAATTTCAAAATAATTTTTGAATTTTTCCATTTTTTTCAGATCCTCAGCTCCTCCTCGAATTATTTCAACCGGAAATTTCTGCAAAAAGACGAACCGATAATTGTGGTCAAAAATGTAGAACCGCATCACATTTTGCAATTATTGGCGGCGATTTTGCCGAACTCGATTCAAATTACAGGTGAGTATTTTTGGCGCGCCAAAAATCGATTCATAAAAATCTCAAATTTCCAGCCAAGACCTATGACACTCTGCTGAATCTCGCGAAAAAATTCGAAATCCCAGTGCTGATCGAAAAATGCGAAAAATATTTCGCCGAAAATCAATGCAAAAACCTGATCGAAGTTTTAAAAATGACGGAAACCCTTGGAGATTTCGATGAAATTGTTGGTTTTTCTTTGAATTTCCACCTCAAAATACGTTTTTTTTCAGCCAAAATTCGTGGAAAAATTTGTGAAGCGTGGAAGTGAGCTGAAAATTCTACTCAATTCGCCGGAATTTGCCGAATTCGAGAATTTGACAAAATGTCGAATCTACCCGGCTGCCCTCAAGTTTCTTTAATTCATTTTTATTGTTTCTTCCATTTGTTTTACCCCCATAAAACCTTAAAAAAACCATGAATAATTTAAAGGAGCATGTATTTATTTTCGCGGCGGGTCTCGTTGCGGCTGTGTAGTTCTCTCGGAGAATTGCGTATTTTGGGCGGTTGTTTTTTGTTTTTCGACCCGTGGGCTCATTTCCCGTGTGTTTTGAGTGTCAGAATGAATCCAGTTGTGAAAAAAGGATAATAAAATCACCTGGGAAGCTAAAAATCTTGAAGAATTGGATGAAAATGGAAGATTAAGCGAGGAATTTGTGATTGATGGATTGAAATGGTGGGTTTTTGAGCAAAAACCATGGAAAAAGTGAAATGAATTGTGTGTTTTTCAGGAGAATCAAGATTAAGACTGAAGTTAGCGGCACTACAAAATACCTCTGTGTATTTTTACGTCATGAAAAAGACACGGCGGATTATTTGGCCGAAGTTTCGCAACACTTCACAATTTTCGATAAGAATGGAAGAAGATTGATGGGTTCAATGAGTTGCGATTATTACACGAAAAACTCGAATGAATTCGGTTGTTCGAGTATTTTGAGATGGAATGGGAATGGGAATGGATTTGGATTTGATGTTAATCATTGGGAAAAGGATTTTATTCGAATCGAATGCGAGTTTGACTATAAATTATACGATTTTTCGAATAATCCGGCGATTTTTTCGGATGGTGTTATTAAGATTGGAAATGATGAGATTCATATTAATAAAGGAGTGAGGATTTTTGTCGAAAAAATTGATTGAACAATAAAAGGTCCCGCGCGGAATGAAAGTTTCGCGAAACTTGGTGGAAATACCAATTCGCCGCTGCTGATGGTGAGCACGGTGTCAAGAATTGGTATTTTCATCAAGTTCGGTGTAAATTTCATCTTCCGCTTTTTCCTTGTCAAAAATTGCATGAGTCAACTCTTGGTATGAGTTATGACGTGGCAAACAATGAAAATTTCGCAAAATCGGGAATTTACAGGAAGTTTAAAATCTGTGAAATCCCGATTTCCAAAATTTACCACGTCATAACTCATACCAAGAGAATTTCATCGAAAATTCCCCAATTTCCAGTACTATTGTGCATTTTCAAAGTTCTTCATCGAAAATTTCGGCAAAAACAACAACACTCAAATCACAATCAATGATGTGAAATCGGATGATATGTTGATGTTATTGGCATCCTTGTTGCCAGATCCAATTCATATAACTTGTCAGTTTTCCATTGTTCACATTTTTTTCTCAAAAATAAAAAAAAATAAAAGTTTTAGCTCGCAATTACGATGCTCTGATGGATATGTCGGAAAAATTCGATGTTCCTATGTTGATTCAAAAATGCGACGAACACTTCAAAAAACATCAATGCTCAAATCTTCTCAGTAGAATTAGCTATGCTGAAATTCCGACGCCTAAAAAGCGCAGAAAAACTGTTGTTCCGGAGGAAAATGCGAAAATTGTGAGTTATCAAAACTTACTTTTAAAAATATCATCAATAAATGGTATTTTTGCAGAAAGAATTAATTGGAAGTTTGAAGCGCGGCAAGGAATTCAAATGGCTTTTTGAGCAATATGCATTCAAGGAATTTGAAGATTCAACAAAACTTCAAATCTATAAAGCATCCACCAAGTTCCTCTAAATTATGATTTTTCTATAAAATTCAAGGTTACTCTATTTAAAATGTATATTGTTCTGTTTTTACTGGTAATATGTATGTTTCCTATCAAAAATTTATAAATAAAAAGTTTTATTTCGTTTTTTTTTTCACACGATATTTCAAATGGGTTGAATATTCCCTCATTTTCTCATGTTTTTTTCTCACTGAAACCGATAAAAAATAAAGGCCTACCAAATGTGTGCAAACACCACGACGCAACCGTGCACACAAATTCTCTGGCGACTTGCCAAGATTTTTTCAGTGCAGCAAATTTGCTCTGTTGCAAACTCATTTTGATTTTCTTTTTTCTTTGAGTTTTTCTAACCTAATTCTAAGCTATTTACGGGATCTAAACAAATCGATTTAAGAGTCATTATTTGAAAAAAGGGAAATTACGAGGATAGGCTCTGTACAGAAAAATTGATGGTCTCAAAAACGGCCCATATTTTTTGTACAGACCTTTTAACTATCCAACAATAAAAAAAACATGTTTTTGATTCAAAAAAAAATTTTCAGTTTCAGTGGGGGGAGGCTGAAAATGGGTATGCGCAACTCGCTTTGAAACGTTGCGCAACCGTAACTCAGCTTAACGCTAACTATTTTTGATGATCAAAAAAACATTTTGCTCGTCTTTTTGTGCTCTACAAGCAGGAAAATAGCTCCACTCAAAAAAATTATTTTTGAGCAAGTTGGAAAAAACCAGTTCGCAAAAACTGACATTTTCGGATTTACAGACAAAAAAGGGCGACGTCTAACCGCATTCAATCGATTCCTCTTGATTTTTTACCCCTAGGCGCACAGTATTATCAAAATCGGCGGTAACCATCATCTTCGTTTTAGACCTCGATTCAAAAAATGACCCTTCTGAAAAAACTTTTTTTTTTTTCAGTTTTTTTAAATTTTTTTATATTTTAGGCTGAATAAAGACTGTTTTGACATCGAAATAATTCAAAAACACTTTTGGTTGTTGAAACTGACTCAAATTGTGAGGTTTTACCAATTCTTATAATCTCATTGATGTTTTCGGTAAGACCATCGGACAAGATCTGAAAATACTTGAAACTGGACTCTGGATGACAAATTATTATCGAATTGTGCCTAAAACACTCTAAAAACATGTATTCTAACATTTTTGATCAATTTCCATTCAAATACGGATGTTTTTACTCGATTTGGACATTACTGGAATTCCGATGTTTGTGTTTATCTCTGATTTTCGTCATCGAAGACATCAACATTGAATAATTTTGATGGTATTGACTTCAAAACAAATTTTCAAGTTTTTGAAACTCATCTCCAGAAATTGTACAAATCAACATTTCTCCAGGCGAGGCTGATCGTAGATCTTTTTATTGATCTTCCAGCTGAATTTGATACCACTGTTTCCATCACACATTTATTGTACTAAATGTAGTTTTGAAAACGTTTTTCTTTCATATTTCATTTTGCCTCAAAAACAAAAAAAAACAGTCAAGAATAATCGCTGATGTCAACGATGGACTCAGATCAGAGATCAGGATGAACATCCTAATTCCAGTAATGTCTGAATCGCGAATAAACTGCACATTTTGTCTGGGATTGTTCGGAATAGTGTTTTTCCTGTTCACTTTGGTGTTTTGCACATCATTCATCAATGATATGAGTAATATGTCGATGAAAATCATCTGATATAAAAATCAGGATTTTTTCCGATGGCCTTACTGAAACTTCAATTAATTTCGAGATTCACTATAAAATTGATTCTATTCATTATTATGATGATGAAATTAGTACTTCTCATTAATCCCAGACAAAATGTGCAGTTTATTCGCGATTCAGACATTACTGGAATTAGGATGTTCATCCTGATCTCTGATCTGAGTCCATCGTTGACATCAGCGATTATTCTTGACTGTTTTTTTGTTTTTGAGGCAAAATGAAATATGAAAGAAAAACGTTTTCAAAACTACATTTAGTACAATAAATGTGTGATGGAAACAGTGGTATCAAATTCAGCTGGAAGATCAATAAAAAAGATCTACGATCAGCCTCGCCTGGAGAAATGTTGATTTGTACAATTTCTGGAGATGAGTTTCAAAAAACTTGAAAATTTGTTTTGAAGTCAATACCATCAAAATTATTCAATGTTGATGTCTTCGATGACGAAAATCAGAGATAAACACAAACATCGGAATTCCAGTAATGTCCAAATCGAGTAAAAACATCCGTATTTGAATGGAAATTGATCAAAAATGTTAGAATACATGTTTTTAGAGTGTTTTAGGCACAATTCGATAATAATTTGTCATCCAGAGTCCAGTTTCAAGTATTTTCAGATCTTGTCCGATGGTCTTACCGAAAACATCAATGAGATTATAAGAATTGGTAAAACCTCACAATTTGAGTCAGTTTCAACAACCAAAAGTGTTTTTGAATTATTTCGATGTCAAAACAGTCTTTATTCAGCCTAAAATATAAAAAAATTTAAAAAAACTGAAAAAAAAAAAAGTTTTTTCAGAAGGGTCATTTTTTGAATCGAGGTCTAAAACGAAGATGATGGTTACCGCCGATTTTGATAATACTGTGCGCCTAGGGGTAAAAAATCAAGAGGAATCGATTGAATGCGGTTAGACGTCGCCCTTTTTTGTCTGTAAATCCGAAAATGTCAGTTTTTGCGAACTGGTTTTTTTCCAACTTGCTCAAAAATAATTTTTTTTGAGTGGAGCTATTTTCCTGCTTGTAGAGCACAAAAAGACGAGCAAAATGTTTTTTTGATCATCAAAAATAGTTAGCGTTAAGCTGAGTTACGGTTGCGCAACGTTTCAAAGCGAGTTGCGCATACCCATTTTCAGCCTCCCCCCACTGAAACTGAAAATTTTTTTTTTAATCAAAAACATGTTTTTTTTATTGTTGGATAGTTAAAAGGTCTGTACAAAAAATATGGGCCGTTTTTGAGACCATCAATTTTTTTCTGTACAGACCATTTTCCCTTTTTACAAATAATGACTCTTAAAGGGGGGGTAAGACGACAAAATTTTATTTGCTCAATGAATCGGGCTCCCTTTGAATAGTAAAAGCCCCAGGGGATTTTTTCTCGAAGGGCCTAAAAAGGTCCGAAAAATATTCCATGAACTTTTTTCAACGTATAGCTATACGTTGTCCGAAAGTTTATGGAATAATTTCAACGTATAGCTATACGTGGTACCTAGTTTATGGAACATTTTTTTCTGGAGCGTTTCCAGAAAAAATCCCTTGGAGGTTTTACTACTTTTGGGGAGCCTTTAACTTTGCGACAAAAAAAATTTGTCGTCTTACCCCCTTTAAATCCAAAACGTGAAACCTACAAACCTGGAAACGTGGCAAAATATCGATGTCAGTGAAAAATGAGAATCGCGATCAGTTCTCGTTTATTTTTCCACTGGAATTCCGGAGAACGAAAATTGAAAAACACTACTGTATATGGATGCGTCTGCAATTGGAGCCTATGCTTTCACCGCTATATCGATTCTCATTCTGGCAATCGTTGTAATTTGGATAGTATTGTGGAAGTGGACAAGAAAATTGGTCTACGAATTGTTGACAAAAACATCGCGCATCATTTTCAGTATAACTCATCTTGTTCCGCTCATCGTTTTGATCGCATGTTTTGTCGTTTTTCAACCATGGAATGCGTATTCTGGTGGAATTGAATCGAAAGAACGAGAGGAAATGAAGACAGAGAGTGAAAGTAGGTTTAAAATTCTAACAATCGTCAAATGAAATATGATTTTTCAGTTCTCAAAAAAACCGCCAACGACGCTTTCGATGCTTTATCCGGCGCTTCTGTTGTCATACCTGTTGTATCGATAGATGCCATGCTGGATAAGACTAAAATCATCAAAGCTGTCGACAAAGAAATGCATGTCGAATTGCCAGAGACGCCGAACATGGATGCTTTCGTAAACAAGGAAAAACACCTTGATTCTGTGAAGAACAGTGGTTCTTGTAAGGCTTTGAAAGATTTAGAAGACACAAGTATAGTAGCCGCGACGATAAGATCTGCATTGACACAGTTCAGTAAAAACAGCTATTATTCAGATGATTTGGACATAGTTTTGACGAATGAAAATGCGCGATTGAGGAATATGTTCAACAATGATATCAATGGTATTGCTCAATATGCGGAAAACATGAAAACGGTAGAGTAAAAATGGATTGCACACTACTTAGAAAATGCCCCAACCGCCGTCGGACAAGCGGCTGTCGAGTTTTCATAGCATTTTTAGCGTTTTAGATATAACATTTCGCCAGCTTACGGTCAGTGTCTGCTAAATTCTTCCAGATCGCGGTGAGCTGGCGAAACGCTAAAAATACTTTAAAAACCCGACGGCTGTTGAGACGATGTAGCTACGGGAATAGCTTTTTGTATACTACATATATGTACGAGACTATCTGCCCCACATTATTTCCACGTTTGTGAACTATGCGGAACTCTTTAAAACCAACAATGCAATCTCGAAAAAACTCAAATTTTTGTCTATCTACACAGTTTTATGTAACGACATATAATCCAACAGTGCGCACTGTTGGATTTCTGGAGTTCCACATAATTCACAAAAATGGAAATAGTGTGGGGAAGACAGTCATGTTCGCCAATGTAGCTACGCCCTGATTTTCTGAGATTATCTGCAGTGTGTCAAATATATTGAACTATTTCTAGAAGAATACTTACAATTAGAGAAGTCTTCGATGTAAATCCTTCTAGATTTTACTTTTCATGCATCTAATTTTGAATTATTTCAGAATTTGATCACAAAATGGAGAGCTTCTCTTCTTCAATTTGACGACGCGATTGATGTGAGATGGAAGAAAATTGTTGAACATTTGGATTCAATTCTCTTAACTATTCTTGTCACCGACATATCATTGTTATATGTTCCATCTGCATTTGCTTTGATGTTCCTCATTTTTTCAATCGTAACCATATGGACAACAGAAGAAACCTCAGCCAATCGAATTCTTTTCATCATCAATCGTTTGTTGTTTTGTCTTGTTGCAATCATTCTAATTGCATGCTCAATTTATCCATTCTTCGAATTTAAACCTGATTGTCCAATTGTTGAAGATAAGAATGTTTATTTCAACTTCCCAATTCCAACCCGCAATGGTGCCAAAAACTCTCACGATATTCTATCGACATGTTCAGGAAATTTGTTCGACTCGCCAAATGATGATGTATTATTGTTGGTAGAAATTGGTTTTTTCAAGTATTTGAAACAGCTTGTCGTGGATAAGATTGTTGATGCGAAGAAAGCCGACGAACAAGCAAGCGAGACAAGTGAAAAAATTGATACGTTGAAGAAAGCCTGGGAGAATAAGCGGACATACGTCTTGAAATTGGGCCAGTTGCCAGCTGACTGTGATTCATCCAAAACCATTATAAACGAATATACTTCTGCGTTTAATGCTCAAGACGGAAAAATGAAAGCATTTATTGGTGCGTTGAAACAAAGACAGGAGAATGTGAATGTTGTGGGTGAAAAAGTCGGAAAGGCTATCGACGAACATGTTCAGGAAGTCAGTGGAATGATTGCAACACAAGTCACCAAAGTCAATGTGAGTTTCTATCATACATGGTGGCCGTTAATCACCCGCACAAATTCAATCTGGTCCCAAGTTTGAACAGTAACTGTAGATATAACAAACTATCAATTTGAATAGTAGCGAGCAAACTTTCTTTCAAGAAAAAATAGGGAATTATAACATACATTTTTGAGAAAAAAACACTTTCAGAATATTCCTTTTTTTATGTTACATTGTGATTGAATGTAAGTTGAAAGCTTGATCAGTGTCGAGGGTGATAATTTCCAATGCAAGTTTATTTATTGCCGATAAAATAGAAATGTAAAGAAAAATCTGGATGTTTTTTCTCTACAATTTTTTAAATGTATAGGATTTCTTGACGATATTTTGTCTACATTTCATTTTCTTAATCACACGTGTTTTTCTATTGCCCAATCCTATTGTTTTCCGAATATGTGAAAAATTGAGAGCGTATTTTCTTTCATTTTCCATACACTTGCTTTTTCTAGTGATTTTTCAGATAAAAAGCTGGTTTTCTTTTGAAAAACGAAAAACAGAACAAATACAATGTTTTTCTCGAAAATACAAAAAAGTTGAGTTTGATAATGCAATTGCCTCATCAATTTAATTGTTCTGAACAAAATTGGCAATAGGAATTGTAATGTGACAGCATTTTACCCGAAAAAACACCAAAAAAGCAAGCGAAAAAAAGAAAAATCATCATGTCTGCATTTTTGCGTACACTTGTGTGTGTGGTGACGCAAAAATGCACAATGATGATTTTTATTTTCTTTTTTCTTTTCGGTTGCTTTTTTGGTGTTTTTTCGGGTAAAATGCTGTCACATTACAATTCCTATTGCCAATTTTGTTCAGAACAATTAAATTGATGAGGCAATTGCATTATCAAACTCAACTTTTTTGTATTTTTGAGAAAAACATTGTATTTGTTCTGTTTTTCGTTTTTCAAAAGAAAAGTAGCTTTTTATCCGAAAAATCACTAGAAAAAGCAAGTGAATGGAAAATGTAAGAAAATACGCTGATTTGAGGAAAGAATAAAAACATTTCCATAAAACTTTACATTTTTGTGTTTTTGCAAAAAAATGTGAAGAAAAAAATGCCCACATTTTGTTTACATTTTTTCGAAAGGTGAAAATGTAAGCTAAATTGGCCCCAAAATTCTTATACATTTTTCAAAAAGAAAATGTATATGATTTCGCGACAAAATAAATTTTACATTATTCTTTGGAGATGTGGAAATCGGAATGAAACATTGGGAATCTGAACGATAAATGTCGAAGGATATGGGAAAAAAGAGATAATCAAATAAACAATATACACACAAACAAAAAGTAATCAAAATGAGCGAAAAATTTCTGAACGTGCTTATCCTTCATACATTTGTGATGAAAAATTGCTCATTTTTTCTTGAAAGAAAGTTTGCTCGCTACTATTCAAATTGATAGTTTGTTATATGATTTCTAGTTTCAAAAATTATTCCCAGATATTGTCTTCATCATTTTAACCGAATATTGTCATATAATTCGGTCTAAGGGCAGCTGGAATATCGGGAATGAATTTCAGAACTTCGCATCAGGCACGTTGCTTTTTTGAAATGAATGAGCTTTCTACACCCATAGATAGTTTCAAATTATATGTTTCCGGTTCAGAATTTTAGAATAAACCCTAGACGTGCTTGATCCTTAACGGAAATGATTCACAAAATTTCTCAATTTTAAAAACACGACCAGAAATGATCTCAATAATTTTTCAGAGGGTCTAATCTCGCAAAATTTTATTTTTTAATACCCAAAAAACATCATTAAATTCTGCTATGATTCTAAAAGTTCCGAAATTGTTTCAAATTTATCACGCGAAGTACGAAAATCACTCGAAAAAAGTAGCGTGCAAAAAATCTTGTTTTTGCGTTTCATACTGTCACGAACAACCCCTCTAACTTGGCTCAAACATGAAGAATCACTATGAGACTTCGATTATTTACTTTAAAATAGGTACAAATAAAAATAATTTGATTACGGTAACAAGTTTGGGACGTTTTGATAAGAATCTGAGCTGGTTCAACAAAAATTTGGCTTGTGCGGGTATTAACGGCCACCCTGTAAATGTGTCACGAATTCATGCAAAATTTCTAATTTTTTGTTTTTTCAGAGTGCAATCAAGATTTTGAGCGTCAATTGCCGAACCACAAGAGCCCTATTTGCCAGGATCAACAATATCAAATGTTCGAATGGTGGCGAATTCAAATCCGTTGCTTTGACACGAGCTATTGTTGTTTTTGTGTTGGGATTGTGCTCAATATATATTCTGTTCACTTATCGAGCATTCGGCCCACTTCCTCGTGACGATCGAGTTAAATGGAGTGAGAAAATATCTGAATTGGTAAGAAATTGTTGAAAATTGACAAATTATGTACATGTTTTCATTTGCAGACATTTGAAGAAATGAAGAAGTTATTCGTATTTTTCATTGGCCCGTTGAAACAAGAAAAAGAGGTGTTTCCATTGAAAACTGTTCGCACAAAAGTGAAATATAGAACTCCGTGTGTAAAGGAAACTCGAATTGTGCTCAAAAATCCGAAAAATGATTTTATTCATGCCAATCGAGTCAAAATGCCAAACAATTCGATATTTATTGCAACTAATGCACCATTGATGGAGGATAAGGCAAATAAAACTGATGACACAAGTGGCGATTTCTGGGAAATGGTTTGGCAAGAAAAAGTCAATACTATTGCTATGTTATGCCAAGTCATTGAAGACGGAAGGCAGAGATGTGCGCAATATTTTCCGGAAAAGGAGGGCAATGTTTTGAAGTTTGGGGATTTTGCGATAAAATTTATCGAAATCAAGAAATCCGACGATTTACCATCGAAAACAATTTGGCGCCGTTTCGAATTGACAAACAAGAAATTTGCTGGCGAAAAACGCATGATAAATCACATCAATTTTGTTGGTTGGCCTGATTTTTCGGTCCCCGATGATCCGAAATTAGTTATCAATTTGGTCAAATTTGTCTGCGAAACCAATGAAAACAATGCTCCAATTGTTGTGCATTGTGTTGCTGGACTTGGTCGAACTGGTGTTTTCTTGGCTTACGCATATGCTCGAGAATTTTTGAAAACCTTTTGTGATCTGAATTTGGTGCTTGTTATCAAACATATCAGAGCAATGCGAGATTCGTTGATCCAAAATTCACTTCAATATGCGTTTGTATTTGTATGCTTGGTAAAAAGTTTTCAAATGGTTCGTTTTTCATTTATTTTGTGTCAGGAGTTTGAAAAATTATATATTCGTTTTTACAGGACGGCTTAATTAAGCAGAAGAAAATTCAACGTTTTTTGATGATTTTGAGATTCACAGAGCGAAACCTGAGAATCAAAACGATCCAGACCGCGAAATTATATTACAACAGTTTGAAAAAATTGAAACTGGTAAAGTGCAATTAGATGAGAAGCCAAAGAAGCCAAAGAAGCATTGAATATTAATTCAACTAACAATCCTATTGTCTATTTTTTTATTCGCATCAAATCGTATTTTGTATGCAGATCGCTAGAAAGAAATTCTTGTCAAATAAATAAATACATTTCATCGAACAAAATCTTGTGAAACAGTAATCATAATAATGTTTGAAAACACGTTTGCGCGCTGAAAAATACCAAAAATCCGCACTGTATTTTTTTTTGCAATTCGAGGGAGACGCAGACTTTAACGTGTGCAGACAAATCTCTCGCCGAAAAAGGGAGAGAAATAGTGTGTGGCAGACACACATCGTGTCGAGACCAGCGAGTGTCTGCGTCTCCTCGAAATTGCATTTTTCTATTGGGAAAAAACACAGTGTCCGCTGTTTTCAACAAAAAAGTGGTGGCCGAGTTCGGCCATGGCCTAACTTTCCAAAAATGTGTACTTCTCCCGGACAATTTTTTTCTCGCTTTTTTTTTCGTTTCCACTCAAATTCCACCGGAAATTTCCCTCTCGCCACGCTTCATCGAAATTTCGCGACTTTCTCCAGAAAAATGGGGGGTTTGATTCAAATTGCCGACGTCGACATCGATCCGAAAGGCGTCTTCAAATACATTTTGATCAAATGCGTTGAGAAATCGAGCAAAGCCGAAAAGTTGGTCGTCCGCGGATATTATCGCTGCAATTTTCATGCGGATATTTTGGATGAGACGCGGGTGAGTGGGATTTTGGGGAAATTTTGAAAAGAAATTCAAAAAATTATGAGAAATGCCACGTTTTATCGATTTTTCAAACTGAAATCTTGAAAAATTTGGAAATTTCGATGAAAACGCAACGATTTTCAAGTCAAAATATTCAAATCTCGTGAATTTTGAGAAGAAAAATGAATTTTTAAGTCGAATTTATCGATTTTTGAAAATTTTAACCAATTTTGAGCCGAAATCTTAGGTTTTCTGAGGAAAATGGAGTTTTTTTTATTAAGTTTATCGATTTTTTGAAGTCCCTGAACGAAATTTGGCGAATTTTTGTTCAAAATTCAAATTTTCGCGGCAAAATTCAGCTACAGTAACCTTAATTGTTTCTGCAAAAAAAAATTCCCTCTAAAAATTTACGTTTCAAAAAATCCACAATTTTTTTCGTAATTGAAAAATCCAATAACAAGGTGTACTGTAACTACAGTAACCCTAGCCATATTTGATATCAAAAAATTCCAAATTTTAACGTCAAAATTGATCTACAGTACCCCAAAGTGTTTGCAGACTGCAACTCCCTCCGACTTCACTTTGAAATGCATCGGCGGCGGTCGAATTCAACACAACGACCTCGACAAAAACATCCTGGTCTACGGTTATTCGCAAGGTTACGGTAGAGCTGACCATCAGATTACTGTAGATATCCTGAAGCGAAAATATCCCGACTACTGTATCACATTTTCCAATGATGGATATTGAAATGTTTCGCGATTCGAAAAAATTTGAATTCAAATTTTTTCGCGCCAAAATTATTCATTCATTTATTTGCTCTTATCAGCAGAAAATTATGTTTTGTTATCAAAAATTATTTATTTTTATACATTTTAGTTTTTTTCTTTTCACATTTTGTTTTATTATAAAACAAAAAAAGCTTGTTCATAGTTTTTTTTTCATTTTTTTAAAGCAAATAAACTGATTTTGTACAATTTTCTAAAATGATTTTGGCGCCAAATTTAAAAATTTCCAGATGATTTTCCAACAACTACTTAGCTTTTCCCTATTTTTGGCATTTTTCCAAGAAATTATAATTCAGGCTGACCAATCGTGTAACTTGCCGTGTCAAAATGTGAGATTTTCAAAATTTTCCCGCCCTACAGTACCCCGTTTTCGTTGCAGGACGCCTTCCCCCCTTCCCGCTGCGGAATTTGGCTCAAAAACGAGACGCGTCTGAGCTCTCTGGGCACCTACGAGCTCTCAAAAGGCCTCACCAAACTCTATTGCTCATTTTCGAGTTTGCCCGGCCCCGCGCAAATTCAATGGATGTTTCGGGCCAATTCGGGCCCCACTGGAGGCCTTGGACAATGGGAAGAGTTCCCGTGTGCCAAAAAAGAGGAGAATAAAGTTTGTGGGTGAGTTTTTTGGGGGTTCCTCGTGGGATTTGGAGCATTTTGACACCAAACATGATAGATTTTGGGATTCACTCAAAAATACACTGTGTTTGGTGTCAAAATGCTCCAAATTTTATGAAAAATCCCAAAAATTCACAAATTTCCCTACAGAGATTCCGAAATTCTCGTCGAATCCTATTGCGAAGTTCGCACAACTCGTCTCACAATGAGCGGAGCCTACAAATGCTCCGCCACAATTCCCACGGATCCAAATCGACATCGAGCCGTCAGTTCGGAATTTCCGATTAACGTTGTGGGAATTCAGGCGCCTACAGTAATCTCGTCGCATTTGCCGTTGCACAAAAATGGAGAGATTGAGATTGAGGTGAGCAATTTTGGGCGGCCCAAAAATTACTGTAGATTTTTTTTCAAGCATTTTGATAGGAAATAAGCCCTGGGTTACTGTAGGCCTAGGAAATTCCGCATTTTTTGACACCAAACATGCATAGGCTTGGGTTACTGTAGTTTTTTTCGGGCCAAAAACTTGGGTTACTGTAGCTCCTATATTTTGCGCTGAAATTTAGTTTCAGAATTTTTTGAATACAGTAATCAGACCTACAGTAATCTGAAAAATGTTTATTGGTTACAGGAACCCGGAATACTGTAGTTTTTTTTGAGAAAGCAAAAAATCTGATTCTACAGTAACCCTCGAAATTCTCTGGGATTACTGTAGTGTCTTCTGAAACACTACAGTAACCTTGTTTTTTCGCGCAAAAATTGTTCTACAGTACCCCTAGGCATGTTTGGTGTCAAAAAATGCAGAAATTTTGAGCCTACCGTAACCCTAGACAAATTTCCGCGCCAACAAAACCCTACAGTAACCCGCTCAGATCTGCGCCAATCCCAAACCCGAAATCATCTGGCACACATCGGAAGGTCTTCTCTACGAAAAACAATCCACGTCACGTTTCGCCGCCACGTCACTTTCCGCTCGAAAATCCTCATTCGGCTCCGCCCCCTACAATCAATTCCCTATTGTTATTCGACATCTTTGCTGATACACCGTGTCAACGAAAACGATGAATTTAGGCTAACTATCAAAGGAGAATTGACGAGTTTGCATGAGAAGATTAGTGTTAGAGTTAAGGTAGGGAATTTTTTGGATTCCACGTGGAATTTGACGATTTTAGACACCAAACATGATATATTTTGGGGGAAATTTTTTTTCCAGACATCCTCCTCAAACTTCACAATTCTCTCAATTCTTCTAATCTTCATCTCGCTTTACTAGGAAAAAAATGACAATTTGATTTTTTTTCAGAAATTAAATGAAAATTTTCACGAAAAAAAATAAAATTTAGAAAAAAACACTACGGTTTAAAGGTACACACATTTAATCCTTTGTGTGGTCTCGCGACGAACAAAACTACCGGCTGTTTTGTTTTTTGAATTTTGTTTTTGTTTTTGCGCAGTTTCAAATTTTGACCGCTTGCAAGTTTTCGAAGGTGAAAGTTGAAGATGAATCCGATCGTTAAAAAAGCGAATAAAATCGCATGGAAAGTGGAAAATATCGATGATTTGAATAGCAACGGAAAAATCAGCGAGGATTTCGTCTGCAATGGTTTGAAATGGTGAAAAATTGTTGTTTTTTTGCCTTGTGAAATCCAATGTAAACGTGTTTGTTTCAGGAAACTAAAAGTGAAAACTACATGGACCGCAAACGGCACATTTTTGTCGGTGAATTTGTATCACGAAAACAATGCATCGAATTGGTTGACAGAAGTCGAATGCTCTTTCAAAGTCTTGGATAAAAATGGAAAGCAATTGGCAAAGAAGTCCAACTTGTTCGGTGTGTTGACGAATAAATCAAATGATGTGGGATCTACTCGTTTTCTTAAATGGTCTAATATTTTGCCGAGCGACAACTCGAAAATCGATTTCGTCATTGTGGAATGCGAATTCAGCTTCAATTTGTACGATTTCTCGAAAAACCCGGCGATTTTCTCGGATGCAATCATCAAAATCGGAAGTGTCCAGCTGCATATTAACAAAGGAGTGAGTTTTTTGTTCACTAGGCGAAATAAAATAACATTCCTAATTTTCAGTTTTATTGTGCATATTCCAAGATTCTTCTCAGAGACTTGGTCAAGAAAAATGAATCAGAAGTCACAATCAACGATGTTGAAGCAGAAGATATGGTGATGGTATTGGCTGCATTATTGCCAAATCCAATTGATATTACAGGTTGTTACACGTGTTTTTTCCTCTACAAACAATCTGAATTTCAGAATCGAACTACAATATTCTGATGAAGTTGTCGGAAAAGTTCGAAATCGATACATTGAAGGAAAAATGCGAAACATACTTCAAAACTGATTTTTTGCTCGGATCTTCTGGAGAAAATTGGCGAAACTGAGACTCCACAAGTCAAAAGACGTCGAACATCGATTTATTCGCAAAGCAATCAACAACTTGTGAGTTATTGAAACTTACGTTAGATACTTTATGAATCTTTCATTTCAGAATAATTTGATTGCAAAACTGAAGCGCGGAGACGAGTTCAAAGTTCTTTTCAAGCACGATTCCTTCAAAAATCTCGCGGATTCCACAAAAATTCCACTTATACAAAGCGAGCTCCAAGTTTCTTTAAAATAATATTCTCAAAGATATACCTCACCAAAAAATGCCCTAATTTTTAAAATGTTATACTGTTCTGTTCTGTCTTTTCTCCTTACCAAATATTATTTGTAATATGTTTCTCCCCAAAAATAAAATAATGAATTTTGATTACCGAAATTTTAATTTTGAAAGATTGAAAGTTTTCATTTTTCTGTCTTGTTCCCAGTGAAAACTGCGATTTTTCTCGATTTCAAGAAAAAAAAATAAACGAGAGAGTGTTGCGGCTAGAAGAGACGACGAGAGAGAAGCAGAGAAAATGAGAGATAGAAATGCGTAAGAGAGAACGCGAGACAACACGAGACGCGCGTTGGATTTTGTGCATTTTCAAATTTTAACCGCTCGTCTTTTTCGAAGAAATGAATCCGATTGTCAGAAAGACGACTAAAATCGAATGGAAATTTGAGAATTGCAAAGAATTGGATGAAAATGGAAAATATAGCGATGATTTTGAGATTGACGGGCTGAAATGGTGAGTTTTTGAACACAAAATACATTTTTTAATGCTTTTTTTGCAGGAGAATCTATATTAGAACATGTGTTGTCGATGGAAAAACACGCATTTCCGCGTGTCTGCGCAATGCAATCGAGACTTCAAATTGGTTGGCGGAAATCGTTCGCGACTTCACTTTTTGTTTTTCATTTTTGAAATTGAGCACGGTTGAGGAAAATGCACCGAGTTTGTGCTCGAAGAATTCGGATGGCAGCTCGATGGAAATGAGTTTTTGCCGAGAAGACAAGAATTGCGTGACGGTTGTGTGCAAATTCAGTTATAAATTTTATGATTTCTCGAAAAACCCGAAGATTTTCTCGGATGCTGTTATTAAGATTGGAAATGACGAGTTGCATATCAACAAAATTGTGAGCTTTTTTTCGGATTTTTGTCCAAAACCGCTTCAATTTGCTGGTTTTTACTGGTTTTCGACTCGCTGATCATGATTCTGTTGTCTAAAAATTGCAGAACTCAAATTCTAACATGAGTTTTCATTTGTAAGTGCCAAAGTTGGAAAAATTGCGAAAAACAAAAACCTGCACGTGCAGAGCTGAATGAACGACAACGTCATTACTTCGTCAGTCGCGTGCGGCTATGCGTCGCGGTCGAGATGCAGAGGAAAACAATGGATTATTGATTGTTTCTCGACCGCGACGCACAGCCGCACGCGACTGACGAAGTAATTTCCAACTTTGCCACGTCATAACTCATGTTAGAAGTTGATTTCTGCAATTTCAGACGAAGGAATCGTGATCAGCGCGTCGAAAACCACTAGAAAACATATAATTTCGAACGGAATCCGAAAAAATCCTCAAATTTCCAGTATTATTGTGAAATTTCCAAGTTCTTCAACGAACACTTTGTCAAAAACAACAACACAGAAATCACAATCAATGATGTGAAATCGGATGATATGATGATTGTATTGGCTGCATTATTACCCGATCCCATTCAAATTACCGGTAAGTAATCTAACATTTTTTGAAAACTATTTCTGAATTTCACAGAATCAAACTACAATATTCTGCTAAACTTGTCGGAAAAAATTCGAAATTGATGTATTAAAGGAGAAAATGCGAGACATTTTTCAAAGATGTTTTTTGTCCGGAATTTCTGCGGCAAATTAAAAGTGTTCAGAAGGAATTTGACGCTTTTACACCGAAAAAACGCAGACTATGGAAGCCTTTAGAACCTATTCTGCTACTTGTGAGTTGTTCTAACTCACTTAATAAGTAAACCCATGTTTGACAATTTCAGGATGAATTGATTGCAAAATTGAAGCGCGGAGACGAGTTCAAAGTGCTTTTTCAAGCAAGAAGCCTTCAATAAACTCCCAGGAAACCACAAAATTCCACTTATACAAAGCGTCCACCCAATTTCTTTGAAAAAAACCTTCCCTGAGTTAGGCTAAATTGTACTGTTCTGTTTTTCTTTTCCAAAATGAATTTTGATTAATTAATCAACGAAAAAAAATAAGAGTTTTGATTTTCCTTTGAAACTAAAATAAAACAAAGATAAATAAAAAAAAAAACACAAATATTTGGTATTTTCAGGAGAGACGAGAAAAAATTTGAATTAAAAAAACTGGAATGATTTGTGGGGGTAAAACGGGAACAAAAATTGCGAGAAGAAAAAAAACAAAAGGAACGGGGGAAACAATATTAATTTTAGTACATATTATCGAATTCAAAAGCTGTCATCATTTCCATCTGATTTGACATTCCCATCGAGTTTTCGTCTTCGCGTTGACGAGCAAGTTTCGCCTGCAAAATTCGAGATTTAGGTGATATTTTAGCTTAAAAAAATATTTTGAAATGAAATTTTCAGAAAATTCTGAATTTTTCTATTCGAAAAAAAGTTTTTCTTCGAAAAAAATTGAAATTTAGGTGAATTTTAGAGTGAAAAATCCGAATTTTTGTGATTTTTTAAGGTAAAAAAATATTTTGAAGTGAAATTTTCAGAAAATTCTGAATTTTTCATTCGAAAAAAAACATTTTAAATGAATTTTCTTTTGAAAAATTTGAAAATTAGGTGAATTCTAGCGTGAAAATCCGAATTTTTTGTGATTTTTTAAGGTAAAAAACATTTTGAAATGAAATTTTCAGAAAATTCTGAATTTTTCATTTAGAAAAAGGTTTTTGAATGATTTTTCTTTGAAAAAATTTGAAATTTAGGTGAATTTTAGAGTGAAAATCCGTATTTTTGTAATTTTTTAAGGTGAAAAAAAATTTTGAAATGAAATTTTCAGAAAATTATGAATTTTTCATTCGGAAAAAATGTTTAAAATGAATTTTCTTTGAAAAATTTGAAATTTAGGGTGAAAAATCTCAATTTTTAAAGAAAATTTTGAAAAAATTCAAAAATTCGTGAGTTTTCGAGCTAAAAATGTGAATTTTTCAGTATTGAAGAATATTTTCGGTGAAAATCAGAATTTGTCTAAAAATTTGTGAAATTTGAACAATTGCGCCGAAATTTCGACTTTTCAAATTTTTTTGAAAATTTTGAAATTATTTTTTTTTTCGCGCCAAAATAAAAAACAACCCACTTCTCTTCTCAATCGTTCAATTCTCTCCTCGTCATTTTCATCAACTTTCTGCAAAAAAAATCAATATTTTCAGCCAAAAAAAATCTGAAAAACTCACATTTTTCTTTTGTGCTCCACCAGAAGAAGAAGAATCGGGCAACAAATCATCGAGTATAGTTTTGGCTGCAAAATTTCAATTTTTTGGCTGAAAATATTGATTTTCAGCTCATTTTAGCCCAAAAAATCCCCAAAATTCCAGATTTTCAGCACAGAAAAACTCACAAGCATTCGCTGAAGCCGATGGTTGTGTTGAGATCGAAAGAAGAAGCCGCTGTCGACGATTTTTTCTTCATCAAATCTGAAAATTTTCCTGATTTTATTTAGTTTGAAGAAAAAATGAATTTTCAGAGAAAAAAAAATAAATTTATGATACATTAAAAATCAATAAAAATTTGGTTAGTTATGGTAAATATGATTTTTTTTTTTAGTAATTTGTCTAGAAAAGAAAAGAGAACCGGGATGAATAATATGACCTAGAAAACCAAAATGAAATTCTAGGGCCATGCAAAAATTTTTATGAACAATTCAAATTTTTGCTGCACTTGGTGGCCTAGAAATTCAAGAAATTGGTTTTCTAGGCCACAGGATCGAATTTTTCATGAAAAAACTCAAAATTTAGCTCAAAATGTTCAGAAAAAGCTCGAAAACTCAAGAAATTAATTTTCTAGGCCACCACGTTCAAAAACTCGGCCATGGGATCGAATTTTGACGAAAAATATCAAAATTAAATTAAAAATGGTCTAGAAATTCAAGAAATTGGTTTTCTAGGCCACCACGTTCAAAAACTCGGCCATGGGATTGAATTTTGACGGAAAAATTCAACATTAAATCAAAATGATCAGAAAAACTCGAAAATCATGTTAAAAATAGGTTCCTAAGTCAATTTTTGATGAAAAATTCAATTTTGAAATCAAAAATGGTCTAGAAATTCAAGAGAAATTGGTTTTCTAGGCCACCAAGTTCAAAAACTCGGCCATGGGATTGAATTTTGACGAAAAACCCAAAATTGAGCTCAAAATGTTCAGAAAAAGCTCAAAAATATGTTCCTAGCTCTCAAAATTTGTCAATCTCAAAATCCAAAAAATCGCTCACGTTGTGAATTTCCTCCTCCTCCTGCTCCACTACTCGATTTATTTGGCAATGGTGGCGGGACACGTGCCATTGGCGGTTGTCCACCCATTCCACCCAAACGTGGCGGCAAATTGTGGTGATTGGTGTGATGGACTTGGTGTTGTTGTTGTGGTGCTGGATTTGGTGTGGTTGAAGATGAGGAGCCTGGAGTTGCCGAAACTGGATGATATGGTGGCATTCCGCCTTTTCGATTCAGCTGCATTTCTGAAAAAAAACAGGTTGGTTTTGGTGGGAAATTTATAACATGAGCGATTTTTTAATGAAAATTTTGAACTGAATTTTGGGATTTTACGTGAAAAATTGACCATATGGCCGAGTTTTCGAACTTTGTGGCCTAGAAAACCAAATTTTTGAATTTTTGAACTGAATTTTGGTTTTTTCGTCGAAGTTCGATATTGTGGCCGAGTTTCAGAATTTGGTGGCCTAGAAAACCAATTTCTTGATTTTCTAGACCATTTTTGATTTCAAACTTGAATTTTTTATCAAAAATTTACTTAGGAACCTATTTTTAATTTAATTTTGATACTTTTCGTCAAAATTCAATCCCATGGCCGAGTTTTTGAACGTGGTGACCTAGAAAACCAATTTTTAAAATTCTAGGCCACCAAGAGCAGAACAAAATTTGATTTTTAAATGAAAAATTGAAACTGTGGCTGAGTTTTTGAGTTTGATGACCTAGAAAACCAAGTATTTCTTTTTCTAGGTCATGATTCCATCCTGACCAGAAAAAAAGCAAATTTTTGCGTGGCCTAGAATTTCATTTTGGTTTTCTAGGTCATATTATTCATCCCGATTCGCTTTTCTAAACAAATTACTAAAAAAAATTATGTTCAAGCTTATTTTCAGCTCAGAAATGTCCAGACTTTCAGATTTTCAGATCAAAATTCATCAAATTTTTCAAATTTTGGCTCAAAATTCATCAAATTTCTCAAATTTTGGCTCAAAATCTCCCGAATTTCCTGCCCAAAACAAAAAAAAATCGAACCAACCTTTATAATCATCTTCCGAATCATCATCATCACTTGAACTCGACGAACTTCCCGATTCGCTTCCCTCATCTTTTCCCGCTTTTTTGTGTCCATTTTTGTTGACTTTTCGCCGCTTTCTACTTGGATCCGAATCCGACGATTCCGATATGTTGAATTGCGATTTTTCTGGAAAAAATGGGCACTTTTTGAGGAGCATTTTCAGTAGACAATTCGAAATCTGAAATTTTCAGACAACATTTTTGTTATGGGCCTATGCAGAATAATATTTTGTAATAAAAAAACATTTTTTTCCTATGCAGAAAAACGTCGAAAAAACAAAATATACAGTTTATTATTTTGAGTAGAGACAACGTGAAATTGAGAGAGTGCATACAAAAAACCCCATTTTATGTCTGCGCTCTCTCAATTTCACGTTGTCTTTATTTTGTTTTTTCGACGTTTTTCTGCATAGGAAAAAAATGTTTTTTAATGTTTTTTTATTACAAAATATTATTCTGCATAGGCCCATTAGCAACAACAAAAACATGCACAAAAAGAAAGAGAACATGCGAAAAAAACAAACAAACCTTTAAATGTTTTGGCGGGAAAATTTTGTCGTGTCAGGACCCAAAATTTGGCGGGAAATTTCAAAGCTACTAGAAATCGTCTTGGGACCTTTCTAGGCTCAAAAAATGATGAAAATCACGAATTTTCGTGTCAGGACCCAACATTTGGCACCAAAACTTGATTTTTGAATTAAAAATCGCGGTGGGACCATTTTTCGTCTCAAAAATCGATCAAGGGCTCAAATTTCATCATTTTCAGGTTTGAAATGTTCCGAAATTGCTCCGGAGCCCAAATTTCGGCTCAAAAATCGTCCAGTGCCCAAAGTTTCATCAATTTAGCTCAAAAATGCTCCAAAATTGCTCTGGAGCCCAAATTTCAGCTCAAAAATCCTCCAGCGCCCAAATTTTCATCATTTTTCGCCTAAAAATGCTCAAAAATTGCTCTGGAGCTCAAATTTCATCAATTCTAGCTTAAAAATGCTCCAAAACCCCTCCCGAGTCCAAATTTCAGCAGTTTTTCAGCTCAAAAACCCTGCCAAGCCCAAATTTTCCCGCCAAAACCTCTCAAACCTCTTTCCTCCAATTGCTCTCTTCTCACAATCGGTTTTTCCTCTTTTTCCTCATATTTTTTCTTCTTCGAAAATCGTTTTCTCAAAACCGACGGTCTGTTATTCAAAAATGCTCTTCCAGACGTGGATTTAATGATACAAGTGTTCAATTCATCAATTTCTTTTTCAATTTTTTCGATCATTTCCGTCGTTTTCGTCGAATTTTGCCGGTTTTTTCGATTTCGGCTGGATTTTGGTGGTGAAAATGGCGAAAATGATGGTGAAGAGTCACGTGATGAATTATTTTGATAATAATTATATGAAGACGGTGGTGTATAAGAAGGAGAAGAAGAAGAAGAAGAAGCTGTGAATGGACAAAACACACATAACATTTAAAGGCACATGCGGGTTAAATAAAAATCAGGTTAGTTTTGGACAAAAATTATTAAAGCTGGAGATTTATAGAAAATTCAGAATTTTTATTATCTAGCCATTAAACTTCTAGAAAAAAATTGTCTGGAATTTTAAAGAAAGCCTGAAAATTCTGAATTCTAGGCTCAAAACTGTGAAAAAATCTAATTTTTAATGATTTTTTATAAAATTAACATTTTTCTGACAATTTCAGTCTGGGAATCAATATTTTCAGTCAATTTTTCAGCTCAAAATTTTAAATTTGTAGAGAAAAATCAGATTTTCATCAATTTCAGTTGAAAATTCAGAGAATCTAGTCAATTTTAGGTTAAATTCCCTAGGTTTTCAGTCAAATCCAGGCTAAAATTAACGATTTTCAGACATTTTTCCAGCTCAAAATTGTGAGAAAAATCAGATTTTATCAATTTTAAGCCAAATCCAGGCTAAAAATCAAATTTTTCATCAATTTTGGCTCAAAATCATTATTTTCCTTGAAATTTGGGTAAAATTTTGATATTTTTTAGCAATTTCAGTATGGAAATCAATATTTTCAGACATTTTTCAAGCTCAAAATTGTGAGAAAAATCAGATTTTTATCAATTTTAAGCCAAATCCAGGCTAAAAAATCAAATTTTTCATCAATTTTGGCTCAAAAATCATTATTTTCCTTGAAATTTGGGTAAAATTTTGATATTTTTTAGCAATTTCAGTATGGAAATCAATATTTTCAGACATTTTTCAAGCTCAAAATTGTGAGAAAAATCAGATTTTTATCAATTTTAAGCCAAATCCAGGCTAAAAATCAAATTTTTCATCAATTTTGGCTCAAAATCATCATTTTTCTTGAATTTTGGGTCAAAATTTTGATGTTTTTAGCAATTCTAGGCTTAAAATCAACGATTTCCAGACAATTTTCAGCCAATTTTCATGCATTGCTCATCTCAAAAAACCAACTCACTCTTCTCTTTTTTCGCATTTTTCGCCGCCAAAATCTCTTCAGGTGATCTCATCAATTTCGCCGTGTTCTCTTCCAAAATTGGCGCTGCTGCTGGTGTTTTCAGGGAAGAAATTGGTGGTGGATTATTGGCGGATGATGAAGATGCAGCAGGAATTTGGGGAGAAATTTGTGGAAGACTTGGTGTAACTTGTTGTGGTGGCAAAATCGGCGGGAGGGAATTTGAATTTGAATTCGAATTCGAATTCAACGTCGAATTCGAGTTAGCTGAACTTGTGGTGATTGGTGTTGAAATGGGAGCAGAAGAAGATGACGTGGAATAATTGGTGGTGGATGGTTTTCCGGGGTGGCGGTAATTTCTAAAATATATCTGGCGAAGCTGCGTTCATTTCTCTCAAAACATGTTGGTCCTAGGGCTTCAAAATCAATCTCGATTTCACTGTCTTCTTGATTTCCGATTCGCGAGCTAAAAGAGAAGATTTTTTTGTGAGAAAAATCGGGATTTTTTGAAGAGTTTTATATGCTTATTATTCAGTAATTTACTTGAATTTCAGTTTTCAGGATGATTTTCAGAATTTTTTTGCGCGATCCGGACTCAAAATTTCCATGATTTTCAGCCTAGAAAGCCCTGAAATTCGAAATTTTCGCTCCGAGACACATTTTTCCAGAGATTTTTGGGTTAGGAAATGCTTCAGAATTTTCTCAAATTTCGAAGTTTTTATTCATTTTTTCAGAGATTTTCGGGAATTTGAATTTCCCGGACTTTTGTATAAAAAAATCAAAACATTATTTAAAAAAATTCCAGCTTTTTATTGATTTTTTTGTAGTTGGAAACATTTTTGGGTGAATTTTTTGAAGAAGAGATTGTAAATTTTCAGAATTTTCTTTTGAATTTCAGTTTTTTTTTTTGATTTTCAGGAAGATTTTCAGAATTTTCGCGCGATCCGCGTTCAAATTTTCATGATTTTTCAGCCTAAAAAGCTCTAAAATTCGAAAATTTTCGCTCCGAGACTCATTTTTCAGGGATTTTTAGGTTAGAAATTGCTCAAAATTTGCTCCAATTCGGATATTTTTAAGTCCCAAGGCCGTTTTTTGAATTTCTCAAACTTTTATATATCAAAAATTTCAGAATTTTTGTAGATTTTTTGAGCTGGAAAGGTTCCTGGGTGAATATTGGGATAAAATTCAGGTTATTTTTCAATTTTCTCTCGTGTAAAAATCGAATTTTCTCCAGAAAAATTCAATTTTCCGGCTCAAAATCCACCAATTCTAGCTCATTTTCCATGAAATTTCGTGATTTTCCGGCCCAAATCCCAAAAAAAAACTCACATTATGTTCCCCTTCTCTCAATAATCTGAACAATTGTTGCCAAATGTTCGGGTGCCAATCGATTAATTAGCAAACTTAATTGTCGTTTATCATCATAGCTCATATCCAACTCGAGAATCTTCGGCATCTGAATCGAAATCGTAGCCAATCGGCTCTTCTTTTTTGATTTCACGGCCATTCTGCAAAAAAAATTCGGGAAATTTGGGAATTTTTGAGTTGAAACATGTCAGAAAATTTCGAAAATTCAAATTTCTAAAGTTTAGCGGCTAATTTTGATTATTTGAAAATATAATTGTGCCGCCAAATCAAATAAATAAATTCGAATTTCTGATTTTTCGCGCCATTTTTTGTAATTAAAAAAATTAGGCTCCAAATCCAAGAAATTTAAATATTGGGAAAAAATCTGGAAAAATTTGAGCCTTTTTTTTCAAAAAAAAAATCGAATTTTCAAGGTTCTCGGGTCAAAAATCGCTGTAAATCCCTCAATTTTCAGTCAGAATTTTCAAATTTTCAGCTTCTTTCCCCTCTCAAAATCAACTTACAGTAGCTTCTAAACACCGGTTCACATGGGATTTTTGGCTCCGGAAATTGGTGTCGAATTCGATGTTGTTTGACAAACTGTTCGAACTTGTGTATAAAGTGATTCTGGTATTTTTTCACCTCGAGAACTATTTCGATATCTCATCACTTTTGATTTGAGTTCTTCGACTTGTCGTAAGTTCGTTTTTAGGCTATCTTCACGTTCGCAGAATCTGGGAATTAAATTCGGGTGTTTTTGGCTGAAAATTCGAGATTTTTCATGAATATTTTGAGTCTAGAACTTGAAAAAAATCTCAATTTTCGCTCCAAATTCAAAAAAATTTGAAATTTTTTCCTGAAAAATTCAAAAAAATTTCCCGCGCTGTATCCTTCTCATGACAAAAAAACCAAAAAAAAATGAATTTATTCCAACAAAACAAAAAAATTACATATAGGGGGGTACTGTAGAGAGATGAGATTTAAAGGTACACAAGAGAGAGATATGCAAATTTTAAAGGGACACACACGAAAAAAAAAACAACAACGAGATAGTGTAGAAAAACAAGAGAGAGAAGAGAAGAGAGGTGAAACATAAGAAAAACACAAATTTTTTTGTTGGATCTTTTGTCATGAGAAAGCGCGCTCTACCGAACAAAGGGGCGGGAAAAGGTAAAAATTTGAATTTTTTTCCAGAGATTTTCGATAATTTCAATTCCTCTTCCCCTCCCCGCATGCAACAGAAAATGGCGCCAAATTCAAATTTTGGCGCCAACAATATCAAAATCACCCTAACTCACCATAGCCAACGCGTTTTCCAATCGCATTCCATCTTCAGTTCGAGATTTCGATCCTTCCAATGGTGTCAAATTTGGCGGAGTTGCGCTGCCAACTTCTTGTTTGACAATTGCGGTATGGTGCCAAACTAGTTTTGGTGTGTTTGGTGGCTGATGTTGGTGTGATGGATGGTGGTGGTGGGAATTGTGGTGGATTGGTGAGAGACTGTGCTGTTTGAAGAGGTTGATGGTCCTTTTTCGGTGGGTAGATCTTTCCGCACTGGAAATTTTTTTTTACTTTTTCAAATTTTTGAATTTCGCGCTAAAAATTCAAGGAGTACTGTAGCTGAATTTCCGCATCAAAATTCAAATTTTCAAATTTTGAATTTCGCGCCAAAAAAACATAGGACTACTGTAGCTCCATTTTCGCACAAAAATTAAATTTTCAAATTTTCAATTTCGCGCCAAAAAACATAGGAGTACTGTAGCTGCATTTTCGTACTAAAAAATTAAATTTTGAATTTTACGCTAAAAATTCAAGGAGTACTGTAGCTGAATTTTCGCATCAAAATTACATTTTCAAATTTTGAATTTCGCGCCAAAAAAATCAACGAGTACTGTAGCTGCATTTCCACATCAAAATTAATATTTCAAATTTTGGAATTTCGCGCCAAAAAACATAGGAGTACTGTAGCTGAATTTCCGCATCAAAATTACATTTTCAAATTTTGAATTTCGCGCGCTAAAAAACATAGGAGTACTGTAGCTGCAAAACTCACCCTCTTTCTCAAAAAATCTCCATAAATTGTTTTCCCAAATTATGAATCGGATCTCCGACTGGATTATACAGCATACAATTGTCAAGCATCTGGAACATATTGATTTTTTGGGTTAAAATTATCGTGATTTTTTCACAATTTACGGCTGAAAATCACGTTTTCTCAGCTCAAAATTGCTCATTTTTCACTATTTTTGGATTTTCACAAAATTATCGAATTTTCATGATTTTCAGACAATTTTGAGCTGAAAATCACAATTTCCAGCTCATTTTTTCACAATTTTTAGCTTAAAAATTCCCTTACCAATTTGAAATCCTTGGCAAATTCACTTGGCTCCGTATATTCACCATGCTCCGAATTTCTTCTGTGATCGTACTTCATATCCATGGGCTCTTTGATGATTTTAGTGATAATCGTGAAGGCCCAATTCGGTCGCATTTACCGGACTGTGAAAAGGCCAAGAAAATGTCCCTGAAATTATTGATTTTTTGGCTCAAAATTGAGCATTTTTTGTGGCTCAAAAAAAAACTCACAAAATATTTTTTCGAATAGAAATCGGTCAACAATTTTTGGCAGAATTTCAGACGGCCAGTTACCGGAACTAGTTGCGCTTTTTTGGTTGTCGTGACGAAGCCTCTCTTTGTGTGCTCGAATTGGTTCGGGTTTTCTGGGAAGAAGAAAAATGAGAAAATTAGGGGGGATTTTCAGATTTTTCTGAAATTTCAGACGTTTCGAAGAAGCTACATTTTTTACCATTTTGGCTCGAAATTTCTAAATTTCTGCCTGAAAAAAATCTGGATTTTCAGTCCCAAATTTTCAGCCAAAACACGATCAAAATATCCCAAATTTTCGGCCCAAAATTCTCTTTCCCAAATCTCAAAAGACCTCACCTCTTGCATCATCTGAATCCGCTTTTCTTTTCGCTCCACTTTTCATCGTTTTCACAGCCATTTTTGACGGATTTGTTGATGACTGCAAAAAAAATTTGGAAATTTGAAAATACACGTGGTTTTTGCGGAGGTCACACGTTTTTCACGTGAAAAATTATTTTTGTGGAATTTTTTTAATAGAAAAAAAAGATTTTCCAGAAAAATCTAAACTAGACTATAGTCCTTTGATTCCTGAGATCTTAAGGCAAAATTTCAAAGTTCTAGACCTAGAAATTGTGGTTTTTCATTAATTTTCAGCTCAAAATCTATACGTTTTCTTGTAATTTTCAGATCTGGAATCACAATTTTCAGGCTATTTTCAATACTCAACGTTCAAAAAAGCCGAGTTTTTGTGAAATTTAGCTTCAAATCTGTTAAGCTTTGTGATTTTTAGCTCAAAATCCATCATTTTCACTAATTTTCAGCTCAAAATTCATAATTTTCTGTGAAATTGTCAAATTTCATGATTCCTAGCTCAAAATTCATCATTTTTCTTCCAATTTTTAGATTGGAAATCTGTCAAAATCCATCATTTTCACTAATTTTTAGCTAAAATAGTCAAATTTCTTTATTTTTCTCTAATTTTTTCAGATCTGGAATCATAAATTTTTCCAATACCCAACGTTCAAAAGCCGTTTTCCACGAGTTTTGTGAAATTTAGCTTCAAATTTGTCAAGCTTTGTGCATTTCCAGCTCAAAAATGCATCATTTTTTCATTGATTTTCAGCTCAAAATCAATCAATTTTCACAAATTTTAGCTCGAAATTTATCATTTGCTGTGAAATTATCAAATTTCATGGATTCCTAGCTCAAAATTCATCGTTTTCTTCCAATTTTAAATTGAAATCTGTCAAATCTTATGAATTCAGCTTCAAATTCATTAATTTTCACGATTTCCAGCTTAAAATGCATCAATTTTTCAGGATTTTTAGCTCAAATTCATTAATTTTTCACGATTTCCAGCTCCAAAATGCATCATTTCACTAATTTTCAGCTCAGAATCTATTAATTTTCACAAATTTTAAAGCCTCCGAAATTCATCATTTTTCTGTGAAATTGTCAAATTTCATGAATCCTAAAGCTCAAATGCATCATTTTCATTGATTTTCAGCTCAAAATCAATCAATTTTCACAAATTTTAGCTCCGAAATTTATCATTTGCTGTGAAATTATCAAATTTCATGATTCCT